TCAAGCTCCAAACAAAGAAACAAAGATTGGACATGAAACACCTGCCAACAAGGGTCCAAAGCCAAAAAAACAACAGGAAACATCAAAAACTACTACAATTGAAATACTACGTGTTGTAAGAATGACAAATATACATGATGCAGTTGTTTCGGACTATGTAGAAGAGAACGAGACACCAAAATCACCTCAACTTCCAAAATTACACTCACCAAAACAAACCAAAAAAAAAAATAAGAAAAAAAATAACAAACCAAATAATAATGATACAGATATAGTACTACCAGACATTCCAATCAACAACACACCAATTCCAACAAAAGAAACAAAAAATAATCATCAAAACCCCACAAATAGGGCTACCTCTTCTAGAACAAATATCAAACCACCAACTACATATACTCCATCAAAACATAATCAAAAGAAAGGTATATTTTCATATTTATAACAAGTACAGTGTACAACCAACATTTTTATTTAACTTTTTCTTATTTTAGGCAAAAAATAATTGTAATATAACACCTGGAAATAATAGTAACAAAAATGGAAAAAATTAATTTATTTTCCATCAAAACAACCACAAAAAATCCCCAGCTTGTGTGCTACCCTAATAGAACATATGCTCTACCTATCCATCCTATCCAGGGCATACATGGACTATATTTTAACCAATTTCTATCAATTTTCTCCTATTATAGAGTCCCCGGTTATGCCACCGCTAATCATGTTTGTAAGTAGCCTGATTAGACCAAAAAGCAACCCCCATGAAGAGCACATGCACCATATAAATGTGTATGAGGTTGGTGTTTATAAATATATGTATTTAGCTAACAACATCGCCCGTGCCGCTCACCTGAGCTTATTTCTTCCAAAACCCTCCGATATACACTACTTTGGTCCCCATTTTAGTAGATTGTGTGTCAACACTATGGTACTCTGCGTATCATACACCATTCAACCGAATCACCCTTATGATTAGAATGCAGAGTGCATCAGATCCTTAGATATGATGATATCACTCGCTTCCGTAGCAAGAAGTATTTTATGAGGGGATGATATTACTTTACATATGTAAAGTCAAGAATATGTAGTATAACAGTGAGACCTATGCATTGGTTACAGTTTCTTCCAAAATAGAACAAATAAATAGTGTAAAGATAATGGTTTATCTTTACTGTTTTTAACTACAATGATCACTCGGTTTTGAGTGCATGTTTTTTGACTTTTCACATCTCATGATATTTTCCTTATAAATTTTCGAGTATTATATTTCTAATTTATAAAATGAAACAACTACAACTACAACTACAAGAATTAATACAATTTAAAATCATCAAATATATACTATTAGACAAGAAATCAAACCACCTACAATCAAGCATCACCAACAACAATAGTAAACCAAATGCAATACTCTTCTCATCGATCTTTTCACTATACAGCGGCAGTCAACACCGATCAGAATCAGATGTGCATCAACGAGACAACAACACATTTAGAATAAACACAATATCTATTCAACGAATAGCAATGGTTAGTTGGTCATGGTTTAGATACGTATCAACATACTACACCAACAATATGTTTACAGTCAACTTTTCATTATTTCATCCAATCGACACGGTAGTATCAACATTAAAGAGTTACTACAGTCTGTTGGCAGGTCCATCTCGATTGAATGTAATAATGAACAAGTTGGAAAGGATGCCAGACAAGAGTATAGTTAGAAGGTTACAAGAACGTTTGGTGGTCGGTGGTGACTTGAACCTTCAATTCTCACGGTACTCTCCTTTTATCGGTGAAGATACTATCAAGAGTGTGACACTATCAAGAGTGATGAGATACGATAGTAACTATGTCGGGCACCCAAAACAAAGATTCTCATTCATACCGAACCTCTACGGAGCGTTTTATCACGAGTCTGGTCAATTTATAAAAGATCGAAATGCCTACCTCGATCGAAAAGAGTACAAGGTTTCTTGTAAACTACCAACCTATCTCGGTATACTGGATCAGTACACCAAACAACTACGTCGACTGTCAGTTGTACTAGAGCCACGTGATATGGCTCATGTCCCACATACACTGACACGGTTCATAGTCGATCGTGGAAACACACTTACTCATCTACACCTAAAGAGTAATTTTAATATTAATAGTAATAGTAATATTAATAGTAATAGTAATAGTAATCCACTTGTAATACAAGATCTTTTAAAGAATTGTCAACTCATCAACCAATTAAATCAACACTAAGAGTATTAAAGTTATCTTGGGGATTCAATACACCTAGAAATACAAGAACTAGATTAGGTGTATCTTCTCCCCCTATATCATCCTCTTCTACATCCACTTCACCAGCTCAACCAATAATTAAAGATGAAGAATCACTTGCATTAAATTTTGATTGGATGGTTCTTGTTGGATTTGAATCACTCTATAAATTAGTACCAACACAAAACAATACATTTACACCACCCAAAACATTCCTACAATTCATGCAATCTTCAAACTATCGAATTAAATCATTTGGCAAATGTAGATTAATATTAAATCATTTATTATCAAAACAACTATATTTATTTAATATTCATTCACTTTATTTAAATATTAGTAATCAACCAAATAATAATGTAAATAATAATAATAATAATAATAATAATAATAATAATAATAATAATAATAATAATAATAATAGGGATTATTCATTTAATAATGATTATTCAATCAATCAATTATTAAATGGTAAAGTTTTAAATTATTTATCATTGTTTGAACAACAACAACAACCGCAACAACAACAAATAATGACAAATAATAGAATGACAGCACTTTTATTTCACTTTAACCCAACATCATTGGAGAGTTTAACAAGTTTGGATTTAATGTTGTACAGACACGATAGAACGGATGAAATTGTAGAATATCTAAATATGTTTCCAGTGTTAAGATCACTCTCACTCTATCTAGAACATCACGATAGAAAGAAAATATTTGATACGATTGGTCAAAATGAAACGTTGGAAAGACTAGTATATAAAAATAATAGTAATAGAGACAACATTAATATAATAGTTTCGGCATTAAATAATAGAAATCAATCATCAAAATTAAGATCAATAGCTCTTAGAATTGATAATAATATTCCACATCTTCGTAATTTTGGTAAATTGATTTTCGATCAAATCAATATTAGAAATAATAATAGTAATAATGTAAATAATAATGTAAATAATAATAATAATAATAGTAACAATGTAAATAATAATAATAATAATAATAATAATAGTACAACATTTGAAATAATAGAAAATTTAAATTCAAAGTATTTGGTTTTATGTTTGTAAATTTGGCAGGACAATCGTAATTACCGATTTGAAAAGAAGTCGATACAGTATTAGCGGGTAAAGGAGAGAAAGAGAGAGAGAGAGAGAGCAGTGATGCCGCGCTCGTGAGCTCGTTCACCTGCAATCGTGCCACATTGGTTGGTTGGACCACAATGCGACTAGTCCACATATTATATAAAAAAAAAAAGAGGCCTTTTCAATATATTCAATGTTCAATTATCATAAAATAATATTATTGCAACTAAATAGCGATACAAAATAAATCTTCTTGTACCCGAATTTATTTGATTAAAATATTGTTGATAAACTAAAACTTTTTTGTAAAATTCTGATTCGTTTTATCAGGAGATGGAGTCGCATTGAAGACTTGATTTGATAGAACATCTAGAAGATTCACTGTATCATCCAATTGAGATGGCTTTAAAATCAATAATCTAATATTTAGATATTGATTATTATTATTATGTTCAAACTCTTGATGAATATTGTCTTGATCCAATTCAAATAATTTCTTAATTTCCTTATTGTATTTTTGGGAATCCATATTAAAATTTCTAAAGTGCCTGTTGGTTTGTTCAAATTTTGATCTATTGATTTGGCAATATAAATGTGGGTGTGTTGATACCTTAACATGTGATATTACTTTGACATGGCCTAAATTGATAGAGAATTTGGTGTGATTATTCATCCAATCTAACAATTTATCATTCCTAAATCAATTTATGGTTAGGATAATTTCTATAATTAATACATGTATTGCGAGATAGTACGTACCTCTCGATTGAACCAATACCGTAACATTGTTCATTGATTGATAAGATTGCTTTTGGTTCCCTAACATTGTTTTTTATATATGAATTGACGATCGTTTGGTCAGGATCATTGTGGCGGTAGATATTATATCGATTGGAATTCCTATATTTAAGGAACAATGAGAAACTAGGCATTTCTTCTACTAATGGTTTGTTAAATGATTTACCTAAAATTAAAATCTTTAATGACAATGGAGATAATTTGATTTCACTATTAAATGATGGTCCAAATATTAATGTTTCAACACTATCGGGAATGTCTCTCCATCCAATTGGTTGATTAAACTTTCCCAATAACTTTAATTTTAAAAGTGTTGGTGGAAGTAATCCTTTGAGAGGACTGTTAAATTCACCATCCAATATTAATGTTGTTGTGCTTGATAGAATTTGTCTTCGATTGATTAAAAATGATGAAATTCTCTGTGTGTGTTGGTTGACTATTTCTCCATTCAAATCATCCAATGAAAGACGATCATGAGGTGTTGCGATTAATAGTTTCTTGACAAAATTAATTAAATCGTCAGAGTATCTATCAGTTGATATTTTAATATGATCTGCACTAAAGTTGTGTTTTTTGTGGTTTTCAATAAACTGTTTTCTATTTTTAATATCATCTGGATGGCTATAATATTAATTGGAAATTTAATTTGGGATTTATCCTGTAATAATTAAAATGACATAATTACCATGAAAGTAAATGTAATAATATAAAAGGGTTGATCCAACTGAATATATATCACTTGAGGGAAAATATTTCTTTTGTTTTGATTCCTATGACATAAACAATTGTTAAGATGCAAAATAAATAATGTACATCATATTTGGGGGTACATACAGGAGAGTAATACCCGCTTGTTCCACGGGATGCAAGTTGCCACTATATTCGCATATCGTGTTGTTTGTTCGGCAGTGTCATTGATTGCATGATCCACTGAATGATTTTGATCAACGAAATAGTGGCAACAACCAAAATCACCAAGAACTATTTGACCGTCATGTCCAATAAATAGATTGAGTGGTTTGATATCGAGATGTGCAAGATTGTGTTGAGATAGTTTTTCAAGTATTTGGAATAATCTATTAATATAGACCCATATTTCGGACTCAAGTATATATTTATACTCTGGATTTTGTTTTCCTTGTTGGGATCCATTCCTAAAAGATTTGTTTGATTAATGATCTAGAGCTTTGAACTCGTTAACGTATTGGTATAATAGTAATATATTGCAATAACATACCATTTATAGATTGATTGAAATAATTGTTCTAAATCACCACCTTCACAGAAATGTGTCAAAATATTTATCTTTTTTGAATCTATGTCATCTTGGTGATCTTTGTATTGAATAAACATATCGTCGTTGGTGAATAGTTTCATTGTTGATATTTCAAATTGTATTTTGTCGTAGATTGATTGATCTATTTCTTTCCTATTGTTTTCAATTTCATTCTGATTTTTCTTTGAGTAATCTATTTCCTTGTAAACATACTGTTGGATAAATTAGCAGGATGTATCATCATTTAATTACATTATTAATACATACCAATTCGTTTGAAGATTCGCACATTACTAAAATTACTTTGTTGGTAGAGTATGGAAAAGAGTGCAATTTGAAATATTTGTTGTTGTTGATTGAAATATAATCTCTGTGACTGATAGGATATGACATTAAATGTTTGGGGTCATAATTGATTGAGTTGGGATTTAAAGTTGTAATTAGCTGTTCCGATTGAATGTTATTGGTCAAAATATCAAATTCATCGACATGATAATCAGAATCTGGTGGAAAAGTTGTTGAAAGAATCAGAGGATATGTAGTTTTTGGAAGTTTTATGACTTCATACGATCCTACTATAAGGAAATTTCTGCTTAAACTAATTGATTGGTTGAAATCAACTAAAAGTCTTAAAGACGGTATTGAATCTCTGGATTGATTATAGGTGTCTCCAAACTCCAATGATTGTAATGATGTTGGTAATACTCCAACTGATAGTGGTTGGTTATAGAATCTACCAAACACCAATGATTGTAATGATGATGGTAATACTCCAACTGATAGTGCTTGATTATATCTATCACCAAACTCCAATGATTGTAATGATGATGGTAGTACTCCAACTGATAGCGGTTGGTTATAGTAATAACCAAACTCCAATGATTGTAATGATGTTGGTAATACTCCAACTGATAGTGGTTGGTTATAACCTCCACCAAACTTCAATGATTGTAATGTTGATGGTAATACTCCAACTGATAGAGGTTGATTATATTCATCACCAAACTCCAATGATTGTAATGACGATGGTAATACTCCAACTGATAGCAGTTGATTATATTCATCACCAAACACCAATGATTGTAACGATGATGGTAATACTCCAACTGATAGTGCTTGGTTATAGTAATAACCAAACATCAATGATTGTAATGATGATGGTAATACTCCAACTGATAGAGGTTGATCATAGTCATCACCAAACATCAATGATTGTAATGATGATGGTAAGACTCCAACTGATAGAGGTTGATTATATTCATAAATATATACCTCATTAGAAGTTTGTTGTGTGTGCTGCTTGCTCTTCGTCATTGAGTAAAATGGTCCCTGATTCGATATCAATTAAAAGGTACAATAATAATAATGAAGCACCCTCAGATATTTTTTTTGACAATTCTGCAAAGTAGTGAAAAATTCCTTAATTCATAAAAGTCTTTTTAATTTTTTTGCGAGCTGGACGCAATTGGAAGGGGGTCAAACCTCATTTCGAATAAGAGTAACATAAAAATCTCTTTAATTTTTAGTGCCAGCAATTTATTTTTAAAAAAGATCTTTGGAAGACTGACAACCACTTGAACCCTGTTACAGCAGATCGATCCAGAGCCCAATGACCATTCTACCAGCACCATGACAACTCACGGCAGCCGCTGTTACTTGAACCACTTGCCGTTGATCTCTATTATTATTTATAATTATTTTTATTATATTAAATTAATCAAATTCAGTATATTTAATACCACCAATCCAATTTCTTGCCTCATCCAATTTACTAGAGCTTGAACAATTCGTTTTGATGAGCGAGATGATATTTCTTGTGACCTTGTTCTTTTGGACGGCGACTGGTTCATCTTCCTCGTCATCCCAGAGATGGAAAATCATTTTCTTTTCAAACGATGGGATATCTCTGAGACCTTGGATATGCTTGCGGAGCTTACCTTCCTTGCGATACTGTGCCAAATTTTCAATGATGCGAGACGATGTCTGTTCGATGGCGGCAAACAAGTCGATGGCAAACTGTTGGATTCTCTGGTAACGGATTGGCAAGGGTCCCATGGCAGACAACTGAGCGACGGTATCATCGAGCTTCTTGTCCAAGATCAACATCCAAATATCCTTTTCCTGGTTGAGATTGATCGACGATGATTTTGACAGGTCAAAGTACCACTCGCACTTCATCTTGTACACGTGACCGCTATCAAAACGTAAAATGTATCCTTCGATATCTTTCATTGCTTGCACGGCTGCCAACAACTCTGCCGTATTCTTGCAGTTTTTTAAAGAGGGGTGAGCGCTTTGTTCGAGTTTTCCAGTGTATGGCACAGAGAATTCAGCGGCCGATTTCACCATATCATCGTATGGAATGTATTCACCTGTCTTGATGTTTCTAATGGCGGTCAAAGCCAACAAGTCGGCGGCATAGTACAACACGATTCTCTGCGACTCTGAGCACCACTCAAACATTGGTGTGTATCCCTGCTTCAACCAATGTGCGGCAAACTCGTCGTACCTGATGCTCCCAGTCTTGGTAGCAATATATTTTTCAACCTTGACCGACAACTCTGTGGCACCAGCCTTTGATCCCCACGACACTGTATCCTTCAAGTAGATAGGTGCGATCAAACTACCGTCCAACTTTTCCATAATCACGTGTGGCTGTGTTATATCAATCTTATCTTGATGTGTCTCTTCCATCTCATTGATATTAAAAAACTTGTGAAACTTTCTACACAACAGTCTTCCAGTTGTCTCTTCAAACAATATACCTCTACATTCTCTTCTAACCTTTAAAAGGAATTTTGTCTTTTCATCTGTTGAATATGATGGAAACCTAAATGATAAATAAACAATAATTGTGTGAATAATTGTGTGAGTGTGTGTTGTAGTACAGAGTGTGTATCTTTCTTTAATTTTGACATACGAATTTCTAGTAGCATAATCATAATTGAAACAAATGATACCTTGTTTATTTGTTTCTCTGAACCCTGGTACATTGGCAGTTGCTTCTCTGCAATCTTGAATTGTAATATCCCATGGGAATAATGTTGAATTTCTTTGTTTATAATCCATTCTCTCTCTATCTCTATATATATATTTATATATAAATCTCTATAATACAAGCTTGTAAACTATACAACAACTGTACAAATACAATAACTACAATCGATTGTATATGTAAATAAATAAATAATGATGATACAAAAATCAAAATCTATCGTCTTTTATGCTACCACGATCGAAAAGAGATCAAGAGAAATCGAGAAGAAATTTCAAAACAAAGAAAAAAAATATAATACTGGTATTTTAAATTTGAGAAACAAAAAGAATATTATTAACAATATTATAATTATTTGTTCTATATTCTTGTATATTTAAGAAACATATAACACAGTGTCCACGGATAGCTGCGAACATTACACCCAAAACAATGAGCCAAACGTTTGTTTTTTTTGAACAAGCTCGCTATTAAAATTAATTTATTAATTATTATTTATTATTATTATTTAATACTGGAATAATCATAATTATAATTATTTCTTTTGAGTAATCCTTTTTTAATAATAACTGCAATAATGATGATAATGGCAACTATAGCAATTGGAACTATAATAATTGCACTTTTCTCACCATTTGTTAAACCATTTGTTGTTGGATTGTTAGATGTATTATTGTCACATTGTTGATCTGGTGAACTATCATTTCCGAAAGAACTGCAATCAGATTCGCAATGGACAGGTAAAGATGTCTTGTCTGATGCAAGATCAACGTTGTTTGAAAATGTGTTGTTGTCAATATTGATGATAGAGTAACCAATACATTCTATAATACCTCCATATTCAGCTGCTTGGTTGCTAGTAAATGTAGAGTTGTTGACAGAGATGGTTGATTCGTTGGAATAGATTGCACCACCATTGGCACCTGAATAGTTGTTTTGAAATGTTGAATACTGTATATCAGACTGTGAATTACTATTATATATACCGGCACCGTTACCAGTGGCACTGTTACCCTTTACAGTTACACCATTGAGGTATAGGTACGAGTCAAACAGCGTGATGGCACCACCAATCGAGTCCGCTGAATTGCCAATCATGTCAGACTGGTAGATACGAATAGTGCAGTCTTGAGAGGCATAGACTTGACCATAGTAACCTGCATTGTTGATGAATTTACTATTGTAGATTCTAACGATCGAGTAGACACACATCAGCGCAGTACTATTGTAATTACCGGTAAAAGAGGTCGTTTGAATGGTCATGCTTTGGAGACCGAGTATCAATGCACCACTGGCCACTGTATTATTGGTGAATACACAATTGACCATTGTATTAAACAATTCCATGTCATTGTTGTATAGCATCAAGATACCTCCAGTTGACCGTGTTTCGGTGGTCGTTACTACATTGTCAGAGAATCGGTTAGTGTCGTAAACACCAACACCTCCCTTTTGGTAGATAACAAATCGACTTGTACATCCTTGAAATGTAGTTTGATTGACTTGAATACTCATCTTGGGAGCATAAACAATAGTACTATTGGCTTGGACCGAGTTAAACGTACACCCGAAAATGACGAGTTGTGAGTTTGGTGTGGCAGACTGCACCCAAATGACACCCTTTGAAGAGGTCAACTTGGTGAATTCACAGTAATTGACAGTTAATGCGACATTGGCCGATGCATCAGGTGTGTAGAATATTCCACCCGGTTGATTGATTGAAACTTGAAGGTTTCGGAATACGATGCCAGTCAATGTGACGTTGGTCTGGTTGTATGTGTTGACAGCGTTTGGTGGGACTACAACTTGAATAAAGTAGAATGGTACCTGTACGACGTTACCAAAGTCAATGATGACTTGATTGTTGTCAAGAGACGATGATTGGATGGTCAACGATTGATTGAATATTGCAAAGTTTGCATTTCTTTCAGCTTGGTATACACCACCCTCCATTTCAATCGTCAACAAAGTACTATTGTTGCTAGTAGTAGCATAAAAGTAATCAAATGCACTTTGAATATCACGACAAGCCAAAGCTATCGTAGCACCACAAGTAGCATTTGTATTGGTACTATTAACATTGACATAGAGTGTTAAAGCTGTAGCTGTAGCTGTAGTTGTATGAATTTGTAGCATGATCATCATCATCACTAAACTACTGATGATGAAGATTGTACTAGTACTAATCCATTTCATCTTGATTTATCTCTTTATAAAGTATCTATCTATCTATTTATATATTTATATATATATATACAATGAGGACTATGATTGAATGACGATACACGTCATCCTTTAAGTGATCAAAGTCATGATGTTGATGATTCTTTGGTTGGTATCAAATATGTTGTTGTTATAATTTGAGAAACGTTGGATGACTTGACCTACCAAAACTGATCAGCTGTCTAGACAAACAAAGAGTACTTGAAAATTAGGTCAATTTTTATTTATTTTTTATTTTTATTTTTATTAATTCCCACCTTTAATAAAGGTGTTTTTGTTTTTTGTATTTTTCATTATAGTGATTATAATATTCATAAATTATTTATTTGTATAAACTTATTATCTCTTTTTTAAAAAAAAAAAAAAAAAATAAGTTTAAACTTACTGTGGCCACCACAACACTAGTAGCACCAGGTGCAACTATCCATCCACTTTCAATCATCCTTTAAAAGGAGAGATAAATCCCCCCAATGTATCATAGAGCCAAAACACCTTACGGATAAAGTACATTCGAACCGTTGCACGCGGTTTGGGCATGGACCTAAAAAAATATCTGACGTTCAATTTCCGCTGTTATTGGTTTATACTTTGTAAATTTCATTGTTTCATATTGATTATCTGAATTTGTCTGTAATTTTCCACATTACATTGTTTTTGATTGGATAAAATGTACATGGATCCACATGTTTCACCAATTCCTTTATGATTGAGTTCTTGGAATGTTTTAAATTATCAACTAGGCCATTGTCCATGGAAACATATAAATACCATGTCCATGGAAAGTTGATTATTTCATTCAATTCAATTTAAATTCTCTAATCAACCAAATCTTAATCAATAAGTAAGTAATAATAACAATAATAATAATACCTTAATGATCATTGGAACTGGAAATACTAATTTAAACATTTTTATCCCCTTTTTTCTAATATTTCTAGAATGGACTCTAAATTCTTAATCTTCATTGTTCTCTTCCTTTTCGCTCTTCTCGGTATGCTACAACTCACAATGGCTGCTCCATGTTGCTCTGCTTGTGATGTAGATGACGAAGCTTGCAATGACAGATGTACCCCAACTTGTTAGGATAGGAATTTTTAATCATTCCAACTATCCCTTTAAATCAATTTAAATTATAATCAATTCGAATTGATTCATATTGTATAAATGATTTTTTAAAAAAAAAGAAATAATAATAAAAATAAAAAATGATAATTTATTTGTTTTTTAAAAAACTCCCACTTTTTGAACTTGGGAAGATCACTTCATTAACATCTTTGCATAACCAACAATTAATTAATTATTATTAATACATTAAGATGACTATAATCACCATCATCATTAGAGGAGTATGATGGAGGAGGAGGAGATACGAAACAAACTATTATTATTATAATTCAATACTAAAACATAGATAAATAGATAATAACAACACAACATAGATTGTATAACAACAACAACAACATAGCTATAACTCAATGCATACATGGTTGGAAGAATAGATTAAAAAATGGTGAGTGATTGATCTATCTATGCGATCTATTGACAAGAGTGAGTGAGTGTCGAAAAATTAAAGAAACCCCTTCTCCACAACACATAATCCAAAACACACAACTCAACACAATTGATTTACTCATATCGATTTTATTGTAGTAGTCAATATGGTAATACAATACTTTTTTTTTTTTTTTAAAAGCAAGCTATATACGCACAGTAGATTTAGCAATGATAGTCTCCGATATACGCGATGAATGAATCAAAAGAGGAGGAGGGGGTGGATTCGGTCGTCACACACGTATTACACCACTAGAACGATTAGTTAAAAATAATTAATTTGGAAATGCTCGATGACAGAATCCAGATGCTCCTTCCCTATCATTGCTACTGCAGTATATGTCATCCTATAACACGTCTCTCTGTTTGGCTGTGGTGTGGGTGAGTGGGGTGGGTCGTCTCGACAGTATAGAGCTTCATTTGCAATTGCATTCATTCCTTTATTATTTATTATTATTCACTTTAAAAATATATAATTCATCAACACCAACATTTAATTTATACAATTAACTCTATAATATTATCGATATAATAATAATCATAATATTATAAAAAAAAAAAAGAAAAAAGAAACCAGTTTATTTATTTATTTATTTATTTACAAAGCAAGTGGTTTAATTAATTAACCATTAGAAGAAAAAAAGGTAAAACTATTTAAATATAAATATAAATAATAATAATAAATACAGGACAGGAAACTAAACTATGGAACAAAAATAATAATAATAATAATAATAATAATAATAATAATAATAATAATAATAATAATAGATAATGTACCAAAAAAAAAAATAGATAGACTTGTACAAATTAAAAGAAATAATATAATATAATAATATAGATTGTGTTTGTTTGTTTGTTTTTGTCGTTGTTATATAGCAATATACATTCATCATATCAATATATATATGTGCACAGATATTTCCAACATTCCACATTTTTGAAATTCAATTTCAATTTGATAATTTTTTAAAATTATCTTTTATTTTAAGGAATAAGTAGATTAGTAAATAGTATACAAATATTTATATATATAACGACATCAAAAACAAAACAACCAAAATAATAATAATATTTATATAAATCAAAAAAAAAAATCCAAAAATATATTAATTTATTTATTAATTTAATTTTTATTTTTATAGAATGAGATCAAAAACTACCAAAATGGAAGGTAAGGGTCGGAAATTAGGAACCACTGATGAAAATTATGTATCATCGGGTAAAAAGACATCACTCAAGGACAAGGTATTCCACCACGACGACGCATCGTACGGATCGTCATCCAAGGGTTCACGTCGTACCTCGGTCGATTACAGATCGGACCAGGAGAAGAGTTTGCATCAACGTGCCGTCGACGACCATGTCTATGACGGCGACTTTGATGAATTCAACAGAAAGGCCAAGGCCAGCAGCTCAAAGGGAAAGGGCAAGGACAACCTCCGTGTCAACGACGACTATGCCTCTGGAAGCCGTGTCAATGAGAGTCACATCAAGGACCCACGTGCCGCCAAGTACCACGACGAGTTTGGACGTACCCAAGTGCGTGGTGCATTTGATGCACCCATCTTGGACCGTGCTGGAAACCCCATCAACGCCGCCACCACCAATGTCCCCGTCATTGTCCAAATGAAGCGTCACTTCAACTCGTTGGAGCGTCTTATGGAGACACGTATCTTCCGTGAGCGTACCGACGACCGTACCAAAAAGATTATCTACGACGTGCGTAATATCTTTGCCGACGCTATCCTCATCACCGAGACACGTGGCACCGACAAGCAGGTCATGGATATCGCCAAGAACCTCATGTCGTTTGGCACGGACCTCGGCAACGACGCCGAGCTCAAGACCATGATGACCGACTGGCGCCAGACCTTTGTCAAGCTCGCCACCGGCGACCAGAGCAAGGGCATGTTGTCGACCGGTGGTCGTCTCTTTAGCGACCTGCGTTCGTCCGACTCGATCATCCGTCTCTTGGGTGAGGGTGCCAAGTTCCTCCACATGCTCGTCCTCGACAGTAAGAACCCATGTCTCGCCGAGCAACGTGAGATTGTGTTTGAACTCTTTTTCAAGTCGTTTGGCACACTCTCCCAGAGCCAAGCATGGCACGATCTCCTCAGCGGCGGTCGCTCGTTCACCCAGGACATTGGCAAGCAAGCCGAGCTCCAGTCCAAGATCGCTGCCCCCAAGTTTAAGGCCATCTCGGGCAACCAGAACCTCAACTCGCTCGGTGACAACATCAAGATCTTCTTGCAGTCGCTCATCCGTGACAAGTCGGTCGCCGATGTCGACAAGGTCGTCATGTACGGCCAAGACTCGATGGCCACCATCCGTGCCAACCCCCAATACACCCAGTTCTTTAACGACCTCCAACAAACCTCGATGGAGATCATGGAGCGTCCCGAACTCATGGACGACCCCGCCACCCGTAAGGTTCTCCGTGACATGTATGCTCGTGCCGAAGTCATCATCACCGAGACTCGCAACACCCCAGCTCTCCAAAAGTTTGCCTCTGAGAGCACCCTCCTCAAGGACGGTATCATGACCGACGAGCTCAACAGTCGTTTCTTCCAACACTGCAAGCAACTCTACCTCGATCTCCACCCCGTCCCAGGTCGTTCTGCCATCGACCTCAAGTTGATGGGCGATCTCAAGATGCTCTTTGTTCCATTCCTCCTCGAAGAGTTTAGAACCATCTCTATCCCCTCTCAATCGGGTGTCTATGCTCCAAAGGATGTTGCCTATCGTATCGGAAACATCAACCTCTCTTCCGTCGAACTTCTCCCCGAAAACATCCATTTCGAAATTGCCCACAAAGCAAACACTGACCCGTACACTCTTTCCGTTCATGATCCAGATACTATTGTTTGGATTGAATTGTATGTAATTTAAAATATATATATATTTATTTATAATTCATATTTATTAACATTTATTTATTCTATTTATTTTTTATTTAGTACTGCAATTCGTGCAAGAATTGAACAATTACATTGGGCTTATGAGAAACGTTCAGGATTCCCAAAGTTGAGAGACAGTGGTTTGGCCGATGTCTTTGTCGATGGTAGAGGTATGCGTGTTGGTGCCGAGGTACGTCTTATTCGTAGCGGAGGCCAAAGAGTGACCCAGGTATTGGACGCCTACTGTCACATTGACAGAATCCGTTTGAACTTGTCGCGTTGCAAGCACAGAATCCTCTACAAGATCATCTACAAGTTGTTCTACAAGCGTATCAAGAGCGGTATTGAAAAGGCTGTTGCTGAAAAGTTGGCTCAAACCATTGCCGAGACTGACTACAAGATGGTTGCCAAGTTCAACAATGCCAAGCAAGACTCTGCTCGTAAGAAGGCTCTTCTCAACCAACGTGTTGCCGCCTGGAAATCAAAGAGCAAGGAAAAGGCCAACAAGAAGAAGGCTGGTAATGCTGGAGACCAATTCATGGCCAATCTCACCGGTAAGAAGGTCAACAACACTTACCCAACCGTTGCTCCTGCCCTTGACCGTGATGTCCACCCAATCCCAAACAATGAGATCCTCCACACCACCCAAATGGCTCCAGTCACCCAAATGGCCACTCAAACCACCATGTTGGAAAAGACTATCCCCGCCCAAGTCATAACCACCACAAAGGTTGAGGAAAAGATCTTTATGGAACCTGATCATCCCAACTATGTCGGTCCATCTTCCAATTAAACAAAAAAATTAAATCAAATCAAAAAAAATATATATATATTCCAACAATAAAACAAATTTTTTAAATTATTCCAACAACATTTAGAGTTAGAATATGGAACTGGCTTACTTTGATTATGTCCTTTAATTTTTATTACACTTCTAGTTTTGTTCAATTTGGTGTGAAAATCAAATCCCATCCATAATTGAACATCCATTTCAAGTTTGATAGTGTAGATGGTTTGATGTAAATCAATCTAATATTTAGATATTGATGATTATGTTCAAACTCTTGATGGATATTGTCTTCATCCAATTCAAATAATTTCTTCATTCCCTTGACAGGAAATTCCGATTCTGGTTGGCAGTCTCCAAACTGTGGGTTGATTTCTTCGAATTTGAGTTTGTCGATTTGACAAAATAAATGTGGATGTGTTGATGCGCGAACATGCGATATTACTTTGACATCTTCTAGATTGATAGATAATTTGGTATCAGCAAACTTCCACACCAGCATATTATTATTCCTATTGAAAAAAAAATAGTTAGAATAATCGTTTCAGTTGCATTAATCAGATTTACATACCTCTCGACTTCACCAACTCCATAACATTTGTCACCAATTGTCAACATTAAATTTGACTCCCTAACGTTGGTTTTTATAAATGAACTGATGGTTACCTGATCAGAATCATTGCAGCGGTAGATATTGACACTCTTCATTTGATCTGGTGTCCAATCCTTAAATACTTTTGGTATTAGCCAAATGTTATGGAGTTGGTGGCTAATAAAATGGCCATATTTGCTAAATTCTCTGTCTCTGGTTATGTGGATGGTGGGAGCTAATTGAGGTATAGGCAATGTTCTGTTGAATGATTTACCAAGTACCAAAATTTTTAATGTCATTGGAAATGATTTAATTTCACTATTAAATGATGATCCAAATATTAATGTTTCAACACTATCAGGAATGTCACTCCATCCAATTGGTTGGTCAAATTTTCCCAATAATGATAATTTTAAAAGTTTTTTTGGAGGTAATCCTTTGAGAAGACTGTTAAACTCACCATCCAATATTAATGTTGTTGTGTTTGATAGAATTTGTTGTTGATTGATGAAAAATGATGTGATTCTCTGTGTGTGTTCATTGATTATTTGTCCTTTCAAATCATCCAATGAAAGACGATCTTGAGGTGTTGCGGTTAATAGATTCTTGACAAAATTAATTAAATTTGGAGAGTATCTATCTGTTGATATTTTAATATGATCGGCATCAAAGCTGTTATTTTTGTGGTTCTTGATAAATTCTCTCCTTTTCTCGATATCATCTGGATGACTATAAACAGTTAGTTCACTATCCAATTTTTAAGTTGAAGAATATATAATTACCATGAAAGTAAATGGAAAAGGGTTGATCCAACTGAATATATATCATTTGAAGCGTAATAAATCTTTTGTTTTGATTCCTATTTAACGAATAATGGTTAGTTGTCTGAAATATTATTAAAGGATGAAAACATACAGGCGAGTAATATCCATGTGTTCCACGAGAAGCAAGTGTTGCAGCTATCATACTTATGTATTGTGCTGTTTGGTCGACAGTACCGCTATTATCTTGATTTTCTGAGGTGGGATTTAAAGTCGGGGGGTGTGGAGCTGATTGATTTTGTTTGTTGAAATAGTGACAGCAACCAAAATCGCCAAGGACTATTTGACCGTCATGTCCAATAAATAGATTGAGTGGTTTGATATCAAGGTGTGCAAGATTGTGAAGAGATAGTTTTTCAAGTATTTGAAATAATCTTTGAATATGTCGCCATATATCTGATTCGGAAATATATTTATATTCTGTATATGGCTTATATTCTTTTTTTGATTCATTCCTAATTTTTTTGTGAATATTCTCGTTAAAGTATTGGTATAATAGTAATATATTGGAATATCATACCATTTATAGATTGATTGAAATAATTGTTCTAAATCACCACCTTCACAGAAATGGGTTAAAAGGTATATCTTTTTTGAATGAGTATCATCTTGGTGATCTTTGTATTGAACAAACATATCGTCACCGATGAATAGCTTCATTGTCGTGATTTCAAATTGTACTTGATCATAGATCTTTGGATTATTAGAGTAATCTATTTCTTTGTAAACATACTAAATAAATTCATTAGTTGGCGATCGTATTGAATGTTTGGAGATTTAGCTTACCAATTCACTTGAGGATTCGCACATCACCAAAATTACTTGGTTGGCAGAGTATGGGAAAGTGTGCAATTTGAAATATTTCTTGTTGTTGACTGAAATAAAATTGGTGATAGGATATGCTTGTACACCTTTAGAATCGATGAAATCTGTGATGGGATATGCATATATTTGGGTGGAGTCAAAGCTAATACAGTTGGGATTTGAGTTGAAAGTTATTTGCTGATTATTGTTGTTTAATATCGCAATGGGTTGTTTTGAAGGAGATGTTGCTGAAAGTATTAGATGGACTGCCTTACTAAGTTTTATGAGCCCATATGATCCCAATTTAATGAAGTTTCTGACTACACTAATTGATTGGTTGAAATCAACAAACAATCTTAAGGGATTTGATCCCAAATCGGCACAAAATATCAATGATTGTAGTGATGTTGGTAATACTCCAACTAGTAGTGGTTGATTATATTCACCACGAAACTTCAATGTATGTAATGATGTTGGTAATACTCCAACTGATATTGCTTGATTATATCTATTACCAAACACCAATGATTGTAATGATGATGGTAATACTCCAACTGATAGAGGTTGATTATATTCAATACCAAACACCAATGATTGTAATGATGATGGTAATACTCCAACTGATAGAGGTTGATTATAGTAATCACCAAACTTCAATGATTGTAATGATGATGGTAATACTCCAACTGATAGAGGTTGATTATATCTAATACCAAACACCAATGATTGTAATGATGATGGTAATACTCCAACTGATAGAGGTTGATTATATTCAATACCAAACACCAATGATTGTAATGATGATGGTAATACTCCAACTGATAGAGGTTGATTATAGTAATCACCAAACTTCAATGATTGTAATGATGATGGTAATACTCCAACTGATAGAGGTTGATTATAGTAATCACCAAACCTCAATGATTGTAATGATGATGGTAATACTCCAACTGATAGAGGTTGATTATATCTAATACCAAACACCAATGATTGTAATGATGTTGGTAATACTCCAACTGGTAGTGGTTGATTATAGTAATCACCAAACCTCAATGATTGTAATGATGATGGTAATACTCCAACTGATAGAGGTTGATTATAGTAATCACCAAACCTCAATGATTGTAATGATGATGGTAATACTCCAACTGATAGAGGTTGATCATAGTCATCACCAAACACCAATGATTGTAATGATGATGGTAATACTCCGACTGATAGTGGTTGATTATAGTTCCAACCAAACACCAATGATTGTAATGATGATGGTAATACTCCAACTGATAGAGGTTGATTATATCTAATACTCCAATCTTTACCAAACACCAATGATTGTAATGATGTTGGTAATACTCCAACTGGTAGTGGTTGATTATATTCACCACGAAACTTCAATGATTGTAATGATGTTGGTAATACTCCAACTGATAGAGGTTGATTATATTCAATACTAAACACCAATGATTGTAATGATGTTGGTAATACTCCAACTGATAGTGGTTGATTATAGTTCCAACCAAACACCAATGATTGTAATGATGTTGGTAATACTCCAACTGATAGTGCTTGATTATATTCATATCCAAACACCAATGATTGTAATGATGTTGGTAATACTCCAACTGATAGAGGTTGATTATATTCAATACCAAACACCAATGATTGTAATGATGGTAATACTCCAGCTGGTAGAGGTAGATTATAGTACCAACCAAATGTCAATGATTGTAATGATGCTGGTAATACTCCAACTGGTAGTGGTTGATTATAGTTGGCACCAAACACCAATGATTGTAATGATGATGGTAATACTCCAACTGATAGTGCTTGATTATAGTCTCTACCAAACTTTCAATGATTGTAATGATGATGGTAATACTCCAGCTGACAGGCGTTGATCATACATATCACCAAACTCCAATGATTGTAATGATGATGGTAATACTCCAACTGATAGAGGTTGATTATAGTAATAACCAAACACCAATGATTGTAATGATGATGGTAATACACCAACTGATAGAGGTTGATTATAGTCATCATCAAGCTTCAATGATTGTAATGAAGACAGATCAGGGGATGTTGATTGATGATTGTCTTTAAGGGAGGTTTGTTGTATGTGTGCACTCTCCTCCATAATACAGAAACAACTCTTTTGCTCTATCGATTAATATCTTTGATGAGTCGACTCTCTATCTCTTGTTCTCTTTTAAATATATATATGTATTTGAAGTGCACTTCACTTAACATAAAAACATCAAATACTTAGTTTATTGTTTAATTTTTTGGAATACACGCTCAAGCTTCATTTTTTGTATTGGGACCCGACCCACTATACTACTATCCTATCTAACCATGTTGCTCTCATCTGTGTTTCGACACCATATTTCTTCTCTTCTATGAGGTTGTCGTCAACCCTCAAGAAAAACAGAACTCAAGTCATATCACAAATATCAGGTGGTGACGTTTTGAGATAAAAATATTGGTGCATATCAACACAAGACTATACACGCACGCCACTCTCACCATTGCAAGAGTCGTACAAATAAACAAATAAAGACAAGAAAAGAATGAAAGGTTAGGTTATGCTGAGATAGATTCTAATAACTATTCTTTTTCACAACACCACTTTGTTTTACCACCACTCTAAAAAAAAGTCTCAAGGTTTGAAAGGGTTATCAGCTGCTAAAAAAAAAATCAAAAATAAATAAATAGTTTGAAAAAGGTGTAGGCTGAGCGTAGGGTCGCACAATATAAACGCAGTTATATTAATAATAATTTTATTTTAATCGCACCCTTACTTCTTCGTCATTCATAATACTTTGTGTTTTTTTCATTTATTTTAATATTTTATTTTATTTATTATTCTAAAACCCAAAAGTGTATAAACCCAACTCTTCTCCCTCTCTCAATCACTAAAATATTTATTATTATTATTTCAATACATTTCATACAGATAAGATTAATATATAACATATTATAGTAAACATACTTATCACCAATCAATCAATCAATCAATCAATTACAATTTACAACCTTTTTTTTATAACTATACTTTAATCAATAACACAGATCATACAACAACATGGGTCATCGCGCAAAATTAGCAGGTAGTCTCTTCTTGACTTTATTAGCCATCGGGTGTATTGCAGTAGCCTATTCATTCCCATGGTATCGAGTAGTCCTCGAGCCTACAACAGACGATGACATCAATACATATTACTATTGGACAAAATACAGATTAACAAACTCTGTAAGTATAATATAATCAATCAACCATCCAATAACTCGAAACACATATTATTCTTCAGAGAGGGAGGAGTAGAGTTCGGTTAAATGAAAAAAATGATGCATTCAATGAAAAACATCTAAAAATAAATAAGGTCATGTCTCTAATCACTTTTTTTTTTTTTTTTTTTTTCCTCCATTTCTATTTAGGACAATGAACAAATATCAGAAGACGATTATGACGACAATAACAAGAATGTAAAACAAGTATTTACAGTATCACTTTCATTCTTGACAGCTGCAGCCTTTGCAGCTTTGGGTACTGCCATCTTCCAGATCATTGGAATCATTAGCAAGAGTAGATTCATCCGTATCTTGTCGGGTATCGGAGGTCTTGCCATTGCCATCTTGGCAGCTATCGCCTTTTTCACATTCTTTGGAATCACTAAAGGCTTTGACAAGGATAACTCTTGTCTCTTGATACCATTCAAAGACGATTACTGTACCAGTTTTATGGCATCATCTGAAAACATCATGAAATCAACCCTTACATTCGGACCCTACATCGGGTGGTGGGTTACGATCGGAAGCATATGTTTTGGTTTATTGTCTGGTATAACCAGTTTCCTTGCATAATTAACAAACTAGTAATAATAATAAAATTGCCAACCTCATTTGTATATTTCAAAACCCATGAAATAATATTATTTATTTATTTATCAAATGAAGTTGATCTATTTGAAGATGAAGTAGAAGTATTGTTGTTGTTATTGTTGTTCATTTTGTTACCATGAAAAGAACGTTCAAGTTCACCCAATTGTGAGATGATTGATAAATTTGACATGATTGCATTGTCACCTGACATTTCGTCGTCTTGGTCATCATCATCATCATTTGTTGCGATTGATGATCTTTTACTTTCATCAACCTTTTTTTGTTGTTGTTGTTGATAACTATTATTATTATTATTATTGCCAAGTTCTGATAAATTAAGTTCTTCTTCTTCTTGTTGTTGTTGCATATCATAATCATCGTCTGATTGATAAGATTCATCACCTTGTTCCTTTTTAACTATAATCTTGCTAAAATCGATATCATCGATATTGGAATTAGAAGGATCATTATGATAGGCAAGAGATGAAGGTGACGGACGGTAAACCTTATCCTCATCATCATCCTCTTCTTCATCACTTGAAATAATAATTATATCCTCTTCACGAATCGTTGTCTTTGGTTTACTAAAACTATTACTGTTACTACTATAATAATCATTATTATTATTATTATTATTTGATCTTAACTTGTCTTTGAGATGGAATATTTCATCATATTGTTCAGCGATTCTAGTATGATAGGTTTCAAGTTGATCAACCATTTGGTCATAATCAACCTTTAATTCCTTGTATTTCTCTGCCCATCCACTTTCTTGTTGACGGAGTTGTTGGTGTTGAGAAACTGCTTTTTCAATTTCACCTTTGAGTAGTGAAATATTTCTTTCATACTCTACTTTGATAGAATCAACCAATTTATGTTGTTTTGTTTCAAATTCCTCTGACATTGTTGATTTCAAATTTAATATTTCCATTTCTCTCTCTTTTTGAGTATCCAATGCTTCTTGTTCCTTTTTCTGTATAGTTTCACTAATTGTCGACAATCTTGATGACAAATCAATTGTTTCTTGTTGATATTGACTTGATATATTAATAATATTTTCATTTTGTTCTTTAATTTCTTGTTTCTAATATAAAATAAAATAAAATAATTAAATTAATATTTCTTTTTGATTTTGTTAGTTTCGATTGTTTCAGATTTACATACCAAAGATTTAATAGTTTGATCATTTTCATTTTGAATGGTTACCAATTTATCCAATTGTTCTTGTTTTTCATTTAATATTAATTGAACTTCTTTGGAATTTATAATTTCTTGAATGTCTAAAATACCATTATTATTATTATTATTTTTACCATCATCTTCCAAAGATGAGGTATTTTGATTTTGATTTAATGTTTCAATTTCATTCATTAATACTTCTTTTTCTTCTAATAATTCATTATTTGTATTTTCAAACTATAAAATAAATCAAAATAAAATAAAATATTAATTAATATATATATAGTCTTTTTGTTGATTGATTTAATTAATTTTTTTCTTACTTGTTGAATAATTTGATCTTTGTTTTCCAATTCATCTTGATAAACTTGTAATTGAGTTTTTGACATTTCCAATTGATTTTGTAATTGTTCAATCATTGTATTCTTTTCCAATATGATAGATTCTTGTTCTTCTTTTGGAAGATTAAATTTAATTGGTCCTTTTTCCTCTATTTCTTGTTCTTTCATTTCTTCAACTTCACCGTCTTGTTTAATTTGACTACGAAGTGGAGTTGAAATAAATACTTCAGACATTCTTTGATTTGAAAGTTTAGTTGATTCCAAATCAATTTTTAATTGATTAACTTGTTCATTCTTTTCAAACAATTCTGAAATCAATTTAATTCTTTCACTACTCAATTCGTTGTTATTATTTTCCAACTTTTCAATATTCACTGTCAATTCTTTAATCAATTCATTTGATTCTTGATTATTATCTGAATTATCTTTGTTGTATTGTTCAATTTGAAGTGTATGTGCATTTTTAAGTATCTAAAAAACAAAAATAAACAAAAGTTAATAAATATTCAATTCTATTATTATTATCTATTTTTTTCTCATACTCTAACAAAATTATCATTACTTGAATTAATCTTTTCAATTTCTTTTTCATGAGTTGTATGAAGATTATGAAGTGATTGTTCCGATTCATCATGCATTGCTTTGATCGTTTCATATTCTGAAAAGAGACGAATATTTTTTTGATGTAATGATTGATATTGTTGTTCAATTTCCTTCTTTTCCTTTTCCCATTGTAATTGATAATTGTCTAATAGTTCTTTGTACTTTTGTCTTTCTACCAATGGAGTAGATGGTGTAGATGGTATTTGTTTGATTGGTGTCTTGTTTGGTTGTTGTGGTTGAGATTGAGGATGTTTAGAGATTGTTTCCAATTGTTGATAAAGCTCTGATTTTTCACCATACAATATTCTAACTTCTTGTTGTAGGTCATGAATTTGTTGTTTGAGAGCTGCCAATTGTTCATCTGGATTTTCTCTCTCTTTGATGATTTCTTTGAGTTCAACATTCTCAATTGCAATTTTTGTAATGTCTGGATGAAATGCAACCTGTTTCTTTAACTCTGCAATCTCTTCTTTAAGATCCTCTTCATAGGTTGTCAACGATGATTTACCAGAGAGACGTGTAATAGTCTCTTCACGCAACTTTAATACGAAACGAGTTGATTGCAAGAAATGATCTTTCTTTTCAATGAGCAGTTTGTAATGTCTCAACCTATTAAACAGCATATCACGCTCTTCTTTGAATTTGTTGGCTCGGTCGATGGCGGTAGAGTGGAGTACTTGCAAATCATAGTTACGCAGTGCAAAAGAGTGTGCGGCAGGATCGACCATTTGCAACATTGGATAGCCAGGCAGTACGTCGATGGGAGCAGTGGCAGCAGCTGCCACACCATTTTGTTGCATTCTATAAATCTCTTCTTTTAATCGTTTGTTTTCCATTTGCAACAGAGTCACATTGCCAGACGCCTCTTCATTGACAATAGCAATATTTCTAACATGTTTGGCACGTTGTGCAAATTGCAATGTTGACAACGTCTCGCTGTGATACATGTCGCTGGGAGACACTGTCGCAATGATATACGTCTTACTGTTACCACCCAACGAATCCTTTAGCAAAAAGGTCAATTTGCTGTCTCTGTATTGCACATGTCTCGGCTTGCCATTAGCAATCTCCACCAACGATCGAATCACATTCCCCAGTACCGACAATGACTTGTTGATACTACCAGCCTCTTTTAATCTAGTTCCAGCTGCCTCTGTACATTTTTGTCTTTCCGACCCTGCCAAATCAATCAACCTTAATTTTGAGTACCTTGTCTTTGTTAATCCATCTTCTGTCTTTGTCTAAATAAATAAATAAATACAATATTGTAATATTAATATTAATATTAATATTACATTCATTAAATATTATTACTATTATATTTCTTATCTTACAGTTGATTCTAAATTAAGAGTTAGAACGGAATGAGATCTAGATGAACTTGAATTCATAGCAGTTGCAGCAACATGACGATTATTTGTACCGATTCGAAGTAGTTCCATTGCAGACTCTGGTGAGTTGATTTCAACCTCTTTCAAACCTTCGACATAGACACCAATTTTAATGTCTTCACGAATACTAAGATTGGTTTGAGTGTGGTCGAGTAGATCAATGATATTCTCATTATACAATTCTAAAAATGATAGAGTACATTTGTAACTATCGATATGATGATCATTCAAATGATCAAACAAGTATTGGAATGTACGAGGAATCAAACCACGCAAATCAGATGTCAACACACCTCCACTTTCCTCTGCTCCAACTATAGTATATGATTTACCACTACCAGTTTGTCCTACAAGTAAGTAAATATGGTTAGTTGTATATATTCTATTTATCTAATTTAATTTTCTAGATTGTCATACCATATGCAAATATACAACCATTGTAACCATCGATATGAGCGTCAATGATTGGTCTGGCAATCTGATCGAATATCTGTTCCTGTGAAGTTGATTCATCGGCTACATAGTCAAATGTGAATAGTTTGGGATCAGGTTTAGACTGTAACAACACTGCATTCTGACCTTGCAGTGAAGTCAAACAATTCTTCTTGTTCACTTCTCCACCTAGACATGCTCTAGTTCTGACACACACCTTTACATTATCATTTAATGAATCGGTTGTCATTTCATTTATAACTAGTTGTCCTTCTATCTATCTATCTTCTATCTATCTATCTTTATAAATATACTTTTCAATGCAAAAGACATGCACTTTGCAAAAAAGAAAAAGAGCGCCAAATTCAAAGGATTCAAAAATAACAATAGTTGGTATATATATGTTTATTTAATTTTGATTTTAATTTGTACATGTTTTTTATTATTATTATTATTTATCATCATCTTCAATTTCATCTTCAATTTCATTATCATTATCATTGTCAAATTCCGATCTAAATCTAAAAGATGGATGTTGATTATAAGGTAATTTAGTTTTTTCAAGGATTGATTGAATGACCCAATCTGTCGTGACAACCGGAATCTTCATGGCATTTGTATATTTTAATAGGACACTTGAAATCTTTTTACCATCTGTCAATACTATATCAACACGATCATTTACACTAATAATTCTTTTTACAACCTTGGCACCGAGTGATTTCAACAGTGTAGTCCATTCCTCCAAAAATACAGATTCTGCAAATATTTCAATTCTTGTATTTGATAAAATTGCATTTGATCCATGTTTTCTAAAAATAAATAAATAGAGAAAAATTAATAAATATTTGATCAATCTTCTAAATATTATCTATTTTGTTTGTTTCTCTCGTACAATAAAACATTTTGGTCTTTTGATAAACAATAACCTGAAGGTAAACGATATGGTTTATAGGGGAGTGGTTCTTCTTGATCGATAGAGTCTAATACCCATTTCTTGTTGATACATGGGATACCGTGAACAATGCCACTTAGATACTTGAATGTTTTCTGTTGTTCACTTGCTAATATTAAATAGATACTTTGGTTTGCTTTGCTCCTATAACTATATGCCTTGAAAAAATCGTGTACTGGTAATATCTTTCCTCCATATTTTAATACCAATGTTGATATATTGATTTCAGGATCACCAACTTCTGGTATACCAGTTAAAAGGAAATTATATCCTTTAAAAATTGATGATTCTGATTTGATTGATTTTTGTGTTTTTTGTGATGATGATGATGATGATTTTTGTGAAGATGATTTTTGTTGTTGTGATTGTTGTGAACTTTGAGATGGTGCACTGGTCCAAGTTGATTTCTTAAATGCAATTGGTGATTTCATAAGTGTACCTCTTCTTTGTAGAGGTGGTTCTATTTTCTCTACAATTTGTTCTTCTTCTTCAGTATCTTCTTCTCCACCACCATTACCACCACCACCATTTGTTTGGTTTGATTGATCTATTTCCATTTCTTCATCTCCTGAATCATCTTCCACTTTCTTTTTTGATTTTTTTCCATGTTTTTTTTTTGGTTGTAAAACAACCCGAATTCTTTTAGTTGTTGTTTCTTGATCTGATACTTCAATATCTTCATCTGAATCATCATCATCATCATCATCAGTCACTACAACTCGTTTTTCCTTTTTCTTGAGCGATTTTTTACTACTCTTTTTTCTTGGTTTAATTGGTGATTCTTCTACTTCCTCTTCAACTTCCTCTTCATTTTCCACTTCATGTTCTTCCTCTTCCTCTTCTTCTTCTTCTTCTTCCTCTTGTTGTCTCTTTTTTCTTTTCCTTTTCTTTCTTTTTCCTGTTTCTCTCTTTTTCTTTCTCTTTTTCCTTTTGTTCTCTTTCTCTTTCTTTTTCCATTTCTCTTTCTCTTTTCTTTTCCTTTTCAATCTTTTTCCTTTCCTTTTCCTTTTGTTCTTTTTCTCTTTCTTTTTCTCTTTCTCTTTCCTTTTCCTTTTCTTTTTCATCTTTTTTAGAATCTTGGTGTTTTGAGGAAGAAGAAGAAGAAGAAGAAAATATATTCTTTCTATTTGATACTCTTGGAGGTGATGGTTCTAAAGGTGCTTCAACTTCATCCAAGTCTAATCCTTTGATAAGAGTCGTTGATGATGGTACGGTTGACAATCTCTTTTTTCCAGTCGATGAAGCCGAGGTAGTAGTTGTCGATGATGATGATGGAGCTGAAGAATCTGATTCAAAAGATAGTGTCTTTTTACTACCACTTCCACCACCATTGGTCTTTTTGTTTGTACTAATAAATCCATCATTTGATTTTTGTTTCTTTCCAATAAATCCACTTTCAAAATCTTCATCAACTAAATCTTCATCTTGATGATTATTTTTATCACTTGTTGTTGTTGTTGTTGTTGTTGTTGTTGAGGATGATGAAGATTTCTTTCTTTTTAATTGATTTAATTCTTCAAAAGAATAATATCTTTCATTGTCATTTTGTTGATGAATAGGTTGAATAAATTCAACTGCATCCAAACTATTTGGTTGATCATCTTGATCCTTTTTGTTGTTGTTGTTGTTGTTGTTGTTGTTGTTGTTGTTGTTTCCATTTCCACTTTTACTTTTAACTCCACTTGCATTTCCATTTCCTCTTCCTTCAATCATATCATCAACACCTTTTGATTGATCCCTTTTAAACTCTGATACCATTGTATCTTCTATTTGCATTCGAATGGGTGGTTGATCCAATACCAACATCGAAGTATCACTCAAACGTTTTAATTGATCTGGTGGTGTTTCAGGTACACCTTCATCTTCATCCAATAAATATTCTGTCGATGATGTATTAATATGCCATGATATATTACTACTATTCGTCATTGTAGTATCATGAGTTGACATTGATGAACTTGAATTCAATACATTCTTTCCAGTTGATGATGTCGTTGATGTCGTCGATGTATTATTATTATTATTAATATTATTACCACCAGGTGTAGTATTATTATTATTATTATTATTATTATTGGTTGTTGTTGATGTTGGTGATGTATTATTTGGTTTAACAATTTCCTTCTTTTCTTCATTGTCATCATCCTATTCATAGATCGATAGATAGATAGATAGATAACTGTAAGTATTATACTTTAATACACATTCCACGTTCTTGTTTACTTTGACATACCGATGATTCATCCATATCAGGTTCTCTAAACAATTGAGTTGGTTGCATCGTTCCACTTGGCATTAAACTAGCATCCATGTCACCTCCACCCCTCTGGGTATTTGGATCCATTGATAGAATAGGTTCGGCAAATCGAGGTCTACCATTGGTCATTGTAGCTATTTGTTTGTGTGATGGAGGTGATGTATGTCGGTGGTGACTGTGGTTGGTCATCGACGATGAAGCTGAAGCATTGACGACTGGAGTCATTTCAATAGTGTTGTTGTTACTACTAGTATCCTTTGCACTGGCCATTGTACCATCCCAAGCAATAGATCCAGACAATACAGGTGTTCTAAACACAGGTCTATCCTTCTTTGTATCTACCCTATTATTGTTGTTATTATTACTATTGTTACTATTGTTATTATTGTTATGTTGATCACCATTATCATCGCCATCATCGTCATCGTCAAAGTGTAGGCTTAGTGTAGATTCGAGTGTCATTCTTCGATATATGATTGACTTGTAGTAGCACTATAACTCAACTATGATAAGAGAGAGGAATGACCCAATTTAAATTTAGAAGAATTGGCGCCAACTATTTTTTAAATTAAGCACACAAAAAAAAAGTAAAGCATATTTTATTATTTTTATATATTCATATTTGTGTCTTTGACAAAAGCAGACAGACAGATAGATAGATAGATAGATAGATAGATAGATAGATAGATAGATAGATAGATAGATAGATAGATAGATAGATAGATGAATCATTCATGTGTGAATGTTTAGCTCTTTGATTTGGCAACCTTTGGGAAACCTGCATATCTGGCAATACCAACACAGCACAGTGGGGGAAATATTTTGTGTCGAATCTGGGTAGTATTAATCGAATTGTTCAAGTTGTCAGTTCAACAAGTAATAATTCGAGATTCTGTATTCAATCATCTCGAGGTAGATCTCATATGTAATAACACACTCTCTGTGTTTCGCTGTTTCATTTTTCGCCATGGTATGTTGATCCAAAACTAGCTACAATATTGGTTTTGTTAAATTTACATGTTATTGATTGTCTTGATGTTGTACTACTAATATATGGATAACTTTCATTTGATACAATTCCTCCACTCGATATTATATATCTCTAAAAAAAAATAAAAAAAATTTTAATATTTAAATAAAAGATTGATTGTATCTCTGGTGAGTTCGAACTAGAACATACAAATGCATTATCCATATATCCACCACTACACCCATTATTACCAAATCTATTTGAACAATCGACCAATTGTTGTTCAGAAAATGATGAAATCAATTGACCTGATTTAATTTGGTGTGCTCCTTCCATTGCTCTAAATAGTAGTGTCAAATTTAAATATAAATTAGTTGAATGTAAATAATATTATATTTAGATATTGGTTGATTTTACATACGATGAAAAAGCCCAACATGAAGCACAATTACTTGGTTTTTAACAGGAGAGACAGCACCTTTGGTTCTCCAAACTACATTGGCGTCATCTTTACCAAAAACAGTACCAATTAAATCAGTGTCGTTGACTGGTTCAGTAAGACCATCGAGAATTGGATCCAAATCCAAAATCTTGTACCAAGGAATAGTTTGGAGAATTCAAGATCTGTCAAATCAAAGTCATTCAACTCTACCAAAACACCAGAAGGTTGACCATTAAACCCCAAGAAAAAATTAAAAAATTGAAAAATATTTAGAAAAAATCGAATTTCAATAAACAATATTTGCTATCTATGAAGGCAGTATTAATTTTAATTAATTGTTGGTTTTTATTAAAATTCTCCTCTCTCGTATTTTAAGAAAAAATCCTTTCTACGTCCAACAAACAATACACTCAGAACAATAAAATGTGTATTATCTTGGATAATATCGGAGCTAACATGGGTGGCAATTCTGTCCATTTGGATGGGAATAAAAATGTCTTCAGGAGGTGGAAGAGCGATCCAGTTGTTCCATTCACCAGAACCCAACCATTCACGGTGAAAAGAATGAACCCTGAGCTTCGCAATTAACCGGCCACTTTCAGGGTTGAAATTAGCTCCCAACATTTTGATACCAGTCATCCTTGGGAAATAAATAAAGGCTCTTTCAAGACCTAATTGAAATAAATAAAAATATTAATAAAACATATTATAATCGTATATATTAGTTGTTTAACTTACCCTTGTCTGAAGCACCTTGGTAATAAACAATGGGGGAGAAGATAAATTCGTACGCCAGATAGTTGGATGTTCCAGAGGTCACTGAAGAGGGACGATCTCTAATGTCATCGATTAGCGAGTCAAAGTTAGAGGTTGAGTACATCGCAGATATATCACCATACTCTGGCTCAGGTCTGGATCTTTTGGGAGTTGGTGGCTCAGGACTGGATCTTTTGCGAGGTGTTGGCTCCCAAAAGTCTTTTTCAGAAAACCCACCAACTGATTGGACAGGTGACGAGGGAATGGGTGGTGGAGCCATACTAGTAGATATACTAGCTGGTGCTTGGACGGCTGGTATGGCGGCGGCGGCTGCAGGTGGTCGGGCAACACTAGCTCTTGGTGGACGCGCTTCAACAACCTCGACCGGTTGTGGTGGTTCGATTTCACTGCTAGAATCAAGAGAAATCGAAGAAGGCACAGGTGAAGTAGGAGTACTGCCTCCTGTACTGGGACTGGCATGTGTACGAGCTGCATCATCGATCTTGCCTAGATGATAACGTTTCATTGTGTTAATTTTCCCTTTAATGCTGTTGGGACCAAAATTGGAGGAGGAATACGCCTCCAAGAATCTTTTCTGGATGTCTGCAGTAGACTCGTTACCTTTTTTGAACTGGTCGATAATGAATTTGTTATGTTCCTCTGAATATTTTGAGTACTTTTAAAAAAAATTAATAAGGAATACTAATTAATTAATTAATGTTGGGAGTACATACAGCCATTTTGAATAAATTGAATTAATAATTGGTTGAATATAAGTTGAATATAAGTTGAATATAAGTTGAATATAAGTTGAAATTGTTTGAATAAAATTGAGTTTTTATTCTTTTCGTATAGAACTTGTCTCGTGTCGATGAGGTATCTTTGAGGGAAATATTGAAGTTCATTGCGCTTCAAAATGGAAAATCGGTGATTCTCCAAGGAGTTCGTGTTACCATTTTTTCTATTCTCACAGAATGTTTTTCACGAAATATCTTCTTACTGGATGCTATGAGTAATAATATTTTTTAAAACTATTAGAAATAATCGGAAATGATAGAATATTTTTAGAAAAGGTGAATACCTAATATTTGTTTACAAATTCGAATTAATACGAACTAATATTATAAAAATTTGGAAAAATTGAAAAAAAAAACAAAACACTTGTTTGGTTGTGTGTTTCTTTATCTGTACAGGTACAACCCAAACAAGCAACGACTTATTTATTATAAATAAATAAAAGAGAAGTATGGACAGTATAAATGGGGTTTCTCAACCTCAACAAATAATACATTTAAACATAAATACAACAAACTATAATTTACAATATATACATGCAAAAAAAAAAAACAACGATGATTAGTTCACCAACAGATATACGCATGATGCCTCCACATGTAATAAAAGATTACTGCGGTGTGTTTTATCCAACACTCGTCCATTTAAGCGAATTGGTTGGCAAGTCAGGTGGTGTGCAACTGAAACACATCTTGTGGGCAATGACTTACTGTCGTCAATTTTTGCCCTTCTCAACTCTAGCAACAAATTTTAATGTCAGCATACGAACAATGAATGACTGGGTTAATCAAGCTATTAACGAGATATATTATAAGATCAAACCAATAGTTGATTCGGTAAGATATCATACATATAAACTATACACAAAAACTATATATATTTAACTAACATTTATTCATATTATATGTAGTTTGAAGAAGTTATAAAGACCTCAAGAAGAAGTGGTCCTTATTATGAATTTAAAGGAATTGGTGCGTTGGACTCTACCTTTATCGAAATCCAAAAGCCAATGCACTCCCAAAAGAGGACCGAATATTATTCAAGTATGTTTTGTTTATTATAGGTCATAGTTGGCAACTATTAGTTGTATAAAAATACTTATCTAAATATTTTATTTAATCTTTTCTCTAGAGAAACATGGTGCCCATGGTGTGAAATTCGAGCACATTGTTACCTTGGATGGTCAACTAGTTTGGATAAGAGGCCCGTTCCCTGGGTCAATGAACGATAATTTGATAACTCAAACAACAAATCCTCTGGCTCTATGCGAAATGGATGAGCATTTGTTTGGAGACAAGGCATACGAGGGATACAGACGTATCCTTGTTCCTCACAAAAAGAAAAAGAATGTGCCCTTCACCCCAGAGCAAAAGGAAAGAAACGACTATGTTGGACACAACAGAGCAGTTGTGGAGAACTACTTCGGCGCTTTGAAAGTATTTCATTGTTTCAACTCCCCTTGGAGATCGTCCATTGAACAACTCACCAAGGTTTTCTACATTATTAACTATGTCCTAAACTTTGAGATGGATCATGGCCTCAGAGGAACCCTCAGACCAATGAACCCGGATATTTAATTTACTATTCAATAAACCAAACAGACATGAAATTTATTATTCATAATTTTTTTTAAAGGTCCTCTGAGCGATAGCAAAAATCGGAGTTGGAAATTCTATTTTTTCTGTATGTTTTTTAATTTTTCAAATTTTGCTCAGGGTTTATTGAAGCGAGTAATAAAGTCTAGATTTTCTTTAAAAATATTAAATCTTTTGAGAAACTCTTTTCCATCATAAAGTTTACCAAACTTTAGAATCCATTGATTGAATTCAGTAATGTATTGTGCAGGTGTAAATAATGATGTTGATTTTGTTGTATCAGATAATTGATCATTGCCAGATACAATTAAAACTGTTGATAATACAATTACTATTAATAAAATTAGTTTCATTTTTTAGAGTAGTTGAGAGAGAGAGAAAGAAAACTATTTATATTCATTCAATTAAATACTTTACACTACATTATTAGAGTAGGGCAGAGTAAGCAATAGGCAGAGCATTACTTTCTTTTACTAAAGAATAAACGCGAATTACGAGTTTGTAAATCGATCACACACTGTACGATCTGCATGCAGATCATGTTGATTCATTAGGATAGAGGATGGATTCATTCCTCTTTTATCTGTATACATGTATGAGGTAGAACAACAATATTGCCGAAAATCATAGGATGCTTACTTGAAAGCTTGCTTGCTTGGACTGTGCACAAAATAAATTAAAATAAATTAAAAATAAAAAACGAATAAGTACATGCTATGAAATATGATGGGTATTGATTGTTGTATAATACCGACGACGGAGAGATATTCAGGAAGAAGAAATAGATAAATGTGGTCATCATCACAATCAAGTAAAATTAAACTTGTACATACATCTTATCAACGATTTACAACAAATCTCTCTGCATCCTCATCCTCTTATTTGAGGAATTATATATCAACGTCAAACAACTATAACTATAATAATAATAATACCAACAACTTGTATAAATGTCAAAATATCAATAACTATAACTATAACTATGCAAAGTTAAACAATAACAATAACAATAACAATTCATACCTCTGTACATATAAAAATAATAATAATAACAATCATTTAATCAACATTAATAATAAGAGACTTTATACAAGTAATAGTAATAGTAGTAGGAATGATAGTGATTATGGATACTATGATGTTCAACTATCTTATGAAGTAGAAGAAGATGATAAACCATATGAACAAACCGTTTCAAGCAATGATTCGAATTCGTCTAGTACTTTTAGTACTACCCTTCCACCATTACAATTACAACCATTACAACAACAACAAAAAGAAAAATACAACCCAAAACCAACTAAACAAGTTAATGCTGCCTCTCTACCAAAGATAATCAAGATTAAATCTTCTTCAAAATCTTCTTCTCCTCTTCCTCCTCCTTCTCTTTCAATATCAACCGATACTAATAATAGTAATAATATAAAGAAGAATAATAATAATAGTAATGATTCAATTATTCAATCTATTTTTGGTTTACAAGATTCAAATACAATTAAATCAAATATAAATAATAATAATATAAATAATAATTCCACAATTACTCCAACTGGATTAAATAATTCACAACCAAAACAACAAGAAATATTGAATCTTGATAATGAAGAAGAAGAATTATCTTTTGAAAAGAAAAAGAAAAAAGGTAAAAAATCATCACAAGAAGATAGTGATATGGAGATTGATTTAACCGATGAACAAAAAGCAATTGTTAAATGTATTGTGGAAGGAGGAAAGAATGTATTTTTCACGGGTAGTGCTGGTACTGGCAAATCGGTCGTCATCAAACACACAGTCGCTCAATTGCGAGAAAAGCATGGAATTGGAACAGTTCATGTCACTGCCGCATCTGGTATTGCTGCCGTCAATATTGGAGGTGTCACACTTCACTCTTTTGCAGGTATTGGCTATGGACAGGGAACAGTCACTCAACTGGCCGTTGGAATTGCCAAACGAAAGAAATATGAAAAACGGTGGAGAGAATGTAAAGTATTGATCATTGATGAAATATCAATGATTGATTCTGAACTGTTTGATAAATTGGAACAAGTTGCTAGAATTGTTAGAAATAATGATGCTCCAGTAAGACAAACGACAAAACAAAAAATATTTACAGTACTTAAGAATTAATTTGATTTATTTTCCATTTTAGTTTGGAGGAATACAATTATGTTTATGTGGAGATTTTTTCCAATTGCCTCCAGTATTGGGTAATTATGCATTTGAAAGTGAAGCATGGCATAAATGTATATCGATGAATTTAGAGTTAAAGACTGTTATGCGACAAAAGGACGATGAGTTTATTCGGGTGTTGAATAAACTTCGCAAGGGTCAAGTGTATAGTGAGGCAATCGATCTGTTGCATAAATGTAACCGACCATTGGATATTTCAAATGGTGTACTTCCCACTAAACTGTATACAACCAATGCCGACGTAGACTCTGAAAACAATGTAGCGTTGGCAGCTTTACCAGGCGAGACTGTCTCTTTTACATCGATTGATAGTGGATGTAAAGAGTTGATTGAAGCACTTGACAAGGATTGTCCAGCACCACGTGAACTTAATCTAAAGGTTGGTGCACAAGTTGTATTGCTACGTAAACCAGATGGACAGTCTAAATTGGTCAATGGCAGTCGTGGCGTAGTGGTTGAATTTGTCGAACCCAAGGCAACACGTTTACTCAAAGCCAAGTCTACATCGTGGGCTGAAAAGAATGCATTGGTACCCGTCGTACTGTTTAACGATGGGAGTCGTGTACGTATCAAACCAAGCGAATGGGGTATCTGGTCGGAAAAGAAAGCTACCCGTCAACAACTACCTCTCAAACTGGCGTGGGCACTCACCATCCACCGTGCTCAGGGTCTCACACTTGACAAGATTGAGTGTCGTCTCCAACAAGCATTTGCCAATGGACAAGCCTATGTAGCACTATCACGTGCCAAAACACTCCAAGGTCTCTATCTAGAAGAATTTGCCAAAACATCCATTAGAACAAGCGCCAAAGTTATCGATTTTGAAAAGAAATTCTTAAAATCAACTACTATTCCTACAACTTTTAAAATTAAATTCTAGAAAAAATAATAAATAAATTATTATTGATATTTTGTTTATTTATTTAGAGATGATTTCTTTTTTCTAATTCTTTGATGTTGTTGATGTTGTAAATCAAAATCTTTTAATTGTTTTAGGTCAACATAATTTGTGACATCTTCTTTTTGAAGATCATTGCCAAGGAAATAGATTTTGAGTTGGTCTTTGACAACTTCGCCCCAAACGAATCCAGCTACTGGTGTCATGTCATGGAAAGCATCACAACATTTACAATACTTGTAGTTGAATCCAAAGAATATTTTAACCAATATACTCATTAATGGTAGAGTAAACATTTTAACAATCCACCAAAGCACGCCAATGATATCACTCCATGCACGTTTCTTTTTGTTGTTTACTGGGTGTCTTGTGAGTAATGCCTTTCTTGGTTTGATACTATATTCAATATCATCATTGATCAATTCTGGAATTTCATCAAATAAATCTGGTCTATCTCCTTGTTTCTGCAATGAATTGTTGAAAGGATTAGCTGATCCAGATGATGATGAACCTCTACTTTTTTTGGTTTTGACGATAGTTGTTCCATCTGAATTTTTAGATTTTGATTTTTGATTCAAATTCTTTTTAGAAGAATTTTTCTTTGGTTGTTGAGAGATTGGTAAAGGAGGAGGGGAAGAAATGGAAGGGGATGTCGAGACTGATTTACTATTTAAATGAGGAGTATTATTATTTGAGGAATCTTCTTGATTTGAAGATTCATCATAATCATCAGTACCATCCTCTTCGTTATCTGATATGAGATCAGGTAATTCATCAAGATAGACAACTGTACCATCAGGATTGACATACTTTCTTCTATTATCTTTTTGTGACTTTTGTTGTTGTTGTTGTTGTCGTTTGAGTAACTGTTCTTGTTCAAGTGCCAATTCTCTTTCTGCACGTTGTCTTTCCATTTCAGTTTGAAATCTTAACTGTTCTTCTTTACGACGTTGTTTCTCGGCACGTCTCTTTTCTCTTTCACGTTTTTCTTTTTCCTCTTTTTGTTTCTTTTCCATCTCTGCACGTTGTTCCATTTCCTTTTCATATTGTTGTCTTTCAAGTTCCAATTCTTTTTCTTTTTGTTTCTTTTCCAACTCTTTGATTCTTTTTTCTTCTCTTTCCTCGTTTTCCTTTTTTTCATTTTCCAATCTCTCCATTTCAATCTTGCTCAACAATTCTTGTTCATATTGTTCCAATTTTTGTCTTTGTTCAGTCATTTCTTGTTCTTCTTTTTGTCTTCTCTTTTCTTCTTTTAATTGACTTCTTGTCTTTTTTTCTTTTTTCTTTTGAGCAAGGGTTGTTGGTGAAGCATCCAAAGATGAAACATTTGAATTGGTATCATCATTTTTCTTTAATTCTTCTTTTGGTAATGGTTCAACATTTAAATGTTGTTGATTATTCTTATTTTTAATAATTAAACTTGCCAATTCAAAAATCTTATTTTTTGATTGAGTTGTTGGATGAATTTCATATGATTTATCAAAATGATTTAATGCCCTATAAAAAATTAAAAAATAAAAATAAATAAAAAAAATAAAAGGATTTGATTGTTTTTGTTTTTACATACTTTTCATAATCTTTTTGTTTTAAATATTGAATTCCTAGTTCATATAATTTATCTGCTTCATTATTATTATTATTAATAGTTGATGATTCATTATTTGATTTTTGAGATTGAATAGGTGATTGTTGTTTTTGTAATGGTTGTTGTTGTTGTTGTGATTGTTGTTGTAAAGGTGGAAATTGTTGTTGATGGTTTTGTTGTTGTTGTTGATATTGTTGTTGATTTGATTTTGGTTTTGTATTTGTTTGTTGTTGAGATTTATATTGTTGATTTTGTTTATAATGTTGTTGTTGATTATTTTGTTGGTGTTGATGTTGAGGTGATGTATTATTACTATTTTTATTATTATTTTGTTGATGTTGTTGAGATGATGTATTATTACTTTTATTTTGTTGTTGATGATTTTGTAGAGGAGGTGATTGTTGTTGATTATTTTGTTGATGATGCTGATTTTGATTACTTTGTTGATATTGAGGAATTAAAGAAGCATCACTTACAAGGTTTGGTATGGGAGATGATAATCTTGGTGAAAAATCGATTGGAGAAGATAATCCAAATGGTGAAAGTCCAGCTGCTGTATTTCCAACCATATTACTACTACCATTAGCATTATAAGATCCACCTGGAGAGAATGAATGCCAATTATTGAAAAAGTTTCTCTTTAGTTGCAAAAGCCATTGTGAAGCTTGGACATGATCATGATTGGATATGTAGAGAGCATACAAACATTGCTCCAATGAGAATCCCTGATTGACAAATGTCATGACAAAAAGTTTGTCTGGTGAATCTCCAACAACTGCTTGTTGTGGTGTTTGTTGTTGTTGTTGTTGAGGTGAATAAGATGATGGTGAAGATGAAGATGGTGAAGATGATGAATAGGTTGCAGAATGAGGAGAAGATGACGATACTGCATAAGGTGAAGAAGAAAACATATTATTATGATTGGGAGTATTGGATTTTGATGATGATCTTGCACCTTTAAATACACTATTATTGACCAATGAAGATGTATTCAATTCACTCACTGGATGAATAATATTCTTGAAAAAGTGTGGACTATTATCACTACCAAATAAACTATATGATCTTGAATATTCTAAAGGTAAAGTATATTAGTATCTTTTGTTTTGTTATATTACTAATATTTTTTTTCTTACCAATATCATTTCCACTTGAATTTAATGATATTGAATCTTCTTCTTCATCATCATCTTCACTTTCATCGTCTTCGTTGTCATCGTCTTCGTCGTCACCATCGTCTTCGTCTTCTTCATCCATGTCTTCTTCGTCGTCCATATCTTCATCGTCGTCATAGACAATGTTGTAACTGTTGATACTGATACTACCACTATTGGTTGAATTATTCTTATTGTCAATCGATAAGATAGGTGAATCGACAAATAACTTTCTCTGTTGAGTGACATTACTCTCCTCTTCTTCATCTTCTACTCTAACTGGTTTCATTTGACTAGATGAAGAGGAAGAGTTATTACTTCTACCACTTCCAATTAATCCTTTTGATGTTGTTGTAGTTGTTGGTAGACGTGTTGTCGTTGTTGAACTACTACTACCAGTAAAGAAACTCTTTACATTATTATGAAAGAATGAATTTAAACTTTTACCAGGACTATTCATAATAGATGCAGCTGCAATTGGTATATTTGGTAATGGTGGTGAATTATTATGAGTAGAATGAATAGTACTACTAGGTTTTAAAGGTACTCCATTAATATTAAATGTACTAGTATTATCAAAATGTAATGTACTAAAACTATTATTACTATTAAAACTATTTTGTTGTTGATGTTGATGTTGTTGATGTGGAGGTGTAGTTGAAGAAGTAATAGATGGAGATGAAGACTGGGATGATATATTATCATTGTCTGTCGTATGGTCAATGACATTCATTGCTGCTTCTAAACCACCTTCACCACCACTACTATTAACAGTAGTAGTAGTAGATGATGATTCCATTTAGTTTGGTGTATATATATATTATCTTATCTCTAATATAAATAAGATAATTAAATAGACAAATGCAATACAAACGACTTGGATGAAGAAACTCATTGACTTTTGCGACTTTCACTCGAAGATTCATCGGTTATTGGTTTTTTGACAAAAGATAAAAATAAATATAAATATAAATTAAAAATATTAATATAATAATTAATAATTATTAGTTTTCCAAATCCAATACACAACTTGCTACTTTTTTTGTTTTAGTTTTAGTATTATTATTATGTATTTGTTATGTATTTGTTATGTATTTGTTAGGTATTTATTTTGATTTATTTATTTTCGGTAAATGAAGAAGCCCATGGATTATTGGCAGCTGATGTCTTTGGTGGAGCAGTACCAAGGATCTTTTGAATGTTGGTTCTGATGGTCATTGATGAGATGACGTATAAAAAGGTCATTGAACAATCAGTCATATCAGTACCTGCTAAATTACGATGACTTAGACCTTGAAGGAATCCAATTGGTTCAAATGGTAATTTACAAACTACTACTCCATTAAATCTACATGATTACATTATTATTAATACTCTAAGTCTTTGTTTTCTTTTTGCTTCTCTTTTGTTAACATACAATGAATTTAAATAACTAAATAAAGAAATCATAGAAATTGCAACAGCAAACATTGATTTCATCTTGGAGAATGTCATTTGTTGATTGGCTTGTTTGAGAGAATCTTCGAGACGTTCCAACTTTTTATCCTTGCCCTTTGACTTGCTGAGCAGTGATGATTTGCTAGACTCTGATTCTTTGGCCTTTTCAACCTGTTCTGTGAGACGATCAATGTTTATCTTTGCCTTTTTATAAGATTCGGTTCGATACACAAACAACCATGATACTCCCTCTGAAAAGAGTGAACTTGCTATCGATACTCCAAGAATGAATAATATATCTGTTATCATCGCAATTATATGTATATCTTTGTAGAAATATATTTCGTCGGGTAATATAAATAATGACAATGCTTGCAGACGGATGAACATAACATGATCATCTCAAGTTTTCATGTTTTTTTTTTGTTTCTTCTGTATCATAATCTTTTAAAAGATCAGCTCATATATAAATATATCTTGATTAATACATATCATTTAGAGATATTCTTTATTTTAATATATTCTCTTTGTTGTATATATATTTATTGTTTATTAAATTACTTGCTTGGCACCATCAGAGTGAGAGATCTGCTTTTGGTCTCCCAATATTTTTAATTAATTTTTTGTTTTTTTTTTTTTTTCAACAACACAGTGATGTTCATCAGCTTCAATTTAGTTTCGCAAATACTTTGTAATTTAAATAATACATATACATATATATAGAATTTAAAGAATGGGTCAGAACCAATCTTTAGGTAATATGGATAAAGATCCAAATAAAAAGGTTGGTTGAAACAAAAAGATAAAGAAAAGAGAAATAGAAATAAAAGATAACAAAAGAGAAAGAGTTGTTGTTGTTGTTGTTATTGATTAGTAGCTGTAGTAGTAGAGGAGATAGATTAGATTATATAAAGATATGATTTGATAAAGAAGAAGAATATATGATAGTAGAATGAAATATACATATATGATTATTAACTTTTTTCTTTTTTTTTTTTATATTTCTATCTACTTGTCTCTTTTTTTACTTTCTATTTTCTACTACTAGGATCAACAAAAACCAAAATATCAAGCACCACCACCACCAACACAATTTGGAAAGAAAAAGAGAAGAAGAGGAGCAGAGACTAGTACAAAGTTACCAGTTGTGACACCACATACCAAATGTAAATTAAAGCAATTAAAACTCGAACGTATAAAAGATTATTTGTTGATGGAACAAGAGTTTCTCCAAAACTATGAACTCAACCAACCAAAGGGCGACGACAAGGACAAGACTGACGAAAAGATGATCGACGAGATTAGAGGCGACCCACTGACGGTCGGTTCGCTCGAAGAGGTGATTGACGATAATCATGCTATCGTGTCGAATGCAGTGGGACCCGAACACTATGTACGTATCATGTCGTTTGTCGACAAGAGCAAACTGTTCCTCGGCGCCACCGTCCTCCTCCACAACAAGACATTGTCGGTGGTCGGTGTCATTGACAGCGAGGTCGACCCCATGGTCAATGTGATGAAGGTTGAAAAGGCACCACTCGAGAGCTACAGCGATATTGGTGGGCTCGAGACACAGGTGCAAGAGATGAAAGAGGCTGTCGAGCTGCCCCTCACTCACCCCGAGTTTTACGAAGAGATTGGTATCAAGCCACCCAAAGGTGTCATTTTGTATGGTGAGCCAGGTACCGGCAAGACACTGCTCGCCAAGGCTGTGGCCAATCAGACATCGGCCACCTTTTTGCGTGTCGTCGGCTCGGAACTCATCCAAAAGTATCTTGGTGACGGACCCAAGCTCGTCAGAGAGTTGTTCCGTGTCGCCGAAGAATTGGCACCATCCATTGTCTTTATCGACGAAATTGATGCCGTCGGTACCAAGCGTTACGACAGCACATCGGGTGGAGAGCGTGAAATCCAACGTACCATGCTCGAGTTGCTCAATCAACTCGACGGTTTTGATGCTCGTGCCGACGTTAAAGTCATCATGGCCACTAACCGTATCGAAACTCTCGACCCTGCCCTCATCCGTCCCGGTCGTATCGATAGAAAGATTGAATTCCCATTGCCAGACATCAAGACCAAACGTAAGATCTTTGAAATCCACACTGCCAAGATGAACCTCTCTGAGGATGTCAACCTCGAAGAGTTTGTCATGTCCAAGGACGATCTCTCTGGTGCCGATATCAAGGCCATTTGTACAGAATCTGGTTTACTTGCCCTTCGTGAACGTCGTATGCGTGTCACTCATACCGATTTTAAAAAGGCAAAAGAAAAAGTTCTCTATCGTAAAACTCAAGGTGCTCCTGAAGGTTTATATATGTAAAAAAAAAAAGAGATAAAAGAAAAAAAAAAAAGATAAATCATAAATAAATAAAATGTAAACAAAAAAAATATTTTTTAATTTATTCTTAGGATTTCCATAATTGTAAATTTGAATCTAAAGAAATGGTAGCTAAAATATTACGATTTGGATGAATGGTTAATCCAACTACTTCCTTTTTATGTCTAAGATCGTAGCGATAAAGAAGATTTGAAGTTTCCAATTCAAAACAATTCATATGATTGTCATCGGAAACTGCATAGAGATATTTTTTGTTTGGTGAAAGACAACAACAGACAAAGTTGAATTTATCATTGTCTAGTGTAAATTGTTTAACTATAAATTGTTTTCTAATGGACATTATTACAATGGATGGCGATTGATTACATATTAAAACCAAGTCTTGAGCAGCATCGATATAGAAAACATTTTTAATTGGAATGTCACGAATCTTGGTTTGTGCTACTGGTGCCAATGTTTGTAAACATTCTCCAGTCTTTATATCCCATACCTTTACAGTTGCATCACTCGAACATGATACCATCTTTTCTTCATTTGAATTGATTTGAAATTCATTTATACTTGCTAAATGTCCTCTATATATTTTTAATACTTTACCACTTTTTAATCCAAACATTCTATAGAATAAATAAAATAAGAAATAAGAAATTAATATTTATCTTTTTTTTTCTTTTCTTTTCTTTTACTTACTTAATGGTTGAATCTATTGAACTAGTTAAGAGTTGAGTAGAATTATTTATAAAATGTAAACAAGTAACGGCTTGAGAATGAGCAGGTTCAAAACGACGAAGACATTTACCAGATTTGATTTGCCATACTTTGGCATGACCATCGGTTGATCCAGATGCCATATATTCTGCATCTTTGGAGAAACACATACTAATGATACCGGTATTATGCATCATAAACTCATCATTTGATTGATAGTCTAGATTGGCAAGTGCACCAGTATTATAATTCCATACTTCAATAAAACCATCGATACTTGACGTAACTAAGTACTGAGAGTCTGGTGTAAACTTTGCACAATCGGGTCTATTCTTGTCTCCAAATACAATTGATCTGTCCAATTGAGTGATTGGTTCTTCTTGTTCAGCTCCTGATACAGTCTTGGTTTGACCTTTGAACAAATCAAAATCATCACCTGGTTGTACTATACCTTGGTATTGTTGCCATTTTAATGCTTGTCCCAAGAGTGCTAGTAGTCGTGATGGTTCAATTTGTTGAATGGCTGCTGTTGATCCACCGTTACCACCATCTTTGATGAGTGAATCTGCAATTTCTTTTCTTCTTTGTTCAATGGTACCACTATAAAACTCTCCACTATTGATTACTTGTCTTTGTAGACAATGCTCTAGTTGTAGATATCGTTCGACTTGGTTGAGTTTACAATAGTTCATCACTTCACTCTTTCGAAGTAGTTGTTTTGAAAGTTCAAATTCTTTCTTTTCAATTAATTCTATTATTATCTAAAATTGAGAGAGAGAGAGAGAAAGAAATGTTAGGATAGATGAGAAAGAAAGTTTCTATTGTTTTTTCTCGTACATGTTCAAATAGATCAATCAATTTATCGTATGATATTTTTAGATTTGATAGTTCGAGTAATACCTTGTCCCAACGTCCGACAATGATATCATTCTTTAGTTCATCGATACTGTCGACTGTGTTTAGTGATATACCAGTCTCTTCTTGCATCGACAATAATGTACTCGTCAATGAATTCTCTTTGCAGAATTGTAATATTAATTTGATTACACTAAAAAGAGTGGAGAGAGTGTTTAGTAATGATGATAATGTATCTATCTTGCAAGTATCATATCATGTGTCTTACTCATTTGATTGAATATCTAGTGATTTGCTCATTGTATTGAAATGTATTTAACTATTGAAATGGTCTCTGTTTCGTGAAATCATTAACATTAATTTAGTGTTTTTTAAAAAAACAAATCATCTTTTTTAATTTAAAAAGGTTTTTAATTCTAATATGGATCATTCGGGATAGGTATAGAATAAGGTATGAATAAGGATTGGGTAATAAAAAATGGAAGAAATGCTAGGAATAGTATTCACAAAAAAAAAAAAAAAAAAAGAAGAAATCATCCACAAACAATATTATTGAAATAAAAGAAGAAATGATTTTTTTGTTTAATAATAATAATAATATTTTTTTATAATTATATAAATTTTTTTCTTGGAGTTTGATGATAAGAAGCACTCATACCAGTCAGCAGTTCACTGTGTATTCTTTCTGATACATTTTATTTGTTCTTTTTTTTGCCATTTATTATTCACATATTTCATATTTATCTATTCATCAGTTATCCATAAGAGAAATCATCTTCACCATCGTCGCCATCTTGTCAATATTCATTCACTCAATCTCTTGTTCATTTCACCGTGAACCTTTTTATTCTTTGTAGTTTATATTCCCTTATCTTATTTGCAACTTACTTACTATAATATTATATCAAACAAATATTCAAGAAATGGATATTTCAAGTCACAACGCAGACTAAAACCAGGAGCAATCTTTGATTTTGATTCCAACACCAAATCTTTACCCAAAGGAGAGTCTCTTGTAAAGTGGCCATGTGATTTGTTCAAGGAATACTCGCCTATCTACGGTAGTGAACTATTTGTTAGTTTAAACAGTTTCAAAAGGGACCCCACCCCTTCTCCCCTACAAGGTAACCAGTCACAATCACTATTGCACTATCTTTCATACCATTTCTTCTCTACTGTCATCCTTCACCAATTTTTTTCATTTGTAATTCTCTCCCTTTTGAAACCTTACATTTCTTCATTGCCAATGTTGCAATCACTATCATTGCTCCTCTTTTTACACCATTTCTTTTGATTATCTTTTTGTTTTCATTACCAATCAATGCAACACCCATCTCTTTCCTTTTAACCACTTGCCTCATTGTCTACTTTCAACCATTGTCGTACCAACCTAACACTAAACATTTGTTCATTTTGTTTTGCTTGTTCATCTTTACATATCATAGACCATTGACCTCTTTCATATATTTATAATCCTTTTTATACAAATCAAATACTGATCCATTCGCCAAGCTACACTACCACTCTTTATCACTCTACATCCTTTTATTTTTAAGACCCATCTCTTTTTCCTCTTAGTCACTACTTTTGTCAAACATACCTAATTGCTACATCAACCGATCACTATCATTCAAATCTAGTCATTTTGTTTTGCTTTGTTTGTTCTCATATTACAGGCCCTTCACTTGCCTCATTGTTGTTGGTCAATCCATCTCCAATCAATCTTCATGTATTGTTTATCAAATAGCATAGTTGCAAGTACTTCTTTACCATTTAACTTTCTATATTACTCCTCTTTTTAAACCATTTCCTGTTGATTTCTTTTGTTCATCACCACCTATCTTTCCCTTTTAACCATATGCCTATTGTATGGCAAGTCTATTTCATACTATTCCTAATTGCGCCAACCAAGCAACATCTCGCAACATTTATCATTTGTTTTGTTTGTTTAACTTTGCATATCATTGACCTCTTGTGTTCATTCATATATTTATAATCCTTTGATCCAAACCAAATACCATTGTTTGTGTCAAAATTTCCTAATTTATATATCAACTAATCTTCTTTTCTCTAGACCCTATGATTATCGAGTTTGCACCTGGTATTCCAAGACCCCCAATTAAATTTCGATATATGACCACGAAACAGTTAAGGTAAATATTTATTATTATTATTATTATTATTATTATTTATAATATCATTTGTGAAGTAGCACAACTTATATTTACAAATTTTTATTTCAACCAGGACCAGATAGATTAGATGGAATTCTCTTAGAGGATAAAAGAATCGTAAAGAGAGAGGAGACCATAAAAAATGTGATGAAAGTGGTTCAAGACAACAAAATCACTCTTATCCGGGCACCTCCATTTACAGGTAAAACATCATTGGGTCAGCTATTGGAAGCCCAACTCGAAACAGTGCGTCCAAATGCATATGTCAGACGAGTAACTTGGACCTCTGTATGTGCCAGTTTTGAAGACTTGTGGAAACTTTTTACTGGCCAATCTTTTGTAGACTGGATTAAAATCTCCCTACACGCTGAAGTCTATCTAATTATGAACGAGTGTCAAACAATATACGCAAAAGATAGTGAATGGGGAAATAGAGTTTGGCCAACGATCAAGGCATCTGAATCTCCACATCTACACGTTGTGGTGTTGGCTTCATATGGTGAGAAAACCGTCAACACGATTACCAGTACACCAACCGATCTGACAAGCTCCCATCATTCTTTATTGGATATCAAGACTCTAAACTTTACAAAGGAAGAGTATGGACAATTGGTAGCAAACCTGACTATCGGATATTTTCCAAAGGTAGTTGAAGACTGGATATATGTCAACACAGGTGGACACATTGGATTGCTCAAAAGAACATTGGGTCTCATCGAAGGAAAGTTTGGCGAGAAAATGATTCTCAACTCGACTGGAAAATACCCTCCTACTGATCCTCATCTTGACCAGCTCATGATGGAGTATCTTCTCTCTCAAGATTATGCAATTGATATTAGTCAATCAAGAGCTGCACCAAATCTAAAGTTGCCAGAAACTCAAAGATATGTCCTAGACTGTGTTGCTTATGGATCTTATCCATATGATCCATCAATTCAAGATGAACCACTCTCTCATCTTTTGAAACATGGTTTTCTCACGTTGGATAACAACAAACAACTCGTATTCCCCTCCCCACTCTACCGTCGTTGCTACTTTACCGCAAGATTCAAATCCCCTTCTCCCCAACAGTTTCAGCCTCGCGAAGATGATATGGATGGATTCCTTATCGACTGCATCAAACGCTTTCGACCACACCAACTCGCCAACCAATTCTCTGTCCACACTCGTTGCGGAAGCAGTACATCTCAACCACTTGAAGTTGTATGGCAGATGGAGTTTTATCATGCAGCAACTTGCGCAATGCAACCAATCTATGTTGCCCCAAGTGTCGGAAGAGCATTTGACTCAAAGGGATTTTTAGATTTCTACATTGACAGCAAATACAAATGGGCAATAGAAATGATTAGCGAGGGAAGAAATATCTCTGGTCATGTCAACTGGTTCAAGCCTACAGGTATCTATGGAAACTTGCTTCAAATGATCAAGAAATGGGTTGTGCTCGATTTCAAGAGTTCTAAATCCCATCCAATGGTAAAATGGGACAACCTGTGGGAGGTTATGTATTCTGCTGACTTTAAAAGCTATACCATCCACCGCAAGGACCAAAGTTTGCTCACAATAACTATTGAAAATGGTCAATAATTTCAATTATTATACCCTTTGTAGTTGTTCCAACGATACTTTTTACTTCAAAATAAAATAATGTCCACCAACACTTTTATTAATTATTATTCGTTCATATATTTCTAATCCTTTGATCCAAATCAAATACTATTGACTCGTGCATTCATCCAAAACCCACTCCTTACTTTTTGCTCTTTTAAACAATTCCTTTAACTACACCGACGAACCAAACCACTACCTTTGATTCATTGTTCACTGTCTATTTCAACATCAAAAGAGTACACACTGATGGATTCTATTCAGTTAATGCTAATATCATATCGACCCATCTTCTTGATTTGTCATTTATTTGAATTGCAAAAAAAAAACAATCCAACTAATAAATAACATAACTATCCAATTAAATTAATAACATATTAATATAATTTCAAAAATGAATTTAAATTTAAATTCAATATTCATTCCGAATGTAATATAGAACTTAAGTTATTGCATTCAACCTTCTAATAGTTCGTTGTTTTCCACCCAGTACGATGTTTAAACATTTCCTCTGCATATGCAAACTGCAATTTCACACCACCATATTTATTTCTTCTTCACTATAAATCGGATCGATTGTTGTTACTGAGCTCAGTAACAATGGGGTGAATGCATTTTCTTAAAATTGGTAGTGGCTACTGAGATTAATGGCAACAACCATGAATCGTTGAATATTTTGTAAACATTACATAGAGGCAGCAGTAGTATAACTTTAAAGTAATTATCATCGCTGTTCACTTTTTCAATTTAATGCCCAACTACTGCTGCTATGTACTGTTGATTTGATGTAATCATTTTCTTAAAATTGGAAGTGGTTACTGAGATTAATGCCAACAACCATGAATCGTTGAATATTTTGTAAACAGTACATAGCAGCAGCAGTAGTATAACTTTAAAGTATAAATCATTATTGTAACTTGGCTCGGCTAATTTGCATTGATTGAAAATAATCACATGGTATTTAAGGAATGACCCTCATTCCTTCATTCAACAACTTTTAATTTAAATTCATTCTCTTTGTGTTTACTTCTCATCATCTAAAATAAATAATTAATTCCAATTAACAAACAAATTCAAATCGTAGGTACATCGAAATGAAATAAAGATATTTTATTTTTAAATAATAATCTGGATCAATTTCATCTATTAAATCTTTTAATTGTTTCATAAAATCATCTGTTGGGTCTTGGCCCAAATGAATCATAATATTCTACTGATTTATCTTTATCTGCATCAATGTATACTGGCAACCCAATGACTTCCTGGTTTGTTGTGTGGATCCATATTCATAATAAATTACATCTTTTCTTGGTTCCATAAATTTAATTGATCAATTGCTATTACTCTTTCAAATCCCTTTCTATGATATGTTTCATTATTCTTTCAATCTCGCTATCATAAAGACCTTTATTTGATCTTCCGCTACCAATCTTTGTTTCTTTTTAAATCTTGAGAAAATGATACAATTAAATCAATGACACTAATTCTTTGATTCTTTACCATGTCTTTTAATTCATTTCCTAAATTTGTAGATAGTTTAGTAGAGGACATTGTTGAATTTAAATACTCTTTTACCAAATCATTTGTAGCTGTTAGATTGTTCTATTAAACTATTTGGTAAAATTTGATCAACTATTATTTGTTGTTGTTCTGTTTGTATATTGGGTGGTTCTTCCTGTTTTACTTGATTGGCTTTCATTAAGCTATCCAATTCCAAAAGATTCTTTTCTTTAATTTGATTTTGCATTTCAATCATTGATTGTAATTGTTCATCTATTTGTCTTGTATTTATCTCTTGTTTTACTTGAATATCATCTTTTGTTAGATCAATAATCTTTTTCTTTGTTTCTTTATCCAATTCTTGTTGATTCTTTAGTAAAGATTCTCTAAAGTTGGTGCCCTGTATTGATTTAATCATTTCTACTTGATTTGGATTTGACCAAGCCAATACAGGACTTTCTTTAGAGAGTTGCTGTTTTTGCTGTTGTTGATGCTGTTGTTTCTCATCCTCTAATGCTTCTCTAATCAACTTTCTAATCAACTTTTTATCATTCTTTTTTGATCTAATGTAAACTCTATCTACTCCATGCTGTATGTATCGTCTTCCTCTCTTATCTTTTTTTCCTCTTAATGGTCTCTGTTTTTGCTTCTTACCTCCAATCATCATCTTGTATTATTATACAATATAATTATATTTAAAACTTCATAATCATTTTATTCTTTATAATATCTGATTCTTTAATACTATTTATAGGTTGTTGTTTTATCTCTTTCTCTACAACTTCATCGTTTACAATTGATCCATTCTCTTTATTATATATATATAGAGTAATTTATTATATTACTATTTTTACACTACTTTTATAATACTTTTTACACTACTAGTAAATTTTAATAATTTTATAATAATGTTTTACTAATTATAGATAAAAGTATGTTGATTACACATATTCTATATAAATTCACACAATAGAATCAGTGGTACTAATTCTAAATTTAAATATAATATTATTTATTATCCACAGGACAAGTTTGACAGAGTTGCATTGTTACAAGCGACAATACCAAAATCATTTTATACAGTTGGAAGAGGATTAAATACTTTTGAATTGATAGAAGATGATCAATCAACTATTATTTCTATTCCTGTTGGTAATTATTCAAGAAAATCATTACAAGACACATTGGAAAAGCAATTGAATGCATTGTCACCAAACAATGTGAAATATGCAATCAGTTGGCCAACATCACAACAACCAATACTGGTAAATATATATTTACATGTGCATCAACAAGAGATATCTTTTCTTTTACTAATCAATTATATCGTCATTTAGGTTTTAACAAAGATTCAACAAATAAATTTAATAATAATATTTTGGAATCAACCAATGTAATCAACTTACAATCTGATAATGTTTTATTTATTCATTCAGATTTATGTAGTAATGGAGATGATGATATATTACAAGAGGTTTACTCTGCAGCTGGTAATGCAGATTTTTCAAATATTCATTGGCAAAACTATGATGTCGAATCATATAGTAAACAATTGGTATCAAACACAAAGACAAGCTTTACCATTTATTTGACAGATCAAGATGGAAATGAAGTAAATTTAAATGGTGTAAATATCAATCTGACATTGATTTTATTCAAACTTAATGACATCTCACAATTGGTAAGAGAATATATAAATTATTTATTGGTTAAAGAAAAAGAATCATTAACAGTTGTTGATGAAATTTAATTTTAGACCTATAGAATATATAGAATTAAAAAAATGGAACAAGCAATTTCAAATCAATTTGATTATCGACAAATGGTTGGATCAGGACCACAATATGAATACACTCGAGTATATCCTCAAGCTGGAGCAACTCAAACAACAGTTTATCAAGGAGGAAATGACACTATATTTGAAATACCACCAACCAAAGCATTTAATCTAAGTAGGTCATGGTTTCAATTTACATTTACATTGCCAGCAACCAATGCAAAGTTTGGATTTGTATTTACTGATTTTATTCCATTCTTTAGACAGATACATTATTATGGATCATACAAACTCTCATTTACATTCTAAAATGGTGACCAATATCAACAAAAAATTAAAAGATACACTCAACACATACAACTCTGCAGTGAATACAGGAAATCAAACATATATTCCTTGCTATTCATGCAATACTTTGGTAAATATGAATCCAAGATATGATGGCACTTCATGTGATAGAGCTTTTACTGAACCAGACTATTTGTCTTCAGGCAATGCAAACAATACAGCAGTTAATTTAAATGTAACTATTCCATTCAACGAATTATACGAATCCATTTTATCATTGGACAAGGATATTATGTTGAATGAAACATTATTGGTTAGATTTGTTTGGTCAGAATTACCAAATATTGGTTTTGGTGCAGATGCCTCTCTTACTCCTCAAACAAATCCAGTTGCTTTAACAGCTCCTGCTGGACCCAATGTACAAGGTATGGAAATACATTTAGCAGTTGAAAAGAGATATGATATTATCAAAATTTACAACAAAAGATTGCAAGTCCAGAAGGTTTCTCTTTACTTATTCCTTATTGTTGTACTGTAACAGCATCACTTACAGGTACAAATCAGCCGGTATCATTAAGATTAAATAGACTAAATGGTATTACTTTGGAAAGAATTTATCATAGTTTATTTGTTACTGCCTCAGTTGCAAACTCTGCCATCTACAACAACAATGTGGCTTCAACAAATTTGGAACATTTCTATACCAATATTAATAATACTAGGAGAATGCAGTATGATTATTACACAGGTTTAAATGATGATTATAAAGCATTGCGAGACAAATTGATAGATTCAACCATTCAAACACCAAATATCCACAACTATAATTGGTGTTGGTTGGATAGATTTGATGATGGATCATTTGGTATTCTAGATGAAAATATTGTTTCTGGTATTGATTTAAATCTAGGAGAGGTTAAATGGGATTTTATTGCATTTTTAAGTGTAGCAACCAATCTTACCCATCAATCAACAGTGGTATGTAAAAGAAGATTAGTTATTACTTCAAATGGATTGACATTAATGTAAATATTATTTATTTATTATTAAATAATATAGGAAAATGAAATTCAACAAACAGACAATTATTAAAACAATCCAATTGGTGGTATCATTCCTGGTGATCATGGAAGGTTGATGGTTCAAATTAATTTGGATTTTGTTCCAAATCTTATTACATTAAAAATGGTTGGTGTAAATGGAAATTTGGCTCAAGGATCGGAGTACATGATTAGAACTTCATTGATAAGTGACAACAACCTTTATTCTTTTCTGAGTGTATCTACAACCATTGTAAGTTACATTTTACAAACAAAAGTGGAACAAATATTCAAGGAGCTTATTATTTTGAATGTGTGGATCAAAACAACCATTATTTGAGAAATGAATTGGAATTTTACAGCAGTATTTCAATTTTACCCAATTTTAAATCAACCATTATATATAAAATGATAAAGCTAACAAAAATCAATAATGTCATTGTGGAACCAATCAAATTACCACAACCACCAAAAAATGTAAAAGGATCAGAATTATTTAATCAATTAAATGCAAATATATTGGTATGTGCTCCAAAGAATAGTGGCAAGACTGTTGTTATTAAAAAGATTATAGATGAATGTACTAATAAACAAACCAATGTTTTAATTTTTTGTGCGACAGTTCACAATGATCATAGTTGGTTGGAAATTCAAAAAGATTTGGATAAAAGAGGAATAACATTTATGGCATTTACAAGTATTTATGATGACAAGGCAAATGTGTTGGAAGCATTTGTTCAAAGTTTACAAGTAAAACCAAATGAAAAGGGTAGATCATTAATATTGACCAATAATACGGTTACAGAGAAATCATCATCAAAAAAAGAAGTAGCGCCAGATTATTTTTGATGATTTATCAAATGAATTAAAAGGCCAAGTATTACCAAACTCATGAAGATTCAAAGACACTTTTCAACCAAGATTATTATTAGTACTCAATCATGGAAAGACACATCATCACACATAAGAAAAGGTAATTTAGATTATGTTTTATTATTTAAAAATATACCAACAGAGACTTTAAAAATAATTTATGGAGAGTTATCACTGACAATTCAATTTAAATTATTTTTAGAGATTTATTCTTTTGCAACCAAAGAGAAATATCATTTTCTTTATACAAGCAGAAATGGTGATTATAGAAAGGATTTTAATTTACAACTTGAAATTAAAATATAGATTTATAAATATAAAGATAAAAATGAAGGGAGAATGCTAGATTCAGATTGTAAATCAATGATATTTCATCTAATTATCAACATACTTAATCCTGGTGCCAAATATAGAAAGTATGCTGGATAAAATACTAACGACTAAACTATTGTCGGTTAGTCGTCTCGAACAACAAACTAAAAGACCAATGAAATCAATAAACATTAATTCATCTTTTTATTACTATAATTAATAATCATTTACAATCTAATCTAAAGTCATCATTACTATCAATATATATTCATATATCTATATATTATTATTATTATTATATACCTCTCAAACAAAAGAAACCTGTAAATGTTGAACGTATCCAAAGATCCGCTGAAGAAGTGTATTATATGTTGTCTGTACCATCACACGCAATGAAAAGCACCTTGATTGCTAGCTTTGATGGTAAGCAACTCAATTCATCTGGTCAACATGTCATGGTCTCTTTCCGGTTCATTGACCCTTGTCTACCAAACACTGTCTTTTTTTGCAGCACCCACATTGCCTCGTCCAAACGAACCATTTTATCATCCTTTAATGCAAGCGACATTCAATCGTCTTGTATGTTTGGAAAGACCCCTGCCGATCCAGGTGTCGCTGTTGTACAATTTAAAAATCAAGGGGCTTACGATGATGCTGTACAAAATACAATCTTTTATCCACTGTCTGTAACTACTATATAACTATCAACAATAAAAAATCAATAAAAAAAAAAAAAAAAAAATTTTGACTAAAAATGAAATGGGGCTCCACCGGGAATCGAACCCAGACCACTACCACCCAAAGGTAGTATTGTACCATTCAACTATGGAGCCTACACTTTGTTGTAGTATAATTATGAAATTGGGAATTTGAACCAAATTTTACTTTCTTCTTGAGATAATCTTTATTTCTTGCTGGTCAATTAAAATGTATAATTAATAAAACTTTGTAACTTCTGAGTACTACTCTTCCCGATAGGAGAGAACAGGAAAAAAATTACTTTAAAAAAAACACAAATTTTTAGATGTCTCCAACAATGTCTCATCTCGTTGTTGGATACATGAGATCTTTATTTCAATTACAATATTTAATTAATAAAACTTTGTAACTTTTGAGTACTAAATTTTTGGATAAAAATAGAGAATTACACTATTGAACTTAACTCAATCATCAACTATCTTCAACTATTTTATCAATATTTCTTTTCACTGAAAGCCACAACTTGTCCAGTGTGCCCATGTTCAATTCTTTATATCATTATCATTTTCAATTTCAATTTTTAGCCCTATAGTTTAGGATCCTAATTTCCCTAAAATCATTTTTTCTACCCAATTTATCGTTCTGATTCTGTTATACCAAAGCACATTAAATCTTTCTGTAATAGAATGAATATTTTCATTTTTATTTTTAACTAATGGTTTTTTCTTATCTGTTCTTTGGTAACTAATATAAATTTATATTAAGCATTATAATCAAAAGGCTCTACCTGTTAATCAGCCTATTTTTTTTCATTTTTTTTTCTTTTCATACTTGTCACAAAATCCTCGGTTCACTTCTTTTAATGTGCATAGAAATCAGCTATTTATTAAAGTGTTTTCTATCATTCCACTTATCCAGTCATTTCCGTACAGACAGATTTTAACAACACTACTATTTGTCATGAATTTTCAATTTGGTTTATCAGAATTATAATTTAGTTTGGTGTTAACTTGTTGATTGCAAAGGTATATTTAAATAGATATAAAAATCAAGTATTGACAGTGATAAATGTACTAAACTTATTCAAACCAATAAACACAGTGATAGAGGAACAACTAATTCAACAAAAAGAAAATTAGTCTACAAATATAACAATTTTTTTGTAAAGCACGTATTAAAAAGTAAAGTGACAAATTGACTTCAACATCAAGTATTTCGTTAATGCTCGATAGTTGCTTCTTTATCCTGGATATGTGTTTTTCTGATATCCATAAATAGGAGCAACTATTGGGCATTGATGAAATTTATCAGAGAATCTCTTTCTCTTTATGCATCCACTATAAAATACCTATTAATAATAAATCTTGGATTGTCAAGAGATTCACAACAACAACAGCAACAATACCAACAACAATACATGTGGTTCATGAACATTTTTTTGATCATACCACATCAATGTATCAACCATCAAAAATAATCACCACCACACTAACATTTTGATTGGTGGTGTGGTTCACTTCATTTCCTGTTCAAATTATTATATTTATTTAATTACCACAAATAATTTGGTGATTTGACTATAGTTCAATGTCACTCATTACTCATTGTATTCATTCATAAAAAAAAAACAATAATATTAATATTAATTAATAATTAAATCAATGGATAATTATACAATAGACTATTACATTGAATCATTAAATTCAAACAATAATGAAATATTACATTTAGAATTTAGAGAAGGATTAATACAACAATTAGTCACCTTTAAGGGCTTACAATCACGCCTAGTAAAGCAAAAGGATGATTTTGACCAATCTTTAAACTTGATCAAAGATTACCAAAGAAACCAAGAGGAATTTTACCAAGAACGTCGACAACTCTTTCTCGATCGCCACCAACTCTGTCAAGACAACCAAAACTTAAAGAGAATGGTTGATCAATTTACACTTGAAAAACAATCAATGATGGATCAAGTGGCAGAGTTAAAAGAGGAAAGGAGCAAATTAACAAAATCGGTTCAAAGCAAAGATAACGAATTGGTCTCTCAAATACTAGTAAAGTTTAATCAAAAGTTACACAATGATAAAGAAAACATTCGAGTAACATCTCAATTGATTGAAATGCAACACAAACTAGAACAACAACAACAACAGTCAGATCAACGAGCCAATTTACAAGATCAACAACAAAAAGAATCATTTTCAAAATTGGTACAATCACTGGAATCAAAGAGAAATCAATTAGAAGAAATGGTAGAGGAAATCAACAAAACCAAAGTACATTTGGAAATTGATTTAAAAATCAACCAACAAAAGTATAATGATTTAAAACAACAATTTTCAAAATTTCAAAATATTGGTCAACTCTTGTTCAAGTTTATTAAAACACCAGCTGGACGCACCTCTTTTTATGGTTATTGTCAATCAACCGTACCACAAAGAGATATGAAACAGTATACTCCATTTTTAGATCAAAATGATCAACTTTATAAAAAATCAGACATTAAAATTGGTAGTATTGTACTTGTTCATGATCTAATTGCGCATGGATCAGGTATTGTTAGATTTATTGGAAAGGTATCATTTGAAAAAGGTATATGGGTTGGAGTTGAATTGGATACAGCTGCTGGTAAAAATGATGGTGCAGTCCAAGGTAAAAGATATTTTACTTGTACTAAAAAACATGGTGTCTTTGCGAAATATGATAAAGTCTCTTTATTATCTGAACCATCAAACTTTTCAAAAGTTTCATCTTCTCTTCAAATTTGTTATTAAAATATTAAATTGAAATAGAAATAAATAAATAAATAATTTTCATTTTACTTTTTATTTATAATTATTTTAATAATATATAATTGAGAATTATTTATTTATTTATTAATTAGATCACAATGTAGGAGCATACAAGAATGATTTGATCAAATCAAAATTTTTCAAAGTATGATGATCTGCACAATTTTGGTGTTCACTATCGTATATTGAGAGTATACAAGGAAATGAAACCATTTTGTTGAAATAGAGATTTATTATGTGGTTGATGGGATAGTTTGTTGTAAAAAACCACCAACAACAACAACACTAAGCACTAGGCTAGATTTGGAATTAAAATGGTGCATTTTGCAATGGTGGTTTTGATCATCAAATCATTTTGGTTCTGGAGAGTGGGGGTATTCCAAATGGGATGGTTTGATCAATCAATTAAATTTTTATGAATAATTTTTGGTATTATATTCAACATGAAACAGGACTCTACTAGTGTCATTATTAATTTTGTTTAAATAATAAGTAACAATAATATTATTATTAATTTTTTCAAAATGCAACAAGAAGATAATGAAAATCCAATAGATTATTTTTTAAATTCTCATTATCTAAGATCAAGTGTATACATTCATGTTGGATTTAGAAGAGATATTATAGTTCAATTGCAAAATTTTAAACAACTACAAGCCAGAATTAAAACAGTGACACAAGAGTCTGAAAGATACAAAGAGACATCAAAATATTTTAGTGAAGAAATGAAAAAGTATCAAGAGATGGTTCAGGAATTAAACCAAGATAGAGAGTCAATGATGGAAATGATGGATAGAGTCAAACAAGAGAGGGCACGTTTCATGACAGAAAATTCCAAGAACCAACAAATGTCAATTGAAATGTCACAACAACTAGAGATGGAAAGAAACAAGATCCAATCGCTATCATCAAAATTGGACAATGACAATAAAAAGTGGGAGGATCGTATCAACCATTTCTCGGCTGAAAAGAAAAAGTTGGAATCAATGACTGAATCATTAGAGAATGATCGTAAGAGATGGAAAGATATAGCCGATGAAATTGACCAAAACAACTCCAAGCTGTCATCTGATTTAAAAAACAACAAGGAAAAGTATAAGAAATTGGAAGAAAGATTTGCAGTCTATGAAAAACTCACCAAACAAATGTTCAAGTTTATCAAATCAGATACTGGTAGAGACATATTCTATGCCTATTGCAAGAGAAACAAGGTCTATGTTCCAGAGGATATCGATCAATATGATGATATGTTGGATATCCTAGAGGTTGATGACTGTGTAGACTATGTCATTGAAAAACAATCTCCAGCCATTCAAGACAAACATAGACCTTCCACCAATCTACTTGAAGAATCATTTAGTGAATTGGTTCAATTACCAAGTCCATTTAGTAGAAACAAGATTTTGGATTTTAATCATGATGAAGAAGATGAAGAATATGAATATGAAGATGAAGATAAAAAGTCTGATGATTCTGACCATTCAGATGATTGGGTTCCTGAACCAATTAAAAAAGCTACACCAACCAAATCAGTTGAATTTCCAAAACGACCACAACCAATTCTAGTAGGTAGTCGTGTTTCAATTTCAGATAGTCCACATCTTGGTAAAGGAACAGTTAGATTCTATGGGTTTAAAAGAGATCTAGACCATTTAAAGACACCAATCGTTGGAATTGAATTGTTTGATAAAAAAGGTATAAATGATGGTACTGAAAATGGACATTATTACTTTTCATGTCCTCCAAACCATGGTATCTTTGTTGACCCATCAAATGTAATCATTGAATCTCTACCAAAATGGTCCACCCCAACAAAAAGAATAGTTAACAACAATTTCATCAACAACAATACAAAATCCTCATCTACTTCAATTGGTAAATTAAAGGAAAACAACAAGGATAATTTAAATATTCAATTCTCTTCAATGACTTTATCAATCACTGAAAAAAAATGAATCTCTCAATCAACCATTAAATAATATTATTAACAAAAAATGTGTTGTTTTATTTGAAATAGAAATAAAATTTATAGATTTTGGTTGATTCAATATTGATTATTATTCAACTCTGTGATAATAATAATTATTATTTAATTCTATTAAAATAATATGTTAAATCGGTATTTTTAAATTGTGGAATATTATGTTGTAATTTTGAGAGGAAGGATTCATTCAGATGCACCAAACACATTTTTGGAATGACAGCTGTCCGATGAGATTGTCAAGTACACGTTCAATCTTTTGATGAGGGAACCACTTTACACCACCAAGTTGTGGTGGTTTGCTCGAAACAATTCGTTTGGGATCTTTAATCGATGCTATATAATCGAATAGTTGAAAATTACCAGCAATGATTGCACCTCCCAGAGCATAGAGATCGCAACATCGTTTGGTTTCCACCAAATATTTAATCATAAAGTTATCAGTTGGTGAGCCAATGTAACAAAGCGTCTCTATACCATCCATTGTCTCTTGATACTTTGTTGGGTGATTTCTACCGCGGTGGATAAGCACCTTTGCACCGATTTCCATGTTTGAGGCATTCTTCAGCTCCCAGTCACCAAGTTGTTTGAGGTACTCTGGTTTGTGTTTGGCAAAATACAGCAGCGCCGCGGGGTCTATGACACTGGCATTTGTCACCAATATATCCTCGATCATCTCGTCGGTAATGATTCCTCTTTCGACAAAGTAGGCAAATACATCCTCGTGGAATAAATCCACCGACAATGGTGAAAACTGTCGCAACGAGTACGGGTCGATTTCTTCAAATACCTTGACTTGTTCAAGAGTTGCTGGAGAGGAAACAAAAATAGAGACGTAGAGGTGGGAATCGCGCAGATTCAGGCTAGCCAGTTTACACAAGCCAACCAAGTATTAAAGTACTGGTTTACTAGTCACACCAAGCTCGATGATTGCTCGAATAGCAACCGAGTGTATTCTTTGCTTCAAATTGAGTTTTGCATTATTGTTATCTTGTGCCAATATCTCCAATGCCAGAAGCATATTATATAATGGTTGGTATTGTGATGGGATGATGCAGAGGTTGTTATTGTTTTGTGTCATGATTAAATTTGTTATTTTGTTGTGTAATATTTGTGCTTGTTCTGATGACCGATTGAAAATGTATGGAAGAATCGATCCAATCTTTTCAAAAATAGAATCACATCCTTTTGATTTGGCCGTCATTCCATTTGGCATGCACGGTACTGGACGTTGGAAAGGATTTAAAAAGTATACAACCGACCATACAAATTCAATCTTGTCCATACTGCTGTCAGCAGCAAAGTATGTTGATTTATGAGATAGGTATTCTTTGATGAGGTCTACATCCAAAGAACAAAGAATAGATATCCCATCGATACACTTTGCATCGACGGCAAGGGGGTCAGTGGCGACTCGACTGAGAAAGTATTCGATTACTTGTAGGCTTTGTGATCGACACATTGCCCCAGGCTTCCGATTCCACTCGGTAGCAATGTTACATGATTCAATGTTTTCGTCCAGGTACTTGACCAATTCCAATGATCCCGACTCCATTGCATTTACAATGGCATCACGTAAAAGGTATATTTTTCCACCATCGAGGGCTTCCGTCGTTTGTGCTGTTTCCTTGATGATGCATTTAACCATCTCCAAATCACCACCAAGACATGATGCCACCACGTCAACTAATGAAAATGGTTTGGTACATTGTATACAATGTCTTTTGATCAGTCTTGTAGATAGACGTCTATCATCTTTGGCTAGTAACAGAGACTGTATCGGAAAGTTGGGGTACCCCAACTCATTTAAATGGTCACATCTATCTAGTTTGTAGTGTAATAGATTCGTATAACCATTACCAAGTATCCATTCAATATTTACTATTTGGTTGTATTTGTAAATGACTGGTTGGTGACGAGAACATATTCTTTGGTCTAGAGCTAATTTAAATTTTAAACTAGATATAGATATATCATGTATATTTGATAGTATCTTTGATAATAAATATCTATTACTAAATACTGATTGAATAATAACCTACTTTTGTATGTTATCAAAAAAAAGAGAAAGAGAGAGCGTTAATCACGTTATCTATCTATAGAGGTGATTCATTTATTCATTCATTTATTCATTCATTCATGCTTTCTAAAAGTACTTACATTTGTAACATATATCCTGCTGTCTAATTTTGGTTTAGCTTTAATATCTAATACATCCATCTCTCTTTTATTTGACTATCATTCTTTCTTGACTCATTGCAATAAACAACGATCTCTTTTCACTTCACATTTTACAAAAAATTATTGTGGTTCCGATTATCTAGATCGAATTCTAGCGCTAGCTGCCATGGCGACATACCCCCATAAGAGATCATTCATTTTCGGCATATATGCAATAAACACGTACTTTTTGGTTGATTTACAAATCTGGAGGATCTCTTCATTCTTAAATATTATCCCCTCAACCTGAACAGATTGTTTTGTAAATTGACCAAACAGAGTTTTGTAAATTGACCAAAACAATTTTTTTTTTTGTTTGTGATTTCACAAACTATTTAAGGAAGAACTACCATATGATCAGAGTTTCAATATAATACTTATATAAACAAACTAGTATAAATGGAGAAAGAAAACAACCAACAAGAACAAGAAATACCAAAAATTCCATATAACAAGGAAGCTCATCATGAGAAGGCCCTTATAGAATCTGGACACATATTGGATGGTCCCTATACTCTCCAACCTGGTCAAGAAATGAAAAAAATTAAAACCTACTCTTACGACAAGTATGCATCTCCCTTTATACTTTATTATTATGATTAATATTAACTCTCTTTACTTTTTTTTGTTTTTATAGGACCAGATTGACAATCATTAATGATACTCAAGACAGAATCGCCGAGTCAGAGTATAGTGTAACCCACTTTGGAACCCACATTTTCAGAGTGTACCCCCAAACGACTGAATACATTTCAGAATATTGGGCTGGTTATGGATTGGACTTGAAAAATATTGGTGAAGTTCCTTTCCGTTTTACGATAACATAACCCTAAATTCCCTTTTTATTTTAACACCGTTGGGAGACCGTCTGATAAAAATGAAGGTGGTGCAAAGAGCTCTTTTGAACAGAAACCAAACAAACTGTTAATCATAATAAATTTATGTTTTGATAAACAATCCTTTTTTTTTTTTTTTTTTTTTTAATCGGAGTAGACAATGGTTGCATTCTTTGAGAATATTCCTACCATGGCAGGAATGGCTGCGAAACGGAGTGATCTCACAAGCAATGTCCATTCGCCCGATGAGATATTTTGAATAAAATACTTAAAATAATACACACTTTTATAAAAAAAATGAAATATAAAAGTATATTTTAATTATAATATCTCTCTCTTTCTCTCTCTATAGGGTTCAGGAACAGTTCTAAAAATAAAATCTCCTCTTCTTCTTCATCACTACCAAACTCTGGTATTATTGGTGCAAACGTTTCAATATCTACATCATCTTGTTCGATGATTTGTTGCCTTGGTCTAGCTGACATTGAACCTCCTTTACCCAATGATTCCATTACCAATGGTGGTTTGATATGTTGTTGTTGTTGCAGTACTTTCATCATCCGAATACTTTGTATCAAACTCATCCTCTAATTCTCGATATTCTTCATTTTCCTCCAATTCTGAAAAGTCTGGTGTAAATGCACTCCAAGTATCTGTATAAATAGTTGACCATATAAATAATACTAGTTAAACTAATTATCAATAATAAATAAATTAAATTAAATTAGTATTTAATAGTTTGAATTAAATTTGATTTGATTTAGACTTACACAAATAAATTGAAAACCTTTTATTTTGGACCTTCGAGATCTTTTACAAGACCACCAGAAACACTCCAACAAAATATACTATGCATTGATTGATTTGTGTTGCATACCTGCAACTAGGTATTCAGAGTTGTTAGAAACAACATTTCTTCCATTGTGCACAACGGTTGACACTGTCGTGGCCGGTATTCTCTGACCACTACAAATGCTTCGAGTGAGTACAATCGGATAACCTTGTTGGTTGCATTAACCAACATGTACTTTCCGTCCCTTGAAAATTCAATCTCTTTGATTGCAGCCGACCCAAAACAAGACGCCTTTTCACCTCTCTCTCAAATGGTAACTTGGTTGATGCAGTTGAATCTTGTTTTATGTTGTGTTGTACTATTATAAAATAATAGATCTTTCCAACTATAACTTGCTATGATTTCATTTGTACTTGTTAGTTGATCGGTTTGATTTGTTGTCGACGTAGTTGGCAGTAGATGAAGAGTTGGTTGTTGTATTATTATTATTGTTATTATTATTATAAATATTTTTTGATTGTTATTGTAGTGCAAAGTACGTTTATGTTCAATACATTTAGATGATGATCTCTATATGATATGTGATCAAACTTGATAATTATTAATGCTCACACCATTTGCATATGGTGGTAAACATCAAAAAAAATAAATAAATAGTCAAATTTTGATGTTCATCACAGCTAGCTGCATCGATCTATTGGTATAATAATAATATGAGTATACAAGGATATGAAAACTCCATTGTTGTTGAAATAGAGAGATTTATTATGTGGTTGATGAGATGGGATAGTTTGTTGTAAATTTAACCACCAACACAAACTAGATTTGGAATCATTTTGGTGCATTTTGCAATGGTGGTTTTGATCATCAAATCATTTTGGTTCTGGAGAGTGGGGGTATTCCAAATGGGATGGTTTGATCAATGTAATAATCAATTAAATTTAATTGATTGATCAATTCATATTCAATATGATATTATTATTATTAATACAGAAAGACCTCTCATTATTTAATTTGTTTAAGTAACCATAATATTTAATTTTTTCAAAATGCAACAAGAAGATAATGAAAATCCAATCGATTATTTTTTAAATTCTCATTATCTAAGATCAAGTGTATACATTCATGTTGGATTTAGAAGAGAAATTTTAGTGCAATTGGAACATTTTAAAAAACTACAAGCTAGAATTAAAACAGTGACACAAGAGTCTGAAAGATACAAAGAGACATCAAAATATTTTAGTGAAGAAATGAAAAAGTATCAAGAGATGGTTCAGGAATTAAACCAAGATAGAGAGTCAATGATGGAAATGATGGATAGAGTCAAACAAGAGAGATCACGTTTCATGACAGAAAATTCCAAGAACCAACAAATGTCAATTGAAATGTCACAACTACTGGAGATGGAAAGAAACAAGATCCAATCGCTATCAAATAAATTGGACAATGACAATAAAAAGTGGGAGGATCGTATCAACCATTTCTCGGCTGAAAAGAAAAAGTTGGAATCAATGACTGAATCATTAGAGAATGATCGTAAGAGATGGAAAGATATAGCCGATGAAATTGACCAAAACAACTCCAAGCTGTCATCTGATTTAAAAAACAACAAGGAAAAGTATAAGAAATTGGAAGAGAGATTTCAGGTCTATGAAAAACTCACCAAACAAATGTTCAAGTTTATCAAATCAGATACTGGTAGAGACATATTCTATGCCTATTGCAAGAGAAACAAGGTCTATGTTCCAGAAGATATTGATCAATACGATGATTTGTTGGATATCCTAGAGGTTGATGACTGTGTAGACTATGTCATTGAAAAACAATCTCCAGCCATTCAAGACAAGCATAGACCTTCCACCAATCTACTTGAAGAATCATTTAGTGAATTGGCTCAATTACCAAGTCCATTAAGTAGAAACAAAATTTTGGAATTTAATCAAGACGAAAAAGAAGAATATGATGAAGATGAAGAATATGATGATGATGAAGAACATGATGATGATGATGATGATGATAAAGAAGAATATGATGAAGATGATGATGAAAAGTCTGAAGATTCAGATGATTGGGTTCTCGAACCAATTAAAAAAGCTACACCAACCAAATCATTGGAATTTCCACAACCACAAGTGGGTGGTCGTGTTGCCATATCAGAGAATCCACATCAAGAAAAGGATAACAACAACAACAAGGACAATTTAAATATTCAATTCTCTTCAATGACTTTATCAGTCAATGAAAAAAAAAAGAATCTCTAAATCAACTGTTCAATTATGTATAATGTTTGCAGTATTACTATTATTACTTTTATAGATATAAAACAAATAAATAAATAAACAAATGAAATGTGAAATTTACATCAGTAAAGGTTTGTCCTTTTGGATCGATGAGCTTTCTCCGAAAAATCGTCAGTGAGAGTTTTTTTATTAAGCTTTTTTGGCAGGACAACCACATGATCAAGCGGGTTTTATTAGTCTAAAAACTTCGTTGCAACTTTTCTCTATATCTATCTCTGTGTCTATCTATCTATCTATCGATCTATCTATGTTTTGGTACAAGTTACAGATAAAGTAAAGAAGAAAAGATACTATCCAGTTAACACTATATTATATAATAATATAATGTTAAAGGTTAGACATCGACAATGGAGGTCAATACCTCCACAGTCACTCCGACTACTACAATACAACAACAACAACAACAACAAAACAAACACGATATATCATAGCAATAGCACTACTATTACTACCACACGACTACTACTACTACTTTATTTACTCATATGTATTTCATATATATATAATCCAAATTCACACATTGCTTTTGCATCTTCAACAAACGCCACTACTACTACAACAACTGAATGTAGTAGTAATATTAATAATAATAGTACTACTAATCATTATAGTAATAACATAGAATTTCACCAAAGTCATTTAAACTTTATAACAGCGTTATCATCTGCTACAACTACAAATAGCAATGAACAAAGAAGATCTTCATCTTCTACTACTACTACTACTACGACATCATATGATGATCAACAACAACAACAATATATAATAATGTTTAAAGAATATTATGATCAAGATAAACATTTAAGTTTATTAAAATCAATATTTAAGAATAGTAATAATAATAAGAGTGATAGATTATATCAATTAAAATGGAAATATATTAAAAGAGTAAATGGAGCATCACATTTACCATCAGATTTTGCTTTGGTATCATTTCATCTAAGGCATACACATAATAATCAACGGTTTATAGATAATACAATCATCAGTCTAATGATTGATGATATTGTAAAGAATCATTTAGATATAATTAAATATATATTTCCTGATCGAATTATTAAAGGAGGTCAAAGTCAATCAAATGACAACAACCCCGAAACAACGACAACAACAACGCATCAACATCAACTATTTGGAATGACAAGTAGAACTTTATTAAAAACACAACAAGAAATTGAAACAACAAATGAAAATAGCAATGACAATCAAGAAGAAGAAGAAGAAGAAGAAGAAGAAGAAACGACATCTTCATCATTAAATCCAACTACATCTTCATCATCTACTTCTAATATTTTACATTTTAAAAATGGTAGAATTAATGATAAAATGATAAAAGATCAACCATATCAAACTGCAGGACCAAGATATCCATCAAGAAGAGAATTATTTGATGCATCAGACAAACATGTACTGGTGAGTGATTTAATTGGAGCAACTACACTTTGGGAGATGGGATACACTGGAACTGGAACGAGAATTGGTATTTTTGATAGTGGTTTCCTATCAACACTTTCTGGATCGTTTGGTCAATCGGTAGAGGTTCAAGACTTTACCGGTGAAGGACAAGATCAAGATAAAATTGGTCATGGAACTGCTGTCACTAGTATTATAGGGTGTTTGCTTGATCGCAAATGTCATGGTATTGCTAGTGGTGCTACACTCGACATGTACAAAGTATTTACACAAAATGCAGAGTCGAGGACCAGTTGGTTTATCGATGGATTCAATTTGGCCATCTCCAAACAAACAAATATTATAAACCTTTCGGTAGGAGGTAAAGACTATCTCGACAAACCATTTATAGATAAAATTAAAGAATTACATTCACTTGGTATAATTATAGTTTCTGCTTCTGGAAATGATGGTCCAAATTTTGGGTAAATTAAAAAAAAAAAAAATAGAAAAAGAAATATATATTTACTTTACTTTACTCTACTCTACTCTACTCTATAGAACACATAGTAATCCAGCAGATCAATTAGAAGTAATTGGAGTTGGATCAATAACAGAAAATTTGGATATAGCTAAATTTTCATCAAGAGGATTTACAAATTGGGAGTTACAAGATGGACATGGTAGATTTAAACCAGATTTGGTTACTTATGGAGAAAGAGTATATGCATTGCAAATGTCATCTGGAGAGTTGGAATGTAAAGAGAGATCAGGTACAAGTTTTTCTGCACCCATTGTTAGTGGTGCGATTGCACTATTACTTAGTAGTTTGACAGATGCACAGAGAAAACTGGCAACTCCTTCATTGGTCAAACAAGTTTTAATAGAGAGTTCACATGTTTTAAAGATTCGTGGTGGCAGTAAAAAACTTAGTTTATTGGAACAGGGTGGAGGTGTGTTGGATGTAGTCAATGCACATCGTATCTTGTCCAAACGATTGAGTTCGAAAAAAGAGGCAGATCGTAAGAAATTCACTGTTCATCCACCAGCCATCTCGTTTGGTTCGGAAGAGTGTCCATACTTTTGGCCATACTGTGCACAACCATTGTATTATGGTGCGTTACCGACTGTGGTCAATGTATCATTGTATGGTAGTGAGACAAAAACATACAAGGTAAAGAGTGTGGAATGGTTACCTGATAATACAGCTTATAATCCTGTTGGGATTGACTCGTCACATGCAGAGATGGTTGGTGCAACTGGACATATCGGTCTACACATCTTTGTACATACGGCAGTACGTAGTGACACGAATATCACTGGACAGGTAGAAATACACATTGAAGGCGTACCAAAGTTCTCCATATCGATTCGTGTACCTGTGATTGTTACACCACCACGCCAACAACGTATTTTGTGGGACCAATTCCACAACATGAAGTATCCACAAGGATACTTTCCAAGTGACCATATTCTCTATGACTATGATTCGCAGAGTCTCCTCGAATTGTTTGATTGGGCACCCGACCACCCTCACAGCAACTTTAAAGGGTTGTTTGAACGGTTACGTGCACGTGGATACTATATGGAGATATCGACCAAGCCACTAACTTGTTTTGATGCTCGTAACTATGGTACTCTGTTAATAGTCGACCCCGAAGAAGAGTTTCATCCAATTGAAGCTAAAAAGCTTGAAGAAGATATTAGCAGTCGAGGACTAAACGTCATTGTAGTTGGAGACTGGCACAACCACGATATGTTGCGACGGTTCACCATTGACGATGCCGGAACAATCTGGAAGCCCGTCACGGGCGGTGCCAACGTCCCTGCCATCAATGACCTGCTCTTTCCATACGGTATCTTGCTCGGTGACACTGTCTATGATGGTGCCATCACCATTGGTGACAACCAAACCTACTATTCTTCAGGCTCCCACATTATCGGTTTTCCACACCAAAACAGTGTACTCGTCTATGCCAAACTCAACGATCAATCTCACTATATCATGACCAACGAGAAGCGTAGCAAAAATATCCCTATTCTTGGATTCCACACACCACCTGTCATGGAAATTGACAAGACTCTTCAAGGTTCCGCTACTTTTGATGAACAACAAGATAGTGGAGAACATTGGGACACTGTGAATTCACAACAATCATCACAGTCGCAATCATCACAATCACAATTGTCAGATGCAAGTGATGAAAATGATGCATTGGCAGGGACCATTGCAGTATTTGGAGATTCAAGTTGTTTGGATCAATCAACATTTTGTTTTGATGGTAACTGTAATACAAATGGACATGCATCACGTCCAAATTGCTTTTGGATGATTGAAAAGATATTCGAAGTGATTCATCATGGTGGAGACCCACACAAGGTGTTTCATGGAGCAACAGGTGTGTTGGTTGAAGATATGTATCCGACTGAACACGACCCAAACAGTGGTGGTATTATCTTTTTACCCGAAAGATTTAATATTGCTGATCTTGCTAATCAGTCTCGCATCATTCCAGATGGATCGGCCGACACTATGATCAGTTGTCCTAGTCATCCACAAATCAAGAACCCAACCTACCGTATTTCACTCTACGGTACAATGAGCCACATCAAATTGTCTCCCCACGTACAATCATATGCTGCCGTCGAATGGAAAGACAGAGTTATCCCCCAACGAGTCATCCTAGACAGAGCCGAACAAGCTCAATACCCAGACCGAATCCTCTACTATTACGCCATCCCCTACTTTTTTGTAATCATCATCTTTTTACTTTTGATCATTAGTTTGACTCAAAGTAGAAGAAAGAAACAACAATTACAACAATTATTACAACAACAACAACAACAACAACAAAAATCAAAGAAAATTTATCCAATCGTCTAAGAGAAAAGAGAGAAAGAGAAAGAGAAAGAAAGAAAGTAAAAACCGGGAAAACGAAATGGATGGGATCACATTAATCAAAATCAAATTTGTGATCTAGATATTTATTTTTTTAAACGATAACTTTCGTTCATTTAAATGAACGACAATGGCCCACAAGATTTAGGTATCGGGTGGATTCTAATAAACACCTCCCCATCATTATCATCTGAAAACATTCATGTTTTTTTTGTAGTAGATAGATAGATAGATAGATAATCCCAAATGATTAAATACTTTTATACTTTGGTTAATATATATAAATTTATTTTATTGTTTATGGGGATTAAAAAAATGGGATGATGGTCTTCTAACATCACATCCACACTGAATGCACCGGGAACTTCTTTCGCATACATTGCAAAGATTTCTACACGCATTGCACAGATCTTGCTAAAGAATAGTCCTTAGGCCAGTACATTTTCCTAAAAATGAACAAAAAAGAAAAAAAGAAAAAGATATATATGATCAAAAAGAAAGAAAGAAAGAAAGAAATAAGTTAATATTGTGTAAAAAGATTTATGAGATTTTTATAGTTTTTTTATAAAATATATTACCAATTTGAACATTAAAAATGAGTGCCGGTTGGATTGACAGGTCATCTTTTGGACTGCGAACGCGATATTAAAAAATCATAATAACATTTCTTTAATAACCATTGTTGATTTGAATAAATAGATAAATAGATTACTATAAGGTTTAAAAAAAAAAAAAAAAATAATCTAACCCAAAATCTTATCTCTTTTCTTTGTCTCTCTTTCTTTGTCTCTTTGATTATCTGTATACAGATCTGTGAATGACATTGAGTATTGTTGTTGGTTGTTGTTGAAAGAACAAGAAGAAGAAAGAGATGAACTAAAAAATGATTTTGGAGATCCTCTCAGCGTCTTTAAATGTTTTGTGTTTTTGCTTAAACAAAACAACAAATTAGTAAATAATCTTTCAGAGACAAACGATTCAGCGCACACGCAGGTTCACACCCAATATTGGCGGCTCACAAAGAGAGAGAAGAGAAATGTTGAGTATCTTTCTATTGAATGGTGAATCTTGAAAAACGGATTTTTAGATTCGACCGCCTGCCCCCCCCTCTGACCACCCTTAGGCTCATCTTTGAATTAGAAAAAGGAAAAAATTGATGGGGCGTTTCTGTCTATTTTTTTTTTCTGATTCGGTCTTTGGTTGCACGTCTCTGCTTGGAGAGCATTCCCTCGCAAACAATCCCCGATCAGTAATTGGTCACTGCTATTGAATGGATGTCTCTCTCTCTCACTCTCTCTTTGTGTCTTGGCCTGCAAACGAGTTATGATAATAACAACCCCTCGCACCATGCTAAGAGGATCCTCTTAGGCATGACTAAAGAAAGAGAGATCGCTCCACTCTCGACGTGGTGATTGAAAGCCATAAACAAACAATGTCCGTCCAGTCTACCAACCTATCACCCACCATCTCAGCACAGAGTAGGTAGACTAGATTTTTTAAATCGTAACAATGATAATAAATCAAGGGTTAGCTCTATGATGATCGACAGTTACCTTTTAAAGACCTGTTTTTTTTTTTTTTTTTACAATTGTGAGAGCCTATGCATATCATATTGTAGGGCTAGCTAAAGATACCCAACTCTTTTAATAATAATAGAAGTTTAGTACTATTATCATCATCATATCTCATCATGGGTATAAAGATAGATAAAAGAGTCTAAGTCTATCAATATATCGTTTCAAAAACAAGATTGATATCTTAAAAGTGGTGAAGGAGGAAACAGGAGGGTAGAGGATCCTACCCTACCCTAACAAAGGATGATGAATATGACGATTATGATGGTTTATCTGTTTTCAATAACAAAGAGACTTTCACAGTGCGCCACCTCACTTTATTTTCCCTCCTTGGAATAGACTGTCTACACCCCATCAATAATTTCGACCTCGTCAAGTGATAGAAGGGATCTCTTAATTCCAGGCATAATGCTGTCGTGCACCACATGCGTATCTTTAAATCAATTCAAAGATTTTTTAAAGGGAAGGGCCGCGGTTTATCTCTAATTTCAGTGGTGCAAGGTACATATCCGCCTTCATCTCTTTTTTTTTTCGATCCCCAAATTGGGCTCAGTTCTCTCTTTAAATTTATATTTTTATTTATTTTTTCTTTTCTTTTTGTCTTTTTTTGTTTGAACTTACACCTATTTTTTTTTCTAAACAACTCTATACTTTTTTTTTTTGGTACATAATTATTATTATTATTTAATTTTTATTTGTGATTTATATTTTCTTTTTTTTTTTTTCATTTTCATTACTATTATAGGTTTCCTTAGATTTATTGTACTGGTAAAACAATTGGATCAATTGGAGCAATACCAGTCATTTCCTTTAGTTTTGAATCAAAGTCTTGGTCTTGTTCTTGAGCTGGCTTTGCATACTTTGAGGACTTGTTAAAGGCATCATCCTTTTGCTTCTTGGAGTACATGATGGTCTCGCTCTCGACTGGATGCATATGAGGTTGTTCGACATCTGCTGGTGCTGGAGCTGCTGCCTTGAGGTCTGGAAGGAACACCCACAACGATGCCGTGGTAAAGACACCGAATCCACCAAAGATCCAAAACATTGTGCTTTGTCCGAGATACTTGACGACAGTCAAGAAAACAAAGGCAAGGATTAAATTGAATAACCATTGGAATGCATTAATCACTGGTTGTGCAGTTGCTTTAATATCTTCTGGCATAATTTCATTTACTACAAACCAAAACTAAAATTAAAAGTATAAATAAAATTGATTTGATTGATTTTTTTTTTTTTGTTTTTTCTATTTTATCTATCTTACCAAAGTACCAATAGAAGCTTCAAAAGCACCGACAAAGATGAAAAGGAAAACTACAGATACCCAACCAGCAGCAGAGTTTGATGAACCTGTAAGGAAAACAATGGCAATGATGATATCAGAGATGGTCATGATGATGGAGCCAGTAATCAATAGTTTTTTGCGACCAACTCTTTCGACCAAAAACATTGCAATCAAGGTAGTACCGACATTCCAAACTTGGAGAATGACAGCTGCAATATCAGGACCATTCTTTCCAGAGATACCAGCATCTCTAAAGATGTTTGGTGAAAAGTACATAAATGCATTGATACCGGTCAATTGGAGAAGGATGGCCAAACAAACACCCAAAAACATTGGTTTACGAGACGACTTGTTAAAGAGCATAGCAAATCTATTTTGACTGCCGACGGTGGCTCTACTAGCTACAGCTACTCCACTTCTTTGCTCAGCCTTTTTCATCAAGAATACTGGTGATTCATTCATCAATACCCAACATACAAACAACATGACACCTGGTACTGCTCCAATTGCAAACATCCATCTCCAATAACTACCTGCTTCCTTTAATGCCAAACCAATTCCATTTGCAAGTAAAATTCCAACTGTAATTCCAATCTAAAAAATAAAAATAAAAGAAAATAAATTAATTAATAAAAGGTTAGTTTCTGATTATTTGATTTGATTATAGATATTTACTTGGAAGAAAGAACCACAAAAACTTTTCTTTTCTTTTGGAGCAGATTCAGCAACTAGAATTGGACATACTGATGAAGTACAACCAACTCCAATACCTAAAAGAAAACGTGTAATATTGATGGCTACAAGAGATGATACTGCACCCGATGCAACAGCTCCTCCAATTGTAATAAGTGCTACAAAAAATTTAAAAATAGAAAATATTAATATAAATTTATATTTATATTTGTTTGTTTTGAATGAATGTTATACATACAAGTAAATATAATAACAGGTTTTCTACCAATTTTATCAGCAACGACACCACCAGTCAAGGCACCAATCAAAGCACCCAATAAAATACTACATACTAAAATACCCTGGGGAATTACATCCAGTTCGAACAAGGCTGTAATTGGATCAAGTGCAAATGCAATAATACCTAGGGAAAAGAAAAAAAAAAGAAATAATTAATTTATATTTATATATTTTTTTTTATATTATACATACCAGCATTATAACCAAAAATTAAACCACCACACATACTAATGGTAATCAAGAAATAGGTGCTCTGAGCTATTCTTTGTCTTAAACCATTTTCACGGGGATGGGTAATACGACGATGAAAATCCATCTCGGAAGATGGAGATGAAGTGGATGGTGTATTATCACCTTCATTAATTTGATAATTTTCAGTGACTGTCATTTTATATTATTTATATATTTTATAGATATTATTATTATTATTATTATTATTATTATATTTCTATATATAAATATATTTCTTTTAAAACATTACAATAAATAAATAAAAATAGAAAAAAAAACTATATAATTAAAATTACAAAAATAATATTATTATTGTTATTATTATTATTATTATTATTGGAATAGATAGATTAAACTTGTGATTCAATCTAGTGATATTAATAGGGATTAGGGATTTTGAATGGAAAAAAGAAAAAAAAAAAAAAAGATATTATAAAATTCAAAATTTATAAATAAAGAAATGGGTAATGTGGTGTAAGCAATAAAGAGAGAGATTAGTGATGAGTGTTGGATTTAATATTGGTATTAATATTTTGATTTTTCTTTTTGTTTTTTTTTTACATACAATATGAAATTGTTGTTGAAAATATATTACACAATGAGTAAGTAAATATTATTAATCTATTGTACAATCTGTATCCTTGTCCTCTTTGTTTGTGTGTTATGTATTAATAAAAATATTAATATTATTACAGTATTCCCTTCTTCTAGTTCTTTTTTATTTGAATGGGAATGAAAAATAGTCAATCGCAATCTAGTTGGTCAATGACAAAATGGTTGAAGGTCAATTGGACGATCACTAAATAGATTATGTAAAAAAGAAAAAGAAAAAAAAAAGAGTTAACTTTTTGTCTCTCAGACAGTCTACCCGAAAAGTCGGGACCAAAGTGATCAATTGTCCAATGAAAGGGCAATGACCATCATCATCATTATTATTATTATTACGTACCAATGAAAGTGTAGGCGCAGGAATTCGTGTGTGGGAAAAATCGACCGAGTTGTATCTTCTTTTTTGACCTTTCAGAAAAATCTGTGCAAAGAAATCAGGATCTGTTAATTCAATCTTCTTCCTCTTCTTATCAATACAAGAATGAATAGAATTAAGGTGGGTTGGTTGTCTGAATAGGGAGGGATTAAATAAATATAATAAATGTGAATAAATTAAATTGAAAATGAAATTGAATTATCTGTTGTTGTTGCTTATGACAGTTATCACCATTCAATTCCGGTAATATAATGTAGTTGTTGTTTGATATGATATTTAGTGGTGGTGGTGGATGGTGGATGGTGGATGGTGGTAGATCGGTAATGCTATTGCCATAACAAATACACAATGATAGTAATAATAATAATCATATCATATCATATCATATCATATAACAGAGAGAGAAATAATATTCAATTATCTGTTTTTCACCACACTTACAGTGTGGTGTGGATAGGGGTTCTTCAATAGAATGCATTACCGCTTATGATAATATATTGTAAGGTGCACCAAAAAAATATCCTCACAATGAGACCGTTCTATTTTACATGTCCCCGCCCGCCCGGGTAACATCAATAAATATATTACCTTTTAAAAATATTATTTACTTTTTTTCGATATCGGGCCAATTTATTGATATTGTACTATTGCAATAACGACTATATTCAAATTCAATTGAATTGTAGTATAGGGTGTGGGTATAGGGTGTATGTATGATTTGTATAATCTATCTATCTATTTTATGTGTTGGAAATTTCGGAATCAAGTGTAATTTGACAAGATCATTTCCATGTTTATTCGATTGTTGTTGTGGTGGTAGTGGTAGTAGTAGTGGTTATGAAAATGAAGATTTATGTGTATGAAATAATCATATTACCTTTTGTTGATTTACTCTTTTTTTCTATATTGTGTTGCGTGTTGGGTTCGGTTAGGGTTAAAATCTACTATTTGAATCGATTCTATTTAATTACTCTACTATTACTATTACTATTACTATCTCGGTATAACAACGGTTCTAACAACATTTATTTATCTCTCTCTCTTCTTCTCGTCTCTCTCGTTTGAAAGAAAGAAAGTTCAATTATCAACTTTTGTTGGTTGCTAATTGCTTATGTGGTGAGATGCAAAGAGAAATAAGAACAAAATTTCTTTAGAATATCAAGATACCTCCCTCCCTACCCATGATTCGGTTCGGTTCGTTGATCAACGGTTTGATGTTGTCTGTCCAATAGATAGATAGATAGATTTTGAGCACTGTGATCATCAATGACTGGTCAAACCATATAGGGACAACGTTTGTCATATGGCACTTGGCAGCGCGATTGCATGGCGCCAGCCTTTTGCATTATTTTCACCTTTTCATACCTACCCACCCATGGTGAAAATTTCGTGATCTCTCCCATTGTGTACGTCATGTCTAGGAAACCAAGATCACTCACAAGGTTACAACTCTTCTTGAAAGGGTTTTTTGAGGGGATATAAGGTTGTTTTTTTATTATTATTTATTTATTTATTATTAGTATTGATTGACGATGATGATGTTTTTTGATTCGATTTGATTAATATTGTATTATTATTATTATTATTATTATAATTTGATTATCTATCTTGTATGTATATATATATATTATAGTACAATATAATAAGGGGTGTGTTTATATATGTGAATTATAGGTAGGATCTTCATATTTTAAATGTATTTTTAGGCATGAGGTGGATTATTATTATTATTATTATTATTATTATTATTATTATTATTATTATTATTATTATTATTATTATTATTATTATTATTATTATTATTATTTTGATCTAAACTATTATTTAAATCATGTGATATTGATAATTCACTTGATGATGCTGATTGATTTGAATTACGTCTACTAGTATTATGATGACTGGTATCATTGTTGTTATTGTTGTTACTTTGATGTAATATGTCATCACCACCATTAAAACTACTACGCCATCCATAGTTTTCCAAACTACCACTTGAAGCGTACAAAATATTCTTTGGTGAATGCCTTTTAACTTGAACATTGACCAATCCTCCTTGATCTGCTCCATTATTATTATTATTATTATTATTATTATTGTTATTATTATTATTATTAATATTATTATTATTATTATTATTTGGATCAAGATCATAAGATTTATCTAAATCTATATGATGATGTTGATTATTATTATTGTTGTTGTTATTATTATTTGATCTAATCATTGTCATTTCAATATTCTTTTGATTGGCTGTTTCGATCAATTCATTGGTCAGTTTTTCAATATGGTCTTTTCGATAGTACGCCTTTTTGTTGTAGAGTCGGATCAAGGAGACGACAGTGAGCGAGAAGAAAACTCCAGAGGGCACCCCACGACCCGATCAACTGGAGTAGTTGCGGACTCTGACGCATCTCTTGGGAATCGGTTATATCCATTCGAATGTATCCCTTGAACAAGAGTGGATCACCTGGTGTGAAATCTTCGGGACGTGCCATAATAGTGCCGACTGCAAAGAATTCGGAAAAGTGGTAATCAAATATATAACGTGGACCGTTGAATATAGTCTTTCTACGAATATAGACATCGACACGGTTCATAAAAGCCAGTACATTCTTCCAGTACAGTGAACGTGTGTTGTTGACTTGACTTGGTGGTTTGGAGAGATCCGGGTCTTTTGGAAAGATATCCACCTTTCGAGCAATCACACTGTACGATGGAATGGTTTCCATGATGATCAAGTTGAGTGACCCCGTCCAAAAGATATCATTGAATTCTTGGTCGGTTGCACATGTACAGGGAATCGATGTGTTGGTTGGACATTCACATCGGTTTACTTCAACTTCCAGGTAACTGTAGACCGGCAGCTCGAACGTGCCGACCAATTCAACCGACTCGTTTGGACATATGGCCTTGGTTGTCAATTTACTAATATTATTAGAAGAGCCTCCCGACACTGTATTTATACCATCAAACGAACATTCAACCGACGCTATACTTCTTCTGATTCTTGGCAGAGCATCTTGATTGAAAATAGTGATATATTTGTAGTGTACCTCTAATAGCGATGAATTTAATATGTCTTTGCCACTAGCATCTTTAAATAAAATACCAACTGGAGGTGATGAAAATGGTAAATATGAAGATGGTACTTCACTTGTATAAATAATTGATGGTACACCTAAAATTTAAAAAAAAATAAACAAAAATAATTAATAAATATAAATAAATAAATAAATACTACTTAAAATATTTGGTTGAGATTTACCTTTTGAGAATTGAGAAATAGTTAGAATAATGAAAAAAGCCATGATGAATAAAACAACCAAACTCCAGAGTATACCAACTTTGGATCGATGTGTTGGAGGTTCCTCCAAGATTGGAGCACCACCCAAATCAATATAATATAATTTCTGTCCATGTTTACGGGCAACCTTTGTGAATCGATTCACCTTTCCAAGTGTTTCAATTCCCATCTTTTTTGCTTTAATTTTAAATGTCATATTTTTTAAAAGTAAGTAAAATGAATGTTGATGATGATGATTGACCAGATCAATGATACAATAATAATAATAAAGTAGTCAAAAGTATACTTGATTTTTTTTTTTAAAACAAAATAAAAATAGAAATTCTATTTTTAAAAGACGACGAATGATGATGGTGATAATCAAATGTGGGTTGGGTACTGATTGAGCTATTGGTGATCAACAAACTGACTTTACTGTGTTTGTGTTTTGGCCCGTGCGTGTTTGTGTGTTGGTTGGTGTGTGCGTGCGCTGCTCGTTGAATGAACAGTGAAACGAATGTGGAATTACTACTACTACTACTACTACTACTTAATTTAATTTTAAAAGAAAAGCGATACACGATCGTATAAAGGATTGGGATGGATGGATGGACAGATGGACAGATGATGATGGACACAAAGAGAAAAAAAAAAAAAGAAAGTTGATCAATATACAAATGACAACAACAACCAGTAGCACATCATCACCTACCTTACCTTACCTCATCTACAACAGGTAATTAATGATCAATGATCGAATCTTTGAAAACACTGTATTTGACATTTGTGTGTATGTATAATCCCAAACTCCCAGAATTATTGGGCGACTCTTTCAACTTTGCCCCAATGATCATCCACAAAACGTTAAAAAAGGATAGGTGTTGGTGAACATTGAATTGATTGATGTTGACTATTTATGTGCTTACCCCTAAACACATAAAGAGGATTTCGATGAAGAGTGGCACTGAGCATGATAAACACAGATCTGAAAATAATTTGTTTAAACAAACATACCTATTTTAAAAAACCGAGTATTTCAAATGATGGTTGATCTTCAACAACAATAATGTAAAGTATATTCTTTTTTTTTTGACAAAATTCTATTTCTGTCAAATGCTGCTACTTTCTATTTTATCTATAAATGTATAAACTAAAATAAATAAAATAGAGATGGTTTGAACGAGTTCGCAGTGGATGCAAACGCCAAAGGAGGTCTCGAGAGGAAGCAAATTAATTTTATGATGAATTCGATAAGGGCTTTGATCATCGACCCTTGTCGTTGAAATTGTGGAGGTTGAACAAAGAGAGAGGGAGTGTCAAATATTCAGCTGCAGCGCACCTCTCCATACCAAATCATGGAACGGTTCGACGATCAGCTTTTAACCAGATTTTCTTCTTTGTTAAGCTTTAAAAATATCCCGGAGTTACCCAAGGGATGCAACCTGCAGGGGGTGCCACCTAAAAAATGAAAGAAAAAAACTCGATTGTCGTCATCTGAAACTCTATCATAGGGATCTGACACGTGTGATGATGATAAATCTAATTCCTTTTCTTTTCTTTTACCCATTATCCCCCAGAAAAATATAAAAGGTAATGACCAAATAAGTACATAAACATTTCAAGTTTCATTGTTGTTGGGTTTTACACAACCCATTGCCCTCATTGATTATAGCCAAGAAGAAGACAAAAGAGAGCGCTTTCCATTAATACTAGAGATAATTATCAACCACCCATGAGCCGAAGGGTCATAGAATCGAGAATTTTCTTCGGTGAGGCTCGTTTATATTTTTAGTTTGGTTGACTTTCATACCGATGCCTCTTTCAAGTTTTGGTTGATGTGAAGAGGAATCGGTGTTTTTGGTTTAATTCCTTGAAGGGTCAGGTCAACTTGTTGATAAATATCCTTGATGCTTACCCCCATTTAAAAGTTTGGTTGTTTCAAGAATACAATGTGTTTTGATTTTTTATTATTATTACTAATATTATTATTATTGTTGTTGTTGATGTTGGATGTTTGGTAAATGAATATGTATATATATAGTTTTGAGGAGGGTTGGGTCAGTTGAGGTGTGAGGGATGAAATGATTGATTGATTAGTTGGGGGTAGATTAGATTACTACATTGTTATTATTACTATTTATGATTTTTGACTATATACTACTATTACTATTACGAACTCTACTAAAATAACTACAATTATTATTATTATTACTATATTATTATTATTATATTATTATTTCTTTGCAGTGTAAGGTTTAATTTTCTTAACATCACTAACACCTTGGCCAGCCACCCATGGGTGATGAAGACATTGATCGATTGTGTATCTTTTGTCTGGACTCTTTTCCAATAGATGTGATACAAGGCTCTTGGCTTGATCCGATACTTCCAATCCCTCTGGCCATCCATAATCTACATTTCTAATCTTTTCATAAAGAACTGCATTATTTTTATCCCAGAATGGGAAACATCCAGTTAATCTAAAAATAAATAAACAAAAGAGTCAATAACTATATATTTCTTTTTCTATTTTCTTTTTCTTTTTCTATTTTCAATTTCATACAAAACATAAGTAATAACTCCAACACTCCATAAATCACAAGCTTCATCATAAGGTTTACATTCTAGAACCTCTGGTGCTACGTATTCGGGTGATCCGCAACATGTCTCTAGACAATCACCTTCACCAAATATTTTTGAAAGTCCAAAATCAGCCACTCTAATCTCGTCACCTTCATCTCCTGTACATAAAAGGTTTTGTGGCTTGAGGTCTCTATGAGCTATACCATTCTCATGTAGGTGACCAACGGCCGATACTATTTGTCTTACAATCTTGCAGGCATCGCCTTCAGAATATTCTCCTCTTTGAACTATCTTTTCAAATAATTCTCCTCCTTTAACTCTAAAATTTTAATAGAATAATCGATTGTGTTAATACCATAAATATATATATATATTGGTAATGAATAAATGAATGATTGATGATATAATCCAATCAATCAATCCTTCATCTTTAATCATATCATTATCCAATTGTGTTTTTGATTCCATTTTTTTTGATTTGTTTGTTTTCAAAACATACAATTCTAAAACCAAATGTAAATGTTTCTTTGTTTCATAGACTTCGTAGAGTTTTAGGATATTTGGATGGTCACCGACCTTTTTCATAATCTCTATTTCACGCATCAACAATTTGTTCTTGATGAATTGAGTCTTGATTGATTTGATGGCTACTCTTTCACCCGAGGCACGGTGAGTGGCCTCTCGGACAATCGAGAATGCTCCACGCCCTATTTCGTTGCCCAATGTATAGTTTTGATTCAATGGTCCTTCGTTGAGCATATCATCGTCGCCTTCATCACCTGATTCATCTGCTGAAAGGATTTCAACATCATCATCATCTGAACTATCCATTCTATCCATATTCATCTGTCTCTTCTTTAAAAAATTATACTATAACTAACTAATTAAATTATACTACTATATATATGTGTTTATATTCTTTAGAAAGAAAGAGAGAGAGAGAAAAAAGAATTAGTAACTACTTATTATTATTATTATTATTTTTGTTTTAGTATTTACAGGTGTTGTATGTATGTGGTATGTATGTATGTATGTTTATGTATTAACTATTTATATTCTATATTACAACAATTACAAATAAATAAATGAATTTATAATTAATACAATTTCTACTACTACTAAGACCGACTACTAATAATAATAAAAGACAATGTAAAGTATATGATGAATGACAAATGATGATTAAATAGATGGATGGGATAGATAGTTAATATCAAGTTTATCATGACATGTGCCAACCGTGTGAATCAATCACTCTTGTCGCGCATAAGTTGTTGCATTGTCGCATTGCCTCTCGATTCCTTCTTCTTCTCTGCACCGAGTGCTGTCCTGTTCTCTTACCCTCTTGTAAGTTGTTTAGCTAAACTCTCTACTCTGTCTCTGATGAAAATATCGCTCTCTGACTACTACAATAGTGTTGTTTTGAAAAAGAACAACAAGGAGCAGGAAGAGAAAAAGTAAAAGAACAAGAAAAGAGTGTCCAAAACTGATGAATAAAAACAAAGAATTTGGTTTGTTTGTTTGCAGAGCAGTTTTTTTAAAATTAAATTTTTGTGTTGCTTGGATGATGGATAATACTCTCTCTTGATGCATATTCTCTCCTTGGGCAAAACAAAATGAAACAATACAATCACAATAATACAAGCAAGTAAGATAAGGTTGGTTGTAGTTATATATGGTGTGGAAGGAGAGGCATTGCCTCTCGATTACTCCTCCTTCTTGATAGTGTGGCCAGCAGTTGCGGAATGTGTTTGTGTGTTTTTATATCTATCTGTGTGTGGGTTAGGGTGCTTACAAAAATATCCTCCTTTTGTGTGTCTATGTCTATGACTATGTCTATGTCTATGTCTTTCTTTATCTGTTTTGTTTGAAAAAAAAAAAAAGTATCTCTATTATATATAATGATTTGGTTGTTGTGTTTTATGCCTTGAAAGAAAGATAAGATAAATAATAAACTGGTTGGTTTGGGGGTTGCTTTGAATTAGTGATTGATTGTGTGAGCTCTACAAGACAACTTGTTTGTTTGTTGATCGCACCGCCTCATTAAAAATCCAGATCTCACGATTCAGTTGTATCCACACAACAAAGCTTTAAGAAAAACCAAAGCAACGGAAAAGAGGAGAACGATACAGATACTTTTTGGTCTTTTGCTTTGATCAAGAACACAGTCTCGATTCGATCGAATTGTATTTATAGGAGCAAATACTTTTTGTTGTTGTAAGATTTTGTTTATCATCCGACGAATCAACCAACCAGCAGCTCTACAGCTATAGCTCTACGGCTAGCAATAGAGCAAGAGAGAGAACACAAACTTTGAAAAGCATTGAATGATAAGATTGATTGGTTGATTGATTGATTTGTGATAAAGTCCACTGATCAACCCTCACCTTACATACTATCGTGTAATAGTGCAGATGGGTTCCTCCTTTACAGGAAGGAAGGATATGTACTTTGAAAAGCTTGGTAACCAGGACATAGACAAACAGACAAAGATTACATAAAGATAAAGATAAAGATAAAGATAATAAAGATGATACAGTGAAACTAGCTAGTTTGTGAGTGTGTTGGTGGTGGGGTTTGCAATAATTTAAATTATTGGGCAATATAATCTTGTTCTTGTTTCTTGTAAAGTTAACACCTCATGAGTAATGAAGATGAAAAGGATGATCAGCTACTCTTAGTACTATATCTTGTTATTCTTATTTACTCGATCTAACTTATAATATATTACAACTAAATTTTATTCATTAAATTTCAACAACCTCATCATCAGAATTCTTGTGAATGAAATTGAAAGCATTATTGCGCATCTTTTCATCGATCTGTCTAAATAGTTGTATTGCAGTAGTATTGTTTTGGTGGACTGTACTAGGTTGTATCACATTATTCTCACTTTACTTGATAGCTCGACTCATCTCACCCAACAACAATAACAAGTATTACTGTAGAGGTGGAATAGAAGATTATTATTTCAACAACAAAAAGAAAGGATTAAGAGTTAAACTTATACAACAAGTAGAAGTAGAAGAAGAACAAGTTTTAAAAGTTGAATCTGACGAAGAACAAGAACAAGAATATCATTCAATATACAACAATGACAAAAAAGAACGTATGGTTAGATTGTGATCCTGGTAAGTTAAATTAAATGTTAAATGTTCATGTGATTATATATATTAACTTTTTTGTTTTGTTTTGTTTAGGACATGATGATGCATTTGCAATTATGATGTGTGGACATGATCCATCACTTAATTTATTGGGTATATCGACGGTGGTAGGAAACCAAACAGTTGAAAAGACAACGATCAATGCACTGCGTGTATGCAAGTTTAGTTCAATGGAGCATGTTGATATTGTAAAAGGTGCCGGTAAGCCAGTCGTTAGAGATGCACTCATTTGCCCAGAGATCCACGGTGACACTGGCCTCGATTCGAGCATTGTAATTGATGTAGAGACAAAGGCACCACTGCCAGGCAAGGCAATCAATGTAATGTACGAGTACATTGAAAAAGTGTTTAGAGAGACTGGCCAACAAACCACAATCATTGCCACTGCATCACTTACCAATGTTGCATTGTTGTTTGCAGTGTATCCAGAGATCAAGGAGATGATTGAATCTGTAACTCTATTGGGTGGAGCAATGACGACGGGGAATATAGGACCCGTTGCAGAGTTTAATATTATGGTCGATCCAGAAGCTGCCAAGATGTGTTTTGAAAGTGGTGTCAAGATTGTAATGGTGCCATTAGAGGTTAGTCATCGTGCATTGATCGATTCCCACATTGTCGATAGAATTCAAAAGATTGGAGACACCAATTTCATCAAACTCTGTGTAGAGTTGTTAAAGTTTTTTGCCGAGAATTATAAAACTATGTTTGGTATGGAACATCCTCCACTTCACGATCCATTGGCCGTAGCACATGTCATCAATCCTTCTATATTTAAAACACGTCATCTTCGTGTCGACGTTGAATGTACCTCCCATCTATCTTTTGGACAGACTGTCTGCGATGTTTGGAACATGTCAAAATTACCCAAAAACGTTCATGTCGCTGTTGAAGTAGATATTGATAAATTTTTCGATCTCTTAATTGATTCAATCGATAAAAGTAATAAGAATAGTTGTTTAAATAATTAATTAATCAAAATAATAAATAATAAATAATAAATAATCATAATAATAGTCAACACCAGTAAATAGTAATCAATCAAATCAAATTAAATTAAATTAATAATAATAATAATAATAATTTCGTACATCTTGTCAAACACAGAATATCTATGGGTAATTTAAAAAAATACTATTCGTAACCCCCAAGAGTAAAAAACAATTCAATGATTTAAAAGATGTATCGTACATGTATAGTATAGTAGTGATTGGATTAGCACCCACACCCACAAATCTAAATTGAAAAACAAATCAATTCCAGTCAATATCAATTTTAAATCTAGATTACCACTCGAAAAAAAAGTGGATTATTGATAATAGATGGATAGATTAACTGAAGATTTTAATTAATTATTTAATTTGTATCTTATTTATTTAGAGAGGAAAAAAAAAAAACAAGAAAATATTTAAATAGAGGAGGAACAGAACAAATTGGAATTATTTATTTACTATTTATTATTTTATTCATATTTTATTTTATTTATATTTTAAAGAAATGAAAATAATTATTTTAATAGTTTTAACAATTTTGTATTGTCAATTTACTTTTGGAGAGGAATTAAATAATTTAGTTCTAAAAGTAGATTTTAATATACAAAATCATTTAAAACTTGTCAATGATTTAAGAGCAGCCAAAAAAATACCACCTCTAAAACTATCAAAGTGTTTGGTACAAGTTGCTCAAAACCATGCCAATTACATGGCAAAATCGAATAAACTCACCAATGAAGATCCAGAAGGTGGAATGTTTGATCGTATTACAAAGGCCGGCCAAGAGGCGACAAATGTATCGACTGGAGTTGCATATGGCTCATACTCGGATGCTGGCACTGTCAATCAATTAAATTCTAGTCCATCCCGTGACAATATGATATCCGAAACCTACACTCAATTTGGTGTTGGAATGAAGCAATCTTCTGATGGTACTCCATATTGGTGTCAATTCTATTCAAATGGTCAATGTCAAACAAAATAAATCCATACCTAATTTAAATATATATTATTGTTGATGTGTTTATTCACCCAATTGATTATCCATTAAGGCTGCACTTAAATCTTCTGTAAATGATACATTATGTTGTTGTTGTTGATTATTCACATCATTTTCTTCTTCTTCTACTTCTTGTTCTGCACCATTATTATTATTGTTATTATTATTATTTACATTATCCTTTACATCTTTTTCTTTTTCTTCTTCTTTTCGAATTAATAATTCAATTCCATCTTTTACCTCCTGTTCTTCTTGTTCTTGTTTAACATTTTCATCTTTACCGTCTTCTAATTGTTCAGTTTTTAAAACATTGACATTGGTAATTTCTTTACGACAAAAGAAACAAGTCTTTTTGGTCAATAAATGTCTTGTAATACAATGATGACATGAAGTATGTTTACAAGGTTCAAAGATTCTATTACAATCATAAACATAACAAATCAAACATATATTATTATCCATTGAATTACCAAGTTCCTAAAAATAAAAAAAATATTAATATTAATTTAATTTTTCTTTTTTTTCTTTTCTTTTTTTTCTTACATCATGAATAGAAGGAGAACGAGTAGGAGCAATTGGTTTTGAAAGAGTAGTAAACAATTCAACAAGGATAGTTTTTTGAATAGGGGAAACTCCACTATTGATTGCAATGGCCTTGATGATTGGTACAATCTCTGGTGGAACTCTTGTAAATGCATCTAAAAACGGTTGGTTGGATCCTTTGTAAAGATTATAGATTGGTTCCAACAATTGAACAAAGATTGCATAATAGGATGTACCAGTTGAATTTGGATGTAATAATAATTTATCCATAATATAAGTAAGGAATTGACCAATGATCAACATTGAAGTTTGATTACCCAATATCAACTCTGAAAAGTTGGTACATAGATATTCAAAAACTTGGAGACGTATTTTAACCTCTACCTTTGATTCAATGTTTTCAGAGATATTTGAAAACATTGAATTTAATAATTTAAGTAATGAATTTGGATTCTCAATACATAATTTTTGAAATATTTTTGAAAAGTTTTTAAATTGTTTCTAAAAAATTAAAAATAATAAATAAATAAATCAATCAATCAAATCTCTTTTTATATTTTATACTTACAGAAGTTAAAACTGTTAATATTGTTAGATCAGTATCTGAAAGTCTCATTAATAAACCTTGAACAAAATATTCAAAGTCTGGATGATTTGTTAGGATTGAATAGAAGTTTGGTCTTCTTAAAAGTACCCAAATTAAATCTATTGATTGTTGTTTTGTTTCTAAAAAAAAATAAAAAATAAAAAGATTAATAAATAAATAAATTATTTCTTTTTTTTTTTTTTTTTTTTACCTCTATCAACAATTTGATCATGTTTTCTAAATAAAATGGTTAAAACTTGATTTGTAGTTTCCAAATTATAATTTGTAAATGCTTCCTTTTCATCCCAATCGATTAGATGACAGAATTCACAAAATATTGTCGATAGGTAATAGTCATACATAAATTCAAATACATGACTATCCAAAACCTTTATAAATAATGATGCTGTAAATGATACATGTCTCCATACTAATTGTGGATATACTGACTAAAAATAGAATAGAATAATAATTAGTATGAAAATAATTAAGTTTCTTTTTTCTTTTTCTTTACCAATTCTAAAACTTCATTTTTAAAAAAATGAATTTTATGTTTATATTGTTCAACTTCTTCTCTTTTCTTTGTTAGATGAGCCAAATCAGTGATTGCATCAATAGCATTTGATTCCAAATAAAATAGGGTAAGATAGTTTTTGATTAAAGAGAATTGAGTGCAAAGACTAATTTGAAGAAGTGATGTTGCAATATTGTAGAGTTGTTGGTCTGTTGACATGATGGGTTCTAGACCATTATTCTGTTGGTCATATTGATCAATGACAAAATTCTTTTTGAGAAAGGAATAGACTCCGCCAACACGTTGTCTATCGCAATTGTTCAAATAAAAGAATGATTCTGGGAATTGTTGAACATTTGATTGAGCACTCACGAGCAATGGTTCAATGCACATCAATACGATATAGTAGAGATTGCTGAGTGTTGAAAAGTTTAATTGTTCCGATATCGATCCACTTGCAATCTTTTTTGAATGTGAAAAATGATTGGAAACAATTCTTTCAAACCATTCCAACGTTAATTGATTCACACTCTTCCCATGTTTTTCAATAATCGTATCTTTTGATGATAATAATAATTTAACAATTCTATATTGAATTTGTCTTGATTGATTTTTTAATAATATATAATTCTAAAAAAGAAAAAAAAAGTATTAATAATTATAATTATATATATTTGTTTGTTTGTTTTTTCTATATTTACAGATTGTAATTGTTTTGAAGTTTTTTTATCATTTTTCTTTTTTAAAGTTAGGTATTCAAAGAAACAAACTTGTCTTTGATTTAATATACATTGAAGAATTTCATTGGATAGACGATTTGAAAAGATACTTTGTTGAGTGATTGGACTCGTCATTAATCTTTCAACAACTTTTAATACATTGATATTTCTTTTCAAATCCACCTGTGTCTTTAATAGATATGTTATTCTACTAAATAATACTGATATAAATCTATTATATATTGATTGATCCTAAATTTTAAAATGAATAAATTAATAATTAAATAATTAATTATTTTTGATTTGACTTACAATATTAAAAGTTTCAATTAAATTTAAGAATAAATCAATTGTTGATTGTTTATAATTTAAAATCAAATTCTCCAATACTGGATAAAAGAATGTACTAATTGTATAAACATTTAAACTATCAATTAAATCGGTTAAAATTGGTGTTGCCAATAATATAAATTTTGATTCATTAAACTAAAAATAATTAATTAAATAAATATAGATATTAGTATTGAATACATATGTATCTACTATTTTCTCTTTGTTTAGATCTTACAAAAGTAGGAGATAAATCAATTAATTTTAATAGTTTTGCCAATATAACATTTTGATAGTATGTACGAGTAAAAGAGAGGATGGGGTATGTGATAAGAGGAGAGGCATCTTTGTATTGATTGACGTGTGGAAATGTACCATAGTTGGGAGAACATTTACCGTGTTGAAAGGATAGGACGGGGATGAAAAAGATAGAGTGTCCAGGTGGCGTCTTTAACATTGATGGTGTAAACGTTTGTTCTGAAAAGTAATGTCCCTTTGTAAAAGTGGTCATTCGACGTTGTTCAATATCCAACACACAAGTGACTACATCTCCACTTTGAACATACATTGATTTAGTCTTTTCAAACAGTATAGAGACATAGGTGAGTGTTTGTGGTGTTTCTCCAGTACCTCCAACATTATCTGGATTATGGAATGCTACCCATCCAACCATAATCGGTGAATGTGATACGGTTACTTCAAACTGCCATACACCCCTTGCTTTTGGTGGTACCGGTATATTGCAATGAAATGTTGGTAGTCCTTCGATTTGGTGTGGGAATATATCGGTGCCGTAGAACCGTTCGACAAAACTCTCTTTCTGAAGCAATTCAAAGTTGACGGGAAAGTGTTCAGCTAGATTAGCTCGATACCGCTGTTCAAACGTTGTGGTGGTCTCTGAGAATGGTGGTTGACCCGATGGATTGTTGTACAGCAACATTGCATGTAATGATTCATCGTCACCGTTCCCTAAACTACCCGAAGCTGTGTTACTACCATTGTTGTTGAAAGTAAGTAAGCTTTGAAACATTGATAGAATGGGATTGAATATTGATAAGGTGGTGCGATGATGACTATTCAAGTCTGCATTATCTCTTCGTATACGACTATTTGCACTATCTACATATTCCTCTACTTGAAGTGTAAAGTCTGAGAAATCTTTACTACACTCTACATTGTATCTAATCGATTCTTTTCCTGATATCGATAACATGTTGATTCGATTCTTATTCTTTCAAAGAGTAAGTCGTACTAATCCCCTCTTTTTTAGAAAACTATACAATTAAAACTAATAGGTTGTAAGATTATTCTAATCTCGGTTGATATATGTCATAAATTATATAAATATATAAATATTTGTATTATATTGTTTGTTGTAGAATAGAATCCCGCCTCTAGTTCTTTGCAAAGCACAGATTTTCAGGTGCAAGTAGTTTTGAGTAAAAAAAAAAAAGAAAAATGAAATTAATTTGGGACCTGAGCTCAGTGTGATTAAAGCAGAAGGAACATCATTAAACCATTTATATTAATTAAAGATAAATAGAGACAGATAGATAGATAGAGATAGATATAGATAGAGATAGATATAGATAGATAGAGAGATAGATAGATAAGTAACAAACAAAGGGATATGGTATGATAACAAGATATGGTCTAGATGATGTGATGAATCATTGAAATAGTAAACTAACATCACATGTCATTTATTCATGATTTACTACAACACCCCCACCTACAACTACAACTATGATACACACATATCATATGTACTACTAGATACACTATATATTAATTCAAAATAGACAAGGAAAGACACGTTTGTCTAAATGGTATACACCTTATGAAGATGCAGAAAAGAGAAAACTATCAAATGAAATTCACAAGATTGTAAACTCTAGAGAATCAAAATTCACAAACTTTGTAGAGGTATGATGATAATGACAATCAACATGTAATAGAATAGACCTATAGACTCACGACTGACAAATATATATTTGATTTGAATTATTATAGTTTAGAACACACAAGATTGTATATAGAAGATACGCAGGTTTATTCTTTTGTATTTGTGTAGATCCCAATGAAAATGAATTGTTTTGTTTGGAGGCTATTCATTTGTTTGTAGAGATTCTTGATGCCTACTTTGGCAATGTATGCGAGCTCGACCTTGTATTCAATTTTTATAAAGTATATGCTATTTTGGACGAAGTGTTTTTGGCAGGTGAATTGATGGAACCTTCCAAACAAGTGGTCTTACAAAGAATGGAATTCCTTGATAACCTTCCATAAATAATCAATAACAACAACAACAAAAATAATTATTTTTAATCCAACCCTATGACTACGATCCTCCCCTTACCTTACCTCTCCATTATAAATAGTATTTATTAACCCTCTCCTCCTCCTCCATTAACACCTCTCAATCTTGATAGACAACAAAACATATAGCTCCCCTTTATCTCCCAAGCCGACATATCCAAAATGTAATAATAATAATAATCATAATCAATAATAATAATAATAATAATAATAATAAAATCAATTGTCAACAAATTTATAAACCTTTAAAAATAATAATAATAATAATAATAATGTATTAAATATAATGGATAGATAGAACCAATACCAATATTACAAATGGTTTACAATTTTGGTCGAAAGATTGAATTTTAGTTTTGGAGGTGTATTTCCAGATCCAAAACAAAGATAAATTGGTTGATATTGATATTGATGATCATCACCACCATTGTCTTTCATCTGTTGTTCTATTTGTTGATGAATGATCCCACCATAAAGTGATTTACCAAGTATTAATACATTTCTATTTTCTGGATCTAATCGACGAATATCAACTTGGAAATTAATATCATTCCCAAATATAACTAGTTGATCTATATTTGATTGATTGATTAGGTGGTCAAATCTAAATATCCAACGATCATTTACCTGGCGGTTAATGTATATTGATAGTTTAATAAGAGTTGATGGGAATATTAAACCATCACCATCATCTCTGCCAATTATATGTATCTTTGTATTGTGGTTTGTTGTTGTAGAGACACGGTATTTGAATTCAGTGATTGATTGTGGAATTGGTTGTTTGTAGGGTTGTTCTAATAGACTATAATCAATGTGTTTCAGAGTGGAAGGATAGATAAATTGAAGAGGTGGAGGTTTGATGGATTGGTTTTGGTGAATCCATTTAAACTCTTGTAAGTTGTTTGGTAGAGTGATCGTTGGCAGTGAATCATTACTGACTTGAAAGTCCTTGATTACTAGTTTTTTGATCGAGTTTGGTAGTTTGTCGAATTGTGATACATTGTAACCTGTCAAAGTGAGCGACTCGACATTGTCTGGGATTGGCTGCTTTTCATTGGGGTTTGCACTTTGAGGGTTCATGTGGAGTTCAAGTGTTTTTACACTCGATGGTATAAATCCAACTGGTAAATTTGAATTTATCTTGATTGATAGTATCGTCAATCGTTGAGGTAGACTGAAGTGGTGGAGACTAAAGATTGATGTATAATTAAAATAATTGGTCAATGATGTCAGTGTTGGTGGAAAGAAGCCCGTCTTTATAAAATGAAGAGGTTGACCAAGATTCTTGAATGTTGTAAGGTTTGGAGGTAGTCTTATGCACGATGCTCTTAAATCTAGGTGTATGTTAAGTACCAGGTTTTCTAGTTTGACGAGACCGTTGAGATTCAACTCACAAGTATCATTATTCAGGTCGGGATCGAGAATTTCAAGGTAGAGATGTACCAAATGTACGAGTGGTCGAAAGTAGGTCGGTGATGATGGTATATCTTCCATTTCAGTCTTTAGATAGGTTAAACTCTTTGGTAGTGTACAGTATTTGGTATCTTCCTTATCAGCAATAGAGTATGTCCTCAACCAAGTGAGAGAGGTGAGTGTGTCTAGTCCAAGTCGACGGGGTTCTATATAAAAATTAGAGCCCATGTAAAGGTCCAACCTTTCAAGACCTGCTGGTAGTATCTTGTTGGGAAAGTTCTGACTTTCGATCAACAAGGTCAACGACCTTAATGAATCGGGGAGCCCATTACACTTTTCTATTGCTTCTTGTGTTTCATAGTGTATGGTTAAATGGTTGAGTAGAGGTGGGAATCTAAAGTCGGCTGGTAATGGTTTTCTGATTGGTTGGTGAAGGGTCAATGAAGTGGTTGATTGAGGTATACCTAATGATAGTTCCATACTATCATCCTTGTATTCTTCTAATACTATTGCCGTTGCAATGATATTATTACTATCATCACGACCATGACTATTCCTCTTGTTGTTGTTGTTTATAATACTTTTTTTTATCACGTATAATCATTGTATCTGAAAATGTATTTGTAAACATTTTCTTGAATGACTTTAGATGATAACATTTCTTTGAGTAATAAGCATTGATGTTGTTGATGTAATGATTACTTTTAGGATTTTTGTATTCAATATGTTTAAATGATAGATGATAGTTGACAGCAGCAGAAGGAGTAGTAAAGTTGAATAATCTTTTACAAGATAACAACAAACACACCAAATCTACATTATCATCTACATAGTTGATTATTTTTAATAATAGTATAGTTGGTATCTTTTTAATATAATCTTCTTCTTCTTCCCCTCCTCCACTTTGCATTATTTTCTAATTTTTAATAAAAGTAAAAAAAAAATAATAAAAGAGGTGAAGTACATCATTATCACAACTCTTACTTTTTGCAAAAAGAGATAATAATAATAATAATTGAACTTCAATCAATACATTAATACTCTAATCCGATGATTTTCTTGAAAATTTTAAATATCTTTTTTGTCATAGCAACTCATCACAGACAGAATGCATTGAACAATTAAATAGAATATTTATTTATTTATTTTAGATGAAAGAAATAATAATAACATCAGTATTAAAGAATAAATACTTATTATATCATATACTATCAAATATAAAGAGATGTTATGGAGAGACGGTCGTGTTTTATGATCGAGAGGTCGCACTGTACCGATCACGAAGATTAACGTCTATCTACAAGTACAACGAGATACACCGTATCGAGTGGATGATCACCAATCGCTACTTGGGACTACTCAAAGAAAAGGTTCAACGAAACGAGTTTCTGTCGGTACGATCACTCGAGGTAGACACGATCATCACTGCTGCCACGGCGTTTGTGCGTGACCTCGACACGTACAAGTATATCCTGTACCGATGCTCAAAGCAAAAGATTGACAAGCACTGTCAAGAGATGATGTATCTGGCCACCAAGAATGCCAATCTAGACATTCTCAAGCATCTCTGTGACTCGGTGTTTGACCTGACCATGAACCGACTCAAACATAACCCCGCCCCTGAAGACCTCGGCTTTATCAAACACATCTATGCATGTGCCATGGAATCGGGCTCGAAACGAACCTTTTCCTTTGTCTACAACCGTCTCAGTTACCCGACCTGTAACACTGAGAGTGTACGTCGCTCGAGTATCTCCAACGAGATGATCGAACATGTTCTTGAAACCAATGCAAGACTATTACAACGTGTATTTTTAAAGAGCTACTATTACAGAATGTTAGTTGCAAACATTTCCCAACAACACCTCGAAAAGCATTGTCTATTATACGATCAAGACCAATTTCAAGAATTCATTTATTACATTTCCAAAAAATCTTTTAATGAAGATGAAATCATTTTAACTGGAAAAGAGAATAGTAGTAGTAATAATAGTATTGATGATTGGAGACGTACTGGTGGTGATTCAATTCAATTATCCTCAAATCAAAATAATAATAATAATCAAAATAATAATCAAAATAATAATATATTTTCAAGTCAACTTATATTAGAAACAATAGATAGAATTGAATTTATATTTGATCAATATTATGAATACAAGGATGAAAAACAAAAAGAAATATTTAAAAAGTTGAAATCATATTGTGAAGATCAATTTGATTATTTAGATGCAACACAAAAAAAGATTATATTATTTTCAGAGATTTTACAATTTATTGGTGGAAATGGAGTTAATTTGGCCAAACATATGTTGCAATGGAGTTTCAATCAACAAGAATCAACAACTAAAATGTTGCAACATGTTATAAACAAGTTTGGTTATGCATGTGTATTCAAGAATGGATCAGAATCACAAGTTCAAGAGACTATTGACCAAATCGACAAGTCATACTTGGAGAATAATCAATACAGATGGTGGGTTGATTGTTATTGTATTGCAACTGGTCATTTGTCGGTACTGCAATTTTTACAAAAACAAAATACTTTGTTTAAATCACAACATCAATTTCAAACATTGTATGACACATCGATGCAAGAATGTTTAAATTATAGTTTGGAGAATCAGAGATTGGATGCCATTTCATTTTTATTGGCCAACAAGTTAAAACCTACCAGTCCACAACTTCAAAAGGCACTAGAAAAGAATAATATTAAATTGGTCAAATTGCTTTATGAAAACAACAAAAAAGCAATCACTGGTGGTAAATTCTTATTGTCAGTGTGGGACAAGGAGAGCATCGCGTTTTACGATAAAATACTAGCATCATCCAATTCAACAACCAATAGTAAACGAGGTGACAAACGTCTCTATCTAACACCATCTCTATTGAAACAAGATAATTTGGAAATGTTTATTCATTTGTTAGAGGCATTGGGTAGTGGTGAATCAGACGCTAGAATTAAAGAGGTTTTCGATGCAGTTCAATCAGCAACACCAACTCGAATCGAAAAATATTGTAGAGATTATTATTTAAAAAACCAATTACATCTTCAGAGACCAATCAATATTGGTAATCTACTGGTCAATGGTCATTTTGATTTTATTAAACAACTACAAGACCTAAATCTCCCTCTAACGTTTACATTTACGTCATTGATTGGTAAAATAGGTGATGTTGGATGGATTCCAATCCTCACCAAATATTCTGCCATTTCTGATTGGCCTAGAGATGTATTGGCATCGGCCATTCAATCTGGTCGTCTTGAAATGGCAAAATATGTTGTCAAATATCTCTCGGAACAAGGTAAAAAGGTTCAATTGACTCTATCTCACTCTAGTTATCCATCTTTGGGTCACAATGGAACCATCGACTTTAGTATACCTTATTATCTGGTTCACTTTGAAGACTATCAAATGGCTGAATGGCTATTGTGGAATGTCCCTCTTTTACCCTCTGATGACACACCAGAACAATTATCCAAATTTCAAGATGCTTTCCAAAACGAACAAAATCAAGAAATCTATATCAATTATTATTTCCTATCAAATGATACAAAATTATTGATAAATAATTATTTACAACAAAAATTATCAAATCAATTTAAATTAAACATTTAATAAATTAAATTATTTTTTATTGGTCAAAGGATGGAATTTTAATTTTGGAGGATAATTATTTCCAGTTTCAAAATAAAGATAAATTGGTCTGTTTTTATCTTTACATTCTATTTCTTGTTGAATGATTCCACCAAAAAGTGATTTACCAATTATTAATACATTTCTATTTTCTGCATCTAATCTACGAATATCAACTTGAAAATTAAATTGTTTAATATTTAGTTGTTGTACATTTGAATGATTGATTAGATGATTTAATTGAAATATCCAATAATCATTTTCATCTTCATGATCATTTATGGTGATTGATAGTTTTTGAAGAGTTGATGGTATTATTAAACCAGGTTCATCACCTATTGAATGAACTTGTGTTGTCTCGTCAATCCAGTTTGTTTTAGAAACTAAATATTTGAATTCATTGACTGTTGGTGGAATGGTTTGTTGGGAGGTGTGTTGTTGTTGGAGTTGACTATAATCAATATATTTTATATTGGGAGGATAGATAAAATGAAGAAGTGGAGGTAGTTCACTACCATATTTATGACTCCATGTAAACTCTTCTAAATTGTTTGGAAGATTAATAGGAGGAGTAGTGTCTTTCAAGTCTTTTGATACAACCAAATCGTAAAATACCAGTTTTTTAACAGAGTTTGGTAGTTTGTTGATTCCTGTCACATGATAGCTTGACAACTCCAACGTCTCTATACTGTTTGGAAATGAACCATCGATTTTCAATCCTTTGGCTATTGTTTCTGAAGTAAAGACTCTGATTTTAAGTGTCTTTACAGTTGGTGGTATAAATGATGCATGTGGAATATCTGAATAGGTTTCTATTAGTAAGAATGTCAATTGTGGTAATGAAACATTTCGAAAATCGATTTCACTAAAAGCCATTTCCAATGATGTCAGAGTTGGAGGAAAGAATTCCGTTGTCAGATTGGTGGCTGGTTTACTACAAACGAGGTTCAATGCCGTAAGATTTGGGGCAAGACGGATATGTGGCGCATCGACAGCATGAATAACCATGAGTTCCAATTTCTCTAGTGAGACGAGACTGTCGAGATACAGTACATCAGACTCGGATACAATGATCAGCGACAAGTTGAGATGTACCAATTGGACGAGTTGATTAAAGTAGGTAGGTGATGGTATTTTTGGGATACGTATTTCGAGTTGTTCCAAACTATTCGGAAGTGCACAGTAGGTGGCACCCTTGTCATCATCAACCACACCTGTCTTTAGACAAGTAAGAGAGGTGAGACTATCCAATCCAAGACGACGTGGATCAAATTTAGAGCCAGATTTCAATTCAAGCTTTTCAAGACCTGTTGGTAGTGCCTTGTCACTAAACTCGATACCAATATTGGAGGTATTTAACGTTAACGACTTTAATGAATCTGGAAAGACTCTTTGTTCATGTAATACAACCTTTTTAGTCGTCTCTTTGGTTCCATAGTGTAAGGTCAAGTCGTTGAGTTGGCGTGGGAAGGTGGATGGTAATAGTTTATCGATTCGTCGATAAATATCCAATGAAACGGTCGATTGTGGTAATGATAGCGCAGATAGTTTGTCTAATGACAATTTCTCTGATACTATTACTTTTGTTATGTTGTTGTTTTTGTTGTTGTTGTTTACTATATTATTATTCTTGTTGTTTTCTTCTTCTTCTTCTTCTTTGATGATCATTGTATCTGAAAATGTGTTGTTAAACATTCTCTTGAATGAGTTTAGATGATAACATTTCTGAGCGTAATAGGCATCGATGTTATTGTCGTTGTCTGTTGATGAATGTGATGATGATGATGATTCTTCTATTTTCATATATTTAAGATGTTTAAATGATAAATTGTTGTTGACAGCAGCAGAAGAAGTAAAGTTGAATAATCTTTTACAACTTAACAATAGACAAACTAAATCTACATTATCAGTCACATGATCAATAATATTTAAAAGTAGTATAGTTGGTATCTTGTTGATATAATCTCCTTCTTCTTCTCTTTGTTGTTCATCATTTTGCATTATACTATTATCTGTTCTTTTAAATAATTATTTGATAATCATGATTACAAAAGATAATGATTTGTCTTTTACAAAAAATCTAGAAATAAACCAGAACTTAATCAAATTGTAATTATTTATTTTTAGTTTAGAAGAAGAGGTAGATCGAAATATAGTTTTGGAGGTGTATTACCAGTTGATTTAAAATAAAGATAAATTTGTCTATATTGACCATCTTTCATATGTTGACTGTGAATGATACCACCAAAAAGTGATTTACCAATTATTGAAAATGGAGTACCAATGTCTCTAGTGAGACTAGACTATTGAGATATAGTGCACTGGAATGGTCTATACTAGTCAACGAAAGATGGAGATGTACCAACTTTAATAGTTGATTAAAGTAGGTGGGTGATGGTATATGATCTAAATAAAAGTCTAGTTGTACCAAGCTCTTTGGAAGTGTACCTATTTCTTCGGTGGATAGAGAGTATGACTTTAACCAATTGAGAGATGTGAGTTTGTCCAGTCCAATACGACTTGGTTCTAGTTTAGATTTGGAGAAAAAGTAAAGTCTTTCAAGACCAACTGGCAACAAGCAGACTGTCTTTTTGTCATTTAATTCGACCTCGGTCATTGATGTTTTTAAGGACAACGACTTTAATGAATCTGGAAAGACAAGAAGGCTACTACTGCCTATTACTCCATTATAGTGTATGGTCAAGTGTTTGAGACGAGGTGGTAAATAATTGGTTGGTAAAGGGTCATAGACTCTTGGATAAATGTCCAATGAAGTAGTCGATCGAGGTAGTATTGGTAATGTTGTTGATGATTCTGATAGTTCATCCCATTCCCCTAATACCAATACCTTTTTAATGTTATCATCATCATCCACATCATTATCACCATTACTCTTTATCTTTTGATTACTTGTTTCTGTTACATTGATGATTAGTGTATCTGAAAATGTATTTGTAAACATTCTCTTGAATGAACCAAGATGATAACATTTCTGAGCATAAAATACATTGTTGTTGTTTTCATCAGTTGATGGTTCTGATTCTTTTGTATATATATATTCAATATGTTTAAATGATAGATTATTATTATTATTATTATTGACAGCAGTAGCAGAAGTAAAGTTGAATAATCTTTTACAAGTCAACAACAGACACACCAAATCTACATTATCATCAACATGATTGATTATATTGAATAATAGTATAGTTGGTATTTTGTTGATATAATCTTCTTCTCTTTGTTGTTCACTTTGCATTACTATACTAAGTACTTTGTTTTTTTAAAAAGAAATGTCTTTGTGAAAAATCTATTTATTATTTATTTATTTATTTATTTTTAATATGTCTTGAGGAGGTAGGTTGAACTTTAGTTTTGGAGGTGAATTACCTGGTTCAAAATAAAGATAGATTGGTCTATATTGTTGATATCCATCAGTTGCGTGTTGATCTATTTGTTGTTGTTGTTGAATGATTCCACCATAAAGTGATTTACCAATTATTAATACATTTCTATTTTCTGGATCCAACCGACGAATATCAACTTGGAAATTGATATCTACACCAACTCCAAATATAACTAGTTGTTCTATATTTGTTTGATTGATTATATGGTCTATTTTAAATATCCAAAATTGGCCTTGGTTGTTGACTTTTACAGCTAGAGTTTTGAGTGTCGACGGGAATATAAACCCCTCATCAATACCAATTGAATGAACTTCAGTGTCTTCAAAATCACCAATAGTTTTGGTTTTAGAAACTAGATATTTAAATTCTTGGACTGATTTTGGAATTGTTTGTAGTTTGTATAGTGGTGGTTCCAGTCTACTATAATCAATGTATTTTAATGTTGGAGGATATATAAATTCGAAAGATGGATGTTTATCTTCTTCTTCTTCTTCTTCTTCATGTATCCATGTAAACTCTTCTAAATTATTTGGTAGTTTGATTATTGGAGGTTGATCATTATTATTATTATTATTATTATTATTATTATTATTATTATTATTAATATTATTACAATTTTTGGATGATTCATGCTTGACTCTTTCTAATACTAATTTCTTTATAGAGTTTGAGCTTGGTATATTATGGTTGATTAATAGTGACATATCGAAATTACCTTCCAACCATAGTGATTCGACGCTGTTTGGTATCAGTCCATTGATAGATGGATTGTCTAAACCACTGTGGATTTCAAGTTTGGTGACACTTGTAGGGATGAAATCACCTGGTATAATACTTGATAATGAAAGTACTATAAATGATTTTAATTTCTGTGGTAGCCGTAAACTGTTGAAATCATTTTCATCCAATACAATATTGAGTGATGTCAATGATGGTGGAAAGAATCCAGTTGATAGATTACTAATGGGTAGTTGTGAATCGGTTTGAATAAACTCTAATAGATTTGGAGGCAGACGAATCTGTGATGCGTCAATATTGACACTTGTCACAAACAATTTTAGTGTCTCTAGTGACACGAGAGAGTCTAGATACAATGAATCAAACTCTCCAAAATTGGTCAATGACAAATCGAGATGTACCAACCGAGTGAGTAGTTGAAAGTAGGTAGGTGACTGTATACTTGATAGTTCGATATCCAAATATTCCAAACTACTTGGTAGAGTACAATAAACTACAGCTGTACCATTATCCTTCTTCTTCTCCTCCTCCTCCTCCTCCACTAGACAATAGGATGATAGCCAAGTGAGAGAGGTTAGTCTGTCAAGTCCGATTTGACGAGTCGACAGTTGAAAGTGGGTGCAATAAAGGTCAAGCTTTTCAAGACCCTCTGGCAAAAGATTGACATCTATCTTTTCTTGACTTGTAAGTGTTAAATTGAGTGACTTTAGTGAATCTGGTAATACACTCTTATTCTCCTCTGATCCACCACCCATCACCCCATATATGTCCAAATGTTTGATATTTGGTGGTAGAAAGTCGATTGGTAATGGTTCGTTCATTTCAACACATAGATCCAATGAAGTGACTGATAGAGGTAACTTTAGAGTTGATAGTTGCTCACTACTTGTAAGCTGATCCAATACGATTACTCTTGTGATGTTTAAAAGATCGTGTTCGTCGTGATTATCATAACTCTCCTTGTTTGATATGATCATTGTGTCTTTGATTGCATTATCAAATAGACTTTGAAAAGACTTTAGATGATAACAAAATAAAGAGTAAAATACATTGTTGTTGTTATCTGTTGCTTCTATTGGGAATATATATTTAATCTTTTTAAATGATAGATTGTTCCTATACTGTTCATTATTGACAGTTAGGTTAAATAATCTTTTACAACTAAACAATAGACAAACCAAATCTACATTATCAGTCACATGGTTGATTATATTTAAAAGTAGTATAGTTGGTATCTTGTTGATATAATCTTCTCCTTGTTGTTGTTGATTGTTATGTATCATTATATATTAATATTCAAAAATCATTATAAACATTTGTTCTATGTGAAAAAAAATAAACAAAAAAAAAAAGAAATCTTTCCTAAGTTTACTAGTTATTTATTTTCTTATTATTTATTTTATTTGAGGAGGAAGAATGAATTTTAATTTTGGAGGTGAATTACCAGGTTTAAAATAAAGATAAATTGATCGATATGGATGAAGAGCAAATATATATGGTTGTACATTTTGTTCATCCTGATAGCCTGTAACACAAGTTTCTTCTCTACATCTCAACTGTCTCGTCTCACTAGAGACTTTCCATCTCCCCTCTTTTTTCTCTATAATTTTTAAAAGTAGTATAGTTGGTATCTTTTTTATAATCTTCTCCTTCTGAATCTTTTGAAAGCGAATCTGAATCTGAATCTGAATAGTCATCTAAATATTCTTCATCATAGTAATAACTATATAGATACTTGGTAAATATATAATTAGTTTGAGAGGTATATAATAATAATAATATATAGATATATGAATATATAGATAGTAATAATGACTTTAGATTAGATTGTAAATGATTATTAATTATAGTAATAAAAAGATGAATTGATGTTTATTGATTTTCATTGACCTTTTATAGTTTGTTGTTTAGTCGTTTAGTATTTTTATCCAAAGTACTTTCCATATTTGGCACCAGGATAGAGTACTGTTGATAATTAATTGAAATCTCATTGATTACTCTTTGAGCTATGCTTTAATTACAATCTAACTCTAACATTCCCCTTTCTTTAAATTGTGACCGAGTCCCATGTACCACGCTTGTTGAGATGGTAGGAAAACCATGGTTGCAAAGTTTGGTCACTGCAACCTGGGCTAAAAACCTTACCGGTGGATACAATGGCTAGGGATACTTGTTGAGTCTTTGATACGGCCCGGACGTGTTGATTAACTAGATCGTTTGGAATCCATACTTCACAATCGTTGATATTAATGGGATATTCCGTTCTACTACGTCCATTACCTTGATACTTGAATGTTCTCTTTGACTTGACGATAAACAGAGGTTTCAACCATGCTCTGCTTGTGATTACTCCAATACTATTGATTATATCTTTTGTTGGGGAATCATTGTTGTTTTGTTGTAATGATTGTATGATTCTAATTGAGTTCATTTCTTTCATATTGAAATATTTAGTTGTAGTTGGAGAAGATAGTTGTTGTCTGTATTGATGTAGCAATTCTTTAAAGTTGATTTTGGTATCGTCATAATTTATTTTTTCTATAATTCCATTATTATCTTTATCTTGTAATTTACTCTTACCTTTACCTATACTCTCTTCTCCTTTTTAAGAGTATCATTCAACACAACTCTTTGCTTGGTCCAGTCAGCCGTATTTGGGACGTCGTCATAGATGCCGCCTGGCGCCTGGCTCACTATTCCTTGGTCTCCACCGGTTACACCTTGTCCTTGCAATGTCGATTGAATCTTGTTTAAATCTTGATACAGAGTTCGATCGTCACCGACTCGTCCATCCAAATTGTCACGTGCACCTTGAGCTCCTTCCGTTTGAACGGGATAACCTTGTGCCTTCTCAGCACCTTCCGTATGAACGGGATTGCTTGTAGCCAATAATGGTTTCAACGTTTTGATAAATCTAGCATTAACCAATAAGTCCTTTGACGCCGAACCATCTGCTCCAGCAACTCTTAAAAAGGTAGAAGAGAGTATAGGTAAAGGTAAGAGTAAATTACAAGATAAAGATAATAATCGAATTATAGAAAAAGAAGATATCGTCATCACCAATTACAATATTTGGCACCAGGATAGAGTACTGTTGATAATTAATTGAAATCTCATTGATTACTCTTTGAGCTATACTTTAATTACAATCTAACTCTAACAATCATCATCATCATAATCTTTTTCTTCATTATTATTATTATTATCTCTTTTACTACTACTACTATTTGTTTGCATAATGATCGACTTTTTATAAAGTATGATCACTACTTGGTTTTTTTTTTTTTACACACACCTTGAAATCAAACATTATAAAAGTATTTAATTTTATTTTATTTATTTAGATATTGAATTTTAATTTTGGAGGTTTATTACCAGGTTCAAAATAAAGATAGATTGGTTTGTGTTGTTGACTGTGACGAATGATTCCACCATAGAGTGATTTACCAAGTATTAATATGTCTTTGTTTTGTTTGTCTAGTCTACGTATATTAACTTGGAAATTAATACCTGCACCATTAATATAGAGTTGATCTATATTTGTTTGATTGATTAAATGGTTTAATTGAAATAACCAATATTGACCTTTGTTGTCAATTGTTATCGATAGAGTTTGAAGTGTTGATGGGAAGATAAAACCTTCATCATTACCAATTGAATGAATTTTCGTGTCTTTGGTATCATTGATTTTGGTAAATGTAGAAACAAAGTATTTAAATTCTTTGATTGATTCTGGAATGGTCTTTTGTTGGTACGGTATTTCTAATCGATGTAAATCCAAATATGTCAATGTTAAAAAAGATGGATATATAAATTCGATAAATGGATTGGTATCTTCAAATTCATGAATCCATGTAAACTCCTCTAATCTATTTGGTAAAGTGACTGAAACTGCAGAGGATGCAGAGGATGATCCTGATCGTTTGACTTCTTGTAATACCAATTTCTTTAACGAATTTGGTATATTTTCAATGATTGAAAGGTTGTAACCTGCCAACCAAAGTGATTCCAATGTATCTGGAATCGACCCTACAATGGTTGCATTTTCAGTATTTAGAGCATTGTCAATTTTAATATCCTTTACACTTGATGGTATAATGTCCATTGAAACAATATCTGAATGTGAAATCAAATTGAGTGATTTTAATTTGGGTAGACGTGTAAGATTGACAAAATCAATTTGGGTAAAGATAATATCCAACGATGTCAGCGATGGTGGAAAGAATGAATTGGAGAGATTTGCAATAGGTTCATCCGTTTGAATAAACTCTAATAGATTTGGAGGTAGACGAAGTTGTGATGCATCAATACTATTGGGTACACTGAGTTCGAATATCTCGAGTGCAACTAGATTGTCGAGATAGAGAGCATCTGATATTGGAAAACTAACCAATGAAAGATCGAGATGAACCAACAGAGTGAGTGGATAATAGTAGGTGGGTGATGGCATTTGGACCAACTCGGTATCTAGATGAGTCAAACTCTTTGGCAATGTGCAATGAACGGTACCGTATTTCTCCGAGATAGAGTATGACGACAGATATTTGAGAGATTGGAGTTTGTCTAGTCCAATATTAAATGGCTCGACACGAATAGAGGAAGAGTAAAAGTCAAGCTTTTCAAGACCAACTGGCAATGAATTGATGGCTACCTCTTGATATGTCATTGACCAAACCAAGGATTTTAGTGAATCGGGTAAAGCACTCTTTTGATTCTCGATATTGGTTCCAATCTCTCCATGTATCTTTAAGTGTTTGAGATGGGGTGGGTAAAACTCTATTGGTAATGGATCATGGGATTGATGACAGAGTTCTAATGAACTAGTTGATCTAGGTAACTTTAAAGTCCAGTTGATCGATACATCTTCACAAAACCGATCCAATACTATAACTTTGTTGATTTTGTTATCATCTAGATATAGATTATCAGGATGATCAAGATGATCAGGATGATCAAAATGTTCAACACCATCATCATTATATGTTACAAGTATAGTATCAGAGACTGTATTGGTAAACAATTTTTTAAAAGAGTTTAAATGAAAGCACTGCTCTGCATAAAATACATTATTATTGTTGTTTTGAATTGCTTCTTTTGGGTATATATATTCAATATTTTTAAATGATAGATGATTCATGTACTTTTGATTAACAATAAAATTGAATAATCTTTTACAAGTCAGAAATAAACAAACTAAATCTACATTATCATTCACATGATTGATAATGTTTAATAGTATTGTATTTGGTAACTTTTTAAAAATATTTTCTTGTTGTTCATTATTACTATCATTATTATTATTATTATTATTATTATTATTATTATTATTATTATTATTATTATTATTATTATTATTATTATTACTATTACTATTATTTGTTAGCATGATCGTCAAAGTTTTAAATAATGATATTCTTTTTCATTTTTCTTGATCATCATTCTTTACCTTTTTTTTTAATTTTTTAATTTAATTTGATATTTGATTTTTTCAAGATGTTTTTTTGAAAGGTTTGTATGTGATATCCAATCCTTTGAATGCGAGATTTTCACTTTATAATAAGTGCCATCAAGTCTTTTCTTCTTTTCCAAGATTTTAAATACATTTTCGTGAAGTTGAAAGGACCAACTACCAACTATTTGTATTCCAGTCTCTTTATCAATTAATTCTTTTAATAATGGGTAGAGTGGTGAAATGTTTGGATCATCTTTAAATAATTTTTGTCGCTCTATTTCTCTAATTAGAGTAAATGAACCGGTATAGGTATTGGGTGGTGTATCGTTGGAAACTAAAATACCATATTGTTCATCTGAACTATTACTTTTATATCGATTCATTATTGCTCTTTTACAACCATGACATTCTATTTTATCCAAATTGGTTTGATTTTTATTTTCCATTAAACATTTGTGGTGATTGGTATTTAACAAATGACCATTGATAAATTGTTTGTTATAAATATACATTCCATTCATTCGGTTGGTACATTGATCATGGCTACATTCTCTTGTATCACCACTATAAATGGTTTCTTCCATCTCTTCATTATTATTATTATTATTTTGTGTTGTAATTATAATATCTTTGGTTTCTGTATTATTGTTCTTCTTGTTTCTTTTCTTTCTTTTGTATTAATTTTAATCTTTTGTTGAATCTTGCTTGTAGTTGAGGTATTACTTTGGCATTATTATTTTTTTGAGTTTTTTTATTTTGAATGAACCCATCATTTCATTCATCTTATTATTATATCTTTTCATATTTAATTTATGATATAATATATTGATACTCATATCTATTTAAAAATAAACTATATCGCTCATGGTTTTATAGAGTATTTTCAGTCTCAAAATAAGATTTTCCTTTTTTGGATTTTTTCAATTTTTTCAAATCTATAGAAACAATGATAATTTTTTATTTTTGATTACTTATGCTAAATGTATGATATATATACTTGGTATAAACTTCGTATTAACAATAAATGGAGGTTATATTAACCAAAATAAAGAATAAAACAGTAGAAATTAGGGGCTCAAATTTTCAATTTTTTGTTTGGACACATCCAAGCCTTGTTAGCTCAGTCGGTAGAGCGCAAGACTCTTAATCTTGTGGTCGGGGGTTCGAGCCCCCCATAGGGCTATCTTTTTGTCTTTGAATGACAACTTTTTTTTTTGCTCGATTTCTTGTTCTACTCACTCGTGGCTATCATTCTAACCAAGTTTCATTAATTTCCATTGAAACCACACAGAAAAACATCATAAAATGTTTAACCAATGATTTTTTTTCTCTTCTGTCAGCTGAAAAAAAAAATCTTAAGAATTATCCCATTTCTTTGATCCTTTAATATTATATTCTTGTTCTCCTAAGGGTTGGTTATTTTCCAACACAGTTTTATAAAATTCCATTGAGTCCAGACATTTAATTTTTTATTTATTTTTTGTCTACAATAAAAAATTTTTCATGAGATTTGAATCATCTTTGAATGTTTCCAGTTCAATTGATTTGAGTAGTGACTGAATTTCAAGGCATAGACCTACATGTCGGAGAATAGGAGGAAATGGATCTATAAACTTGCCATGAGGTAAATTGGTATGACCCATACCATAATCTCTAAAAATGAATGTTTTATACATTTTTTTCTCTTTTGATTTTTCAAAAATACTTTTCTCCATTTTATTTATTTTGATTTTTAATAATCTAATAATCTTTTTTCAAGATCAGACATTTGATTATTAATTTCTTTTGGTAATCTTGGACCAAATTGAGAACAATACTTTTTCATTGAAGAGAGATCATTGAGCCATTCCTTTTTGTCAATGGTGAATAATTCACGAAGGTTGTCTTTGGAAATGTCGAGACCCTTGACGTCGAGCGAGTCTTGTTCGGGGATGTAGCCAATGGGGGCGATTTGGGCACCTTCTTCACCCTTGGCATTGCAACGTTCAAAGATCCATTTGAGGACACGCGAGTTTTCACCAAATCCAGGCCAGAGGAACTTGCCTTGTTTGTTTTTACGGAACCAGTTGACGTAAAAGATCTTGGGCAGGTTTTTGGCAGAGTTGGTGCGTTGCTCCATCGACAACCAATGTGTGAAATAGTCACCCATGTTGTAACCACAGAATGGGAGCATGGCAAATGGGTCGTGACGAAGGGTACCAACCGAACCTTCAGCGGCGGCTGTCAACTCGGATGCAGTACTAGCACCCATAAAGGTACCGTGGCGCCAGTCGAATGCTTGGTAGACGAGTGGGACAGTGGAAGCACGACGTCCACCAAAGATAATGGCAGAGATGGGGACACCTTGAGGATCGTTCCACTTGGGGTCAATCGATGGACACTGGCTGACTGGTGCGGTGAAACGCGAGTTGGGGTGTGCTGCGGGACGACCCGATGCAGGTGTCCATTCCTTGCCCGTCCAGTCAATCGCCTTTTGTGGAGCAGTTCCCAGACCCTCCCACCACACGTCATTGTCGGGTGTCAATGCAACATTGGTAAAGATCGTGTTGCGATTGATTGCCTTTAGGGCGTTGGGGTTGGACGATGTGCTCGTGCCTGGTGCCACACCAAAGAACCCATTTTCCGGGTTGATAGCGTACAGTTTGCCGTCTGGACCAAACTTCATCCAGCAAATGTCGTCTCCCACCGTCTCGACGGTCCAGCCCGGTATAGTGGGCGTCATCATGGCCAAATTGGTCTTTCCACAAGCCGATGGGAACGCGGCGGCAATGTACTTTTTCTCACCCTTTGGACTGGTGATACCAAGGATCAGCATGTGCTCGGCGAGCCATCCGTCCTCCTTGGCCATACTCGATGCTATTCTCAGAGAAAAGCATTTTTTACCCAACAGAGCATTTCCTCCATACCCGCTACCAAACGAAACAATGGCACGTTCCTCGGGATAGTGAACAATGTATTTGGTAGGGTTACAGGGCCACAAAGAGTCCTTTTCTCCCTTGGCCAATGGAGCACCGACCGAGTGCAAACATGGTACAAACGTGCCGTTGGCACCCAACTTGTCGAGTACTTGTTGGCCCATACGAGTCATAATCTTCATGTTGGCAACTACAAATGGCGAGTCTGTAATCTGCACACCAATGTGTGAAATGGGCGATCCCAATGGACCCATGCTGTACGGCATCACATACATGGTACGACCCTTCATCGAGCCATTAAACAATGGCTTGAGCGTCTCTTTCATGTCATTGGGTGCCATCCAGTTGTTGTTTGGGCCTGCATCGTCCTTGTTCTTGGTACAAATATAGGTTCTCGATTCTACACGTGCTACATCATTTGGATCGGATCTTGCCAAAAAACTATTTGGTCTTTTTGAATTTAATTTTGTTAATACTCCTTGATCAACCAAATCATTTGTTAATCTTTAGATTTAAAAAAAAAATTAAAGAAATAAATAGATTAATAAATATTATTTGAATTTGTTTTTTTTTGTATTTACCTGTGAAATTCTTCTTCAGTACCATCACAAATGTGAATCTTGTCAGGTTGACATAGTTTGGCTTGTTCTTCAACCCAGTTGATCAACTTTTGATTCTTGGTTTGTTGTTTGAGTTGATCGATTGAAAAGAATCTTTTACCAGCTGATACAAATTGATTCTGTTGAACTCCAACTAACAAATGACTGCTAGACTTGGAGTAATATGATAGTGCAGTAGTTGATGGTTTAATTAATTTATACATATTTTACACAAAAATAATAAAGAAAGAAAGAAAAAATATAAACAAATAAATAAAATAGAAATAGAAAATAAAACTAAAAGAATGAGAGAGGAATAATGTTGTTAGTTACAGTTTAATATATTTAAAAAAAAAAGGGAAATTAAAATAAAATGATTAATTTATAAAAGTCATATGATTGATGACAAAGGGTAGAAGAGTATTAAGATTTGGTTGATTAAATTATTTGATGTATACTAGTTAAAGATGATCAGATGATGGATGATTAACTGAGTGATTACTACTACTTATTATTATCTTTATAATGTAGTGTAGTAATAATTTAAAACTAACCTTTTAAAAAAATATCTGTATGTTGATAATAATAATAAGTATTATTATCTCTGTTTCTGACTTTTTGTTTTGTTTGTTTGTTTGTTTGTTTGATTTATTATTATATATATATATATGTATATATATAATGTATTATGTATGTGTATTATGTAATGATGATCAAAACACACAGATATTATTTTAAAACGATAGAAAAGTAGAGAAGTACATACAAAGTGAGGGGGGTTGTTGTTTTGTGTATGTTTCAAACACACTTATGTTTGTTTGTTTGTGATTAAAAAAAATGGGTGCTTTGAGGGGGTGGCTCAAGATATTAGTTGTGACTCTAGAATGGGTGTTGTATTTAAATTAAATTTTTAATCTTGGTTTGGGAAATTTCAAACAAGGTCCGAATTTCATGTTCGAAGCTTCTATTTTGATGATAAAATAAATAAAATAATGTAATATTAAATAATAATAAAAATTGCTATAGATATATTTTATTATTAAATACTTTGACTCGATGAACATTAGAATTATTTTAGAACTTTTATTTGTATACTTTTTTTTTATTGGTGGAGTCTGATGATCATCTCTCTTTTTTTTTTCATCATTCATTTAGGTCAAGAGATAAGAATAAGTTCAGAGAGAAAAGAGAGGAGGAGTAGAGATTAGAGATTAGAGTTTGTTTGATGGAGAAAGGAGGAAAATGTAATCATGATCATGGTGGTGGAGATGAGGATCATGTTTGTAATCATGTAGATTCAAATGGTGTATCACAATCATTGGACGAATTGGCCTTTGAAAGAGGTATTTGGGGCACTGTCATTTCTGGCAACGCGACCAAAGTAGAAGCATTACTAAAAAAGGATGCGTCTTTGACAAACAAGCAAGACAACTCTGGGTACTATCCTCTACACTATGCTGTTCGATCTATTGATAATACAGACATTGTCGAATTGTTATTAGAGTATGGTGCTCGTGTCAATGTATCTACTCCTGGTGGTGCAACTCCTTTACATCGTGCTTCATTTTGTGGTTCAATCAAGGTAAAAAGATATATATAAATATTTATGTATATGTATATTAAACTAACAAATTTAATTTATATTACAATTTAGAGTTGTAAATTATTAACAAATAAAAAAGAAGATTGTAATATAGAGTTTATAGATCATCAAGATTCAGATGGTATGACTGCACTTCATAAAGCATATCAAAGAGGTCACAAAGAAATCGTTCAATTACTCATTGCCAAAGGTTCAAATCAAGAAATCAAAGACAAGAAACAAAAGAAACCAATCGATTATCAATCATCATAAATATAGTCATTTTATTATATATATGTTACAACAACAACAACAATCAGAGGTATGATGATTCTCTTTATTTTATTTTTATTTATTTATTTATTTAATTATTATTTGGATGAATATTTAAAAATTCTACAATAGATAGATAACCCTTGTTGGTGGCATCTGTGATTGCAGTACTTGAATAACCTTCGGTACGATGATCAATAAGATACTTTATACAAGACAAATGACCATTTACAGCGGCCATGTCGATGGCATTGGATGTACATCCCTCTGTACGATTCTGATCAAGGAATTGGACGACATTTAAATGCCCGTTCATTGCGGCCCAATTCATGGCATCTTTGGTACACGGCATGTTGTGATTGTGAAGATATTGCAATACTTCAATGTGTCCGTAAAAGGCTGCTTTATCCATTGCCTTGAATGTACCAATAATAGTAGGGGACTGTTTGCCTGTTGGTCCAACAGTCGATTGATTGCTCTCCATAAGGTACTTGACCATGCTTAAGTGACCTCGACGAGCGGCCCAATCGAGAGCGTCAGTGGTGCCCCCCTCGGTACGATGGGCTCGGAGAAAGGCGACCACTTGCAAATGTCCTGCCTCGGCAGCATCATCATAGGCACGTGTGGTACAACCTTCACGACGGTAATGGTGTAAGAATTGGACAATGTCAATGAATCCATTCTTGCAGGCCCAGTCCAACGCATTGGTAGTGCACCCTTCGGTGCGGTGGGTGTGCAATAGCTTGACCATTTCAAAATGACCCTTGTCTGATGCCCAATCGAGCGCGTCAGTTGTGCACCCCTCACTTCGATGGGTATTTAAAAACTCTACAATATCCAACGAGCCAGCTCGAGCTGCCTCATTCATTGCCCGACTAGACCCCCCCTCGGTTCGATGTGTGTGCAAGAATTGAATGATTTCCAACGATTTACCATAGTCCATAGCCTCTCGTGTGCATCCTTCACTTCGATGATGATGTAAAAATTCTAAAACTTGTAAATATCCATTTCTACTAGCACCATCCATTGCTCTTGTACTACATCCTTCTGTACGATTAAAATGTAAAAACTATAAAAAAATATATTAATTAAAAAATAATTAAAAAAATATATATTTATATTATTATTATTATTTTTAATATTTACTTTTACTACTTCTAGGTGACCATTTTCAGCAGCTGTATCCATTGCATTGGTTGAACATCCTTCTGTTCTATTTAAATGTAAAAACTATAAAGAAAATAATTAAAAAATAGAAATTAGTTTTTTGTTTTTTTTTTTAGAATTATTTTTTTTTAGATCAATTTTTTTTTACCTTTACAATTTCCATACTACCATATCTACTGGCGGCATCAAGAGCATTACTAGTACAACCTTCGGATCTGTTGAAATGAAGAAATTTTACAATATCAAAATGTTCAGAAGAGGCAGCCCAATCCATAGCATTGGTCGAACATCCTTCAGATCGATTATGATGTAAATATTCAACAATCGAGAGTCTACCAAACCAACTTGCATAATCCATGACATCACTTGTCCAACAATCATTTTTTGGAAAGCGTGTGTCAAGGTATTGGATGATGGGAAGGTTTCCATGCAATCCTACATAATTTGTAATGTCACGATCGTTTGGTGAAAAGTCTGGGCTCCATTCGAGTAGTTTGTGGAGTGTCTCGGCTGTTGCGTCATAGTGGGTGGTGTATCTAATGATAGAATCGTGTCGTTTCTTTGGACTATATTTATCGGGTGTCGGTAAATAATGTTTGACAAAGTTCCAAGGCATCGCATAGACCTCTAACATTTCTAAAAGTGCTGGAGAGTTTATCAACTCTTTTCCTTTTTTACCTTTTCTACCTCCTCCTCCACCACTGCATCCTTCTATTGATTTTATAGATTTAGGATTGAAAATTGTATATCTAATATATTGATTTCTAAAAATATCTAAAAATGTTATTGCCATTTTAAATTATAATAAATATTATTATTATTATTTTTTGATTGGTTGATTGATGAAACAAGTAAAAAGAACAAAAGAAACGAAAAATACCAACACCAAGGGTCGTATTTCTTGTTTCATAGGCAACCTATCAAAATCATTTTTTTAATTTTTTTTTCCAACCGAATAGATTTGGTCAGAAAGACTCAAACGAAAGTATACTTCGTTTTTTTTTAATCAAATCATAATATCTGATTATTATAATTAAATATTTCAGATCAATATTTTAATTATACTTATATAATTATATTATGGCTTATTAATTATTTCAAAAGTTTTGGGTGTGAAAAAACAAAAGACAAAAAAAAAAGAAATTGTTAATATTTATTTATTTCTTAAATGCAAACATATAGAGATAATTCAATACAAATAATAAATAATAATAGTCAACAAGAAAAGAAAGATGAAAAGGGAATAGTAGTAGATGAAGGAGGAGAAGATTATATTAAAAAGATACCAACTATACTACTTTTAAATATTATTAATCATGTAGATGATAATGTAGATTTAGTTTGTCTATTGTTTAGTTGTAAAAGATTATTCAACTTTACTTCTGCTGTTAACAGTAATATAACATTTAAAAAAGATGAAATTGTAGACTTTGAATGTATCTATTACTCTCAGAAATGTTATCATTTAAAGTCATTCAAGAAAATGTTTACAAATACATTTTCAGATACAATGATTATAACAGATAATTTTAAAACACCTGATATGATCGAAGAGAATATTAAAAATGTAGTATTATTGGATCTATATCAAGAGGAACTATTAGAAGAAAGTATTGAACCTTCAACACTATCAATACCTCGATCAACCACTTTATTGGAATTGCAAAGACCAATCTATGACCCATTGCCAACCGATTATTTCCCACCACTTCTTCAACACTTGACCATAACCTATGGTGAAAAGAATGTTGCTGATCGAGCGTGGTTACCCGATTCACTAAAATCACTAACCATGGTAGTCTTGGATCGTGGGTTTACCTCTCCCAAAGCATTGCCAGTGGGTCTTGAAAGTCTAGAATATAGAGACCATCACCGTGATACGAATATCAGTCTATTACCTCGGTGGCTCGGACTAGACAGACTCGGGTCTCTCAAATCGCTGACATCTGACCGTGCCCATGATGAAAAGGGTGTCGCCTACAGCACCTTACCACAGAGCTTGACCAATCTCGGCCTCTATTTGGATACATCACCACTGTCCACCTACTTTGAACCACTCTCAAAGCTGGTACATCTCGACATTTCATTCTGTGGAAGAAACGGTAACCAACCAACCGACCAACACTCCTTGTTGTATTTTGACAGTCTTGTCTCGTTGGAAACATTGCAACTCGGGTTGATCGGTCCCATTCACGCGTCACAAATCCGTCTTGCTCCTCGTCTATTGAAATTCAAGCAAACCAATTACGATCAACGTATTGGCAATCTGACCAATCAATTCTTTCCACCAACTCTGACATGCTTGAGTATTAACCTAGACACTGATGATTTTACCATGTTATCATTGTCATCATGTCTACCACAATTGACTTGGTTATCAATCAAATGTCTCTCATCAAATGTACCTGTGGAATTCATTCCGCCGAGTATCAAGACACTTGAAATATATAATCATGTAGACGTTACACAACTCTACAAATTGCATAACTCGATCGAGAAACTTGTACTCTGGAATCTCAAACATCAAATCGATATGGATACTCCCATCACTCTACCCGATGGTTTACAAAAGTTTACTTGGGTTCACTATGACAAATTCTCTTCTTCTTCTTCAAACAAACGACTTGAAGTTATTTACCCTCCAACATTAAAATATATTGATTATAGTCAATTTAGAATCCCCTACCAAAATATCATTCCAACATCAGTCAATGAATTCAAATACACGACCAAGCCCAAAACTACCACCACAATCAACAACAACAACAACAACAACAATACAACACAAATAGAAATTCACTCGATTGGTGACGACGGTTTTGTATTCCCATCGACTCTTACCAAACTAACTGCAACTATACGTTGCAATGACATTTTGATGTTTGGATTGGATCAGGTAATCAATCAAACAAATGTAGATCAACTATTAATACTCGGACCTGGTTTCACTTTCAAAGTGCATATTCGTAGATTAGATCCAGAAAATAGAAATGTATTAATAATTGGTAAATCACTTTATGGTGGAATCATTCATCAACACATTGATCAACAACTGACCTCTGATGGTGAACAACAGTATCGACCAATTTATATTTTAATTCAACATATGCAACCTCCAATACTATCATATGATATTCCCAACACTCTAAATTAAATATAAATATGATTTTAAAAACAATGTTATGTTTTTATTTGTCTATCTTTTTGGTATAGATAAATAAATATATATAAATATATAATAAATAGATAAATATATATCTATGCTGTTGCTGTATAGATACTATAATGATTGATTTTCATCATCATCATCATTATCATTATTTAAATATTGATTTACAAGTTGGGCCACTTCGAAATTGTGTGGATCGATATATTTTGGCTCGATTAAATCTTTGGCAATCAGTTTGTTGTCCAAGATGTATTTTGTGGTATTGTAGTCGGAGAAAATCCCGTAAATACTGGCTGTTGTGCATCCTTCAGTTCTGTGTTTATGAAGAAATTCTACAATAGACAAAAATCCTCCCCGACTGGCTTGATCCATAGCATTTCGAGTACACCCTTCTGTTCGATTAAAATGTAAAAACTGTAAATCAAAAGATGTCGTATAGGTTAATATTATAGTGGTTAGATAAATAAAATCTTTACTTGCCTTTACAATCTCTAAATGACCATTTTGGCAGGCTTTATAGATTGCCCGTGTTGTGCATCCCTCTGTTCTGGTTTTGTGTAGGTATTGTACAATATCAAGACTTCCCAACTCTGAGGCTTTATCTATTCCTTCAAAACTATTTAGATGAGGGTGATTTTCAAGTAAAAGCTTATAAATATATATATATATATAAATGGTGATAGAATTAAAAATAATTAGCATAATAAATAAATAATATTTATAATTATAAAAAAGTACCTTTAAAATGTTTAAATTTCTCATTCCAAGTGCTGTATCTATTAATTTTTGGGTCCAAATATCAGGTGATGATGGATGTCTTTTTAAAAAATATTCAAAGATATCCAATCTCTTTTTCTTTATGGCTCGATTTACTCCAAGATTTGTACATTGTACGTTGAATTTTTCATAGAGGTACATTATTATGTCCAATCTAATTTTTTTTTGATTCTCTTGTTTACAAAGTCGATCTATAATATCTTCAGAACATCCTTCAGTCCTATTCTCATAAAGATACTATTTATAGATAGATAGAGAGAGATATATATATTGTTAATCCTTTGGTCTCTGTAATACGTTACTACTACTACTTACCTTTACAACATCCATATGATTTTCCATTGCTGCCAAATAAATTGCCTTTTTTGTACATCCCTCTGAGCGATGGTGATGAAGGAATTTTACGGCATCTAGATTGCCACGCCAAGAAGAAATGTTTATTGCCTTTTGTGTACATCCTTCTGAGCGATTGTTAAAAAGGAATTGAATGATTTCCAATGAAGCTGCATAATCTATAGCTTTGGTTGTGCATCCTTCCGTTCTATTAAAATGTAAAAACTAATAATCAAATATGTAATTTATATATTTATATATAAAGGTTAATAATAGAGTTCAATATGATATAGATAAATAAACTGACCAACCAACCAACCAACGCTTTTACTTGCCTTTACAATCTCAAAATGTCCATTCATAGAGGCTCCATCCATAGCTTGGGTTGTGCATCCTTCACTTCTATTTTCATGTAGAAACTATAAATATATAAATATTAGTTAATTAATTGGCTAATTAATTTATCAGACATACCTTGACAATCTCAAGATGACCATTCTCCGCTGCATTATCCATTGCATCGGTTGTAGCTCCTTCAGTTCTATTAAAATGTAAAAACTAATAGAGAGTTGATTGTTTGACGTTAGTAACATTAATTAATGATTTAATAAACTACTATAATGTGTTTGTCAGACATACCTTTACTATATCTAAAGATACATAGGCAGCATTGTCAATTGCCTGGTCAGCTTTTAAAGGGCCACGATTGTGCAAATACTCTACAACTTCAAAATGCCCTCCTCGTGCGGGATCATTCAAGTCTATACCATCACAATCACTACCATTATGTTGACCACTAAAATCTATTCCAACGGCAGCAGGTGAATCCATAACCTTTAGAATCGATAGATTTCCCTGATACGCAGCAATACTTTGTGATCGCTTGTAACTAATATTTGGGTAGTTGTTGACAAAGTACTCAAAGATATCGTGCTTTCCATTCTGTATAAGGGTTCCAATAACTTGGCTAATATAACCTTTGTAAAGTGTTGGATCGTAATCTGGTGACCATTCCAAGAGACGTAGGAATGTATCAAATGTTGCTTTTCCATGTGAACAATAATCAGTGATCTCTTGTACTCTTCTTTGCAATAATACACTATCTTTATCAGTCGGTAGATAATGTTTTATAAAGTCCCATGGTAGTGCATATTGAGCGACCCTACCAAGACGTACCAACTTTATCAGATACTTTCCTTTTCTTATACGTTTCTTTCCATCATCCATATAAATATCTCTCTCGTCTGTCAAGTTACATTCTTTTGAATACACACGATTGAATATCTCGTATAATAGATATGGTGATCTAAAAACATTAAAGAATGGTTTATCTATTGTTAACATATATTTTTATATATATATATTAATTAATTTTGTTAAGATACACCGCAGTTAATAACTGTATTTAAATAGACCAGTGACTTAAAAATATACGCCAGTTACCATTGCACAAAGTGTTGTCCTTGAAATTTCTAGTTGATGCAAGTGTTGTTGATTATGGGGAGAGTGAGAGGAGATCATGAATTGTTTTGTTTGGTGTAAATAGATTAAATGTTGTGCTGATCTTTGCAAATGTAAGGAGAATGATCTTATAGTGTTTTGAAACATTTTGTTGGCTGCACTATTAGTGTATATGAATGGTCCAAAACTAATGTTACGAGCTAACACACTAAACCAAAATTAATGTCACATACATTACAACATTCGTCGTGAGGAATCCTTTAAGAAAGATATCTTATACTTAAAGATAACTTTATCTTTTTATGATGATTATCTTATCTCTACTAGTATATCGACCAATCGATCTTCATCTTAATAATAATGAATTTTTTTGTTGTATGTGCGCAAAAGAATCAATATTCACAATACTTTTCAATCATGTGACACAGAGATATAAATGTAAATTTAGTGTGTCTTATATTACAATGATTATTTGTTGGATATGTAGTATTATTTGATTGTTGTGTGGTGGTCACTATTATCCAAAAAAACAACAAAAAGTGAGGGAGGGTAACTATTGGAACAGGGATTAATTGGTCGAATGTTTAACGTCTCTACGACCAGCGACAGATAGAACTTCTTTAGCCACTAGTTTCTTCAGAAAGTGGTCCCACCTATTTCACCACCAGTAGCGAGTGGTTTGGCCCAACGCTTGGTCTCCCAAGATTTGTTGTTCCGATCTGATTGTGTTGTTGTTAAAACTTGTTGAGAGTTTCAATAATACTGGAGTCTGTATGTTTTTACTGTTCCTTGGCCCATCCTTTCACCAATTATCACTACTATCTTGGTAGGCTATACATCGAATCATATTAGACATGAAATGAAGGTTTATGGGATGAGAACAAACAAGAGAGGACATAAATGAATGTGAGAAAATCGTCAGATGAGATTTATGAGAGAAAATATCTATTTGATTTAACAACGAAATTTCGTTGATATGACTTGATAGATACTTTAAAAAAACAAAATGTGTACTTCTTCTTTTTCTGTCTGTTTCTGTTCAAGTTAAACATCGGTCCGACAATTGTGTTTGTACAAAATTCACTACATATGTACAAAATCATGATTTTAAAAGAAATATAATACAACTTTTTCTTTCTCTTCAAGCCAGTTGGCGATATATAGTGAAAATAGTACTCGCGACCTTTGGACATCAAAAAAAAAGAAACAAAAATAAAAAAAAAAATAAAAATATCTTTCCAAGTGCGAATCTGCCAAGTTCATACAATTGCTCCTTCGCATAATGAGAGGATGTCCTGCCCACCTCAACTCACCTTATTTTAAAAGTAATCAACAAGTCGATTGTTTGAAAGAAAGCAATCCCTCCATTATTAGTACCACACACTCATACACACACAGATACAACAAAAAAACACACTACACACTGTCATACAAACACTCACACTGCTGCTGTCACTTCATCATCAACGACCAACCCACCCACTACGCTACCATCTCATCGATCATATGAATTTTAAACAGTTATAGAAATAGTCGTAGCAAGCAATAACAATAACAACAACAAGTAGTAGAATAGACAAGAGTAGAATATAGTAGAGACAAAACAAAGAAAAGAAAGCATTCATTCATTCATTCATTATTATGGTTTATACAGATAATAATAATATAAAGCTAGTAGTACCTTATTGTTCTTGTTGTTCTTGTAGAAATTAGTAATAACAACAATAACAACAAATAACAAAATACGAATACAGATAGACATTTCAGAATAGAAGAAAGATAGATATAAATCTCGTGGTATCGCAGATTTCATACCCCCAAACCAAACAATAATATTATAATAATTCGAGATTTCGAGAACTGACATTGTGAAGGAAAGGAAAGGAACGGACACATTATTAAATCGATACTATATATATATATATATAAGTATAATTCATTCAAACAAATAATATAAATATAACAATGGCTGTATGTATAATTAATTAATTAAATTAATTAAGCAATTAATTATTATTTGAGTCTCTTACTAAATCATTGAATATTTTTAGGGATGTGGATATTGGGATATGGTTGATTCCATGACGGAGGAATTCGATGCCCAAGAAGTACTACCAAAACTATTTATTGGATCTGCAGCTGCTGCACAATCAGTCACAAGTCTAAAGGATCACAACATATCACATGTCTTGTCCATTTCAACTAATCCACCTGTTTATACGAGAAATGTAAGTTGTAAACCAAACAACAAAGCAAAACAATATAATTGAAATGTCGATATGTACTTACTTTATCTATATTTACTATTTTATAGGAAGCATTTCAATGTTTGTCGATTAGCATTGAAGATGAGGAAAAGAGAGACATTTCAACGTTTTTCGATCAATGTCATCAATTTATCGATAGTGGACGTACCAAAGGAGGTATATTGATCCACTGCACGGCGGGCGTATCTCGATCGGCCACCGTCGTCATTTCATATCTCATGAATCTATTTTTTAAACCATTCATGTATTGTTTCCAATTCCTTAAATCCATCAGACCTTGTGTCCAACCAAACAAAGGATTCGTATCTCAACTTTTATCATACGAAGGTCTTTTATTTTCAAATCAACAACAACTTGTACAAACACTAAGTAATCAATTATTATCAAACAACAACAACAACAAATCCCCATCTTGTTGTAGTAAGCTACAACATCAACAACAACAACAATTAGAACATCAATCAAAACAAGAACAACAACCACAACCTACAGTAATGTCATGTCAACAACATGAACAAATTAAACCAGTAGATGCTGCTCAAGCACAAGCTCAATCCATTTCATCTTCTACTACCGTACCATCTTGTTGACCCTAACAGCCAATCAACCAACCAACAGTCAACCAACCAACCAATCAATCAATCAATCAATCGATCCATTCTATCCAAGAGATACTTTTCATAGGAACCAAACTTTCACAACGATTTAAATATATATAACAAATTAATAATTTAACAAATGGACTAATAATAATAATAATTAAATAATGGAATAATCAACTAATAATAATAATAATAATAATAACCCACCCCTGTAATTAATAAATAATAAAAAGAAATAACCCTACTATAAAACATCAACACAACAATTAATTATATCAAGTCACCTGATTAATATATCTATAATAGATATTTATTATTGAATTCTTTTCCCTTTTTTTGATTGATTTTTATATTTACCTTGTTTTCTTTCCATTTAAATGTATGGAGGTCAATTCGGTCGCCTAGTTTTGTTCTTTTTCTTCCTTTTGATTTAGTTTATAAGTCTCGAAACATAAAACAAAGTTGATTTCGAGAAACAATTGTTCAAATAAACTAAATTAGAAGACAAGTGAAAGAACAAAACAAAGCAAGACACGAATGAATTTCTACAACATTAATTGCGCTAAAACTATCACTTGTCGGTAATTTTAGATTCCTTTCTAATTCATTCCAAAATTGTCAACCAAACCAATGGTAGTTCCAATATCTAGAGTATTATCCCAAAATCTGAAGCCTATAGTGGTAGATATAGCAAAGGCAGATTCATTATTTGTAGTAGATGTAGCAGAGGTACATGTATTATTTGTAGTAGTGGTCGATGTTGTAGAGGTAGCAGTTAAGCTACTAGTATCTGTATTGTTGTTTAAATCTATTGGATCAGTGGACGGTGGCTGATCAATCATCGATGGTGTACACTGTGTAGAACTAATATCATTCATGATATTTATATGAACTATATTTATTTTTAATCTATAATAATACAAGTATCTATTGTCCAAAGATTGTACGTTTGGACAGTGGTTCAATAAAAGTAAAAAATTTAACAAGAGGAAAGGAAGCAGAAAAAAGTAAACACTTCTTAAGCTAGTTTTGACACAATCGTCCCACTGTTTGACGGGGTTGAAGGGGGGTAAATGGAGAGCGAGGGGTTGATTGTTTTTCGAATTGTTCAAAAAGGAAGCAGAAAATCCTGAAGTGCAATGGTTATGAGGACCTCTTGGCCAATAAATAGTGATTAGTGTTTCTTTAAATCTATACTATTATATATAAATTGTAATCCTTTCTTTCATGGTTCGCACATTTGCTCTAAAAATAAGAATAATTCTTGAAACAACATTAAAAAATTATTTATAGTGATATCACATAATAACACCAAAATTTTTACTCCTTCAAAAAGATTAATACAAATTTTTTATTTTATATTTACAATATACAAATTTTTGAATATTTTACTCTCTTGAATTGTTTGTGTATTTCATTGATAGATCGATCGCGATTGAAACCCAGGGCGCAATAATAATAATCTGCAAAGGACGAAACGACTGTTGCAACAGGGTCGTTTAATTCGATTTTTCATTTCAAAAGAGACCTCTCTCTTTTTGCACAGGGTTAATAATTGTAAAGCGAGAATGATGATGCTTGATGAATATTACCCACCTCGTTTTATGGTTAAACATTGAACGAAGATTCCTTGGTCTCCAGGCCTACGCATATGATTTAAATCATTTCCTTTCCTGTTCCAACCCCAACTATTAATTTCTCTTTAAACAAACTATTATTATAGTTGAGTGAACAATTTATAAATAAATAAATAAATAACCAACATCCACTAGCGCTCCCCAAACCAACCCATCCTCCTATCTTACCCTATCATTAATTGTTTTTCTATTTAAATAATAATACAGTACTTACTATTTAAAATTCATGTATATATTCAACTAAAAATATCTATCAATCTTAATCTTTTAAATATTTATCATCGCAGCCTTACAGAGTGAGTGGATAGTATACTATACTGTAGTTCGTGTTTATATTCCTATAATTTAAATAATTATCACACTTCCTTCTACTTTTAGACCACCACTTTCATCTCTAGACTGACCGACTGACTGACAGTCACCCCCCACATCATCTAGATTTATTCACACCACCATTTTCATACTCTTCAACATAAATCATCATCACTCAAAAGTAAATCAAATCATCATAAATAGAATTTTATAATTATATTTATAATTATATTTATAATTAAATTTATATTCATATTAAATTTATATAGTCATTCTATAAATATATATATAATACCAATACCAAAATACTCATCCATTAATACACCAACAACCCTATACATAAATACAAATAGTTTAGATCGATTTATTTAATTTCTTTTATTTTTACAATTTTTTGTGTATAAACACTCGACAGTTTTGTGATCATCATGTCAATTAATAATAGCGATAGTCATAGTAATAGTGATAGTAATAATAATAATAATAATGGTAGTGGAGATAATAGTTATAAAACATCATTCCTAAGGAGATTTGTTGATGGACATGACAAGGAACATAAAGGGTACTCTACAGTACCAAAGGACAAGCGGAGAGACAGTGTCTCTAGTAATCACGCCATTCAATTCATAGACGATGACTATAGTCCTCTCATAGACCCATCATCACCTTCACAAGTACTAGTCAACAAGATATTCGATATAAGAGAAAAGATTGATGATCATGCAGCTGCTCAAAATCTATTTGGTCATAAAACAATGTATGATATGAAATGAAATATAAATGAGAAGTCAATGTTAACATTAATTTATTTTTAATTTATTTTAGAGGATATATTGGAGGATTTTGTTTATTAGTTGGAAATATAACTGGGCCTGGATTAGTAGAGATTGCATCGACTTATCAACATGGTGGTTGGATTCTGTCGACATTGGCATTTATTGGGATGATGATGTTGAGTGGACTGGCATCATTCTTTTTGATAGAGTCGATGGCTGCTCTACCGGGTAATCCAAGGTTTCAGTTGAGAGTAGAGTTTGTCATGTTGTGTAAATTCTATTTTGGTAAGGTTGGCTATGTCCTGGCACAGATATTTATCAATGTCAGTTTGCAAGCAACCAATATCGCATCGATTATTATTTGTGCACAAATGGTAGACAGTCTACTCATCTTTATCTTTGGCAAAAGTTGTGGTGTCCAATTATACCCTCATCAACGATGGACTTGTGTTGAAACTGAGAGTTCAAGTACCTCTCCATTTGCAGATTACTATATGCTATTTACTCTTGGGTATCTAATAGTATTGGTTATTATCATACCATTAGGTATTTTAAATCTTGAAGATAATATTATTGTTCAAACTAGTAAGTCAAAATCTAAAGTCTAAAAAATCTAAAGTATAAAAAAAATAACAATCATAAACTAACCAACCTTTTTAATTTACTTTTAGTTTGCTTTATATTGATGGTAGCAATTGTAACAAGTTGGATTATAATGTTTATTATTAATGGATTGGAACCAACCAATTTACCTGCGATAGGCGATAAACTTGGAATAAGTAAAATCCTTGGCAATGTTATATTTAATTATGCTTATATTACTACTCTACCTTCTTATGTTAATGAAGTTGTACGTATCTCTAAACAATTAAACAAAATTAATAATAATATTTATTTTTATTTGTTTTTTTTAGAAACCAACAGTAAATATAAAGAAATCAATATTTTCGGCTACAGTATTTTCAACATTTATATTTATGATGATTGGTATATTTGGATCTTTGGCATTTAGTAATATGCCATATGACAGTGATATTTTGAGTATGATTAATTCAACGAGTCATGCCAATGTCTTTTCGAGAGTGTCGGTCTATATCTTTCCATTTATCGTGTTGGCCAGCTCCATCCCAGTGTTTAGCATCATTGTTCGATACAATCTCACACAGAATCGATTACTCAAGAAACCAGTGGCCATTTTCATCTCGGTCATCCTTCCATGGATCATTGTCATCCCATTCATGACTGGTGAAGGTCTAATCAATATTATCGATTGGGCTAGTCTATTCTTTAGTTCAACTTCCAATTTCATCATTCCACTTTTAATTTATTTAAAATCTTTACATTTTAGATCAAAGAATTGTAAAACAAAAAACAAAAAACAAATCAATTTATTATATTTATACTAATATTTATTTCTTTTTACTTTTTAGTTTTAACAAATGAACAAAAAGAAATTATAGATTCATTGGCACAAGATACAATCGATTGGGAAGAAAATGAAGTTATGTTGTTTGAAGACAAGAATCAATTCAAGGGACTAAAAGGTGTATCTAAAATAGTGACCAGACGAATTGCTTGGGTTTCTTTAATCATATTTACTTTATTAATTATAGTTGTTACCATTTTCAATATCATTGGTTAAATAAATGAAAGAAAAAATGCAATAATTACAGAGAAACAAAAAGAGAGGGTTTCTGTGGCATTCGGAACTTGGAATATAGTGTGTTTTTGAAACTTGAGAAGTTTTAAGATACTGGAGTCTGTATGTTCTAACCGAAGCCTGTCCCATCCCTGTTTATGCAATGTTTATCAATGTAGTATACCCGAAGACATGTTTTAAAATTTACTATCCTTATGGGATTGAAATACTCGCTTGTACATCAATAAATAAAAAAGTGAGGAGGGTAAAAAAGTGAGGAGGGTAACTGAGGAACCAGAGATTAGTTGATTGGGTACTTCTTTAACCACTAGTATCCCGAAAGTGGGTTTTTGCTGGAATGTGAGCAAACCTCAAGAGGTAGTTCTACATCGACAGTAAGATTGAGATGAAACTTGTTTAGAGTTTAATACTGGAGTCTGTACTTTTTTACTGATGCCTTGGCCCATCCGATCACCAAGAATCAGTAGTATCTTAGTAGACTATACATCGATTGGTAAACATATGTAGATTGTTTCTTATGGGAAAGACATTTTGGTTGTATTGTACGAAACTTGCGAATAATTGTAGAATGTCACTTGGCTGAAAACAAAATAAACATCGTCATTGTTATATTTATATTTTGTTTTGTGCAGTATAATAACGCTCGTATATTTACTATACTACTTTTAAATATAATCTACATTCTCTGTCACATTGATTATACAAGTGGGTTTTTGCTGGAATGTGAGCAAACCTTAAGAGGTAGTTCTACATCGACTGTAAGATTTAGATGAACTATGTTATCATCTTTAATGTTTAAATCACATTTTCATTAACTAATTCTTCCATGGAACCAGTCACTTCATTGGATGGGTAATTAAACCATCTAATAATATCCAGGTTGATATTCGCCGTAGTAGGATGGTACCAACAAATAATTATCAACAACAGAACTGACCGATATTGCATTAATTGAAGATATCATATGATGAGACAGAATGATGGGTGGGGTTCTCAGTTTATGTGTGGTGTTCTAGAGATAAGGAGAACGATTCGCCCCTCCAACCACCCGATCACTGAATCGATCACATGATCATCACCAGTTGGCTATAGCTATCTAGTTAGTATGAGTGAGGGAGGGTCGGTGGATTGATACCGTCGCTCACGTGTATCAATCAAACTCACCTCATATATTTTTATAATATCCTCTTCTTCTCTTTGTCCTCTTCTCCACATCCCAACGACCCCTCACAGCACAACACATAAATAGTTACAACAGTCGACTAACTACATAGATAATCAATTAACACAGATAATATAATTATATTTATAATAGTAATAATAATAATAGTAATAATAATATGTCAGTAGTTACAAAAGATAGCAAAGAAGTCTTGGACCTTATCGGGGGCATGTTCCCAGGGTATCCCGCCGGTCACAATATCGAAGATATCATGAATCAGCTTGAAAATGGTACCTTGCCAACAGTTCCAGATACGAGCGTCACTCCTCCCGTCAAGCCACCAACCACGACTACTCCTCCCGTCAAGCCACCAACTACCACTACCCCTCCAGTCACCCTTCCTCTCAGAGACAGCCGATTCTTTGTTGGTTACACCAAAAAATCTAACGAAGTCTTCAATGATGAGTTGCTTCCAGTCCCACCATTACCTACCCCTGCAGGTGGAAAAGCAGCTGCGATTACCGTCAAAACAGTCGTCAAGAGAGAGGCCGTACCAGACTTGTTACCAGCTTGGAACCCCGATTTTGTGGTGCCTCCTTTTGATGTCAATCGTAAAGATCCAACGATAACAGATGATGAAGGATTAAAGATAATCAACAGCTTCTCTGTTTTTGAAGGTTCAAAGAATGTACGTATTTATTATATATTTATATATATCTAATTATATTTATTTATTTTTTAATATTAATCTTTTTTTTTTTTCAATTATTTTTGTTTTTATTAGGTTGTAGCAGAGAATGCTAATAATTATTTCTTGGAGAACATGTTACTCTACTCTGATCCAAATAATGAATTGTTGCAATTGTTTGGTCTCTCGAAACCAAAGCTGAGTCAGAACCGTTTGGATATTTGTGATGAGCCAAAGGTTACTCTCTGGTACTCCTACTATTCCTTCTATTATCTACCATTGATCGTTGCCAATGGAAACTATTCAGTCTCTAAAAAGATTAATGCCAAGTTTTGCAAGGACAAGCTTCACTACCTTGAAACTGATGTATCTTTTGATGTATGTAAAAATAATAATAATAATATTGAATCTTATTTAATTAATATTAATTAATTAATTAATTTCCCTTAATCTATTTTTTTAGAATACATATGCCCATCAAAGAATGTTATTGTTCAAGTACGCATTCTGTGAAAAGAATCAATGGATGCAGAAATTCCAAAAGAGCGCAGGCCGTTGGTTACCGTTGTATGTTGATTCTTTGAACAAAAATCTATTTAGCAAGGTTTCAAAGTTGCAGGGAAGATCGGCCGAACAATTCCAAGCTTTCATTGTCAATGTCAAGGCCACCCTAGATATCCTCGATCCAACCGGCGAGACATCCAAACATACAATCAACAGCATTATCGGCGCCTCCATCTTTGCCAATTTGGACCAAAAGAATTCTATCAAGGATACCCCGGTCAATCGTGAAATTATCAAGGATACTATCCAACGTCTCATCGATCGAGTTAACGACGGCAAAGTTGAAGAGGGTGAAGACCTAGATTCAATCACAATTGGCAAGGACCTCATTGCTACATTGGGAGGAAGTGTAGGAGGCGTCCGTGAGCTTCAGAAAGCGATCCTCGCCACACAATTTGAGTCTATTGGTGGTCCCGACATATCAAATGGATACGATGTCTACTTGAAAGCTGTTGGTGCACGTGTTATGAACAAGATGCAGATACAGGCCTCCAATGTCAACAAGTTTGCAAAATTCCTTGGTCATATGTTCAAGGTTTGTCAAGTATCGGTTATTATCTATTCAATCACCAATTGGGACAAGCTAGATGCATACAACAAAACCTTCTTCTCTCTCGATATTCTCAATATCGCATTGGATTTGGCATCAAGTTCAACCGAGGTTGTTCCAAATGCATTCAGAAAGATTGGTGCTGTCATTGGTGTCCAACTCAACAAGCTGCCTGCCGCCGACAAGGTACTCACCATTATGGAGAATGTCTTCACCACTGATTTAGCCACTTTTGTAACAACTCGCTTTAGTCCTGCTCTTATGGCTATCAGTGCCATCAAAAGTGTCTATGACTGTGTACAAGATGCAAAGGTAAGTAATTTAATAATAATAATATTTAAATAATATTTAAATAATATTTATTATTTAATCTATTTCATACCCCCTGATTATTAATAATTAAATTAATGTAATCCCCTTTTTATTTTCCATATATCTTTCTTTCTTTCTTTCTTTCTTTCTTTCTTTCTTTCTTTCTTACATAGGCTGGTAACATTGGTGCACTCGTAATGGATGGTGTATCGGCAGGTATTGGGCTTGGTGTAGCCTTGGCAATCTTTGGAGGATGTGCTTGTGCAGGTATAGTATTATTATTAGATTAAATTAAATTTATGTACAAACCAATCAATTTATTTATACAATTCAATTTCAATTCTATCTCTCTCCTATAGGACCTTTGGCACTACTTGCAGGTGGTGTTTTATTGGCGTTGGCTGGTATAAAATACATCTTCTTTAGTCCCAGCAACGATCAGATATTCTATGACAAGATTTACAAGGATCTTAAACTTTAAATTATTTTTAATTTGAATTGATCAAACTATGTGATATATTACACAAATAAAAGATGATAAATAGAAGAAGAAGACTTTGCTTTTATAAAAGATTATTCAACCTACAATAATCTTAGAATAGGAAAATAATATTTATTAAATATTTGTTTTTTAATCTCTAGCTGTATAGATCTATATCTATTCCAAATTATATTCTAATTTAAAATTTTGTTTGAAAGATAATTAATTAATTATTCGTTCATAAATCCTCAAACTATTATTTTCTTTTCTATTATATATCATCGACTAAGTACTACTATTTTGATGATACAAACAGAGATGAAAGAAGAAGAAAATTATTTTAAAAAGATACCAACTTTTATACTAGTTAAAATAATCAATCATGTGACAGAGAGTGTAGACAAGGTGTGTCTATTATTGACTTGTAAAAGATTATTCAACCTATTGGATCAAATGTCTGATGTGTTGAATATTACTAGAAACATTGGTTTGAGTTGTAGCAATGATAGAGTCTCTGGAAAGGTTGAGGCATCAAAAATTATCTTGCCCCAAAATCTATTGTCTTTTTCTCTTAAACAATTCACAATTGGTAACTTGTCAAATGAATTCTTTCCAAGATATGACATTAAACCAAACAGCTTTTAGATCTCTTTCAAGTCTGACTCAATTGGCAATGTTATCAATCTTAACCTATTCAGAAGATATTCCAGTGTCGATTATTCCATCAAGTGTAAAGACACTTGAAATTAGAATGACAGGAGTGTTTGGTCGTGAGATGGTGACAATCCCTGACACTATAGAATCACTCAAGTTGTCAGGCTATCAAATGACAAGGGTCAATACTCTACCAACCTCAATTACAAAACTGGTGCTTGACAAACCATCTCTATTCAATATGAGTGTACCAATCACTCTTCCAAGCAATGTACAAGAGTTTACTTTTATCCTTGGATATATTCATTTGGATGTCAAATATATTGAGTTTTTATATCCTCCTAATCTTAGATTCATTGATTTCAGTCATCAAGGAGTCCCCTACAAACCAACTAATATTCCAACCTCTGTTAGTGAATTCAAATACCAAGTTTTAAATATATTGTTTGGATAAATAATAATACTAAGTTTCGTACTAGAGTCCACTCTGTTGGCGATGATGACGGTCTAATATTCCTATCAACTCTTAAAAAATTATCTGTACACATGGACATTGTGAGAGGAATCGATAGGTGTTGGGTACTTCAATTAAACTATGTAATCAATCAAACAAGTGTAGAGACTCTAGTCATCGAAGCATTTCATTTCCAAGTTGATATTCGTCGTAGACTGGATGGCCAAAATAGAAATGTATTGATTGTTGGTAAATCTCTCAATGGTGGAATTATGCATCAACAAATTGTTCAACGTATTGAAGAAATGAAAAAGATATCTTTATTTTAAAAATATTGATACACCTCCAGTATTATTATTCAATCTTCCTCAACCAACTGAAAGTTTATTTGATCGATCAAATTAATAAATCATAATAATTCGTGTGGTGACTTGTAAAAGATTATCAACCCAAAATTAAAATTCAATCTGGAATAATAAATATAAATATAAAATATATTAACCTTGATTGAATATTTATTTTATTGTTTATTTATTGAAATGATGCGACTGTCGAAAATGGAACTGTAGCAGTTGATGGAACGATGTAGAAAGTTTCTTGTGGAATGGTATTTGGGATGACCGAGGACTTTACCTTTTGAGTTGCGAGATTAAAGATATCGACGTAGAGTTGGTCTTGGGCAGGGTTGAGGATAATGAGTGATCCAGAGGCAGAGTCATAGATGAATGGTTGGATGGTTCCCTTGAACAACTTGTTTGAGCTAGTGTCCTTGTAGATGATATCAACTTGAGTGGTCTCAAAGTCGACAGTGGCAATATTTACTCCGGTATTGGTATCCAAGGTGGCCAAGTAGAGTTGATTGTTGTAGTAGATGAGTTGTTGAGTTCCATAGAATACTTGAGTATTATCTCCTGTGAGGATGACCGATGTGTAGGTGTATTGACTGAAAGAGTATTTGACGAGACCAATAGTGTTACCAGTTTGATAATAAACATAGTAATAGTTTGAACCATCATAAGCACCAATTGGTGAAGTAGTAAATGAACCATCAACACCCAAAGAAATTGCTTCACTAAAAAAATGGAAAAAAAATAATAATAATTAAAATCAATCATTTTTAAGAATTTAATATTTAAAAACACATACTTTGGAATATCTTGACCGAAACCTAATGGAATAATAGCCAAAGTTCCATCATTATTTGATAGAGCGAGACCGGCTACATAAGCAGTTAAAGTGTTTTGATCCCAGTAAATTGGTTGTTGTCCAAATCCAAACCCGAATCCTTGTGGTGGCTGACTGTATACCGTGGTAAATGTCTTTGACTATAAAGGTTTAAATAGAGATAGAAAAAGATTAAAATTATTTAATTTCTTATTTAATATATTTATTATTTTTGTTTTTATACATACCTCAATTGAAAATGAGCTTACAATATTGCCAGAACTTGGAGCACTACCAAGAGTAAGAATATTGGTATCATTGACAGCTAAAATTCCCCAAATTGAAAAGTATTCCGATGTGAATGTAGCATTGTCAAGGGTAGCTCCATCACTTAATCTGATGACACCATAGTTGAAAACACCAGCAGTCTCGTAAGAGTCTTGAATGTATTGGATGGCAGTTGGTTGAGAATACTAAAAAAAATTATTTATCAATAAATAAATATAAAAAAGAAATTAGTAAGTAAGAATAGTCAAGATGACTTGATATTGTTTGTTATGATTAAAAAAAAAAAGGGTACATACAACTCCAACCAAGAATAATAAGGCAAAAGTAAATAATAGTTTCATTGTATATATATAATTATCTGTTGTTTTGAACAATGAATGAACATGAAAGGACACGGGTCGTTTTTAAACGGAACACAAGCCTTAATCATTTTCATTTAATACATAAATATCTTTTAAATTTTTCCAATACCCAGATATTTTCAACAAGATTTTTTTTCGTGTCACATCATCCCCATCCCCATTAACTAAATATATATATATATTTGGGAAATGATCAGGTGAGATCAGCGCACATTCCGTTGTAATGAAGAATGTCTTTATTTTTTGAATGTATTTTTATCAAGAAAGGATGGGTCGCGACTTTAATCAACAAGTGAATCTAGGTAACTCCTGTACATTTTCATAATCCCGTAGTTATTTTTATTGGATTCCCAAAGATTTCCTAATGTAGAATGATATCCATTCTATTTTAAATATTTTTTTTGGATATTAATGATATTATTATGAGTTCAATATTTATTTAATTTATAACATTAACAAAAAAATTATTATTATTATTAATATTTTTTTTGTTTAAAATTGACCAGCCGAAACTGAAATAGTTCTAAGTGTACCAATTGGGATTGTGTTTGTAAATACTGATGACTTTACTTGGAGAGTAGAAAGAGAAAAGATATCGACAAAGAGGTTAAGACCGTTGACATTGAGAATGGTGATAGTACCAGTGTTGGAGTCAAATACAAATGGTTGGACCAAGCCTGAGAAACTCTTCTTTTGATAGTTGCCGTCTTTGTAGATGATGGCAAAGTCACCACTTTCAGGAGCAATCGTTGCAATGGTGACACCCCATTTAGGGGTGAGTGTGGCCAAAATGACTTGACCGTTGTAGTAATACAATGATTGAGTTGCAGAGTTTGGTCCACCAACAGCATCAATCTCGACAGCTTGGATTGACGAATCGGCAAATGAATAACGAACAAGACCAAGTTGGGAACCAAGATTATAGAAAATATAATAATAATTGGATCCATCATAGGCACCCAATGGATTACCATTAAATCTTGCAGTAGCATTTTCACTAATCCCTAAATCAACTGGTGTACTATAAACAAATAAATAAATTAATAAATAAATAAATAAATAAATACTTATATATTATATTATTATTATTATTATTATTATTATTTACCTTTGAGAGGTTTTACCAAATCCAAAATTGAGGATAGCCAATGTACTATAAACATCAGTTCCAAAGTCGATACCGGCAGTTGATACTACAGAGTATTTTTGGTTCCAAACAAATGATTGAAGACCCAATGAATATCCAAATTGGATGTTTGCATTACCATATTGAAGACTATATTCATTTGCCTTTTAAAAAATTAGAGAGGTGTGTCAATAAATAAATAAATAAATATATGTGTATATTTGTTCTTTGGTATAGTTGATTACATACTTGTGGATTATAAACAACAACATTGACTTTGTTTGGTGGGAGGTTACCAATAGTGACGATGTTACCAGAGTAATCAGTCGATAGGTAACCCCAAAGGTTGTATTGTTGATTATCAGTATTGGAGACATTGTAAATTGTTGCACCATCACTTAATCTTAGAACTGTATAATTGATAATACCTAAAGTTGGTGAATTAAAGTATTGAATTGCTTCTGGTTGTTGAGCAAACTATAAAGAAGAGGAAAGATTGTTGAATTAATAAATATATACATTTATATACACTAACTAGAACATAGTTGATTGTTATATTTGAATATACATACTGCAACAACAAGTAAAGATAATAAAACAATTGATATTATTACTATTGACTTCATTTTCTATTTTTGTTTGTTTGTTTGTTTGATGATGTATTTAAGTAAATGATTGATTGAATGTGATCATCATGATTGTGATCTTATAAATACCCTCTGGTTTAGGTTCACACCATTCTAAACGAGAAAAAACAACAACAACAACAATAATAATAAAAGATAATTATTATTATTCGAGAAGTCCTAACTTCAAGATCATCTTGCAACCCTCCCCTTTTTAAAAAATTAAAAAGAAGAAAATATCTGAATTAAAAATATCCGGGTTTAGAGAGTAGGGTATTTCTTCTCGAGTATTCTCCTGCGTTGATAACTAGGATTGAACACTCACTTTGTAAAGATTAAAGAATTAGACTCTAAGTACACATCATTGGATAGAAAAGAAATCAATCAATAATCATATTTAAACATAGAGTTTTCATGTTAAGAGATAAGTATGACCAACAATAGGAAGAAAACAACAACTTGTTAAATTATTAATTAATTATTTATTTAATAATTTAATTGCTTTGAACAGATGGAGCAATCATTACAGTTTCATATGGGATTGTATTTGGGAGGCTGGATGATTTGATCACAGTCTTTGTTAAAATGTCAAAGACGTCGATGTAGAGATTACCATTGTAGGTGTTGAGGATGAGGATGGTACCAGTGGTTGGATCAAATACAAATGGTTGAATGTTTTGTTGGTATCCTTTGGTGGCGATGTTGTTGTCTTTGTAGATAACTACGACGTTGCCAGAGTCAAATGACATGGTTGAGATGGTGACACCTACCAATGTGACATACTTGCAATAGTACAACTGTCCATTAAAGTAATAGAGTTGATCGATACCATGTAGTTTGAGTGGTACGACAGGTTCGATAAACGTAACAAGTTTCGATGTGTTTTGTGAGAATGAGTATTGAGCAAGACCATCGATATTATCAATCGAAAAATAAACATAGTAATAGTTTGATCCATCGTATGCTCCAACTGGATCACTATTAAATCTTGTTGTTGTAGTATCAGATATTCCTAATTCAATTGGGTATCTAAAAATTAAATAAATAAATTAATAAGAAAAGAAATATATAATAATTATTATTTTTTTTGTTTTTGGAATACTTTACGTTTTCTGAGCAGTATCAAGTTTAAATTCAAGTAAAGATAATACAGCACGTTCATTTTCATTAAAGAATAAACCTGGGACATAGGTAGTCAAGGTGTGTGGGTTCCAGAGGAGTGGTTGAAGAGCAAATGTAAAACTGTATGGATAGGATGCAATGAATTCTTGTTGGAAGGAATCGGTGCTTGGCCAGAACGACTTTACTTGAATAGAGTTGGAAGCGGTTCCAAACAACAAGATTTCACTGGTGTCGTTGGTGGTGAGGAATCCCCAGATACCATATTGGTCTGGGTTGATATTGGTCACGTTTTGGAGTATCTTTCCATCACTTAATCTTACTACTTGATAATTGATATAATCATAGCCTGGCCATTGATAAAAGAATTGTATTGATACTGGTTGGCAATACTAAAATAAAACAATTAAATTTAAAAAAGTATATTAATATCATCGTTATTCAGGCCGAGTATGAGTATGTTTTAAGTTATACTTACACTTCCAACTATAAACAATAAAAAGAGTGATATAATTGCTTTGTTTAACATTATTTGTTTTTAAAAAGTATATAATAATTATTATACTATTTGTTGATTATTATTATTATAATATTTGTTTGATTTGATTTGTTGATTTGTTGATTTCCGTCATCGGGTTGTATAAATACTGATCATTTTTAAAAATGGTATCAAAGGTAGATATTATCAACTGTCTGACGAACTACTAGCTCTATCTTCTATAAATTCCATCGAAGTAAAATTTTAAAAAAAATATCTTGATCTTCATTTAATCGACCCCCAATTTTGATTCTATTTTGAAAATGTCTCGGAGATGTCTCGTTCAGGTATGCATAGGTACCCACCTTTCCGATTCCATTCTCATGTCTGTCTCCTTCCTTTGTTTAAACACTACTACGACTATTACTACACATGTAGAAGAGAAGAGCCAGTTGGGTTGGTCTGAAATTTTAAAATAGATGTTAGTCAAGATATGATCATAAAGTAAAAATAGTATTACCTACACTACGTCTTATTTAGTTGTTTCTAATTAAAAGTTGATAGACATACACTCGAGCAACATATGTACATCTAATTGTTATAATAAACTAGACTCTTCATATTGTTCTTTTTCTGTGTAATATATCATATAGTGCAGCTGATGATGATGATAGTTCAAATTTTAAAACAAGGTATAACCATGATAGTACAGTTTCCTCATCTAGTGTCGATACTAAATCATTATAAACATCTTTATAGTTGCTCTCGTTGTTGATTCTATTATTCTTCTTGTCTCTTTCTTGCTCGTTTTACTATTGCTTGTACAAACTCTAAAATTAAATGATAGTTTATAAATTTTTAAAAGACTTGGTCATAAAAAAAAATTAAACAAATTAATTATTTTAAAAAGATACAAGATAATCAATGTAGATTTACTATGTGTGCAATATATTTATTTGCACAAGATGATGCAACCTGACCTAGCTGTTACAGATACCAACATCGCAAGGCGACAAAAAGTCTACTCGATGATCATTAAGTTCACAAACATAATTATAAATTGGGTTATAATATTTATATCTATATTTTTAATCTATTAGCAACTCAATAATATCTATTGACATTAAAATATACTCACCATATTATTTATCTATTCTCAGGAACAAACTTGGTTTATTAAATAATTAAACGCTATATATTTTTTAAAAAAAGAGATAATTGATGAATTTAATAAATAACCATCAACAACATACATATAGGAGGAGAAGAAGATTATATCAACAACATACCAACTATGATAATATTAAATATTATTAAAAGTGTAGATGATAATGTTGATTTGGGGTGTCTATTGTTGACTTGTAAAGGATTATTCAACCTATTGGTCAATCAACATTACCAATTATCTTTTAAACAGATATATATCACATCCAAGTACCATATGTCAAACCCTTTCAACAAAACCGATGATTGTTTGACTCTACCATATCTCCATCTTGGATCATTCTATAGATGTTTAAAAAGACATTTTCAGATACACTACTCATTGTGACAAAGAAACCATTCCACATAATAATAATAATAATAATTATAATAATAATAATAATTATAATATCACCAAAGTAATTGGGGGATGGTCAGGTATGGAGCTATCAAATCTATCATCAGTCACTTCATTAGATCTTTTTAGACCCATCATTGGTCCATTGTCAACCAATTTTTTCCCACCAAATCTTCAACACTTGAGCCTCTACTTTAAATCAAAAGAATTGATTACCAAAGGATTCTTCCCCGACTCTCTAAAGACACTGAAAATTTCAATACCAAATGGAGAGTTTGACAAGAATTCACTACCAATAGGTCTTGAAAAGCTAGAAGTTAGTTCATACCTGGAGTACATTAAAATAGATCCAAAATTCATTGGATTGGATAAACTCACCTCTCTTAAATGGCTAAACATTGTATCAAATATTTTCAATGAAAAAGTAGGTACAGTTCACAGTTCGCTGCCCACAAGCTTAACTTATCTCTGGATGCCTGTGAACAAAGATTTAAGATTATCGCCTACCTACTTTGAACCACTCACTCGGTTGGTACATCTCATACTTTCATTGGATTTTATCAAGTCGGATGTGCTATCATTCATCAACAAATAGAAAATGATCAACAACGACCAATCTATCTTTGTTTTGAACCTATATTCTCAAATACTAGATTTGGAATCCCAAAACTAACATTCAATCTTCCCTCACATCAATAAATAGATTTATTTTCATCATCATACAAATCTATCAATATCCTTTTATTATTTTTTAATTATTATTTATGACAGTTTTTGAATAATTTGTATATTTGATCATCATATTCGTATTGGTCATCGTCTTGATTAAATACAGTAATCAATTGTGAAATTAATTGTGGTAATTGATTTTTGAATGATTCGAGTATTGATTCGAAATGGATTAGATATTTTTTTGAGTTTGATTGATACAACAATCTTACAACTCTCTTTTTTCAAGGTTGTTTCTAAATAAATTTTAATCGATATTTTAAACCAATTTAATAATCCTCCCAATAAAATTTAATCTATATTTTTAAACCAATTTTCATCTCGAATCAAATTTATTCATAAATTTTTAATTAAAACCAAAAAACAATATTTATACCTATTTATATTCAACTTGGAGAAAAAGTATTTCAAAACAACAAAGAGAATATTCCATGGAAATAATTCAAAAACATAGAGTAGAAGGAGAGGATTATATCAACAAGATACCAACTATCATAATTTTAAATATAATCAATCATGTAGATGATAATGTAGATTTAGTGTGCCTGTTGTTATCTTGTAAAAGGTTATTCCAATTTTCTACTACCAATAATCATTATCACCAACTATCATTTAAACATATTGAATTCAATTACCCATTAGTATCATCAAACTATAATGAAACAATAAAAAGTTTCACTCTTCCACATCTCCATCTTGGATCATTCTCTAGAATGTTTACAAATACATTTTCAGATACAATGATTTTATCAAACCAAGTGAATATCAAAGACAAGGAAAGGATCGACCAAAATAGAAATAATGAAAAAATGACCAAAGTAATTGGAGGATGGCCAAGTATGGAACTATCAAGAATATCATCAGTCACTTTGTTGGATCTTTTTCGCCCAATCGACGGACCATTGTCAAACAACTTTTTCCCACCAAATCTCAAACAATTGACATTTTATTTCAAAAGTTAGTCGATGAACTATTTAAAACCATCACTACCACTGAATCTTGTAAAGCTTGAATTCCATGGTTCAAATTATTCCTCCTTTACAACAGAGCCGTGTCATCTTGGAATAGACAAACTCAAGTCTCTCAAAGTTCTCAAGTCTTCTTGTCTGGAGGAGGTAATGGGTACCATGTACTGCTCGTTGCCAATTAGTTTAACCAATCTCACTTTGGAAATGGATCATATTCCATCACCAACCTACTTTCAACCACTCACCCAGTTGGTAGATCTCAAACTTATGAAGTTTAGAAAAAGCGATCCCAGTCTATATCTCGACAGTCTCACAGCTCTAAAGTCACTAAAATATTATTTTTATGTAGTTCCAATTGACCCTTCCATGATCCGTCTACCACCCAACCTTTTGGAATACACCCATATTCATCAACCCATTTCCAGCCTAAAAACTGAATTCTTTCCACCAACATTGACATCATTGGATATGACATTTTCAGATATTGATTATACCAATGTTTCTCTAAAGACTCGTCTAAAACATTTGAAATTTCTTACAATACATACCAATTCAGACCTACCAATGGAGTTTATACCAGACAGTGTCAAGACACTTAAAATCTATTCAATTAATGGACAAAATTTAATCAAAGGTATGATTCCAGATAGAGTCGAGTCTCTCTCGTTGGAAAATATCAAGACAAGATTCCAACATCTACCAAACTCTATTAAAAAACTGGTACTCAAGGATGACCCCAATGTTATCTTGTATGATAATAATCCAATCACACTTCCAAACAATTTACAAGAGTTTTCTTTAATTCCTGGCCCCTATCAAAATGTATTTCCTCACGATATTGAATTTATCTACCCTCCTACATTAAAAGTACTAGAATATGGTAGAGTCTTTTTCACTGCTGCCATCAAGCCATTCATCAAACAACCCATTCCATCATCAGTCAATGAATTCAAGTATATTGCTTCTACATGGACTTCCACGTTCAACAATGCAATAGTTCATTCGATTGTTGAAGATGAAGGTTTTATATTCCCATCAACCATTACAAAACTACCTGTAAAAATTCAACCTGGAACAGCCTTTGAATTTTTGATTTTTAGAATGGATTATTTAATCAACCAAACCAATATAGACCAACTCATCATTGATTATACCGCTTCCCATTTCCAAATTGATATTCGTAGACTTGACCAAGAAAACAATAATGTATTGATTGTTGGTAAATCACTTTTTGGTGGAATCATTCATCAACAACAAATTGATCAACAAGAATTGTTGCAAGGTCTAGACATCAATTCCCACCATAGACAACAAATTTATCTTTATTTCGAGCCCTCAATGTCTCATTGTAGTATTCCAACTCTTAAATTCAATCTTCCTTCCCCCCCCCCCTAAATAGTAAATAAATTCCAATTCCAACAAAAATACAAGAGTTAGACTGCACATGACTGCGTACAATTCCACCAAAAGAGAGAACCTATTTAAAATTTTATTATCTTTTAACTTTTCATCTTCCCAAGAATAAAAATAAAAGTTATCTAATCTTTAAAAATATTTTCACTTGTTATTGTTTTTTTAAAACAAAAAAACAAACAAGCATCATCATTATTTTTCTTTCATTCATATTAGATCTCTGTAGAGATAATAATAATGAATAGAGATAAAAAGAATCATGGAGAAGGGGAAGGAGAAGATTATATCAACAAGATACCAACTACAATAGTATTAAATATAATCAACAGTGTAGATGATAATGTAGATTTGGTGTGTCTATTGTTGACTTGTAAAAGATTATTCAACTTTACTACTACCAATAATCATTATCAAAACAATCTATCATTTAAAAAGGTTGATACACTGAATGATTTAGGTAGATCAAGTCTCTACAACAACGCTACATGTAAACATCTTGGTTCATTTAAAAGAATGTTTGCAAATACCTATTCAGATACTGTCATTTTACCTAGAAATACAAGATATCACTACACATTAGAACTATCTAAACTATCATCAGTCACTTTGTTGGATCTTGGTCAACCGATCAATGAACCATTACCGTCCAACTTTTTCCCACCAAATCTCAAACACTTGGACATTGAATATAGAAAAACTCAAGAGACAATTGACCTTGGTATTCTGCCCGACACTCTAAATTCACTAAACATTTCAGTATCAAGTCGGGAGTTTGCCAATGCATTGCCAAGTGGACTTGAAAAGCTAGAAGTTCAAAGCTCAAGCGGCCACAAATTTGGAATAGAACCACATTGCCTTGGAATAGATAAGCTTTCATCTTTGAAATCTCTCACTTCATCATATCTCAAAGAGGAAATGGGTAACGTCAATTGTTCGCTTCCAAAAAGCTTGACAGATCTTCACCTTGGTATCAGTCAACTACCATCACCGACATACTTTTATCCACTCACCCAGTTGGTACATCTGTTTGTTTTTTTGTTTGAAACAAAACAATTCAATGAGTTGTATCTTGACAAGCTTGTATCTCTTGAGAAATTTACAATTGGTGCACATTGTTCAATAGACGTCTCAAAAATCCAACTAGCTCCAAATCTTTTAGTGTACCATCAAATTGGTGGCTCTCTGACCACACCATCAACAGAATTCTTTCCACCAACTCTCACATCATTGACTACCTATTTTGGTGAAAATGATTATACCAATCTATCATTATTATCACGACTACCACAATTGACATTTCTATCAATTGAATCTAATGAAGATATACCAACTGGATTCATTCCACCAACTGTAAAGACACTTAAAATTGAAAACAAATCGGGCAGAAAAATGAAGTTCCACATTCCAGACAGTATCGAGGCATTAGTACTGGAATCAATCATTCCAGTAAATGACAAGTTTCCAAACTCTATTAAAAAACTTTAACTAAAGTATCCAAATTATATTGAGTATGCTGGTGTTTCTCCAATCCTTCCAAGTCATTTACAAGAATTCACATGGATCCCAAATTGCAGTAATGGTCGTCAAATTCAATACCCTCAATTTATCTACCCTCCTACCATAAAATCAATTGAATATGGTCAACTACATTTTCCAAACAAACATATCATTCCACCATCAGTCACTGAATTCAAATATCTCGTTTCAAAAACCACAGTCTTTGACAGTAAAACAAAAATTTACTCGATTGGAATTGATGATGGATATGTATTCCCATCGACTCTCAAAAAGCTCACTATCAAGATCAATCGATTTTATGATTATTATTGGATATTTAGATTGGATCATATTATCAACGAAACAAATATTGAACAACTCACCTTGGATTTGTTCCGTTTCCAAGTTGATATTCGTAGATTGGATAATCAAAACAAAAATGTATTGATTGTTGGTAAATCACTTTTTGGTGGAATCATTTATCAACAACAAATTGATCAACAAACTACCATTAATTCTGACAATGGTGGTTCTGAAAAATATAGACCAATCTATCTTTGCTTTAATATTCCATTAAACAATTATCCTATTCCAAAACTAAAATTCAATCCTATTCCTCTTGATTAAAAAATATAATATATTTATATTATTAATAATAAATCTTCTAGATAAGAATAAACATATCTATTCTTTTAAATTTATTTTAGTTTTTAAACTTTACTTTCTCACAGTGAGGGGACTTGTATTTATGGAAAATGAAATAAATATAATAATTATAATTATATTAGAGATAATATGAATATGTTAATTTTAAATGATAAACAAAAAGATTATATCAACAAGATTTCAGCATTTATACTTTTAAATATAATCAATCATGTGACAGAGAATGTAGATCTGGTGTGTCTATTGTTGACTTGTAAAAGATTATTCAACTTTTCAACTGTCAACAAATATCACCAACTATCATTTAAACCTTTTGAATTCAAGGGACCATTGTTATCAGACAAGTGCCAAGAACCAATCAAATTTTTCACTATTCCGTTCCTCCATCTTGGATCTTTCTCTAGAATGTATACAAATGCATTTTCAGATACAATGATTTTATCAAACAAAGAGAATATCAAAGACAAGGAAAAGATTGCCCAAATACAAATAATCAAAGTATCACCAAAGTAATTGGAGGATGGCCAAGTATGAAATTATCAAATCTATCATCAGTCACTTCATTGGATCTTTTTCGTCCAATCGATAGACCATTGACAGACAACTTTTTCCCACCAAATCTCAAAGATCTAAGCTTGTATTTTGGAAAAATAGAATTGATGAGAAATCAAAGAAACTTCCAGAGACTATTGAAAAGATTGAATTCCATTGCACCAACAATGTCGATTTTAAAATAGATCCAAGTCACCTGGGAATAGACAAGCTCACCTCTCTCAAAATTTTAAAGTCATACTGCATCGAAGAGAAAATGGGTACTATCTATTGCTCGTTACCAACTAGTTTGACTCATCTCAGTTTGCATTTGGAACGTATACCATCACCTACCTACTTTAAACCACTCATAAATTTGGTTCATCTCTTTCTTTTAATTTTGGGTTGGCCAAACCAACCCGATGAGATGTATCTAGAGATTGAAAATCTTGTCAATCTAAAGATATTGAAAATAGGGATGATTGATTCCGTCGACTCATCCAAAATTCATCTATCTCCCAATCTTTTGGAATATACCCAACATTCAGGAGCCATACCCAACCGAACTACCGAATACTTTCCACCAACACTAACAATATTGGATTCCTTTTTTGATGAAAATGATTTTACCAATCTATCATTGGGAACACGTTTACCTCATTTGACATCACTATCAATTCATACCGATTCAGTTTTACCTATGGATTTTATTCCAGCCAGATTAAAGACACTTAGAATCTTTTCAAAATATGGGAAAGTGATCAAAGGTAGAATTCCAGATAGTGTCGAGCCACTCTACTCCAATACTCCAATCTCACTTCCAAGAAATTTAGAAGAGTTTTCTTTCGTCTCCGATTGTAATCAAAACATATCTCCCTCTGTAGAATTTATTTACCCTCCCACTTTAATATCGATTGAATTTGGTAGAATCTCAAATCAAGAGATTCCATCAGTAAATGAATTCAAGTATATCCCATCTAAATTTACCACTTTTAACAAAGCAAATGTTTATTCTATTGTTGATGGTGAAGGTTTTATATTACCATTGTCTATTACTAAAATTACGGTAAAGATCGAATTCGATCCATTAAATAGTGAATTTTTTATATTTCGATTGGACCATTTAATCAATCAGACTAATATCGATCAACTCGTCATTGATATTACAAGAACCAATTTCCAAGTTGATATTCGTAGACTAGATCCAGAAAACAATAATATTGGTTGTTGGTAAATTACTCTATGGAGGAATGATAAATCAGAGAATAGATCAACATCTACGCCTACCAATCTATCTTTATTTTGAACTTCCTTTGTCCAACATTAGTCCCAACACTTAAATTCAATCTCTAATAATCTTATTTTATTATAAATCTTTAAAATATATCTATCCAATAAATAATTAAAGTTTTTTGAATAAAAAAAATACTAATATTGAAAAAAAGCTAATAAAAGTACAATATTTATATTAATTTAATATTTAAAAATTTGAGATAAAGAGATACTCAACAAATGATAACATCTATCAAACAACAAGGAGAAGGAGAGGATTAAATCAACAAGATTCCAACTATAATAATTTTAAATATTATTAATCATGTTGAGGATATTATAGATTTGGTGTGTTGTTATGTTGTAAAAGATTATTCAACCTTACTTCTGCTGTTAACAATTATTACCAACTATCATTTAAACAAATCAAATTCAAGTACCCAAATGTATAAAGCCGACTCAAAGAAAAAATCCGGTGTTTCACTCTTCCGTCCCTCCATCTTGGATCATTCTCTAGAATGTTTACAAATACATATTCTGATACAATGATTTTATCAAACAAAGAGAATATCAAAGACCCGGAAAAGATTGCCCAAATACAAATCATCAAAGTATCACCGAAGTAATTGGAGGATGGCCAAGTATGAAATTATCAAATCTATCATCAGTCACCTCATTAGATGTTTTTAGACCAATCAATATTGGACCATTGTCAGAGAAATTTTTCCCAATCAATCTCAAAGAATTGACCTTTTATTTTTGGACAGAAAAATATTATAAACCATGGATACTCTATTCAACTACCATTGAATCTTGAAAAGCTTGAATTTCTTTCCAGATATTACTCTGTTAAAATAGATCCAGAAAGCCTTGGAATAGAAAAGCTAAACTCTCTCAAAATACTCAAGTTGTCCTGCATTGATGAGAAAATGAATACCATCAATTGTTCATTGCCAACTAGTTTGACTTTTCTCAGTTTGCAAATGGATAGTATACCATCGCCTACCTACTTTCAACCACTCACTCAGTTGGTACATCACTATTTTAGATATTTCGATCCTAGTGATATATATCTTGACAACCTCATCTCTTTAAAGACATTCAATTTCATTGTCCCCCTTGACTCTTCCAAAATCCATCTACCACCCAACCTTTTGAAATACTCTCAAAAACATTATTTTGAAAAGATAACCAACTTAACAACATAATTCTTTCCACTAACGTTGACATCACTGAATATTAAGTGTTCAGAAATTGATTATACCAATCTGTCGCTGTCAACACTTCTACCACTATTGACATTTCTATCCATTGATACTAATTCAGACATACCATTGGATTTTATACCAGCCAGTGTAAAGACACTTAAAATTAGGTCATTTTATTAGACTAAATTAATAAAATTTGAATTATAATAAAATGGAAACCGAATAATTGAATCGATTCCAGAAAGTGAAGAGTGTCTATCATTGGATAAAATGGAGACACAAATCGACAAACTACCAAACTCGATTAAAAAACTAAAACTCAGGGCCAATTATAATACATTTTGTTCATCTTCCAAATAGATTACAAGAGTTTTCTTTGACATTCATCAACAAATTGATCAACAATATAGTGTAGATCAATATCATCCATCTACCTTTATTTTGAACCTTCATTGTGTGAAAATATAAACCAAAACTAAAATTCAATCTTCCTCTTCATAAATAGAAAAAAAAATTTAATTCCAAAGATTTAATAAATCTTGACAAGAATAAAAAAAACATATCTCTAAATTCAAATTTTATATATTTATATTAGAATTTAAAATTAAAATATAATCAACTCATGAGTTGTTTGGGATTTAGGTTTCTAAAAAAAACAAAAACAAATAATGCAAAAACATGAAGTAGATAATATCAACAAGATATCGAATGTAGTAGTCCTAATTATTATCAATCATGTCGATGATAATGTAGATTTAGTGTGTTTATTGTTGACGTGTAAAAGATTATTGTTCACTACCCAAAAGTTTGACCCACCTCAAGATGAAAAAGATGATCCACACTCCATCTCACACCTACTTTTACCTGCTCACTCGATTAGAAAAACTCAACCTTTTCTAGATCGATCGATCCAAATCCTTTTGGATTGCTGAATCTTGTGTGTCTGGTCACCCTAGAAAAGTCAAAACTTGGTGCATCGCATGATATAATAGCATCCCAAATCCGTCTCCCACCCAACCTATTGACATTCAAAGAAGCCAAAAAATTCATTCTCAAACGAAAACTAGGATTTTTTCCATCAACATTGACATCATTATTTATCTTTCTAGGCGACCAAGATGCCTTGAAATCACCTCAACCTCATCTGAAAAAACTATCAATAGTTTGCAAAAGGACTGCAACTCTGTCATTCATACCACCTAGTGAAAAGGAACTTGAAATCACATCCTTGTATGTTGTAGAGATTATATCATTGCCAGAAAAGATAGAGTCTCTGGTTATTTCTGTCTCTTTCAAAGTATCATTAATTTCTAATATACCAAGTAGTATTAAAAACTAGTACTCAAGGATTTGGATCAAACAAATTACCAAAATCAAATGACCACTCTTCCCATAACACTTCCAAGAAGTTTACAAGAGTTTATATGGATTCCTACTAGTATGGCTAGTGAGAATCCTGTAAATTTTATCTTTACTCTCAACCTTCAATACATTGATTTCAGTCACCATGTACCCCTACCCTCAAACAAAAAACAATCATTCCAGAATCGGTCATTGAATTCAAGTACGTTTCAACTTTTAACAAGAAAACAAAGGTTCACTCTATTGGTGTTGACAATGGGTATACATTCCCATTAACTCTTAAAAAACTGACAGTCCAATTCATTTATCAAGAAGGAAATCATGATCTTCGGATATTTCAATTGAACAACCAAACAAATGTTGATCATCTCACCCTAGTTGAAGGAGACTATAGAGTGGGATGGTTCAATTTCCAAGTTGATAATCGTCGACTTGATCGACAAAACAACAACGTATTGATTGTTGGTAAATCACTCTATGGTGGAATCATAAATCATTCATCAACAAATTGATCAACCAAGACCAATCTATCTTTGTTTTGGTCCTCAATTTACCAAGTATCCTCCAAAACTAATATTCAATCTTCCAAACTAGTAAATAAATTTTCGTTGACAAAGGTCTTTTTAACTTTATTATTATCTATTTAATTTTTGTAGTCTACGATTCAATTCAATGTTTTGATTCCTTTTCGTTCTCTGTTTTTTGATCAACATAACTGATCCAGTCACAATGGCAGCAGCACCAACACCTCCAATCACAGCACCAACTATTATTCTCCAATTATCGTCTTTTGTTTCTCCACATTTATCATTGTTTGATGTTGATCCATCATCAACTCTTAAAAATATTGAAAAATCCTAAGAAATAAAAAATAAAAGAAGAAAAATAAATAAATAAATAAATAAATAAATAAATAAAAGAATATTTATATTTTCCTTTTTTTCAAATACATACAGGATCAATAGCACCATAATGATTAAAATATGGTAATGATGTACCAATGACAACACTATAATCATCGATTGAAACTTGATTGACACGACCAATGATATTTCTATCGTCGACTTGTGCAATGGAAAGGAATCTTGATGACATTCCACTCAATGCATTGTGTACCAATGTTGATACTGATGATGGTGTTGGTTGGGTTGTTGGTGGTGGTGATGATGATGCACATGGATCTGTGTTTTGTGACTCTACTTTAATCAATACTCTAACACTATTCATTTTCGATTTGAATGGCCAATTATGAACAGACATTGACAACTTGAGTGAATATTGGTTGAGTGTGAATTGTTGTCCAGAGAATGTGTAATTACGTCCACCTTGTTCTTTGATATAATCATAGGTGGCTGTTAAAGTTGAATGATTGCTACCCAATGAAACATTGTATGTCCAGTGACCGTTGAGTGTGTCATTCAATGCCATACTCCATCCAATAGCTGTGAGGTTATGATTTTCAGTGACAGTGTCTTCAATATCCAACTCTTGAATGGCAATAATCGATATCTTGTAGTCTGTCGTAATCTCTGGTTGGGTAGGGTTGGTTGGATTGGGATTGGTGTCAATCACCTCTTCTTTGCATGATGGACCAGTCCATGGAACCTTGCATTGACATCCAAGTACAGTGCATTCACCGCGCCCATTGCAATCGTCTGGGCATTCTGGATCGGATGTTAACTCCTTGAGGATTGTGATATAGTAGTCGTTGGAAACTGATTGGTTGACTTGTACTTGGAAGAATTCGGTTGATGGTGTCATGCCGGATGGCAACGTGCAAGTGAGCTGAGTGTGTTCAGTGATGATTTGAATGTTGGTGCAATGGTAGCGACCAAGGTTGATAGAAATGGTTGAATAAGCAGACCCAAGGAATGTTCCATCGATTGTCAGCAATCCACCATTGATAAATACAGGGGTGGTTGATTGAATGAATGGTGGTGGCAATTGACAATGTAACCCATCTGGTGATAGTACAGTTCCAGGTGGACACGAACATTCATAGTCACCGGCAGTATTGTTACAAGTATATTCACATCCACCATTGCCAGTAAGGCATTCATTGACATCGGTACAAGTCAATCCATTATCAGGTGTTGTATATCCAGCGAGACATGAACATGATCGATCACCTGGATTGTTTATACAGGTTTGATTACACCCTCCATTTCCAGTGAGGCATTCATTTATATCTTGACATGTTACTCCAGCATCACTTGTTGTATATCCAGTACCACATGAACAAGTACGACTACCTGGTGTATTTGTACAAGTTTGATCACAGCCACCATTGCCAGTAAGACATTCATTAACGTCATTACAAGTTAATCCATTATCAGGTGTTGTATATCCTGGGAAACAATGGCATTGATGGTTACCTGGTGTATTCTCACACTCTTGTGGACATCCACCATTGGCGGTGAGACATTCATTAACGTCGGTACATGTAACTCCACCATTGGTCGATGAATACCCAGTGAGACAAGAACAAGTGCGACTACCAGGTGTATTGGTACAGGTCTGTGAACAGCCACCATTACCAGTGAGACATTCATTAACGTCGGTACAAGTTAATCCATTATCACTTGTTGTGTATCCAGTGAGACAAGAGCATGTACGACCACCTGGAATGTTGTTACAAGTTTGTGCACATCCACCATTACCAGTGAGACATTCGTTTATATCTTGACATGTTACTCCAGCATCACTTGTTGTGTATCCAGTGCCACATGAACAAGTACGGCCACCCTGAGTGTTGGTACAGGTTTGTGCGCAACCACCATTGCCAGTGAGACATTCATTGACGTCGGTACAAGTCAATCCATTGTCACTAGTCGAGTATCCAGCGAGACATGAACAAGTACGGCCACCTGGAATGTTGGCACAAGTTTGTGCGCACCCACCATTTCCAGTGAGACATTCGTTGACATCGGTACATGTTACTCCACCATCACTTGTTGTGTATCCAGTGCCACAAGAACAAGTACGACTACCTGGTGTATTTGTACAAGTTTGATCACAGCCACCATTGCCAGTAAGACATTCATTAACGTCGGTACAGGTGACACCACCATTAGCCGATGAATACCCTGGTAGACAAGAGCATGTACGACCACCAGGAATATTGGTACAAGTTTGAGAACATCCACCGTTGGCAGTGAGACATTCGTTGACATCAGTACAAGTTAAACCGTTGTCACTTGTTGTGTATCCTGTTAAACAAGAACACGTACGGCTACCTGGAATGTTGGTACATGTTTGATTACATCCTCCATTTGCTGTGAGACATTCATTAATATCTTGACATGTTACTCCAGCATCACTTGTTGTGTATCCAGTACCACAGGAACAGGTTCGACTACCCGGTGTATTGGTACAGGTTTGATCACAACCACCATTGCCAGTGAGACATTCATTGACATCGGTACATGTTACACCACCATCAGCCGATGAATACCCAGCGAGACATGAACAAGTACGACTACCAGGTGTATTGGTACAGGTTTGTGAACAGCCACCATTGCCAGTGAGACATTCATTGACATCGGTACAAGTCAATCCACCATCACTTGTTGTATATCCTGGGAGACAGGAACATGTACGACTACCCGGTGTATTGGCACAGGTTTGTGCACAACCACCATTACCAGTAAGACATTCGTTGACATCAGTACAGGTCAACCCACCATCACTGGTTGTATATCCTGGGAGACAGGAACAAGTACGACTACCCGGCGTATTGGCACAGGTTTGTGCACAACCACCATTACCAGTGAGACATTCGTTGACATCGGTACACGTAACTCCACCATCAGACGATGTATATCCAGGCAAACATGAACAGGTTCGACTACCTGGTGTATTGGCACAGGTCTGTGAACAACCACCATTGCCAGTGAGACATTCATTGACATCGGTACAGGTCAATCCACCATCACTAGTTGTATATCCGGGCAAACAGGAACAAGTACGACTACCCGGTGTATTGGCACAGGTTTGTGCGCAACCACCATTTCCAGTTAGACATTCATTGACATCGGTACATGTTACTCCACCGTCACTTGATGTATATCCGGGTAGACATGAACATGTACGACTACCCGGTGTATTGGCACAAGTTTGACTGCACCCTCCATTGCCGGTGAGACATTCGTTTACGTCGGTACAAGTGACACCACCATTAGCCGATGTATACCCTGGAAGACATGAACAAGTGCGACCACCTTGAGTATTGGTACAAGTCTGACTGCACCCACCATTGAGTGTAAGACATTCATTGACATCTGTAGTGCAGTCTGAACCGGTCCATTGGGGAGTGCAAGTACATATACCATTGTTACAAGTACCACCATTCTGACAAATAGCTGGACACGAATACAACAGACCCATATCATACACTGATCTTTGGTAGAGATTGGCACCACACATTGATTCGGTTGGCAAGATTCCCATGGTGGTTCGAGGTTGTCCGAATGCATTGTTACAAGTCTCAATGATGAGATATCTGTACTGAGGATAATTGAGATAGTCTAGGGGACCATCAGCCAACACCTTTTCACCGAATGGACAATCATTTCCCTCTCCATTATCAATTGCTATAAAACTTCTAGCAATAGGTAGCTCATCATTCATCTGGCAATATGAAACAGTAACTATTCTAGAATTTGTTATAGATCTTTCATATTGAACTGTAAATCTAAATTAAATCAAATATAAAATAATAAATAGATAATAATAATAATGAATATTAATAAAGTTAACTACTTTAATTTAAATTAATTATTTAAATAACTGTAACATACCCTCCAGGACATGTAGCAGGAGCAGTACTAGATGCTATAACTGTATAATCATAAGTTGCATCTGGATGACGACACTATAAATATTAAGTATTAAATAAATAAATATTAGTATTATTTAATTATTTAATTAATTAATTATTCTACAGTAGTAGTTTTCTACTTACAACATAAGTTTTAAGATTAGTTGAATAACCTGTAAGACAACCACCTGGACCTGCAACATATCCAGGTGCACATGTCTGTGCCCAACTAGTTTGTATATAAAATATAATGGATAATAATAATAAATAATAATAATTTTTCATTTTTTTTCTATTTGTACATAATCAGCTGAAGTTGATTAATGATAATTGTATGTAGAATACCGTGATGTGTCATTGTTTCAAAGGGGCTGTACCAACAACCCCTTTTCGATTTCCTTCTTCTTGAAGGAAATATAATCTTGATTAATTAATTTGAAGGCTACTAGTAGTAGGCAGACATTTAAACCATACTGAAAATCATCATGATATTTTATCGATGATTGATATTTTCAAGATAAAATATTTGTCGGTTGTGCAATATCTCGACGATATTTTGCTATCTTTGATTGATATTTTCAAGTATTTATGGCCTCTTTGGTGATAATGAAGGGGCAATACCATCGATTAGGGCCATGATCATGGACTGTTGCCAAAAACAAACTTTCTGAATACATTCTTCTTCTGAAATTTGGGTGGTGCATATGCACAAGGTGTAAAAGTGTGACACACTACAACTTGTAACTATAGAAATCGCGTTGCGCTATCGCATCTCGAATCTCGCTCACTCACATCACGTGAGTTTGAACTTTACTGTCAATAGTCATGTTGCAAACATGTTGTTGCAGAAAGCGAGAGAGATAGATAGTTAGATAGATATCTAGCGAGAGAGAGAGAGAAGAGGTTTCAATCTCTAGTTGATGATTAGTATCTGAGGTAATATGTGTTTGCAGTTACTCTGTATACATACCCTATTGATAATATTTAATGTAACATTATTAACTAGTTAGATACAAAGATAACTTTATCTTTTTATCACTATGTGTATTATCTCTATCAAGTGAAAGGAAGAACTTCAAGTTTTTGTTTTTTTAATGAGAGGGGGGTTCTTTAAAAATTTAATAAATATTATTACAATAATTATTTATTGACTATTTAATTTATTATTATAAATAGTAGTTTGTTAACTATTTAATTTTTGTAATTTACGATTCATTTCCTTTTTTTGAATACTTGTATTTCTCTTTTTTTTGATCAACATAACTGATCCAGTCACAATGGCAGCAGCACCAACACCTCCAATCACAACACCAACTATGATTTTCCAATTATCGTTTTTACTATCTCCACATTTATCATTGTTTGATGTTGTTCCATCATCAACTCTTAAAAATATTGAAAAATCCTAAAAAATAGAAAAGAAAAAAGAAAATAAATAAATAAATAAATAAATAAATAAATAAATAAAAGAATATTTATATTTTCCTTTTTTTCAAATACATACAGGATCAATAGCACCATAATGATTAAAATATGGTAATGATGTACCAATGACAACACTATAATCATCGATTGAAACTTGATTGACACGACCAATGATATTTCTATCGTCGACTTGTGCAATGGAAAGGAATCTTGATGACATTCCACTCAATGCATTGTGTACCAATGTTGATATTGATGATGGTGTTGGTTGGGTTGTTGGTGGTGGTGATGATGATGCACATGGATCTGTGTTTTGTGACTCTACTTTAATCAATACTCTAACACTATTCATTTTCGATTTGAATGGCCAATTATGAACAGACATGGACAACTTGAGTGAATATTGGTTGAGTGTGAATTGTTGTCCAGAGAATGTGTAATTACGTCCACCTTGTTCTTTGATATAATCATAGGTGGCTGTTAAAGTTGAATGATTGCTACCCAATGAAACATTGTATGTCCAGTGACCGTTGAGTGTGTCATTCAATGTCATACTCCATCCAATAGCTGTGAGGTTATGATTTTCAGTGACAGTGTCTTCAATATCCAACTCTTGAATGGCAATAATCGATATCTTGTAGTCTGTCGTAATCTCTGGTTGGGTAGGGTTGGTTGGATTGGGATTGGTGTCAATCACCTCTTCTTTGCATGATGGACCAGTCCATGGAACCTTGCATTGGCATCCGAGTTTGGTGCATTCACCATTTCCACCATTACAATTTTCTGGACACTCTGGTTCTGTCAAATCTTCAATTGTGATATAGTAATCGTTGGACACTGATTGGTTGACTTGTACTTGGAAGAATTCGGTTGATGGTATCAAGTTGGATGGCAACTTGCAAGTGAGTTGAGTGTGTTCAGTGATGATTTGAATGTTGGTGCAATGGTAGCGACCAAGGTTGATAGATATGGTTGAATATGTTGACCCGAGATAGGTTCCGTTGATTGTCAGTACTCCACCATTGATAAATACAGGGGTGGTTGATTGAATGAATGGTGGTGGCAATTGACAATGTAACCCATCTGGTGATAGGACTGTTCCAGGTGGACAAGAACATTCATAGTCACCGGCAGTATTGTTACAAGTATATTCACATCCACCATTATTAACTAAACATTCATCGACATCATTACAAGTCAATCCATTATCAGGTGATGTATATCCTGGGAAGCAATGGCATGTATGGCTACCTGGTGTATTCTCACACTCTTGTGGACACCCTCCATTTGCATTGAGACATTCATTGACATCATTACAAGTCAATCCATTATCACTAGTCGAGTATCCAGCGAGACATGAACAAGTACGACCCCCCGGAATATTGGTACAAGTTTGTGAACATCCACCATTTGCAGTGAGACATTCATTGACATCATCACATGTTACTCCACCATCACTAGTTGTGTATCCAGCACCACATGAACAAGTACGACCACCTTGAGTGTTGGTACAAGTTTGGTTGCACCCACCATTGAGTGTAAGACATTCGTTGACATCTGTAGTGCAGTCTGTACCGGTCCATTGGAGAGTGCAAGTACATATACCATTGTTACAAGTACCACCATTCTGACAAATTGCTGGACACGAATACAACAGACCCATATCATACACTGATCTTTGGTAGAGATCGGCACCACACATTGATTCGGTTGGCAAGATTCCCATGGTGGTTATATGTTTTCCGAATCCATTGGTACAAGTCTCAATGATGAGATATCTGTACTGAGGATAATTGACATAGTCTAGAGGACCATCAGCCAACATCTGTTCACCGACTGGACAGGAGGGAGTACCCTCTCCATTACCAATCACCATAAAACTTCTAGCTACAGATTGCTCATTCACCTGACAATGCGCAATACTAACTATTCTAGAATTTGTTATTGATATTTCATATTCAACTGTATATCTAAATCAAATCAAATTTAAAATAATAATAATAATCAAAGGAATGAAAGAAAGAAATGAATATTAATAAAAAGTAATTAATTAATTATTTAAATAAAATATATATATATATATATACAAACATACCCTCCAGGACATGTAGCAGGAGCAGTACTAGCTGTTATAACAGAATAATCATAAGTAAAATCTGCATTCCTACACTTTAAATATTAAATATAAATAAATTAATAAATAAATAAATTAATTAATTATTATTCCCTATTATTGTTTGTTTGTTTGTTTGTTTGTTTGTTTGTTATTTTAACATACTTTATAAGTTTTAAGATTAGATGAATAACCTGTCAGACAACCACCTGGACCTGCTACATATCCAGGTGCACATGTCTGTGCCCAACTAGTTTGTATATAAAATATAATGGATAATAGTAATAATAATAAATAATAAGTGTTCATTTTCTATTTGTACGTAATCAACTGAAGTTGATAAATGAATGATTGTTTAAGGGGACCCGCCGATGATGACGATGATGGTACAGTGTGTCATTTCGAGATTATTATTATTATTATTATTATTATTCGAGTAACTAGTAGCAAGCAGACATTAAACCATAAATATCAAATCTAAAATATTTTAAAATATCGTCGACAGTTGGTTGATATTTTCAAAGATATCTTGTCTCCCTTTCTGATTACATTCTTTCTTGAAATTTGAGTGGTGCCTATGCCCAAACGTGAACACTTTCAACAAATCGATTGCTGAACTTTACTGTCAATAATCTTGTTCACACAAGCGAGTACTAGTAGTAGTATACCTAAGAATGATAACGCCGATTAGTATATGTAACATGACATGCATGTAATAATAATATTATGTTGTTTAGTGCGACCATACACTATTAGTGTATATATATGAATGGCCAACCAAAACATTAATGTTACATACATTACAACATTCGTCAAGAAAGATATCTTATAAAAGTCCCTTAGAGATAACTTTATCTTTTCTTAAGATAACTCTCTAGTGTATACTATATATCGACTGACCGACTTCATCTTTAATCACAAGAATTAGAATTTTTTTGTTGTATGTGCGCACAGTCACCAGCAAAAAAAAAATTGGTCAAAGAATCATGTGACACAGAGATAAAATGTAAATTTAGTGTGTCTTGTTGGATATTCCAACAAATCAATGTAGTATTATTTGATTGTTGTGTGGTGGTCACTATTATCCAAAAAAAACAACAAAAAGTGAGGGAGGGTAACTATTGGAACAGGGATTAATTGGTCGAATGTTTAACGTCTCTACGACCAGCGACAGATAGAACTTCTTTAGCCACTAGTGTCTTCAGAAAGTGGTCCCACCAATTTATTTTCCGCCTATGGTATAACGAGCGGATTTGGCCCACCGCTGCTTGGTTGCCCAAGTTTTGTTGTTCCGATCTGATTGTGTTGTTGTTAAAACTTGTTGAGAGTTTCAATAATACTGGAGTCTGTATGTTTTTACTGTTCCTTGGCCCATCCTTTCACCAATTATCACTACTATCTTGGTAGGCTATACATCGAATCATATTATACATGTTTACAAGATTTATGGGATGTGAGCATAAGAGAGGGATCACATGCTACAATGAATAATTGCGAAAATAGAAAGATTGCAGAGGTACTCAAAAAAATATATAGGTCTATGGATCGATACTCGAGTTTGAGTATCAAACTTTGAAAAAGAGACCACCAAACCAAGTCTGTTGTTCGACTTTCATCAAAGAAAAAAAAAATTAAAAAAAAAATAAAAATAAAAAAACACGAACTACATAGAACTTCATGATGTAAATGTTTTAATTATCTATCTCTCAATAGCTAGCTATTACCTTCCTTTTATATATAAATATACACATCATATTATATATATATATCATTAACAAAAAGGAAGGAAGGAAGAAAGCAAAGAAAGAATAGAATCACATACAAAGAAAGCTATTTCAAGTATAGCAAGTACTCAACACACATACATCTACTCTCTCTCTCTTTGTAAATAACATCATACATATAATAAAACATCTGAAAAATGTCAGATGCTATTGCAAGAAGTAAACAATATGATTATAAAGCTGTAAGTTACTACATATTATATAGTTGTGATGATGATGATGATCAGATGACAAATGACAATAATATCGGTTTATTAACTTTTCTTTTCTTTTTATCTTTTATGATTCTATTTTGTTATGTTTGTTGTTGATGTTGTTGTTGTTGATATTTGAAATAGAATTCAAATTTAGTTATTCATTCAGAAAGAAATCCAAAAGATTTAAGAGAGCCAAAAGGAGAACCAGAGACATTATGGGGAAGATTACACGGAAAGATGGGAGACAGAGTCAACTACTCCAAACCGACCGAGTTGTTGGAAAAGGTGGCAAACCTCAAGCGAAAGACACAGGAAAAGGGTGGCAGTGTAGACACGGCCACGCTCAAGCGAGTCAAGGGTGGGCCCACCGACATTTTGGAGGCGACCGACAACCAAGTGTACGGCGGCTACCGTCCAAGCACCAAAGAGACAAAGGCTGTCTTTGAACGACTCGTGTCGTTTATTCAGACGTATATAGGCGATCAGCCAAGCGAGATTATCAACGGCGCAGCCGACGAGATCATTGCTACGCTCAAGAACGACCGTCTCAAAGCACCCGAGAAAAAGAAAGATCTAGACATTTTATTGCGTGGATTGACAGAGGACAAGTTTGCAGAGCTGACCCGTATCATCACAGGTATCACCGACTTTAAAGAGCAAAGGGGTGCCGGCGCCGGAGACGGACAGCAACAAGTCGACACTTTGGGCGATGCACACGGTGTCGCAGTGGTCATTGACGAAGATGAAGAGGATCAAGACAACCTATCAGATTTTGAAATTAGACAAGGTGGTGGTAGTGATGATGAAGACAACGATGACCAAGATAGTGATCGTGAACAAGGTGTTAATATGGATGCAACTAGTATTGGTGGTGGTGGTGGTAGAAACAACACTGATAAATCACGTCGTCGTCATCATTCAAAGCGTGGAGAACAAGGTGATGTTGATGGTGAAATCAATGAAGATGAAAAAGACAACAACAACAACAACAAAGAAAAGAAAGAAAATACAAGTGATGACGAAGATGAACAACAACAAATGGGAAAGAAAAATCAACAAAAGGAGACATCGGCACTTAATCCAATGGATATCGATGCATTTTGGATCCAAAGAAAGATTTCAATGTTTGAAGAAGATGCCATGCAAGCTCAACAATTGGCTGAACGTGTATTGCAAATTTTAAAACAACAAGATGTTCGTCGTTGTGAAAATGATCTAGTCAATTTATTTGATGTTTCAAAATTTGATTTTATTAAATTATTATTAAATAATAGACAAACTAGTAAGTAGTAGAAACAAAAAAGAAAACAAATAATATTATATAAATAATTATTCTAACTCTTTTTTTTTTTTCTTTTTAATTTTAATTTTAATTTTTAGTATTATATTGTACACTTTTAGCAAAAGCAGAAAATGATCAAGAAAAAAAGAAAATAGAAGATGAGATGAGTGGAAATCCCATTTTATTTATGATATTAAACAAGATTAAAGGAATAGATCAACAATCAAAAACAGTTGAAAAGAAACAAAATGCAGTGGTTGCCAAGAAACAACAAGACAGAGAAAAACAAAAACAACAAGAAGAGATCAAGACACCAAAGAAACAATTGGATCTAAAGGAATTGAGTTTTGCTCAAGGTAGTCATTTAATGACCAACAAAAAATTCCAGTTTCCTGCTGGAAGTAAACGTGAAACTTACAAGGGTTACGAGGAGATCCATGTCCCAGCTCGTGCCAGTCCACCATTCAACCCAGATGAACGATTAGTCGCCATCTCTGAACTGCCTGAATGGGCCCGTACACCATTCAAGGGTTTTGAAAAGTTGAATCGTGTGCAGAGTAGATTGTACGAGTATGCATTCAAGAGTAACGATAATTTGTTATTGTCTGCTCCCACGTCGGCCGGTAAGACCAATGTAGCCATGTTGACCATTCTCCACGAGATTGGTATGCACATGAAGAATGGTGTGTTGGATCGTGATGCATTCAAGATTGTCTATATTGCACCGATGAAGTCGTTGGTGCAGGAAATGGTACAAAACTTTTCAAACCGTCTCAAAGACTATGGTATCGTGGTGAAAGAGTTGACTGGTGACCAAGGTCTCACCAACAAACAGATATCCGAGACACAAATCATCGTCACCACACCTGAAAAGTGGGACATTATCACCAGAAAGGCTGGCGAGCGTGCCTATACATCGTTGGTGCGTCTCGTCATCATTGATGAGATTCATTTGCTCCATGACGAGCGTGGACCTGTGCTCGAGTGTATCGTGGCACGTACGCTGCGTATGGTCGAGAGCACGCAAGAGATGGTGCGTCTGGTCGGCCTGTCTGCCACCCTTCCCAACTATGAAGACGTTGCCACGTTTTTGCGTGTCAAGCCCGAAGGTATATTCTACTTTGACAGCTCGTATCGTCCCATTCCACTCGAACAACAGTACATTGGTGTCAGCGACCGTGGATTCAAGCAGTTGCAGACCATGAACGACGTGACGTTTAAAAAGGTGTCAGAGCGTGCTGGTGTCAACCAAATGCTCGTGTTTGTGCATAGTCGTCGTGAGACGGGCAAGACAGCACGTGATATCCGTGATCGTGCAGTTGCCGGCGATTTGATGGGTCAGCTCATCAAACGTGCCGATTCAAGAGAGATTTTGCGTGTCGAGGCTGAAAAGACGGCCAAGAGTGCTGAGCTCAAGGAACTGCTGCCGTACGGCATTGGTATCCATCACGCCGGTCTTTCGCGTAGCGATAGAACACTTGTCGAGGAGTTGTTTGCCGATCAACATTTGCAGGTGCTCGTGTCGACGGCCACGTTGGCGTGGGGTGTCAATTTGCCCGCGCATACCGTCATTATCAAGGGTACGCAGGTATACAATACCGAGCGTGGATGGACCGAGTTGTCACCACTCGACGTCACTCAGATGCTCGGTCGTGCCGGTCGTCCCCCATTCGACAGTGAAGGTGAGGGTATTGTCATTACGAGTGCCAGCGAGATGCAGTTTTACCTCTCCCTCATCAACACACAGTTGTCGATCGAGTCGCAGTTTATCTCGCGTCTGCCAGACAACCTCAACGCCGAGATTGTCTCGGGCAGCGTTGCGAGTGTCAAAGACGCCGTGCACTGGCTCGGTTACACCTACCTCTTTATCTGTATGCTGCGTAACCCGCCACTCTACGACATCTCGTACGACGATCTTGCCGGTGACGAAGAGCTCGAGCAGCGCCGTATCGACCTCGTGCACGCCGCCGCCACCCAACTCGACAAGAACAACCTCATCAAATACGACCGTCGCACAGGCCGTCTCCAACCCACCGAGCTCGGTCGTGTGGCCAGTCACTACTACATCACCAGCTCGTCCATGGCCGTCTACCACGAACATTTGCGTCCAGTCATGAGCGACATTGACTTTTTCCGTCTCTTTTCGCTGTCCAACGAGTTTAGCAGTGTTGTAGTACGTGAGGGTGAAAAGGGAGAGCTCGAGAAACTACTCGAACGTGTACCTATCCCCGTCAAAGAGTCAATTGACGAACCAGCCGCCAAGATCAATGTCTTGTTGCAGGCATACATTTCCAACCTCAAGCTTGAAGGTTTTGCACTCATTGTCGATATGTTTTACGTTGCTCAGAGTGCTGCCCGTATCGTACGTGCACTCTATGATATTGTGTTGCGCAAGGGGTGGGCTCAACTCGCCAGAAAGATCATCAATGTCTGTCGAATGGTCGACCGTCGTATGTGGATCTCTCAATCACCTCTGCGTCAATTCCCAGAGATTTCAGAGCGTATTGTCAACCAGCTTGAACGTCGTCAAATCCCTATCGAAGATCTCTACGAGTACAACTCGGCACAACTAGGAACTGCTATCCAGTCGCCAGCCGAAGGAAAGAAATTGTACAAGCTTATCCATCATTTCCCCAAGTTGGATCTGACTGCACACGTTCAACCCATTCTCCACGGTCTCTTGCGTGTCGATCTTACATTGACACCCGACTTTGAGTTTGATGACAAGTACCATGGCAATTCGATTGGTTGGTGGATCGTTGTTGAGGATGTCGACGGTGAGCGTATTCTCTACCACGAGTTCTTCTCTTTGAAGCGTAGAATGATGGAAGACGGTGCGACAGTCACTTTTACCGTACCACTTACCACTCCCATGCCACCACAATACTATGTACGTGTCGTTGCAGATCGTTGGATTGGTGCAGAGTATTCTCTGGCCGTTTCATTCAAGCATTTGATCCTACCACAAAAGTATCCACCTTGTCGTGGCTTACTTGATCTCCAACCACTCTCGATCGACTCGCTTAGAGATGATCGTGCCGCATCGGTATTCCGTCCAACATTCCGATACTTTAACCCGGTACAAACACAGGTGTTCTCGTCGCTCTACACGACCGATGAGAATGTGTTTGTCGCTGCGCCAGCCAACACTGGCAAGACTGTCTGCGCTGAATTGGCTGTCCTCCGTACACTCATCAACAACCCAGAAGCACGTTGTGTCTATATCGCACCGGTCGAATCGATGGTGACCGTTCGTTCGCGTGACTGGGCATACAAGTTTGGTCAAAAGTTTGGAAAGGTGTCTGTACTGACCGGCGATGCAGTCACTGACAATAAGATTCTCGAAGCATCGCGTATTATCGTGACGACGGCCGAGAGATGGGACATTTTATCGCGCAAGTGGCGTCAAAAGAACTCGCGTGTTCAATCGGTCAGTTTGTTTATCGTCGACGAGTTGCAGATGATTGGGTCGGGTGAATCTGGCTCGACCATGGAGATTGTCTTGTCGCGTATGCGGTATATCGCCACGCAGACCGGATCACCCATTCGATTCATTGGATTGTCGTCGCCCGTTGCCAACGCCCGCGATCTCGCCGAGTGGATGGGTGCGACACCTGCAACCATGTTCAACTTCCACCCCGACGTGCGTCCAGTCGAGATGGAGATTCAAATGCAGGGTTTCGACTATCCCAACTTCCAAGAACGCCAAATGGCCATGACCAAGCCGGCACTATATGCCGTATCGCATATGGACCGCACTGCGCAGACGTTGGTATACGTACCAACACGTAAAGCTGCCCGTCAAATGGCTGCCGACATTATACTCTTTGTAGACAGCGAGGATGACATGAATACACGTCGATACCTTGGAATCGACCAGGCAGACCTCGAACCACACCTCGCCAAACTTGAAAGCCCAGCGTTGAGAGACGCACTCGTGTGGGGTGTCGCTTTTTACCACGACGGTCTATCTGCCAAAGACAAGCGAATCGTCGAGGCGCTGTTTAAGAGCGGTGCCATCAAGGTTCTCGTCGCAACACACAGCGAGTGCTGGGCACTAGACGTGCAGGCACAGCTAGTCATCATCATGGGCACACAAACGTACAACCAGGGCACTGGCGCCGGTCACACCGACTACCCCATCAACGATATTCTCCAAATGATGGCACGTGCCGGTAAACAGGGTACCGACCAAAAGGGCCGTTGCTTGCTGCTCTGTCACTCGCCCAAAAAGGAGTACTACAAGACATTCCTCAACGAACCGTTGCCCGTCGAGTCGCATCTCGACCATTTCCTCGCCGACCACTTTAACGCCGAGATTGCCAGTCGCACCATCAGCAAAAAGCAAGACGGACTCGACTACCTCACCTGGTCGTTCATGTACCGTCGTCTCACCCAAAACCCCAACTACTACAACCTCACCGGTACCACCCATCTCCATCTTGCCGAGCATCTCTCAGAGCTCGTCGAAAACACCCTTCTCGACTTGCAACAAGCCAGCTGTATCACCATCAAGGAAGAAGAAGAGGTAGAGGATGAAGACGAACAATTGCAATCGACCAATCTTGGTATGATTGCCAGTTACTATTACCTAAAGTACACGACCATTGAGTTGTTTGCCAACTCGCTCAAGGCAGCCACCAAGCGTAAGGGTATCTTGGAGATCTTGTCCACTGCACCTGAATTCACATCGTCATTGGTTGTCCGCCACCGCGAGAATAATAGTCTCCAAAAGATGGCAGCTCACTTGCCACTCAAGATTGATCGTCCCGACTTTGACAGCGTTGCCACCAAGGTCAATGTACTTTTACAAGCCCATTTTTCGCGCAAACCCATCTCGGCCGACCTCTATGTCGATCAGTGCATGGTATTGGAAAACGCAACACGTCTTTTACAAGCCATCGTCGATGTCATTAGTAGCAGTGGTTGGTTACAACCTGCTCTCTCTGCTATGGAACTCAGTCAGATGTGCACTCAAGCCGTTTGGAATACCGACAGCTATCTCAAACAACTACCTCACATGACCGAAGAGAGACTTGCCAATGCTAAAAAGGCAAAGATTGAAACCGTGTTTGAACTCATGTCGATGGAAGACGACGACCGTAACAAGATGCTCGGCATGTCTCAATCAGAGCTCGAAGATCTCGCCGGAGTGTGTATGCGATTCCCAGACATTGATCTCACCTACCAAGTCGAGAATGAAGAGGACTTGCACGCCGACGATAAGGTCACTGTTCACGTTGCCATTGAAAGAGACATTGACGACGAATTAATCAACGAGTCTATCAACCTCGTACACGCTCCCTACTATCCCAAGGAAAGAATCGGTGGCTGGTGGGTCATTGTCGGTGACGAGAAAACAAATCAACTCTTGTCCATCAAACGACTCACCCTTACCAAACGTGCCAAACTCAAATTGGATTTCCCTTCGCCTCCAGTCGGTGATCATCAACTCACCATTTATTTAATGTCAGACTCTTATACTGGTTGTGATCAAGTTTATAATATAGATATTAATATTAAACCTGCTTTAATTGACGACGAACAAGAAGAAGAAAATGAACAAGAGGATAAAATGGAAGAATAAAATTAAATTCTAATAAATAAATAAATAAATCAAATTATCAAACAAATATTTATTTTTTTAATTTTACAGTCACTCTCAAAGGCAATGTTATTAATAAGTTTAGAAAATTGAGAGAGTGATATTGTATGATTTAAAACAATGAAGATGGATCAATTTTATTTATACTTTTTGGTTTCATATTAAATCCCATGGTTTTGATGATGAGGACAAGCTTAAGTTACCACCAACTCAATAGAAAACACTGACCAAATCATGAATAAAAACGGGTACCGTAATTAATTATTTTTAATAATCCGTATTCCAAAAAAAATATACAATTAATACTTTTACAGGAACCTCTAATTGAAAGGTTCGTATGATTAAGGGGATGTTTGATTGAATATACTCTATCGAGGAATATTATTTTTTTTTTATTGATTTATACTCCTAATGTTCCATCAAAGATACTTATTTGGAGGTGTTGTTTTTTGTTTAAAAGTTTTCTTCTTCTTCTTCTTGATCTTGTTTGTTGTGTCCTTTCTTAACATTTTTAGAACAATCTTTGACCAGTTAATTGGAGACATCTATGCTTGCATTCGGCCTTGTCAGTTACATAACTAAAAATAAGATTGAAAAACATAAAGTACAACATAAGTAAGAATGTATCCAAAAGAAGTTGAGCTCGTTATTTTCAACATACCTAATTCCACAGTATTTATCAGAATAAATTACACCAGTGCACATAGAGGCCCAAGTTGATGCCGATGCACAAGCAGCAGTACAATCAACACCTGGTTCCAAAAGCTGGTTTTTGGATTCGACCATTGCAGCCATTGCCAAGAGCAAGGTTAATGCGACCATTAAATATAATTTATTCATGATTTGATATTGTTGTTGGTTGTTTGATAAAGTTTAGAAATTGAGAATAGAGATTTTAATTATGGTGAGCTGGTCCATTTTATACTTTTTGGTTTTACAATTTTTAATCCAATCCAATTTGAATTTTATCACTCTTTTGTGACCGCTAATGTATAATTTCATTAATGAGATAGATCCATCATCTAAGATCGATCTTATCATCCCATTGCTATCCAATTTGACCCTCATCACTCAACAGTGAGAAAAATAGAAACCACATCAACAAACAGTTAAACAACCCTCTCTTTTAAAACCACTTGATTTTTTTCTCATATTAAAACATGTTCATTGCAATTTCAAATTCTTGAACTTTCCAATGACCACCTCTATTCTACAAAATCAAAAAATAGAATAGGATCATCACTTTGTAAGGTTGAGGATTACCATAGATGTTTTACAATAACAATGAAAATGAAATGATGATTTTCTAATGCGAGGGTTTGATGAGGAAAGGGGTAAATCAAAATCATTTCAGGAGAGAGGAAATTATAATCACCACCTACTTAGAGGATATGGGGTATCTATTGACAATAAATGACGGCACATTCTGAGAGTGTCTATCGTTGCAGTTTTTATATGACAAAGGAAATCCCACTCATGTATACCAGTACGAAATTAACCTCCCCTCTCTCATTGTGGGGTCGAATGTGTTAAAAATGAATTCCAAATGACAACCACTGTCATTTCCATGCAACGGCAATTGTTTGTTTTTACTCTCAGAATGACATCTGACCCGAGGATGAGATCAAGTACATGTTATGTATGTATTTCACAAGACAAGAAAGGGGTGAAATTACCTCAATTTTAATGATGAATAATTTTTTCTCTTAGAGTTCTAAATTAGTTTAACAATCGATCAGATTTATTTATGGCTTGGATTGTCTAGGAATTTTTTTTTAACTTCAGTGCAAAAATATGTCCCCCTGTATTTTTGACAAATAACTTCACATGCTTTACGGTCAGTTGTCCATCTAAACAAAGAAAAAAAAAAGTTTAGTAAAATGACAACTTGGATGGATACGCAACATACTGTGACATGCAAACTGGATATTTCCAAAAAGTCTTGCAAAAGTTATACCAATTTAATGGATATTTACAATCCCATTCACACCCCAGTTGTGATTCAACCTTGACAGTCAAACCCAATAACAAGGAAAATACACCAAATAAATATAAAAGTTTATTCATTTTGTTGTTGTTGTATCAAAAGTTTTCGATTAATAATAATAGGGTTTCTCGATTTACTGAATGGTTATAATTAAAATAATGATCGAATATTGTGGTACAAATATTAGAGCAAGGATGAGCAGGTTATTTTGATATGGGTACCCAAACGATGATCAATATGCAATGAAAAATTAATTAGCAACTCACCATGATTACAATGAAAATGTACAAAAAATAGAGTAGCTGAGCTGAGCACCATCAAATTTCTGATGGTGTTGTCAAAACCATCAAAAAAGATAAACAGAATGAATCATTAGTGGTAAATATAATTGGTTGAAAGATAATCAAAATTTAAATCATTATTTATTAACTAAATTTATGATAGTGAATCGAAAGTGATCGATTGAATAATATGAATCAGATTTACAATAACTTTTCGAAATCATGGTACTTGTTATCAGAGAGATTGGTAATAGCTCTGTAAGTGAGGACAAGTGATCCATTGTCAAATGACCAGATCCAGTAAGATGGTGATTCCTTGACATAACGGAATACGATGGTGTGATTGGAAGTGGCTTCATTGAATGCTTCCAATACCATTTCCTCCTTGCCACGGGTCTCAACATTGAATGCAACAGCCAATAATACTTCAGCGACGAGGTCACCAATGATGGTATCATACTTTTCCTTGGCAACACCATAGAATTCATCGACAGAGGCTTGGTCTAGGGTCCAGTCGGCAGAGGTAACCTTTTTGAGAGTAGCAAAAGCTTCATCATACTTGGGCTTGACACTCTTGATGTTGAGTAATGCCTTCATCGAATAGATGCTACCAGATGGGATTTCAAAGTCAAGGTACTTGACAGTATCCATATTGGCAAGAGATGGACATCCATAAACTGATAACGATCCATTCTCAAATACATATTGCCAATATGAAGAATTTGGAACCTTGGCAACAATAGATACAACAACCTTTTTGTTTGTATTATTGGCAATCAAACTTTCCTTGATGCTTGAATCCTTGTTTGACAATCTTTCAATGTTTTCACCAATGAATACTGCTACTCTTTTGTAAAACAAATCACCCTATAAATTATAATAATAGTAAGAATATTTTTGATGGATAAAAGGTTAGTAATTGTTTAAAAGAAAAGTAAAAAGTAAAAGATGGTTTAATTAATTAATATTTACCAAGTCACCACCAACCCATTTTGGATCAGATACAGCAGCGAGAATAGCTTCAAAGTCAAACTCAATAGTCCATTCAAGACCTAAAACATTCTTGATCTTGGTGTGAGCATCAGCGAGGAATTGTTCGTGTTCCCTAGAAAAAAGAAAAAAAATTAAAAAAAGAAAAGAATAAAGATATTTATTAGACATTAAAAAATAGGTAGGGGGTAATGATGGATAGAGATGAACATACTTGAGGTTCTTTCTGGCTGGGAGTGGGAGAGGCATTTTAATTTTAAATTAATTGTTTTGGTTTAGTTGTTGTTGATTGTTTAATATATGATGATTGATGATAATTTAATGATTTGAAATTCTACTGACCAAATCGATGATTTTATAGTGATCCAACTCTAAATTAATTCCATATTTTATTTAAATCAAAATAATTCAAATTAATATTCAATAATCCAAATAAATACAATAAATACTTTTAATAGTATATTGAGAGAGTTGGGGTACATTTTCAAGCAGAATAAAACTGGAATCTATAAGGTTGAGGGGATGATACCTGTTGAGGGGATCTTTGATTGAATGATCCCAATACCAATACGGGAAATCACTTCATTTTCATTATAACCTTCGTCAAGTCTCGATTGGACATCAAATTTAAAGCTGGAAAAGAAATCAAAGACTAAAATAAAATATCTTTTTTTAAAATTTTAGTCAGCCTTCTGCAAAAAGTTAATCATTTTTTTGCGAAAAAGCCATGAATTTTTGCAGTGAATGCCCAGAACCAAAACAGATAATCCACACTTTTATCTATCTATGGAGAAACAATAATAATTCCAAACAATTAATTTATATTATTTATCTTTTCATATTTGATTACACCCTTTAGTATGATCCAAAACATTTTATTTTTATTAATACAAAAGTATAAATTACTAGTATTTATATTATATTTTTGCAATCATATACTTTTATATTTAGTTGTGTTTATTATATTTAGTTCACAAGGTTTATTAGACACTTGTGAAGGTAGTTTGAAAAAAAAGTTTTCTTTTTTTTTATAATTACCCAAATATAACAAAAATAATGATATATTTTTTCATCTTTCCTAGATATTAATTAATATAGAAAAAAAATGTAGAAGTTTTAGGGACGAAGAATATTTAATATTCTCAGTCCCTAAAAGAAAAGCCACATCACTTTTTTAAAGATATTAAATGGTAGAATTTATTAATATTAATGAACATGAACGAGTTTTGTAGTTATAGATGATAACCAGTGATAGAAGAAGGATAAATAAAAATATATAATTTTAAAAAAAAAATAGTTAAATAGGTCTTTTGCGTTGTGAAATACCATTTCTATCATTATTTTCTTTAATAAAAAGGGCCAATCTTTGATTTCTTCATTTACTATTCTTCTTCAATATTATATTATTCCACCAGTTGCGCAGACGAATGAATATTGGTGGAATAATATAATATTGCGCAATATATACTGTAGAATGTGCAGCCTTGGTCAAACGAGTACGGGTCGTACAATTCGCGCATGATCTTTTAACAACCAGCATAATCATCTGTATATAAGTATGAATATATAAGTATCGTTCTCGTAGAGGGATTTGATTTACTTACTGCAACAAAGGGTTATTACATTGTAATTTGCTTTAAATGTTGAAGTTGGAACAGCGTCTCTCGATTATGTGTTATTGTACGCCCAAGCATCTTAGTTTTGCAAGCGCAAATGGTGCAGACCCATTGATGTGGATATGAGGATAACAAATGATAAATAGATCCATAGTATAGTGGTATTACGACATCATTGTCAGTATTGTTGAATACATATCACTTGACAACTATCTAATATACTCTATCTGTATGTGTAAAAAAAAAAAAAAAAAGGAAAATTAAAGAATGTTAATAATTTATTTATTTATTTATAGAGTTACAGGATTGCATTGAATCTTTTGATTTTCTTTAGTTATATAGTTAGACAATGACCGATAATCTGGTGTCTGTCTTTTTTGCTGGCATTTGAGTATCTCGACGTGCTCTGGTAGTGGCTCTATGTGATCTTGTTAAACTACGGTTAAATCGTAATGGCTTTACCCATACTTGCTCTTCCTCGTCGCCATATTGAACTCCATGCGTCTTGACTTGCGTTCCATAATAGTAACTTAAAAAGAAAATGGTTCCTTCGAAAATAGGTACGATTAAAAAGTTGGCAAAGGCAAGGTAATCAAAGGGAGTGACAAAAATCAACGACAAGATCGATGCAATTCCTCCTACAAAGTCCAATACGACATAGGGACGACTTAGACCTTCAGCAGATTGAGCTTGGATAATTTCATAAACAGCTGGGATGAATCCAGCAGCCATCAAACAAGCAGATACAATATTAATGGTCAGTGAAATTTCAAATTCATGTTCTTTGTAATGATCCAATAAAGCATAGAGACCATATGCTACACCAGCTGCCAAAATAAATACTATACTAAATACAATCAATAATTTTCCTATTTTCATTCGTCTTTTTTTTTTTTTTTAAACAAATTTAATAATTAATATTTAATATTAAATAATAATTAATATCTTAAAGGTTGATTATATTATATTATATTATATTATATTATATTATATTATTATATATTCATTAATGAATGTTCATTTTTACATACTTGTCATAATAATAATATTGAGCTAGAATAAATAAAATTAAAAATAGGAAGAGGGCAACTTGAAGAATAAGAGGAGCCTCTTTATCAGTGGCTATGAGATAGGGGAAAAATATGACAGCATATAAAAACCAACAACTAAAACAAAGAAATGATACACCATCTGTAGTCTCTTTCATAAAATTGTATATGATTTGTGGTATGAGTTGGACACTCCAAAAAACAACTCCAGTATATCCAAAAATATTGGCTGCTATATTATTCCATTCTTCTCTTTCTCTCTCGCTCTCTCTCTTTTTCTTGATTTATATTATCTAATCTTGTATAAGAACATTATAAGATGAGATGAGGAGGTGTTTAGCTCGCACATTTAAATAGACCAATCATCCATCATCGCATTCTAGAGAAATAAAAAAAAAAAAACAACTATTTAACCTTTTACATTGAAAGGAATTTTGGATATATAAATGTTTAGGTCCATTGATGATCATCTTCGAGTTTTGGTGGAAATGACTTGTATTTCTGTGATTACATACAAAGAGTTTCGGAAATTCATACCTCTAAAAATATCTCGGACCTCGGCTTGATCCTATTTTTTGTGGTGCCCCTGCGACAAGACAACGAGCAAGCATCGATCTACAACAGGTCCCCCGAAACAAGTAAGTTCTCATGAAAGAGAAATGAAGTCGTGATGTCATCCACTGGTAAGAGTTGTACGAGATTGTGTATTATAATAGAACAGAATTGAATAGAATGTGCATATTATAATAAATTGTTTGTTCGTTGTTTGGGAAAGAACAAGAGAGGACTTGCTGAATATAATGTTGTTGATGATCTAAACAAATACTAGCTACATATTGGATTAGATTGTTGTTTTTGTTGTTGTTGTTATCGTTGTTATCGTCGTTATTACGAATCAGTATATATTTGATAGTAGTTGTTACGATCATAAAAAAGATTGATCGATTTTTTACTTTTTTTTTCAAACATTTGTTTCAGGCAATTCACAACCTGTTTGGTTATTTTATATATATTGGTATTTATTTATTTAATTAATTAATTTAATTTAATTTAATAAGTGTATTATAAATACATTGATTAAAAGATTTACAATAACTTTTCGAAATCATGGTACTTGTTTTCAGAGAGATTAGAAATAGCTCTGTAAGTGAGGACAAGTGATCCATTGTCAAATGACCAGATCCAGTCAGATGATGATGCCTTGACATAACGGAATACGATGGTGTGATTGGAAGTGGCTTCATTGAATGCTTCCAATACCATTTCCTCCTTGCCACGGGTCTCAACATTGAATGCAACAGCCAATAATACTTCAGCGACGAGGTCACCAATGATGGTATCATACTTTTCCTTGGCAACACCATAGAATTCATCAACAGAGGCTTGGTCTAGGGTCCAGTCGGCAGAGGTAACCTTTTTGAGAGTAGCAAAAGCTTCATCATACTTGGGCTTGACACTCTTGATGTTGAGTAATGCCTTCATCGAATAGATACTACCAGATGGGATTTCAAAGTCGAGGTACTTGACAGTATCCATATTGGCAAGAGATGGACATCCATAAACTGATAACGATCCATTCTCAAATACATATTGCCAATATGAAGAATTTGGAACCTTGGCAACAATAGATACAACAACCTTTTTGTTTGTATTATTGGCAATCAAACTTTCCTTGATGCTTGAATCCTTGTTTGACAATCTTTCAATGTTTTCACCAATGAATACTGCTACTCTTTTGTAAAACAAATCACCCTAAGATTAAAAATATAAATATAGTAGTTGGTGTAATAATATTTTTGAAAAAAAGGTTAGTAAATGTTTTTTAAAAAATAGAATAGTTATTTGGTTATTTTTTTTAATTAATAATATTTACCAAGTCACCACCAACCCATTTTGGATCAGATACAGCAGCGAGAATAGCTTCAAAGTCAAACTCAATAGTCCATTCAAGACCTAAAACATTCTTGATCTTGGTGTGAGCATCAGCGAGGAATTGTTCGTGTTCCCTAGAATAGAAAAAAAATTAAAGATATTAGACAAAAAAATAGGTATGGGGTAATAATGGATGGAGAGGAACATACTTGAGGTTCTTTCTGGCTGGGAGTGGGAGAGGCATTTTAATTAGTTGTATTGGTTTAGTTGATGTTAATTGTTTAAATATTGGTGATTGATAATTAAATGATTTGAAATTCTAATGACCAAATCGATGATTTTATAGTGATCCAACTCTAAATTAATTCCATATTTTAAAATAAATCAAAATAAATCAAATTAATATTCAATAATCCAAAGAAATAGAATAAATACTTTTATTAGTGTATTGAGAGACCCAGGGTTACATTTTCAAGCAGAATAAAACTGGAATCTCTATTTGTAAGGTTGACAGATATGATACAAGTTGAGGAGAGATGTTTGATTGAATGATCCCAAAACCAATACGGGAAATCACTCCATTTTCATTATAACCTTCGTCAAGTCTCGTTTGGACAACAAATGCAAAGCTGGAAAAGCAACGACTAAAATAAAATATCTTTTTTTAAAATTTTAGTCAGCCTTCTGCAAAAAGTTAATCATTTTTTTGCGAAAAAGCCATGAATTTTTGCAGTGAATGCCCAGAACCAAAACAGATAATCCACACTTTTATCTATCTATGTAGAAACAATAATAATTCCAAACAACTAATTTATATTATTATTATTTCCCCTTTGATTTGATTACCCCTTTGAAAACGATCCAAAATATTTAATTTTTTAAAATCATTTAAAGTAAATTATAGATTAATCTATATTATATTATATTATATTTGTACAATCATATACATTTTGTAGTTTGTTTAGTTGTTTAGGGATATACAAGTAGTTTGGAAAAAAAAAGAGTTTTATTCTTTTTTTTATTAAAAAAAATATTTGTTATTATTATTTTTTAAACATCAACATCTGATTTTCCACCATTAGTATTTAGTAACCGTTGTAATGTTGGAGAAGTAGTTATTGAAATCGATGAAGAATTGTTGTTGTTGTTTCCATTACTATTGTTTCCATTACTATTGGAACCGGTGGAGATTGGAGAATTAGTGGAAGAAGTAGAAGAGGTTGGTTTCTTTCTTGTAAAATGAATGAATAATAATAAAAGAGCTATGATTACAAAGATGTAGGGGATAAAGTAATAGGAATAGAAACTATTATTATCATTGACAGAGAGAGATGGGTTGCTTGGAGGTTGAGCAAGTGGTGGAAGAATCTGAGAGCGTTGGCTCCAAGAAACATTTTCGTATTTGTAAAGGTTGTGCCAACGGTATTTTTCTTGTGAGTAGAGTTGGTTGTAGCATTGTTGGAATGCACTGCTTTGGAGTGCGTTGTGTGCTGTGACTCTAGAGTATTTTTCAATGTCTCCATTGTTGGATGGGCGTAGTGGAATTTCGTATCGGTTGGTTTGTTCATTGAGCGGTGTCAACGGCAGTGCCAGCTGCTTGGCCTCTGGGAACACCTCGAATACATTCTTGCCTTGCAACACGTCCAATATATTCTCCATCATCCAAAAACAATTCTTTTTCGGTGTGCCATTGCAATCGTTTGATTCAAAACAATGTGTCGATTCATCAAAACAACTGGAATCGCCAAACACCACCACTTGACCAGACTGTATAGATGTTGGTGAATCTGAACTAAGTATATTATTTCCAGCAGACTGTTGAGAGGACGATATAGAAGATGAAGGTGAACCATTACTATCAATAGCAGTAGAGGTTGTTGTTGGATCCAATGAATCAGAGTTTTCATTATTGATATATTTGATTTGATTGTTGTTTTTAGATTTATCTGCTGAATACATTCCATTATTATTATTATTACTACCACTACTTATATCATCAAAACTAATATTAAATTCTTTAGTTTGATAGAAACCAAGGATGGGAACGGTTGGTTGAGAGGTACGACCATTGAGGATTTGACGTGTTTGGTCGGTGAGGGTTGCTTGGACGACAATACCTCCTTGGGGGAACCCGACAATAGAGGAACCCGACGAGTAGTATGAGGACCGACTACCGAGTGAAAAGTCACCATCATAGACAGAGTCACCCATAATAATACCAAAACTAGACAAGAGATCGTTGACGGCCGGTATATTGGCACCGCCCGTGACAGGTACCCAATGACGATTACTCTTTTTGTCGTGGAACTGAATCTTTTGCAACACGTCGACGTTGTACCAATCGCCAATCACGATCAGATTGAGTCCGTTTGCGCGTACATCCTCTTCGATCTTTTTGATCTCTGTCGGATGAAACTCTTCCTCAGAGTCGATAATGAGCAGCGATCCGTAGAGCAGGGGGTCAAAACAGGTGAGCGGCGACCCGAGCACTTCGACAAAGTACCCATTCTTGCGCAGCACCTCGTAGAGTTGCTTAAAGTTGGTGTGCGGGTGGTCACCATCCCAATCAAACGTCTTGACCTTGGGCATCATATCAATCTCGTCGACTGGAAAGTATCCAAGTGGATACTTGAGGCTGTGGAACTGGTCCCAAAGGATACGCTTCTGGCGCGGCGGTGTGGGAATCACACGTATGTTGACGGGTAGTGCAACTGTCTGTCCACTGCCGCCTATTGCATCGAGGACGGTGATTTTAATGTCACCAGACACCATACCACCAAAAAATTCGGCATCCTTTTTGACCGAGACATGTATACCAACGTGTCCGCTAAATGGATAGACCTCCTCCTCGTACGAGAATCCCATGTCGAGCAAGTGTCCGTTGACAGCAGGTTCCCACGTCACAGACTGTATCTTTCCATATACATCCATGCCATTGAGAACCGTCACGTTGAATATAGTTGGGATGGCCGAATAGTAGAGTGGTTGTGTGCAGTATGGCCAAAAGTACGGACACTCTTCATAGTTTATGCGGTTGGGGTGTAGTAGTAGTTTGCCCGTCCGATTACTCTCTTTGAGATCCTGTATGTTTTGTTTGAGTCGTTTATAGGCACCCAACACGTTGAGTGCACCACGACCCTGTTCAAAAATATTGGCACCCTTGGTCGGCTCGGCCGACTCGAGCAACACCTGTTTGATGAGTGCCGGATTTATATACAATTCTTTTTCCTCGTCTGTCACGCTACTCAGCAACAACGAGATGGCACCAGTCACCACAGGTGCCGACAAACTCGTCCCATACAAAACAGCCTGACACCTGTCATACTTTAATCCATAGATTGAGTTTCCATAAGTCACTACATCTGGTTTGACTCTTCCATACCCCTCTGGCAACTCCCACGTTGTCATTCCTCTTGATGAAAAATCACTAATTGCTCCATTAAAATTAATTGATCCAACTCCAATCACATCAGATTGATCTGCTGGATTACTCAATGTTCTAAAAAGTATAAAATATAAAAGGTAAAAGTAAATAAACAAAGAATATATATATATTTTAGAGTTAACTGTATATTTCTTACCCATAAAGAGGACCATCATTTCCCATTGCAGAGACTACAGTGATACGATTAGCAGTGACTTCTCTTATTTTTTCAACAAATGGTCTGTCCATATAATCCTTGCCGCCAATGGAGAGGTTGAGGACATCGACCTTGGTTTGGATGGCATGATTGAATGCATCCAAAAACCAAGATGTAAACGACTCTTTTTCATCACTAAACACCTTGTAAATGTAGAGTTCAGAGTCTTGTGCCATACCAGGACACCCTTCTAGATTGCTTGCAATGATACCTGCTACAAAGGTACCGTGTCCCAAATAATCGTTGGTGCTCTTTTTGCCGGTCCAATCAGTCTCCATGACGACCTTGTTGAATGGGTAGTCTGACTTTCGAGTGAGTCCAGTGTCAAAGATAGCAACCACCGTCTTGTTGCCAGTATACCCATTCATCCACATTGACTCGACATCCAACATGGTGACACTCGATGCTCGCGTTGTATCCGGTGCAAACAATTGACGTTTTGAATTGGATGACATCTTTGCATCTCTATCCTCTTCCTTTTGAACCTCTGGAATGTCATCATGAATACGTCCAAATGGTACTCTTGACACTATTGATGTTGGTGGTTCAAAGTGTAAATGTGAGTCGTCATCGTTAAAATTAACCTTTTCAGCCAATGCTTCCATTCCAAATATCTTTCGATCGGGATACACATTCTTTACCAAATCACCACCGTGTCTTACAAGATCACCAATTGCACCTTTAAACAATGCATCACATTCTTGATTATATATTCCTTTTTCAATTGAACATATATCCTTTTCTATGTATCTTTGTTGTCGTTGAATAGTAACTGATACCAATGCAAAATCAGATGGTAAATGAGATGCAGGATTATTTCTCTTTACAATCTTCCATTTATAATTTTGATTATTATTACTATCTTTTTTGTTTGTTGTTGTTGTTGTTGTTGTTGTTGTTGTGTGACTCTTCTTTAATATTGATTCTATTAAATTGTAATGTTCATCTTGTTTATAATATTTATTAAACATTACAATAAAATCTTTTTGAATTGTTAAAGATGAAGATGAAGAAGAAGAAGGTTGTTGTTTTGTACAAGAATAATCATTATTATTATTATATATATTTGTAATATTATTATTATTAGTATATGGTGGTGTTAAAAATATATTATCGTTATTATTATTATTATTAGTTAAAAGTTCATAGTTGTTAATTACAAGATTATTATTATTATTTATATTATTTAAAAGTTGTTGTTGTAGTTGTTGTTGTTGATTGTTATTAAACAGTAGCGATATGATTCTATTATTGTTGCCGTTGTTGATGTATATTGCTATTAATAAAGGTACTAGTACCATTAGAATAAGTCTCCTTATTCTCATTCTCTCTATCTCTCTTTTATGATTATACAAATATATGTCAACCACGATCGCGATGCCCTCCCTCTCAATTCAATTCTAAATAAAGTTGAAGTTGATTATTATCCTTTTTATTCTATATACATGTATGTATGTTGTTGTTGTTGTTGCACTTTATATGATTATATATTTATATACAAATATTACTACTTGTATTAATTGTCCCAACTAACGAAGAAAAAAATGAAATTATAATTGTGGTGGGAAGCCACTTGGTTTGATCGATCGAAGAGGAAACCCATTATTATCAAGTGCTACTACGAATATTTGCAAAGTGTAGATTAATCTTTTTATGATCATTATCTATCATTATCATGCATTGTATTGTAATCTAAGAAGAGACTTCAGTGCAAAGCTTTGTTGTGAACAAACTCACCTCACTCAACAACAACAACTATTTGTAATTCTATAAAGTTGATGATCTTTGAAAGAAGAAACAAGTAAGTAGGTTTATTTATTTATTTAATCCATCAACAAAACAATTTAACGACAGGTGCTGATATGTAATTGACATGTGACAGACAGACAGACAGTAAGACAAGAGATGAGAGAGAAAGAGGAGGTGATTTAAATGGTATTACCATCATATATAGGTGGTACTATATATTGACAAGTATAAACAACAATGGGGTTTATTTGTTTTACAACACAGATAATTCATTCATTCATTCATTCATATCTCACACCACACTACTACTACTACTGCTGCTGCTGCTGCTGCTGCTCTTCATCTCTGTTCATCGCAACAACTACTACGCTAGCGATTTGATTTGGTTCGTCATCCCACACATCAACCAATGATGATAATAATAGCAATTTAACCTACTTTTTGATTGTAACATTACTGATTATTGTATTCTTGTTCTCTTTTAGCTAATTATTCATGAATTCATTCATTCATTCATACCCATATGCACATGTACATATGCTCTGTGAACTAGCAATGATACATTGCATTCCATAAGAAAGGGACCCATACTTGAACAACAACACACCATTGCTGGGTAATGGATCAACGTAAATTGTATCATTCAATGACTGCACAGCAATGGGAATGGGAATGGGGAGCAACTTGTTGTTGGGATGATGATGATGGTGATGGAAACATATAAATATAAATATAAATATAAATATACAATCGTCAAATAATAATAACAATAATAATCATTATCAACTTATTATTATTTTATTTATTTGTTTATGGAATTATGAAACTATTAATAATTTTAATAATAAGAGTACTGACGTTGTTATTACAACCTACCAGTTCTACACTGGTGGTACAAGTACCAAACACCAACTATTACACATATCGAAGACAACCTGTCAATGGGTGTAACTTGCCAAAGGGGTGTGGAGGCTACTGGATCACCAGAATCAACCATCAACACGAAGAGAGTGAGATATTCGTATCGGATATCCTATTCAACACGACCACCAATCTCTCACCAGGCATGTTTAGTAACAGAGACCAAGACAACATCATTGGAGGTTATTTGGTAAAATATCAATCCGATCTTTCAAAAACCTATTTCATGGTGTGTGACCTATTCCGTTATCTCAATCTACCACAATACGATCAATATCCAACTGGTCAAAATGTAAATGATCAACAACAAACAAATGAAAATAATAATAATAATAATAATAATGGAGGTTCAAATACAAACAACCAAAATAATTATAATAACAATTACAATTATAATCAACAAAATAATTATGATCAAACTCCAGCTCAACCATCATCAAATGTAAATAATAATTTTAATTATAATAGTTATAATTATGGTCAACAACAACAACAAAATCGTCAGCATGATGATCAACCACCTCCACCTCCACCAACCCAGCCACCTACACCTCCACCAACTCAACCACCTCCACCTCCACCAACTCAGCCACCTCCACCTCCTCCAACTCAACCTCCTCCCCCACCTCCCACTCAACCTCCTCCACCTCCACCAACTCAGCCACCTCCACCTCCACCAACCCAACCACCTCCACCACCTCCCACTCAACCTCCTCAAAATCATAACAATAATAATAATAATAATAATAATAATAATAACAATAACAATAATAATAACAATCATAATAATGGTGGTGGCCATAATGGAGGTAATAGCAATAGTAACATTAATTATAATATTAATTCAAATGGTAATGGAAATGGAATTGGAAATGGATTTTCTAATTTATTCCCTCCAAAACAACCAAACGGAAATGGAAACTTTAATTTTAATTATAATCAAAACCAAAATAATAATCAACAAGGCGGTGGAAATAGTCAACAAGTTCAAATCCAACAACAACATCAAAATAATAATCAAGGTAATAATGGAAATAATAATAATAATGGAAATGAAAACTTTAATTTTAATTATAACCAAAATCAAAATAATAATCAACAAGGTGGTGGAGGAAATAGTCAACAAGTTCAAATCCAAAAACAACATAATAATGGAGGTGATAATGAAAACTTTAACCTTAATATTAACGGTAATGGAGATGGTCCAAGTGGAATACCGATGGATTTGATCAATTCAGTGTTGGGAGCAAACAGTCCATTTGCATCAATGTCCAATAACAACAACAACCAACAAAACAAATTCATCCAATTGAACGAATCGTCCATATCCAACAAACTAGTTGAAACCAAGGATTATTTTACACGCCAACAATTCTATTTGTTGCATACGTCCAACAACTTTTATTGTGCTTCCAATGAAAACGATTGTAATCCTCGTGTGATTGCCATCAACATTAATAGTGAAGGAGCTGCCTACTTTAACACTATCAGTGAGCGATACACCCACGATGTTGCCATGATTGACAAGGCTTGGTTCTTTGGACGGTTGATGGCCAGTAACATGATGGTGCGAGCAACCACCATCGACAGCGTCTCGTTGGCTATCGAACAGGTCTATGTCAGACTGCCCGACTCGTCCTACTTTAACCAATGTGTTGAAGACAATGTCACATGTAATCCAGGCTTCAAGCCAGTTTATGTTCGTGACAATGAAAGATGTCGTCGATTCGAAGACTGTGTTCCAATCACTCCCCAACATACCTGTAACATGGTGGCTCCTCGTTGTCCAATTGGATATGTACCTGCCTCTATTCCTGCGAAACCTTCAGGTTGTCCTAAATGGTATTGTGATTGTGAATTCATTACAACCATTACTACCAAATAAATAATTATAATAATCATCATTTCAAATCAAATTATCCTAAAAATTAATAATTAATAAATAATCGTATTTTAAAAATATCCCTATATACTTATAAATTAATTAATTAATTGTCTTGATAAATTTTGAATAATAAGAATTGATTTTGAATAATATTTCATTATTTCTTTTTTTCTTTTTCTTGTATTTGATTTGTATATTTGATTTGTTTATTTTAACTTGGTTCCACATGAAGCACAAAAGTTGGCAGCAAGATTCTTTGCTTCGGTTCTACATGATCCACAAGTTCTGAATTGTGGTTGAGTTTGAGTTTTAATTGGAGCAGCAGCAGAACCTTCATTGAGTGAATCCAAGTATTTTTGAGTTGGAGCAAGTGGATGCACATGCTTTTTATTTTCGTTTTGGTTGGCAAAGATTTGTTCATGAATAGCAAATACCTTTGGGGCTGCTGCTTGTTCTTCCTTTAATAAAAGACCATGACAGATTTGATGATAGTCGGCACCTTTATAGAATTGTCTTTCGGCAAAATATACCTAAGATATCATATATTTGATTAGTAAACTACTAATTGTTTTATTGCATTATTGTTGTTGCATTGTAAACTCTGTTTTATCATCATCCTTACAGTTTTTCCGCAATATGGACACTTTTGTGGGGCACCAACAGTTGACATGATTAAATTAATAAGTTGTTGATTGTTTAATAAATAAATAAATAAATAAATAAATAAATGTACAAAGATAGATTTACACGTTTAAAACAAAAGAATGATACTGATGATCAGCTTGTCTCGAAGTCTGAACGGTTATAAAAAAACCAATTTCAAGCCAATAAAAGATTTTTTTCATTGAAAATGGGATGGGAACTCCCCACCAAGGTTCATAAATAGAATGAATCGGTCGACTGTCTTTACTTTATATTACATATTTAAAAAAGATAATATCATTGCATTATCTTTAAATAATACATTTGATAATTCTTCAACAACCTTTGATAACTCTTCATATTCATAGTTTGATACTAATGATGCTATGTGGGGAACAAAAAAAAAAAAACAAATAAAATGATTAATATTAATAGGTATACAAATATACAAATATATGTTTAAAGTGATATATTTGTATGTATATTTCTTCTTCTACTTACCCCATCTTATAAGTTGAGAAGTATTGGATTTGATGAAAATTGAATAGGCAATACAAATGGTAGATAATGCCAACAAGGTGAAAGATTTCTCCAATAGAATAGGTAGGGTATAAATGGAATCTATAATGTGTTGAGCAATCTTTCGAAGACTATCATTCTTTGGAAAGAAATGATCCATAATCAACCAAACAAATTCATCAACCAATGGTATTTTTAAATATAATCTAATAACATCTAAAAATTCTAGAATAAATAAAAAATGATTAGAAATGATAGTAGATAAATATTTAATTTAATTTAAATTAGACTTACCCAATTCCATTTCCAAATAAGATTTTGGTGAAAAATAATTTGCAAGTATTTTTTTAATTGATTCATTGTGTTCCCATTGAGAATCATTCATCTTGCATGAGAGATTAAGTGCACATATTGACATTTGAACATCAAAGTTTTCATTCTTTTTTGTTCCACCAATGTTGTTTTGTTTTTGACTTGGTTTATTTATCTCTCTTAATCCTAAATATCTTTGAATTAAACTAAATAGTTAAAAATGATTGAAAAAAATAATTAGAATTATTAAATCAATTAATCTTTTTTTTTTATAACATACCAAATGGCATAATGAACATTAATAGTATCAATTTTATATAATCTTGAAATATAAAATAATAAATTGATAAGTAGTTTTGATGGGAATGGATACAATTGATTATAATTTCTCCAATTATCTTCTTTCCACAATAATAATTTAAATGTTTCTTTCCAATCATTATTCATTTCCTTTGATTTACAATAATAATCTTCAATTAAATTAAAATTCATCTTTTACAAAAAAAAAAAACAAATATTATTATTTGCAGATAGAAAAAATAAATAAATAAAGTAAATAAATAAAGAATAAAAAAAAAAAGTAAGTAGTATTTAATGATCCTCATCATGATTGATACTTACTTTCCTTTTTTTTTGTTTAATATAATTATTATTAAAATACCACTAAATGACTAATCATCCACCCTCTATAGTTTTTAATTTTTAATATTATTATTATTTATTATTTATTATTATTATTATTGTAATTTGACATGATGATGTGTGTAGTGAAGTGTGCAAGTTATTATTATTATTATTATTTTGTTGATTGTTATTGATTAATAAATAAATTTAAACCAGCTTTAAAAGTAAATGTTTTGTTTGAGAGGAAGGCAGATAACTTCCAAATGGATGGGACGAGGAGGGTAGCGACGATGATTTTAAGAGCGTCACCGGCGAGGAAGGGGACGAGACCCTTGGTGAATGCGAGCTCCCATCCAATGTGCTTGGCAAGCACGGGCAGTCCGACTATATAGATTGATACATTGGCAACGATCATGGAGATGAGTGACGACTTGTAGTGGAAGAGGTAGACACGGTCGTTACCACGCTCGGCAAGGAACCCGACGATAAAGGCTGCAACGACAAACCCGTAGAGGTAGCCTGAGCTAGGACCGTACAGCACCTTGTAACCACCGGATTGACGTGTAAAGAAGGGTGCACCCATCAAACCTTCCAATAGATACAATAGTACTGACAGAGTACCCATCCTCCACCCGGCAAGTGACGCAACTAAAAAGATAGCAAGTGTTTGGAATGTAACTGGGATAGTCGTTGCATGCGGTAGAAAGAATGATATCTGTGACAACGATGCAATAAACAAACTGCACACGATAACAGTACTGACACGTGCAACCCATCTCCACAAAGTTGTCAATTGATAGATTCCAATCCAGTGTTCTACAAAACAACTATAATGGTATCTACGAATTCTAAACTTATTACTACTATCATCATCATTATTATTAGAGTTGGTCGAGGTTAAAGATTGTTTAAGTAACTCTTCATCTTTTAATTTCTTTCCACTTGATGAATGTACAAGATAGAATTGGCTGTCATCTCCAACTTCACCATCACCATTGTACTTGCTAGATATTCTCTTTTTAAGTGATGATACTGTAGTGATGGTTGATGCATCTTCAACTGTTGATTCTTCAAACTCTAATATTCTACCAGACAATGTCTCTGCAGAGTATGTAATAAGTGGTACAAGTATTTGTAACTCCATATCTATCTATCTCTATCTTTTACAAATTTAGAAATGAATCATCATTATGATGATCTTCATCATAACAAGTTTATAATAGAACACCATTCGATTATAAACTGTTTTCCCACCTCATCCCTTTTACAAACGAGCTTTTAATGTTGAAGAGGTGTCGGTTCGCGCATTCATTTTCGGGCAGCCGGGTGGTATTAAACTTCATCCCGACTAATCAAGTACTTTGATTTCAAAACGTACATATTCCCAAGCCGAAGAACTATCTATTGACTTTACCTCTAAACTAAACTAATCTCCAAAAAGTAATATTGTACAAGATAATGAACTTCACAAACTTAATCATTTCGAAGGTAACTTATTTATTTATTTAACTTTATTTTTAAAAGATCTTTTTGCCATTGGATAATCATTAAAGTATTGGTTGAATTGAGTGTCTATCAGCTCTAGTAAAGTGGGGTAATTGGTGTATATATGGTCTTGTTCATCAAAGTAGTAAGGGTTTGATGGGTTGTCTAGACGTGTCAAGACTGCATTGAATAGTTTGTCGTCAATGACTTCCATCTTGTCCAATAATTGGTGATATCCATATCTTAGACAATACAATGTAATGTGAAGACGAGAATGTAGTATATTATCACTCTTGTGATTACCAATAGTACTTGATAGCATACAAAATTCATCGACCAACAAATCCATAATCTTGAATGGGATGTATTTTTGTTGACGAGCCAATTGTACCAATAGATGTTCAACAGCCCTTGCTCCAAAATGTTGTTTGTGATTGATCAACATTAATTCTAAAACACCAACCAAATTGGGTCGATATATTTGCAATAGATTGTCAATCACTTCAGTCACCTTGATTAAACTATCGATACTGTAAATACTTGTGTACTCTAACAAATTTGTTGCATCCAACAATGTTATAATTGTAGGTTTACGTTGTTCAAGATATTTTATAAAATCAACGTCACCAAAATAATAGGCTAACCCTAATGGATAACATTTAGTAGTTTCACTACGATACCTTGCCAACAACTCCATTTGTTTATCGTTGAATCCACTATCTTGATCAATAGTCATAAAGGATGGTGATGATGGATCATTGTCATTGATATTGTCATTGTCATTATCTCCACTTTCTACTTTTTCCAAAGTAACACCATCTCCTTCCTTTTGACGTAACCAAACTTTTTTAAGATACAAATATTCACCAAATGGTTTTTGTGAATAGAGATCGGCATCAGTATCACAATCATTATAAATTAGATCATGTTCAATACAATATTGAAAACATTCCATATCGTCTGGTGAAACGACTGCTTCTTGTCGATCGGTTGGCAGAGCTTCAACTAGACCATACGGATTATTAGGAACAAATCCAAAAAAGTGACGATTCTTGATATTGGTTTGTACATTTGTAATTGGTTTCTTTTTCTTTTGTAAATGTTTCCAAACCTCTTCCAAATTATCCAATCTTGTTCTTGTCCAAACAATAATCTCCAAAAAGTTATTTCTAATTGCCGTCTTTATAAAATGAAACCATTTAATTGTAATTAAAAATTTAATCATTTCTTGACTAATAGTTTCATCTGTATCATTATCAGTATCATTATTATTATTTTGATTATTATTATTATTATTATTTTGGTTATTATTATTGTTTTGTTGAATTTGTTGATTTTGTTGATAATAATAATTAAAATTTGGATGATTAATAAATAATTTAATAAAATGAATTAAACCTTTAAAATAGAGTAATGTACAACGATCTATTGATATGTAATCTAGATCTGGTAATCTTTTAAGAATGAATGTTGCCATATCGTGATCCTTTTTTTCAATGGCCGTGCTAAAGAGTGTTTTAAATTGTCTGGTCCAGCCATCCCGTGCTTTCGACATGGCAATGATTTTGAGGTAATCCAAGTTGTAGATTTGTGTTATTTGTTGTCTGTTGGTTTGATAGCTACGCACAAGCTCCATGATGACCGATGCGTACCCTGCTCCATAGACATCACGCAACTGTTGATTCTTTTTCTCTTGTTTCATTGAGATACTGCCAATCCACGATGTACTCTGTTTGAGTTGCAACATAAAGTTGAGTAATAGGATTTGTACCCATTTACGTTCTTTTGAAGGGTGTTCGTGGTATGCTAGGTATTCAGCAAGCACGAGTGTTTTGGGTGGCGGTAGACACCACCCTGGCGGTACTGTAAATGATGATGATGATGGATCATATTTTTGATAAGTGTCAAGTAACTCTACTACAAGACTACGTTCAGAGTCATCTTCAATGAGTGGTAGGAGACTGGTTGCACGACTACCCTGTATCAAGATATACTCTGACATTCTATCACTTTTGAACCCCATCTCGTAGAGTGCTTCAACTAACCGACAATCGATGAATGGGTATGGGTTACCCGTAGTAGTGACAACGGCTGTACAGTAGACATCGACCAACTTGACATCTTGTTCGAGACAATTGAGAAACATGACACGTTCCAACTCGACCAATTTAAAGAATTGTCGGTGACTAGGTACTCTCTTTAGAAACTCTTGTATTGTCTTTACAGTAACCACTTCTTCTGGTTTGGGTGTGTAGTCTCCATACCCAATATCTTGTCGATGTTGATAGATTTGATTCAATTTGCCAAGAAACAAACTGACGCTGTTTGACAGTAGACAGTCGAGTGACAGTTCTGCCCAATGATCAAAGTCTTGATCATCGTCATCTCCATTACCACGATTATGGTTTCGAAGTTCACCTTTAATCTTGTAATTGATATATCTCGAGTAATGACCAATCAACTTTATTAAATGTATATTACATAATACTGATTTAATAAGTGTTGTATTATCTATCATATTATCTATCTCTCTCTATCTATCTATGTGTATCTCTCTAAATAATTATTACTATTACATTCTTCAATAAACATGGTTTGAAGAGTTTTTTTAGAGTTCTTTCAAACAAAATGGAATGAAAGGAGAAACTAATGCTTGACCTTTAATTTTCGAAAAAAAAGAATTATTTATTAATTTGTCAAGCAAGAATGAATGAATGAATGTTCAATGTTGTAATTATGAGTTGTTTGGTCGAGGATAATGTTTTTTCAATAGTTCTTGGTTCCTCTTTTCGATCCTTTCAGCCCTTTCTTTGTCAACGTATTCTGGAAACCAACATCCTGTCTTCCATTTTTATTTATTTGTTTGAAAGTACCTGAAAGAAAGAAAAGAACGAAGTCAAACCATGGTTGACCATTCTTAAATAATGTGTGTTTCTATTCCCATTTATTTTCTCAACAATTTTTAAAAATTAATTACAAAGATGGGATTTGATTTATTTATTCATCTTCGAGAATGGTTCTGCTGATGGTAGGAGGATCAACAGAATTGAATAATACTTTCCAATTCAAGTATAGTGGTTTCTGTTGTTTAGGTAATCGAATGAATCCACCGTGTAATGATACCTTGTCAACAATTAAAACGTCAAAGTAGTCATTGTCAACCGAGTTTTCAAATCTACGAATATAACAGTGAATAATTGGATGCCAGATTGCATCGATCGAAAATTCATCTGCATTGGTTTGATAGATGATTTGGTCGAATCTAAAATGACTATTCACTCCAACTACTGATGGCATTCTCAAATGGATTGATTTGACTGTTTCAGGAACCAATAATATCTGACCACCAATATTACTGAAACGATTGACATTACTTTCATGAAGATGAAGAGAGTCAATATGAAAAATGTGTTGAGAGTCTGATTTACATGAAAATGAGATCGACTTTGCAAACGGTGGTATTTGGATTGAAGTGGCAAAGGTTGAACTACTCTGGAGTGTTTGGATGGTTGGTGGAAAGACAACTAATTCAGTGGTCGTAGTAGATGCCCATATGAGATGTTTGACAGAGTGTGGAATACACTCTTGTGTATTGGTACCACGATAATTGAATAATGAGAGAGTATGTACGCTCTCTGGAATCGACCCAACCATTAAATTGTGATCAGTATCAGTTCCCCAGAACCCAAGTTCAACCGATTGAATGGACGGTGTACAAGGAGCGAGTAACCCAATTGGTATGGGACTGGTCACACGAATTAATTTAAGTTGTGTGAGTGTTGTTGGAAGTTGGTCTGATGAATCCTTGATATTGTCCCAATGTGTAGAGAGGTATCTGAGACCTTGAGGAATGAACGTTGATAATGAAGGGATCGGTAAAATAGTGTGTAGACCGAGATGTGTAAGGGTCGATGGGAGACGAACTGTATTTCCAATCTTAATGTTTTTTGGAAATGACTGTGGTGCTGACAACTCGAGTGTTGTCAAGTCGGTGTTTAGTGACAGATCCAATGGACCGTGACTGGCTTGTGTACAGACTGACAACTTTAAATTGACCAAACTACGAGGAAACACCATTCCAGGTACCAAAGCAGTAAGAGTAATCTCTAGTGACGTAAGTGTACTTGGCAAGAAACCTCTTGGAATGACTGCAACAGCGTCATTGATAATAGTCAAACTTGTGAGATGGGATGGCCAATTATAGGTCAATGGATCCATCGCCATATTATGTCTAGCGTTACTAATGGTGATTGATCGAACAGACTCTGGAACTACACCTTCTGCCAACCCTATTGGAGGAGCGACCAAACACAACTCGACCAATGATTCTGGCAACACTCCCTTTCCAATAACACCACTTTTTCCTTTAAACTCTAGTCTCTCTAGACATATAGGTAACCTATACCCTCCTTCCACAGTTAGAGCATTATTTGTTCCATTTATAGCCAACCATTTAACAGTATCTGGTAACCCATTTACAAGTAATGGTGGTTCCACTATAGTTGGGTTTGGGTCAATTTGTATCAATGCCTTTGTTATAACCTTCTCCTCGTGGCCATCTAATCCAAAGGTTGCAGGATAATTATAGCATTGATTGTTACCTTTAACAATTTGATGAGAGAATGTATTGTGAAAGATATCGGCAAATGATTGTAGATACAATGATTTGGATACTTTTAGAGTACGATATTGAATGTTTTCGCTACTTGATATTTGGTTCTCTTGTTGATAGACCAATTCTATACCTTTGAATCCAAAGTTATTGTTGTAATGTCTTTTAAAGTTATAAAAGAATTGTTTGCATGTCAACAATAGACATATCAAATCAGTATCATTACTAATCTCTTGAACAATCAAATAAATGATTCTATTTGGTAAATAGTCTCCACCAAATATAAAATAACATTTATCATCATTATTATTATTATTTGTTGTAGTTATTGTTTCTTCTTTTATCTCCTTATTCATTCTCTTTTAATTATACATAATATGTGTATATATATAAATATATGTTGATGATCAAAAGACACTAATAATAATCTTTCATGTCAATCACATGATGATGTTTGTTCTTGATTGTTTCTTAAAAATATATATGTATTATGATAGTTGTAATTTCATTTGATTGATGATATGATAATGATAGATATAAAGTAAATATATATATATATATCTATAGATGCTCAATAAAGTATATCATAATACCATAGTAGCTACCTAAATCTAAGTTCTACGAAATACTCGACCCCAACGATAAATTTAAATTGGCAAAAAAATAAAATTAATTCAAGTTGTGGGGGTGTTAATGCATCATTACCTTTTTTGTGTGTACAGAACTAAAAGTTTAAAAGTTTATTATTATTATTATTTTTTTTTTGTATTATATATAAACTATACAGTTACAACTAATAGTAGTAGTAAACAATGACGAATAAGAATAAGAAGAAGAAGAAAGAAGATACAACGAGTACTACGACAACGACGAGCACAACGAGCACGAGTACTACAACGACTAAAACAAACAAAAATTATAATCCAAGTAAATCGGTTTCACCATCATCATCTCCTTCACTTTCATCTTCTGTTGCTGCTGCTACTAGTAATAATAAGAATAATAATAACAGTAATAAGACCGTTACAAAAAGTAAAGATTCAAATTCAAATTTAAATCAATCAAAAAAGAAAGATAAAGACAAAGATATTAGTAGAAGCAGTAGCACGACTACTACGAGCAGCAATGGTGGGTCAATAGGGAAAACAGAAAATCCCAAGAATACAGGTGACAACACATCTAACCAAACTAGTAATATATCGGGTGGTGTGCACGTGACAAAATCAAAAGCGAAAAAACAAGTGGATGATGATCAAGATGAAACATCGACTACTTCGACCACCTCTACCACTTTACCGCCACCCCGACAAGACAAGAAAAAGAAGAAAAAAGGAGATGATCCTAAAAAGGATGCTCCACACGGATCCACCAACAACAAACCTGGAAACAACAAACAAACAAATAATCTAAACAACAATGGGACAAATAGAATTCCCAAGCTTAAAAACAAGGCCAATCATCCTATAGATGGGGATGATAATGATCAAGATAATAGTGATCAAGAGGAAGAAGAAGATCAAGAAATTCTTACTAGTAAGAAGAAAAATAAGAATAATAATAATAAGGATTCTTCTTTACAAACATCAACCACCTCTACCACTTCTACAACCATTTCTAAATCCAACAAAACAAATAATAATAATAACAATAACTCCAAATCTAATAATAACAATAATAATAATAACAATAATAATAAGAATTATAGTGTAAAAAAATCAATATCACATCAAAATCAACAAAAGAAAAAGAAGAGGAGAAGGAAAAAGAAAAAGAAATGGTAAAAAAGAAATCAACTACAACAACCAAATCAAATAATAATAAGAATACCAAAAATAATAAGGATCAACAACCACCACCAACACCACCACCACCAGTTGAACAAAAAGAATGTATTATATGTGTTGATGTAGTAACTGATGAATCAACTATAGATGGATGTAGTCATACATTTTGTTTTGAATGTATCCTGGAATGGAGTAAACAAGTGAATCGGTGTCCGTTGTGCAAGGAGAAATTCAATCTGGTCAAGAAAAAGGTTGCCACTAGGGGATCGCGTAGTATGGCCAAGGTCAAGGACAAGGAACAACGTGCTGAATACTCTGAAGCGGAACTGCGGGCATTGCTTGGAGACGATTATGATTCTGACGATTCAGATGACTCAGATTATGACCCAGAAGATGATGACTATGACTATGACGATGACTTTGTCGTCGATGATGATGATAGTGACGATGAACGAGTCGCTACCCGTAACAACAACAATAATAATAATAATAATGACCCCAACTTTACCAACACTGGATTGGAAACTTATATACAAAGACTGTTCCCATCAACAGGTACCACTCGTTTGACGGTTACTATCAACCCAGTTGCCGAGTATGTCCGTAACCTACTTCCACACTCGCTTCGATTCCTTTCTAATAATAGTGTGCTCGTCAATACTCTTCAACGTCAAAGTGCCAATCAGACAAACACCAACATTCTTGCTAGACGTCAGTACCGTACCACACTCAATAATCGTGGTCGTCCAGTTGTCCATTTAGATGAAGATACCATTGATGTAGATGAAGAAGATGAAGAGGAAGAAGAAGACAGCCATGATATTGTTGATTTGGATGACCTTGAAAGTATGTCTGAAAGTGAAATGGAAAGAGAAGAAGAAAACGATGGTTACAATGAAATGTGGGAGGAAGCTGAAGAGGATTCTGCCGATGAAGATGATCTTGAAGGTCATCTCAATAGAGAAGACTGTGAAGGATGTGGAGAATGTGACAATTGTTTGGAAGGAATTGATTTGACCAGTGATGGTGAAAGACATGCCGACTCTGACAATGACGTTGGATATTATACCACTACAACCACTTCAACAGCTTCTCAATCACTCTCTTCATCTCCTTCATTATCATCGTCTGGTATCGATGTTGATGATTCAGATTCCGATGTACAAATAATTAAAAAGAAAACAAATAGACGTAGACAAATCATTGATGATGATGAAGAAGAAGAAGAAGAAGTTGTACCACAAACAAAGAAAATGCCAACCATCATCGATGAAGATATTATCTTTTGTGATGAAGAAGAAAAAGAACAAGAAGAGGAAGAGGAAGAAGAAGAGATTATCGTTAAAAAGAAACAACAACCCAAACGTAAATCAATGGTCGATGATAGTTTTGATATCACTACCGAAGATGAAAGTATTGATCTCGACAATGAAGAATCAGATCAAGAAGAGGAAGAGGAAATCATCCATAAAAAGAAAAAAATTAGTAGTAAAGAACAACAACAAAAAGAATTGAAAAAAAAAAGTAATTGTATCAACTCCAACAAAGAAGAAATCAAAATCTAAATAATTAATAATAATAATAATAATAATAACTCTCAAGTAATAGCAACAAACAAATAATAATAATAATTATTTGGTAACTTCACATCATTAGCGGCAACAACAATAAACAAAAAAGTCTTAATCATAATTGATTAATTTTAAATCAAATAAACCAGCGATCGACCCATCTCGATAAAGAGACACGTACATTGTATGAGTATAAAGATATTGGAAGAATAGAATGTGACCTAAGTTGTCTCCGATTGCGAAGTGTTGTTGACTACAAAACGAAGTGTTTTTTTTTTTAATTAAATTAAATTCAATTTCATTGACGTCTCACTCACATTAGATTTGTTTCATGTTCAATAATCATTCATTCATTCACCATCAACAAAAACAACAGCAACAGTAATAATAATAATTAATCATGTCAACAGTACAACAACAATTAAAATTAGAGCAAACAGCACAAGGATGGGATCGATCAGCTGAAGGCTACTTGGCGTTTATGGAAAAGACTGGGTTTACAAGATTGTATGCTCAAGACATATTGGATGAAACATTACCTGTCTCTTCTCAAAACAACACACCTAAAGATGTAAAGATACTTGATATCGCTGCTGGTACTGGTGCAATGTCAATCATTGCTGCTCAACGTGTAAAAGCACTTGGTGTTGGTGGTAGTGTATTGGCAACCGACTTTTCACCATTAATGGTTGAATGTATTGAAAAGGAAATCAAGTCACACAACCTAGACAATATTAAAGCACAAGTGATGGATGGTCAAAACCTGACACTTGCTGACTCTTCCATTGACTTTGCCTATATCATATTTGGTATCATGTTTTTCCCAGATCAACAACGTGGACTCTCTGAATTACTACGTGTTCTCAAACCTGGTGGTGTCACTGGTATAGCCACTTGGTCACCTAAAAATCCAATGGCCGAATGGGTCATTAATACATTAAAGAAATTAGTTCCTCAACCAACCACTCCAACACCAGCCACTCCTACTACTCCTCCAACCCCAACTGGAATCACACTATCACTATCGGATCCAGTGTCAATCGAGACAGTTCTAAAATCATCAGGGTTTGTAGACATCAAAGTAGAAGGAAAAGAACATTGTTTTGAAAGTACAGTCGATATGTATGTCGATTGTAACTTGGACAACCCAGTTCTAGTTGGCATTAAAAACTCTTTGCCACAAGACAAACAACCTCTTTTTGCCGATACGTTGAGACAAGTAGCCAAGGAACTTCATCCAAATGGTATCATTAAAATTAATTCACTTGCCTATCTTACAACTGCAAGAAAACCACAATTATAAACTCAAATCAAATAAATAATTAATTAGAAAATAACATTTATTTATTTATTTATTTATTTGTATTATTATTCTTTTTACTCTTTTATTTTCTTATTTTTACAATCATCTATAATAAACTGTTTATTTATAATAATTTTTAGTTTCTTCATTTAGGAAATTGTTCCATAGAAAATGAGCAAAGGATAGATGACCATTTTGCAAACCTATCTCAAATGAAGTTTTTAGTGTATCTTGATCAGATTGAGGATCTTTACTGTGGATGAGAAGGTATTGCACAACTTGAATGTGTCCTTTTATAGCAACTTTGTTAATTGTAGCGTCTAACAATTTAAGAGTTGTATTTTCGTAGAGATAACATAATAGTTGAATGTTTCCAATTCGTGCAGAGTCATCCATGGCTCGCAATGGAAATGATTTTTCTACATTTTGGTAGAGGTATTTAACCATTTCAACGCTACTTGTCTGACAAGCCATACGTACCCCAAAGGGAGTGTGTCCGTACCCTCGATGTTGTAGAAATTTAACCACATGTAAATGATCATTTCTTGCTGCGCCGTCGAACGGTGACGGAAATTCATTGACAGATTCTTTGTTGTAAGAAGGAAGGTTGTGAAAATACTCTACTAGATGTAGATGACCATTCAAGGCAGAATTATAAATGGCATCTCTAATTGCTGCTTGGGACATGGGTTCTCCCATGTTTGCAAGTTTAATCATTTCAAGATTCCCATGTTTCAATGCAATTGGGAATACACCAGTTGTTGAAAATGATATTTTCTTTTCTTTTAAATAATCAATAATATGCCAATGTTGATTTGAAACTATATCTTTAATTTCTAAACCTAAATAAATAAATAGATAAAAAACAAATAATAAATAAATAAATATGATTATAAAATAGGAATAAGAAGAATACATACAAAGATCAATAAAATGATCTTTTTGTTGATTATATTAATAATCTAGGATTTCTAATTGACCATTAATAGCTGCACATTCAAGTGTTGTGTCATCATATGGTTCTTTTTTGTTTTCATTTAAAATCTATATATAGTAAATTAAATAATTAATTATTTTATATTCTCTCTGATTTCATAAATGATGATTTAATTTAATTAATTACTTTAACAATATTAAAATAACCTCCAGCAGCAGCAACATTGAAAGATTCAATTTGAAATTGACTTGTAGTTGGAGAGGATAATGACCATTCAATAATATTTAAATGACCATTGATCAATGGTTGGTTTGCTGCGGGATGGATAGTATTCAATTGATAGGGGGTAGGAGATTGACCATCATAAACATTATCTCTATCAGTTTTTAAAATAAACATGATTATTTCCAAATTGCCAATACCGCAACTGCAATTTCAATGGCATCTATAGCAAATGGTATTGATCTATAATAATGTAGAAACTTGACGATATCTAAATCTCCACAATTGCCTTGTTCATTGCAGAGTTTGGGCATTTGATATTTGGCCTATTGTTGTGTAACCACTTTACCAATTCAACTCGACCCGTGTCAATAGACTGGTCTAGTGTTGGTTCATCCCATTCTCTATTGGGACAACGTACATGTAACCAACATGCTATTTCAAATATCACAGCAGTCACAAGTGAACTTGATGGAAATAGTCCATCACCTGACAATGATGAAGAGTATCTTTCAAATAGATACACCATAATATCATAGTTGTTGTGAGAAATGATATTAGACATTGATTTAATATCAAAGATAAAGTCAGGTGACCAATGCAAGAGATGTACAAGTGTTTGAAGAGTAGCATTTTTGTGACACAAGTACATATTTATCAACAATGATCTTGCTGCACGATCAATGTGACCCAATGTTTGTTTGGTATACAGTGTTTGATAAAATCTCATGGCATTGCATAACAGTTAAAACGTATGGTGTCATCTAACTTGAGTAGATCACTTCCTTTGATAAAAGGTGGTCTTGCTATCAATGGTCGAGCAAATCTTAATCCATCTACAAGTAAATGTTTTTGTTGTTGTTGTTGTTGTGGTGGTAATTGACTAATTAATATAAATATATTATATCTATATATTTGTTTCTAAATACATCTATAAATGTAATTGTAAGCATATTTGAACAACAAAAATGTTATTTAATGTTGTTTTCTTTTTTTACTCTTTTAACTTTCTTGAGAAGATGCGTGCGAGAACTTATAAAGTATCATTCCTTTCCAATGTATTCTGAATTATAGTAGTATGTATACACCAGCAGGTTTCAGCTCTTGCAAGAGCACACTTATTATCATGCATCAATATTTATTTAAACGACATTATTACTTTACTAGTATTGTACTAGGTACCACAACAAATTCATCATCATGTATGTTAATGCTAGCAGTTAAAGCACGAACGTTAAAAGTATCAGACTTGCCACGTTCATTGAAGGGTTTCTTGTCACCATGACTACGGTTGTTACCATATGACCTTGGTTAGCGGAGGAGCAGGACTGGCGGCGGGTTGTTTGGCAGTGTCTGGTTGGCAGTGGCTGGCAGCGTCTGGTTGGCAGTGGTTGGCAGTGGTTGGCAGTGTCTGGTTGGCAGTGGTTGGCAGTGGTTGGCAATGACAGTGGCTGGTTGGCAATGACAGTGGCTGGTTGGCAATGGCAGTGGTTGGCAATGACAGTGGTTGGCGATGACAGTGGTTGGCAATGACAGAGTGGCAGTGACTGGCAGATGCAACAATTAATTATTATTGGTTCGTATATATTCTATTTTATATAATGAGGATGTACATTACATTTATTACAAAAAAAACTTCATTTTATTCTCTTTCTCTCATTCTCTATATGCACTGCTTTAATTATCTATAGTATACCTAAATAATAATGCTATCATTCTTTATCGTATACTCTCATTCTCTATATGCACTGCTATAATTATGGAAGCCGGGGGCCATTAACCTCTTGTTACAACAATAGATATCGCTACCATCAATACCTAGCAACAACAGCTACACTGTACCTCAAGCACGAATGGACAGTTTAAGATGTCGTCATGGAAGATCACTCGATTTTAACAGTGTAATAAAGGTAGTCAGTGATCACCCATGACGACATCTTTCGCCATTACCAAGCTAGAATTATCATATATCATAGTTAATCAGGTACGTAATAAAAAATCTTTTCAAAGATCAAAATAAATAAATAAATAATTAAATAAAGAGATTGATAATAATAAGGACTAAACCATTTAACTTTTAATCCTTTGTTTTTTAATTTGATTCTTCTTCTATTTCTTCGTCAGTGTCAATATCATCTTCATCAAATGTTTCATCACCATCTTGGAAATTATTATTATTATTATTATTTACAATAATATCATGATTGATTGACATTTGGTTGGTATTATTTGTTTGGGACTGCTGCTGTTGTTGTTGTTGTTCCTGTTTAGCTAATTGAATTTTTTCTGCTTTAGATTTTTTATATCTTTCATTGATGTACTTTGAGAAACATCTTTTACAGCTAGCTGAATAATGTCCACTCTTGCTTAGATAGAACAGGTCGAGTGGAAGATTGGTGTTGGGGGTGCCCGTATTGGCAAGATGGTTTTCATTGTAACAGGTCTTGGTGCCTCCCTCGCTACCACTAACACCTGACATATTGTTTTGGGTGGTGGTGGTGGTAGTTGTTGTAGTTCCATCCTCTTCTTTTTTGATACTAGTAATTGGAGATCCTGGAAAATGGGGGTTGTCCTCCCTTTCCTTTTTTGCATAATTCAATCCACATGCGTTGCAGAGAGAGGCTGGTCCATTAGGTCCTCGTCTCCACTCGGGTGTTTGAGTGATACCACACTGATGACAAAATAATTTGGTGAGGTCTGTCTTTGTCGATCGTCTTCTATGCCTTTTCTTGATAGTGCCATGGTTACCACCCGAATCACTATCAAATGAATCCACTGCAGCCTCAATCGCTGCTTCAATTGTATCGTTAATTGGTGTCACGGCAGTTGATGATGATGATGGTGGTGCCACCAACTTTGGAATCATAGGAAATGATGATGTATTAGGTATAGTTGATTTTGATGGTGATTTTGTTGTTGTTTTTGATTTGGATGACAAAGTAGTAGTGGAAGTAGTAGAAGATGGAGTCGGGGTAGAAGTAGCAATTGGATGATTTCCATTTGACTTGCCTTGTTGTTTTTCCATTCTAGTAAAACTTTGACATTTCTTACACTTTAAAACATATCTAAATATCCAAACAAATATAAATATTAATATCTATTTAACGATTATTTTATAATTATTTGTTTATATATATTGTTTATACATACCGTCCTCCACATTGATAAAATTCATCTGTTGGTAAGTGTTCACAACTATATCCAGTGATTTGATCATGTCTTGGATATTTACAAGTCATGAATTTTTGACCAAGATTCTCTACACTCATAATGGTTCTTCCAGAACTAGTTAAATTTTCTCTTTTAATCAAATCATCGTCATTATTATTATTATTATTATTATTATTATTATTATTATTATTATTATTATTCTGGTCATTCTGGTTATTATTATTATTTTGATTATTAATACTAGCTTCATGATCTTCATAGGCATTTGTAATTGTATACTTTTTATATTTTCTTTTTGTTGTTGGTTTGCTTGATGTATTGTCTATTTCCTTTTTATCATCAATTGTGTTGTTGTTGTCAATGCTATCTTGCATTTCCATTATACTATCAGTATCACAATCTTCCTCGTATATATCATTGGAAATGGGATTGTTCGTTGTTGTTGTTGTTGATGATGTTGATGTTGTTGAGGTACTAGTAGTTGATTGGCTTTTTTCCAGAGCAGCAGCAGCTTTAGCTTGTTTTCGTTCATAGTATATTCTAATGTGACACTTTTTACAGCGCTGCTTATATCTTCCATTATAATAATAAAACTCTCGGAGAGGAATCTGTTTAGAGTCTGTTCCCCACCAAACAAAGTGATTTGCTTCAGAACATGGTTTTACTTGAGTTCCATACATATTGGGGTTTGGTGTTGTAGTTGTTGTTGTAGTACTAGTTGTAAAAGTAGTAGAAAGATTATCATTATCATTATTATCATTCATACTATTATCATTATCAATATTATCATTATTATTATTATTTATATTTTCATTTTCGTTATTATTATTTTTCTTGTCTAGTAGAGCAGCTTTTGTTGATTTTTCATGATAATGACATCTTTTACAACGATAGGATGATTTTGAAATAAAATCAGATATATACAGATTCTGAGGATCGGTTCCCCATAATTCAACATGTTGTTTTGATTGACATAATTTTCTAGTTGTATTTTCATTTTCATTTATATTATTTATCTGTTGATTGTTATTATTATTAGTAGTAGTAGTAGTAAAAGTCGTTGTAATATTATTATTCTGTTGGTCTTGATTTTGTTGTTGTTGTTGATGATTATTAATATGATCAGTAATAATATGATTTAAACTCTTGTTGATTATGCTTGTTGGTGGAGTAGTAGTAGTATTTGTTGTATTATTATTATTAGGTTGAGAATTCTTATTTGCATTGGCAAATAGAGTATTTGATATAGAGTCTTCAATGGAACTGATATTGTATTGGAACCCTTTAGTATCTATACTAGTAACACCACTATTTCCACCACTACTGCCAACAGCTGATTTGGATATTTTTGGTGTTGGTATTGGTACTGGTGTTGGTATTGGTGTTTTTGCTGCTGCTGCTGCATTTTTTACTGATGGTGCCTTGTTGGTTCGATGTCTCATTGAAATATAGGCAGCAAAACACTTTTTACATTTGTTGGAATGCGTTGATGTGTAAAACATGTCCAATGGTAGATTCTCTGGATTGGTGCCAGTAAGTGTTTCGTGGTTGGGGTCATGACATGTTTTAAATAATTCACCATTGACATTTAAAACATGTAAAACTCTAACATTTGTTGATGTAGTGATCGATCCTTCACCATTATTATTATTTATCTTCATACGTGTTGATCTTTGAGGTGTAGGTGGAGGAGGTTGAGGTAGAGGTTTAGATTCTTCTTCCAAAATCATATCATCTTGGTCATTATCTATTTCCATCTTTTTGCTCCCTATTATTTCTTTGTTTTTGTTACTATTATTATTGATATTTTTAGTCTTTTTGAGTGGTCTTTCAGTAACAATAACAAGATTGGGTTGTTCTTTTTCATCATCATCATCCCCATCATATGATGAAGTAGGGGATTCCATTTCCTTTCCCTTTGCAGCTTCATCGACAATGACAAGTGTATTGTTGTGGTGTACGGGTGCAGATGCAGATGGTTCGAATGTTGTTTCTGCTACTGCGACTCCATTTGAGCTCGGCAGTTTGATCGACAAACTATTAAATGGTTTTGTTGATCCATTTGCTGTTGATGTTGTTGTAGGGATGGTGGGAATGGTCACTGCGATTGGTCTATTAGAGTAGGGCAAAGAGTTAAAAAGGAATGGTAATGTACCACCACCACCACTTGTTGTGCTTGTTGACGACGATGGTGACATTGACGTTCGACCTCCAATACGGAGACTGCCAAATGGAGATGACGACGATGACGATGATGATAATGGTAATGTTGATGACGACGACGATGATGATGACTCGCCTCTTTCCCCTGTCTTCGTAGTCGTACTACTAGTAGTTGAAGTAGATCCTGGTAGAGACGACACCCTTTTAAATGGTGTATCCCTTTCCCTCTCTCTTTTATTATTTACATTATTATTTACATGATTGTTGCTATTATTATTATTATTATTATTATTATCAGGTGAGCGACATGACGATAATGTTGATGCCGACGACGATGCTGTGATACTATCGTCATCACTTGCAATATTGGCATTATCTACTAACTTGTCTATACTATTGTTATGACTGTTATTAGTGTGACCATTACCATGGAATTTAAAAAACCTTTGTTGCATGATTTAAATCATCACTGGCGACTCGACTCTAGTAGATTAGATTAAGATTAGATTGTGAATATATAATAAAGGAATATGTACAAAAGAATAAATAGAACTCTCTCTCTCTCTCTCTATCTTTTGTTGTCTGTTTCTCTAAATTCTATTGCTTTTGCTTGTTGGGGAGGTGGCTATTATAATTATTATAAAGATTAAACAAACAATAAAATAAAAAGAGTGCAATAAAAAGTTGGGGTTTTTTATTTTTTTTTTTTAAATTTTTAAAATAAATATTTTTCGAGATGGTTTTTTTAAAATATTTTAAAATAATAAATTTAAAAATTAAAATTAAAATTAAAAAGTTGTTGTTTTAGACTAAAGGGTTGGTTCGAACCCTTTAAATTTAAAAATTAAAAATAAAAGTATTGGTTTTTGTCTATTTTAATTAAAACTTTTTTTTTTTTTTTTAATATTTATTTTTGATCAAAGGTTAAGGTTGAGGATGAGGAGGAGGATGTTGGTTGCACTCTGATCTATTCTTTATAAGCCATTGAACTACCTCTGAATAATTATAATAACTTGCTTCAATCATTGCATCGTTTGTACACTACATATACAAATAGTTTTGTAAAGAAGTAAAGATAAAGAAGATTAATATAAATTAATTAATTAATTAATTACTTTTTGTTAACTTTAGTTTTACTACTACTACTTACACCTTCTGACCTATTTTTGTGAAGCCATTCCAAGATGTGTAAATGTCCTCTCATGCTAGCCCAATCCATCGCTGCTTTTGTGCAAATGTGTTGGTCTTGTGATTTATTGGTTTGCAACCATTGACAAACTTGGAGGTGACCTTCTCTTGAGGCCAAATCCATGGCTCGTGTACATCCAGCTGTTGTATTGGTTTGTAGCCATTGTAATGCGTTGACGTGACCATTCATAGCAGCCCAGTCCATTGCAAAGGTGGTTGCACACTCCTCCGACCTAGTAGATTGCAACCATTCCATCACTGCAACACTACCACCTTTTGCCGCCCAATCCATTGTATTCCAATTGTCCTCCTTTCCCTTGACACGATCAAGTTCGTTAAATAACCATTTTACAACATCGAGGTGTCCATGCATAGCAGCTGTTCGAACACAATCACGATAAAATTCAAGTGCTGTATTCAACTTTATCCATTGCAACATTGCTAAATTTCCATTTTTAGAAGCATAGTAACATACAATTTGAACCATTTTAAATGAACCTGGTATACGAGTATGAATGTATTGAACGATATCCAAGTGATTGTGTCGTACTGCATCTTCTATGTTTAGTCTCAAAGGTTCAAGTGGTGTTTCTCGTCTAGATGTATTCAACAACCGATCTGTCAAACTTGAGAGTGTATCTAGTGTTGCATTATAATGTGAACTGTATCCACTCAACATCTTTTCGATCAAACAATTACTAACCCTAGTTGGTGGAAGATAGTGTTTGATAAAGTCCCATGGTAATGCACAATCCCATACCATGACATATGAACCTTTACTAGCAGCTTCTATCAACTCTTTTCCCTTGTAATACACAAGAGGTCTATATGTAAACTCTTCAGAGTATTCCTTCTTTGGTAATAACTCCAATTCTTTAAATATTCTTGTTCTCAATACTATATTTTTAAGTATGTCCATAATATTGATCGCCGTCGCAGTAGCTACTGAATCGCTATGTTGTCTATGTTGTTCTTGATTCATTATTATCTATATCTAATCTATTATCTTCTATTTATTACATTTTATGATCAACACAAAATTGAAAATGAATGAATGTTATTATGTGTCTCAAACTTTTTACTTTTACTTTTGTAGTTTTAAAAAAAATATAAAAAGTTAAGAGGAATATTAATCACTCTTAATTATTTATTATGTGTATTTATTATGTGTATATATGTAAAACTTTTAGGTTTAAGCCTTATTATTTCCCTTTAACCAGAAAGATGGTTTTAATAAAACGGAATAATTTGGTTTGGCAACCTTGTCCCACTTTTCCTTGGTACGTTCGCCCTTTTTCTGTTCGCACTTGGCACAGAAACAGTCACCCTTGTAGGTGGAGCCAAAGATTTGGTCCCAGACCTTGAAGAAGAAACCAGTGTGGTATGGTTGGTTCTTGATAGAGATGGCGTGATGGAGGTAATGTTGGAAGGAGGTGTTGACGATTGGGTGATGGGCATCTGGGTAGTTGAATTCGTAGCCCCAGTGGAGGTAGGAACCATAGCCGTAGAAAAAGATGGCAAATTGGGCAAACATCATGTCCATGTTGATTGGCACGATCATTGGGAAGATGAGGAGTGGTGCAGAACGAACCAATTGGTCGAGGTACTCGTCGGCAATGACAGCAAATGGGCTTGGGTTGTAAAAAGTGTGATGTGGCTTGTGAATCTTCCAGAAAAAGTCGGTGGTATGGCCCATACGATGATAAAAGAATTCGAAAAAGTCAGAGGCGATCCAAACACCTAAAAACGACAAGGCAAGGTATCCCCAGCCGAGCTCACCGACACCACAGTATGCCTTTGACATACCTCTTTGGGCCAATTGAAGCGCTAAAGCTGGGCAAAGTGTTGCTGTTACCATACCCTTTAACATCATTATAATTTCATCTTTTACCTAAAAGAAGTAGAGTATAGAGAGATTTAAAAATATTAATATCAAAAAAAGACGACGATTTCTTTTTTTTTTTTTTTTTTTTTTTTTCAAAGAGACACAATGAGATAAGATATTATCTTGTCTTGTCTTGTATCTATCTATTTGTTTGTTTGTTTGTTTTATATTTAGTTTTACCTTTTCTGGAGTTGGATATTTAGCATTTGTTTTCCATCTCCACATTTCATATGTTGGATGTACATAATAACGGATAAAGACGATACCCGAGAGAATGAGAATAGAAATGAGACCAGCTACACTGAGCAAGGTCCAAGTGGCCCAAAAGTTGCCCCAAAGACTGATTTCGCACAACATCTTCGAATTATTTTAATTATTATTAATTATTATGAAATTATATAATATATAAATAAAGAGATAACAAATAAAATATAAGAGTAGAAGAAAGATGTTGTTTGTTTTTTTTTGTAAACAGATAATTAGAAAACTAGTAAAAATAAACAACAAGCAGCGCGCACGTTGTGTTGGTCATGAAGCTCTCTCGATCACTTGCAAAGTCATGACCAAAAAAAAAAATAGATTTTTGTTTATTTTTTCTTTTCATCATCACTGTTCAGAGACAACTCTCTTTCAAAAGAAAATAGAGCTCACTCAGCTCGATTAGTTAACCCAGGAACAACGTGGTTTTATGACGCTACGCAATTGCGATCGCACTTCACCTTGTTTTAGGGGGGCATCAACACATAAAAACTCACTTGTTCAATAGATTGTTCTAAAAGTAGAGATACCGATTTCTTTTTGTTTTGTATGACTGATGTGATGAAAGGTGGGAAGAGAGGGGTATTTGATGTAATGTTCTCTTTCTCTCTCGATTTCTTTTTTCATAACCCCCATCCCCCAGCAGAGCAGACCGATTACTTGAAATCAGTGTTGCAATCATTGGGATATTATTTTGGTGAGACCATCTATTCTTTGTTTATGAGGGGATGAGAAGTAATCGGGTGATAATTATGAGGATGATGAAGGATGAGAAGTTATCATCTGTGATCACAGGTGACAATACACAAATATAATACATTGTATGATTTGGTAATAATAATAATAATATTGTATGTGGGGGGGTACTATACTAGAGGATGGATGGATAGCATAATATAAATTTAGATTATATAATTATATTATAATTATTTGTATTGATAAAAATTGATAGATGTTCTTTTTGAATTAATTGTAGAGTTGGAGGAGGAGAGTTATTATTATTATTATTATTATTATTCTTACTATGATTTTTATCTTTTAAATAATCCAAATAGATATCATTTAGAGAAGAGTGAAAAGTAGGTTTGATACTTTCAATGATTAATCTTTGAAATTTAGAACCAATCTTTCCAATGAAATGTAGTAATGGGTGTATTTCATCAGATGTGAGATCATCAAACTTTGTATAGATTGATGAAAAGATGGATAACCTAATCTTACGTACGAGTGGATTGGTTTTGACAAGGTCAGTCATTTCATCCCAAGAGAAATTACCAGTGAATCCAGATCGATTAGAACTATGTACAAGCACTAGACTTGTCAATGATGGTAGATGACAATTTGTAATGATATCTTTTGATGGTGTTGGATACATTAGTTTTAACTTTTTGATGGTTGTTGGTAGTTTATCTTTAAGATTGACAAAGTGATGGTAGCCAATATCCACTACAATATTGGTCAGTTTTGTTGATGTCAAGTTGATAGTTTCGTCATCGAGACGAATTGGACTTTCAATCTTGGTGACTTGACTAGACGACAGATAGTTGATACATTTCTGGCCGAGATATTCGTCTGGTAGTTGAAGTGTTGTGAGTGTCTTGGGTAACAAGTTATACGGTATATCTCGAGGATTGTAGAATTGTCCACCAAAGGTAATGGCAAGACTAGTAATTGTCTTTGGAATGGCTTCAAATGGAGCTATATATTCCATAGGTTTCATTTGTTCGTTTAGGATGATTTCAAGTCTTTCCAATTCTTTACAACTTTCCAATACCTTTATCACCATTTCTTTACGGTTAACTGTAATACTAGTACCAGTATGTATAATTAGTTGTTTTAAATGTTGAAAGTATTCTGGTGAAATGTCTAAACATGTGATAGTACTACTATCTTCTTCTTTTGTTTCTTTTTTACTATTTCTTATTGCTTGTTGAAGGAATTGAGAGATATGGTCTGGTTTATAATTAAATGGGTAGATTTCTAGTTTTTGTAAGTTTGGGAGTAGCAACCCTTCTCCTCCTCCTTCTCCTTCTTCTTTTCTTGATAACTTGATATGTCTTGGTTGGTTAAACATTAGATTAAACCATTGATGAGCATCACCATGTTCATCTTCAGTTTGAATTGATTCTATACTATTGATAAACGACGAGTGAAACCATTCGAGGTTTGATTCAACGTATTCAATGTTGGTTGCAATATGACATTCCTTTTGGTATTTCGTACTACTGACTATTCGATGTACTTGATCAAATAGACATAGAGGATTGTCAATATGAAGTCTATAATCTTGTATTGATTCGGTGAATGGGTTGAATCTTAGTTTAAATCTTCTACCAACACATTTCTTGACAGTATTACGTATCTGTTTAGATACACTCGCCAAATAAAATAGTTCAACCAACTTTACTTTATTTTGATTACATAGTAATCTAATAATATTTGATTGTACTTGTATTGTTAACATTTCTTTCTTTTCAAAAAAAAACTTTGTAAATGATTCTTGTGTGTATTGATCATCTTTGCAAAATTTATTCTTTTAATTAATTGGTGAATGTTGATTGTTGATCTTTTTGAATTAACAATAGTGGATAAGAAGAAGAGTTATTATTATTATTATTATTATTATTATTTAAATAATCCAAATAAATATCTTTTAGAGCAGAGTGAACAGTTGGTTGAAAACTTTCAATGATTAATCTGTTAAAATGAATACTTTTGTTTATGATGACATCAAATAAATGTACGATATTACTAGAGTCTATAAACTTTGTATAGGATGATGTAAAGATAGATATCTTTATCTTTCGTATGAGGGGACTAGTTTTGGCAAGTTCAGCAAGATAGTCCCAAGATAAAACTCCATGGAATTGACGGTGAGTGTCATTGTGTACAATGACTAGACTTGTTAATGATGGTAGATAGCAACTTGTGACGGTACTATACATCGGCTTGGGAAGTACCAGTTTTAACTTTTTAATGGTACTTGGTAGAGTATCTTTAAAATTGATATCACGACAGTACTTACAATCCAATATAATGTTGGTCAGTCCTGTTGCAACCAAACTAGTTTGGGCATTCAAAAAGATTGGATTTTCGATCTTGGTGATTTGATTTGGCAGTGATGAAAGATAGTTGAGACAACTTGGTGATATTTCTTTGTTGGGTAGTTTTAGTGTTGTGAGTGTTGTTGAGGGGAGCAAGTTAAATGGTATTGTTGGTATTGTTGGTAGGTTGTGGTCAACGTTGATCCTGAGTGTTTTGACTGTTTTGGGGATGACTGAAAATACAAGAGCGAGGTCTGTTTTGGGATCGTTTACAAAGAGTTCTAATCGTTCCAATGTTTCTTTACAATACTCCAACACCTTTATAATCTTGTCGATTGCAAGGTGGCCAGCTGAGTATATATATATTTGTAGTTGTAAAAGATGCTGATAATATTCCGGTAAGATCTCCAACGTGATAAAAGGCTGTGGAAAAGGTTGTGGTACAATTGGAGATATGACTGGATAAAGGTGCATTTCTAATGACTGTAGTTGTGGCAGTAGTAGTATCGACGATCCTTCTCCTTCTCCTTCTCCTTCTCCTTCCTCTCTAGTTAACTTGACTTGTTGTCTTCTTGGTTGATTCAACAATAGATTAAACCATTCAAGTGAAATCTCTTGTACATAGCCTGTTTCAATTGATTCAACTCTATTGATAAATGACGATTGAAACCATTCGAGGTTTGATTGAATGTATTGAATGTTTAGATCACGGTTGTGTTCATTCAACTTTGTACTCATACTACTGACTAGTGTGTGTACGTGATCAAACAGACATAGTGGATTGTCAATATGAAGTCTACAATCTTGTATTGATTCGTTGAATGGGTTGAATCTTAGTTTGAATCTTCTACCAACACATTTCTTGACAGTATTACGTATCTGTTTAGATACACTCGCCAAATAAAATAGATCTCTTAACTTTACTTTATTTTGATTACATAATAATCTAATAATATTTGATCGTACTTGTATCGTTAACATATTTCTTTGTGATTGATATGTGTGATTGATATGTGATAGACCATCTTTGCGAATTTTTATTTGTGGGTAATTTATTTTGAGGAATTCTTTTTCCCGGTACTTGGACGAGTAAGAACCTTGAGCTGGTCATTCATTCATCCTTTCAAGGTGTAAAGGAAATCAAATTTTCTTCATCACTATATAAATAATAATAATAATATTTACATTTTAGAGAGAGAGAAGGCAGATGCATTGCTAACGTTGGTTGTTTCCTGTGTTTATCATGATTCTGTACAGATAAATAATAAATATATATATATATATACATACAAAAGGGAATAAAAATAATGACAATGATCAAGGACTCTCATAAAAAACATGTTTCTCGAGCCTTGTTTTTTTTTTTTAATTTATTTATTTATTTATTTATTTATTTAATGATTTGTATTTAGATTAAAATAATTGTGAATAACACTACTAATAATAGTAATGCAGAGGTATATTGTTGTTGTTGGATGGTTGATGCAGTTGAAGGATATAAATCTAAAGTTGTAGTTTCGATGGTTGATTGACCGTCCAATGCATCATCTCCTGTCTTTTGAGCAGTCACTCTAATACTGTAAGTAGTCTTGGGTGTCAACTCTGTAAAATCACAATATAGATAGTTGTTGTTGTTGTTGTTGACATGACAAGTATCAACCCAAATAGAGTTTATGAGAATACTTGCAATATAAGAGTCGGCACCATCAACCATAGTCCAATTAGTCATAATCGATTCTGTATCTGGAGTGACAGTGATGACTGGATTACTTAATCTTGGAATATACTCAAATATAGTACTATTACTAACATCATCTGATGATTGTTGTCCTTTAGATGCAATGACTTGGATGGTGTAGTTGGCTGGTGTGGAAGACTCGGTTGTTGTAAAAGTATAGGTTATACTTTCTTTAGTGATTAAAGTCTCACCACTAATAAGTTGGTCATTCAACTTGACCTTGTACATTGTTGGAATGGTTGGGTTACCACCCTTGCAAGAATAACTAATGACTAGACCACCGTTGTTTGGACTGGCGGTGACAGTGATAGTTGGTGGTTGAAGTGGGTATTGGTAAGTGACAGATGTCGATCCTTCAGAGGTCATTGCACCATTGGTTGCAATTACTTGGATTTGGTAAGTTGCCCAAGTCTCTGATTCAACCTTTGTAAATTGGTAGCTTGCCTGTCCACTTGCATCATTGGTGACCAATGATTGGCCATTCACAGTGACTGCATAGACAGTGGTAATGGACTGACTACCTCCAGCTGAATGGTATTGGATAGAGATACCGGTACTACCTACATTGGTCGCATTGACAACTAATGGTTCGAGTGGTGGTATAAAGGTATACGATATAGTTGATTGTGATGACATTTGACCATTTGTAGCTTGGACTGTAATTGCAAAGACTGTTTCACTGTCTGATTGTTCTGCTGTTAAAGTATATACAGCTTGTCCAGTTGTATCATCAGTTACTAATGATTGACCATCTACAGTCACAGCGTAACTAGTTGGTGTATCTTTCTTTCCTCCACTAGTTGTATACTTTATAGTCAATGATTCACTACCTGTTGGAGTGACTTGAATGATTGGATTGGTCAATACTGGAATATAAGTAATTGACTTGGATCCTTGCGACGACATTTGACCATTAGTTGCAACAACACTGATTTGATAGGTTGCATCAGTATTGGATTCAGTGCTTGTAAATGTATAAGTTGCTTGTCCACTCACATCATTGGTGACCAAAGATTGACTATTGACAGTGACTGCATAAGTAGTAGTAATAGACTCACTACCACCATTGGCATGGTATTGAATAGATATACCAGTATTATCGGTTATACTAGCATCGATAGTTGGAGTCAAGAGTGGTGGAATAAATGTAAAGGTAGTGTATGATTGAGTTGACATTGCACCATTGGTAGCTTGGACTGAAATAGCAAAGATTGTTTCACTTTCAGATTGTTGTGCTGTTAAAGTATATACAGCTTGTTCAGTTGTATCATCAGTTACTAATGATTGACCATCTACAGTCACATCGTAACTAGTTGGTGTATCTTTCTTTCCTCCACTAGTTGTATACTTTATAGTCAATGATTCACTACCAGTAGCAGTCACTTGGATAATTGGACTGGTCAATACTGGAATATAAGTAATTGATTTGTATCCTTGCGTTGACATTTGACCATTGGTTGCAACAACTGCAATTTGATAGGTTGCATCAGTATTGGATTCTGAGCTTGTGAATGTATAGGTTGCTTGTCCAGTTGTGTCACCAGTGACTAAAGATTGACCATTGACAGTGACTGCATAAGTAGTAGTAATGGATACACTACCACCATCTGCATGGTATTGAATAGAGATACCGGTACTATCAACAATGGTAGCAGAAACAATTGTTTCTTGAAGTGGTGGAATATAGTTGATAGAGGTGGATGCCTGGGTTGACATTGGACCATTTCTAGCTTCAACTGTGATTTGGTAGGTTGCATCATTGGAAGCTTGTTGTGATGAGAATACATAGGTATAGGAACCAGTAGTATCTGATGTTATAGCCACTACACCGTTGATAGAGACATCGTAGGATGTTGGGAGACGGGTGTCCCCACCAGTGGTAGAGTAGGTGATGACAATACCTTGAGAGGTTGCAGATGCAGAGATGGAGGGGTTGGAGAGTGGTACAATATAAGTGACCGATGTTGAAGCTTGTGCAGTTAGTTGACCATTGTTGGCAACGACTAGGATATTGAGAGTGGTTTGGACTTGTTGTTGGGCTGGTGTCAAGGTGTATTGGATGGATCCTGTAGTGTCTGCAGATACAATAGACTGACCATTGACAGAGACTGCATAAGTGGTGGTAGTTGTCTTGCTTCCACCGGTGGACGAGTATCCGATCGATACAACTACACCATCCAAAGTGGCAGAGACAACTGGGTTGGTCAATGGAGTAGGAGATAATTGTTGCTCGATTTGTTGGACTGCAGAGAAGGAACCACTATTGTATACTTGTAATGTAATGATAGCAGTTGTTTCAGGGACAAGATCGGTAAACGTTAATGTCGAAATACCAGTATAGGTAGTTTCAACACCACCATTCAACGTTACAATATATACAGTATCTGAAGAGGTGATGCCACCAACACTTGCAAATACAATAGTCACCGAGGTATGTGTAAATGTAGTGACCTTGAATTGAGAGATAGTTGGTAACGCGTACGATACAATGGTCGAAGAGGTTGAAGTCGAATCTACATTATTGATTGTATCAACCGTCACAATATTAGATGATCCAGGTACAACAGTAACTGTACATAATTGACTTGGACAAGAGCTAGATGGAACAACTTTACTATTCAATTTGACAGTTGTTACAGTTTCACCTGGAACACCTCCACTCGATGCATAACTAAATGAAATCCAAGTCATATTGGTTGTAACAGGTGTGATGGATGGTGTAGACAATACAGGATAGGTAACAATTGATGGACTGGTAAAAGTTGAAGTGTATTTACCGTCAGTTGCACGAACAGCCAATACATAAGAAGTGGATGGAGTAGTTTTGATTGTACAGGTCGACGATACAGTTACACCTTGACAATTGGCAACTGGTGATCCATTTGCAGACACATAAATCAATACCAACGCTGCATTTCCTCCACTAACAGAATACCCAATAGTAATCGACTTTGATTTGACAATTGATGATGTCAAGGTTGGTGTTTGGATGACTGGATAGTAGACGATTGATGCAGAGTTTTGTGAGGTCATTGCTCCATTACTTGCAACTACTAGTATAGTATAGGTAGCTTGTTGGGTTTGTTGTTGAGAGGATAGCGTGAAACGGGTCAATCCAGTGCTGTCATTGTCAGATACCAACTGTCCATTGACAGACACGTCATAGGTGGTTGTTATGGCAGTGCTACCTCCCTTGGCCGAGTAGGTAATGGTGATACCAGTGGCATCATAGACTGGCGAGAGGGTTGGCATGGCAAGATCGGGAATATAGACAATCGAGGTGGTTTCAGAGCTTGTGAGAGCTCCATTGGTGGCAGTGACTATGATACTCAATGTGGTTTGGGTACTTGTCTGAGCAGGTGTCAGTGTGTAGGTGGCAGTACCAGTAGTGTCACCAGTGACGACAGATGTACCTGCGACAGTGACAGCATAGGTGGTTGTAGTTCCAATATATCCACCCGTAGTACTATATGTGATGGTTAGTTGGTTGTTGGCTCTATTGATGGATGCTCCAACGATTGGAGTTGATAATGGGGTTGGATTTAGCTTTTGAACCATTGATTTGGTCGTAGAGGATGACCCACTATTCCAAACATACAGTCCAATGACTGCAGTTGACTCTGGAACAAGCCCAGTGAATGTGTAGGTGGTGTAGGTGGATGTGGTGGATGCAGGGATGACAACTGCTGGAGTACCAATCAGTGTAATCACATAGAGGTATGTTTCGGTTGGCACACCACCCGTGTATGAGAGTCGGAGGGTGATAGAGTTGCTCGTGACACTAGTGATGACTGGGTCGACCGATGGAACAGGGTATGATTGCAAGACGATGGATTGGACGGGTGGAGCATCCAAATTGTTGGTTGCAGCGACTGTTATGGCATTGCTCGATGCTGGAGCAACCGATACTGTGCAGCTGGCTGGCAAACACGTCGATCCTTGTGTAACTGTATTTCCATTCAACTTGACCAAATAGACAGTCTCGCCGGGCACACCACCAGCCGAGTTGAATGAAAAAGAGACAGTTGTAATGTTTAACACGCCTGGTGTAAGAACTGGTGGTTGCAAGTTGGCATAAGTAGTGAATGGAGTGACACTAGATACCACGACAATCCCACTATTCGATGAGGTTACTTTAATTTGATACAAAGTATTTGGTTGAGTTACAATATTACATGAACGTGACGAGTAGGGTAGATTGATACATCCAGTATAGTCTACACCGTTGACGTTGTAGGTAGAGACAGTCAAAGCAGGGTTACCACCATTGACAGTAAAAGTTGCGAGAATTGATGTAACCTTGACGGTAGCAGTGACCAATGGCGTAGTGATAGCATCCCATAGGTAAACAGACTGTTGGTTATTAGTTGTTTCCTGACCATTGACAGCCACAACCTTGACTATATAGGTTTCCAATGTTGTCAATCCAGATACTGTACATTGTTTTCCAGCAATGTTTGTACATGTAGTCACAGCAGTTCCATTCAAATAGACAGAGTAGGTAGTTGACAACAAACCTCCAAATGTATCATATGACACTACTATACCGGTTGGACTTGGTGACAATGTAACGACAGGTACTGAAAGCGCACCAATAGTGACTGTTTTCTGTGGACTAACCTCTGCTGTATTAGTTACCGACACACCCACCTTTAATCCAAATCCAAGTGACGCTGTAATTTTACAAGTAGTCTCAACGATATTATTACAATTAGATACGATCACTCCATTATAATATACTTGGTAGGTACTTGTTGCAGTTGTAAATCCACCCGATGAAGAATAATCAACTACAACCCATTGTAAATTTGGATCAAGTGATGAAATCACAAGTGTCTCGATAACTGGTACTAAATGAATGAATTAAAAACAAAAAGGGAGTGTATGTTAGCTATGAGTGACATTCAAAGTTGTTTGTTTGTTTTGTTTGTATTTGTTTTATGTGACATACGAGGAATTAAATTAATAGTTGCACTTTGATTGGTTGGAGAGGGGGTGACTGTGAGACCGGCCATATTGAATACAACATAGGTTGGAGTATTTGGTTTGGCATTGGACACAATTCCACTGGCCCATTTTCCGGTACCGACGACTGAATCAGCAATCGATGAGAATGTCAGGGCATCGGCAACCCACATATAACGACGTCGTGGAAACTGGTATCCTGTGATTGTTACACCGTCGGCTGGCAATTGATATCTACGGTATCCCTGGACAATAGGTGTTTGGATGATGATTTGTGTATTGGTTGGAAGACATGCAAATGTAAACCAAGATGGTGTCGATGGCACTGGCAAAGAACAAGTGGCTGCAATAGTCTGTGTATCTGTACTACAACCAGTACTGGTTGTTGCTACATTGGACATAATAACACTCTTTCCATCATCACTCTTTCTAAAACTTGCATAAACATTACTCTTTGGTTCAACCAATCTACACTTTCCATCATTTAAAATTGCATGTGTAATTGGTGTTGGTTCTGTACAACTAAAATGAAATTAATTAAATCAATTAAATAAGAGTCAATAAATAAATAGATTTGATTTGATTTTTGATTTGAATTGATTTAAATTTACCTTCTAACACGTTCAAAATAAAGAGCATTGTCAGATGGAACAGCTGGAACAGTTGCATATTCATAAAGAGTATCTGTAGCCGTATCACAATTGGGTTGTGAGTTTGAAACGAGTACTGTCGTAGTGCCAGTACCTGCACAAGTCAAACTGGCAGCATACGTGTATTTGGTGGAATAAAGTTGGCCTCCAACAACCTCTGTCAGCACTTTAAAAGAGTCTACTCCATTCAACGATGCAAAACATTGATTTGAAGGAAACGATATGACTGATTTTGGAAGTGATGGTTTAAAAACACATGGTGTCTTCATATTCAACCAATATGAATCAAATTGTCCATTTACTTGTTGTTGTTCATTTAATGTTAATAGTAACAATAAAGTTGTTACTATTAATGTACTGTGTTTACCAAACATCATAATAATTTTTGTATTTTTTTGACTCTCTAACTCTCCTCTCTCTTTTTTTTTTAATTTATATAAATAGATATGTGATCAGACAAGATAAGATATGATAGATAAAGATAGAGATATGATGATAGAGATAATTTATAAATAAATAAAATGTATTGTTGGTGATGATGATGATGATGACCTAAAAGAAGACGAGTGAGTGCAACCAACCGACCTAACCAAATTAAATAGGCTATGGGTAGGTTAGGTTGGTGGCCAAACCTTTAGTCAAGGTCAGACTGAGCAGGCTGGTCTGTCTCTCTTGTTTGTTGACCACCCACAACGAAACGGTTGGTGTATCATATGATGTGTTGAGGAGGATGACGACGACGCTGCTTTCGACATTCTCAAAGCTCGTCGATCGATCGGCTTTTTTAACGACATCGAGATTACTCAACGACATTTCCCCGGGAATCCTTGGAGTCGACTGATACCATCGATAGGTGGTCTGAGCTAGTTCCAGGGACTACTTGTAGGGAGGTGATTCGTGTCAAGTATTATAATACTTAAGTATATCTTGATTGTTGTTGTTATTGTTGTTCTACATATGCACTTTATTTTAAGTGTTGTGATAATTTTATTAATATTGAGTGCTGTGCATGAGACTATGAAAGTCTATCATTCAATGGATCTATTTATATCTATACTATACATTACGTCCAGATACAACAACAACAACATCTGTCCTTTATGAGGGGATTAAAAGTAAAGTATTTTAAAGACATACTACAAACCACATTACGAGGCCAGGCAGTAATACTCAGTGGCCTGATAAAAAAAACGAAAAGTTTGTTTCAGGCACAAGAAGCCATTATCATCTTTAAATATATTTTAGTCTTGTTTGAGCTAACTGTAGTATACATTATAACTTTTCAAGAAGATCTATATATTTTTATTTATTATCTAACACTATATTAGAGAGAGAATACATGGGAATGGAAAACAAGCTTTGTATTGAGAATGCTACCCATCCATTGTTTGACTCTTGGCCCTACAGAGCTGTACCGAAGAAGTTGTCACATAACCCGAAACTCGCCTGGAATATAAACAAGGTACAAGGCACGAATGGTACAGCAGTTCGCAAGTTCCTCCTAGGTCTCAAGAAACCAGTACCTAACGAATGGTCCTCCAGAAACCTCATCACACACAACGATCTAAAGAAACCAAAGAAGTTATGTGAACAGTGTAGTACAACTAATCACAACACAGTAGACTGTCAATTCCGTAATGCACCACCATCACGTTCAAATGGGACAGCAAATGATACATACACCAATCAGAACAAACAACAAAACCACCATGGTCGCGAGGGTCGTCAATCCAACTTGTCGATTGTATCTGATATTGTGATCAGAGATTGACCAATAGAGATCATGATATCCGATACAATCGACAAGTTGTCAGGTCACTTTCACTTACAAAATGAACAAAGCTGACTGGTATTATAAGTTCTATGTATACATATATATAATATTTATTTATTTATACACTTATTATTATTTATTAACAATATTTTGATCTAAAAATAGTAGGTTAATTCATTTTGGATAGTTGGATAAAGTTGTTTCTTTTTTTGTTGTTTTCTTTCTTTTTAAATATGATCATCGACGTGATGATAATAGCAGCAGCAACTATACAAGATACAACAATAGCAATGACAAGTAGGTTGTTGTTACTCGATTCTATATGCGCGATATCACATTGGTCTCCTTTTCCAAATATTTCACGGTCAATTTGAAGAGGTGTGAAATTAGGATCAATCAAACATAGTTGACATTGTGGAAGATGAATACCAATCAATACAATCGATTGTTGATCATTGATTCTAGTTGTGTTGATTAATTCTATTTTGGAGTACGTTGATTTGTTGTTGTCTGATATTACAAATGGTAGGAATTGTCCAAAGAATTGAATATCATCGTTGGTGATGATTCGAATAAATTCAATTGAATCACTATCTTGGAATGATTGGAATGTTTCCACTTGATTGATTGATCCATCACATCCAATAATAGTTTGATTATTATTAATTGTGGTTGAGAATAATACAACGAGATGTGGTGATTCTGATACTGTTGAATAGGGCCAATCTTTAATTGATACTGTTGATTTAATACTATTATTACCAATATAAATACTTTCATCTCCAAATTGAATGGTTCTATTACCGTTATTTGATATTTCAATGGTTGATTTAATATCAGTGTTTGAAAATATATTCTGTACATTATTATTTGTCGATAATTGATATTCTAATGATTTAAATTGTTGATCTGTTGTTGATGTTGTTGTTGATGTGGTATCAGTATAATTATTCCAATTATTAGTTGTATGTAATTCTTTAATTGTTTGATTATTAATATCCAATTCTTGAATTGCAATCATTGAGAATTCGAATCTATAATCATCACCAATTCCAAATGATATCGTTGGATTGTTCAAGTGTATGATTGATTTCAAATCTTGATCGATTGATATTTTAAATTTACAATCATCATACCATTCCAAAGGAACGCATTGACACTTTCCATCAACACATTTACCATGACCACTACAATTATTTGTTCTAACCATACACTCTTCATCATCGGTTGGTATTGGATATGGTATGAATAATAATGTATTGGATGAATAATCTCCATTTGGTATGTTGATTGTGATACTTGTTTCACCAGGTTGCGGTGTTTCATCAAAGTTACATTCAATCATTGTTTCATTGGATTGTACAATACTACAAAAGTTGGGATTACTGGCATCGTTGATATAGATTGATCCTTGATGCGAATTAATTCCAAAATGACCATTTAAAATCATTGATGTTGGTGGAGATGTTGGTGTTGGTTGGGATATTGACTCTGCCAATAATCTAATAAATTTGGTTGATATTAATTGAATCGATGATACAATTGCTTTTGAAAATAAAATAAATCATATGATTAGTATTATTATTAAGTTGATAAATAATACAATGTAACTTATATAACATACTTGGATAAGGAATAATAGTAGTAGTTGTATAAACTCCATTGGGTACATTGATTCTAAGGGTATTTCTCCCAGGTGTTGGTTGACTATCAAATTGACATTGAATAGAAACATTACTTGATTGTTTAATCGAACAGGTGTATGAACCAATCAATGAGGTCATCAATATAGAACCTTTGTCAGAGTTGACTCCAAAATAACCATTTAAATTCATATACTTTGGTGGATAGGTAATCGGTTCAAATGTTGTTGATATTATATTGGCTTAAGAATAATAAATATAATTAATTGATTGATAATAATACAAATATTATTTAACAGATACATACTCCTAGGAAAAGGAATAGATAATAATGATGAAGTAAAGTTTCCATTTGGAAGTTGAACATAAAGTGTTGATGGACCTGATAATGGTGTTTTATCAAATTTACATTTGATCATAGTTTGACTTGATTCGATAATCGTACAGCCATACGGATCGGTAGGTGTGTTTATAAATATTGATCCTTGACTTGCATTCACTCCAAAATATCCATTTAAATTTAAATACAAAGGTGGATAGGTTGATGGCTCCAATGATAAAGATTTAACACTCGCTATAAATAATAAAGGTAATAAAATAGATTCATATTAAATTAATTATTTAATGATTATTAATTGCTATATCATCTATACTAAATATTTCAACATACTTGGATAAGGAATAGTTAATAAAGTACTCGAATTAAATTCTCCATTTGGTATGTTGATTGAAATGAATGTTGGACCAGGTAAAGGTATTCTGACAAATGAACATTTAATATTGGTTGGTGTTGAAGCAATAATATTACAATAATAACGATCTGTTTGATTATTGATGTATATCACTCCACTTCCAACATCCAATCCAAATATACCAATTAAATTTAAATATAAAGGTGGATAAGTTGGTGGTTCAAAACTATATGATCTTACATTTGCTATAAATGAATGAAATAAAGAATTAATAAAATAAAATCTAATTATGAATATTTTAGTTTTACATACTTGGAGGATAAGGAATAGATAATAATGAATCAGATGAATAATCACCATTTGGTAATTTTAGATTTAAATTAATCGATCCAAATGGAAGAGTATCTGAATCTGTAATATTACATCTTATAAATGTTTGATTTGATTGAATTATAATACATGCATATTGATTGGTGTTGTTGTTTGGATTGGTCAATATAATCTCTCCATTATTTGAATACAATCCAAAATAACCATTGAAATTTAAGTATTGAGGTGGATATGTTGTAGGTTCACTTATAATCTGAATCAATGTTGTTGCTAAAAAATAAATAAAGATTAATTAAATATTATTTATATTGATCAAGATGTAGTTGAATAGTTTAATTACCTTTTTTATAGATATATGGAATGATTGTTTGATTATGAGCTTCATTATAAACATTTATATTTGATAATTGGTTGGTAGGATATTGATCGATAGTACATATTATATAACCTGATTCATTCTTTTGAATGTGACATGGATACCCTCCAAATTCAATTTTAGGTTGGTATTGTTCAAAGTTGGGGAGTAGTGTATAACCGGTTGTCACTGATATCTTGTTGTATCGAGCGTCTAATGGTTCAATGGCTGATGATCCCATTGTAAATGTTGCATCATAGATTGTAAAATTAAATGAAATATTTTCGTTCAATGAGATCGTTTTATTGACCACTGATCCAATCCCGATGTTTTGATCTATAGATCCTCTAAAATTGAAAATGAATTATTATGGTTAGAAATGAATATATATATTATAAAAAAATCGAGATAGTAGGATGATAAGCTTACTGTAATTTCTTGTTTGGATAAACTATGAAAAGGCCTGCACTGTCACCCCATCCAATATTATCACCAGTGACCCAATATTGGTTATTAAATGCTGCCAATATGAATGAATCAATTTTGAAATTGTCTAAATAGTAAAAAGATTTAGATTATTAACAAATTTGTTTGACAAGGATGATGATATATATTTAATTATATTTATACATACCAGTACATGGATAATTAGGAAATCTAGGACCATTGTACCGCCCACCTGTGCCAGCAGAGTAACATGGCCAACACGCAGGAACCATTGATACATTGGTGTCTCGTAAAATCAAAGAATTAATATAACAAAATTTTTGGTTACTCAAGTCTCCAGTCAAATCAGTATTTCCAGATAGATCAAGATCCAATTTATAAGGATCATTATCAAGTAGATTAGGTAAAATACGTGTCATATTTCCATATCTTGCATCACTAATAATAATAGAATATATTAATTAGTTGTTGAAAAACATATATTTAATAAATAATAAAATAATTTAATAATTACATTTTTGTCAATGTTGATGGTAATGGATCATCGATATTGGTAGTTATAAACAAGGTACGACCATATAATATAAGTTTATCCAATGTAGTATAATGTGATATATTATTTGGTGATATAAATTCTAAAGATGGTATATCTCTGGGAAAATGTTAAATAATAAGATGTCAGTATGCAGTCAGGTGTATTATTACTCAAACATACAATAATTTAATATTCTGTGGATATTTAAATATAGCTTGAAAAGGAATATAATAATGCATATGTACTCCAAACCCTTTCAAACTATTAGATTCAACTTGAACTATTGTTTTGTTTTGACCTGATAAATAAATATTTCTTTTTTTTTTTGTGTTAGATATGAAAACAAATGGTATGAGTGTATATATAACATATTACATACAATTGGTCTAGTCTAGGATATGATATTTGGTCAATCAAAAGTATACCATCATCTTTAATAGCGTTGACGTTGATTGTAAAAGTAGTAAGTGATTTGGTATTCAAAAAGTAAAATGGAAGTGTGATATTAACACCAATATTGGCTTGATAAAGTAGAGGTGGAAACGTCATTGAATTTCCAGTACCCACACTACTAACATTTGGTGAAAATATATCCCTAAATAAATAATAATAATAATTAATATATATATATTTATCTTATCGTTTCCTTTGATGCTCATCAATTATTAGTTTGGACATAACAATTACAATTGTTCTAAAATAGGAAAGCCGTTGAATAAATGGTCGGGTATGCTTGTGACTCTAGAATCTCTCACATGAAAGCTGTACATCCTGGGGTATGACCCATTGACAAACATATCCAATACGTTGATATGTTGATGTTCTGTAGTTGGTGTTGTCGCCAAGTCGACATATAATACTTTGGGGAATACCAATGTCTTCAAATCTGGTAGTTCTGCTTGTCTTTGGGTGTAAAACATATCAAATGTTCTATTGTTGAGAGGAGAGGATTATGATGATTGGTGAGTCATTTATTCATTCACTCATTCTATTGAGTGTAATAATAATATTATTATTATGTAATATATATATCTCTACATACATTGAAGTGATACGATTAGTAGTTTCATCACAGTAAAAATCACCATTGCGGCAACTCGGTGTCCCATACCTTCCATAGTAATTGTGAAGCCATAATGCCGAGTCAGCTAAAGTAAAGTAATAATACAAGATAGAGATAAAGAAACAAGTAAGATTAATAACAATGAATGATCTATATATCTATCTATCTATCTATCTATCATATTAATATTAAAACCTACCTTCGTCTGCAACGAAATCATCAGGTGACTGAGCAGTAACGAAATAAGATCTTGCTGCTGCTGATGATGATGATTGTTGATCATTACTTGTAATGATGATCACTATCAACGTGATCAAAACAACAATGATATGTGACCGTAGTGATGATGATAATCTACATTTCACTCTGCTGATTTGCTGCTGCATACTTTAAACTACAAGAATTCTTAACACACAAACTTTTATTCCTCTTTCATAAACGAGTACTCACGAAACCCCCGCTTTCATCAAAAAATTAATTAATTAGTAAGTCGGCAACCTACCTCAAAGAGGAGCAGTCTCCAACCATTCATTCATTGGCAATATATATATATATATATATATATATATAAATATAGGTTTCTCACAGCTCTATGAAATAACAAAGGTTTCGACTGCTGTTATTATTTATACATGTACATAATAATATTTAATTTAAATGATTTATTTAATTTTCATTAGATGTACTCTGTGATGTGATGTGGCTTTTTTGGATTGTCGGTATTTGATAAATACGAAGAGAGCAACTGCAATGCTTGGAATAATGGTGCATACCAATATCACTGCTATCTTCCAACTAGCAAATCTATTGTCTGTTGGTGGTGGTGGTGGACACTCTCCAAATATTTCACGGTCAATTTGGAGTGGTGTGAATTGAGGATCAATCAAACATAGTTGACATTGTGGAAGATGAATACCAATCAATACAATCGATTGTTGATCATTGATTCTAGTTGTGTTGATTAATTCTATTTTGGAGTACGTTGATTTGTTGTTGTCTGATATTACAAATGGTAGGAATTGTCCAAAGAATTGAATATCATCGTTGGTGATGATTCGAATAAATTCAATTGAATCACTATCTTGGAATGATTGGAATGTTTCCACTTGATTGATTGATCCATCACATCCAATAATAGTTTGATTATTATTAATTGTGGTTGAGAATAATACAACGAGATGTGGTGATTCTGATACTGTTGAATAGGGCCAATCTTTAATTGATACTGTTGATTTAATACTATTATTACCAATATAAATACTTTCATCTCCAAATTGAATGGTTCTATTACCGTTATTTGATATTTCAATGGTTGATTTAATATTTGTATTTTCAAAAATAATATTATTAATATTTGTAGACAGTGATAATTGATATTCCAATGATTTATATTGTTGATTGGTTGTTGTTGATGTGGTATCAGTATAATTATTCCAATTATTAGTTGTATGTAATTCTTTGATTGTTTGATTATTAATATCTAATTCTTGAATTGCAATCATTGAGAATTCGAATCTATAATCATCACCAATTCCAAATGATATCGTTGGATTGTTCAAGTTAACGATTGATTTCAAATCTTGATTGGATGATATTTTAAATTTACAATCATCATACCAATCCAAAGCAACGCATTGACACTTTCCATCAACACATTTACCATGACCACTACAATTATTTGTTCTAACCATACATTCCTCATCATCACTTGGTAATGATGGATACGGTATGAATAATATTGTATTGGATGAATAATCTCCATTTGGTGTTACAAGTGTCAATGGAGTGATAGAACCTGATGATGGTTGTTTTGTGAAATGACATTCGATCGTTGTCTCATTTGAAGTTGTTACACTACAAAATGAATCGGTATTATTAAATCGAATGGTTGATAAACTAACATTTAAACCAAAATGACCATTTAAAATCATTTGTTGGTCAATTTGTCTTGTTGAATCAATTAATTTTACAGATGTAATTAAAACATCTAAATAATTAAATTAAATTAATTAATATTAATTCAAACTAGTTAATTCTTTGATATGTTAACACATACCTGATTGAATATATGGTATAATTAATTGAGATGAATAATTTCCATTTGGAACAACTACAGTATAATCAAGTGGTCCTGAATATGGTTGGTTTTCAAATTGACATATAATACTAGTTTCATTTATATCTGTGACTGTGCATTGAATAATATTATGTTGGTCGCCACCAACATCATCTGCAAGCAATACTTGTCCTACATTTGTATCAGGTCCAAAATACCCATTTAATTCAAGATGTGTTGGTGGGTAGGTTGATGGTCTTAAAGTATATGATTCAACATTTGCTATAATAATTAAATACACAAAGTTAATATATATATTATAAATAATAATATGTGTGTTTAATTTACATACTTGAAGGATAAGGAATAAATAATAATGGAGAATTATATGAACCATGAGGTACAGTAACAACCAATGTTGATGGACCTGGGAATGGTTGATGGGTGAAACTACATTGAATATAATCACTACTAAATAGTTTGACCAAGCATTCAACATCGTCGTGACCAGGTGACTGAATAGAAACATTTGCCTTTGGTTCTAAAATAGTCCCAAAATACCCAAATAAATTTAAAAGGGTTGGTGGATATATAGGTGGTTCAAGTTGATATTGAGTAACAATAACTAGATAGAGATAAATATTTTTGTTAATATTATATTATTATGATTATTTTAATTGATAGTCATACTTTGAATTGGAGCAGGAATAACAATTAAACTAATATTATTGTATGATCCATAGGATGGTATTACAATATCAAATCCAGTGATACCAGGTGGTGGTTCTAGTTGTTGTAATTTACACTGAATAAATGTTTGGTTTGATTGAATAATCTCACAACCATACGTCTGTAATGTCTCATCTTGAGGTGTCAATGTAATGACGGCAAGATTTGTATTGATTCCAAAATACCCAATTAAATTTAAATAGGTTGGTGGGTAACTTGGTGGATCCAATGTATATGATACAACATTTACAGCTAAAAATAACAAATTAATAAATTAATAAATAAAATTATTCATTTATCTTTTTTTTTTTTAAATGTTTTACATACATTTCAAAACAACATCAGGATTTGTAATAGTTTGATTGAATTGATTTTCAATTTTAACCAATGGTTTTGTATTATTTGGATAAGTTATTGGGGTACAAACAATTGATTTGGTAAACTCTTGGTATCTTTGGAATTGACATGGGTATCCTCCATAAGAGATCGATGGTTGATGTTGAACAATTGGATTAACAAAATCGAAAACAACAGTCACCGAAGTTGCATTAAAAGTTGAATCCAATGGATCAACAATCACATTATTAACTTGAAATGATACCTCTGAAATGGTAAATTCAAATGTATATCCTTGAATTGGATCTTTAACCAATGAATAATTATTTACTTGATTTCTACCTAAACTTAAATCAATTTTACCCCTACAAACAAAAAAGAAAGAGATTAGAATAAATAATTATAATTATTATTTATAATATTATTATTTAGGATTGACTTACATTAACTTTTTGTTTGGATAGATTTGAGTAAAGTTTGTGTTATCACCCCACCCGATATTATCACCAGTTATATTAAACCAACCTTGATATGAAGTTAGATTAAAACTATCAATTTGGATATTACAAAGTGGTGATGCGGGTCGTTGCACAATTGTGCTGAGTCTTGATGAATTATAACACCACCAACATGACGGAATCGAGTTGATTGGTGCATAGGGTGCTCTCAAACCTTGAATATAACAAAATGCTTGCGATAAATCACCAGTAATTCCATGGTTGCCATTAAAATCCAATACCAAATTATTTGGATCATTGTCCAGCAAGTTGGAAGGTATCTTTCCACCTTCCCACTCTGATTGAGATTTAAATGATTTCAATGATGCTGGAAATGGTGTATTAATAGGTGGAAATAATTGACCTTCTAATGTCCTAAAAATTAAAATAATATTAAATAAATAAATTACAACAATAAATATTAAGAGTATTATTATTATTTTCAAAATATATATATATATATATACATATACATACAATGATTGTAAATTTGAATACAAAGACATATTTTGTGGTGATAATCGTGATGCTCCTCCATGATGATCTCTAAAAATAGAATAGAATAAATATATTAATATATTAACGTTAATACATATTATTATTATTATTTATGTGAGAGTACTTACAAAATGATCAATGATTCTGGATGAATAAATTGAGGATTAATAGTAGCATATCCAATAGAGTATTCACGATATCCAATGAATTGGGTGACTGAAGATGTTTCGACGGTGATAGTGAGTTGATGACCAATATCATTGGCATAAGTGATATAAATAAGGTCAAGATTTGGGAACCCGTGTTGACTGAAACTTATATCCATGGAATCGTTAAGAGAAAATAACAAGTTGAAATTAATCAAGTTGGGAAGATAAATAGTTGGATCAATTGTAAAAGGTGAAGTGGTCTTGGAGATTGTGATATCCTGTACAGTTGTTATATTTATAAATGTTTCGACTGATAATATATTGGTAGAATATATACCCCTAAAATAAAAAGAATAGATTTGGGATAAGTACAAAAAGATATTGGATAATAATAATAATAATAATATTATATAATTTGAGGATACAAACAATTTTGTTAAACTTGGGAAATTTCCATTTGAGAAAGAGTCTGGTATATTATGAAGACGATCATCTGTAATGATTAGAGATTCTAGGGATGGAAGATCAGTGAAATAAGATAATAAATCAATCTCTGCAAATTCGGGTGGCATCAAGTCAAAATATAGTATTTGTATATCCATCTCTGTAACATAGGGAAATGTCAACTTTGTTATATTTGGTAATTCTCCAACATATTCAAAATCAACTACTGTCATAAATGGACTAAAGTAATAAATAAATAAATAATAATAATTATTAGAATTTCAAAATTGAATGAAATGGTCTGTCTGTCTGTCTTATTTAATAGAACAACACACTTACAATTTGATAATATGAAAGACATCTGGATCATTATCATCCAAAATACAATCGATTTGGTATGTGTCATCTGTACATATACGAATCGACGATTCGGTTGAGATATACGATCCAAAGTATTTAATTAACCATTCAGCCGATTTAACTAGTTCAAATTAATAAATAAATAAATATGTTATTAATATTACCTTAATACTTAATACTTACACTCATCTTCTGGTAAATCAGGAGTAGCTATAATACCACAAGTTGATACAAACAACAACAACAACGAAACTAATACTAATATTACTGATGTTGATGATGATGTACTACTCCTACTACTCCTACGAGTACTTGATCGATCATGTAACACCATTATCACTACGTCTCTCTCTCTTATTATCTATCTATCTATCTATCTATATTCACACAACTTTTGATGAAAGAGAACTGTGAACCACGACATAGAGTTAGTTTTGAGAGATATTTTTAAACGCGATAAACATCCCTTTCTTTTTTTGTCCAAGGTCCTGCCCGTCCTCTTCTCAAGAGTTGTCGGTGCATGAATGCATGCATGCATTCATTGTATACGATTAATATTTAATAGATCTAACTTCTAAAAGAAAGACAAAGAAAAAGACAACAGTTAAGTTCATGAAGTACTTTGTACATGTTGCTGTCCCAAGTAAAGATCTGCAACTCCTTTGCCCGAAATTTCAAACCACACACCACACACCCCCATAAAGTTCAACCCTTTCAAGATGATGAGCCTTTTCCTCTCCTCCTTTCAAAGCAGATGAACAACACTCTATATAGAGCAAAGCAAAGAAGAAGAAAAGAGATAATAGATAAATAAGAATAAGAGATGATGATGAAATCAATCATCTTTGTATCATTATTGATCATCATCTGTGTTTGTAATAGTAGTAGCCATAGTAGTAGTAGTACAAGATCTGATAGTGATAGTAGTAATAGTAATGATGATCACATCAATGTATTCTTGATTGCACATTCTCATTGTGGTATGTATAATAATAACAACTTAAAAGTTATTTATTGTATTTATTTGTTTTATTTAGATGTAGGATGGCTTGAAACTTATAATCAGTATTATACAGAAAATGTAACACATATCTTGACCAATGTCATGCCTTATTTGATTAAAGATCCATCAAAGAGATTTGTATGGGCTGAAATGTATGTTGTTGGATTGAAGAGTTGTCTCTTTGATAATGAATTAAAATATTGTTTTCCTTTCTTTCTTTCATTTTTTGTATAGAGTATACTTTGAAAGATGGTGGAATGAACAGACAGCATTGATGCAATCAGCTGTTAGAGGATTGGTGGATGGTGGACAAATTGAATTTGTTGGAGGAGGATTCGCACAAAATGATGAGGCGTTGACTCATTATGAAGCGATATTGAACCAGAATACGCTGGGTCATCAATTCTTGTTGTCTACGTTTGGTGTGAAACCACAGGTTGGTTGGCAGATTGACCCGTTTGGTCCGAGTACCATGACGGCTCAGTTGTTCAAGTTGATGGGGTTCAAGGGACACATTATCAATCGGTTGGATATGCGTATCAAGAACATCTACAATAACAGCACTGGTATCGTGACGATTGAAGGGTCGGGTGAGATGATCACCAATCGGTCATTTGAGTTTACTTGGTACCCCTCACCCAACTATGATACGTATCAAGACGACTTTTCCATCTTTACGCATGTCCTAGACAACCACTACAGTCCGCCGTCGTGGTGCTACCCCAATGCAACCGACCCGTCCACTAATATCTGCACCGGCTATGACTTTGAGTATGGCGGTGACATGAACCCGGCCATCAACGAGTCTAATATTGCCGAGCGTGCCGACACGCTCATGCTGATCATTCGCACGCGTGCCAGCTACTACCGTCACAACAATCTGCTCTTGCCATTTGGAAATGACTTTAGGTACCAGGATCCAGGCCAGATGTTTGATAATATGGACTTATTAATCGAGTATATCAACGCCAACGCGTCGTATGGCGCCACACTCCAGTACGCTACAGTGTCTGAGTACTTTGCAGCGGTCGACCAGTCCGTGCCGGATCCCCAAGAAGTATTCCCCGTGCTCCAAGGCGGACACGACTACTACACCTACACCATGTGTCTTACTCCAGACTACCAAAACTTCAACACGTGTGTAAACTATTGGGCTGGATACTACACGAGCTATCCATTGTTGAAACAGACGATTCGTCAATCCGACTACTTGCTGCGATCGGCCGAAGTACTATTCTCGATTGGTACAGCCGTCTATAATGCCGATCACAACATTATCGACGAACAAAAGTGTTATGATATTATCAATATGCATCGTAACATTAGTAGTATCTTGACACATCATGATGCGTTGCCTGGTACTGCTCGTACTGTTGTTCGTGAAGACTATATGAATATGCTTGAACAAGCTCAAAATGATACCTACTCTATACTACCTCAAATAGTCGGTCAGATCATGGCCAACACAAGTGTCGAGTTGGGATACATGGATATGTCATCTGGTGCTCTTGCCTCGCTGGCAGACGGTCAACTCTTGGTTGTCACAGTCACCAATAATTTGGCATGGAATCGTGTAGAATACTTGGCATTGGAATCTGGTACCATTCAAAACTATGCTGTATTTGATTACAACCTCAATCCAGTCGTATCACAAGTCATACAAAGTGTCGGTGGACCAACCAATTGGACACTCTACTTTGAAGTAAATGTTCCAGCTATTGGTGCATCATCTTATTTCATTGTTGGTGTAGATTCAAATGTACTAACTACCAAAGATAGAAAAAGAATTGGTCAAGTCGTTGGACTACAAGACCCGGATAATATAATACTATCACATAGATCATATCCAATCAATGGTAAAGAGAAACAATTGTCATCATTGATTGTTGGAAACAATGTATACAACTTGCAATTCCAAGTGAATAATGGGAATGGAGGATTGTTGGAATTGGTAGGATACGAGGATTTGGTCGAGGGTGGTGTAACCATACCACTACATCAACATTTGGTAGAGTATGATGCAATGACGGACGACTGTTACAAGTTTAGACCGACCGGGCCATCATACCCTCTTGTCGCAACGTCTCCCCAGTTTTACCTCACCGAAGGACCGTTGGTGCAGCAGGTGACTGTTTTCTATAGCAATAATGCCAGTCAGGTGTTTACAGTATTTAATCAGACGAGTCAAGCATCAGGAACGGGTGCACAAGAATCTGATTATATTCTCATTGAAAACAAGGTTGCTGTCGGATGGGACCGAGAGATTGTGATGCGATTCGATACAACTGCCATTGACAATAACCAAACATTCTATTCCAACAATGGATTGGAAGCAATGAAACGAGAGTACTCTGTCAAGTTTAACGACACACATCCTTGGAGTATGGTTTCTGGTAACTACTTCCCCGTCATTAATATGGCCATGATACAAGACTTGCTCAACGAACTAGTCATCCTCAATCGCCAGAGTATGGGTGGTAGCAGTCAATCACCAGGTTCACTCGAAGTCATGCTCATTCGTCGTAGTAATTACACACAACCTAGTATCGGACAAAAGATGAATGACACTAGCACCGTGACAATTGCCCATCGAATCTTGTTTGGTCGTAAAACAACCCGTGATATCATCCGTACTCCTCATTCAATCGTACACGAGAATCCAGTGTTACCACTCGTTGCATTGGTAGAGACGGGTCAGTCCATGTACAATTACTCGCACTCTCATCGTGTCTATTACGAGCCACTGTCTACAGGACAGCAATTCCCTGCCAATCTGCATCTTCTAACACTTGCACGAGAGTGGCTCAACAGTCCAGCGGTCCTCCTCCGTCTCGTCAACATTTACGAGGTTGGACAAAGCAGCGAATACTCTCAGCCATCTTCAGTGGCCGTATCCTCGCTCTTTGGCCAGTCGTTCAATATCTCCAACGTCGACCAAACCACTGCGTCGGGCAACTCAATCATCGCTCCTCAAATCGACCTTCCCCTCGTCGTCACTCTTAATCCAATTGAAATTAAAACATTCATGTTGGATTTCCAGAGTATTGTAAATAATAATAGTAATAGTAATATCGACGATATCCAACAACAACAACAAAAAGTAGACCAAATTCAAATTGATAAAGACATTTATTTGTTTAAAATTAATTAAATAAAATAACAAAAAAAATCGCCATTGTATTTTCGCTCACCCTTGATCATTATCCATTCTTGTACTTTGTTAAGTTGCGTTATTGTTATTTATTTATTTTTTAAGTTAATACATTCTTATAAAGAACAGCAAAGGTATTAAAGATAATATAGAGCTATAAAGTGATAAGGGCAACAGGTATAACCCAACCTCCGAATAAAAGACAAACGACTGGAAGAGAGGTTAAATGAGAAAAAGAAGCAAATTGCTTTCATAATGAATCAGATCATACACTGCCCGCACCACAAACAGATTTGAACCAAACAATAACTTTTCAATACATTAATTATATCTCGGAATAGAGATCTTGAACATGGATCTTGAACCCACAACCATACTTTAAATTCAATGTTATGGTTCAAGATCCATGTTCAAGATCCATCCAAAGCTGACATTCAAGATCATGATGAAAAGGTACGTATTAAACACAATGTTATTATTAATTTTGTTGATATTTTTTTAAAAAGATGTTATACAAATTGGTGTGTAACTATTCACCATTGCTCTCTTCAGCATGAGAAAGGCACTTTGAGGATCGATCATACTATCCATTTCAAATAATTACCTTGTGAAAAATGGTAAGGCCGTTTCACCAAAATAATCAGATTGACCACGTATGCAATCCGAAGGGGTTTCTCTGGATTTTAGTATCTTCACCGACTAGTACTCAAAGCTTCAACATGTTGTATTCCATTGTTTTCATAATCATTTCACATTCTTACAAATTATATTTATTATTACTATTCTATACAATGAGAATAAAAAATACATCAGTTCAGCTAGCTATTATATTCATAATATTTTTTGGGAATATTATTTATACCATAAATGGCCAAGGTACGTACCAATGGTATCTCTGTTTATTTAATTCCTTTTTGAAACATAACCTTTTTTTTTTTTTTAGTATGTGGATCATTAACAGGTGGTACAGCATGCCCAGTTAATAAAATCTGTTATGCAGGAGTATGTGTTGGTAAGTTTTTGTTTGATATTAATTAGTTTATATCATTGCGCGATGGTTTGGCCAATCCTCAAAGGTGAACTAGTTTCTAACATTTTCTTTCTTTCTTTCTTTACAGATTGTGTTTCAAATTCAAATTGCCCTCCAGGGAGAGTGTGTCAATCAAATACATGTGTTGGTAAGTTTAGTTGTTTTAAAAATATCTAATTATGATTTCAACATCAATCATAAGAATTTAAATTAACATTATTCCAATTTTAGTTCATTGCATTGTACCTATTGATTGCGGAAGTAGTCAAGCTTGTATAAATAATAGATGTGTTAGTAAGATGCTTCCTATATTTTCATTAAAATCAATCAAAAACTAATGCATATATATTTTTTTTCTTTTTTAATGTTTAAAGATTTCTCTAATTGTACTACAGATCCACAATGTAACACTGCCTATGGAATCAACACCCATTGTGAAAATGAAAAGTGTGTTTGTGATGATGGCTTTTATGGTTTAACAGAAGGCCTTTTTGGTACAGGTTGTGCAAATAGTATGTTTACAAATTGACCCGACTCTTATATATTTTCTTTTTTTTTTTTTATATGTTAACATATTCTATTCTATTCTATTCTATTCGATTAAATATTATCCTACTTGCAGAATACCCAACAATATCATCAATTCAACAAGATCAAGATAATTATACGATATTAAGTTTAAATGGAGATTTTAGTCCAAATGTTTTATCGACCAATTTGAACATTACAGTTAATAATACGATACCATGTACTCCAATATTCGTATCAAAACCATTAATTAATTGTACTCTTCAGAATCGTCCTACTCCTGGTAATGCAACTTTACAAATCAAGGTATCAAATTCAACGGGTGTTGGTAACATCGCGATTGCAAATTACCCAGAACCAATTTGTAACTATACAATTTTACAAAAACAATGTCAACAAGATACAAATAATTGTACTGCTGGAAATGGATATTGTAATGAAATTGGTCAATGTATATGTCATCCAAAATATGATCCTAAATCAAATTGTTCTTTACAAAGTAAGATAAAGAAAAAAAAAAAAAAGAATTAATATTTTTAATTTATTACTTACTAATACTTTTTTTTTTATTAATCAAGGTAATGAACAAGGTCCATCTATAATTTTCTACCAAGGATGTGATAATATAGATTCCAGCAGTATAAATACACAATTGTGTAATCAAACTGTTTATTTAGGTGAATGTACGCCACTCAACCTTTGTGGTGGTTCAACACCGATAAATCAATGGATTATTGTTGTAAATTCAAACAACACAAATTTAGGTATTCAATACTATGACAATGAAAACTGTACTACAACTCCATGTGGAAACCAACAAGAGATCAAAGAAGAAAAGTGTGATACCTGTTTGGAAAATACCAACATGTATTGTAAATTTGAGATCATTCCCACCTCCACTAGTACTAGTACTGGTAGTACTACCTCTACGACCACCGCTAGTACAACGGGTTCTACTACTACTACTACTACTACAACAACAACAATGACAACAGGAACTCCAACCTCTGGTGAATCACCAACACCAAGTGATTCCACAAGTATTATCTCAAATCAACTAAACTTTACCTATTCACTTTTACTTGTATTATTATTTGCTACCCACCTATAAATATTTGATTTAATTTAAATAAAATTAAAATTTTGATTAACATTTCATTATCATTCATTGATATATATCAGTATATATTAAACCCATCAATATAGATATATATTAGTTAGTTAGTTCGATATTCTTCAAAGTGTATAGTATTTTTATCAAAATTAAGTTCGATATTTTGTATTCAACTTTACCCAGTACCCTAGTAGTAGTAATGTTGAATTAGTATTTTTTTTTACTGGATGTACAAATAACTGCAGATGTTGATATTGAGCACTGAGTTGATGAAATGTCATTGACTTATCGTTGAATTGTATTTGATTCTACGATCGGAATCTAACCTTTATCACCATTTCTTTTGTACTAAATACAAAGCAAAAAACCATTACCATAAAAGAAACTATTTGCCTTGTCCAAGCTGTTCAACTTGATTAAACTTTATTCAATGTTGTGGTTCAATATCCATGTTCAAGATCCATTCCAACAAAAAAATGGAAGGAAGCTTTGAAACAGATAATCAATTTCTGAACATTTGTTGACAATTTTGAATAATTATTGCAATTATATTTACTCTCTTTGTTTAAATAAACACAATCTATGGATCTCCATATTGATCAAAATGATGATCGATCGATGTTCATTATCAGGTTTTTCTTAAAAAATTAATAAAAAATCTATATTTAATTTAAATATTTTTAATTTACAAAAACCCATCACCCTAAAAAAGGTTTTGAAAAACAACTATTATAGTTTGTTTGTTTAATAATATTCGAATAGATCAAAACAAAGATATATATATATATATATAAAGAGATAAAGATAAGAAATGTCTCAAACTACTACTACAGCACCACCAACAACAACAACAACAGAAACAAGTGAACAAGATAAAGAATTATATGAAACACAAAAGAATTGGATACCATTGGAAGCAAACCCAGAGGTGTTGACATCGTTTATGCATAACCTTGGTGTCTCTGAGAAATGGCAGTTCTGTGATATCTATGGTTTAGATCAAGACTTGTTAGATATGGTTCCTAAATCATGTGCTGCTGTACTTTTATTGTTCCCAATCACTAGTGATGTAAGTAGAAAGAAGAAGAAAGTAGAAGAAGATCTATCTATATTTGTGATGATCAAAAACTAATCAAATCTATTCCTTTCTAAAAAAGTATGAAGAAAAGAGATATCAACAAGAAGATGAAATCACTAAAAATGGTCAACTAGTTAGTGAAAAGGTGTATTTTATGAAACAAATCGTTGGTAATGCTTGTGGAACCATTGCTATCATTCACTCTGTACTCAACAACTCCAATGTCATTGAATTCAAAGATGGTTTCTTTAAAAACTTCTTACAAAAAACATCTTCTCTCAATGTTGATGAACGTGCTAAAGCTTTACTTCATAATCCTGAATTAGAAAGAGTAAGAAAGAAATGAAAAAGAATAGAAAAGAATAGAAAGAAAAAGAATTTTAAACTAATTCATTCTATTTTTAAGAGTCATGAAATTTCAGCCAATCAAGGTCAAAGTGTAGTTCCAGATGAAGATGAACCTGTTATTCTCCATTTTGTTGCTTTTGTTAATGTATGTTACATATTTGATTTAATTTGATTTGTTTGTATTGTAATTGGAATCCACTTCCATTTATTTATTTATTATTTGTTTTTTTTTAATTTATTATTTGTTGTTTATCTAATATTCTTTTTATTATTATTATTATTATTATTAATTATTATTTTAGGTTGATGGACATTTATATGAATTAGATGGCAGAAAACCATTCCCAATTAATCATTCAACCAGTTCTAAAGAAACATTTTTAGGTGATGTTGTTAAAGTTCTCCAAAAAATGATCGATGATAATCCTACAGAAATTAGATTTAATTTAATGGGTTTGGTTAAAGAAGAAGAAGAGGAAGAGGAAAAGGAAAAGGAAGAAGAGAAAAAGGAAAATTAGATTAGATTAAATGATCCAATAATAATAATAAAATAGATAATATAGAGTGATTCCTCCCTTCTCTCTCTATTTATCAACATGTTGTACTACTTACCTGTTTTTGTTCGAGTTCATTGATTATTGGTGTTGTTGTTGGTGTTGGTGTAAATACAATTTTTCTTAATAATGTTACAATGACTAATAAAATGGCAAAGATCAATCCTAATAATACAATACTAAAATAATAATAATAATATATTAATAAATAAATATAAATTCTTTGATCTAAATTATAATTTTGTTACATACTTTTTTTGATTTTGATTTAAATCTTTTACAACTGGTACTTTATCAACCATTTGATTGGTTTTGATGTGAATGGTATTTTTATATTGTAGGATGGTATTGGAGATGGTTCCATTGGGTTTGATTGTTTTGTTTAAAATGACAGTACTAAAGTCAGCATTATCAATTTGACGAATACTATTCTTGTTGTTATTGTTGACAGTTGCACTATTTCTTTTAGTTTTATCCCAATCCTTGTGAATAATGACAGTATCACTACCACTTTCATTCATGGTTGATCCTCCTTTTCCATTATTTTTGTTGTTGTTTAGAGCATCGTCATCATAAATGACTGAACTGTATCCTCCTCCTCCTGCAGTGGTCTCATCACCCTTTGTTGTTGTATCATTAAACTTTTTACCTGGCATACGAATGTTTACAAGATCATTACTACTATTTAAATCTACATAATCCTGTGCCTTTAAATTTTTGGATTTCTAAATGAGAGAGATAGATAAATAAATAAATAAATATTAATATACATATATTCATTTCATTTGGATTGTTTCACACAAGTATATATACTGACTCTTTTCTTTTCTTTAATAGCACTAGAAACTAAATCTTTTAGAGCATCTTGTTTGGCACCAGCAATGAATGGATGATTCATGAGTTGTTGGGGTGTAGCTCTCTTGTCAATCTCTTTGACTAGACAACACTCGATAAAGTTGATAAACTCTTTACTCCATCGTTTGGGTTCCTTGAGTGTTGGAGGTGGTCTTCTAGGCATCATGTACATTGCCTTGATTGGATTAATGTCACTGTATGGAGGTTCTCCCTCTGCCATTTCAATCGCTGTAATTCCCAACGACCAAATATCCACTTTATTACTATACTTGTCTTCTTTTAATATTTCTGGTGCCATCCAATACTACATAGTCCAAAGAAAGAAAGATAAATTAATATATATATTAGAATGATGATTTATCTTATTTTCTCTTTATACTTACAGGAGTACCAGCAATAGAACCTTTACAAAAAGTTGAGATGATTTGAGAGCTTACACCAAAATCGGCTATTTTGACTTGACCAGATTCATCCAACAGTATATTGGCAGCTTTGACATCACGATGAATGATTTGGTTAGAGTGGAGATAGAGCAAGCCGTCAAGTGCTTGGTGAAGGATAAGAGCAATTTCCTTTTCTTTGAGTGTTCGTCCTAAACTTCTCATGATATCAGCAATTGAGCCAAGTCCACAATAATCCATCAAGATCCACAATTCATACTTTCGTTTACATGATCCAAAGTAACTGACAATATGAGGATTCTTGCACTTTTTAAGGATATCAATCTCTTTTTCAAGTGGTGTCTTTTCTTTTTCTTTAATTGAAGTAGGAGAACCAGCAGCAGGAGCAGGGGTAGGAGTAGGAGTAGGTGGTGGAGGGTCGATTGGTTCTTCTAATATATCATCACTACGAATTACTTTGATAGCAAGAGTGAAACCACTGTCTTTGTGAACAGCTTTGTACACTACACCAAATGAACCTTCACCAACAATATCCTCCATTGCAAATGATGTTGTATTAGTCTTCCAATTCCATTGTTGATCTACATGTAATTTATGTGTATAATCTGATGGACTACTAATATCTAATTGATCTTCATTACCTAAAGAAAGAAAAAGAGAGAGAAAGAGAGAAAAGAGAGTGTGAATAAAGTAGAGAACAAAGCTTTTTAGAGCTTAATAAATACATACTCTTTGATCCACTTCTAAATAATCTAACCATGATTTGATTTGATTTGATGTGATGTGAATATATACAATATAAAATGTCTTTTTTTCTTATTCTTTTTCTTTCTATGTTGATTTTAAAATGATTGATTTAATTTTGAACTGTGTTGTTGATATTAATGATACAATGTTGTTGTTGTTGTTTATATGTTACTACTATGTGTGATTATAACTCTATAAAATGAGAATAAATAAATAGATATAGATATAGATATATGATATGTTATGTTGTTATGTTGGTTTGATGAATGAATGAATGAACAATAATAGATTCAAAGGAACAAATAGATTCAGACGACCCTTTTTGTTAAAAAATTAAAATTAAAAGAAAAACTCTTCTCTCATCTCGATAGTGATCTTGGTTAGATCTAGCTAGTATTGATACTCATGAGGTCACTACATCATACATCACACTAGTACTACCATCCCCTCCTAACTGAGTACTCATCCTACTCTTATTACCAAACGAATCGTAGTAATCATCATCGTTGTCATCCACTATTCAATGAATTCATTTGTTGGCCCCTCCGAGTCACTACTCCTAAAAAGGAACGAGCACTTTAGCTCATCCCCAGGACAACAACACATTAATTAACAACGAGGTCTACTACTACTATGACGTCGATGACGTATATTTATAGGTCTGTCTGTTTCGAAGAGAGGAGAGACAGATGTTGTGTAACGTTATGCTGGTCATGGATGGCTAGACGAGAGGAGGTAAGATAGTTAGACAGATAGATCAATTATAATTGCATCAATCAATCTTCTAATACAATTTTGTGTGTTTTTTGTGTGATCAAAAAATGGTGACTGGAAACAACCTTCTGCGAAGACATAACTTTGAAAACAGGAATAGGTTTTCAAGTAAAGTAAAAACAGAAAAAACAAATAACAGTCCTTTATTCCTCTCTCTTAAGAGTGTACACTTAACTTCAACTTCAAAGTTGTTTACTTTACTTTACTTACTTATATATTTTGTTATTCAACAAGTTAAATAATATTATTATTAATTATATTTACCACACAGTATCCCCCTACACTACACTACAGTATCTATATAAATCTATCTAAAATATTTTACTGGCTATATCTAAATATTAAATACCCCCTTCTCTCTCCCCCCCCACCCCCTCCCTTAATTATTTGTATTCATTTTATCCATTTTTGTATACAAATAATTAAACCCCACTCCAAACACTTGCTACCACTACCACACTGACTCGTCCGTCATTGTTAAAATTATTATTATTACTATCGTCGACATACTCTCTCATAAATAATAATAATTATTTTAATTATTATAATATTCAATTCCAATCCAATAATTCCAACCAAATTTAATATTAATATTAATATTAATATTACCAGCAACTAGAGATAAATATATATTAATAGCTCCCAGTATTCTACTAGCTAAGCAGCTGTGTCTATATAGTATAGTTATTTATATTTCTATTTATATTTATTTATTTAATAATTACCATTAATCGATTTTGGTAATTACAATTATTTCATCAACATCAACATGCCAGCAACATTAAATACATTATCAGAACAAGAAAGAGGACAGATATCATTTGTTCATGGTAACAGTTGTGATGTCCTTGCAACATCGGTTGCCAGACTCTACGAAGGTAAACAAGGGTGTTGGGTATACACCAATGTCATCGGTGCATGTTCAGTCGTAGTCAATAGAGTTGAACGTACTATCTATATTAGAATAGTTGATCTTTGTGTAAGTAATTCAAAAAAGATAAATAACAAAAAAGTAGAAAACAAATAGTAGTAGTATACTTTTACTTTCAAAGATTGAGTCAACAAGTTGGAACTTTGGTGGAAATTAATTTTATTTTTTATTTTTAAAAAAACATTCATTTTACAATAATTGGAATATAATTATTATTACCAAATTTAGAACAAGAGAACTGTATTTGAACAAGAGATTTATAAAGATTTCGATTATCAAAAATCAAGAGATTTCTTTCATACTTTTGAAGGCGATAATACCGTCTATGGACTATCGTTTGTCAATGTAGATGAAGCTTGTCAATTTCAAGGTCAACTACAACAACAACTGTCAAAGAGTAAGTCGACAACTATCATGCTACACTACACTACACTACACTATACTTTTGAAAGAAAGAAAGAGATAATTATAAAATTATATAACAATATATATTAATCATGTTTCATCGACATAAAGAACACTCCCAAGTACCATCGTCATCGTCGTCATTTGCAAGCTCGAGCAATTTAGCAAATGTGCAACAACAATCTAATAATGTCAATGTTACTCCATCCTCTTCATCAAACAACTACAACCAACAACAACAACAACATGCTGGAGGAAAGGAACAATATACATTTGTAGCAAAGGAGAAACCAAAGAAATCAAGAAGTGGATTCTTTAGCAAGATATTGCACGGTGGCAACGAAGAAAAGGAAAAGCCAATGGAGATATCTGCACCCACTGGATTCAAACATGAGTCACATATTGGATGGGATGCAGACAATGGATTCGATATTCGTAATATTCCAGAGGACTGGCGTAAACTATTCTCGAGTGTTGGTATTAAAAAGAGAGAGTTAAAGAACCCTGAAACTGCTCAGTTTATCCTGTCGGTCATCGGAGAGAGTGTAGCACAACAGAATGCTCAAAAGTCTACGTCTGCTTCATCTGCACCACCTCCACCTCCACCTACAATGGGTGTATCCAAGCCACCTGGTATTCCACCAATGTCCAGTATCCCATTAACTCCTATTAGATCATCGGTTGCTCCACCTCCACCTCCACCAACATCCTCAGTGACACCACCTCGTTACCAACAACAACCACCACCTTCTTCCTCTCAACAGACCTATGTCTACCAATCGAATCAACAACCAGTTACTTATTCTTATGATGTTGATAGTAGTGTACCAACTCAACCATTCCAACAAATGAGTATGCAGAACACTCAAAATACTTCTACACCAAAGATGAAACCACCAGTTCCCATCTCACCACTCCCACCAACACCAACTCAAAAGATGCAACAAGTTCCACCAACTACTACTGGACATCCACATCCACCAGTTCCACCAAGACATTTTGCTACACCACCAAAGAATACAACATCACCACCAGTTGCAATGACTCCCCCACTTCGTGGATCGCCACCTCCACCACCATCTGTAACAGCTCGTGGAATGTCTCCAGCTACTGTTGTTGCAGTGTCTGATACACTCCCACTTCCACCTCCACCACCACCTCCAATGGTAGCTGCCAAGAGTATTCCCACCACCTCGACTACTCCACCTCCACCACCTCCAATGGTTGCACCCGCTCAATCGGCCGCACAAAGCAGTATGCCACCAATGGCAACTAGCAGTACTGGAGGAGGTCGTGATGATTTACTCGCTGCCATTCGTAGTGGTACCGCTCTTAAAAAGGTCGATTCCTCTCAACCACTTCCAGATCTCTCCAACCTCGGTGAAAAAGGAAATCGATCCTTACACGACACTCTCTTTGCCGCCATGGAAATTCGTAGAAAGAATATGGGTGAACAAGAACAAGAACAACCAGATGAAGATTCTGATGATAGTGATTGGGAAATGTAGATCTCTCTCTATTAATCCTCATTTCAACAATTATATTTTTTACCTATATATTAATTTAGCGATCTATTAAATTAATATTTTTAACATAAAGAAAAAAAAGAAAGAAATAACGACATAATAATAATAATAATAATAATAATACTTGCTATCTATTATCTAATATTTTAACAATAAAATACTTTACAGTAAACAAAAAAAAAAAAACTATTTAAATACAACTTTTTCCAAACACTTTTTTCATTAAATAAATAATGGAAACCAATAACCTCGTAATCGATATTAAAGAATTTATTATATCTATAAAAGCAAGAGACAAAATCGATAGACAATCATTTATAGTGAAATAGAAGAAATATTCGCGATCCATTTTGCTCGTTCAATTGAATTGGTCACAAAAGTTAAGTTTAACCAAGATCTAGCTCACTCTATTATAAATACACAGAACTTTTCAGACTTGATCAATCAACCAAATGTCAAAACCTTTTGGAACCATTTTATAAACATATACATAAAAAATAATGCTAAAGTTTCCAGGGAGAATTCAAGACCAATATTATAAAAAGTTTCAAATCCAAATGAAAAGTATAGGAATGAACATTGAATATGAAAATAGTTCCTCATCACCTCCTACAATGAATGATGGAAATGTAGCTATAGTCATGTCTATTCTTGTTGCAACAAGCATTCTTGTAGGAACTTTTATCATCTTTTACAAATTATAATATATAATATATAAAATCTATTTCAAAAATTACTAAAGTATTTCCCAAATTTAGAAAAAAATATATTTGGAATTACATTTATTTATTTTCCAATTTATTTAAAACATACAACAATGAAGAAGAATAGTAAATTAATTTATATTAATGATATTGATAGTGGTAAAATAACAACTAGTGGGCGCCAACAATATAGTTGCAGTAGAAGTAGTAGTTATCATCCATACCAAAGACAAGAACAACAAAAGATAATAATATCATGTGATAATACATTACAAAAAAAATTGTCAATTCCAAAGGAAGGAATGAGCCATAAAGATTTTTTAGAGTTGGGATCGGACGATTATTATTTCCTCATTAGAAAAGATATATTATCAACCAACATTCAAGTTCAATGTCTACAATACAGTTATTCAATCATTATTATAGTTGATCATAGACCAACAGATGATTGGTATTTAGAAGCATACAATGAACTTGCTCAATTAGGTATACCATTAAAGATATCCGATTATCATTACCCAAATTTTATACTATCCGTCCTATTATTACTCATCATGATCTCCGATCACCAATCAAAAAAAGAAGTATCACTGTTTGCGTAAAACATGGTTGTCAAATTATTAGAGCAACTAAAATAGGTTATGTCCCTAAAATTGTTACTTACATTATCATCAACAAGAACAACAACACGACCACTAAACAAGAAGACGAAGAAGAAGAAGAAAAACCTAATGTTTTAACATTAAATAAATAAATAAATAAATAAACAAATAATATTTGTATCTAAAGAATATTATAATATACTAACATAGAATGATTTACATTCAGGCAATGTCCCTCGAAAATTTCATTTCACTTTTCAAATGTGTTAAAAAAATCTTCTACTCTGCAGAGCAAAGAAAGAGTTTTAACTCTGATTATTTTAATGATTTAGAGATTAGTTTAGTTTAGATTATTTATACACACGCACACGCACACGCACACGCACAGAAGTCAGTCTTTTATATCTTCTTATTATTATTATTAGTTTTACTCTTTATAGAATAAGAGAGAAGAGAAGAGAGGGATAAAGAGAGTGTGACATAGGAGAGGAGAGATGAGCCAACAACAACAACCAGAGAAAAGAAAAGGTGGTGGAGGGTTCTCGCAAATGGGTATCATGAACCTTACCCATTCTCCACCAGTTATGCTTCGAAATAGTACTAGTGGATCATCATCATCTTCTAATATTAATATTAGTAACAACTATAATAATAATAATCATAATAGTAATAATTCATCATCTTCATTTATATCATCATCATTTGTAGTTGGTACATTGGGTTCTGTAATGCAACAACAACAACACCAACAACAACAGCAATATGGGTCATTATCAACACAACAATCATCTGCATTGGATATTAACAATAACAACAACAACGTAGGTAGAGGTGGTGGTGGTAATGTTGGAATGTTATCATCATCTAGCTTTACTTCTACCTATGATGGTATACCATCACCTATCAAATCATCATCATCGTCATCATCAATGTCTGGTGGACAAGGATCAAATAGTAGTGGAGGTCTAGGTGGTGGAGGTGCCAGTAGTAATGGTATAGGATCATTTACACAAAACTATGAATTATATTCAATGAACAAATTATTCTGTATCAATACTACCGGTGGTGGTGGAGGTAAAAGCAAAGAACAACAACTACCAAGTGGATCAAGCGGTATTGGTGGTGGTAGAAGAGGTGCATCACGTAGTGACCGATCAATGACATCTTCATCATCAGTTGATTCATCTCTCAATACATCTGGTGGTCTATTGTCCAATGATATGGGTCCATTAGGTGTAACTGTACTTTTAGAAGCTCAAGCTGGTTATGATGATCATTTATTTTTTGCAATGTTTTGTTCAAATGGTAAATTAATCAAATAACAACCTACCTTTAGTATATACTAAATATATGTCTATTTTTTGTTTAGATTACTTAATATTTAGATATGTTGGACAAAGTAAAGTACCACAATACAAATATATACAATGGAATCGTGACCCACTAAAAAAGATAGTAGCCATGTCATTTGATCCAACTGCTCAATGGCTTTTATGCCTTTCACATGACACATCACTTGTAAGAATACCAATTTATTTTATGATGTGTAAAAAGATTAATGTCTTGGAAGAAAAAACTCCTCAACCAATGTATGTTAAACGCAAACAATCAAAGATATATATATATAATATATATATATATTAATATATTTATAATTTTGTAATATTATTAGTGAAAAATCAGATAAATTATCAAGTTGGGTATCATCATCTAGATTATTTAAAAATGTTTCATTGGGATCACTTGGAGGTGGAGGAAATAATAATAACAATAATAATTCTAATAATCAACAAACAAAAACCATTCAAAGTATGGTAACTATTCCACCTATATCAACAAAAGGACAAATAGGATCAAGTTGTATATGGTGGAAAACATCAAATAGTGAAGATTTTGGTATTATTTCAACTCAAGCAGGTCATATCTTTTTCGTTAATCTATCAACCAATGAATTACAGAAAAAGGTTAAATTTGAACATCCAATTACTAAAATTGATTTAATTAATGCTGGTAATGAAACTGTATGTAAACAATAGGAAATAATAATAATAATAATAATAATAATAGTAATTTATTTTTGGATATTAATTAATTGATGTTTATTGTATACTTTTAGTTTATAATCATTTCAACAAAAACAAATGGATATTATCAATTATTGATTGAACAAAAAATTAAACATCAATATGATAGTATAGTGACATCGACATTTGGTAATAATTCATCATCATCTTCAAATGCAACGATTACATTGGTTATTAGTGGTGGAAATAATAATTCAAATTCTCAAAATGGATCAAATACAAATCAAAGTAATAATATTAACCAAAATGGAGGTAGTGGTGGTTTGGCAACCATTCAATCACCGTATCAATTAGTGACACCATTATTTTCAAGTGATCGTGTATTGAGTGATCGTACAATTGAAACTCAATCATCACAAGAGAATGGATTGGTAGTAACAAGTTTTATAAAGTCTACTAGTAAGCTAGAGATTTATGATTACCTCTATCTCGATAAATTCCCTCTTTTCGTATACCAACTACCACAGACGACCACTAAATTCTACTTTACCAAAAACATTACATTCCTCTCAGAGATTGATCACCACGATGATCAAGCACGTATGAATGTATCGATCATTTCAAATCTCGTGTCTGGTACAGCATCCAATTCAAAATATATGAAGAATCAATCGATTATTCAAACATTCTCATTGGCACAAGGAGAGTTTGTTTTGGATATTAAAAATTCTCTCACAGTCTCTTCCAATGATTTGTTAAATGGAAGTGGTCATCTTTCACCTTCAAATTTTAATAACATTAATAATACAAATACAACAGCATCTTCATCTTCATCATTAAATAATAGTGGTAAATTAAATGGTAGTAGCGGTGGAAATATGTCACTTTCATCATCTTCCTCATCACCATTATCAAATTCATTGGCTCAATATAATAACAATAATAACAATAATAATGGACCTATTCAATCAACTTTTCTACCTTCATGTTATATTTGGACCAATTATGCAGTCTATGAATTGAGAGCCAAAAAAACACCAGAAGAAATCTTTTTTGAATTATTGTCAAAGAATTTGGAAAAAACCGATGGTGAAGCACTTGGTAAAACATTTAGAATGGATCTACTAAGTCTTTATGAAACTGCTGCTGATCATGCTTTTGAACAAAGTCAATATGGTAGAGCTTTAGAGTATGTCAAAACAAACAAGTCAAATCTAATCAATATTTTGTGTATTAATTATTAATTTTCTTTTTGTTTAGTTTATATTATTTGTCAGGAGTTAAAACAAGTAAATTAGTATTAAAATTTTTAGAAATTGGTAGAATGGATATTATAATGACACATTTGAAAGCAGTTTTACATGGATCCGATGCATATAGTGCACATGAAAGAAAGAAATTGACCAATATTCTATTCCAATGTTACCTACAAAGATTGTTGTCGTCGAGAGAGGAATTCAAATCACTAGAGACAGAGTTTACAGTGTTTCTAACTACCAACACTGACTATGATGTCATTGTAGCGTTACAAAATCTAATGTCTAATGGTTTGATTGATTATTATTTCATTGTGGCACATAGTAGAAAATTGGTTGGCAAAGCATTGACTAGTTTATTGGAAAACAATCGATTACATTTGGATTCACAAAACATTTCATTCTTGCAAAGTCAATATTGTCAGGAATTAAAGAGTAATTCAAATGGTATGATATTTGATTGTCTACCACCAGATTTCCAAGTTAAATTGATTCTTGAAGATCTTGGCAATGTACCACGTTACCTTAAACGTCTCTATTACCTCTTACCAATGGTATCTGAAAAGACATTAATTGATATCATTACATTATTTGATCCAATTACTTTTGAACCATTTAATTTATCTCAACAACAATCAACTAGTGGAAATAATAATAACAGTAACAATAACAGTAATAATAATAATAATAATAGTCAAGCATCACCAAATGGTATTCCAACATCACCCATTTCAAAACAAAATCAACAACAACAACAACAATCACAACAACATCTAAATAATAATAATAGTCCAAAATCATCATCAGGTAATTTAATTGGATTAGAACATTATCATTCAATATCATCAGATGTTGAACCATTACCAGGTAGATCAAGTGAATCAATTCCAGTTAGAAATGAAGAGTATTTTGAATTATATCTTACATCTCTACTGCTACTACTCAATCATTATAAATCAAAATATGGTGATCAAAACTTTGCAGATTTACAACGTCAGAAAATGATGTTGGAGAATCAAAAACAACAAGACAAGAATAGTAATAGTGATGACGATGACTTGGACGATGAGGATAATGTGGTTGATCAAGACTTGTTGGTACATCCAATGCCCGCACTTCGATTCAATGAAAAACATGCCAAATCAGTGTCGTGTGGTTGGGAACATGCAGCAGTTATCACCGTGGATGGTGAGCTGTTTACATGGGGTAACAACACGAGTGGACAACTTGGACATGGTTTGGCCGCCGGCAAGCATCAATCTACACCAATGCGTGTAGAGAGTCTCAAACAGACACCCATCATGATGATGTCGTTGGGTGGCGAGCATACTGTTGTTATCGACCGATCATTCCACATTTACTCTTGGGGTAATGGTAAATACGGTCAACTTGGTCACGGTGTATCTACTCCACACAATCTTCCCAAGAGAATAGAGGAGTTTGCCGGACAAAAGATTAGCTCCATTGCCACGGGGTACTGGCACACACTTGTACTGCGATCGGGTGGAGACTTGTTTGCATTTGGATCAAATGAACATGGTCAACTTGGGTTGAACGATCTCAAGCATCATTTACCCATTCCAACACGTGTCAATACTGCTGACATTCACCATGCTGGACAACCAACACGTGTGACTGGTATATTCTGCGGACACAGCCATTCAGTACTGCGTACGTCACACGGAGACGTCTACAGTTTTGGTGCAAATGCCAAGGGACAGCTGGGACACGGGTCGACCGAGTCGTGTCGCTATCCAAAGCTCATCCAGGGTCTCAAGGGCAAGAACATCAAGCGTATTACATGCGGTCCGTACCACACGGTCGTCACGACCGACCTCGACTCTGTGTATTGTTGGGGACAGGGTGAACACATGTGTCTTGGCACGGGCAGCAACAAGAACGAGCTCGTTCCCAAGTTGGTCGAGTTGTTTGTCAACAAACGTGTCGAACGTGTCGTCTGCGGTCTCTACCACACGGCCACTCTGACACAGCCAATGGGTGACTCGAACACCGGAGGCAATGTATATATCTGCGGCAGCAGCGAACACGGTAAACTTGGTATTGGAGGTGACCCACGATCCCCCTCACTCGACAAGGCGTACCCTGCCATCATCCCATCGATCAATTCGGCCAATGTGGTTGATCTCGCCAGTGGCGCAGAGTTTAACGCTCTCATCACCTCGAATGGTGCTCTCTACATGTGGGGTGCCGGTACACACGGTCAAATCGGTAACGGTAAGAACCAAGACACCTGGATACCCACACGAGTCTCTTTGAGCAGTGAAAAGAACCAAAATCAATTCATAGTGGACGAGTCGGGTAGTACTATTACTCTCTCAAGTAGTATGCTACTCACCGAGAAAAACAACCGATACACTCAAGAAGGATTAGAAGAGACACTTAGAAAGAATGCCAATGGGTACCGTCCATTTGTAGTGATCAACAAGGCCAAACAATTTGGCAATTGGGATGCTGTAGCCACGATCTATGAAGTATTGGAAGACTATAAATCAACGCTAGAGTGTAGACTATTATCATTGAAACAAAGAAATTTGGATACTGATAAACAAACTCATACTCTACTTCAACTTGCTCATAAATATATTGTTAATATGAATGGAAATAATGAAACATTTAATCAACAACAAAAATCAAATAATGCAACAACATCAACAAATGGAGGAGGATCAACTTTAATACAACCATCAACTTCACCTTCATCTAATGCATCAACTTCACCATCTAATAGATTATCACCACCAATCAATAATGCTCAAGAAATCTTACCACCTCAATCTAACAACAAGACAACCAAAGAAAATGAACTTGATCATCAACAAATTCAACAACAAAAGACACAAGCATCAGAGATTTCAAAGGAATTGTTATTGTTGATATTAAACTATTGGAAGGAGAAACAATTGCCAATTGAAGAATTGGAAAATTATATCATGGCAAATTTGGAATACTTTTCATTACCCTTGTCAAATATATTATCAACTTTTAATAGTAACAGTAATAGTAACAAGGTTGATAATACATATCCATTGGTATTAAATTTCTCACCATTACTTTATTTAAATGTTGTTAAATATTATCTTCAATTGATGAAGTATTTGGGAGAAAAGGAAAGAAATCATCAAAGGGTATCTGAAAAGGTACTATTGACCAATATCAAGGAGAATCTTCAAAAGGATATTCAATCACGTACAAAGATTCAAATTCAATCACTTCAAATGGATATGTTTACATCACCTACCACTGCAGCTATAGTTCCAAACTCTTCATCTGTGATGAGAGGAGGATCAGCCGATGAATCCTACATTGAAAAGGATCTTGCATTTACATGTAATCATTTCTTTTCAAAACGTAGATACTATAGTTCCATTCTTCCACAATTCCAAACCGATGTACAAAAACTATCAATCATGTCTCCAACCACTCTCAATCATATCATTGAAGAATACAACCAAAAGTGGGTATCTCTTTCCTGTCCAGTTTGTCTTTACAACTTTTTACGTGAATTGGCAAATGATCCATTATCAAAACAATGGAAAGTTTAAATCAAATCGAATCGAATGTATATCAAAATAGTTTGATACAACTTTCTCTCTGTCAAAAACCTTTACACACTATAAATAAATAAATTCCTACCTTAACTTATTAAATTATATATTATCTAAATATTGTTGTAGTATTGTTCATTTTCATATTCATATGACCGAATGTTTCGTTTGTATATATATATATATTAATCTTGAGTTTATTTTAAATCTGTATCTTGTTTGTTATCTACCTATGTTTATGTTATCTATCTATCTCGCTTCGAATTGAATCACTATAGAAAAGAAGTAAATGTTAGTTTTGTTTGTTATCTAATCAATCTCAAGACTTTGTATCTGTCTATATCTATCTATGTCGATATCTATATCTATATCTATATCTATATTTATGTTCATACTCTTATCAGTTCTCTTCTTATACATAATACGGTAGGTACAATCTTTACATTTGATTGGTTCCTTTGGTTTGATTTCGTTTTCAGAACCACATTCTAATTGATTGTAGATAGAAAAGAATCTATTAGTCTCTTGTTTCACTCACTATAGTATTCAATGTATGTACATACCACCACAAATATAAATACAAGGCATTTTCTAAAGATCTATATTAATTGAATGTGAATATATATATGTACAAAGCTACTAATATTAAACGAAAAAACTCCTTTCTCGTAGTACGATCGAATTTATTTCATTTTTTTTGAATAATTAGACAAACAAGTCGCAACTACCTCGTTTGTACTTGTTGGAGGACAGATCATTCAATTAATAAACCAATGATACTCAATTGGTCTATAGAAACAACAAGATGTGAAGGTGAAATATTAATATACGCATTACCAATCATATATATATAAATATACTATAATAAATATAAATATATATATATAGATATATATTATAACTATAATACATTGGCCTACAATATGAGTTATTATGCATATAATGCAAATTTATCTGGTATGAGATTGGATCAATATGAAGAAGCAGAGATGGATCAACAGACTCAAGTGGTGATGAAACGAATTGAAGACTGTTTGCCGACATGTGTCATTTGTGGAGTTAAATTAAATCCACTCTATGTCTACAAACATTTAGTGCATTGCCAACTGGTGTTGGGTATGGCCTTGGATACCATCTTTAAGGACACTGTCGATTTAAAAAATCAACTATCTCAATCTCAAGCAATCGTCAGAGAAAAGGATTCACAAATTGAACAACTCCAAAAACAACTTGGTCAACAACATCTTGGACAACAACCAGACCAACAACAACAACAACCAGAATGTGTCAGTCTTGCCAAAGAAGAAGATCCTGATCCAGAACCAAAGTTTGTTTTATAAATCAAAAAGAAAAGGTATCAACCCTGACCTTTATTCATCCAATAAATAATCATTTTTGATTATTATTATATTCCAAAATTGAATTGAGGAGTGATTGTGCATTGGGAGAGGATGAAGTAATATTTGGTGTGATCTCATATTGTTCTTTTAAATGTTTTGTTGTAGTTGGTCCTATTGATGCTATTCTAATATTAGCACAACCGGTGTTACTTTCGGAATGAATTAATGATTTATGATTATTTATAATATAGTCTACTCCACTTGGACTAAAAAATACAATCCATTGAATTCTATCTTTTATCATGTTTAATCTTGTCAATACCATATCTTCTTCTTCATCTTGGCCACCACTACTAGTAGTACTGTTATTGTTGGTTGTATTTTCGTAAATAATCAATTCATCCAAAATGATATTATTTGATTTTAGAGTTGATGGTAATTCATCTCTTCGAATATTTCCACATAAATATAATACTCTATTATTATTATTATTGTTGTCAATTGATTTATGTTGTTTCTCTATAATTCTATTTGATAATAAATTTGCATTTGATTCGACTATAATCATTTCTTTTAATTCGTTGATTGATGTACCATCATCATTATTATTATTATTATTATTTGTATTGAGTTGTTGTTGTTGTTGTAGATATTTGATTAATAAATTTAAAGATGATTCACCAACGAGAAAGATACCATTTCTAAACAACCTTAATATATCCAATAATAAAAGGTTATGATCATCATTCTTTTCAACTATATTAATCAATGACTGCATTGCATTTGAACTAGTAATAACCAATGATGAATAATAATAATTCTTTTCATCACCAGTACTAGTACTAATATTCTTTAATGTTGTCAACACTTGTTGATCATTACAATTTAACTTTATAGTTAGCAAAGGTATAAACTCTACATTGAATCTTTTCTCTTTAAACAACTATATAGTAATCATATAAATAACATGTTAATACCAAATATATAGTATATATATACTACAAGTACTTACCATTAGATATGGATCTTGTTGATCATCTTTTTGTGATTTAAATAATACTATTGTATCAGTACCAGTGGTAATAGAGGAAGAAGAAGAAGAAGAAGAGATGAGATGACTATTATTCATTCAACCATATGAATCATCATAATAATAATAATAATTATTGAGGTGTCTTTCTTGTTGTTAAGGGTAAAATATACTAATAAATTTTTATTTTTAGATAGATGATGTTAAACTGCTCTCTTGTACCTCACATTACTTTATTTCTCTTTGTAGTATTTTTATAACTTTCCATTATATACAAGAGCCAAACCATACAATGTATAGGTAAATGAACCGGCACGACCAAGATAATAGTTTAATGCTGTATGATCACCTTTGTATGTTTTAAGCATCACTCTCTTAAACTCGAATATTGTCATGAAACTTGCTAAAAGAACATAACATTGGTAATAGAATGATTGATGTAAAACAATCATATATCCACTATAAATAGAGAGAAAGCGAGAGAGAGAGAGAGAGAGAGATGTTAATATTAATTTACATTTCTTTTGGCTGTGTATGATGACTTTTTGGACTTTACTTACGTAATAATTAGACAACTTAACATTATCCAAGAATTATATCTACCCAAGAGAATTGGGACTGTTTTAATACCGGCTTTGGCATCTTCTTCAAGATCACGATGGTAGTTTCCTAGAATTGGTAGTTGCGAGTAGACAAAGGTCAAGGCATTAAAGATCCAAAAGGTCTTGTCTGGTAGAGCATTGGTAAGGATGGTGTAATAGACGGCGGTGGTCATGATGACATAGACGCAATAGTTTACATTGCCAAGAGCAATGTATTTAAGATGAGTGTAGGAGATGGAGATGGCAACTACACCGATTGGGTAGAGTACAAAGAGTGGCTTGAGCCATTCGTACTCGCCGGTACATTGCATTACTAGATAGGAGGCGATGACGGTGAGACCGACAACATCAACCATCATAAACTTGAAAAGAGTGTTTACATTGACACTATCGAAAAGTGTACGATCGTGTGATGTCTTGGGGTCGTCGACACCAGAGATAAAGTCAACATACGAGTTTATGAAATAGTACAACGAATGACCCAATGTCGAAATGGCCAAACACCCAAACACCAACTTGGCCAGCTTCACCGGATCGTTGGCAATCATTGTGCCCTGACTGTACGATATAGACACTTGCAAAAATGCAGCCAGCATTACACCTGGAAACAAAAAGAATCTAGATGCATCATAAAATTGTTTTGCTCTTCTTCCATACATCATTTTGTTGAAAAAAATATAATATTATGTGATGGTTGGTACAAAGAAAGAAAAAAAGAAAAATATATATATTTATAAATAAGATAATTAATTTTCTTGAACAACCTCTTGTTGTATGCTTTTAAAGAGAAATGTAATTAAAATATTATTTTAATGTACATTAACAACGATATGTTTAAATAGGTGAAGAAACAACAATAACAACAACAACATCAACCAACAAAAACCATTCTATCATCTGCCAACAACTGGGTTATTTATTATATCTTTTGCAAAAGATTGGGTAGTTGTAGACAGACTGACAAACAAACAGACAGACAGACAGACTCGTTTCTAAACGACCTATCACTCACACCCCACCAACAAAATCGAACACACTCATTATTATTATTTGTCCGAACGTCTCATGTACCGGACAAAATAGATCACTAAAGATTCAAACTTGTCACCCCCTCCCACCTTTTAGTTTTTAATGTCCATCTTTTAAAACGAATTCAATTGGTACAGCATGCTAAAAATGAAAAGGTACAATTTAATGTTCAATGTCAAATAGAATCAAAGATATCAATTATCACAATTAAACAAACAACTAGTTTGAAAGGAAGGAAAAAAAAACTTTCATGTGATCATAAACTAAATCGTTGTTTATAATCGTCACTCACACACCCCTCAGCAGCTATTATGTTTGTGTGTGTAGCACCGCATATTGTTGGTTGTGTGTGCCAAAAGATGAACAATCTTTCCAATTTCGGAACCTGTGTAATTTAAATTAAATTATTTATGTTTGTGAAGTTCAATTTAAAAATACAAGTGTGTTTGTTGTGAAATAATATTATTCTTAACACCCCCACACATGCAACAAAGCAGCAGCAGTGTTTAATAATAATAATATTATTATTATGCAATATGGTGAATTTTAATTACGATAATAGTTGAATTTCAATTTTTAAAATAATTCGTAGCTACCCTAAAAATCATTACTATACAAATTGTTTCTGTTTTAGATCTAAAACAGTAAGAAAGCGACGAGGAATCTGAACACTCAGTCTTTGGTTGGTTTTCATTACTCTCTCTTTTTTTTTTTTAGTTTACTCTTATAAAGTAATAATACCAACAAATATTATAAAATGCAACATCCAGGAGATAAAGAAGTCACCACAACCAACCTTTCCACCAATGAATTTGGTAAAGTATTACAAAAATTAATAATAATAAAATATTACAGTATATATATATAGTTCTAACTCTCTCTATTATTATCTCTCTATCTCCTTTATCTATAGGAAAAAGACCAAATGAAACATGTTCTGTTGGAGATGCTGGAAAACAAAGTGAACTAAAAAAAATGAAATCAGAGGTTCCAGTATTATCGGAAGGACAACAATTCATTAATGAAGCTGCCAAGCAAATGATGGAGGGTGGTCAACATGTATTGGAGCAGACCAAGGAAGCACTTGCTTCAGCTGCCGATTCGACCAAGGGTGCATTTACAAGCACCGTCGCTGCAGTCTCGTCTGCCGCTCAACCAGTCATTGAAAAGGCCAAGGAAATCAGTACCACCATTGGAGACAATGTCAATGCAACCTTGCTCAAATCTGCAGAGTTTAGAGACGACTTGAAGAAAAAAGCCGACTCTATGATGGAACAAGTAGAGAAGCGTGTTGAAGAAGCATCCAAGGCACTCAAGGACAAGCCAGCTGAAGATCCAGTCAAATGCTCACTTCCAAAGGACACTCTCTATGTCGACGAACCATTAATCAAGGACAAACCAGAGGAAAAATTGCTCAAAGACCAACCAGCCTCAGAGGAATCCAATGAAGAAAAGAAGGATGCTACAGAAGACGGTACAAAGAAAGCTCCTGCCAAAGGTAGAGGTAGAGGTAGACCAAAAAAATCAAAGTAAACAAACATCAATCAACAACTAACAATCCAAAATAAAAAATAAAGTAAACAATATTTCTTTTTTTAAAATAATATGTTTTTGTCATTTGATTCATAATTACTTTTTTGAGAGAAAGAAAAAGATTGATTGATATCAACATTATAATATTAAAAAGGAGAAAAGAAAGAGATATTTAAAAAAAAGGGTGTAAAGATAATTAATTATCTATAGCAATATATTATTTAAATAGTGATGACGTAATATAATATACTAAATTAATCATGAGTGCAAAAAAATAAAAATAAAATACTATTTTGTAAAACTCTCCTAAAAATATTTTATAGTATTCCTAATTTAGAAGGAATAGTTTTTATCATTAAATATGTATGTATGAACAAGAAACTAAATTTTAATGTCACTAGCTAGCAACCTCAACCAACCAACTAATTTTTATTCTATTTTATTTTTAATATTATTATAATACTATTACACATTATATTATAATATATTTATTTATTTAATCAACACTTTTATAAAAAATGGCAGAAAATAATAATCCAACAGGTTTGTACATACAACATTTTATTATTGTCTCTTTAGAGTATCAAATAAATAATGTGATGATTAAATATTGAAATTTTAATTAATTATTTGTTTTATTTGTTACAATAATTTATTTAATTAGGAAACAGTTCAGGAATTATGAACTACTTTCATCAAGCATTAGAGAAATCAAAGGAAGTTGCAAGTGCAAGTTTTGAATATCTCCAAGAGACTGTTCCACCTGCACTAGACAAGGGATTGGAAAAGAGTAAAGAGTTTGGTGGTATTGCCAAGGAAAAGTTGGTTGAAGGATACCACATCTCAAAGGAAAAGGCATCTCAAGCATCTGAAATCATAAAAGAAAAGGCACAAGGAATGATGGGTCACAACCAAGACACTACCAGTGTCATTGATCAAGATAACTCTCATCCAACCAACTTGTTCCCACAAAATGAACCAAACTTGAATCATCAACAAAAACCATCCTCAATGAAAATGCAAGAACCACCAATGCAATCGTATCAACAATCTGCTCCACCAACAGTCCCTTCACAACCTCCTTCCCAATAAACAAATCAAATAAATTTAAACAATCCCTATTTATTAATCACACATGTAATTTAAAGGACGTCCGATATCTAATATCTGTCTGTCTGTCGGTCGGTTCCTTGGACTATCCCAAAATGAATCAAAAACAATCTGAAAAGATATTTTCATCATCGATTCTGATCTTTTTTGTTTGTTCTCATAACCACCAAACGCCCAATAATATATTATCAAAGTATCAAACCCCCTTAAAACTCTTTAACGAGCCGTGTAAATCAACAAACAATGTGTACTACTACTATCATTTCATTTCATTCTCACATAATTAATAATCAATTATCTATAATCAGTTATCGAAACAATGACAACAACAACAACAAAGAGCAAAGAAATATTTATTCAAGAAGCAATCATAGAAACATCAAGATTAATCTTGAATGAAATAACTCATGATGATGTTGAATTTATCTTTAAACTGTGGAATGATGATATTGTATCTAGGTAAATATATTTATATTGGTTGCGATTAGACTCTTCAGTCCCATTGACCTTTTTATTTACGATGATTTCTAGATGGATAGGTAATAGAGGTATAAATGATTTAAATGGAGCACATAGATGGATAGATGAGAATCCAATCTTGGGATATAAAAGAGATGGGTTTGGATTATGGTTGGTTAGAATCAAAGAAACATTGGAGCCAATTGGGATGATTGGATTGGTAAATCGAGCACAAAAAGTAATAAGACAAGATGAGATCAACATTGGCTTTTCACTCATCACTGGTCATCGTTCCAAGGGATATTGTTATGAAGCTGCCAAAGAAGTAATGGAATACGCTAAAAAGAGAAATGTCCATGTCGTAGGATCAACTCATATTGACAATATAAACTCTAAAAAGGTATTGGAAAAGTTGGGGTTAATCTATCACAGTAGTTTCTCAATTCCTGGTTTCAATGGTGAATATATTTTATTGGTTCAAGAAAAAGATAAAGAATTAGAAGGAAAAGAAGAAAAACAAGAAGAAGAAAGAAATGATTAAAAATAGAAAAGGTTATTATTAATAATATTTAAAGTTTATTTAGAAAAAGAGGAATTGGTTTTATAGTTATTATTATTATTAATATTATTTAAATAGTTGTTTGTCCAAATGAACATTTCTTTCTTCTTTGTCTTTTGGTCCACTACTACTAATACCATAATTATAATCTATATCTATATCTATATCTATCTATGTCTATTTATTCTTCTTTTGGAGTTGGAGGAGAACCAGTGGTAGAGTAGGCACCCAAGTAACCAGTTGGATGATCTGGATACTTTTCTTTTAACTTTAGAGGAACACGAGCTCTCTTTGGTGTGAAATCAAACTTTTCAGGCTTGAGCAAAAACTTGAGACCTACACGATCATAGTAGACATTGGTAGCAGTACCTCCCAACTCTTCGATCACTTGTCTAGCACTCTCTGAGAAATCACTCATTTCAATATTAATCTTATGTTTAAAGGTTTCTGATCCCTAAAATAAAATAAAATAAAAGTAAATTAATATTAATTTTCCATATACCATATATAATCCAAATGGGAATTGTATTATTGAATCATCCATCATCATTATCATTATCATCATCATTCAAAAGTCAAACATACTTGAGCCAATATTTTAACACCATGTCTAATTCTACCAACAGCGTTTTGGTCGAATAAAGTCTTCATTGTGATTGGCATGGAAATGTCAATACGTCCTTCGCTAATGAGTTTATCCAATTTGGCGAGATTCAATGGACTAAGTTCTCTGGCAAAGGTTGCGTTTGAGAAACCATACTTTCTCATCTTTTTGAACAATGGTGTTTGACCACCTTCGAATCCACGTGGAATATCTATAGAACAACACAAATATAAGTATACATACATACATACTACTACTCTACTTTGTATTTGTTGTTGTTGTTTTTATACATACTGTGACCAGCTCTTGCTTTTTGACCACCATGACCTCTACCAGAGGTTTTACCTCTACCAGAACCAATACCTCTACCTAATCTGATTCTCTTTTTGTTTGCACCTGGATTATCTCTCAAATTGTTTAATGAAATTTCATTTGCCTGTGTTATGATCGTTCTGACAGATGTATATGATGTTGTTGGTTTAATATTTAATAGTTGGTTATTGTTGATACTGATAGTATTGTTATTTTTGTTGTTATTTAAATATGATTTACAAGTAAAGGATGAAGTAGATGTAATATATGATCTGCTGTATGATGACAACGATGATGTGCCATTGGTAGCTACTCCAGCAACCTTGTTGACATTTTGAATATTCAACTTTGTTGAAAAGGTTCTTGTTAATGAAGATATCATTCTCCTATGATACGACTATGACTATGACTATTGTCTCGCGACTTTTCTATAAAGAGTAAGTATAGTAGTATAGTAGGTAGTATTCAAAGCGAAAGTTAAAGGTAGATGTTTCGTGTTGCTGATCATTGCGAATATGCAAAATAAAAAAAAAAATTCAAAAAAATCACTCATTATTGCTATGAGAGAGGGTGCACTGCTTAGACTGAAGTTAGATAGTAAATCGATAGATAGAGATAGATATGTCTGCATCACCACCAACTCCGTCAACAGCAGCTGCATCATCTAGACCACCAGTTGCAATCACAACTATTATATGTGTAGATTGTGTGGTTGGTGAGAGTGTCAAGATTGGCAATGGCACGGTACTGCATCCTCGTGTATCGATTACATCTCCACATGGAGCACCAATCATTATAGGTGAACACAACATCATTGAGGAATTTGTAAAGATTGTAAATAATACCAATGAACCAATGATCATTGGCTCAAGAAATTTAATTGAAGTTGGATCTGGTAAGAAAGAAAGAGAGATTAGACAAATGAAACAAATAATGGGAAACTAATACCATACCGTACCTTTGAATCATTGATTGATTATATAGTTATTGAATGTAAATCTATAGGAAATGATAATGTAATTGAATCAAAAGCAAAGGTTAGTAGTGGATGTACAATTGGAAATGGATGTTCAATTGGAGCTGGTGTCACTCTTTACGAAAATGATATAATCGATGATCAAACTATCATCTCTGGTCCATCATTAAATAGAATGAAATCTTCTTTACCTTTGGATGTATGTTATATCTATCCATATCTATATATTTTAATGAATGGTTGTCATTCAACCAAATATTTATTTATTTATTTATTTATTTTATTTGTTTATTATCTATTTCTAGATACATAGTGGATTACATGAGAAGCATTTACAAGAATTGTGTAGGATGTTACCACAATTCCATAATATGAAATAGTAGTCAACCAACCAATGATATAATTATATAACACGCTCACGCTAGTGTGATCATCACACCATTTTGTATCGATACATGCGTATATTAGACCAATCGATAACTTAAATTATAAATCTTTTTTGTACATTATAAATTCTTCTTTCTTCTTCTTATGTATCATATGATATGATCACCAATCCACAAAAGGCACAGTTAATGACAACAAAACCAATCATTAAATATCAATTTCATTACTATCTTTGAATGATGAAGTTTCGGTAGTAGTAGTAGTAGTGGTAGCTGTTGTAGTTGTTGTATTTTCGTCGTCTGCAACATGATCATCAGTATGTTGATAATGATGACTATGGTTCTGATAATTTTGTTGTTGATAAGAAGAAGAATTTGATCTTGGAGCCCATGGATCCTCCAAGAATGAAGGTTTGAAATAAAAGGTTGTATTGAATTCACCTGTTGGTAGTGCTGGAGTATTGAATGATGATGATGATTGATTGTACTGTCTCTTTTGGTATGGTTGACCTCCTCTATTATTGTTGTATCCACCTCCACCTCTGTTGTTGTTGTATCCTCCTCTTCCTCCACCACCTCTGTTATTATAACCTCCTCCTCCTGCCCCTCCTCTACCTCTACCACCGCGATTATACATTTATTATTATTATCCTTTTTGTAGATATTAAACAATTAATTCTAATTAAATGAACATGCACCCACAAAGATCGATGATTAGAAAAAAAAAAAAAAGAAATCATTATTTATTTCTTTACTTATTTTTATATATTTAAAAAGAATATATATGTAAATTATGATCATCGACTTAAGGTAATTAATTATCATCAAAAAATCCTTACCTTATCAGACATATCTCAAAACCTAAATGTACTCAGATACTCATACTCGTTCAACTCGTCGAGTGAATTGCTTGAATTGTCTCAATCGTATTCATCGTTCCGACCATAACCTACACACTGCTTGCAATCATTGCAATATTTGGAGTAAAATCCATAAGACTAGAGGACCTCATCCCTTTTTGTTTACTTGTAAATCAATAATATCATCGCAATGTAAACGATAAAGGATGAAGTCCTTTTGTTTAAAAGACTTCTGCTGCCGTTTTCAAGAAGCAATTGCTGTGATGATTGTCCCGTGGTATGTATGTATGGTATTTATGGTAATAGACCAAAGAATAATAATAATAACTCATCCAATAAATATTTAATAAATTACTTAATTCGTGTGCAACCATCAAAGACAAAGGAAAGAAGAAGAGAATTGCAAGACCTGTAATATGATTTCATGTAAAAGGTTTCTCTCTCTTTGTCCATCAACATCATGAGACATCCCCTCCTCCCACTATCGCACCACCACAAACACATCCGTTGGCGTGCACGAAAACTTTTTTTTTCCACTGCAGAAAGAAAGGGAAGACCCAACCCAACGTAATTAAAGCTTCAACTGCCCCTCCCTCAATCGTCAAACAATACACAATATTAAACAACTTTCGAGATATCTTATTTTCTCTCTACTATTTATTTTATTATTACTATTATTATTTGCATTCACCTCCCACCAACCATTGTAACATTATACTTATACTATACATCAATCATATCATATCATATCATATCAAATCAATCAATACGCGCGCACACTAAATATTATTATTATTATAGTTTATTTATTCATTCATTCCATTCATTCCATTCATTACTCCTCCCTCTCACGACTACTAACTAACCACCAAAAAACGAATCATAAAGAAGAGTTATTTATTGATCAATACCTAAACAACAACCACAAACTCCAAAAACACAAACAATCTATCTCTCTATTATATTAGCAATCAATACACCTCTTTTATTTCTTTATCATTTAAAAGAAATTAAGATATAGCAATAATAATATACAATTAGTAACATAGTAGAGTTTATTTATCAACGAACAAGAATAATAATATAGAATGAATTCACTTATTAAAAGAGTTGAAAAGATTCAAAGAGAGACAGTAGACGCAAAAGACAAGAATAAACAATTACAAGATGAAGGTGATGTCGATGCATTCACTCTATTAAGAAGAAAGATTGGTCTTGATGTAAAGGGTATTAAAGAGGTAAGACTAATTGATCAATCACATGACAACCAACCAACCAATCAATCAATCAGAAGAATAAGAGTTTAAACTAAACATTTATATCTTTTTTGTTGTTTTTGTAGTTAATTAAAGAAAGAGATGAAGCAGAAGAGACAATGCCAGGATCAGTTAGAACAGTTGAATTGTCACATCAAATTCGTAGAGCCATTATAGATATTAAAGCCGATGCACAAAAACTACAGAGAATGTATGACAAGGGTCAAGAGAGATACACTAAAAAGAACAAAGAGAATGAAGAAAAGTTAAAGAAGCTCGAGCTGGAAAAGGAAGTGTGCGAATTGGTTTGGAGTCATATCAGTGAGTTGGAATTGATCAACAAAAAGAGAGGAGGTGAAAGAAACGCTTTCATCCCATTGGATCCATCAACTTCATCAGCTCCCAAACAATTACCTGATATTGATAACGACGATTTTAGAACACTTAGACAAAATGATCAAAAGATTGTAAGTCAATAGTCAAAAAGGAGTACACATATTTGGATACTAATTCTCTTTTGTTTTTTTTATTAGGATGCTAAATTAGATATTATTAGTCAACATTTACAAGAGACTGAACAAATTGCCAAGGTAATGGGTGATACTGCCAAACGTCAAGGTGTAATGCTTGACAACCTCAACGACAGAGCAGACGATCTCGACACTAAATTGGAAAATATTAATATCAGACTCTCTAAAATGATCAAAGATATTAGAAAGGCCGACAGATTCATTATCGATGTTATTCTTATTTGTGTTTTACTTGGTGTTGGTGGTTTTATTTATTCCATCGTTAGATAAACATAACTATATCACTAAAATAATAATAATAATAATATAAGTAATAATAATAATATCATCCCCTCACCTCACCTCACCTCACCTCCGTAAACTTTAGTAATAATAATAATAATTAATAATTAATAACATGATAAATATAATAATCTCTGTTGTTATTATATAATAATAATAATTTTAAAATACATCTTTCACCTTCATAATATTTATTGAAATATTGGTTAATGCAATAATAATAATAATAATAATAAATAATAACTTAAAACAGAATACATAGAGTTAGAGGTATTCTGTTTTATATCTAAAAAAAACAAACAAATATTTTTTTTTTTTTTTTTTGATGTCTGCTCCAAGTGGGTCAAAAGATGATTTGAGTTTCATTATTCATTTAAATTTCAAAAATGATGATGATGGAAGAATTATTTAAAAATATTATAAATAATGTATATCTTTGTCAATTAATATTTAGACATGTTAATGGTATACATCGATGCTTATCATTGAATTCGAACAAGTACACCTATCAAGATGGTCAAAATGGAGAGGGTGATGAAAAGTATCGTACAATAGATCCGATTTGGTTGGCTCGTAACAAGTACTATCAAGCATTAAAGAATGGATTTAGAGAGGGTAGATTCCAATCTTTTCATTTTCAAGTACAACAAGATTGTGAATACGGTTATGAATATTTGATAGATTTTGTACATACTGTCTTGGATGATAGTAAAGAGAGCACGGAATTCTTTATAATGTATATCTATCCTGTTTGGAGAGGTATATATCTTGTCGATATTATGGCTGCAGTAAACAACCTAGATATTCAAGAGTTTCTATTATCACATCAACATGAAATCACTTGTAATCAAGGTGGTGCTACATTCAGAGCTACAGACACTTCATCAAAGTATGGGTATTTGGAGATGGTACAATTCTTTCAAAATCGTCGTCCGTCATTGGGTCATTCAACAAATTCTATTGATTTGGCTGCCTCAAACGGACACTTAAATGTTGTCCTTTATCTTGTACAACAACAACAAGAGAACAACAATAGTGGACAACAAGAAGAAGGATTTACAACGATTGGACTGGAAGGAGCATGTGAAGGAGGATATTTAGAGATTGTAAAAATTTTGGTAGACAATTACCCTAATAGTTCGGTGATGGGATATCTACCAATGGCAGCTGGTAAAGCGTATGCAAAAGGACATTTACATATTGTAGATTATATAATCGATGAACAAAAGCAAAGTACCAAATATTGTTATATGGGTGCAACATCACCCACCCTATTTAGACATTTATTGGACAGTGGAAGAGCAAAATTAGATATTCAACTATTACTTCACATCCTTGAAGATGATTGTGTTACAGTGTTGGGAGATATAATCGATTCATATCCACAAGAACTTTGGAATATTTGGTATGACACTGTTGACGAGATGAGACAACACATCTTTGGCATGATATTGTCATGTCTAGCTGCCAAGAAAAATAATCTTACCACTCAAAATACACTAGACAATGTTGAATTGCTTCGGTATCTCTATCTACACTTAATGTCACCCATGTGCCCTGCTGCCATCCCTCACCATGCAATCGAGCGTGCTATTATTGAAAACAATCTTCCAATACTGCAGTTTCTTCATAAAGAGGTGGGATGTGGCGCTTCAGACGACTGCATGACATATTTCGGCTCGAGTGGATCGGTGGAGGTATCAAAATACCTGTTGGACAACTTTTCAGACTTAAAAGTCACAGAAACTGCTATTGGGTTAGCTGTTTTAAACAATGGCCAAGTGGTTATTCTTTTCGATCAGTATGACAAGTCACATCCCCAACTACTCTCTAATCCTCGATTCTCAAAGGAAATAATGGACGAGGCAATAGGATATGGCAAACTTGACCTTGTAAAATATCTATACAAAAATAGAACAGAGGGATGCTCAACAAATGCATTTGGGTTGGTGTCAAAATATGTTTGTCCCACTTCCCAAGCCAATCCTTATTATCACTTGCCAAATCCACACCCACTAACAATCATTCCAGAGACCATAACTCATGAAATGACTACAAGCCAAAAAGCAACCCAATTGGAAATGGTAAAGTTTTTGGTACAAAATTGTTTGAATTATTGTAAACCAAATGCTGATTTGTTAGAATTGGCAATTGATCATTCTAATTATGATTTAATTGATTATATTAAACAAAAATCTTTAATTACAATGATTAAAATAAATAGGTAAATGTATTTTTTAACCAAAACTGTGGACAATAGCCTTGTAGTTTTGAAAGACTAAGATAAAATTTTTTTAATAAAAAGGCTAAACTTTTATATATTTATAATACTACAAAGAAGGGTTTATTATATAAGTGAGGGATTATTTAAATAAATAAATAAATAATAAATAATATAAATTATTATGTTTGGGGATTGGATTAGTTTGTCTTGATTTTTTTTTTCTTTTTTTTTTTTAGAATAAATTAGAAGTTTTCTTTTTCTCTGTTCTCTTCCATAATGGCATGACTTCCCATTCTTGTTTAGTTACACCAAGGTGTTTAATAAACTCATCATCTGAAAGGTACATTTCCAAAACAGAACGATCAATTTCAGGAGGTGTACTCTTTTTGGTCAAATCATCATAGGAAACAATTTGATAATATTTCTTTAATAAAGTTGCTGCGGCTTGAATCTTTGGTGATTCAGGTGGCTCATCTTGATCTGCTCCATTTGACTAAATAATAAAAATGATGATGATTAATAATTTTTGTTATTTGTTATTTACTTTTTTACTTTTTTTACTTACAGATGATGAAGAATATTTAAAAGTATCCCAAGCATGATAACAACTTGTAAAAGATAAGGGTTCTTCCTTTTCCTTGATAAATAATACATCTTCTTCTTTTCTACCATCCTTGCGAGCATGAAGATAATCAATTGCAATTTCCATGGCACGTTTCTTTTCCTTTTCTGGTGCTTTGCTACCGGACCAAACAAAAATCTTGGATTTGGTGTCGAGGATGAATACACGATTGATTTGGAAATCGTATTGATTGAAATTGAATATTTCATCGGCACGAATAATAGAACCAGTATTTACAACGGCAAACATTTGGATACGGTTCTTTTCAATGGGAGGTTGAACACTTTGAACGAGGAATTCATGGTCGGCATACTTTTGCTTGCCTCCCAACATCTTCCAGAAAGCATCACTCTCCTTGCCTTCGTCGACTCGCTGGATTGCGTTGCCAGAGTCTACAATCTTGGCAAGGTTTTGTGATTGCTCGACGAGGGCTTTGGTGGCACCACGTCCCACCCACAAGTAGGTAGTCTTGCTATCCGAGACGATGAATGCGTCACGGCTGTTGAGTGCCGAGCTGGTGACACGTGTGCATTGGATGGCATAGATACGATCATCCTTTTTGCCATGCACGTGGTAGAGACGTGTAGACTTTAGGTCAACATCGCCTCTGACACCACGGTGCATGACAAACTTGCCATTAAAGGATTGCGTAAAGATTCTTGGCTCACGGCCATGACGAACGCATTCTTGGACACAGTCTCCACGATTACTAGTTTCTATATACATGTCTTTGGAGAGGAGTGTGCTCATACCAATGTCGTTACGTGTGGCATCGATACCTTGCCAAATAAATATAATAAATCTAAAGGCGTTCCAACGCGAATAGGTGTATCGAATAATGTAGCAGTTTCCACTGTACAAGTGTCCATACTCTTGTTTGGGCAACTCGACAATCTTGTTGTCTTCAACGTACCACACTTCAAAGCTGCTCTCTGATATGGCTCTCTCGTCCTCGGCTTCCTCTGGCAACTCGCTGTACACCATTTCCGTCACATCAAATTGATTCATCTTGGCAGGTGACTTCTTTTCATAGGGGATGGCCACTTCAAAGAGACGTTTCTTTCCAAAACCCATACGCGACAATGACACCTCGTGACTGAGGTCAGGCCAATCGGCAAACTTTTCACGAAACATGACTGGTTCACCACCTTCAGAGGTGATGATCATGTCTACCCACGATTGACGATGTGTACCACTAGCAAGACGCTCCTTGGCCTTTTCAATAAAACTGTCCTTGTGTATGAAATCGGCGTTTCGGCCAGACCAAGCATAAAACTCGGATCCTGTATCGAGAACAAAGTAGCTGTCGGATGCGAGCAGCTCGAGTGAGAGTATTCCCTTTTGTGCTTCTGGTTGCTCGACATTGACGAGGTGCTTGGCGTCTTGGTCGTACTTGAGGAGGGTGTATGAGCTGGCCCAGTGTGTTTCGGCCTCAACATCGTCGCCTCCCTCTTCCTTGATCGAGTCGGTGGCGGCACCCTTGATCTGCTTAAAGAATTCGAGGGCGTCCTTGTCCTTGTCACCCTCATCAATCTTGTAGACGGTAGCGTGTCCACCACGTTCGTGTGATTTGATGATTTCGGCAATGGCAACAGCCTTGCTCTTCTTGTTGGCCGTTGCCTTTGATCCATACCACACATAGATGTTGCTATGAGCAGACGAATCAGAGCTTTCACCACCAACACCGCTATTCTCAATACCACAGTCCAAAACAAAGGCGTCGCACTTGTTCAACGACTTGGTGGTCACCTCAACCTCCTTGGTCAAGATTCTCTTCTTGCCCTTGCAGTGAATGAGACGTGTACGCAGACCAGAGTACGTGTCTACTGCCTTTTTGTGGACGAGGAACTTGCTAGGATCGCCTCTCATGGTTGACGAGACTGACACTGATTGCGAACGTCCCTTTACAAAGTTGGGTGCATTGATTTCACTTTCCGATGACTTGATCGATGCTAATCGGTTGTTTGGCGAGGAGGAAGACGATACATTGATCATGCTAGCAGCCTTGTTCTTGTCATTCTCTAACTTTTTCTTTTGGGCTTCAGCTGCCAATGCTGCCATTCCACCCAATAATCCACCGGCGCCTGGTGGCATGACCATACGCTTCATAATACGGTCCTTGAGTTCGTCTTGGGTGACTGGTTTGCTATTATCATCTTGTTTGGCTTCAAGTGCTTGTGAAAGGAGTGATGGTCCAGAAGAAGAAAATGAAGAAGATGAAGCAGATGATTTGGATGGATCAATCACGATTGACTTGCCTGCATTTTTGCTTGGTAATTTTCTTCCTTGTATTCTGGCTCTATCCATTGTCAAACTTGAAAGTTTGGATGGTGATGAAACTGATGACGAGGTTGGTTCTTCATTGACTACAACAGCTGGTTGAGGATTATTCTTTTGATCCAATTGTTGTTTTAATTGTTTCTCCATTTGTAATTTAAATGAATCACTAACTTTTGTCTTTGATGATTTTGATTCTTCTTCTTCTTTTGCTAATTTTTCTTTAGCAATACGATCCCTTTCCTCTTTGTCTGCTTTTTCCTTTGCAATACGATCCTTTTCGTCTTTGTCTGCTTTTTCCTTGGCAATACGGTCTTGTTCTTCCTTGGCAGCTTTTTCTTTGGCCAAACGATCTTGTTCTTCCTTTGCAGCTTTTTCCTTGGCAATACGATCCTGTTCTTCTTTATCAGCCTATAAAATTTAAAATCATTAATATTTCGCCTACTTGTGAACATGTTCTGAGTATATTTACCTTTTCCTTAGCAATACGATCTTGCTCATCCTTTGCAGCCTTTTCCTTAGCAATGCGATCTTCGTCCTCCTTTGCAGCCTTTTCTTTGGCAATACGGTCTTGCTCTTCCTTTGCAGCTTTTTCCTTGGCAATACGATCTTGCTCTTCTTTATCAGACTTTTCCTTTGCAATTCTCTCCTTCTCTAAACGATCTTGTTCCTCCTTGTCTGCTTTTTCTTTTGCTAAACGATCTTGTTCCTCCTTTGCAGCTTTTTCCTTGGCAATACGATCTTGCTCTTCCTTTGCAGCTTTTTCCTTGGCAATACGATCTTGCTCTTCTTTATCAGACTTTTCCTTTGCAATTCTCTCCTTCTCCAAACGATCTTGTTCTTCTTTATCAGACTTTTCCTTTGCAATTCTCTCCTTCTCTAAACGATCTTGTTCCTCCTTGTCTGATTTTTCTTTGGCAATACGATCTTGTTCCTCCTTGTCTGCTTTTTCTTTGGCAATACGATCTTGCTCTTCTTTATCAGACTTTTCCTTTGCAATTCTCTCCTTCTCCAAACGATCTTGCTCCTCTTTATCAGACTTTTCCTTTGCGATACGTTCTTGCTCCTCTCTATCAGCCTTTTCTTTGGCCAAACGATCTTGTTCTTCTTTATCAGACTTTTCTTTTGCAACTCTCTCCTTCTCCAAACGATCTTGTTCCTCCTTGTCTGATTTTTCTTTGGCAATACGATCTTGTTCTTCTTTGTCTGACTTTTCCTTTGCAATTCTCTCCTTCTCCAAACGATCTTGTTCTTCCTTGTCTGCCTTTTCCTTGGCTAAACGATCTTGCTCTTCCTTGTCTGACTTTTCTTTTGCTAAACGATCTTGTTCCTCTTTATCTGATTTTTCTTTGGCAATACGTTCTTGCTCTTCTTTATCAGACTTTTCTTTGGCCAAACGATCTTGCTCTTCTTTGTCTGATTTTTCTTTGGCAATACGATCTTGTTCTTCTTTGTCTGATTTTTCTTTGGCAATACGATCTTGTTCTTCTTTGTCTGACTTTTCCTTTGCAATTCTCTCCTTCTCCAAACGATCTTGTTCTTCCTTGTCTGCTTTTTCTTGGCAATACGATCTTGCTCTTCTTTATCTGACTTTTCCTTTGCAATACGTTCTTGCTCTTCTTTATCAGCCTTTTCTTTGGCCAAACGATCTTGCTCTTCTTTATCAGACTTTTCCTTTGCGATACGTTCTTGCTCCTCTTTATCAGCCTTTTCTTTGGCCAAACGATCTTGCTCTTCTTTGTCTGATTTTTCCTTGGCCAAACGATCTTGCTCTTCCTTGTCTGATTTTTCCTTTGCAATGCGTTCTTGTTCTTCCTTTTCTTTTACCAAAGCAGCAGCATCTTGATCTTGTTTAAAAGTATCAACTTTTTCAGTTGGAGGAGAAGTTGGTTCATTTACTTCTCTCTTTTCACGTTCACGCATTCTTCGTTGTCTCTCTTCAGCCAATTTTCTTTCTTGTTCTTCGATTTGTTTCTGAGCCTCTTCACGTTGTTTTCTCTTTTCCTCCATACGCTTTTCTCTTTCTTCACGAATCTTTTTAAGTTCTGGATCGTCGTCATCGACAGCAGCCATTGATGTAAGATTAGTGGCCGAAGTTGAAGTTGAAGAAGAGATGGATGCTCCATCAGACGTCGACGATTGAGAACGATTCTTTCTCTCTGATTCCAATTTTTCAAGATCCTCTTTCAACTTTCTATCCTCTTCCTCTCTTAGTCGACGTCTTTCATCACGCTTTCGAATACGTTCCTCTTCATCTTTTTTCTCTTGTTCCTGTAAGATCTTGAGTTGTTCTTCACGTGCTCTCTTTCGTTCCTCTGCACGTTTCTCACGTTCTTGAGCCTCTTTTTCCATATCGAGGCTTTGTTGTTTCAACTCTTCCAATCTCTTTTTTCTTGCTTCACTGTCATCCATCTCTCTTTTTTTTTTTTTGGTAGTTATTATTATTATTATATTATGTTGTTACAAGACAGTGACTAGTTTAACAAGAAGATTCTATAAAAACATATGATTAGAATTGATTGATTGATTTCATATATTTTAGATACATACCCGTTAGTTAGTTAGTTGTTAGTTGTTGTTTTGAATGATCAAAAGAAGTTGTATCAATTAATAATTAAATTAATGAAATGAAATGAAATGTAATGTTGGTTAGGTGCCTCTATTATTATTATTATTATATAGTATTGTTTATATATAGTAGTAAATGTAAAGTATGTTTGTTAGTATAAAGAAATAACAAATAAGAAGAAGAAGAAGAAGAAGGAGAAACAAGAAGAAAGTAATTCATTCACTATTGATTGACTGATTGATTGATTGATGATTGAGTTTGAATTGACTGATGGTTCGAGTGGTAGCAAGTATTGGTTGTGGTGAAGTGAAGAGGAGGAGGAAGGATACTGTGCAGAGTAGTAGTGGGGTTTGGCACTCACACAACAGTAAAACTAAAGTGAGTGAAGGTGGTGGGAAGGGGGTTGTTGTATTAAATGAACGATGAAGTTGGTTTGATGGTCAATCAATAGTGAATGAATTACTTTCCTTGTGTGCTTCAACTGTCAAGTGATTATCTACTATCTATCTCATACCTATTATTAAAAGTACAATGAATGAATGGTTGGTTGAAGATAACAAACTAGCTAGTTAGTTATCATATAAACCAAAAGAGATATAAAAATACAAATGGATTATCTATCTATAAATAAAAGTTATATAAAGTGTTGTTGGAAAAAAAATGACACAACTAACTGGTTCAGATAACGGCTCATTGCCTCGGGATTGTTTGGCAAAAAAAAAAAACATGTTGGGGAAAGGATGGCAGAATTCTTCAAAGAAATATATCTCTCTTACTTATACACAATCCAATTAACCATTGAATTCAGATATGACAAAAGGAAAATCTTTGTATCATGATATCTTATACTATATTATACTACACTATACTATATCTAAATTTTGGTGTTTGATATGTTTTTGGGATTGAATAACCTAAAACGAAAAAAAACCGTTGGTGTTGTTGCAAAAAAAAATTTAAAAAAAGAGGCAAAAAAATGGTTTAATTATTCATGAATAAAGAAACATCTGCATTTTCATCAAGCAATCAATCGGATCTATTATAATCGATTATACACTCACTCACATAACAATCTTAGTAGTTAGTAGTAGTAGTAGTAGTGTAAGAAGAAAGATTTGTGTAGTAAAAGTAGAGTTAGATAGTTTAAATGATGGATGTTGATGATAAATCAGGAGGAGGCGGCAATAAGGCACCTGCAACACCGACATCATCATCATCATCATCATCAAATAATGTAAACTTGTCATCACCACCTATGAATATGGTTGGTTCGTTACACTCTCCTCCCATGGGACTAGGTGCTGGACCAGTAGGCGGTGTCGGTGCACCAACACCTGAAGCATTCTTGAATGCTTATGCTGCAGCGGCTGCTGCTGGTGCTCCTCTAGGTTACCCTCCTTATATGGGTCCTGGTCAATTTACAAATCCTTATGGTATGTAGAGACATAATAGATAGAAGATAAGATTAGTTTAGATTAACATTCATTTATTGACTTATTTGGTACATACTTATTTTTTGTTTCAAGACTTTACATTATTCAATAGAAATGCAGCGGTTGCAGCAGCGACAGGATATTATACAAGAGGAGTTGGAGTGGTTGGTGCACCACCTGGAGCATTTCCACCGATCGGTGTTCATGGTGGACAGTTTGTCAATCAACAACAGGTGATCATTCAACCAGAGGTATCCAAGATGTGGGTTGGCAATCTACCACAAGACACCACCGAAGATGAGTTAAGGGTGTTCTTTTCACCGTACGGCAAGATCGAGTCGATCAAGGTAGACTATCGATGCGCATTCATTAAATACACTGAGCATATATTGGCACAAAATGCAATTAAAGCAACCAATGGTGTCTTGTTTAAGGGAAACAAGATAAAGGTTAATTGGGCGAGTATCAAGGTACGAGGCAAGATGCCACAACCTTCAACTACATCACCGTTACTCTTTGGTCCACCAGTAGGTGTTGTTCCATTACCCAACCTACAGGCTGCAACACCACCTATTTTGGCTGCTGCTGCCACTACTCCATCTCCACCAACTAATAATGCAATAGCTGCTGGACAACACCAACAACACCACCACCAACACCAACTAATGTCTGAACAACAGATTCAATCACCACCATCATTATCATCGGCTAGTAATAGTATTAAAACAATATCTACACCACCATCCTCTGCTACGGCCACTACCGCTGCCGGCACCATACTCTCATCATCATCCAACTCGCTACCTACATTATTGACCACCAACCCTATTTCACCAACTCAACCTTCATCATCATCTTTATCGACTTCTGTATTATCAACGAATCCATCATCATCTACGACATTGTCATCATCGATATCATCAATAACAACGTCGTCATCTTCTGTACAATTATCACTTGATCTCAAAGATAGTATATCGAAAAATAGTAATAGTAATAATAATAATTTAAATAATAGTAGTGGTAGAATAAATACCAATACAAATATTGCGCCACAACATCATCATCCATATCATCGACCTCCACCACCACCTCCACCATCTCAGCCATCTCAACAACAACAACAGGCAACTAGTTCAGCACATCAACTTTTACATTACAATGATTTTGAGGAACACGTTGTTTCCAACAAGAGCAAGACACTTTCAATATCACCATACGATAAATTATTATTGGAAGAAAAGAATCATCTATTGTATTTGATTGATCATCTATCGACTACTTATCGATCAATCAAAGAAGCCAAAGATTGGATATTATTACACTTTAGATGTTACCGTTCCATCATTTCAGTGATATCATCTTATTTTCAAGAGGTTGGTTTAACTCTACCACCACCCCAACAACAACAACAACAACCACAACAATCAACAACCAAAGTATTACCATTATTATATCTTGTTAATGATATTTTACATTTTGGATTATTGAGAAGACGATCGATTGAACAAATTGATATCATTGCAGAGTTGACCGAACCTCATCTTTCTACCATGTTTGTAACATTCCACGATGAACCAACTCAAAATCAAAACCAGGCAATGACGATACTCGATCTTTGGGAATCCAAAAAAGTTTATCCTCCAAAAATAGTACAATCATTAAAACAATTAATGTAGTAATATTTTTTCTTGAAAAAGAAAAATAAAAAAGAGATTATCTTTTAATTATTATTAATATTATTATGTTGTATTTATTATTATTATTATTATTATTATTAAAGGTGTATAATTATTTGTTTTTTTTTTTTTGTTTATGATTTTGATTTTGTTTGTTTTAGATTTAAAGATAAGTTTGATCAATTGGTATATCAACGGTACCATCAATTGAAACCAATGAATCTAAAATGACAGTATAGAGATAGAGGATCTTTTCAATGGATTGAGGTTCTTTGTTCCAAATGGATGATTGTGAATCTACTTCTAGACAAAGTTGATAGGTATCTATGGGGAATTCTAGTTGAGTATTTCCTTCTCTACATTTGACCACTTCCTCTTTTGAAAGAGTTAGAGTGATACCACTGTTTCCAAATCCAAGACTTGGCAAAAGAGTTGTCTTTAGTGTCATCAATGCTTCTCTTAGATATGGTCTTTTTTCCATCATCCATTTAGTATCGGTCTTTGTAATCTTGTCTGAACTCTTGGTCAAGAACATCTTTTCAAATTCCTTGTCACTGCATTCAACCGATTTATTAAATGACAATAACTTTTCAATCGTTGAAAAATAACTTAAACTTTCAATTTCAAATGTTAATCTATTTGATCTTCTAATTGGTGTCTAAACAAAAATTAAACAAAGAAAAGGTTAATATTAATATATATTATATTTCCAGAGATTTGTTCATCCATCTATCCATCCATCTATTTACCATTAATTTTAAAACAAAATAAGGTTCAATATCTTTGTTTTCAATTTCAATCTTTTCAACAACCGTTGTTATCCATTCATTCTTGTAGATTACATGAATGGGACCAATCGATGTCAATTCATCATTTAATATTGGATACTTTCTTTCCAAAGCTTCCTTTTCCTCTTCGGTTTTGAATAGTTTTTTGGTTTCTTTTCTTTCCTTTTTCTCTTCTTGTTTAGTGGTTGTTGTAGTTTGTTCTTTTAATATTTTGACTTCTTCTTCCTTTGTTTTGTTGTTGTCATCATCTTCATCATCATCATCTTCATCATCATCACGATCTTCAGATTCAGCCAATCTTCTCTTTTCTCTGTCGATAAAGATATTGTTTTCACGTACACATGCATCTACAAACTTCTTTCTAGACTTTGACATATCACTCCTTGACATTTCATAGTTTACTTTGTATTCTCCCAAGATGTATCCCTTTTCGGCTTCGTATACTATTGGCTTGACCATCGATACATTGATACATTTATCTTTAAGTTTACAATTAATTAAACACCAACATGTTGGTGCAACTTCAGTAGTAGATTTAGATGTTGATTTATCAACATTTAAAGAAGAGGAAGAAGATGAAGAGGAAGTGGATGAGGAAGTGGATGAGGATTTATTATTTACATTATTTTCAATATTTTGTTGTTGTTGTGAAGGTAGAGTACAAAGATTATCTTTTTTCTGAACATCTTCAATGTCTAGAGGTATAGATGTTTTACTAGTTGTTTGTTGTTGACTATTAATAGTACAGTATGTGAATCTTTTATATTGTTGTAGTTGTGAAGAAGAAGAAGAAGAGACATATAAATGACTACTACTACTACTACTACTACTTGATTTAGTTGTTGTTGTATAAATGTTTTTGCATTTATTACAAGTTCGATATGCAGCTGCATTATTGACTGTTGTTGCAGTAGCAATCATAACAGATTGCTTTGTTAATGATTTAAATAATCCTATACATGATGATGAACTCATTCTTCTTTATCTCTTTTGATATTGTTAGATCAAGAATAATACAATAAAATATATAAAAAACAATTTTTTGATATTGAACAGGTTTCTCCATTTAGGCCTGGTCAAATTTTGGGGAAGATCAATTTTTAATCAAGGTAGTACAAAACTTCTGGGTTTATATACCTCATAGTATTTTCGTAAAACAACAACAACAATGGCAGTTGTACAAGAATGCGAACGATGAAGATTTCCGACGTAATAAGTCATAGTACTAGAAAGAAGATAATAACAGAAGAGGAGGAGGAAGAAGAAGAAGAAGAAGAGACTGAAGAAGAAGAGACTGAAGAGCATGTAAATCTCAAAAAGACAATGATATCATTGTGTATCATTTGGGATACCAATATGGTCAACCCAAAGAAACTATCAAGATTAGTGATGATCGATAGAATTACAAAGAGACAGATTGATATTACAAACCATAGAGATAAATTGGAGAATGGTAGATATTGATATTACTAATATCATATGATGTTATATGTATAAGTCACTAACGCTCTAGATCTATTTTAATTTATTTAGCACAACTTTTAAACTATTCTCGAATGGTTGGTACTCGACCACTATCTGTATTGTTGATGACCAAGATTATTAGATACGCATGGGAGATGGATACAATGACTGGTACTGGTTACAAGTATAGAGTGTTCGAACCATTTAATGAAAATGTACTTGTTGGTCGATACAAATGGGCATTGTCACTTGGGTTGGTATGCAAACAATTCTTTAATCTCGTCAAATCATCATTGTTTAAACGTCTCTGCATTTATAATAGTTCACTCACTAAGCAATGGAGTCGTTATGAAGACAACAAAGTTCGAGCACTTGCAAACGACGTATCACAACACATAGACAATATTGCTTGTGTCATTAAACAACCTACCAACCTTACAATACAGTGTAAAATGTTGATTGGTATTGCATTGAAGCCATCGATAGGTGCAGTCATTCTTCTTCAAGGTATTACAAAGTTACGATTGGTCGATACGACATCAAATTTCTATAATCTTTTTGATAGTGTTCTTCAGGTGATGGTCAACCTCGAGTCACTAACACTTGATAATACCGGTGATCTTTCAGAAATATATCGACCATCACTCAAACACTTATCAATTAAGGGTTGCCATCCACTATTCACTCAAAAGGTAATCAACCTCATCACCACACCCATACCATCACTTGGATTATCACTATTTCCCCAAGACCGCCACCTCCAACTACCACCCAACGTCCAATCACAAATCAAAAAGCTTCGTATTTACATTAAGAATATTCCTCCAGACTTTTCCAACTATACGTCACTGCGCAAGTTACAACTGACCAAAGAAAATTACGGCTCATTCATAAATCCACTTTCATTCGCGATGATGGTCAACGTCACATATCTGTCGGGTGAAATGACAGATCCTCAATGCATCAAAGAATGGTTTGAAATCCTCCCAAAATTCCCATCACTCACGACTCTGGAGGATTATAAACATGATTTTTGTAAAGATCAATGTCATTTATTTTGTAATAATTTATTAAAATTAAATAATAATAATAATAATAATAATAATAATAATAATAATAATAATAATAATAATAATAATAACATAGATTTAATATAATGGACAACTACCATCAGCCAAAATGGTAAATGGAATCAAAACAATAATATTACGTACAAAGTACACCAAATTTGAACAACATGACCTCACTCTAGCAGGTCTGTCAAACTACAAAGCTACTGGTCAACGATTCAAAACAAATTATTCCTATCGTGGTCCCGAGTTATATGTCAAAACTCTCTATTCTTACATTGCACACCTGACCACCAACGAATAAACAATAATAAATAATATGATAGAAAAAAGTTGACAACACCATCTAAAAGAACCAATCAAACCTCTGGAAGAATGAAAAGGGAAATAATAATTTACAAGTATGAATTTTTTATTTTCTACTTTGAGATCCACTCAAACAATGTGAAAACTGTTTTGTTTATTTTAAAACTTTTTAAAAAAACCAAAATATCAAAATTATCAAATAATGTTTTGACTTTAAAAGGAAATTCAAAGGTAATAAAAAGAAAAGAAAAGCTATCATTTAATTTAATTAATTAAATAAATAAACTTTTTTTTGTTCATGATATCTGCCAATGTTTTTTTGTGTTACTTATTGGAAAGATCAACCGAGAAGGACCAAACCATCCAAACACAACAACAATTTCAATGAGATTATGTTTTAGTATCAAAGAATAATTATTTTTACTTTACTTTATCTACCTCTCGAGTATTAAATAAATAAAGAAAGAAATGGAAGTTGACAATCAATTAAAGAATAATGATATTTTGAAAAGTTCATTTCACAAAAATGAAGACAAGGAACGTCCAAAAAAGAGTGTAAAGTTTGTAGCTCAGGAAAGAGAAAACATAGAACAAGGAGGTGAAGCTAAACAATCTTCATTGGGAAAACATTTACATACCCAAGACGAAGAATTACCATTGGAAAATGGTTGGAGTTTTTGGGAGGATCATTGTCACACTCATCATGGTGAAATGGCTACTACAGCTCAATATGAAGCTTCTTTAAAAAAGGTTTCATCTTTTTCAACTGTTCAAGTATGTCAATGATTATAAAAATATAAAGATTTTTTTAATTAACTTTGTTTCTATTTTTTTTTTCTAAAACTTTAGGGATTCTGGAAAGAATTTAATAAATTACCACATTTAATTAGTGTACCAAATAATAGTTGCTACCATTTAATGAAAGAAGGTGTTAGACCAATATGGGAGGACCCTGAAAACCAAGATGGAGGTGTTTTAATTTTAAAGATTAAAAAGTTTAGAACGTATGTAATTGCAAGTTCATATTTTCTGTTTTTTTTTTAGATAAAAACTAATTAACTTTATTATTTTTTGTAAGTGATGAAGTTTGGAATGAATTATTATTGACAGTGATTGGAGAACAATTTAGTGCTTATTTGGACACTGACGATGATATTTGTGGTGTATCGATTAGAAAGAAACAAGGATTGGATTTCAATACCATTCACATTTGGAACAAGAATTCAAAAGGAAATTCACAAATTGAAAGAGCCTATAAACATCTTTTACAACGTCTAAGTGATGCTTGTATCCATTTATATTATAGAGGTATTGTTTAATGGAAATATGAATATAATTAAAAATAATATTATTATTATTATTATTATTATTAACAACAAATACATTTCCATATTTAAATTTAGAACATAAAATGGAATTTGAAAGAATGAATAAAATGGAAAAACAAAAGGAGGAACAAAAGATTGACCAACATGTAGATGACAAAAAGAAAGAAGAGCCAAAGTTAGAAGAGGAAGTAGAGAAATCACCAGCCGCCACCACCAATGAAAAACACTACAAGGAAGCTGAAGAAGATGAATATTCTGATTTATATTATCTCTATCTCTAGTTGGTAATCTAAATCCAAATCCATCCCCAAATTAAAATAAAACAGTAAAAGAGGAATGTTCATGACCTGAACATCCACACTTTTTAAACTTGTTACTTTTAACCAATCTTTTTATCCAGATTCTTTGTTATTATTATATTATTGTATAGTATTACCTATGTATTTTGGTACAATTAAATTATTAGTATTTTATTATTATTTTTTGGTATAGGTTCTCCTTTCATTATTTAGTCAAGTAAACCAGCATCTTTGAGCAATGGAACAAGCTTTCCATCCTTGTGTAATTTATGAGTGTCTATTGATAGATAGATAGATAGATAGATACAAAGTAAAGAGTAAAAAGTTAGATATAAATGATAAGATGAGAGAGAGAGAGAGTATGACATACCATCACAACCACCGATAAACTTTTGATTAACGAATATTTGTGGTACAGATCTAACACCAGTGATTGATTTAAGAGCATCTTGACATTCTCCACAGTCACCTCTATTGTCCAATTCAATGACGAATGCGTTGACCTTTAGATTTGCAAACAATTGCTTAGCCTTTACACAGTATGGGCAGAATGTCTTGCTAAAGATAACAAGTTTATTTGAGCTTATAGCTTGCTTTACAAATTCTGTTGACATTCTTATTATTTATATATATATGTATATATTTCTCTATTATTATTATTATTATTCTTCTAACTTATATGTTATTATTGTATGTTTATAAACAAATAATATTAATTCGAAAGACACCTTTTAAAGTGTCAAACGACGAAAATTCACACAAAAAAGAATGAATCGAACGTCATTCTTCTTCAAGATCTTTGAACATCACACAACAAAAGATAACTTATGTCTATTAATAATAAACACAAATGTCTCATAAACTAACCGAAATTTCATTATCGTCAACAACACAAATATATGTTGACTTGGAATTGAAGGTTGGAGAATAATTTAAAAGTTGTCGACATGTTTCTGGACCTGGATCATCGTCATGCAAATAATAATAATATTATATTATTCTTTTGATTTAATTTATTATTATCTTACTATTATTATTATTAAGTTAATTAAATTTTCTTTGGGAAAATAACTTCAATTAAATTCTTGTATTTTCCTTGGTCAAATGGATTCTTGATTTGTTTAAATGTTGGTGGTAATGGTAGATGAATGGAATCGTCACCATCATCAATTTGAATATTATTATTCTTTTTCTTTTGATTATTATTATTTGTTTGTTGTTGTTGTTGTTGTTGTTTACCATTCTTTTTCTTATTATTATTTTGATTATTAGTATTTTGATTATTAATACTTTCCAATTCATCCAATTCATGTTTTAACGATTGATTTTCTTGTTCCACTCTATTGATTGATATTTGTTCTTTCAAATCACCATATTTAAATGTTTCATTGGTCGTCTTGTTCTTTACAACCAACCACATATGATAACAGAAAAAGTAAAACAAAAACAATGAAATCACCAAACAAAATACTCCCAATGGGAATACTGATCTTGATTCATAGAATAAATACTAGAAACAAAGTAAAAGATAGTTAGACATTATCATCTATTATTCTTTTTTTTGTTTTTGTTCTATTCTATTATAATTATTTTTAACATACTTTAATAACATATGAAGTTGGTAAAGGTTCCCATTTACCATTTGTTCTATAACCCAATTGAAAGATATTTTTGGTGTCGATGATTACATAGATTGCTTCTAGACAAAGATAGAAACCATACATACAAAGCAATGAAGTAGAGAGTACAAACAAGAGAAAGTATCTAAGATTACTTTCTCCAACGCAATTATTGATCCATGGACAATGATGGTCCATACGTGAAACACATCGGTCGCATACTCTGCAATGCTTTGAACGCGATGGTTTAGTAATGTCACAGGTTTCGCAGTGTTTTCGAATGTACAACAATCGATCGTATGAATAGTGCATAGCATTCTTTACATTTTTCTTGGTCAAGTAACCCGGATTAGACATTGATGCAACCACAAATGTAAACAATGTAAATATAATTGCAATTGCCGATCCAGGTCTATGAAGATTAGATACATAAGGTTCATATAAATAAGGATATGTATCTTGATAGAATAAATATGCTCCAAATAATACTAATATTAAGTATACTGTCTTTTAATTAAAAGAGATAGAGATAAGATGTTAGAATAAGTTTACTTTCTTTTGATCATCTCTATCTCTATCTCTATCTATCTACATACTTGTAATATTATATTTGGTCTATGTAAAAAGTAGTTTGTACAACTTCCACATGATCTTCTTATAAATGAAGGACATATAAAACTTGCTCCTTTTCTAAATTATTATGATTGATTGATTATTGTTGTTAATCATCTCTACTACTGTCACTATCTCTCTATCTCTCTATCTCTCTTTTAAACATACTTGCAAGTATTCTCTAAGCCTTTAGTCATACCATAATGAATCTTTCCTACACATCCCTTTGAAGAATGACCAAATAGTAATACATAGATAATAAATACAGCAACTATAACATATCCAATTAGAAACTGTAATAGTAAATCCATAATCTAAACTAGTTGACCTCACTATAGTATAGTTGATTTGATACAAAATAATAATAATAATAAACTAAATTGAACGAATGAACAAATATCTTCTCAACAGAAAAGGAAAAAACTTTACTTTTTGGATATTTTAATTATTTAATTTATTATATATAGTTTCTATTTCTTCTTTTTAGAAATTAAAATTATTATGAGCAATCATTGAATACATCTTTGGTGGAATTTCACTGATACAAAGTTTACAGTTTTTCCATGGACCTGGATGTTTTCTTGAATGGTGCATACCACATAGTGAATGTTGATCGTGGTTATGGTAACAGTTATCACATGCATTCATAAACATGAGATGTGGATCAGAGTTTGAACAGATCCATTTGCCACAACACTTGGTTTTAGTGAGGTTACTCTTCTTTCCACAGAGTCCACATTTTTGACCTACCATATCAGCCATCATCTGTGCCTTTTTAGAACCTGGGGTGGAAATGACCAACTCTTCATCATCTACATCCAATGCTTCATCAGATTCGTCATCAGAGTCATCTTCATCATCGTATTCGTCATCGTCATCATCATCATCCGAGTAGTCGTCTTCGTCATAAGAGTATTCATCGTCATCATCATCATCCGAGTCATCACCACCATAATAATAGTATCCATCTTCGTCATCATCGTCCGAGTCAACGAAAAAGTTGTTTCTAAAGTTTTCATAGGCAAATTTCATGTGTTGTTGTCTATACGATGGTTCGCTATCAAAGCCAAAGTCATAGTTGGAGTTGTCAATATTCAACTTTTTGGTTGAATTGGAGGACCAAGAGGCAGCAGCAGGTTCTTGCTTCTTCTTTTTCTGTTGTTGTTGTTGTTGGGGTGCAGCCTTTTTTCTTTTTCTTGTCCTTTTTCAGATTGTTGTTGTTGCTTTTGTTTGATTTGTTGTTTCTTCTTCTTTTTGTTCTTTTTCTTTTTTGATGGATTTGAAGATTGAGATTGTGCATTCTTTGCAACATTTTCTTTTCTAGTAGTAGTAGTAGATTCTTCTTCTTCTTCTTCCTCTTCTTCAGATAATTCTTCTTCAGATTCAATAGTTAGGGCAGCAACAGATACCTTTACCTTTCCATTAACAGGTTTGGTATAGGGACTAGTTTTGGAATTGGTAGTAGTAGTAGTAGTTTTGGGTTTGTTAATCTTTGTTTGAGAAGATGAGGAGGTGTAGGATGGTGTAGAAACTGGTGCATTAGAAACTGGAAAAGGTAAAGGTGGAGGAACAGGTACAAACTTTTCCTTTTGATCCTTTTTGGTACCATTATTATTATAACCACTACTATTACTAGTATTATCATTCTTTGTTGCAAATGAAGAGGATGGTGAAGAGGTTTCATTCAACTTTTTGGAAGGTGTTGAAGTTGATGTAGTTGTTGATTGTTGTTGTTGAGAATAGAAATGTCCATAGGGGCATTCAGTAGTGTTGGCACAACCAGATGGTCTGTTAAAATATTTACATGGTATCTCCTTTAGATTATGTGCAAATGGGCAATCATCACCTTTGGAGCAATAGCCAGCCTTGAAGAATTTACATGGCTCCCATACAAAGTCGGTGGTAAAGTCATCGGTAAAGACTGGTTCTTCAACTTCAACTTGTTCTACTTTGATTGGCTGGTAGAGATCGTGAGAGTATGGACAATCGTTACCCCTAGAACATGAACCAGCTTTACCATTATAGAATTTACATGGTTCATTTTCCTTTTCCTTTCTCTTTTTGTTGGTGTCATTTACTTTTGGTGGTGGTACAACTACAGCCGGTTGTACAACTACTGGCTTATAGAGATCGTGAGAGTATGGACAATCGTTACCCCTGGAACATGAACCAGCTTTACCATTATAGAATTTACAAGTTTCCTTTTCTTTTTCCTTTCTCTTTTTGTCGATGTCCTTTACTTTTGGTGGTGGTACAGGCACTGGTTGTTCTTCAATATGTGTGTATGGACAATCATCACCCTTGGAGCAAGTACCAGTCTTGAAAAATCTACATGGTTTATCCTTTTTCTTTTTGTCAGGGATAGCAGCATTGATGTTGCTGTTACCGTTGCTAGTATTAGCAGTGACGGTGGGGGTGGGAATGGTTTGTTGTGGTTGAGATACTTGTACTACAACTGGATTACCTTGATGGATAAAGGTACAGTCATCACCCTTTGTACATTTACCGAGTTGGTAGAAGCTACAAACCATCATCTTTTCATTGTACACTGGTTTCTTTCTCTTTCTTTCTTTATTGTCAGAGACTACGGTATCGGTCACAGCGGCGGCGGCGGCGGCGGTAGTAGATTGAGACTGAGTAGGAGACTCTGGACGAGTTGTAGACTTGTGCTGTGACTTTGATTGTCTATCTTGTTGTTTTGATGATGCAGCATCGGGAGAAGATTGAAGAGGAGGTTGAGGAGGAGAACTGCCATTGTTGTTATTGTCGTTGTTGGTTTGTTCTACTGCTGTTGGTTGTGAAACCAATGAAGCAGGTTTTTGCTTTACTGTCTTCTTTTTCCTGGCAGCTTGCTTTGCAGCAATGCTACCTGGTTTCTGAGCAGACATATGTTACTTTGATACTGACTGTGATATGTTATGTCTACTTATCAAAGTACTATATATATATATCTATCTAACTATCTGTCATACAAAAAAAGAAATGAAAGAAGGAAAATAAATTGATGATGGTTGGTGATGAGCACAGCATCATCAAAAAATTAAAAAAGAATTTGAGGAAAATAAATAGACCCAAAAATGGTAATATAGTTTTAATCTTATATTTATTTATACATACACATACATATATATATACTTTATTTATTTATTTCTAATCATCTTTATCTTTATGATTATTATCTTCATCATCATTATAATCACGATGAAATCTTAATATAGTTGGGTTATTTGTGTTGTTGTTGTTATTACTGTCACTACTATTATCTTCAAATTCTGTAAGAGGTATAAATTTAATTTGACGATCAGTTTTTTTGAATACAAAACAACTAAGTATTGCTAATGCACCAGATGTCATTAATACAATACTTGCAATAAAGTACCATGACATATGTTCTTCTTCTTTTTTGTCGGACGTTTGACTATTCGATGATGGACATTGACTAGATAGATCAATTTCCAATGGCACGAATTGAGGATCAATCAAACATAGTTGACATTGTGGAAGATGAATACCAATCAATGCAATCGATTGTTGATCATTGATTCTAGTTGTGTTGATTAATTCTATTTTGGAGTACGTTGATTTGTTGTTGTCTGATATTACAAATGGTAGGAATTGTCCAAAGAATTGAATATCATTGGAAATGATTCGAATAAATTCAATTGAATCACTATCTTGGAATGATTGGAATGTTTCCACTTGATTGATTGATCCATCACATCCAATAATAGTTTGATTATTATTAATTGTGGTTGAGAATAGTACAACGAGATGTGGTGATTCTGATACTGTTGAATATGGCCAATCTTTAATTGATACTGTTGATTTAATACTATTATTACCAATATAAATACTTTCATCTCCAAATTGAATCGTTCTACTATTATTTGATACTTGAATAGTTGATATAATATTTGTATTATTAAATATATTATTATTTGTCAATGATAATTGATATTCTAATGATTTTAATTGATTGTTTGTTGATGTATCAGTATAATTATTCCAATTATTAGTTGTATGTAATTCTTTAATTATTTGATTATTAATATCTAATTCTTGAATGGCAACTAAATCAAATTGAAGTTTATAACTAACATGAGTAAATGATATAGTTGGATTACTTGAATTTACTAATACTTTGACATCTTTTAATAAAACAAATAATTAATAAACATATAAGATAGGGATTAATCTTTTTCTTTCTTTTTTCATTACATACTTTCATCGGATGATATTTTAAATTTACAATCATCATACCAATCCAAACCAACACATTGACATATACCATCAACACATTTACCATGACCACTACAATTATTAGTTCTAACCATGCATTCCTCATTACTTGGTGATGGATATGGAATGAATAATATTGTATTGGATGAATAATTTCCATTTTGCATGTTGACAGTGACATTTGTTTGTCCAGATACAAGTAGAGTACTATTAAAAGTACATTGAATCATTGTTTCATTTGATTGTTTAATAATCGTACAAATATTCGTATTATTATTGATATAGATTAATCCTTGATTTGAATTAACTCCAAAATATCCATTTAAAATCATTGTTGTTGGTGGGAATGTTGGTGGTATTAATTGAATTGATGTTACTATTTAAATCAAAGTTAAATATTTAATATATAAATCATTTTTGGAGTATTGGATAGATTATAATATAATTTATAATTACTTACTTTTTGTACTTGAAATAGTAATAGTTGATTGTGCATCTCCATCAGCAACTTGAACTTTAACAATATATACTCCTTGAGGAGGAGATTGACTTAAATTACATTTAATGTATGTTGCATTGGAGTCTGTAATAATACAACTATAACTACTACTACTAATACTACTACTACTATTTATATATATTTTTCCTCCTTGAGTATCTTTACCAAAATACCCATTTAATATTAAAAATGGGAATTCTATTGAATGGATTATTGATTCAATATTTACTAATATAGATTGAAATAATTAGTTAATATAAATGAAAATAGATTACTTAATTGTTTGATTATATATCTATATCTATATTTATATTTACTTGGAGCAGGAATATAAAATGGAGCAAAGTTGTAGTTTCCATTGGGAATATTTAGATTTAATTTTGTTGGACCAATTGTTATTGGTTGTTTTTCAAATTCACATTGAATGTATGTTTGGTTTGATTGTATGATTGTACAACCACCAACATTTACATTTTCATCTTCCAATGACGTAAATGTTAGCGTTCCATCCATTGAATTAAATCCAAAATAACCATACAATGTTAGATTATTAAATGGTCCATATGGGGGATCAAATTTATATGATTTGATTTCAGTATCTAAAAATATAAATAAATAGAATTAATAAATATATTAAATAAAAATGTATGTAAAGTTTTTGGATACTTACGTTTTGTAACAATATCTGGATCATTAATTGTTTGATTTTGATAACTATTTGATATTTGTATTGATAGATTTGAACCATTTGGTGGTGATGTGACTGTACATAGAGTGGTATTTGAAAAAAGGTCAAATTGTATAAAATGACATATTGAACCACCAAAAAGTATAGATGGTTGGTATTGTGTAAGAGGATTGACAATATCATAGAATATTGCAATTGAAATGGCTTGATACTCTGGGTTGTATGGGTCTACCATAACACTGTGAACTTTAAATCCAACCTCATTAATATTAAATGGTATGGGTTGTCCAGTTGACAAAAATGTATAATTCTTTTGTTGACTTAAACCTTTATCCAAATCAATTGTTCCTCTAAAGGAAAAAGAAAAAAAAGATAATTAATTAATATTAAAATATATTATAAATATATATTTTGAAGCATACTCTAATTGTTTGTTTGGATAAATTAACTTTAAATTAGAATCAAAGTCACTCCAACCAATCATATTGCCTGAGATTGTGAATCTTCCTTGAAAAGAAACTAAATCATGGCTATCAAATTGAATTAATTTTTCTAAAAAATTAAATAAATTAAATAAATATAATAATATTAGTACAAACGTTATATTGTTGTTGACAATGTCCTTTAGTCGTCTATATCAACATACTACAATCCGATGGCAATGGTAATGGTAATGAAGATGAGAATCTAGTAGTTGGAGAAGCCAAACATCCCCAACAATCTGGTACGGCTGTAATAGATGTGTTTTGAATAAATAAAGATTGAATATAACAAAAATCATTTGAAAGCTTTCCAGTCAACCCCATATTATTCTCTAGATCAAGATTAAGGTTGAATGGATCATTTAAGAGAAGATCCAATGGTACATTTCCTGAAAGTGAATTATTTGTTGTTGTTCTATTAAAGAATTAAAAAACATATATTAATATCTAATTAATTAATTAATTTGGTCTTTAATTTCTTACACATTTTTCAAATATTTTGGTAATGGAGAAGGTAATAATAAAGTTTGATTAATATTATTAATATTTCTAATTATCATTTATAAATGAATGGAAAAAGAGGTTAGTTAAAAGAAAATAAATATATTAATATTAATAATATACATACAATTCCAGTAACGAATAATATAAAGAAATATTTGATGGGGTGATTGAATTTGTTTGAATATTTAATCGTTTGATTGTCTCTGGGTATGTAAAGTTTGTCATTACTCCCAGTTCAATACCACTATTATTTATAAATGAACTGCTGCTGCTGTATTGTTGAATCAACGTAGAATTGATATCTATTATAATAGAGTTGTAAAAGTTTTGATTATTATCATAATTTCCATTTATATTTCTATTAAACAAAATACTAATTAGTATTCACAAATTGATAGACTTTGGTGGTGTAATACATACAATATTGTTAGATTAGGGAATACTAATTCTTCAAATGACAATGTTATATTATTATTGTTGTTGTTGTTGTTGTTGGATGATAGACCTAGTGTCAATGATTGAAGTGATGAAAATGGTGTTGTTGTTGTTGTAGATACCATCTTTAACCTTGGGTCGTATAATCGAAGTGTCGATAGTGATGAAAGGTTGGTTAGATAGTCTAACAAATTGACAGACTCAAAATACTTTGTTGAGCTATTCACATAGATATCAATCGATTGTACCATTGGCAATATCAACGATGTAACATTAGAAGGTAAATCACCATCATATACAAAGGTAACATTATCAAACATATTTCTAAAAAAAAAGACAATATTGTATTAGATAGATAGATGTCTAATGTCATTCAGCATATATTATATAGTTACACTTTAATAATGTGTCCACCATCAATTGAACAACTAAAATAAGCTCCATTACAAATATCATCAGATGTTGATGCATTGATGTGCACACTTGTTCCTGTTCCTCCTGCTCCTGCTCCTGCATCAGTTCTTCTACCACTATACTGTAACAACCATATTGCAGACCATACTAATAATTAGATAGATAGATATGATAGATATGTGTAAGTATTATTATTATTATCATTAGCAAGTTGATGATGATCTTAAACTTTTTAGAATAGACATACATTCATCATTAGGCAATGATTGATTTGTCGCAGCAGCAGCAGACGACGACACACAACATGATAGAACCAATACAAAAAATAATAAAACTAGGTTTGTTTGCATTGTTAGAACTAAAGAGAATAAGAAATTAATTTGTACAAATCTAAAAGTAATCATTTTCTCACTGCAAATTCATTTGAATGGGGTTCAAAAAAAGTATCAATTTAATCTGATTGGATGAACTTCGTAATTGTGTGGCTCATAAAAATGTTGTGTTTTATTGTGAAGAACCACTTGTTGATGGTATTGTTGTTGCTCCACTTGTAGTTGTTACACTTGTAGTTGTACTGAGACCTGAATCGGTTGATGGGTCTGTTGTTGTACCGCTTGTTGATGGTATTGTTGTACCGCTTGTAGTTGTTCCATCTGTAGTTGTACCACTTGCTGTTGTTGTACTGAGGCCTGAATCTGTAGATGGGTCGGTTGTTGTGCCAGTTGTGGATGGTATTGTTGTGGTTCCACTTGTAGTTGGTCCTGATGTGCCGCTTGTTGTGGGTCCACTTGTTGTTGTTGTAGTTGTACTGAGGCCTGAGTCTGTTGATGGGTCTGTAGTTGTGCCAGTTGTGGATGGTATTGTTGTGGTTCCACTGGTGGTAGTTCCTGATGTTCCATCCGTAGTTGTCGTTGTACCACTTGTAGTTGTACTGAGACCTGAGTCGGTTGATGGGTCGGTTGTTGTGCCAGTTGTGGATGGTATTGTTGTTGTCCCACTTGTGGTAGTTCCTGATGTTCCATCCGTAGTTGTCCCTGATGTACCACTTGTAGTTGTACTGAGACCCGAGTCTGTTGATGGGTCTGTTGTTGTACCAGTTGTTGATGGTATTGTTGTGGTTCCACTGGCGGTAGTTCCTGATGTTCCACTTGTTGTTCCTGACGTACCACTTGTAGTTGGTGGGTTTGTTGTAGTGGTGTCTGTGGTGGTTGAGTTACATGCCCCACCAGTTGTTCCACCCCCACTTGAACTACTAGTGGTCGAGGTGGTACCGCTCGTACCGCTACCTCCTGTGGTAGTTGTTGTTGTCGTAGCCCCTGTTGCCGTAGCCCCTGTAGTGGCCTCTGTTGTAGTAGTTGTATTAGAACATGGGTTGCTACCAGTGGTAGAGTTTGTTGAAGTTCCTGTTGTTTCTGTTCCAGTTCCAGTTCCAGAGGTTGCAGAAGTCCCAGAGGTTTCTGTCGATGTACCACTTGTTGGTGTTCCAGTACCAGTAGTTGAAGTTGCAGAAGTAGATGAAGAAGAACCGTCACTAACATAACTAATCGTATAAAATGGATAGAGATTCAAACCATTCCATTGCATTGTTATTGGTTTGGTGTAGTTTCCACTAGTGTATGGTGGGATGACACAATTCATCGTGTTGGCACCACCACTCACCAATGTACAAGACATTGCTACACCATCCAATGTAAATGTTGGTACTGCATAACTATATATTTGATTTATCACAACATTTCCTCCATTTGATTGATAAGTATTTGATCCAAATAATACTAAATAAATAAAATAAAATAAAATAATTAATATTAATAATTAATTGTTTGTTTTTTTAAAAGTGATACATACAAGGATCTAAAATTTCAATTGAACCATATTGAATATTTGAAACTATGGTATACTCTGTGCCAGTTGGATGATAGATTCGTACAGAGTCATCGGGATTGGTGAATACGATAGATTGATGTTCACCAAGTAAGAAAGCAGCTTTGGTGATAGATGTCGATGGCCATCCAATATTGTTCAAGTAGGATGGTCCAAATTTACCGTATGTGAGCGAGAGAACGGCCGATGGGTTGGTAGTAGGGGCAGGGTACTGACTGATAGAAAGAGTACGTGAAGGTGGCACATTGAGGAATGCTAGTGGAGTAGAAATGGTTTGTACAATGTACATTGTTGACTCGGCAACTGAAATCTTTTTGTTATTATAGATGGTTGTGGTGACGGGTGTTGATGATAAATCAGACACACTAATAACAGTGTCACCTGGTACATCCATTGTAATAGTAGAGTATGGTAGTTGAGTGATAAATGCAACCTTTGTAATCGATCTACTTTCTCCAGGGAGTACAGATACAACTGTAATCTTTAAGTTTACATTGACCGAGGTTGAAAAACCAAATGACGTAAATTGTTCAAGTGTATCGAGAGCACCATTCATATTGGTATCGATGAATGGAGAGATAACGAGGTTTGTGGCGTACGAGATGACTAGATTACCATTACTCGATGTAGCAGTTTGAACATTACAATAGGTTGGGAAATGTACTTCCGAGTATGTAGGTGTTGGGAACAAGGCTGGATTATAAATGGCCAAGTTAAAAGACCCATATTGTAAGTTGATCTTTGTATTACCATATTTCAAACTACCATAACATCCATTGGGTGACTTGGCAATAGCAGAAAAGTCAATATTAACAATTCTAGTAGATGCTTCAAGGATGAATGAACGAGAGTTGATTGGTAGGATGTGGTCTGGTGTACTACCCAAAACACGAAGTACGTACGATCCACGAGTTTGGACATTAAAATTGTACTTTCCTTCAGAGTTTGTTGTAGTTTGGTAAAAGAATGTAGAGGTTGGAGATTGCTCCAATGTAATGAGTACACCTCTTAGAACAGGTTCTAAAAGATCATGTACATTGTTTTGGTTATAGTCATAGTAGAGTACACCTGAGATTGCTGTAATAACAGGTCCAGTTGACCCTGTTGTCATTGATGTAGTTTGTGTTCCACTTACTCCAGTTCCTCCAGTTGCTCCACCATCCTCACCTCCACCATCATCTCCTCCACCATCTTCACCTCCACCATCTTCTCCACCACCATTTGTAGTTCCATCACCGCCTCCATTGGTAGTTCCATCACCGCCTCCATTGGTAGTTCCCGAACCACCATTGGTAGTTCCTGGATTACCTCCATTAGTAGTTCCATCACCTCCACCAGGTGGTATTCTAGGTCGAACAAACTCACCTGTCAATGTCATTGGTATCCACATACCAGTACTATCCTGCATATTAATGCTGAGTACAATAGTAGATGTAATAATACCAGTTGCAGGTGTCAGAATACCATGTATACCAATACCAACAATACTAATGGCAGCACCTGGTAAGAAACCAGCTACACCACTTGCAAGTGTCAGAGCGACCGTCACGATAGGTCCAGCAATCACAACAGCACCCGATGCAAAGGTAGTTGTAACAGTTAAAAGTGCAGTGATTGTAATGGTTGAAGTCTCTTGGTTGATTTTAGTCTCTTTAATTTCTTCAACCGATGCTTCTTCCTCTGTCACTTGATCGGGTGGGTTCTCAGAGCTAGAGTTTCCTCCTCCTGCTGTAATAACAATGATACCAGTTGTAGCTGGTGTAGTAGTAGATGTGGTGGATGGTTCAGAGGTGGGTTGTTCTGTTTGTTTTGGATTAACTGTGAATGTAGATCTACCAGTTTGTCCATGGAAGGTGTTTAATACTTCATATGACCCAGGTCCCATTTGTCCAATCGTACAAGATACACTGGACGATGATGCCGATGACACTGAGCATGTCTGTCCACCAACAGTCACCGATGGGAAATCAGTTGCTAGACCAAGATTAGATCCTGTTAAAGTAAGTTGGGTTGAAGGTGCGTCAGATGTAATGACAGGTGGTGCAACTCCAAATATATTTGGGTCACGGTACTTGTATGTCAAACGATTAGACTCTTGTCCTCCAACATCAACATAAACCTGTTTGTTTATACCACCTCCACTAGGTGCTGTAACAGTCACTGATGTACCGTCGGTTGATTGAGTGACAATAGTCACTTGTGTACCATCCATGTATACTTTAGTTTCACCGCTATCATCTTCCTTTAAATTCTTTCCATTTAAAGTGACTGATTCCCCATTAACACTAATTTGGTCGGGACTAATAGTATCTAGTTTGGGTGGCCCATAGAATGTAAATGTTACATTGGTATCGTTTGATTGTTGGTTACCAGCTGTAACCTTTACTATCTCCTCACTCTCCAATGTTGTAATGGCAGTCTTGCAAATGATTTCAGTGTGATCTTGATTGGTAGATTGTACAGTACAAGTAGTAGTATCACCAATCTTTACAGTTGGTTCAGGACCAAAATTCTTTCCTACAATAGTAACTGAATTTTCTCTACTATTTCTACCTTTAGTTTTTGTAATACTATTTACTTTTGGAACTAAAATTAAAATAAATAAAATAAATAAATAATAATTAGTAGTTTAAAAAAAAAAATAGTTTCTTTAAAAATAATATTTTTGGTTTGACTTAACATACTATCATAAGAATAAGTTTGATTATCTGCTGCAGTAGTTTGATTACCAACATATAAGATAAATGTCAAATCTTTTCCAACACCAGATGGTGGTGAACATTCAATTCTTTGATTTGAAACCCATACCATATTGGTGCACTGATGATCGTTGATTTTAATGTATGATTCATCTTGACTACGAGGTGATACACCTTGTGGTACAAAATTATCTCCTTTAATTGTAATTCTAAAATTATCACCTCCTTTTGTATTTCTTTCTCCTTCAATACTTGAAATACTTGGTTCTAAATGAAAGTAAATAAAAGAAATAAATAATTAATTAATAATTATTTTTTTTTTGTTTTTTTTTTACAACATACTTTGATAAGAGAAGAGGATAGTATTATTTGATGGATTAGTTTGATTACCAACAGTCACTTGTAAAGTATAATTGGCTCCAATACCAGGTTTAACTTGACATGTTGTTGTAGTTGAATTTATCCAATTAATAGTGTCACATAATAAAAGGGAGGGGGTGGTGGTTTGGTTAATTTTAACATTACTATAGTCTCCAGCCGATACATTTGTTGGGACAAAGTTGATACCAGTTATAGTGACTAGTGATCCACTAGTCTTTGACATTTCAGTCGATGATATATTGGGAGCAGCATAGGAAAAGGTAAATTTAGTGCTGTTTGATTGCATGTGGTTGGTTGAGTTTTGTGCTCCAATTACAATATCCAAAGGTATATCTTTTCCAATACCAGGTGGTGCAACACCAATAATTTGTGTTGAGTTGAAGTAGTTGACTGTCACAAATTTAGTGGTTTGGTTACCCAACCATACATATGTGTAGTTGGAAGACCCCTCCAACAACCCGTCAACATACTCGTCCGATACAGGATCGAGGTATCCGACAACCAACTCATTTGGTACAAAGTTGGTACCTGTAATAGTTACATTGACACCACCATCAGTACCAACGTTGATAGCACCGTCGACGTTAGAAATAGTCGGTTGCAAGTACCCAATAAATTGAGTAGCATAATTTGAAACGACGCCTGCAAATGATAGATTGACATAGGTGTCCATACCAATACCAGGTAATAGTTGACATCGCATACACTCAAAGTCAATGGTTGTACGGTACGAGTCATCGAGTAGAATGTATGGTTCAAACTGATCACCTTGCCCAAGTTGATCACCAAACAGTTCGATGGTGGGACGAGTCGTTTCAGTCTGTCCGTCAGTACTAACAAAACTCTTGTTTGAGTAGCAATAGTCTGCAGCATCCTCACAATCGACAACGACAATGTCAAAAATAGTGACGATTGGGTACTCCTCGTCAGACATTGCTCCGAGACCAAGATCGGTACCTACCACCCAAAAGTATCCACCTTGTGCCGTTTGCATTGGTTCTTGGACGACTTGCAAGATGACGGGTGACAAATAATTGATGACAAACGATGTTTGGGTTGAGTTTTGTCCAGATAGAGTTACAACGACAAGTTGATTCGAACCAAACCCTGGGGGTGTGGAGAATGTTGCTTGTGTGTTACTTTGACGATCAGTGGCACATGTAGCACCACCAACAGACACTGATAATTCACCTGTCTGTCCGAAATTGAGACCTGTTACAGTAATAATATCATTGCCTGCAGTTGAAGATGTTGTGGATGATAGAGATTGAATGACTGGTGCATTATAAGATACTGTGAATTGGTTTTGACTTGATACCTGACTTGCAGCAACAACCACCGATAAAACATTATCCTTTCCACTACCAAATGCAGTATAAATAAGTAGGTCTTGACGGAGAGCAGTAAAACTAGTTACTAAAAGACGTCCTTCAAACAATTGAATAGATGATTTGTCAGAGGTTAGTGACAAAAAGTTACTACCAAAAACCGATACCGTTGAACCAGCGGTATTCAATCGAGTATTAGATGCAGGTACAACATTACTAATGATTGGAGCATCATAAGTAAATGTATAGGTTTTTAAAGGTTTCTCTACTGGAATTAAAGAACCAGAACCTTGTTTAGAGTAAGTTACTAATTGTAATCCAATACCAGATGGTGGTTTACAAACAAGTGTTTCCAAGAATGGATGAGGTGTATTGGTAGCAGGGGCAGTAGTTACCACTTGACCAGTACAATCTAATCCACCAATCTTGATTGATGCTTGTACTAGTTTACGACCAGTAATGGTTATTCTAGAGGTTGATGGTGGTACGGTTGGTGATGATAATCCATCCATTGTAAATACAATCGGTCCACTATCACATAGATCAAGTGCCGATCCAGTCAGATAAGTGGAGTATGTTTGTACAGTTGCCCAACACAACTTGTCTTTATGTTTGACAATGACCATACCAATTGAATCTTGATCGACGACAGTACCAACAAACAATAATGACAAGTCATTAAAGGTTTGAGAATGAGTGGCCAAATTAGATTGATACTCTAGCATCTGAGTGATCAATATGGCTCCCAATGGACTGACTGGTCTATTAACCTCTTGAATCATACGAACAGTCTCGCATAATCCATCGTCTTGAACCGACAACAACGACTGAACATTTCCATCATTACTATTTATAAATTGTGACAATGTACTACCTTCATACATAAACTTTAAACCTTGGTTTCTTAAAACCTGGTTACTAATAGTACTTGGGTCTGTTGTCCATGCAGCAAAACTCTTTCCCAGGGTATCCCAACCAACTTGATCGATTTGTTCAAGACATACTCTTTTTGATAATAAATAATCACCAATTGATGGATTCAATGGTATCTAAAAATAAATAAAATAAATAAATATTAATATATTATTATTTAAATTAATTAATTTTTGATTGATTTTGATTTTGTACATACAACTGGAGGATTAGAAATTAATGGACATATATCTTGACATTTAAATATATTATTGTATTTCATAATACGTTGAGAATGTAGTATTTGGAGTTGAGGGTTGGATGTAGTATCTTGATGATCAATTGGTTGTGAGTTTGACAAGAGTACTTGATGAACTGTATCAATAAATGAAATGGTATCATTTGGAGTAGAGGTGGATATGTTGATAGCCTTTAAAATGGTGTGGAGGTGAATAGTGTTGCCTTGATTATTATCATTGTTTGGTGATCGACGATTCAAGACATCGGAATAATCATCATTCTTTTCATCGAGTAAATCCCAAAACATGGCAGTTACCCAACCTTCACTATACAACCCTTGTGTTTGAATGGTCAATGGGGTTGTAAATAATTCAATGTCTACAGTCTCTGAACAAGATGCACCAAATGATTCAAGGGTTGATAGAGGTAGTCCAGTGGGATAAGACAACTCTCGTAACTTCATAGAGATGGCATTGACAAGACCTCGGAGAAGTGGTGGATAGGCGGTAGAGTCGATCGTCGACACTAACGATGATGATGGTGAAAAGAGTGGAGATGCAGCACTTTGGAACAGGGGGTTGATAGTCTTGACCACATGATACGTGAATGATCTCATCAAAGAATTGATGCAGAATAATTGTGGGCTACCAGCAGTCACGGCAATACCAAATGGTGCGTTGGCAGACCCATTAAAATAAGCTGTGTTGGCAATAGTATCAACTACCAACACTATATTATTTAATCGACCAATATCTACATGTCTCGATGCAGTATCGATCAACAATTGGACGGTCTTGTAGATAATGACGGTAATGTCTAACTCTGGTGGGTTATATACTGACGGTTTGGTTGATGTCATTGGAACGGTTAAAACAACGTTATTGTTATTTACCATCTTGAAACCAGTTTGAGTATCTTGTAATTGCAAGAGGACGGTTACAGCGAACCCCAACTTGTCAAATGCAAGTGATGCCTTTGGATTAGTTGATGTTGTGGTAGTCTCTCCAATAGCTTTCATACAATCAAGGTTACATTCACCACGATTACTGTATACTTGTACGACGGTATTACGAATCAACGAGTCTTGAGTGGCACGGATAAAAGGTACAACGTGAGCCAATACAAATGGTGCATCAACATCAATCATCACCTTTCCTTTGAATTGGTTTGGTCGTTGGATTTGTACCTCATGAACACAATCTGAATAACTTGTACATGGTACACTGACTTGTTTAAATGCTGACATCTTCAACAATGCTGCCAAGTTTCTTATATTCTTGTTTAAGCAAACTACAATACATCCATTCTTTTAAATAAATAAATAAATAAATGAATCAGTAAATAATATTAATATACTTTGTATATAATATGTATACATACAGTGCATGAAGAATCGGCAAGACAAACAGAAGCATCTATAATTGAGATGGAAAAAGCCAAGTGACTGTCATCCAATTCACTGCTCCATTGTGATACATCAATTGGTACATTATATTTGCGAACAATATCAATTGGTAATTTCATCTCTGTAATACCATCAAATAATCCACCTTGCAAAGGTACTCCTACTTTCTAAAAAATAAATAAATAAATAAAGTTAATATTAATTTTATATTATATTATATTTGTTTGTGTTTGTTTGTAATATTATACATACTGGAATAGTTATTGAAGTTAGAAATGTTGGAGACCAAGCATATTGAGCAAATGAACCATAGATGGAATAGCCAAGTGTTGGATTTGACTGTGATTGAGAGGTTGGTGGTGGTGGTGGGGATGTTGGGATGGCACTAGTAACCATATTGTAGAGACTGGTGAATGGAGTGGTTGGAAGAAGATTGCTTGCATAAAAGAATGGGTTGGCAGCTTTAATAACTGGTACAAGTGTTGAGATATCTTCAAATCGGTGACAGATAAAGGTGTGACCACGTGATATGTCACCGTCGACAGCTGGATCATGTTGACTTGGAAGATGGTAGTCGGCAGGGAACCAGTTGGTCGGATGAGTCGCAGGTAGTTTGATCAGATATCTAGAGGTGGGAGACCGTGGTACTGGAAATCCAACCAGAGAATGTTTGATGTGAAAACCTGCTGCTGCTGGTGAGTTGGGGGAGGACGGGTCACCAACACCGATAATACCTCTTGGTCCTTGTAGTGGGGATCGGTTGATTGCTACGTCTCCGGCGATCGACGTACTGACTGTACCAACTGGAATATCGTATAGATCATTCCATGGCATATCATTGTAGGCTGTGAATGATGGCAGTGTGCCATCAGAGGCAACACTCAATTGTGAAAGTGTACGTGCGAGTGCACCTGTCGTAGGATTCGTTATATCATTCTCTATAGCAACAACTGCGTTATTACTATCAGAGTAGATATACATCTTTGATTGTGGTAGTTTCTTTATTACCCACCAATCTACCGATGTACCATTATTAGATAAACAACTCGGTGGACTGGCTTGAACTACTACGACTACCAAAGTAATTAAAAATAGTAGTAGAGTAGTAGTAGTATATGACAGCATGACTATAAACTACTATCTCTCTCTTCTATCTCTCTATCTCTCTCTTTTGTTGATGATGAAGGATAATGTTATCTATCTCTCTTTATTTTGATGGTTGATGAAGGAGGTTGATGGTTTGAATGATCGCATGATCATCATCATGTTTGGTTGTAAAGAAGAGGAGGGGAGGTGATTCGTTTGGGTTGGTTGTCGTTATCTTTATCATTATTGTTGTGAAGACGAGGAGGATGGTGTGCACCATCCAACCTAATATTTGCATTAAACGAGTAAAAGAGATATTTTAGCAATCTATTTTCTCGAGATACCCTGTCGTCTTCGACTAACCGCAAGTGCAACTTCACAAAGACAAAGGAGGAAAAAAACCTTTTTTTTTTTTTTATCTCACGCGCGATAATGCAAAGATTGCTTGCAACAACACCAATCATAACTATGAACTTAACATGTAGCGAGTTGCGGTCTTTTGTGTATAATATCTATATTTATCGTGCATGCACTTTCAGGCAACGACAATGATGTAAACAACATGCGAACGACGATCAAGTTTGTCATCAACAAACCAACCAAACTAACTTCACCATACCTAGGGTTACAACAATAATAATAATAATGAATTCATTGCACATGTGATCTTTCTACACGGTCGAGAAGAGAATCTAATCTGATTCGTATCCCGCAAATGATTCCTCATCTTCATCATCACTTGTTCATGTTCGTTTCACTACAACAAACAGTCTAGTTATTATAATCAATACACTAAAGTACTTAGTATACAACAAAGTATAGCTATATAGACATATATACAACAAAAAAGAATAATAATAATGATACGGTTTAAATTGCCGCAATTTATATCTTTGATATCATTATTATTATTGGTAGTCTTGGTACTTGTGGTGAATGGCGCACCACCAACCATCAATATGGCAGCCAATGTGTTTATCGGATACAAAGGTGCTGTTAAGGTTTACACTGTTACTGCCGACACTGTATCAGTGTACTCTGTCATTGTTTCAAACCCTCCCATTTCTCATCCTCCCGTCGATTTAGTTCCTCCCGTTGCTAGTGGATCACAACTAACGATCACATTCCCAGCACTGCCTGGTGATATACCTGCACCTGGTACTATAGATGCTACTCTAATCATTTTCAATGCTGCTGCTGAGAAAACAACTATTGCATTTAAATATTATGGTATGTTAAATGAATTCAATTAATTATAAATGAATTTAAATTAATTGAACTAAACTAACTCTTTCTCTCTCTCTTATAGCACCAAAGATTACTACAATATCACCAACTGGTGGATTCAAAAGTGGAGGTACTATCATAACGATCACAGGATATAATCTCTACTTTGCAGGACTACTCACAACTATTACTCTTGGTGGTGTTCCATGTACCGTCGTTAATGTTCCTACTGCTGCATCAATTCAATGTACTACACCTTCTTTAATTGGTATATCTTCAACATTTGTTAAATTACACTTGGAGGTTGATGGTCTTCCTGCTACCACTGCAGCTCCTGAATTTCTAAATTATGATTTAATGGGTATGTTTATTAATAATTATTAACATTAATTTAACAAATTATTGTTTATTATTTATTTATTAAATTATTAATTAATTGTTTATTTAATTTTAGAACCTCAAATAGAAGATTTTGAACCAAAATTTGGAAAGGCTATAGGAGGTGACTTGTTGATGATTACACTCAATGATAATCCTGATCCCCTTCCACTACTTCCAACATCTATTATGATTGGTACTGCTCAATGTACTAGTATAAATAGACCCTCTCGACTGGTACTCACTTGTCTAACACCCACCATTTCAGACCCATCCCAACTATCATTCAAAATCACAATCAACTTTAACACATTTGTAATTACATCTTCATCAACTTTTAATTATCTTTGTATGTATAAAAAAAAATAATAATAATAGTATTTATTATTTTAATTAATTTAATTTTTTATTTATTTCTTTTAGATCCAACAATCACATCAATTCAACCTGAAAGTGGATGGGCAGGAGGAGGAAAAGATATTATATTTAGTGGTGACAATTTATTTGCAGCAACCTCTATCATTGCCAATATTGGAGATGAACTATGTACCGGATGTACTGTCATCACTGATAATACTGTTATTCCAGTATCTTACAAGATTAAGTGTACTACTCCCGTTCGTATTGCTCCATACAATCTTGTATTATCAAAGATTGTAACACTCAAACTCAACAATCTTGAAGTATTATACCCTCCAACTCCTTTGAAATATACTTTTATTCGTAAGTCTTTATCATTTTATATTTTTCATAAAGATTTCAAACTAACATTTTAATCCCAATAGAACATTCAATCAAAAAGATAACACCAGAAAGAGGATCACCCGGTAGTACAATAACAATAACAGGAACCAATATTAAAGATGGAGTTGTTAAAATCAATAGTTTATTATGTCCAACAACTGCCTATGTTGCTTTAGCGTACACTGACGAGATCAAATGTACCGTTCCAACACTATTTGGAGTAAATGATGTTGATGTCAATGTTGTTATCTTTGTTGATAATAACCCTTCAATTCTTTCATTACCTTTTGGTGTAACAACCCTTCCTAAATTCAGATATTATAGTATGTAGAAACTAAAAAAAGACACAGGCTATTTTCAACAACAATATATTAATTATTATTTATTATTTGTTTAATTTGTAGAACCAATCATTTCAAATACAGAACCTTTACTATCATACACCAAAGGAACATTTGTAGTGACTATTCAAGGACAAGCTTTCTATGATATCACTCAAGTCAAATATGGTGATACTGTACTTGACTCAACCAAATTCAATGTGATTGATAACAACAAAATCTATCTTCATGTGTTTAATGACCTTCCAACAATAGCTCATCTTCCAATAACCCTCACTACAACATTTGGTGATTATTCAAAAGTTGGTTTTGGTGTTCAATTTGTAGAACCTTCCATTTTGACAATGGATACTACAAGAGGAATAGCATCAGGAGGTACAATAGTAAATATTCAGTTGGATGGAGTTGTTGAAGGAAGTTCATTTGAAATTAAAATAGGTGATAGATTATGTCAACCAACTATGGTTGCACCTGCACCTGTATTTGGATCGATTCAATGTATCATTCCACCTTCAAAGTTTGAAGAACCTGAACTCGATGGAACAGTCAGTGAAGATATTTCTATTATTGTCGGTTTATTGGGTTCAACATTGCCATTAACCTCATCACCATCTTCACAAACCTACACCACCACTTTAAAATACACCTATGAAGGACCATTGATTAATAACATCACACCTGCCAAGTTATCAAAGAGTGGTGGTCAAGTTACGATTCATGGTACCAATCTAGTCAATCCCACCAAAGTTACAATTGGCACTGACAATTGTATGATCAGTACCACACCGACTCCACCAACTCCAACACTAATCATTTGTACTCTACCACCAACCTTTTTATCAGGTTTACTAAATACCAATGTTATGCTTTCATCTGGTCTTTTAGCAAATAAGATACAAATTAATATCGATGCAAATTGTAAGTAAAAAAAATTATAAATTATTTATTTATTATTTATTAATATTTTATTTATTTCTATTTCTAATTATAGTACCAACCATATTGAGTATTTCACCAAAACAAGGACAGAAATCAGTAAATACTAAATTGGATGGTAGTTTTATGCTTATAACCATTAATGGTATCAATCTTGGGACAACAACCACAACAACATCAATCAAGATTGGGACGGAAACATGTGTCTTGGGAAGAACAGGAACAATTGTTACACCAACCCAAATTATATGTTGGAAACCAATCAGTACTGTATCAGGACCAGCCAAAGTTGTTGTTAAAGTGAACGGTATCGATTCTATTGATGAGGTGTACTACCGACAGAATGGTCTGTCATGCTTTGGACAACCAGAGGCAGATGGATCAAACTCACCAGTCGACTGGTTCTTTATCAAGAAATTCACACACACCAAAGTAAGCGGTTTCAACACCAACAAGGCATACATGTACACTGATTCATCGGTCAAAGACAAAACAATGGAATTTAAAACTGACTTGGAATTTGTAAACGGACCATTATCATTAACCTATCACCAATGGTTGCAAGATACACAATACGGTTACATGTTTTTTAATGATCAGACTGATGGACCAACTAGTGCATCTTCTGATTATGGACATGTTAAAGGAATGCTGTTTTGGGAGTTTTCTCCAGATGGTAGTCGTTTAGAATCGGGTATACATATAATGCATTCACAACCACACTTTCCAGTTTTCGTTGATGTACGTGGCACTCCAACCAAGCCAGCACACACCACCTATGCTACATCGGAGCAACCATTCTCTGCAGATACCTTGTGGGCTGGAGACAGCAGTACTATGGGACAACATTTCTTTTGTTACAAACTCGATGCTGCAGGTGTTGACAGAGTAGCCGAATACTTTATTAAAAACCACGCCTTTCCCGTTGGTCGACCAAGTATTTTTGGAGCACCTCTCGTCACACCCCTCTACCATGGAGCATACCTCACAACCACCACATGGCTCAAAGAATTAATTATCCTTACAACTCCTGCTCCAGCAAGAAATGCAAATTATGGTCTTGCAAAAATGGATGAATTTGCTGATGTAAGTAGTAAAGAGTAGTGATTAATTCCTTTTCTCAACTCAAACACTAATTTTATCCATTTCCTTTAAATAGATTTGTCAAAATAATATTAATCAAGTTGATTTAGGTAATATTTGTTATTGGGTAGTTAATGCAGTTGTTCCTGGGTTTGGTACAGCTCATTATTTTGAAAAGACAAATGTGATTACAAGTCCTGCACCTGTTGCAGTGACATTTGGTATTCCTGTCGACCCAGCACGTGTACCTCCATTTTTTGGCGGACCAGGAGAATCAAGATTAATTGTTGCTAATAGACCGAGACCACTTGCTGCCGTAAGGACTCCAGAAAAGTTGGTTCAAGATGGTCTCGATGCCTGGGAGGTAATGGTCAATTACTACAAAAGAAGTTTCTTTGTATCAACTTGGCTTAAAGGTCCACCAACTCTTTTCCCAGTACCCGGTATTTATAATGTTCATGTAACTCGTATGTATATCATCCAAGAAAGAAATCATATATCTATATATAATATATTAATAATCAATCATCATCTCTCTCTCTCTTTCTTTCTTTTAGAAATTCCTTTACCAACTGATACATTGGGAAAGAGAGGATATGCATATTTTAGAAATAACGATCATTCCAAACTTGCATTCAACTTGGAACCAAAGATTGGAGCAGGTGCACTGAACCAAGGTGAAAATATGTTTTGTTTTGGTGATACTAATCGTCACTTGAATCAACCAAAAAGAGGTGGTGGTATGTTGTGTATTCAATCACCTGAACTTGTTTATCAATTCAATCGTTTTGTTTCCAGATATGGATCAGTCGTATGTATTCATTATTTAAATTAAATAATAATTATTATTTTAATTTATTTATATGACTAACTCTTAATTCTTTACTTTTATTCCATTGACAGACACGTTTTGAGGAAATGGTTGATAGTTCGCCAAGAGATATTAATCTTCCTGCGCCTGCAGGTGTAACCACCATACCATTAACATTTAATCCAGCGAATGTGTTTAACCTTGTCAATCGTAACCCAATCAACTCGATTGCACCTACTATCACAAGATTCGCACCAGGTGATAATGTTTTTGGTACTGGTGTTATAGTTCCAGCCCCCACCATTGCACCAGCTACAATGACTGATATTCAATTAACACAATCATTGCAGTATTATGTCTTGTATAATGGAAATCTACCAGTTATGGATCCAGCCAGACCTTTAAGATATTTGTTTGTCGGGTCATCCTATATTGTTCCAGTTGACCATAAAACAGACAAGTCTGTGACCTACACTGTATCTGTTCATCAGACCATTAGAATGGAAAGAATACCAACTTTGGGATACACTGGTGAGTTGACATTCGATCTGTATGATTATACAGTGGATACAACCAACCCTGTACCTGTCAATGTCTATACTCCCAAGACACCCAATTTACTCGTCCCCACGACCAATGTACCTGTTGATAGACTATTACCACCAATCAAAGTTATGCGTACCGATCTTACTCCAACTCGTGTTGGTCATGAATTTGAATTGGTGTATCCCGATGCCCACTTTAAATCAATCAAAGGAATCAAAGCACAAGATGCCTTTGCACCTCTATTTGTTGCATACAGTCAAGGTGTAGCTGGAATATGTTTAATTGGTGATATTGATCCCATTAAAGGATGTACATTGGAAAAGGCCATTAGATCAAGTGCACCCACCGTCACTGAACTACCTGTAACCCCTGCATCGCCACCACCAGTACCAGTCAGTCTACCTATTGCCTATGGAAAACCTAGAGAGGTAGAAGTAATGTATTCAACAAGAATATTCGAGTTTAGTGGTACAGACAATACATTCAAGATTCTAAAGTTTGTCAGTCTATTCCAAGAAGAGCTTCGTAAACTACCACCTCTACTTAGTGGATTGGCCATATCATCACCCAATCAATTTAACATTGCGATTGACACTACTATTGCTCAATCAACAGTAACAGTCGATGGTACAACTATCATTTTGAAATCTGATCAACTTTGTGCCGATGAATTATCGTATCTCCTTTTACTCACTGTCGTTGCAAGAGAATCAAACATCAAGGGTCATGCCAGTCCATTAGCTTATGGAACTAGTCCACTCAACTGGTCCAATGGTATCCTTATTGCCATTTCAAAATTAATTTCAAATGTATGTATTTATAATAACAATAATAATAATAATAATAATTATAATTGCTAACAAAATATTTTCTATCATTTTTATTTGCAGCAAATCACAGGCATTGTTCCTGGTACACCACCTAGTTTAATTGGTGGATGTTTTACTGCAGTCGGTGCTATTGATTTGGTTACATTTGCTGATAATGTCAATATTGGATCATTCAAAAATACTGCTGCTGCCACTTGGTCACTAGTAAATTCCCCTTATCCCGATTGGTCATCGGATTCAATGTTTAAGTTATTATTTAAAGTCAAGACAACCGATCATATTCAATCATTTGCTGATTTCTATAATATGAAGAGACTACCACCATTGCCAATCTTGTATGAGAAATACATCATTATTCGTCCATTTAGCGCAAAGATGGATACCGACGATGATGAACCTGCAGCTCGTCATATGATGTCATTATTCACGATACCCACAACAACAACATCAGATATTGAAACCAACCAAAATATAGTATCACCACTCCAACAACTATTCAACTTTATTGATCAAGCTGCATTTACACCAGATGAATTATTACAACTTGACAACCAACAAATCAACCTATTAAAAGAATCATTGGACAAATGGGTTGATATTTCATCAGAGAATCAAGGTATCAAAGTATTACTCAAAAATCCAATCACTCAAACATCCAACCAAATCATCAAATACCTCGATGAAGTCAACTCTGTTCAATATGGAGTGTCTTCTGAACACATTGAATTATGTTATTTGGCAATCGGTGGTGGAGGTCAACAACAACAACAATACAAGATTGAAATATGTTCACCAATGTCAATCGTTTGCCTCACCAACACATTGAAACGTATTCAAATGACAGCATCGACTCTTTCAAAGAACTTTGGTGACTTGACATTTTACTATTCACCATTATCATCAGATTATGATGGATATGTTTCTGAAAGTGGAGCAGTGGATGGTATCTTGATTGCAACACTCAACTCCAAGTTATGTGATGCTCAAATGACTACTCTTTCATCGTTCCAATCGAATTCATTCTCGACTCTTTGTACTCAATCAGGACCGATCATCACCAGTTTATCAACAAACAATGGTGCATCAATTGGAGGATATCAACTATCGGTCAATGGATATAGATTCCAATCAAATTTGAATGTCACAGTTGGTGGTGCTAAATGCTCACAAACAACATTCCAGACATCACAACTTGTACAATGTGTCGTTCCACCAAACACAGGCATCAACCACCTCGTATCATTCTCATCGAATCACATTCAATCCACTCCATTCTATTTCTCATACAATCAACCAATAATCAACAGTGTATTAGTATCAGATATAACAAGATCAGTATCAGAGATAACAATCAATGGTGCTAACTTTGGTAATAGTGGTAGCAATGGTAATGACAATGCATTGTACATTTCTATTGATCAATACCAATGCTTTAATATTATTCAACATGTTGACTCCACCATCAGATGTAGAATTAAAAGTAGAGTTGCTGTCAACAACTTTGTCAATGTTTCAATATCCAACGACAATAGCAATGGTATTAGACAGACATCAGTATTCCATTTGAATCAAATCACAAATACTCAATTCAATTATTCCTATGTTCCAAATATCGTTGCAGTATTACCAAGTCATGGGTTTGCTCGTGATTTGGTGACAGTGGTTGGTGATTCATTTGCCAATGGAGATGCATTACCATTGTCATACTTTAAGGATACAAGATCAACAGTCCTGCCACCAGGTGATATGGGTGATGATATCTTGACCGTTCGAGTACCACAAATAACTCGCGACTCTCAACTCTTGGTGTCAGTCGATAATATTGGTAGTAATCTCAAGTCATTCACTTTGGATCAACCTTTTATTGAATCAATCTCACCAAGTCGTGTTAGTTCATCAGGTGGAGTCATTATCATTAAAGGAGGTGGATGGGGTATGTCTCGTCAAGCTATTGACTATGTCAAACTTGGTTCTACACCAATCAGTTGCACTCCATTCAACAAATTCCTCGAATGTATTGTTCCACCAAGCACTGGTGAAGTTAATACTCTCACTGTCTCTTTTAGTGGTAGAGTTACGACATCATACTTGTCCGATTACGGTATGTCGTATTCAACACCTCGTATCACATCATACACTGAATCGTCAGGAGTACTCACAATCAGAGGTGTCGACTTTGTCAACAGTGGAACCTCAACATCACCTCAAAACAGTTATTTGAATGTTGTATCAAATATGAATCGACCAATATCATATCAACAGCTCACATTTGTCAACAAGACAATGATCACAGCCACTCTCACATCTCTCTTGCCAGGAGAATCAGTAGAATCGGTTCAAGTATTAATATTTGGAATGAAATCCAATACTTACTACCATGCACGATATGGATGTGATGGATGGGTTAGAAACGGTGACTACAACTATATCCCACTACATTATGGAGTTTATCCATTAAAAGATTATGGATTCTGTGTCACTCCTTCATGTATTGCATCTTATCAAAAATCATCTGGTGAAGCTGGTTGTATCATTGTAGTTGATAGTAATACTGGTGTTCTTACACTATCTTATGGTATGTTATAAATTAATTAATTAATTAATTTAGAAAATTAAACTAATTTATTTATTTATTATTATTATTTAATTATTTTAGAATTTACAATTAATCTAAGTACATATGTTGATGCTCATATTGATGGTGTATTTAATAATACTTTTGACACGAGAGGTTCTGAATTTACCAATTCAATTATGTATATTTTGTCATACCCAACTGCTGCTTCTACTTTGGTTACTCGAAGATTCTATCCATCAATGTCAAGAATTGATTGCCCATCAAATTGTCTCATCAATGTATCTTCGACTAATGCAAGTTATATACCAATTATAAATAATTGGAGAGCAGACTTTACAGTCAACAAACAACCACAATCGTTTGACATTGGTTTCTACGACAAGAGAATATTTGGAGAACCAAGATCCATATTCTTTGACAATACATTCGGTAGTGGAAGAAGTATATCACTTCCATATGGTCGTTTCCGTATCTCATTTGAATGTCAATCGTACACCATCTCTGATCCTACCAACTCTATCAATGTTGCTGTATACTCACCTGGTATTGTAAATCCTACTATTTACGCACCCCCAGGTTCCAACATTAATCAACAAGCGACAACATTTGATGTCTATCGTAATGGTATATTGAATGCTTATAGTGGAGGACTTAATTCATTGGGTCAAGCTATTAGTTTTGAAAATATCTATCATCCAAGAGTGCCATCTTATTATATTGGAACTTCACTATTAGTTTGTTCAAGCATACCACCAAGTAACATTTGGACGTGTACAGTACCACCTAAAACAAGTTCAACACCTTTAACGTTTTCAACTTATTTAATGGTTGGTACAACTTTGACAAAGCTATACAAAGAGTTCCCAATCACCTACACTAGTGTTTTAGTTGCCTCTGGCTCTGTCTTTATGGACTATGACAAAGACAATACATTCAATAATATAGATACTAAAATGGCAGGACACACAGTTCAAATCAAATCAGGTAGTACTGTATTGGCATCACAAAATACAGTGGCTGGTGCTATTGGTTTCTCATTTAGTATGGATTATTTCCCAACCAATGCTCGTATCTACATTTATCCATCGCCTGGATATTTCTCGTACATTCCATCGTTCCCATTCTCGTCTCCCATTGTTAAAGATTTCCCAATTGCTCAATCTGATTACAAAAAATGTCAAGGATTTTTAACAGCTGGTAGTGAACAATTGAATTTGCAATTTGGTACATACGATCTATCAAAATTTGGATGGTGTAAATCACCCTCTGTATGCGCCAACGTCATCACCTCCCAGACTTTTGCAGACCATTGCACACTTGTTTACAGTGGTACCATGGTAACCATTGATTACAATGCACCGGTAACACTCACCTTTTGGCATAGTAACACGCCGGGCCAAACATATGGAGTGTATGCCAATTCGCCTCCTCCATCGGTCACCCAATACGTTGTTTTAGCTCGATCCATCATGAATGGTGTCTATGTTGTGTTCAACTATGCCGTTCCAGCCAATGGAACTCTCAAATTTAATGTACCCTATGGCACAACAAACCTTGTGATCACCACACCCAGTATCTTTGACCATTTAGTTGATGGTACCACCATTGACTTTACAACCAGTTTAACTGTACCATCATACACCAAGACACTAGGAGTCTTTTCTCCAGCCACCCACTATTACAACAGTGCATCAGTCAACATTCTCAGTCTTCCATTAGGTTTCTACAACTTTACATGGTACTCGAAACAAGGTCAAATCAAATCATTCAGTGCACATCCATCAATGAGTATTTATGTTTGGAATAATGCAGGTACTCTTTATAATGTTGCTAGAAATGGAAATAATATTCAACTTCCAGATACACTTGCATTGACTGTTGAAAATAGTCCAACTGGTATGTATCAACACAAATGAACAAAAACAAAATCAATTATAAATTAATATATTAACACAATACTTTTTTATTTATTAGATTTATACAGTTTCACAGTCCCACCAGAAGGATTACAATTTAGAATGCCAACTCCTTATACCTATGTTCCATTCCTTTTTATTGAAGGATTAGAGATTGAATGTGAAAATGCCTATATTACTTGTAAAATTCCATCACATATTGGAGGTACAACTTCAAAAGCAAAATTGAAACATACTGGAACGTTCTTTTATCACACTTGGACTATTACCTATCAAAAGAGATTCGAAATTCCATCTGCTGGATCAAGTTATTTGGCGGCAGGACAATCGTTGACATTGGGAGTAAACGATTTGGGAGTGATGATCAAGTACCCTCTCAATCCAGGAGTTGGACAACCATACACCTACTTTTCTCTCTCCCCTACAGGCATCAAGATTGGTTTCCAAGCAGGCCCAACCAATAGTCACATCTACCAGGTACTTTCTTCTCAGTATGACCAATCATTTACTGCACCTTTCTCATTCAAGGTAGAGTCTGACTATAACATTGGATTGTGGGGTACCAAATCAGGAGCACTATCCCGTGGTGCTTGGTATCTTGACAAATCTCCTCTTCCTCTCCAATCATCATACTTGCAAGTTGTTCGTGACGGAGTCATTGTTCAAAACAGCGCTGGAAGGGTAACATGGTCTAGATTAAAACCACTCAATTATTCTGGTCTTGCACGTCCACTTGGTGCTCAAATAGACTATCTTGATGCACTTGACACCAACAAGAACACGTTGTTTAAAGGTCAATTCCTAACCAATGGTGAAAGCTACCTTAGGGTTGATACTGACGGAGGTATTCGTCTCTACAATGACAACTCATTTACAACCAAAGTTTGGGAAGCTAAATTTACTGGTGGTCTCATTATTCTCACTTTAGCAGAAAAATGGGTATTGACTAGCACTAATCTATGTGCCTACGGTCAGTCAGGAATTTTTCTGCCTGTCATGTTGGGATGCCTTAATTTCTATGGTCAAGCTCGTTACCTATTTGTTGCCCCACCAACATACGGATCGTCACAATTTTCAATGACAGTGACCAATTATTTTGGAGCACTTGTTTACTCTCAAGGATCTGCTCCAACCTCGCCATACAAGATGATCCCAGGTACCTTTATGGAGTTTGGTGATGCACTGATTCATGGACAATTCCTCACCAACGGAGTTGAGAAACTCTACATTAAACCAAATGGAGTGTTTAGAAGAGAAGCATCTGGAAGTGAAACAACTCTTGCATCTGGTGTAGTCAATGCCATCTATGCTTCCATTCCTCTTCAATTTTCCGACCTCATTACAGTAACTCCACCAGGTACTTATAAATACGTATTCTATCCACCACCTGGTCACAATCTTCCCAATGTAGATCCCGTCACAAAACTTGTCTTTGTAACAGCTGCTGGAAGAGGTGCTGGAACCTCTAACCCTGCTGCTCAATTTGTTATCTATGATCAAAAATATTGGGCAAATATTTAATTCAAACAAACGAATAAATAAATAAATAAATAAATAAATAAATAAATAAATAGGTTTATAAACAAAACTATTTTTATAAAGATGATAGTTATTTTATTCTTTTTATTTTTTATCAATGTGTTTAGTGTGAAACAGCAAATACTTCAATCTCTAACACTGTAAAGTCAAGCTTGGATGTCAGAGTTTTGCTTCCTTTAAAGGTAGTATCTACATAGGAGTATGGGAAACTTTGATAACATAAATCATCTCTGGCAATGTTGGCACGATCAATGATATTGATATCATGAGCAGCCCCAAAGATAGGGCCAGAGTCTGGATCACCCTTGACATATGATTGATCCTTTGAATAATACTTGGTTGGTGGCACTCCTACATGATTGAGCATAGTGAAAATAAAACACTGATCGTCACCATAGAACTTGTTTTCCGAATTCCAAGACTGACTGTTGTATCCACCAAAAATGCTAAGATCATCTGATTTGATCAAGGTAATAGTTGGACCTTTTCCATCGCACAAGGAATGGAATGTTGATGCTTTAAATCCATTACGAGTACCCTACAGATCATAAATATAGTTATTGTTGTTAGTGTTGTGATAATAAAATGAATTTAAAAAAATGATATCTTTCTTACCCTGTAGAGAAGAGTTAAATTTGATTTCTTTCCAATCCATTTAGAAAAGTTGGCAATTTGATATTGGTCGACTATTACAGATGGGGATGGTAGGTGTTCAATGTAGATTTTATAGAATGCCAAATCTTTGTCGATTTCATTCAAAATTGATTGTGGAATCTCAAGTGGATCTTCAGTACGAAGGTAATTTAAAATATATTTAAAATTAGTTCCATCCCTAGAAATTTAAAACAAAAAAAAACAATTAATTAATTACAACTTTAGTCTCGGACTATAATAATAATACATATTTATGCATACCTGTCAATAAAGAAAGAGTTTGATTTATCATTGATATTGGTTGCTTTGATTTCCCCTTTTAATAGTTTATCAAAGTATGATCCTTTAACCTTAAGCAATGTCTCTTTTGTTGTTTGATACTCTGAACCACCAATATTTAGTGTGATTGGATCTACAATGTCTGGTTGGAACTCTACCTTGGTTAATTTGGCCACTGATGTTGATGTTGTATTGTTGTTTAAAATTTCATCCTTTTTTTTAATTATTTCTTTTAATTCTTTAATTTCATTTGAATATCGTACTTGTTGCTCTTGTAAAAGAGAATTAATTTGTTGAATTATTGGATCTGACATTTTAAATATTTAGTTTTGATTATTATTATTGAATCAAATGGTACCATTATTCCCTATTTATACTTGTACGTTTCTCCTTTAGGAGGAGAAAAACGAAGTGATACATGCATGAATTATAAATGGAATGTCAGAGAAAACCAAATCAAAAAGATCTTTTTTGTTACTTCATACTTTCCCGATATTTTGTCATCTTGGATATCTAGAATCCATCGTTCGATACCACCCATCAATTTAGGTTTCAAGACCATGTATAAGTAGTTTACCTTTTCTCATTGTAATTCTTTTAACACATCATCATTATCATAAAGATATTTGCAAATATCACTTTAAAAATCATCGCAAAAAAAAAAGGATTATTGGTTTGTTGGGATTGTGAATAATTTATTTAAATAGAATTAATTAAAAGTTTAATCAGTTGTAAATACCTCGATTTCTTCCATTGCGATTTCATCAAATGAACAAAAAGTATATCTTCCTTGTGATATCTTTGATGACTCGTGATAGTGATGAGGGAAACCAGAGTAGCTATTTATGTCGTTGTTGCTATTACTACAAATCTGAATATCAGATCCAAACATTGGACCATGTGTGGAGTACCCATACACATAACCATCGGTAAAGCCTGGTATAGCCACAAACTTGGTTGGTTCTCTTCCATAATTGTTGATGATTGTGAAAATAAAACAATTTGTGTCACCATAACCATCTTGATTGTTATCTGAATTCCATGATTGGCTGTTATAGCCACCGAATACCTCGCCTTCAATTGATTTAATAAATGTAATAGTTGCACCTTTTCCATCACATTTATCATGGAATGATTTAGCTTCAAATCCATCTTTTGTTGCCTAGAAAGAAAGAAAAAGAAAGAAAGAAAAAAAGAAATTGTTAGTTATTATTAATAATGATGTTATTTTGTATATTAATTACTCTGGTTCAATAAGATTTAAACATACTTTATAAATTAAATTTAATTTTTTATGTGAACCTAGCCATTCATAAACAGGAGCCATTTGAACATGGTCCAACATAGAGCAAGGTGGCTCAGGAATTGTGATTTTATAGAATTGTAATTCCCTTTCGATTGCACTTTTGATCGATGCTGGGAATATAACTGCATCATGATCACGAAGATAATTTAAAATATATGCAAAATTAGTTCCGTCTCTAAATAGGTAGTAAAAATAATAATATTATTAGTTTGTGTTTAAAATATATTAATTAATCGTTGTGTACATTCATACCTGTCAATAAAGAAAGTGTTTGGTTTGCCAGTAACAGAAGTAATTTTGATATCACCAGACAACATTGCATCAAAGTATGTGCCTTTGATGCTGGTGAGTGTTGCCTTTGATGCTTGAAACTTTACTCCACCAACAACGAGTGTAACAGGATCAGCAATCATTGATATATCGACTACTTTTTGAAATTCTAACAACTCTTTTCTTGTCTTTGTTAGTTTTTCTATTTCTTCATTCAACTCTTTGATATCATTTTTGTAACTTTCTTTAGCTTCTTCTAATAGTTCTGTTATTTGGTTAACTGTAATTTGTGTTTTGTCTAACATTTTAAAATTATAATTGATTTGATTGATAAATTATGATGATGATGATGATTTGTCTATCTCTTTTTGTTGGTTTTGATCAATAATAATAATAATATTTGTATTGTATGTTTTGGTTCTAACGTTGACGACAACGAATGCAAATGACCACTGCACCATCATTTTATAGCTGACGGTTCTCTTTGATTCTGCAGATCACTTTCAAACCATGACCCCAAATATCAAAGTTTTAAAAAAACCTTAAAATTTTATAAGATATTATTCTGTGCATACCAAGATTCTATACCAATACTCACAATGGGATTCGTCTTGACTAACACCAGTCTATGTTCCTGCGGCTCGTCATGTTGGGATGTCTTTAATTTCAATGGTCAACCCTCCAACCCTGCTGCTCAACTTGTTATCTTTTTTGATCAAAAATATAAGGCAATATTTAATACAAAAAAATAATAAATAATAAATACAAATAAATAAATAAACAAATAAATAATCTTCATACAACTATAAATGAAACAAAGGTTGTTGAGTAACAGCCAGATAGAGGGATGAATATTGAAACATTTTATTTTATTTTTTTTATTTTTTATTATTGAATTTTAATACTACAGTGCAAGCACAAAGTAAAATAATTGTTCATTATAGAAACACTAAAAATAACAAATACTATTATTATTAATTATATTGCAGTAGTATATATTATATAATATTTCTTCTTTCAATTCTAAAGTTTGTGACGATAAAAATCCAAGTGAACTCGCTGCTAAAGTGCAAAGATAGTTGTGTCTTTTAATGAAACAAATCTAATCACGAGTGAAATGAGATATCCAACAAAACCATGTTGATGTTGCTCGCCAACAATATTAATATCTACCAACAATGTAAACGAGCGACGATCAAGTTTATCATCAACAAACTAAATTAACACCTAAGTTCAAATAATGGTGTACTCATCACAACTTGAACAAGTTCGCTATAGATAATAATAATAATCAACATAGTAACTATAACTAGTAAATAGATAAATAATAGTAATAGTAATAATGATAAGGTTTAAACCGAAATCTATATCTTTGATAGTATTATTGCTAGTATTGCTACAAGTAGTAATCAATGTGGTTGATGGCGCACCACCCACCATCAATATGGCAGCCAATGTGTTTATCGGATACAAAGGTGCTGTTAAGGTTTACACTGTTACTGCCGACACTGTATCAGTGTACTCTGTCATTGTTTCTAGCCCTCCCATCTCTCACCCTCCCTTAGATGTAGTTCCTCCCGTTGCTAGTGGATCACAGCTAACAATCACATTCCCAGCACTGCCTGGTTACTTAAAGTCAGACCCTATAGATGCTACTCTAATCATTTTCAATGCCGCTGGCGAGGAAACAACAATTGCATTTAAATATTATGGTATGTTAAATTAAAAATTAATTAATTAATTAATTTATTAATGAACTAAACCAACTCTTTCTCTCTCTCTTTCTTTCTCTCTCTCTTTAGCACCAAAGGTTACAAGAATATTACCTGATAGTGGATTCAAAAGTGGAGGTACTATCATAACGATCACAGGATTTAATCTCTACTTTGCAGGACTACTCACAACTATTACTCTTGGTGGTGTTCCATGTACCGTCGTTAATGTTCCTACTGCTGCATCAATTCAATGTACTACACCTTCTTTAATTGGTTCTCCTTCAGATTTGGTCAAATTACACTTGGAGGTTGATGGTAATGCTGACACTGCAGCTCCTGAATTTCTAAATTATGATTTAATTGGTATGTTATATTTATTTAATTACTAGTTATTATTTAATTAATTTATTTATTTTACATTATTTAATTTTAGAACCTCAAATAGAAGATTTTGAACCAAAATTTGGAAAGGCTATAGGAGGTGAATTGTTGATGATTACACTCAATGATAATCCTGATCCCCTTCCACTACTTCCAACATCTATTATGATTGGTACTGCTCAATGTACTAGTATAAATAGACCCTCTTCATTGGTACTCACTTGTCTTACACCCACCATTTCAGATGTATCCCAACGATCTCTCAAAATCACAATCAATCTAAACTCATTTGTAATTACATCTACATCAACTTTTAATTATCTTTGTATGTATAATAATAATAATAATTAGTTATTTATTTTATGCAACCGTCTAATATATAAAATTATCTTTTTTTTTCTTTTTTTTTAAAGATCCAACAATCACATCAATTCAACCTGAAAGTGGATGGGCAGGAGGAGGAAAAGATATTATATTTAGTGGTGATAATTTATTTGCAGCAACCTCTATCATTGCCAATATTGGAGATGAACTATGTACTGGATGTACTGTCATCACTGATAATACTGTCGTTCCAGTATCTTACAAGATTAAGTGTACTACTCCCGTTCGTATTGCTCCATACAATCTTGTATTATCAAAGATTGTAACACTCAAACTCAACAATCTTGAAGTATTATACCCTCCAACTCCTTTCAAGTATACTTTTATTCGTAAGTCTTTATCATTTTATTAATATTTCAACTTTGTACATTTTTGAACTAAAATTTTTAATCCTCAAACTAGAACACAACATTAAAAAGATCATACCAGAAAGAGGACAACCCGGTAGTACAATAACAATAACAGGAAACAATATTAAAGATGGAGTTGTTCAAATTAATGATTTAATTTGTCCAACCATTGCTTATGTTGTTTTAGAGCACACTGAGGAGATTACATGTAGGGTTCCAACACTATTTGTAAATGATGTTGATGTCAATGTTGTTATCTTTGTTGATAATAACCCTTCAATTCTTTCATTACCTTTTGGTGTAACAACTCTTCCTAAATTCAGATATTATAGTATGTAGAAACAAAAAAAGAATCATGATACATTCATTTTTAATCATTTATTAATTCATTATGATTATTATTTAATTGTAGAACCAATCATTTCAAATACAGAACCGATACTATCATACACCAAAGGAACATTTGTTGTGACTATTCAAGGACAAGCTTTCTATGATATCACTCAAATCAAATATGGTGACAATGTACTTGACTCAACCAAATTCAATGTGATCGAATACAACAAAATCTATCTTCATGTGTTTAATGACCTTCCAACAATAGCTCATCTTCCAATAACCCTCACTACAACATTTGGTGATTATTCAAAAGATGGTTTTGGTGTTCAATTTGTTGGTATGTTAACATTTACAAATGATATGAATGTGAATCTTTATCATTAATATTAATATTAATTTTTTATTTATTTGTAGAACCTTCTATTATGACAATGGATACAATAAGAGGAATAGCATCAGGAGGAACAATAGTCAATATTCAGTTGGATGGAGTTGTTGAAGGAAGTTCATTTGAAATTAAAATTGGTGATAGATTATGTCAACCAACTATGGTTGTACCTGCACCTGCATTTGGATCGGTTCAATGTATCATTCCACCTTCAAAGTTTGAAGAACCTGAACTCGGTGGAACAGTCAGTGAAGATATTTCTATTATTGTCGGTTTATTGGGTTCAACATTGCCATTAACCTCATCACCATCTTCACAAACCTACACCACCACTTTAAAATACACCTATGAAGGACCATCGATTAATAACATCACACCTGCCAAGCTATCAATGAGTGGTGGCCGAGTTACCATTGATGGTACCAATCTTGATAATCCCACCAAAGTTACAATCGGCACTGACAATTGTATGATCAGTACCACACCGACTCCACCAACTCCAACACAAATCATTTGTACTCTACCACCAACTTTACAATCAGGTTTATTAAATACCAATGTTATGCTTTCATCTGGTCTTTTAGCAAATAAGATAAAAATTACAATCGATGCAACTTGTAAGTAAAAAATATCAATCATGATTATTTAATTTATATATTTATTAATTTATTTATTTCTATTTATAATCATTAGTACCAACCATATTGAGTATTTCACCAAAACAAGGACAAAAATCAGTAAATACAAACTTGGATGGTAGTTTTATGTTTATAACCATTAATGGTATCAATCTTGGCACAACAACGGCAACAACATCAGTTACAGTTGGTTTAGAATCATGTGCAATTGGAGTAGCTGGTACAATTGTTACAGCAAACCAAATTATATGTTTGAAACCAATCAGTACTGTTTCAGGGCCAGCCGAGGTTGTTGTTAAAGTGAACGGTATCGATTCGATTGATGAGGTGTACTATAGACAGAATGGTTTGTCTTGCTTTGGACAACCAGAGGCAGATGGATCAAACTCACCAGTCGACTGGTTCCTCATCAAGAAATTCCCACATACTGGAACTACCGGTTTCGACGTGAACAGAGCATACATGTACACTGATTCATCGGTCAAAGACAAAACAATGGAATTCAAAACCGACTTTGAATCTGCTGATAGCCCATTATCAATGACCTATACCCAATGGATGCATGATACACAATACGGTTACATGTTTTTTAATGATCAAGTCAAAGGTGCACAAAAAGATGCTGGACATGTTAAAGGAATGCTATTTTGGGAGTTTTCTCCAGATGGTAGTACCTTGGAATCGGGTGTGCACATAATGCATTCACAACCACACTTTCCTGTTAATATGCACATCCCTCGAGATAAGGGTACAGGTGCTGCAGCACACCATACCTATGCTACACCGAACCGACTATACAAATCTAAAAAATATGGTAGTTTGTGGGCAGGTAAAAGCAATAATTTAGGACAACATTTCTTTTGTTACAATCTCGATGCTGCAGGTGTTGACAGAGTTGCCGAATACTTTATTAAAACCAATGCATGGGCTCTTCCGAGACCAAGATTATCAAGTGTTCCAAACCCCTCTCCGATCTACAATGGAGCATATCTCACAACCACCACATGGCTCCATGAATTAAATACGATGACAATTCCTGGTCCAGGTAGAAAGGCAAATTATGGTCAATATAAAATGAATGAATTTGTAGAAGTAAGTATATATTTTCATAACCCAAACAAACAACTAACATACATTTTATTTTATTTTATTTTTAGCTTTGTGAAGATAATATCAATCAAATTAATTTAGGTGATATTTGTTATTGGACAATTAATGCTGTAGTTCCTGGGTTTGGTAAAGCCAAATACTTTGAAAAGACAACTATATTCACAGGACCCTCGTCTGTTGCCGTGACATTTGGTATTCCAGTCGACCCAGCACTTGTTCCCCCATTTGTTGGTGGACCAGGAGAAGCGAGATTGATTGTTGCTCCTCGACCAAAACCAAAAGCTGTTGTGGCTAGCACTGTTCCAGAAAAGATTACGCAAGATGGTATCGATATCTGGGAGGTAATGGTCAATTACTACAAAAGAAGTTTCTTTGTATCAACCTATCTTATTGGACAGAAACCTCTTTTCCCAGTCCCCGGTATTTATAATGTTCATGTAACTCGTATGTAAATCAAAAATATCATCCAACCAAGAAACTAATCTTCATTGGTTATCTATTTTTATATATTAATATTGATTAATTGTCACTCCCTTTTAGAAATTCCTTTACCAGATGGTTCATTGGGAAAGAATGGATATGCATACTTTAACAGCACTGATCATTCCAAGCTTGCATTCAACTTGGAACCAAAGATTGGAGCAGGTGCATATGACGATGGTGAGAATATGATGTGTTTTGGTGATACTAATCGTCACTCGAAGCAACCAAAAAGAGGTGGTGGCGTCCTATGTATTCAATCACCTGAACTCGTTTATCAATTCAACCGTTTTGTTTCTGGTTATGGATCAGTTGTATGTATTATTCATTATTATTATGACATACATCTATTCAAATGCTTACATTTCCAATACTAACACTTATATATTTTGAAATAGTTAAAATTCAAGGTATTTTCTGAGAGTTCACCAAGAGATATTAATCTTCCTGCACCTGCAGGTATAACGACCATACCATTAACATTTAATCCAGCGAATGTGTTTAACCTTGTCAATCGTAACCCAATCAACTCGATTGCACCTACTGTCACAAGATTCGCACCAGGTGATAATGTTTTCGGTACAGGTGTTATAGTTCCAGTCCCCACCGTTGCACCAGCTACGGCAACAAACGTTCAGTTATCGAATTCCTTAAAGTATTTTGTTTTATATAATGGAAATCTACCAGTTATGAACCCAACAAATCCTGCTAAATATTTGTTTGTCGATGCCTCTTATGTTGTTCCAGTCGGCCATAAAGCTTTAACTGCTGTGGCTTACACTATCACCGTTCATCAGACCATTAGAATGGAAAGAATACCAACTTTGGGATACGCTGGTGAGTTGATATTCGATCTATATGATTATGCAGTAGATTTCACTATCCCCGCTGCACCTGTCAACGTCTATACTCCCAAGACACCCAATCTACTCGTCTCAACCACCAATGTACCTATTGATAGACTATTACCACCAATCAAAGTTATGCGTACCGATCTTACTCATGTTGGAACCGAATATGAATTGGTGTATCCAGACGCTCACTTTAAATCAATCAAAGGAATCAAAGCACACGATGCATTTGCACCTCTATTTGTTGCATACAGTCAAGGTGTAGCTGGCATTTGTTTGATTGGTGATATCGATCCTATTTACGGTTGTACATTGGAAAAGGCAATTAGATCAAGGGCACCTACTGTCACTGAACTACTTGTATCACCTGTATCGCCACCACCAGGGCCACTCATTGTACCTTCACTCTATGGGTTCCCTGGGAAAGACCAAGTAGTGGATTCAACAAGAAGATTCCAATTCAGTGGTACCGACAATACATTCAAGATTCTAAAGTTTGTCAGTCAATTCCAAGAAGAGCTTGGTCAAATACCACCTCTAATCGGTGGATTGGCTGCGTCATCACTTGATGGGTTTGACATTGCCATTGACACTACTATTGCTCAATCAACAGTAACAGTCGATGGTACAACTATCATTTTGAAATCTGATCAACTTTGTGCTGATGAATTATCGTATCTCCTTTTACTCACCGTCGTTGCAAGAGAATCAAACATCAAGGGTCATGCCAGTCCATTAGCTTATGGAACTAGTCCACTCAACTGGTCAAATGGTATCCTTATTGCCATTTCAAAATTAATTTCAAATGTATGTAAATAATATTATTATTATTTAATTAATTATTATTATTTAATTTACAAATCAAGATTATTAATCAATCATTATTTCTTTTGTTTTTTTTTTAGAAAATTGAAGTTCCTTTTGCAACACCTAGTTTAATTGGTGGATGTTTTACTGCAGTCGGTGCTATTGATTTGGTTACATTTGCTGATAATGTCAATATTGGATCATTCAAAAATACTGCTGCTGCCACTTGGATACTAAGTTCCTCTCCCGATTGGTTACCAGATTCCATGTTTAAATTATTATTTAAAGTCAAGACAACCGATCATATTCAATCATTGAGTGATCTCTATAATATGAGGGGACTGCCACCACCATATCCAACAGTATTTTACGACAAATACATTATTATTCGTCCATTTAGCGCAAAGATGGATGTCGACGATGATGAACCTGCTGCTCGTCATATGATGTCATTATTCACAATACCAACAACAACAACATCAGATGTTGAAACCAACCAAAATATAGTATCACCACTCCAACAACTATTCAACTTTATTGACCAAGCTGCATTTACACCAGATGAATTATTACAACTTGACAATCAACAAATCAACCTATTAAAAGAATCATTGGACAAATGGGTTGATATTTCATCAGAGAATCAAGGTATCAAAGTATTACTCAAAGATCCAATCACCCAAACATCCAACCAAATCATCAAATACCTTGATGAAGTCAACTCTGTTCAATATGGAGTGTCTTCTGATCACATTGAATTATGTTATTTGGCAATCGGTGGTGGAGGTCAACAAGAATACAAGATTGAAATATGTTCACCAATGTCAATCGTTTACCTCACCAACACATTGAAACGTATTCAAATGACAGCATCAACTCTTTCAAAGAACTTTTGTGACTTGACATTGTACCATTTGCCATTATCATCAGAATATGATGGATATGTTTCTGATGGAGTAGATGGTTTAATGATTGCAACACTCAACTCCAAGTTGTGTGATGCTCAAATGACTACTCTTTCATCGTTCCAATCGAATTCATTCTCGACTCTTTGTACTCAATCAGGACCGATTATTACAAGTCTATCAACAAACAATGGTGCGTCAATTGGAGGGTACCAACTATTGGTCAATGGATATAGATTCCAATCAAATTTGAATATTACCATTGGTGGTGTTAGATGTTCTCAAACAATATTCCAGACATCACAACTTGTACAATGTGTAGTTCCACCAAACACAGGTATCAACCACCTCGTATCATTCACATCGAATCATATTCAATCAACTCTATTTTATTTCTCTTACAATCGTATGTTTCGCTATAACTATTAATTAGTTAAATTTTAAATTATTTAATTCTACCTTTTTTCATTTCTAACCTTTTATTTTTTTTATACCTTTATAGAACCAATAATCAACAATGTATTAGTATCAGATATAACAAGATCAGTATCAGAGATAACAATCAAAGGTGCAAACTTTGGTAATAGTGGAGGCAACGACAACTCACTTTATATCTCTATTGATCAATACCAATGCTTTAATATTATTCAACATGTTGACTCCACCATCAGATGTAGAATTAAAAGTAGAGTTGCTGCCAACAACTTTGTCAATGTTTCAATATCCAACGACAATAGCAACGGTATTAGACAGACATCAGTATTCCATTTGAATCAAATCACAAATACTCAATTCAATTATTCCTATGTTCCAAATATCGTTGCAGTATTACCAAGTCATGGATTTGCTCGTGATTTGGTGACAGTGGTTGGTGATTCATTTGCCAATGGAGATGCATTACCATTGTCATACTTTAAGGATACAAGATCAACAGTCCTGCCACCAGGTGATATGGGTGATGATATCTTGACCGTTCGAGTACCACAAATAACTCGAGACTCTCAACTCTTGGTGTCAGTCGATAATATTGGTAGTAATCTCAAGTCATTCACTTTGGATCAACCTTTTATTGAATCAATCTCACCAAGTCGTGTTAGTTCATCAGGTGGTGTCATCATCATTAAAGGAGGTGGATGGGGTATGTCTCGTCAAGCTATCGACTATGTCAAACTTGGTTCTACACCAATCAGCTGTACTCCATTCAACAAATTCCTCGAATGTATTGTTCCACCAAGCACTGGTGAAGTTAATACTCTCACTGTCTCTTTTAGTGGTAGAGTCACGACATCATACCTCTCAGACTATGGTATGTCATATTCAACACCTCGAATCACATCGTACACTGAATCATCAGGAGTACTCACAATCAGAGGTGTCGACTTTGTCAACATTGGCACCCAAACATCACCTCAAAACAGTTATTTGAATGTTGTATCGAATATGAATCGACCATTGTCATATCAACAGCTCACATTTGTCAACAAGACAACCATCACAGCCACTCTCACATCTCTCTTGTCAGGAGAATCAGTAGAATCAGTTCAAGTATTAATATTTGGCATGGAATCTAATACTTACTACCATGCACGATATGGATGTGATGGATGGGTTAGAAACGGTGACTACAATTATATTCCATTACATTATGGAGTTTATCCATTAAAAGATTATGGATTCTGTACCACACCTTCATGTATTGCATCTTATCAAAAATCATCTGGTGAAGCTGGTTGTATCATTGTAGTTGATAGTAATACTGGTGTTCTTACACTATCTTATGGTATGTTATATTAATTATTATATTAGCAAATTATTAATTATTTATTAATTTTATTTATTTATTTAGAATACACAATTAATCTAAATACCTATGTAGATGCTCATATTGATGGTGTATTTGATAGTGCTTACGATAATAGAAACTCTGAATTAGCCAATTCAATGATCATTCTTGTGGCGTACCCAACCGCCGGCTCTGTTTATGTCAGTAGACTATTTTATCCATCAATGTCAAGACTTGATTGTCCATCTATATGTCTCATCAATGTATCTTCGACTAATGCAAGTTATATACCTATTATAAATAATTGGAGAGCAGACTTTACAGTCAACAAACAACCTCGATCGTTTGACATTGGTTTCTACGACAAGAGAATATTTGGAGAACCAAGAGTAGCATTCTTTTCAAGTGGATTCGGTAGTGGACTTCGTCTATCACTTCCATATGGTCGTTTCCGTATCTCATTTGAATGTCAATCGTACACTATCCCCACCAATATCAATGTTGCTGTATATTTACCTGGTGTTGTAGATCCTATTATATACGTACCACCAGGAGGAAACACTCTCAAACAAGCAACAACATTTGATGTCTATCGAAATGGTATGTTTTTTATTTCGGCCAAAAGAATTCTTTTACTTTATAACTAATTGATGAATTATTTTTTAGATATATTGAATGCTTATAGTGGAGGACTTAATCCATTGGGTCAAAACATTAGTTTTGAAAATATCTATCATCCAAGAGTGCCATCTTATTATATTGGAACTTCTTTATTAGTTTGTTCAAGCATACCACCAAGTAACATTTGGACCTGTATAGTACCACCTAAAACAGGTTCTGCACCTTTAACTTTTTCAACCTATTCGATGGTCGGCACAACTTTGACCAAGTTTTACAAAGAGTTCCCAATCACCTACACTAGTGTTGTAGTTGCCTCTGGCTCTGTCTTTATGGACTATGACAGAGACAATACATTCAATAATATAGATGAGAAAATGGCAGGACACACAGTTCAAATCAAATCAGGTAGTACTGTATTGGCATCACAAAATACAGTGGCCGGTGCTATTGGTTTCTCATTTAGTATGAGTTACATCCCAACCAATGCTCGTATATACATTTATCCATCGCCTGGATGTATTTCATACTTCTCATCGTTCCCATTCTCGTCTCCCATTGTCAAAGATTTCCCCCTTTATCAATTAGATATGTTTGGTATCGAATTGAGCAAACAATGTCAAGGATATTTAACAGCTGGAACCGAGCAATTGAATTTACAAAGTGGTACATACGATCTATCAAAATTTGGATGGTGTAAATCACCCTCTGTATGCGCCAACGTCATCACTTCTGAAACCTTCCCAGACTATTGCACACCTGTTTACAGTGGAACCATGGTGACCATTGATTACAATGCACAGGTTACACTCACCTTTTGGCTTAGTAACTCACCAGGTTTACCATACAGTTCAAACAAATTGCCCCCTTCATCAATGTTCCAATACGGTGTTGCAGCTAGATCCATTATAAATGCATCATATTACACATTCTACTTTACTGTTCCAGCCAATGGAATTCTCAAGTTTAATGTACCCTTTGGCACAACAAACCTAATCATCACTCCACCCAGTATCTTTGATCATATAGTTGATGGAACCACCATTGACTTTACAACCAGTGAGAGTGTACCATCATTCGCCAAGACACTAGCAGTCTTTTCTCCAGCCACCCACTTTTACAACAGTGCATCAGTCAACATTCTCAGTCTCCCATTAGGTTTCTACAACTTTACATGGTACTCTAAACAAGGTCAAATCAAATCATTCAGTGCACATCCATCAATGAGTATTTATGTTTGGAATAATGCAGGTACTCTTTATAATGTTGCTAGAAATGGAAATAATATTCAACTTCCAGATACACTTGCATTGACTGTTGAAAATACTCCAACTAGTATGTATAAATACAAAATCAATTTTTAAAATCAATTATAAATTAATATATATTAACAAACTCTTTTTTTAAACTATTACTTTTTTTTAGATTTATATAGTTTCGCAGTCCCACCAGATGGATTACAATTCACAATGCCAACTCCTTATTCTTATGTCCCATTCCTTTTTATTGAAGGATTAGAGATTGAATGTGAAAATAACTATATTAATTGTAAAATTCCATCACACATTGGAGGTACAACTTCAAAAGCAAAATTGAAGCATGCTGGAACGTTCTTTTATCACACTTGGACTATTACCTATCAAAAGAGATTCGAAATTCCATCTGCTGGATCAAGTTATTTGGCAGCAGGACAATCGTTGACACTGGGAGTAAACGATATTGGAGTAATGATCAAGTACCCTCTCAACCCAGGAGTTGGACAACCATACACCTACTTTTCTCTCTCCCCTACAGGCATCAAGATTGGTTTCCAAGCAGGCCCAACCAATAGTCACATCTACCAGGTACTTTCTTCTCAGTATGACCAATCATTTACTGCACCTTTCTCATTCAAGGTAGAATCTGACTATAACATTGGATTGTGGGGTACCAAATCAGGAGCATTATCCCGTGGTGCTTGGTATCTTGACAAATCTCCTCTTCCTCTCCAATCATCATACTTGCAAGTTGTTCGTGATGGAGTCATTGTTCAAAACAGCGCTGGAAACGTACAATGGTCCAGATTAAAACCACTCAATTATTCTGGACTTGCACGTCCACTTGGTGCTCAAATAGACTATCTTGACGCACTTGACACCAACAAGAATTTCTTGACAATGGGAAGATTCCTAACCAATGGTGAAAGCTATCTTAGATTTGATAATGATGGAAGTCTTCGTCTATACAATGACAACTCCTTCACAGCCTATTCATGGCAAGTCTTTTTTAGTGGTGGCATTATGAATCTCCTTCCACCAATCAAATGGGTTTTCACAGCCAATAGTCTCTGCGCTCACGGTCAGTCAATACTCACCCCAATTGTGGGGTGCATCCAATTCAATGCTCCAGCTCGTTACCTATTTGTTGCCCCACCAACATACGGATCGTCACAATTTTCAATGACAGTGACCAATTATTTTGGAGCACTTGTTTACTCTCAAGGATCTGCTCCAACCTCGCCATACAAGATGATCCCAGGTACCTTTATGGAGTTTGGTGATGCACTGATTCATGGACAATTCCTCACCAATGGAGTTGAGAAACTCTTTGTCAAACCAAATGGAGTGTTTAGAAGAGAAGCATCTGGAAGTGAAACAACCCTTGCATCTGGAGTCGTCAACGCCATTATCGCTTCTAGTACACTTCAATTTGGTGGCCTCATGACAGTAACTCCACCAGGTACTTACAAATACGTATTCTATCCACCACCTGGTCACAATCTTCCCAATGTCGACCCAGTCACAAAACTTGTCTTTGTAACAGCTGCTGGAAGAGGTGCTGGAACCTCCAACCCTGCTGCTCAATTTGTTATCTATGATCAAAAATATTGGGCAAATATTTAATTCAAACAAATAAATAAATAAATAAATAATATTCATTAAATAGTTTTGCTCCAAAAATAATCTTTATTTACTCTTGATGACTTCTTGGTTTTGCACCCATTTCTGTCATTGGAATAAAGTGATGACGAGATCTTCGATAATCTCTGATGATCTTTGGTGACTTTTTAAAAACTATAACCGATATAATGATCGCTGTTACAGTGACAACAACCACTATCATAATCGTGAATACCCAATTTCTTTTTGGATTTACTTTTTGTGGTGGTTGTTGGCTGCAGTCTCCTTGTCCAAATAGTTCCCGGTCAATTTGAAGCGGTGTGAATTGAGGATCAATCAAACATAGTTGACATTGTGGAAGATGAATACCAATCAATGCAATCGATTGTTGATCATTGATTCTAGTTGTGTTGATTAATTCTATTTTGGAGTACGTTGGTTTGTTGTTTGATATCACAAATGGTAGGAATTGTCCAAAGAATTGAATATCATTGGAAATGATCCGAATAAATTCAATTGAATCACTATCTTGGAATGATTGGAATGTTTCTATATGATGAATGGATCCGTCACATCCAATAATAGTTTGATTATTATTAATTGTGGTTGAGAATAGTACAACGAGATGTGGTGATTCTGAAACCATTGAATAGGGCCATTCTTTAATTGATACTGATAATTTAATACTATTATTACCAATATAAATACTTTCACCTCCAAATTGAATAGTTCTACTATCATTATCATTTGATGCTTGAATTGTCGAAATAATTGTAGTATTTTCGTATAGTCCTTTACTGTTTTTGATTTGATACTCCAATGATTTTAATTGATCTGTTGATTTATCTGTATAATACCAATTACCGGTTGTTTTTAATTCTCTAATTGTTTGATTATTAATATCTACTTCTTGAATTGCAATTAAATCAAATTTGAATAAATAATCATCGTATTGATACGATATTGTTGGATTGTTAGAACTAAAAACTTGTTTTGAAACTGTAAAAAGAAAAATACTATGTTAGTATAAAAAATTAAAATTATAATATTATTATATAATTAATTACATACTTTGATTATTTGATATGTTAAATTTACAATCATCATACCAATCCAAACTATCACATTTACAATAACCATTTTCGCATTTACCACGACCACTACAATTATTTGTCCTAGTCATACACTCATTATCAGTCGGTAATGGATAAGGAATGAATAATAATGTATTTGATAAATACTCCCCGTTTGGTACGTTGATTGTCAATCTTGTTGGACCAGATGGAGGTATATTATCAAATCGACAAAGAAAATCCTTTTCAGACGCTCTCACTCTAACTGAATAATATGGTTGGCTTGGCTCACCAACATAAAGTAGTCCATCGTCGGCATTCTTTCCAAAATATCCATATAAATGTAAATATAAATGATCAGTTGGATACGTAGTTGGTTCTAATGATATTGATGTTATCATTGCTTAACATAAAAATTAATAAATGAAAAATATGTTTTTGATTTACATGTTTTTAATACATACTAGGATAAGGTATATTAAATTGTGATGAACAATCTCCATTTGGTACATTTACTTTGATACCCGTTAAACCTGGTATTGCCTGACTACCAAAATGACATTCGATAACTGTTTCATTTGCATGTATCATGGTACAATCATTTGCGTTTGTGGAACCATTAAAAAAAATGACAGCACTTGTTGAATTTACTCCAAAAAATCCAACTATATAAATTTTAATTGGTGGGTATGAGGGAGGATCTATAATTACAGTTGATATCGTTGCTTGAATTTAAAAAAAAAATTAATAAACATTCCCATGTGTTTTTCTTCTTGATTTAATCTTACTATTTGAAGGAATATAAAATATTGGATCAACATAGGTTCTATTATCCAAAATTAAATTAATATGGGATGATCCTGGTAAAGGTTGTTTTTCAAATTGACAATGAATAAAAGATATGTTTGAACTTTTAACCAGGCAAGGATAAGGGTCATCCTGTGTATTTATAAAAATAATTGTTTGATTTGCATTTTCACCAAAATAACCATTTAAATCTAAAAACAATGGTGGGTACGTTGATGGTTCTAATGAATATGATAAAATATTTGCTGAAATAAAGTTAATAATTAATAAAATTCATTATTTAGATTCATTAACAATTTGATTACATACATTTATAGGGGATTGTAAAAGATGTTGATACATTTCCATTGGGGATACTTAATAAAAGAGTGTCGTCTCCTGGGGATGGTTCTTTCCCAAATTTACATTTAAATTGACTTTCATTGGAATCTTCTACTATACTTGTGCATGGGTATGCAGCAGTAGATCCATTGAAATAGACTGTACCCAGAGCCGAATTCTTTCCAAAAAATCCTTTTAAAATTAAAAAGATTGGTGGGTAACTTGGTGGTTCCAGTGTCACTGAGGATATATAGCTCCCTCTAGGAAGATAAATAGAATAATTATCATACTTTCCATTTGGCACAGTGAGAGTCACATTATTTGTACCTGGAGGTAGATCTTGGCTTGTGTTGAACAAACATCGAATATAGGTTTGGTTACTCTCATTAAAAATGCATTTAAATGAGTCTTCTCCTGTATTTAGGGATAATCTACCACGTCTTGTATCCATTCCAAAATATCCATATAAACTTAGCGTTACTGGAGGTTCAAATAAATAAGAGTTAATGATTGTCTCTGTAGGAAAATTAAATTCACAGGTTAGTAAATATATGGAAATTAAGCTATCTTTTTTTTCTTACTATTTGGAAGAATATTTGCAATCAATGAATTATTTTGAAATTGAGTAAATATTTGAACTGGATGTAAATTGTTATTTGTTGATGAATCGACAGTACAAAATATCGAATTATTAAGAAAACTACGAATCGTGCATGGGTTCATACCAAAACTTATATTTGGTAAATAGGTATTTGAGATAATTTTAAAATAGGCTGTAATTGTTATTAAATTGTCGTGAACCTTGTCCAATGGATTCAGTGTCGCATTATCCAAAACAAATGATATTTCTTCAATGGTAAAAGTTTCTGGCCAAAGTGAATATTTTTTTGTTTGTTTTCTTCCTTGACTTGGATCCATTTGTCCACTATGTTTTTTGAAACTGTTAGTATCGATAGTAATAAACTTTTTGAAATAAAGTTCCTGTATACATACTATAATTGTTTATTTGGGCGAATAACGGATAACCCTTGATCAATGTCTCCATAGCCCAATAAATCTCCGTTTATGATAAACCGACCTTGATATGAAACCAAATTTAAACTGTCAAATGTAGGAGGTTTGCATAAAACTGTTTCTGGATGTTCTAGTGTAGTGTTGAAAATACCACTAGACTGAAAACACCATAAACAATCTGGTATGGCTGTAATACTTGTATTTACTATATTTAGAGATTGAATATAACAAAAATCATTTGAAAGATTTCCATTTAAACCAATATTATTTGAAAGATCAAGTCTAAGATTAAAAGGATTATTGACAAGCAAATCTATTGGAACTGTTCCTTCTAGTGAATTAATCTCTGTATTACTAAATAAATAATTAGTAAAATTAAAAATTAATATTGTATGATAATACCTACACATATTTTACAGTCGATGGTAATATAGGTATTTCAGATGGATTATTATTATTAAATATTCTATTAAAAAATAATAAATGAATTAATTAAATTATTCTATTTATATAAATACATTCAACTTATTCTTACAAATTTGTTAAATTAAAAGCATCAATTGTTGGTACAATCGTATTGGGTGCAATTTCTCTAGAGAAATAATTTTAATAAGTCATCATCGTCATCATCATCACTATGGATTAGAAATATACATACATTGAATTAATTGATTGTGGATAAGTAAATATAGATTGAATGGGTGTTGTTCCATTAATTACATATGCTTTATATTGTGTGATTGATTTTGAATTTACTTTTACTGTTGCATTGTTATCTCCACGCATTCCATAGACCGTTCTTTTATTCGAAGAGAGAGATGTAAATAAAATTGTTTTGTTCATTCCTTTTTTGTTGGTTTTTAACATACAGCGAAGTGAGTTTAGGAAAATGGCGTTCATCAATGTCAAATTCTTTCTCTTTGTCACCATCAACGAAAATCGTAAGCATTAATACGTCATTATCAAGCACCCTTAGAGATTGTGGTGTGATCAAACCAAACGAAAGTGAAAGAACGGTAGACGGTATTTTACCATTTGCAAATGAAAGATCTATTTGACTATTATAAAGGAACCTAATATATTTATATCGGTGTTAATAAAAAATATATATAAAGTGTATATTATTAACTTACAAACTAGTCAGCCTTGGGAAATCATATGAAAGCAAGAGTGGAATGTCTTTGACTCTGGTATCGTTTATTTTCAGAGTAACCAATTTAGTGCAATTCTTTAAAAAATGCAATATATTATCTTCGGAATAGGTTTCGTCTTGTACAAGAGGTTTCCATAGTATTTCAATGAATCGTGTCTCTGGTAATACCAATGCATCGGTTAGTTTTGTTTGATTGTATCTAGTGAATGTATAGTTTTCTTGATACATTGACCTATAGAGTAGTTGTATTATTAATATCTCATTATAAAAGTATGGTATATATATTTACACTTGAGTGATATGATATTCTTGATTTGTTGTTTGTTCACAAACGAATAAGGTCGAGTTACATATTGACTCTGTTGTATTATAATCACCTTCTCTACCATATAATCTAATTAACCAATTGGCAGATTCAACTATTAAAAGTAATCATACAAGTAAGAAAAGAGGAGATGAGTATATCATATGTTACATAGTATGTACTAATCGATCGTTTTTCTATGTACATACTTTCCAAAGGTGGTAGTGATAATGTCTGTGAACTGCATCTTCTTATTGAATCATCATTTAATATGAAAAAGATAATATATAGGATTAATAACTCCTTAAAGTTGATCATATCATAATAATACTACTATTATATCTTATATTACTATCTGTATCCTTTTCACCAACAATCGTTTTCATCATAATATAATAACAAAACCGTCAAAAGAATGTCAAACCTCAAAATGGACCGCACCCAAAAACTAAGAAACCTAAAGTGAATTTGTTGCATTATAAATATATATAAATATGATTATTTGTATGTACTATATTATTTAACTCATACCAATGGACACCCCCCCCTTACTAAAAAAAATAAAATAAAACATAATATTTAAATTATTTTCCAGTCTAATTTACAAAATATTATATTAAACCAAGTTCTTTGACTTTTTTCATTCATTTTTTAATCATCATTTTGGTTTGTATTATCACCTAATCTCTTTCTCTTTTTGAGTACCATTGAATCATTATCTTTTTGAGTGGTAGCTATCATTGATTGATTGTTGGAGGCTGTACTATATTTTAGATTGGTCGATATAATCTTATCACCTCGACGATTCTTCCACGACTCGTATTCCATCGATGCTACATAACCCAATGTGAATATGATATTCTCTGTAGACGTTAGATCATTCTTGATTCTAGAGATATCTGCATTCCTCTGATGTAGTGATTGTTTGAATATTTGGAAAAAGCGTTCTTTAAATGATTGGAATAATGTTGAACATAATACATTATCTTTGAATCTTAAGATAGTTAAAATAAGGACATTAATACTAAAAATGAAGGAAGGAAGGATCAACACATCATCTCTTTTTTACATACAATAAAGCAATTTTAGTACCATATCTATCATAATAAGGAAACTTCCTCATTGAGATAACCTTTGAATCAGCAGCCAACTTGTTTCTAAACTCTTCTTGGTATGCTACCGGTTCTACTATATCTACATATCTATTTTCATTTAATGATCTAACTAACCAATATGAAAGTTCTATATTTGTTCCTTTTTTTATCTATATACAGAGTTATCCATGTTAATCATCTATATAACATATGAATCTCTTCTTCTTCTTCTTCTTCTTTGATGTTTCACAAACATACATCTACATCATCTGAACCAGAATCTAAATGACCCAAACGAAATCCATCTGTTTTAAATGTACAAAGTATTCTTTCTTCTTCTGCTAGAATATCATCTATATTATAATAATCGTTATAACTCATATCTCTCCTCTCTTCTTTATCTTATCTATATCTAGCTTTACAATTCCTGATATTACTACTGCGCCCTTTCAACTTCCCTCTCTTTTTTTCAAATTTTCAAAAGTTTTTAGCAAAGGAACTTCGGTCATTTCTATAGATGTTGCCTGCTGGCAGATCTCAAGGTCAAACCAATGCTATTGTTATTTTTCCTACACCCTATATACTCACATAATCTCATATGCTGAATAATAATCTTCATCATCTCTTTGATTATCGGGTGATGGAATACTTCATTCCAAATTATTACCTTTGCATTATTCAATAATGCGTGTGGTCGTAGTGAAAGGTCGTGACCTCTTATCAAGCATAAAAAATCTGGTGATGACCTCACCAGAAAAACTTGGATGCCCGGGGTGTGAGTGTTTGGGTGAAAACTAAGAGGGGAGATCTTTTCGCGAATAACTAGTTTAGTTTGTTCTCATTATCATCATCATCATCACCACACTTACCTTTAATATTTACTACTACATGATACAAACAAACAAGAGAGACAACTAGTCAGTCAATAAATATACTCTTACTCTTACTCTTACCACCACCAGCAGCAGCAATATAACAAACGACTACTATACCATACTATATACTCTATAGTTGTGATTGATCAATCATGACAGACAACAACAATATGTGGTATCATAGGGTTGTTCAACGATTAGGTTTAATGGTAGATATCATCATCAGCTATCATCTATTATCATATTTGATGATTGAAACGAGAGAGTCGATCAGTATTTCTGTGAAACTAATCATTCATTCCCTCCCTTCCTTCCATTGACTTATTTATTCTAGAAACCTGAAGATGGACCAACCATTAGAATAGTATATGCTAATGATGCAGAGCGTAATATAGAGTATCCAACCAATGTCATTAGTAATACAAAGTATACTCTTGTTACTTTTATACCAAAGAATCTTTATGAACAATTTGGGTAAATGACGATAATTATAGTAGATCAACAAGGAATGACTCAATATTGATACAATACCTTTTTATTCGATTATTCGATACATTTAGACGAGCGATGAACATCTACTTTTTATTTATAGGTATACTACAACTATTCCCAAGTATTACACCGGTTAATCCAGTGTCAACATGGGGAGCATTGGTTTTCATCTTTACAGTATCTGCCATCAAAGAAGGTTACGATGACTTTAACAGATACAAAAGAGACAAATTGGCAAACGAACGACAGTTTTGGGTGCTGCGTAATAATGCACGTGTACAAATACAATCACAACATATTAGTGTTGGAGATATAATCTGTCTACAAAACAACGATGAAATACCTTGTGATATGGTTGTACTTGCTACAAGTGATCCCGAAGGAACTTGTTATGTTCAAGTATGTTAATATTAATATTAATATTAATATATATTTGGATGGTGATACTGATTGACTCTCTCTCTCTATTTCTCTTTTTCGTTTATTTTCTTTTAGACAGCCAATTTAGATGGCGAAACTGATTTAAAGACAAGATTAGCACCAAAGGAAACAATGGGAATGAGTGAACAAGAATTACATAAATTTAAAGGTGTGATTGAATGTCCAAGTCCAAATGCCGAGATTTATAAATTTGATTCACGTCTATCGATGCAAGCCAACACCAAAGTCAACACGTACACACATTCTAATTGGATTACTCTGTCTGCTCAAAACATATTGTTGCAGGCTACGAATGTTAGAAACGTCGATCATCTCTATGGAATGGCCGTCTACACGGGCAATGAAACAAAGATTGGCAAAAACAAAAAGATACCACCCACTAAATGGACCAAACTCGACCACTCAATCAACAGAATCACCGTCTTTATATTTTGTCTCCAATTGTCATTGGTTCTCATCTTTGGTATGATTGGTGAATTCATTCGTAGTTCTGAAAAAGAGTCGGTCTGGTATTTGGGTTATACTCCAGATTACAAAGACCCATGGTATGAATTTATCATTATTCCTCTTCGTTTTCTTTTATTAAATTCTCTTGTATGTAAAATAACAAAACAAATCAAACAAAAATAACAAACAAACAAATCAAATATACTTATTTTCTTTATATTATATTTTTTCTAGATGATTCCAATTTCATTAAAAGTAACAATTGATGTTATTAAATATGCCTATGCATTATTTATTAATTGGGATCTTAAAATGTATTATAAACAATCAAATGCACCTGCAGTTGCCAATAGCACAGCGCTTAGTGAAGATTTGGGACAAATAGAATATGTCTTTACCGACAAGACTGGCACACTAACTGAAAACATCATGTTGTTTTCAAGATGTTCAATCGATGGACAAGTCTATGGTGTCGAAGGTTCAATATTCGAGGATCAATCACTATTGGAGCAAATCAATTCAAATGATCATCATTCTGTAAACTTTTTCAGAGCCATTTCACTTTGTCATTCTGTCATTCCTTCAAGATCTCCGTATTTATCAAGAAATAGAAGAAGTAGTAGAGTATTTGTTGGAATAATATTAATATTTTTTGTTTGATTTTTTATTTATTTTTATTAGGGAGGATAATTCAATATTTTATAAAGCATCATCACCAGATGAAGAAGCATTGGTAACAGCAGCATCAAAATTGGGTATACAATTTACAAACAAGACACCATCGGCACTAACCATTCAAGTCAATGATACTATAGAACATTACCAACTACTTCATACCTTTGATTTCACATCTGATAGAAAGAGAATGAGTGTCATTGTTAAACACAATGCAACCAATCAAATTAAAATCATTACAAAAGGTGCTGATGATATGGTTTTTAAAAGATTACATAAAAGTATGCAAAACTTTAAAAAGAATAATAATAATCAAAATAACAAATAACTAATCTATCTATCTATCTCTCTCTTTTAGATAATGATATAAAATTACAAATTAAACATATTGATGAATTTGCAATGATTGGTTTAAGAACACTTTGTATTGCAGAAAGAGTATTGGATGAGAATGTATACAATAGTTGGTTAGAGAATCATTTCAAGGAAGCAAGTTGTTCGTTAGAGAATAGACAGGAAAGATTGGCAGAGGCATATGAATTGTTGGAATGTAATTTGGATTTATTGGGTGTCACTGCTATTGAAGATAAACTACAAGAAGGAGTACCAGAAACAATACATAATCTTAGACAAGCTTCCATCAAGGTATGGATGTTGACTGGTGACAAGTACTCTACTGCCATTCAAATTGCACATTCCTGTAATCTTGTTGAACGTGGATGTCGTATCTATACTATTGGTAAAGAGATTCCAAGAGACGATCATGAAGACGACTATTCAACAGGTGTAACTAGAGAATTGTCTGCACTAGAGATTGTTTCATCGATTCGTGATATTCAAGATCATATTCTCACTAATGGTGGAAACTATGATCTCGACAATCAAAGTAGTAGCAATAATATTGGAAACTCTAATAGCAATAGTATTAGCAACAGAGATGTCTCTATAGCTGTCGAAGGACATGTCTTGACAACTGTCCTCAAATTTGCAGAAAGTGAATTCCTTCAACTCTCTGGTCTAGTGTCATCGGTCATTTGCTGTCGTGTTACACCCAATCAAAAGGCTTTGGTTGTTAGAATGGTCAAAAATACAAACAAGATTTGTTTGGCTATTGGTGATGGTGGTAATGATGTATCAATGATTCAAGAAGCAAATGTTGGTGTTGGTATTGGTGGTAGAGAAGGTTTACAAGCTGCTCGTGCTTCAGATTATAGTATTGCTAGTAAGAATCGCGAGAGAATATGATAGACATTAAGATCAGACACATTTGACTAATAATCGATCTTTTTATTTTAATTTTTTAAAGGATTTAAATATTTACAAGATTTATTATTTATTCATGGAAGATATTCATATCTTAGAACATCATTTGTAGCCAATTATTGTTTCTACAAATCATTATTTATTTGTTTTATTCAAATCCTATATCAAATATTTAGTGGGTTTGCAGGAACCACCTTTTTCAACTCGTTTTCACTCACCTCTTACAATATTCTATTTACTGGATTGCCAATCATTGGATACATTCTAGATCGTGATCTTCCCCAATCCATCCTCAAACGTAATCCATATCTATACACATTTACACAAGAAGGAAAGGCATTTTCACCAAAAATATTCCTCAGATGGTCATTTAGATCATTGTATCATGCATTGATTGTATTCTGTGCTACTGCTGCACCATTTATTTATAATACTGGTGGTACTGATATAGATTATGATTCAATTTCAATGATTTCATTTACCGCTATTATCTTTATTCAATCACTTACATTATTTATTGAATCAAAGTATGTAAAGAAAAGAAAAAAAAACAAAAAAAAAAAAGAAAACAGACAACTAATTTATTCTATTTATTTTTTAGTACAATAACATGGATAAATCATGCATTAATTTGGGGAACTATACCAATTTATATTTTATGTGTACTTGTTTTGAATAGTATATCAACATTGGATATGTACTCTGTGATGACTCATCTAACTGATAGATCTTCATTTTGGGGATCATTCTTTTTGATGATTTGTGTCTGCTTGGTACCAATCATTTCAATTGAATATCTACTCCAACTATACAAACCAACGGTCGATGAAATCATCAATCAAATCAGATCGGATAATCATCGTGGTGGATTTGGAGGATTTTTCAATTGCACTCAATCAACAACATCTCTCAATGACGGTGATTATTCACCACCATCCTCTTCAACTTCACATCACCTGTTTTCATCCAACATTGCTAACAATAACAATAACAATAACAACAATGATATCAGTTATCACAGTGGTAATGGTAACCATCATATGATTAGAAATTCAAGTATGGTGGTTCCAGAGGAACACCATAATCAGAGATCCAAAATTATCACATTTCTTTTATACAGAAGTTTGACAACTCCACTTGCAAAGAGATTGTCAAGACGAAAGATTCGTGGTAACAAGGAAGTCATTGAATTAATAGTCAATACTTATGAAGACACTTATGATGATGATCACAATCAATCATACTATAATTCCCATCCAGAAACTCAATCATTATTAAGAGATGAAGAAGCTGTAGAAACTTCTCCATTACTTTAAATCCACCACAAACCAAATCCACCAAACCAAACAAACCCCTCTTTTAGAAAACAACAACAATAATAATAACAAAACAATACAATTAAAATAAATAAATAAAATATGAATAATATTATTATTTATAGTTCCCAAATAAATATTGTATTTCTTACTACGTTTATTATTTTCTATTTCGATTAAATTTGTTATAACTATTTGATGAAATTGATTTTAGATTTTTGATTAATTGTTTTCTTGTTTTTGGTTCTGATGGATCTTGCATCATATCTTCTTGATCTTGTGATGATTGTTGTTGTTGTTGTTCAGTTGGCTCATTATTAAATACACCACCATATAATTTCTTTAATCTATCAGTTCCAGTTTTTGAGAGACCTGCAGCAACACGTAGATCATCTTGTGGTGTTGTGATGGCTTGTACCAACTCTTCTACAGCTGTATTAGTGTCATAATCTGAATTTAAATCGACTGATCCAAGACGACCAATCTCATCAAACTTGGATCCCCTTTGAGCAGTCATAATCTGGTCTCTAATCTTTTGTTTTACTTGTCTACGTGTCAAATGTCTCTTTTCATCTACAATCATGTCATCTTGAATATCTCCTTCTATCAATTCTGCTTCTTGTTGTTGTTGTTGTTTACGTGTTGTCATTTGTCTTTCTGGTATTTCTCTATTATTATCATCATTATCTTCATTTTCAAAATCATCATCATAATCATTCTCCATTTCAGTCATTGTTTTATATTGATATAATGTTGAGGGTTTGGTTGTGGCCGTCGTCGTTGATGACGATGATTTAATTCTACCACTACCAAATTGATGATCTTCATCAATTAGATCTTGTAATTTTCTTTGATACTCTTCATCTTGTTCGACTTGTTTCAAGTCCAAGTCTACAGTCTCTTCATACTCTTCGAATATTTCCATTTCCTTTTGACCTGGTTTCATAGTCATCTTGTCATCCAACTCTGCTTCATCGCGTGCATCTTCTTTTGCCTTTCTTCTGTACAAATTTTTAGTGATGGCTGGTTTGGACACTTGGATTGCCTCCAACAACTCCATCTCCTCTTTTGATAGGATACGCCATTTTCCAACCTCCAAGTCACCCAATTGAATCGGACCGACTTGTGTGCGGTGAATACCTATAGCCTTGTTGCCAACGGCCGACATCATACGACGTACTTGATGGTACTTGCCTTCGTAGAGTGTCAGACGTGCCATCTTATTTTCTTGATCGACCACTTCAAAATGAGCAGGTTTGCATGGTCCATCCTCACTTCTCAACTGTACTCTACCCGATGCCATCTCGTCCGCCTCGGTGCCATTAAACTTGCTCTCACAAACCACCTCGTACACCTTGCCCATCTTATCGTCTTTAGGAGTAATGATACGTTCCACAATCTTTCCATTCTGACTCATCACAACCAATCCAGTAACCCATTTATCAAGTCTACCTGCTATTGACAGTGTAGGTGATCTATCTGCAAATTCTTTCTACACAATAATAATAATAAGTTAATAACATAGTAACTCTATCTCTCTTATATCTCTATTTCCGTCTCAGTACAAACATACTGGTAATAAATCATATATAATCTTGTGATCACCATCCTCTCTTGAATTTGAACAAACGTAACCAATTGGTTTATGTACTGCTATCGTCAACCTAAATGTTTAACAATTTAAACATGTCATTATTAAAATTGATTCAAACAACTATATGACTCACTACTTACAATTCAGGATGATCAACCTTTCTTCCCATTACTCTAATATCCTCTACATCGACCTTTGCCTTTGGAGACACCTTTTGACCTTGATAGGTTACTTTATTTGCATTGATGAATTGTTGTACTTTACTACGTGTACATAGACCCAAGTTTGATAATAACTTATCTAATCTAACTCTTTCAATCATTATATATATTAAATGATCAACCTGACCTCTATTCTATTCTATTCTATTTACAATGATAATTTATTGTTGATTAAAAACCAAAGTAATCATTCGTCATTCGTCGTCTCGCTTGTAATAATAAATTAATTTCCATTATCGATCATGCAAAAACGAACGAATAAACTTTTAAACTATCTTATATTATATTGGTGCCACCAACAGTTATTGTTTGCTTTTCTTTATTAAATAATATAGATATTATATTCTATTATATTCTATTATATTTTTTCTACTAGATCAACAAACCTGTACTATTGATATTGACAAAGGAGGTCCTTTATTTTGAATATATACCTCACTCACTGATCACCCAAGTTAAATCATCTGATTGTTGTTTACATGAGATAGAGTTAATATCTATTTGTACTCTATATAGAACAGGTCCGTCGTGTACATAATCATGTAAATCGGGCAAACAAATAAAACAAACATTTTTTAGACTATTTTTTTTAATTTTTTTGCTCTTTTTGTTTTCTCAAACCGAACGAATCAAAAGGAAGCATTTTGCTTCTTCAATTTTCATAAACATAATGTCCTAAAGGTATTTATCTCTTTTACTAAAAAACAAACAAACAGGCCATAATTATTATTATTATCCAATGGCATAGGACAATTAATATTGTATTTATAAATTTACGTGATGCTCTAATCTAACGATTAGATGACGAATCTTACGCAGCCTGATGCTTTGGCAAAGGGCTGTTATGTAGTAACTTACATTTGGCTTTATTTTCTGACTCTTTTATAAATACAATATTAATTGTTTCAATGTTGGAAGGAATGAAAGAATAATAATAATAATAATATATTTGGCCTGTTGTTAGACCTAAAATATTTTGATTACAATGACACTAATCATTATTCTCTTTTTTTATTCTTAAAGGTTACAACCATGATGACTTGAACAACGATTGAAACTCAAATATATCCCTTAAAAGTGAGAACTACAACCGGTCACTGCTAGTGTTAAGCTTATCCACCCTCACACAATGTCATGATGGCTTGGCCAAGGAAAGTGTTATGATGTGATGATGTGTGGTGTGATACCTGTCAACCATAGAGAGAGAGAGAGACAGATGGGTTAATTCCTAATTAGTCAATCTTTTATGATATGATGTGGATTACTGTGACGAATGAATGAATAAATAAAATGCAGATTTAATAATTTATACCAACACATCTCTCTTCCTTTGCTCTTGTTATTCTTTCATTTTCAACCATAATAACATACCTACCTGTATGTGTATTGACTTTAATGAACCATCCCCACACTCACTCTAATCTGTGTTATCACAAACTAACACAACCACCATTGCTTTTATATTGATTGGTTGGGTGTAGGGAATCACTCAAGCAAACAAAGAAAAAAGAATACTTAAAAGTATATGAATTCACCTCACCTCAGCTCACCTCCCTCCCTCCCTCCCTAAATCTAATTATAGAGTTCTCTATAACTCAATCATCATGATCAGCGTCTACCCACCACATACCCATAGTTGACTATTCTTTTGAGAGCTTGCATGGGGTGGATTTTTTGGAGTTTCACAACAAGAAGGTAAAACTTTATCGTGTTTTTTTTTAATTTTATTTTTCCCTTGTCCTCTCTCTCGTGAGAACTTTTAGAGCAGAGAGAAAAGAACACAGGAGAAAAGAAAAGAAGCAAATATTGATAGATAGATAGATACTCATTTGTAGTTTTAGTTTATTATTTATTATATATATTATATTATACCACCCCACCTTTGTACAACACATCAATAACACATATGTTATATTAAACCCATCATCAAGAAAGACACATCACAAAAAAAAATAGATATTTATTAAAAGTAGAAGAAGAATATAACAGACAAACATCAATCAATCATCCCCTTCTTTCAAACCTGTAGTAATTAGATAATACTCCTCTTGATGTACAATTAAATAACCTATCATCTCAAACACACCCCAAGTCAATTTAGAGTAGAGAGAGAGAGAGAGAGAGAGAGAGAGAGAAGAAGTAGAAGAAGGAGGTCTTGAGGAGAGAGAGAGTGATCAAGAAGGAGAGAGAGAAAATGATTATATCAAATAATCAACAGGTCTCTTCTGAGATTAGTAGTAATAGTAGTAGTAATACAACTAATTCACCAACGACTAGTAGTATACTACCTCTCACAACAATCACATCTCCATCATCATTGGAATCAATCGCAACCACCACCACTACCTCTACCGACCCATCATACAATAGTACAAATAGTATGAATATACATACAAGCATATCTCCACCCATCAATATTATTAGCGATCAATCAACGACGACGATGATGATGATGCAGTTGACACCGGACCAATTGCAGCAAGCGACATTGGAGCAGATACTGTCATCGACACCATCATCGTCTAGTTTTAAATTGGGTGTACATAGACATAGATACAATGGAAGTAACAATAGTAACGGCAGTCACAGTAGTAGTAGCACCACCGCGACGACCGCACCGGGTGGTGGCAGCAGTCATGGTACACCCACCACGACGACGTCGACGACACCGGCGACCACCAACAATGGGTTTCAGCTCTTTCCACAACACAACCATCGTATCAGTGCCATAAGCACCGTCAGCAACACGAGCAAGCGTATGAGTAGCTACTCGGGTGGCGGAGGTAGCAACATCGAGACAGACGTGGAACAACACGTATATAGTATGGTAGGCTCGGATCTCCATGAGAATCTTGGCGATGACGAAAATGACAATCGTGACGACGACGACGACGACAACTCGGTTGGAGAGGGTGGTGACACTGCCATTCACGACCAACCATCTTTCAACGAGCTTACCATCACTTGTGACACACTGACCGAAACAGATGAGGACGATGATCTCGTCCAATTCATCCAAGACGACGATGGCACCGAAACCGAAACAGAATCAGAGACCGACACTGAAATTGAACTAACCAACAAGAACAAAAACAATAGACTCTTAAAACTATTGATTCAACAACAAGAAAAACAAATACTTGAACAACAACTTCAAGAACAACAACAACAACAACAACTTCAACAAACTCAACAAATACAACATCTTTCAACTTTGGAGGAGGATGATACTGATGGTGATGAGGCCGATAAAGAAGATGGTGATGATGACGACGACGACACTACAATCGAAGATACTGATGATGAACTGGTTGATGATGTTCAACAACAGTTATCAGTTATTAATCTTGCAAGAGAACGAATCATTATGCAAGATGACGATGATGAAAATACTTTAATCACTACAACACCAACTATTTCAACAACTACTTGTACAACATCATCAATGTCAACAATGTCAAATTCAATAACAACAATTGTAGAGACTGATGAACCAATTCAATTGCCAACATTAAAACAGAATCATTTATTGAGACCGCCGCTACATGGTCAATCATTGAACAATTCGACAGATGATATCAACGAGGAAGAGTTTTTAATCTTTCAGAATCAATTCCTTTATGATATGAGTCATAATACTAGTAGCTCGGTACAAGAGGTTACGCAGCAAACGCAGCAATTGATAGAATTTAGACAAAACCAACAACAACGAAGAATAGAACGCGAACGTTTAATTAGAATCGAGGAACAAGACAAGAGAATAGAGTTGATGCGTATCGAACACGAATTGCACATGACGCGAAGAAGAGAGCAAGAGGAGCGAAAGCATCAAGTACAACTAGCCCATATCCACCAGTTACAAGAGCTCCATCACAGCGGATCATCCTCATCGTCCAAACGACACAGCAAATTGTCATCGTCGACCATTTTCAACTCCAAGGCGGTCAAGTCCACCCCGGTGCTCATGCAAACATCGTCGACACACAAAAAGACAAAGTCATCAACACACTCTATCCCAAGCGCACTACTCTCCAAACACGTGTCGTCACCCACCAATATGGTTCCATCACCCTCTTCATCCAAGATATTCGACCAACCTCCTCTTCAACAATCACACATGTCATCACCCCGAGGTGGCGTCTATGATCTTAAAAATGTAGCGGGATCGGTTGATTCAATATCGTCACTGTCATCCTATCATTCGGCATCATCATCTGTACGCAGTTCACCCTTGTTTTTGGCTAGTCCATTGGTCAGTCCAAGATATGAAAATCAATCATTGGCATCTTCCACATCTTCCATGATTGATCCAACATCCAGCAATCATATGATGATGATGGCTGCCTCCTCATCAATCGATAGTGGTTATCCAATCTCCCCAACTTCAGCTGCATCAACTACCAAGAATCATTTATCCTTTTCATCAAGTTCTATTTCTCCTCCACCTGATCATCATGAATCAAATAATCATAATCATAATCAAAATAATAATAATCATCATAATAATAATCATCATAATAATAATAATAGTCATCCAAATAGTCATCATCGTGGTCATCACCATAGTCATAGCAAGGATAATAGTAGTGGAGGTGGTAAAAAGTCACAATTTTTTACCAACCTTTTCAATGTAAAGAAATTATCACAAAATCTTAAAGAGGGTAGGGATAGAGACAGAGACAAGGATTCCTATGGTAGTAATAGTAGTCGTGGTAGCAACAACTCTAAAGACAATGAAGAATGCTATGTACAGATATATAGAGGCAATGGTGAAAGTTGGCGTGCAAAGGTCAATCGATCAACCACTGTTCGTGATGTGTTTGGTATGGTTCGTGGCACATCCAATCAGACAGACAACGAATACGAATTGTATATTTCAAAACCTCATGATAATACGCCTGCATGTCTCTCTGACAGCGGTCAATTTTTCCAACCACCACAAATACAACAATCACCTTCAGCAATCAGTTCATCATTGGGTAGTAATTCTTTGGCCAATAGTGGTGGAATCAAACAAACCAATCGACAATTACATGAAGATGAAAAATTGTTAAAAGCTCAAAGAAAGTGGACTGGTCCATCAATCTTTATTTTAAAAACTATTTCAAGTAAGAAACAAAACAAAATTAATATATATATTGTTCATTTCTAACTTTTTTTTTTCTTTTTTTTTCTATTTTTTTTTTTTAGAACCAAGAACATCAGTTTGTTCAAATTTTTCAGAATCATCAGATCATAATATATATTATACACCAAAATCAACATTTAATGACAATCCTTCACCAATACCTTCACCTTGGTCTTCACCTCTTTCACCACCATCCAACATGTCCTATGTCAATGGTGTCGGTGGTGTTGAATCTATTCCATCGTTTAATTTGGATAGTCATTTGCCAATGACTACGACGACGGTCAATTCGTCAGAGTTATCAACTAGTCCTCCACCAGTCTCTGCATCAACGTCATCTGCATTTGCCAATGGTTATGTTCCCACCTCTCAATCGTTTTCTTCAGCGCTCAATGGTGACTGGAAGGTGGGTGAAAGACCAAAAGGTATTGTACAGTGGATCAACCCAGATGAACTAGAACTCATCAAAAAGGTGGGTGCAGGATCGTTTGCAAAGGTCTACAAAGGCAAATACATGGGCGAGACTGTTGCCATCAAGGTGCTCAAAGATAATTCACCAGAGCAATTGGAAAATTTCAAAAAGGAATACGATAGTCTTAGTATGGTGTCGTCTCCTCAACTCATCCGTTTCTATGGTGCCTGTAAAGAAAAGAAGCTAAAGATGGTCATGGAGTATTGTCGTTTCGGTAGTCTCAACAATATAATGAACAAGAAACGTTTCGAATTATCTTGGCCACTTGTATTAAAATGGATGCTTCAAGCATTCCATGGTGTTAATTGTTTACATAATACTGGACTTGTACATAGAGATATTAAAGTAAGATAAAACAAAAACAAAGAACAAAAATTATAATATATATATTTATATTAACCATTTATTTAATTACTTTTTTTTTTTGTTTAGTCACATAATCTACTTATTAATTCAAATTTTGATCTTAAAGTTGCTGATTTGGGATTAACCAAACCAGCAGATATACAAACAAATGGAAATCTAAAGGGAACTATGGCATATTGCGCACCAGAATTGTACTCTGGTGAACAGTACAAGCCAAGTTGTGACATTTATTCAATGGGTGTTGTTTTGTGGGAGATTGTCAATCGATGCATTATGGGCAAGTACCAACGACCCTTTAGTGATAATCCAGAAATCTCTTTTGATTTCCAAATTATCATTCTCACATCGAAGCAACGTATTCGTCCGACAATGCCTCCATCAGTCCCTCCTAAACTAGAACAACTTATTCGTTCTTGTTGGGATCAGGATGCTTCCAAGAGACCCGATGGAAATCAGGTCATTGAAGTATTGGAAAAACTTTGTTCCGAATATATGGCAAACAAACAAGAATGGGATGAAATCATTCCTCAACATCAACAAGCGATATCAACTGCCACTACCACCATCACCACCACAGCTCCAACAACAACAACTACCAACATTCCTGATCATATTGAAATCATTCCAAACTAAAAAAAACAAAACAAAATATAATAATCACAAATCAAAACAAAACAGTAATAATATATCATCATCATCCATCAAAAACCAACCAACCCCCCTTATTTATTTATTTATATATTGTAGACATTTAATAAAAAACAATAACAAAAAGTCTTTGTACCCTTTTAAGGGATGTACATCCTTTTTTAAAAACAATACATGTCTCTCTTTAAATTGCCCAAAGTTTCTTTTTTTTTTTTGATTCAAAAGGTATTTTAAATTATATTTAAAATTTTATTTGGGACCTGTTGTGTGTTTATAATACTTGATTTGGTTGATTGATAATTATCGATTATTATTAATTATTATTATGTTTTTCATAATAATAATAAATGATTTGTTGTTGTTGTTGTTGTTATTATTGTTGTCATGATTTGTTATATAAGGTGAGTGAAGATGGCAAGGGAGGAGGTGGGTGAATAAAGGAGAAGGAGGAGGAAGATGGAGTTGGGGAGGTTAATAATAATAATAATATGTTACTGTTGGATGGATTTTGGTTTTTGATCAAATATTTGGCTTGGAGGCAGTTGGATTTATAACCAACTTTAATTAATTATTGTTGTTTGTTGTTATTGCTACTATTTACTACTATTATTATCATTATTAATATTATTAGTTTCGGATGTTGCAGTTGTTTGATTTTTGGTATTAAATGTTTCTTTACAGGGAGGAGGTGAGGATAGTGATGCAGTTGTGGTGGCCGAGGTGGTTGAAGCATCACAACTACTATCACCATGATTACTATTATTATTATTATTATTATTTTGATTATTATTATTGTTGTTATTGACTACAGTTTCGGTAGCAGTGACAGGTGAAATCTTTTCAGAGTCTTTTTCTGGTAGACTGGCTGTTTTTGTTGTTGTTGATGTATCCAGTTTTTGTTGTTGGTTGTCATTATTATCATTTTGTTGTTCATTTGTCTCGACTGGTTGTTCTTTTTTGGTTTCATTGTTTGTATCTGTTGCAGATGACGATGATGATGTACCACCGCCACCAACAGCATCGATTTGATCTTGATCTTCTTTGGTCAATTCCAATGACTCTCCATTCATATGTTTTCGTAGGATGATGAATACGGCAGTAACTTCTTTTTGTAGTTCCTGCACGTGTTCCGATGCCTTTTTGAGGTGACCATCTTTGCAGAGGTGCTCTATTTTACCAGAGAGAAACCGCACAGACTCGGCGCCAATATAACTGCTTGAACCCTTAATGTCGTGCGAATGCAAGACAGACTCTTTTTCGTCGAGCTCTTTGAGTGACAGATCCAGCTTTGGTAGATGCTCTTCAACCGATGCAATGTAAGAGGTGATCAGTTCATTTTCAAACTCTTGATCTCCATCTGAATAGTCTGCCAATACTTCTTTTTGGAACCTATCTGTTGGTGTTGGTCCACTGAAATCTTGTGATGCCATTTCTCTCTCTCTCTCTCTTTTGTGTCTATACTACGTAGTATGTTTTCTCTTCTTCTTGGGATGATGATATTGTTGCTATTCTTCAACCAACCTTTAAATTCTTCTTCTCTTTGTTTGATAAGCACTGACTACTACTATAAAACTATAAATATAACTATAAATATATGTGTTTTTAATAAATAAATAAATGATTAGGATTAGTTCATTCATTCTTTTTTTCAAGAGAAAAGAGGAAAGAGGTGGGTTTTCAAAAAAATCAAAATTGCAAGGGTAAACCCCAACTTCACTTCTTTCTTTTTGGGTTCGATGCGTTAAACTACTACAGTTATACAAGTATTATAACCAATGAATAAATAATATTCCTACTTTCTCCTCTCCTTCAAGATAGTCATAGATTGAACGTTAAAGAAAACTACTACTACTACTACTTCTATACTTACCATTAATAATTAATGACAGTTACAGTTGTCAACTTTTGATAGATAAATGCTTAAAGCTGTGATTCTAAAAAAAAAAAAATGAGTGTTCACCCTTTTACTTGAATATCTATTCTATCTAGATAGAATCCATTCCCATAAAAAAATTTTAGTTTTAGTTTTAGTTTTTTTAAAAATAAATAAATAAATACTTTAAAACTTCAACTCTCCTTCCTTTGTTTGCCTTTCCTTTTTTTTAGGCACTTTTCTTTTTCTTTTTTTTTAAGCTTTAAAACTTTAAAATAAATAAAATATTAATATTAATAAATATAAATTTTACCTTTGTCTGTCTTCTATAGAAACCTTTTTGGACTCTTCCCCCTGGTATTATACCAAAAAGTACAGAGAGATAGATATTACTAGTTAAATTAATTAATTAGATTGTTAATATTATTATTATTATAATTTGTAATTTTAAAGCATCAAATATACCTTTTATTAATATTATTATTGGTTCTTAATAGGTCAAATAGAACTTTGAGGTCTCACCACAACACTTTTTGAATTTCTTTCCTTGTTGTTTACATGGGCAAGTTTCGTTGGGTGAAACTTTAATTTGTTTAATTGCACCTTTACCTTGACTCAATCTAATATTATTTATAGCATCTAAAAGAAAAGGAAAAAATGTCAATTATGAGTTGAACTCTATATATCATCATATATTGTTTCATCTCCCACCGTTGAGAGAGAGAGAGAGATAGATGATCTAGATCATCTAAAACACATTTGTGGTGTTATTATTATTATTATCGATTATTGCATACCATAACATTTAGATTTAAAAACGGTGTATTCTCCATTGGACATTTGTTTCTCCAATGCTTTTATAAATGGGTGACTGGCATTTGGATCCTTTTCAATAAATACTATTGCCTTGTCATTGATTTTACATAGTTGCTCTACTTTTTCTTGTACCCAACCATTATTAAAAATAAGTAATCCATTGCTATTATTATTATTGTCTTGTTGTTGTTGTTCTACTTGCTGTTGTCCTTCTTGTTGAGCATTAACTAATTCATTAACTAGTTTAATGGATTGTAATAATTTGTCAGAGATTGGTGAAGGAGCAAGATCGGTTGCTTTCAATTTAGACAATTTAGGTGACGCGTCAGAATGAGCAATCGAAGTAGTTTCATGCACATTGAGCTCTTCAAATGTTGCACATTTGTTTGATTGAATGTCTCTCCACATTTCCTCCATTTCATTTAATTCCAATGGTTTACTATTTGGTTGTTTTTGTGCTATCACATGACACCTCCATACATTAATATTATTATTATTACTATTATTATTGTCTTGATGATATTTCAATTCTGCTTCAAAATCTTGAAAAGAAAAAGATGAAGAATAGAGATCAGTGTGAATGAATGATATCCAATTATAACTCTTTACGATAAAGACACTTGATTCCAAGTTGATATCATCACAATAGAATCTAACATCTCTGTCTGCTACTCTTTGTTGTCTTGCAAGAAATCCAATGGGTATAGAGTAACTAGATGGAGAAGAGTTCATGTCAAGAGAATTATCTATCTATCTAATCTATCTATCTATAGATTGTTGTGTAAAGTAATCGAGTACTCGTTTTAAGAGACTGGTCAGTCGATACAAGCTTGTTTTGTTATATTTTTTATTTTTTGCCTTTTTTAAACAAAAGCTTTTCTTGTGAGAAAAGAGTTCTTTAAACCCCAGAAAGTTTGTTAACTCACTTGCTTATGATACTTGTCTAAAGTTTCCACAGTTAGATGGAGAGTAGAGTCGTTAGAGAGAGACCTAACACTTCTGTTGATATAGGTCACTCTTGCACCTCATCAACCATCGTCATCACCATCAACAACGTGAACTTTATCAGCTATACAAAGTTTTCATTACAAACAGATATATCATATATATAATCCCTCGAATAATACAACACGACGATGATTATATCTGTTCAACGGATAACAGATCAACCACCATCCATCAGAATCTTATCCTAAATTAGTATCATTCACTATAAAAGGAATAGCTAATATTGGGTAGTATCAAGATTTTCTAGTATTGGGCTCGCTTGACGGACCCGATAACATGATCGCGCGACCCCGTACGCGACCCCTAACCAATATCACAAAAGGAGGATGGAATGAATTGGGATCTTATTGATCTACATTTATACATCTCACGATACAATGAATCTAATGTCACATGTGACAGGATAATAATTAATAATAATAATAATAATAATTGATAAAGAGGTGGATGCACATTTAAATTATCAGCTGACAAGAATAGCGTTAACGATTGGTTTTGGTAAACTACAACGAGCACATTTATCATATGATGGTGATATTTTTAGAGAGAGCGTGGGAGATGGCTTCTTAAATTACCCAATCACAATCTTAAAGTGTTAAAAATACTTTGTAAAATAATCAAATCTTTACAAATATCAATCAACATCAAACCCTCACACATGGGCAATGAATCAAAAGTAAAGGAATTCATATTGATTGATAGATTGATAGGATCAATCAATTCCATTTTAATTGGGCAATTACAGATCAGCAGACAAACCAGTCTTGGTTCCAAGATTACTTGATCAAGGATGGCTCGATAGAGAAAGGGCCGTGCTAAAAATTCAAATAGTATTAAAAGAAATGTGAGTATAAATCTCATTGAACACACTCGACTAGTACATGGGTTTGTTGTTGTTGTTGGAGAGATTGTTTCAGCGACCATCATCCATTCAGTTGATGATGCCCATGGTGTTTCAAAGTTTTGTTCTTGGTTGTTGTTACTTTGGGAATTAAACGTAATTAGGGTATGTTGATTTTGATTGGTGTCGAATATTAGGTAGAGTGCATCATGAACAACTGATCGTGGTTGGGGAGAGAGTGAGGTCGGGGGGTGCCATGCCTTCCATTGATAAATTTCATTTTAAAAATAATTTGTTTTTGATTTGGGTAGTGTTTTTAAAAGAGTGTCGGATGGGATCAGACTCCCCCACATTTTAAATCTCTCGATCCAATGGGGGTAGCGCAACCCCATTTTAGGCTCAAACCCTTGCCATGACCCCAATATCAAATACACTTTAGGTCACAATGGTTTAGAAAAGGAAAAAAACCGTTCATACTGCAGCAGAAGCATCATCAGCTGACACAACGATCCTATATCACAACACACAGAGACAACCAACAGAACACACACACACACAATCAAAAGGTAAAAACAGACCATCTATCTTTTATATCAGGTTTTACTCGTCGCAGCAGAAGCATCATCCATCAGCAGGGGCAAGCACCATCTATTCATCCATCCCTCAACCAACGCTGTTTCAAACACAGAACAGAATTATTCCCATTAAAAACAACCCCTCCATTCCTCTCTCACTTGATTGACAACAACACCATCAGCTATATATTCCTTCATTTCTCTATCTAGAGATTCCATACTATAAAAACAATTTGTTATATTACATATATCTCTCTCTATATCTATCTTCTTATCTATTTCTCTTTGGTTCACACAGACACACATTGCCATCAATCAAGATTGATTAGTTTACTTATTGTATTTATTATTATTTCACCTGACCATAGTATTGTTCGAGCTTAATTCTCATCATTATCCTTCTCGTTCAATCAATCAAGTTTTTTGTTTGTTTAATTTTATATCCACCCACCAAAGACAGTACTAGTGCACTGTTCAATCAAATCAATTTGATTTTTTCAATTTTTTCCTTTTCAGGAGTTTTTATTTATATACCCAAAAACCTCAGCCATTCTACTACAACTACAACTACTACAACATTCACCTTTTACTTTACTTTACTTTACTTACTTCCATAGTATTATTATTAACATCAAATATATAAATATAAAGTTATAACTCTCTCTCTCTCTACTCTACTCGCTTCAAACCAAACCAAACCCAAGCCAAACCAAGCCAGACTAGACCATACCATACCAAGCCAAACCACCCACGCACCATTGTTGCTTGAAACACAACAACAATACCTAACATCCTATAGACAATCAATCTGTGGTAACTATTTTCATTTCATTCCCAAACACACATTTTTTTTTTTGTTACATACACACACACAACTCAACTGCTATTCCCCTCACGCCCACCACTACCACCACACCTTTTCCCTTTTAGATACATAACATTCATCTCATCTTTCATTTTTGAATCCAACTGCCAACACCACTAACCCTAAAGGTTAGATTACAACTTTAACAACAATCACGAAAATAGTAATACTAATAAAAATAGTAGTAGACTATACTATACTATACTTACTGTCTGTACCACCACTCTAACACCAACACCAACAACACCAACAACAATAACAACAACACGACGGCGGCGACGACGATTGTGTACTGCATAAATCGTTGTGATAAGTAACTTGCTTCCCTTCTTCTTCTTTCCATCCAACAATCCATCTATCCATCTATCCATCCCCTGCTGGCTTTTCCAACCTTCACATCCATCCAAACCCACCACCACCACCACCACCGACTACCACCCACTACATCAACCACCACACACTCAATCAAATCAGCAACCTCACACACACAAACACAATTGGTTTTAAAATCAAAATTTTATATTCCAACAACATCACTACCAATTCAATTCAATTATTGAAAATCAATCGCTTCTACTGCTACTGCTACTATTGTTGTTCTGTTTTGAAACACAACAATCAACGGGTCTATCTTTCAATTATACATATACATACACGCTCACTCTTTCAAACAAATACACATAAATCCATCCACTCCTTATTCTCCTTTTTGATTGTGTGTGTTTGATTGATACCTTTCAACAACAACGTTAATTATAACAACATAGAGTTGTTGGTTGCGTTTTTTTTTTGCCATCATCCCCTTTCTTTTCTTTTGTTTTAAGAAAGTTCTAATTTATTCATCCATCGCCGACACACCAATATATATATAATAATAATAATAATAATAATATATATATATATCTATTTATTTTTGTAAATCCAAAACTCAGAAATATATTAACATTGCGGTTTTCGAATCACTATTATTAAACAGGAAAAAAAAACAAAAAAAATAGAAAGGAAATCTGGAATATTCATAGTAGATAGATAATAAATTATCAATCAAACATTTAATTTTATTATGCTTCAAGTTCAACAACAATACCAACAACAACAACAACTACAAGAAATATATAATTTCCAAAACCTATCAATCAACACCACCGGTCATATGACTGCTGCTGCTACTGCTACTACAATGTTATCCAACAGTAATAGTCAAATCATGATGATTGGTAGTCATCAACTCGATAGTAGTTCAGGTTCCATTGCTTCCACCGATGATTCATCATTTGATATGGATGAAGAACTTGTCATCACTACATTATATGTTCACAATCTTGATAGAGCTATTCCACAACAAGAAGTTTTAAAAATTTTCGAGTATGCATAATAATAATAATAGTATAAATAATAATACTTGTTCAATTTAATTAACTTTTTTTTTCTTTTCTTTTTCTTTTAATTTTATTTAGACAATATGGTGAACTTGAACCAAATGAATGTATTTTCTTTTATCCACAAAGAATAAGTAGTTCCTATGCCTTTGTAAGATACAAGAATAGAAATGATGCCGAACAAGCTTTGGATGCCATGAATGGTGCTAAAATTGGATCACTCCCAATTTCTATTAAATGGTCTGATTCATGTGATCAGAGAACAAGTATTCATTTAACTTTTAATCCAAAGTTGGTAAGTTGAAAAAGAGAGATTTAAAATTAAATTAAACTATTTGAATATTAATTGTATTTTTTATTTTTGATTTATTTTTAGGCAAAACCAGGATTCCATAAACAAGTATTTCACAAGTGTAGAGAATTTGGTAAAGTTAATCATTACAATATTCCAAGAAAGAAAGGAGTAGTTTCACAATCCAACATTTATGAAGGTTTTGGATTCGTTCATTTCAAAGATTCACTCAATGGAAGATGTGCAGCTCAAGACGCCATCAATTATTTCAATATGAATGATATTGGTGGTGTTAAAATCAACTGCTGTTTCTCTAAAAAGAAACTTAATGTTCCATCCATGCCCGCTGCAACCAATGCCATCATCAACGATTTAAATAATAATTTCTTTTCTTCTCAACAATTATCATCTTCATCTCCATCGATCATTACCTCCTCCTCTTCTAATCATATTAATATTAATAATAATAATAATAGTATTATGCAAGGTGGCCAACAACAACAACAACATATTCACAGCCACCCACTTTCATCGTCGACACCTGGAATCATACTAAATTCGCCAATTGCTCCGATTCCCCAAAACCCATTCTCGGCGCATTCACTGTTGCCCGCTGCAGACACCAACACCGCTGTCTTTAATCCATTTAGTAACATGGTTGGTGCATCGTACGGTAACAACCCTAACAATACCGCTATTCCTATCCGAACCAGTCCCCAGTCATCGACACACACCACACCCAACATTTCACCAAACGTGTCTCCAACCTTCCGCCAAGACAAGTTCACCGGCCCACAAGACATTTACAACAATGAATATTTCCAACCATGTGAAATATCCGAACCATTGGGATCATCACACTCTCCATCGTCGTCGTCATCATCATCATCTGACATTCAAAGTTTCTTGTCTCATTACACTACTCCATTTATCATGCCTGGCAACAACATGTATTCCCCACCTTCTCCATCAATGCATCATCAACAACAACAACAACAACAACAACACCGCAAGTCACCTGTCAATAACAGTCCACCTCTTCCAACAAGAGTCAACCATGTAGTGACAAGCCCACTCTCTTTTTACTTTGGTGATTCTTCACGAGACAAAATCTTTTCCGAAAATGATGAAGTTATCAATTTTACAGGATGTGCACCACTCAACAACATGCACGATATCCGTCTTTCAAACTCACTCAACTCTGTTCCTCGTATGACCAAGTCACCAGTCATGTCCAACAACAACAATAACCCCAACAATATGGGTCAACAACAACAATATGCACCAATGACAGCCAACCCCATCTCTAAACCACTTTCATCATCATCTGGCGGTGGTCTTCCACCATCACCATACATGTCTCTCCACCCTTCCCACAATCTCACCATACCCTTCAAAGCCACCTTTTAACCAAACACACCTCTAAGCTCAAAATGTTATAAACTCTAAAAATCAACTTTAACATTATTTTTCATCCCATCCAATCCCTTCGTAAATAGTAATTGTATATTTTCACCAACAACAACAAAAACAAAAACAATAATATTAAATGTTTATATGTACAAATAATAATAATAATAATAATAATAATTCTCAAACCCCAAAAAAGAAAACTTTAAAAAAAAACAAACAAAAACAAACATAATCAAAATCAATTCAATGGAACTAATATTTCACAATTTGGGGAACAAACCAAACAAACAACCAACCAACCCAACAGTACAGATTAATCTAGACTGATATAATTAAACAATAAACTAAACTCTAAACTCTAAACTCTACACTTACCTTTGTCAAACAAATTAAATTAAATCTATGAGCTGACTTGTCTGGAGGAGGAGTGAGCTTACAAAAAATATTTTCCCTCCAAAAATTAATTTTTGAACATTTCAGACAAACTATTGAAAAAACTACATGTATTAAATTTGTAGTTGATATATATATATATGTAAAAGTAGAATTATGTCATATAGTTATAATAATACTAGCGGAGGAGGAGGAGGAGGTGGTGGTGGTAGTCATGTTTCGAGTGAATCAATTGCATCACATCATACCTATCAGTTGAATCTGTCACCTAGAACATTAAAGAAACTTGGAGAGATATCATCATCACAACAACAGCAACAGACAGCAGAGAATACAATCTTCCCACCAAGACATTATCACAGAAAACAATTAAGAGGTGCTGCTGCAAAGAAACGATCATTGACAGTAACCACTCAAGCTGGTACAACCATCGAAATACCACCTCCACCAATTGCAAAGTTACCTGAATGGACTAGAAAGAGATCATTCCTAAATAATGGTTTCTTAAATGATTCTTTATCTCTTACTTATGAACCAAATCATCAACCTGTAAATAGACAATACAATACACATTCATGTGCATATGATACATTTGTATTTTGCATGCAAAATATGTATATTAATCTTTTTTTGATTTCTTTTTCTATTTAGGGAAAATATCAAACATCAATACAATCAAATAATGTACCTGCATTTGATAGTTTATCACCAAGTCATCAAGAGTATTGTTTGATGGAAGATTTATTGTTTGTGATGCTTGGTATCGAGGGCAAGATGATTCATTTGGAAAAGACGTATTCATTGACAGAGGATATTGATCAAGACCAGGAATCATATCATCACCAACAAGATGGAGGTCTATCAAAGGTGGTATCTACCATGTCGACCACCATTACAATGACTAAAAAGACTATACTCGAATCGAATCCACCCAAATCACCATTGGTTGAATTTATCATTGACGCTAGTGTCGATGAGAGTCTAATGCACTTGGTTAGAAGAATACTACCAGTTTGTAGTTACTATATCTATATCGCTGATTTCATAGACACTAGATTAAACTTTGAATGGGGTGTCATTTGTCATTCACTTTGTGAATCTATACAATCCCTAATCAAAGATTATCATCAATTGGTTACTAATCTTGAAAATCAATTAAAATCAAATACTTTATCTTTACAAGTAGGTTGAAAAAAGAAAAAAAAGAAAGAAAAATGGAGAATCGAATCAAAATAATATTAACTATTTACCTTTTTTTTTAATATTGTTTAGAGAATGTGGTATTATATTCAACCAACTTTAAGAATATTTGAATCTGTATATAATTTATTATATGAAACTATTAAATCAAATCTTTATGGATCACAAATACTTAATTTATTATTTAATAGTATTGCAATTTATGGATGGTAAGAAAAAAAGAGAGAGAGAGAGATTTAATTATAATTCAAAAATGATTATTATTTATTTATTAATTAATTTAATTAATTTAATTTTTTTAGTGATCAAACAAGTAAAGAATTATATTTATATTTTATTGAATATTGTTCAAAACCATTTTTAAAAATGTTAGAGGATTGGATTTATAGAGGAACAGTGAATGATGTACATGGAGAATTTATGATTGAAGAGAATTTGGATTTACAAAAAGAAAATATAAACAAAAACTATAATGACAGTTATTGGGAAAATAGATATATTGTTCGTCGTGATCAAGCTCCTAAATTCCTTGAAAAGGTTGTACAAAAGATATTACTCACTGGAAAATACTTAAATGTTATAAAAGAATGTACTCAAGGTAATATTAAATATGAAAATGCTTCACCTTTAATTTATAGTCAAAATGAAAAAGAGTATGTAAAAAGAAAAAGAAACATATTAAATTAAATTAATATTTATTAATTAATTAATTATTTTTAGTTATATTGAAAGAATTGATAAAGCATATGATTTTGCAAGTTCAACATTGTTAAAACAAATGAATGATATGAATCTATTGAATAGATTAAAATCATTAAAACATTACTTTTTACTTTGTCAAGGTGATTTTATATCACATTTTATGGAGATTACAGACGAGGAGTTAAAGAAACCATTGACTGAAATCTCTACGGCAAGAATGAACAGTCTTTTACAATTGTCTCTTAGAACATCGGCCACACTCCAAGAAGACATCAACAAGGATGATTTGGAAATCGAATTTTTACCTCACCGACTAAGTGATCAATTACTTTCTATCATCAATATTGGTGATCAATCTCATCAACAAAGAAAAATGAATGGTGGTACTATAGATTCATTGTCATCTACTACCACCACCACAACTACTTCAAACAATACAACAGGTGGTTCAATAGGAGGTAAACCATTACTTGGAATTGAATCATTGGCATTTAATTACAAAGTTAAATGGCCATTATCATTGGTCATTAGTAGAAAGTCATTGGTCAAATATCAAATAATCTTTAGACACTTGTTTTTATGTAAACATGTTGAAAAGTTACTTTGCAACACTTGGAATCTACATCAAGAGTCAAGACGAAAGTTTTCACACAAGCCAGGTTTGACCAGTCTGCTTTCCTTTTCTCACTTTTTCCGTCATCGTTTGATCCACTTTTTACAAAACCTCGAGTACTATATGATGTTGGAAGTGTTGGAGCCAAACTGGAATAGAATGAAAGAAGCAATCAAAAACTCGACCACTGTCGACGAAGTTATCAAGGTGCACGATAGTTTTCTCGAAACATGTCTCACAGAGTGTATGCTCACCGACACTCGTTTAGTGTCACTGTTGATGAAGTTTTTGAACCTTTGCACGCTCGTGTCGGATCTTATCACCAAGTTGGTCAGCGAAGATACAGTGTTGGTGGTTGAAGAGGTTGGTGTGACTATTCGTCACTTTGAACAGAAATTCCATCATATTCTCAGATTGTTGCTAGATACTCTTAAATCATTCTCTACATCGGAATCCAACAGACACATGATTCATTTAATTACAAGATTAGATTATAATAATTATTATAGTAATTATTTTGAACAAAATCCAATTGTTGTTGCAAAACAACAACCTACTCAACCGACTCAACAACCTCAACCATCATCATCATCGTCATCTTCTACTACAAGACCACAAACATCTCAACTAACACAACAACAATTACAACAATATCAACAACAATTACAAATTCAACAACAACAACAATTGGCAAGAAGAGCATCTGGAGCTTCTTCTTCTTCTTCTTCTACTTTACCAACATCAACAACAGGTTTGGCTACTATTGGTAAAAATGTAAATACAACAACAGACAAGAATGGTGGTACTAGTTTAAATCCATCACCAGAATTAACTTCAACTACTACAACTACGACCATTACAACTACAACCACTACCAGGTCACCTTCAAAGTCACGTGCCAATACTTCTAGTTTTGTTCCAAAGAAATTAGAATCTTTTTCTTCAACTCCCGCTGCTGCTGCTGCTGCCGCTGGTTCCTCGACTCCATCCACTTCTTTGGCGACCACCCCATCTACTTTGTCAACAATAACTGCAGCACCGATCAACCCCAATGTAACCGGGTCACCAACAACCTATGAATTGGAACAAAAATTACAAAGTATAAAGAATAGAGCAAAACTATCATCTCAATAAATAGTAGGTAATTTTTGGTAAACATGATAAAATAATGGATTATTATTTGGATATATTTTAATATGATTTTTAATTTATTAATTTTTTTTGTTGATTTAGATGTAATATATTTATTACGTTTGTTTTCATCAAATACTCTCTCCTATATATTTATTGAGGAGCGACAGTATCAAAATCAGTTTTAGTAGTGATAAAAGACCATTCTTCAATTTCTTTTTGAATTTGTTTGGCTTTGGCAAGAACAGTGTCTGTGCAGTCAGTTCCGATATAGATATGTTGTGGAAGTGCAATACCTTGTCCATTACGCTTGACAATCTCAAATACTACATCTACCAACTTGTTTGGATCACCACGTTGATTGTTGTGCAAGGTTTCATTAATTTTAATTTGACTTTCATTCAATGGTTTGTAATCTTGAATAAAGTTGGCTGGTGGCTGGATGGTTCCAATAAATTCAGTTCTAAATGCTCTAAGATAGAGAGAGAGATAGAGAGAGAGAGAGAGAGAGAGAGAGATACAATAATTTATAAAATGGTAAGTGATTTTAAAAATATGATAATTTTTTTTTTAATATTTCTCTACATACCCAGGATTAATAGTGATAGCCTTTACATTAAATGGAATGAGTTCTTGTTGAAGTGATTCAGTTAATAGATCAACAGCAGCTTTAGTGGCAGAGTAGATACCACAACCAGCAAAACCATAGAATGCACAAAGTGAACTAACATTGATAAATAGACCTTGTCTCTTTGTACGGAGGATTGGAAGGGCATGACGGATAACATTCACAGTACCATAGAAATTGATGTCAAAGTTTTCCTTGATCATCTCGTTTGTTGATTCCTCGATACTTCCAATGTAAGCATATCCAGCATTATTAACAATGATATCCAATGTTCCAAAATGTTGTACTGATTGTTCGACCGACTTTTTGACACTTTCTTCATTGGCCAAATCAACTTTGAGTGCCAAGAAATTCTCATTGTCTTGACCAAACAATTCATTTAATTGTTTCTTGTCACGTGATGTAGCAACAACCTTGTCTCCATTGAGTAATAATCTCTCGACCAAAGTTTTACCAATTCCTTTTGATGCTCCAGTAACATAATAGATTTGTGATGAAATCATTTTTTAAAAAATAGTTGAGTTGTTGATTAAATTTAATTAATAAGATAATAAATGTAATGTATGAATGTATTTGAATGATAAATAAAATAGAATATATTTGAATGATTAAAATAGGTGGATGAGTGAAGCCTTTTATAGTTTTCCTTAAACCACCAGCAGCCATTATTCAACAATAGGATCATACAAAGTAAGAATGTTTTGGGGAATGCATGGGCTGAGACGAATTCTTCTATGTGTGTATGATAAATGATGAATTAATATCAATCTAGTTAAGCAGTCAACTTTCAAACATCGGGTCAATCAAAAAAAAAACAAAAAAAAAAGAATGTTTTGGGGAATGGATAGGTCTGGACGAGAGTCTATCTTTGTGTGTATGTTCTTACATTCACTAATTAATAGCATTCTTCTTTTTTTTCTTACCCATTTTCTTTTAAATCAAGATCATAGTGACTATGGTATGAGTTCCTTTAAACACCTTCTTCCAAAACGAACGTTCGTTTCCTCCAATTGAAACTATGGAGTTAAACTTTTCTCAAAACAAATAATGTAATGTAAATAGAATAAAATCGTTGAGTTGTATAAATTAATAGTAATTATCGATTACTATTATTGTTTTTATTTATTGGATTTATATATTATTATTATTATTATTATTATTTATTGGGGAGTAGTAGTGGCAGCAGCTACAGTATCAAAATCAGTTTTAGTAGTGATAAAAGACCATTCTTCAATTTCCTTTTGAATTTGTTTGGCTTTGGCAAGAGCAACTTCATTGCTATCAACACCGATATAGATATGTTGTGGAAGTGCAATACCTTGTCCATTACGCTTGACAATCTCAAATACTACATCTACCAACTTGTTTGGATCACCACGTTGATTGTTGTGCATGGTTTCGTCGTGTTTGGTTTGGTTGTCATTTAATTGTTTGTAATCTTCAATAGTGTATGATGGCTTTTTAATAGCTCCAATAAACTCGGTTCTAAAGTATCTATAGAATAAAATAAAAGAAAAGGTAAGTGATTTGAATATTATATATTTTTTTAATTAATATTTCTCTACATACCCAGGATTAATAGTGATAGCCTTTACATTAAATGGAATGAGTTCTTGTTGAAGTGATTCAGTTAATAGATCAACAGCAGCTTTGGTGGCAGAGTAGATACCACAACCAGCGAAACCATAGAATGCACAAAGTGAACTAACATTGATAAATAGACCTTGTCTCTTTGTACGGAGGATTGGAAGGGCATGACGGATAACATTCAAAGTACCATAGAAATTGATATCAAAGTTTTCCTTTACCTGTTCGTTTGTTGATTCTTCAACACTGCCTACGAAACCATATCCAGCATTATTAACAATGATATCCAATGTTCCAAAATGTTGTACTGATTGCTCGACCGACTTTTTGACACTTTCTTCATTGGCCAAATCAACTTGAAGTGCCAAGAAATTCTCATTGTCTTGACCAAACAATTCATTTAATTGTTTCTTGTCACGTGATGTAGCAACAACCTTGTCACCATTGAGTAATAATCTCTCTACTAATTTTTTACCAATTCCCTTGGATGCTCCAGTAACATAATAGATTTGTGATGAAATCATTTTTGATTATATATTTGAATATGTATATAGATATATAAATGTATGTATAAATATGAATATGTATTGTATGTATTTGTATTGTAATGAATGAATGAACGTGTAAGGAAGAACAATTTATAATCTTCTACCACCAACCCTCTGACAATTCATTAGCTCATCGGATCAACTTGAAAAGAATACTTTTTGCCAAAAAAGATCCCCGATAGAAGATGTTCTTTTTTTTGTGGTTCTTTTCGCTAATGTATACATCATCTATAGAACTTGGTCATTGTGACAATAGATGACTATTATACGACCTATAGTCCAAATATAATATATAATATATACGAGCTCGTCTTTGTTGTCTCTCTCTCTCTCTCTCTCTCTCTATGATGAATTCTAGAATAACTTATCTTTTCAAGTTCATTCTTCTAGTTGTTGTTGATAGAATTTAATTTCAATGTAATTAAATTTGATTTGACCTATGGTAGCTACAAATCTAGTTGTATTAATACAAACAAAGAAATAAACACACTAATGTAGCTAAAATGGGATAGCTTATAATAATGTGATTTTTGAGGTTTTTTCTTTTTTGTTTGTTACAAAAAATATCTCTTCTGACTTTTCCCTCTCTATATTCGAACTCCAAGTTTATGAACCAAACATTATTTATTTAATATTCAGCAATATACAAACTATTTAATTTATATATATATTATAAACATGAGTCATCAAAGTGGTATCACAGCTTCAGACGAATTAGTTCAAGCATTTGGTAATGCTAATGGGGGTAGTACTAGATTCATCAAGGTTTCAATTCAAGATGGTATGATAGAAAAGATAGATATGATATGATATCATAGCAATATACTTACGTTTTATTACTTTTTATTCATCTTTCACTCACTTATAATAATAGAACATGTAGTTGTATCAAAGCTTGTTGATGCTCAAGGATCATTTGAAGATGGTAAAGTTAGAGTTTTATAGATATTTACGATTATTGTCAGCTACAACAACAAGAGATAGAGATATTAATGAATGACTTACTTACCTTTTTGTTTTATGTATTTAGATTTGGAATTAATCCCATCATTATTAGAAAAAGATAAACCATGTTTCATCTTGGCAAAGACAGATGATAAATCGATTGAATTGAGAGGTAATAACTGGGTATTTATGTTTTACGTACCAGACCCAGCAAAGGTACGTGAAAAGATGACATATGCAGCTACTCGTGCCACCTTGAAGAAGGATTTGGGATCGGCACACTTTGTCGACGAAGTACACAGCACTGTGGCCGCAGACTTTTCCAAGAAGGGTTACAAGGAGCACAAGGTGCACCAAGAGTCATCGGCCCCACTCACCTGGGACGAGCAACAACGTAACGACGAGCGTGAAGGAGGTCTCTTTGTCGGCGGTGGCGGCAGTGGCATGTACGTGCACGGTGTCGCCTTCCCCGTTGAAGACCGTGCCCTCCAAGCCGTCCAAGACTTTGTCGGTGGCAAGAACAACTTTGTCGAGTTGGCCATCAACATTGCCGACGAAAAGATTGTCTATGGATCGAGTGGCAACACCTCTATCGACCAACTCCAATCAAAGATCAATTTGACCGAGCCACGTTTCCTCTTTTTCCGTTACACTCACGACCACGAAGGCGACACTGTCAACTCTATCATCTTTATCTTTGCATGTCCAGACGGATCCAACGGCACTACCTCTGCCCCTGTCCGTCAACGTATGCTCTACTCGTCGAGCAAGGCCAACGTCGAGAGTCTTGTCACCAAGAACAACATCAAGGTCGACCTCAAACTCGAAATTAATTCACCATCTGAACTCTCTCAATCTTCCATCGACAATGAAATCCATCCACCAAAGGTCGAAGAAAAGAAAGCTTTCTCTAGACCAACTCGTCCAGGTGCAGGTTCCCGTAAATTAATTAAATAATATGACACAAAATATAATCATAATTTATTAATGTATTAACAAACCAACCACAATCAAGTAGACAAACAACAACAATCTATAACTTTCAATCATTCAATTATTATTATTCTTCACCTATTACATAATGTTTGGAGAAAGGAGAAAAAAGAAAGATTATGAAGAGTAATCCATAAACAAAAACACTATTGTAATATTCAATCATTATTATTATTATTTATATATATTATTGTTGTCTATCTATTATTTATTTACTATTGGAGCACCAGAATCTCTTGTAAATAATGTTAAACCATGTAGAGATGGGATGACTTCTTTTAATAGTTGATTAACTCTTTTATGTTGTTGTAAAGTTGATTTACCTTTGAATTCATGTGATTCAACCTCTATTCTATACATTGATCCACATCCACCTATAATCAAACGATTAATTAATTTAAACACTATGACTTTATATTTCAAGTTTATTCAAAACAAACAAACCTACCAGACATATCTAGAACCTCTAATACAGTTGGGTTAAGTGCTTCTTGCAATACAGATTTAATCTTTTCACCTTTTGGATCACATTGTGCATCTTGGTCTTTTGAAGAAGCACTGAAATATCTTATACTACTGGTGGTAATACTATTTCTATTTGTATTAATGAATCTTGATAAAAGATTGATTGATGATGTTGATGATAATCTTTGCATCTTTTAATATATATATGTATATCTGCAGGTATAGTAATTACATGACTGATGTGAAAATCATTGGTGATCATCGATCGGTGGTGGACAAAGCGAAAATATACTTTATTTTAGATAAGCTTTTATTAAATTAATAAAGTTAATAACAAGGAATTCCAACAATACAACTGTACTGTCAGACAGTAGGTGAATGATAAATAAATATATATATATAGCCCTTTATCATTATAATTAGTGTGTTGTGGGTAAGTACTTGTTCATAAACAACATAACAAGCCTGATCAGTCTCCCTCTAACAACCCTATTCATTCTTCTCTTTATAAATGTGTAGATAGACTAGAAGAAAGATGATCATGGATACTTCTACACCATCATCATCTTCTTCGCCATCATCATCATCATCATCATCACAAGTTACAACAATAACAATATTAGATCATTTATTATCTTGCAATTATAAAGAATTCATTGAAGCTACTATCATATCTTCATCATCTTCATCTAGTACAACTCAATCATCATCATCAGCATTAGGTATTGGAGATGGTGAATTATGTTTACCATTCATTTTAAATCTAATCAATACTAGTAGAAAGAATAAGAAGAAGAATAATGAAGATGACCAAGAAGAAGATGATGATGAAGATGAAGATGAAGATATTGGTAGAATAATGGAATCAGTATTGATATCTTCTGATAGAATGTCACCTCATTTGGCATCATCAATATCAATCATTCAAAAATACTATTCACTCGATCCTCAATCATTCTATTTCTTTATTCAAGAGGAACAAGTACAAAGAAAGAAATTGGCTCATGTAAGAATAATAATAATAATTGAATGATGTTGATTAGCCTCTCTCTCTTTTGAATCTAATATACTTATATTGTTTCTCTCCCTCTCTCTCTTTTGTAGATGGAAAAAAAAGGATCATTTATAGAATCTATAACAATGGATATTGGTAGAGAATTTGAAATGTCTGATGTTACTAAACGATTAAAGTTGGTACTTAGTGATTTGATAGGTTTGATGGATTATGCAGAGAAACAAAGAGAAATATTGACAATTAAATTAAATCAACAATCATCGTCGTCATCTGCATCTTTATCAGCATCTTTATCAAATGATACAGATTATCTTTCATTGGTAAATGGTTCAAAATATGATTCTGATCTATTCCTATTAGATATTTATCAAATTGAATTATGTTTTATATTACCAATCATTTGTTTTAGATTTAATCAATTTATTCCTTTAAATGTAATGTAAACACACACAACAATAATAATAATTAATTAATTTCCAAATCAAATTATTTACTTTTTATTTATTTACATAGAGTATGATAGTATCAATATTATTATTACCACAAGCACCATTTTTAATTAAAGTATTGGTATTGAATAATGCAAGTGAATATAGAGATATAATCGATTTAATCATTGATTGTATTGATTTGGTTGGATATGAAAGAACGAGAAAGGTGTTGCTAGAGTTGTGTACATTGTCACAATATACAGCTACACTGATTAGAAAGTTGCTGTTGGAAAAACAAATAATGCCAGACCTCATATTCACAATCACTGCTACTTTTATTCGAAATGATACAGTTGCATTTTTAAGTAATATTATAGTTAACCGTTCAGAATGTTTATGGATAAAGGATTATTTGGCAAGAACTACTACTGATATCAGTACAAATACTCCGCTAACTGCTTTTCAAGAAATTCGTGATCAATTATTAAATATTGTAAGTCAAATTAAATATAAATAATGTACTAAATATTAATATATATTTTAAAACAATATAGTTAATTTCATTAACATTTGATGATCAGAAACAACAACAATTAAAAGAAGAAAATCAAATTGAAAAATCATTAAAGATTAAATCAATAGTTAGATTGTATTGTGGTATGGGTGGATTACTTGGTATTAAATTAAATGTACAAGAAATTTCAACATGTTTATCTTTAATCGATGGTATTCAACCAGGTTCAGGTTCTGGTTCACAACCTCATCAAACTCCTTGGTTAACAAAAGCATTTTCTAAAATCTATTTATGTTTTCTGTTGGTTTGTGAAGGAATATTAAGAGTTATTCCAAATGTATGTAGATTTCAAACTAATTGCTGTAAATGTTGAACATTGTTAACCATTATTGATTGTTTTTTTATTTTATTATTTTTAGAAAAGAATAGCAGAATGTTTAAATGGATTATTAAAGACTGGACATTGTGACGATTTATTATTATTGATATCAATTTATTTCCATACAAGACAATTACATAATATTGTCTATGTCATTAGAAATACACTTGGATTTAGACCATCGATTCATACTGAAAGTCTAAATCAAATGGGTGAATTGATTACAAAGGATATCTTTCCAGAGGCTTTGGTAGCGTTAAAGGCTTCACTTCTCCCAACTATCGATCAACTGTCGGCTCACTCATCATCGGTGACTACCAACCACAGTGTCTCTACAATGTGTATATACCATCTTCTCAGTGAAAGAATCTTTGAAAAATATGAAACCGATATGTCTAGTTGGATTTGGGATCAAACTCTAAAAGCCTCCACTCCTATCCATTATTTATTACCAAGTTGTTTAGATAAATTAGTTAAAAAGTATGAACAAAATTTAAAAACAAAAAAAAAGTTGAAAATATATATTAATAATCTATTATTATTTTATCTCTAGTATTATAGAATCAACGATTACAACAAATTCACCTTTATTCTATATGAATAGAATAAAGGAACAATCGATTTTATCTGTATTTTCAAAAACATCAAAATATAATGAAGCAGTTCAAGTACTAGTTGTCTATTATGTTTTGAGGTACAATGACAGTGTATTAAAATTAAAATCTGATTATAATTTTAAAGGAAAATCAATACCAATTGGAATTGAATCATCTCAATGTATGTATAAATATCTAATCAATCAAACTTTAATTAAATTTACTAAAACCAACTTAATCAATTCTAATCTACTATAGTGAGAGAATATAGTATAGAATTTTTATCAAAATTACCAATTCAAAAATGTTTATCAATTGTTCAAAATAATGTAGAAGATTATTTCTTTATATTGCCACCATTTATGTATTTGGTCTCTTCACAATTCCCTCAATTCTTTAATGTTCATTTATTATTATCAGATGAAGAGAAATCTTCAAAGTAAATATATTAGAGTTTAAAATAATAATACTTTTTTAATTCTAATCATCATTTCTTTTACTCTATTTCTAGTAAAATATCAAGATTTGATTATAATTTACAATATTATCAAGATAATTTAATGTTTTTAAATGGTAGAAATACAAAGCAGAAAAAATCTTCAAGGGAGATAGAGGAAGAGGAATTAATGTCGGTTGTAAAATTAAATAATATGTTGTCGCCACGTTCAGTTTTGGCATCACCCACTTCGATTCAACTCATTTTAAATCATTTGTCAAGAATGGATGTGGACAAGGTACAAAGATTGTATATGGATGTTTTAATTAACAGACTATTACCAATCCTCGTACACCACCGAAAACAATTGGAATCATTGATTCCAACATTTACCAATCTTTGGTTGACAATATTCCCAGTATCAGATCAATCGTTGATGGCATTGAAAACTATCAATATATTGACAAACAATAATTTAAATATTCATAATGATGATACTGAGACCAGTGGTGATGACGGAATGATGATTGATGAAACAACAAATAGAAATGGAATTAATTTAATATCATACAATCAATACTCTCACAGTGATGTAATGTCAGATCCCCTCATTGTATTTAGATGTCATCCAACAGTATTTAGTAATCCATCGTTATTTGGTATTCTACTTCAAATATTATATTTCTATATGATATCTTCAAAGAAATATTTATTAAATCAAATTCAAATATCTCAACCTGTAAATATAAATTTTAAAACAATCCAGATCAAACTATTAATATTATTTCTATTTTGATTTGTAGAAAAAACAAGAAGATATTAAAACATTAATTTTAACACAAGAAAGTTCAATCATTCAATTGTTATTAGAATTATGTATTGTAGATAGAATTGTTGGAAAGGATATATTGGCAATGGGTGATGGTGATGAACCTGAAGGTAAAAAGATAGTCAACAGGGAATATGATGGTGGAGATGTTGACGAGATTAGATGTATTGTTTGTAATTTTATTCATCAACTGTTTATCGAAAAACCAATACTTGTGAAATTGGTACATTTCCAAGGTTACTTTGCTCAACTCTTGCCAATCACCGTCACTCACATCCCATCGATGCATATATGTTTGGATTTCCTTCCCGAATTATTGTCACAGTCACAAATAGAGAAACAAATATTTTCGATTCAACTGTGTGCTTTTATTTCAGAAAAGTATCCCATTCCAAAGAGTTTAAGAATTTGTAAACAAGCACTACACAGAATAGCTACCAACGTATCTTCTTTGCCATCAAATCCACTCGCCCTCCCCATCAACGAACAAATTCATTTTATCAAACAAATTCTGCCTTCCCTCACTCGATTCTCAAAGGCATTCCCCATTCTATCAGAGGAATGTTTAAATATTTTAATTGAATTATTACCAAGTAAATTAAATCTCAATGGCAATCAATCATCACCAACTTCAAATTCACCAACAACCACTTCTATGATAAATCAATCAATATTTTCACCTGAAATCTTTAATCAAAATAATCAAAATAATAACAATGGTAATTTTAATGGTAATAATAATAATATGTTATTGGATGAAGATTTACATGGAAATAATATAAAAAGATCAACAACTCCACCAGACTCTTTATTATCATTATTCTCTCCATTGCCACCATCCGATACATTAAAAACTTTAAAGAGAGAAAAACTAGACCAAATTCAAAATAATAATAATAATAATAGTCAGAATTCATTTGGTGAATCAAATTTAAATTCAAAATCAGTTGACGAGAATGATGATTGGAGACAATGTATTGACTATAAAAAGAATTTTGGTAGATCCGCAAATGAAACTTCCAATAGCAATGATAATAGCATAAATGATCCAACCACATTACCAGAATCCATCATTGAAATCATTCACCAAACCATCCAAATAATAATACAAAATCTTACGACATCTTAATTGTACTTTATGGATGGATCCAAATAATGGAATAAAATTCATTTCCTTTTTTAAAATTGCATCCATAATAATAATAATAAAACATGTTGGTGATTGATCCAATATTATTTGAATGAATGAACATCATAATTTAATTATGATGTCATCCTAAAGAGGAAACTTATTTTAATATTAGTTTTAAATGACATAATTATTTAATTGAAAAAGAGAAAAGGGATAAAGAAAAAAAAAGTATAGAGGTAGTGTACAAAAAAATAAACAAAAAAATAGAGATATAACAACCATTTTTTTTGAGTGTAATTTTGTTTAAATGGATCATGATTTTTTAAAGAGATAATAGAGGAAGAAGAGGAAGAGAAGGAAGGGGATTAAATAGAATTAAAGTTCTGATTGACCCAGGAAGCAAAGTTAAGGAATAATCAATCTCCTCAATACAAGTCTATCACATTCATTTATGCAAATGTTAGATCGATTTGATCCACTCATTTATCACCATACCACGACCTGTCAACTTTTTCCACTCATTCACCTCTATCCATGGTTTGTTATTTTACAAACAAAACCAATCACTATGTGGATGTGGTGTTTGTGGGTGGTAAAAAAGGTGAATCAACACAATGCGCTTGATTAATTAATTAATTTATATATTTATTCAATCAGGTGATTGACTACTGACTGGACGGTGGATAGATTCGTAGTAGTGAACCAATATTGTTTAATTAAACAATCTATAGGGTGATGGTGATGGTGGTGGCTATTGAATAGAAATCAGTCATTCAAATATACACATATTCTTTTATTACAGTCAATTCAAAATTTAATCAATCACTCTCTCTCTCTCTCTCTGTTGTTGTTGTTGTGAACAATATTCAATGTAAAAGGACAACTAATATTTGAATTTTATCATCTTACAGGAATATCACAATTAAAATTAACAAGGTTGAACAAACTATATTTATAAAAAAAAAAAAAAAAAATTATAACATATTTACAATATTATCACTTTTATCCATCACCACTACCACCACCACCACCAACACCACAACTACAACTACTACTATTTGTTACCACTTCAAAGAAACATTGAAACATCATCATCTTCTTCATTTTCGTCTCTCTCTGTCAACAACAATTTAAAAATCAGCGCGCTTTGGGTAAAAATTAAATCCTTTTTTGTTTTTATTAACAAGATGCAAGAGTATGGATTTATACAATCTCTACCACACCAACAACCTGATAACTCAATCATTTATCATAATAATCATCAAGTAGGCTTTAACTCTAATAATATTAATAATAATATTACGAATTTTAATAATCAAAGTCAAAATCATTTTAAAAATAATAGCCAAATGAATAATCACCAAATCGTGAATAAATTGGACCCAAATTCAATATTTTATTCCAACAACAACAATAATAATAATAATCATATTTCCAGTTCCAATCCATCATCACCATATTCAAATTTTCTTTCCAATTCAATTCAACCTTTAGCTTCTTCTGATTTAAATCAACCTTTTGAATTTAATCACATTCAACAAGGACATGAATTAAATAACCAAAAATACGTTCCTCAAATTCAACAAAATCATCATTTACCATTCATTCCTCAAAACATTGGGTTTCAAAAAATCCAAGACCATCTGTCATCCTTTGCATCTTTCAACAAAGTAATGGAAACTTCAATGGATGAATTTTGGGATGATCAATTTGAAAAATGCAACTTTTACAATGATAAAAAGAATATTCTTCCTTTGGCTAGAATAAAGAAAATTATGAAAAGTAGTGATGAAATGTCTCAAAAAAGTGTATGTACAAATCCTAAATATTATTTTTCAAATTTGATTATTAAATTATTAATAAATAATTGATTATTTATTAAAGATGATAAGTTCAGAAGCTCCGATTTTATTGGCAAAAGCATGTGAAATATTTATACTGGAAATAACTAAACGTTCATGGATGGTAAAAAATCAAAGAAGAACTTTACAAACTTGTGATATTGCTCAAGCATTATCTTATCATGAAGTTTTTGATTTTTTGGTTGATATATTCCCAAGGTCCTTGAATCAAGTTGGCACAACTACCAAAGGAAATATTGTAGTGGCTACCATCTCACCAAATACTAAATCCCCTCAACAAACTCCAACAACAAAAAAACAACCATTGGTTTCAAATCAGCACCTACCTTCTGCTGCTGCTGCAATTGTTTATCCCAAAGCAAGAGTTGGAACATCTATGGTATCACCCTTTTCTTCACCATTTCCAAATTCAAACGCATCCACTCCAGGAAATCCCTCACCAAATCAAACATTTCAACCTTTATTATCACCTCCCTCCCCACACCGCCAACATGTTTCAACAACCAATTTAAATCCTCCTTTGGGTATCAATCAATATCATGAGGAATTTAATCATTTCCCTTTGCATTCCTCTGGTACCAAAAATGACCCTCACCACCAACTTCAACAACAACAACATGAGGGCGTTTATGGCTCAAATCAAGGTACGGTCATGCAATCACTTTACTTTTCTTCATGCTCTACACCACCACCGCCACCATCATCCATTCACAATAATTAATTAACATGATGAGAGTTTTTAAAACCAACTCCTACTTTTGTTTTCATTCTCTATCTCACCTTTGAATTAAAATCTATTTTTTAATTCGCTCCCTCCCCCCTTTTTTTTTTTTCCTTACTATTTGTTTTGATATCTCTTTCTATATAAATCTACTATTGGTCTAGGCATCAATTTAAAATATCTTTAAATCAATAAATTTACCAATCTATCCATTTTTCTACTTCCAATCTATCTTGAACCATTAACTCTGTGTCCACAAATGTTTGAAAAATTAAGATTGACCATGTGGTCCTAAAAAATCTGAACCAATGCCTGGGTACTGTTTGAAAGACCTGTCTTTTCAAATCATTTGAACAAAAAACAGATAAATAGATGTACATATTCAAAGATGTTTGACACAAAGATATTGATTCTTTTTAGTTTAATGTGGGTTGCAGTTTCAATAGCAACCCCTGGGTTATATGGAGCTATTCATAGATCCCAGAATAGTTCTGATTTCGGTATCTTTACAGATTATGTATGTATACATACACACATACGTAACAACAAGCAATATACTCTTGCATTGTGACTAACATATTTATATGTATATATATTTTTTATAACTCTAGGGTTCCCAATTTCAACCAATAGTTGAACTAAAAGGAGACTTTTTTTTTAGAAAAGGATCAGACATAACTTGTACAGTTGGTGATATGTATTCTATTTTGGGAGTTGATGCTCTGGGAAATACTGTTTTGCTTGCTCTCAATACTACAGATCTAAGCAACTCGTCACCCTGACAACCAACCTACCCAGGCTTCGAACTTTATGGTACCCACCAAGTGAGAAACCTCTACTGTTTCCCAGGCCCTTCAATTGGCTCACCCAAAATGATTGTTGTTCAATCACATTCTAGTTCACCTGGAGTGATCATTTCGTATAATGATGGAGCCCTCACCAAAGGAATCCTCTACCAATCCCAACTCAACCAAAATTACCAAAGTTCAACCTATGATCCTGTAGGTCGAGTCATCTATGTCTTTTCTGTACCAAGTGATTCACACGATGTCACTGTCACTAGAGTCTCTTTAGATGGCAAGACCGCGCAATCGACCACCTTGAACAAATCTGATCCAATTCTCCTCTGCGGTGCTGTATTTGGAGTTGATGATGGCAATATCCATGGTCTTGCCTTTTTCAAGGGAGGTGTGTTCAACCTTTTCAAATACGAACCAAAACAAAACCAACTCACCATCCATTCTCGCAAGCACACCATCCCAGCAGGCTATAAAATCCTAAACGTCGCGCCCCAATCCTCCATTTCTGGCACTAATAAATTTACCAGCAGATTCCTCATTAAGTAGGAAACCGGTGGAAGTCTTACCTTTTTGGTGTACCATGACATTCTGTCTGGTGTTCAACTTCCAATTTATGGTACTGCTACTGTAGAATCTATATCCTATGTTTTAGAATAAAAAATAAAGAATTGAAAGAAAATAATCACCTTATGCCTGGTCTAAATATTTAATTAATTACAAAAGGGTATATAAATAAATAAATTATTATTTTTTAATATTAATCTTTATGACATTCAAAATGGATTGGAGGAAGAAGTTTTGGAAACTTATTTATCGTGGCCTATTAAAATGAAGATTGTTATGATCTGCCAGATCCTGTTGTCTATCCTCTCTTTCTTGTTGTTGGCGCATAGATTGTAATTTCTGTTGAATTTGATTAAATATTTGTTCCTCTTGTTTGAAATGTTGTTGTCTAGTTTGTTGTCGCGGTGGCGATGGTGGATTGAAATGTTGATCATTGTCATTTTCATGTGTACTAAATGTAATAGGGTCATTATTTGATTGACCACCGATATGGTGATTAAATTCATCCTGTAATTTCTTCATTCTCGCTAGCATATCCGACTCTTGTGGTACTCCTTGAATCTTTTTGTCAAACCCATGCTCCTCTTGGATGACACGCCTTGACTGAGCAGCGTTGAGACTCTTGAGCTCTTCTACGACACGATTTAATGTCTCTGGTGGAGCATCAAATCCAGGTGCCGAAGAGACAAAAGGGAATTGATTTGCCCAAGCAGAATACTCACTCACAGGTATGATCGAAGTTGTTGCACATACACGAGGATGTGTTACATCAAATTGAATACATTGCATTCCACCTTTACACAAACTAGGGTCATCTCTACATCTAGAGAATTCACATCGTTGTGTTGTTTGATTGCAATGCTGTTTAAACAAACATTTACTTCCAAAGCAATCATCACCATCCACTGGATTATTAAATGACCATTCTGTACATAATGTACCCCATCCAAATTCATCACAAGTAAATCCAGGTGGACATAATGCACATCCATTCGGTCCATCTAATAAAATTAAATAATTAATTAAATTGTTGTGTTACAGAGATGAATATAACATACGGAAAACATCATTGTGTAGTGGTACACAATCATAATCTGTAAATATACCATGTGAACATTGGAAACCAGGTGGACATGGTGTATCTTTGCATCCAGGCTTTATAGGCAAACTATCTAAATAATTAAACAAATAAAGGTTAGTCAATTGAAACAAACATGTATCTTTAGAATCTTTTCAAAAACATACTTAATTTTAAATAACAAGCAGCTATATTTAAATCTTCGAGCTCATAGCATTCACTGTATATATCACATACTAGATAATCACATGATGTTGGAAGACAAGTATTGACATCGTTGACAATTTTGCAAATGAATCCATCTTTACAATTATTATCACATTCTCCTCTTGCCAATTCTATATTTCTATATATATTCTCCTCTGTCAATAGATAAGTGTTAGTATAGGTGGCTATGATGATGATGATGATGCTCCAAGTAGATATACATACTCTTTTCAAAACAAACAGGAGCAGGGCTACAACACTTTAAAGTAGGGTTCTCACATTGACCAGACATCATTTTACAATCCAAGTTCTTTTGTTCACATTTCGCAGATTCACAATCCTCTAAATATAATAATAATAATAATAATAATAATGAGACATGTATTTGGTAAGTAAGATGTGTACAAATTATTGTCTATTGTGATGATATCTATATATTTACCAACAATAGGATCATAAATTGCATAACCAGATATATTTTGAAAGTCATAGTCCAACTGATACACTTGATTAGTGACAAGGTTACGTAGACATTTTGTAATATTTCCAGCAGCTGGATCTCTTGCATAGTTGTATGTTGCACTGACACATATCGATCCGATACCAAAACAACAACCTCTTAGAGGTATGATCATACAATCTGGATAGGCTGTGAGACATGAATCAGGTCCCAATGTTTCACATTGTCCAACTGCCTCTACAAACAATGAACTATAACTAGTAATACTCTTTGTCTGTGACGCTATTATCTGTTGTATATTTATCTGCTGCTGCTGATGATGATAGTGATGATTGAATAGACCAATCAACCTATTTGAATAATAATTAAAATCATCTTGACATAATAATATTACTGCAATGATTGACAATAATGTCGTTAATTTTGTTTGTTGATATTTATGTTTCATTTAGCAGTAATCAGTAAATAACAAAATAGATAAATAAATATATAAATAAATATTCATACAAAACTGTACTCTACTAGATTCAATCATTCATCATTCATCACTACAAAATTGTAGTGGGATTATAATCTACCACACTTCCTTCCTTCACTTTTGATCGATTGATTGAGAGAAGAGAGTATATAATACTAAACTGATTCTACAAGATTGAAATGAAACCAGAACGGGTCATCGTATCTTGGGAAGTATGAGCAGCGACTTTTGCAACTGGTCAGCCTTGAACTGAACAACTCAACTCGTCTGCTAGAAAATATTTCTAAAAAAAAATAAAAAAAATAAAAAAAAATTCTTTTTTGTGGAGGGGGGACCTGAAAAAGAGTTGAAAAAACAAAAGCATTATTTTGTTACTTGTTATAATATTAATATAAATCATCATCAGTTAAAATAATGACGAGTAATGGTATAACATCACCATCAGCATTATCAAATGGTGGCAAAGCAACAACAACAACAACTGCAACAGCAGCAGCAGTAGCATCGGCATCAGCAACCAATATAGCATTGAATGGTTCAACAGGGAAGATGCCTATTCACAATATATCGTCACCACCAATATCATCCACTTCGTCTACAGCTCCATTACAATCAAACGGATCTTCAAATCAACAGCAATACTATGGTGTTACAGAACCAATCTCGTTGGCTTCTCCCACCTCAATCGACACGAAGCAATCGACAGAGTTGGAGACTACGCTTAGAGGATTCAACCTTTTCGAACCACCAGAAGAGAGTAGATTACGTGAAGAGGTATTAGGTAAATTAGATGCTATCGTCAAGCAGTGGGCTATCAAAGTTAGCGTTTTAAAGGTAAGGAATTCAACGAGCGAGTTATATATATATATATACCCAGTGTTGTTTGCTGAAACTAATAATCTTTTTTCTATCTCTTTTTTTTTCTTTATTTAGGGATTTACAGAACAAATGGCAAGTGAAGTAATAGCTAAAATATTTACATATGGTTCTTATAGATTGGGTGTACATGCATCTGGATCAGATATTGATACATTGTGCGTCACACCAAAACATATAATGAGAGCTGACTTTTTTGGTACCTTGGCTGATGTTTTGTGTGTCCATCCAGAGATTACAGAGTTTACGGTAAGTACCTTTTTTAGCGGTAGTAGCGGTAGCAGTGGTGGTAGCAGTAGTGGCAGCAGTGGTCTTCAAAGAATATTAATAAAAAAAACAATGGTAATGGTGAAAATAATGGATATTATTATTATTCTTCATTTTTTTTGGCATGGTTATGGAAATGAAAGATTAATTTGGGAAATAAAAAAAATTAATAAAACAAATAAAGAAAAAGAAAAAAGAAAAAAAAGAAAAAAAAAAAAAAGAAAAAAGAAAAGAAAAAGAAAAAAAAGAAAACAAAAAAGAAAATAATACCAATACTTTTTTTTTTTGATTGATCACGGTTTTTTTTTTTGGAAGATCTCTCCCTCTCTCTCTCTGCTACCCTACCCATATATTTAATCGTATGACAAAAATAATAACATCCATTTTTTTTTTCTAAAAGCCTGTTAAAGATGCATTTGTACCAGTTATTAAAATGATATTTTGTGGTATACCAATTGATTTAATTTTTGCAAGATTATCAATTCCAGCCATCCCCGAAGATTTGAACGATCTCATTGATGAAAACTATCTCAAGAATGTCGATGACAAATGCATTGTCAGTTTAAATGGTTGTCGTGTAACTGACCAAATTTTAAGATTAGTTCCAAATGTCACTACTTTTAGAATGGCATTAAGATGTATAAAACTTTGGGCTCAACGTATGTACAGCATTCAAATCAAAACAAATAACAAATCAATTATTATATCGTTTATATTTATTTATTTATTTATTTATTTTAGGAAGAGGAGTATATTCAAATGTATTGGGTTTATTGGGTGGTGTGTCATGGGCACTTTTAACAGCAAGAATATGTCAATTATATCCAAATGCAGCACCAAGTACCATTATAAATAGATTTTTCAAGATTTATGATGGTTGGAAATGGCCTTCACCTATTTTACTCTGTCAAATTCAAGATGGAGGTCAATTGGCTGCAAAAGTTTGGAATCAAAAGGTAAGTCAATGATTTTTTTGGATTCAACAAACTAGTTTGTTTATACTTATTATTTCCTTTTTATTTTAGAGAGATAAAAGTCATTTAATGCCAATTTTAACACCAGCATATCCATCGATGAATTCAACATACAATGTATCGAGATCGACATTGAGTTTATTAAAGAGTGAGTTTTCAAGAGGAGCAGAGATTACGAAAAAGATTGATAGTGGTGAGCGTAAATGGACAGATCTAGTTGAAAAAGGTGATTTCTTTACGAGATATAGATTCTATTTGCAGATTGATGTGTCTGCACCCGAAGAAGACACACACAGAAAGTGGGAGGGTTGGATTGAATCGAAACTGAGAATATTAATATCCAACCTCGAGCAAACACCCAACATGAAATTTGCCATACCCTATGCCAAGAGCTTTGCCAACAAGGCCTCTGCAGTGAATGGAGGTATCTGCACATGCTTCTTTATGGGTCTTCAGTTTAACTTTTCCACAGCTATTGGCGCCGACAAGAACGTCGATTTGACTGGCGCCGTTACCAGTTTTACCAATCTCATCAAAGATTGGCCTGGTAAGTTACCAACCATTGAAATGAAGATTCACTATATAAAGAAAAAGAATTTGCCAGTATTTGTTAAAGATGAAGGTCCTGAACATCCACCAAAACAAAAAACTGCTGCTAAAAAGAGAAATGTATCTGGTAATCTTGTTAATAATAATAATAATCAAAATAATACTGCCGCTGGAGAATCAACATCAACAACGACGACGACTACACCAACAGGAACAGCAACACCACCACCTTCCTCAACAGATGCAAAGAAAAAGGTTAAAACTGATCATCCCCCTTCACAAACTACAACTCCAACTGCCGCCTCTAGTACTTCTTCACCTCCATCACCATTGGCAACAGATCATGTTGCCGTAGTTGCTCTTCCAACTACAACAGAAACAGCAGCAGTATCCAACCAACCAAATATATCACCTCAACCAATTTTACCAATATCTGTTAGTGACAATAATAATAATATTAGTATTGATGGTGATAATGTAAATATGAATGAAATTAAAGATAGCAACATTGATGAACAACTCCAATCACCACCATCCGAGGTACCAACAATCGTTGCTGCTTCTACAACCACCCCTACCAATACAACTCCATCAACCAAAAAAGCAGATAATTCATCACCAACTGAAGTTTCAGAATTGGATTTCATCAGCAGTTCCTCTGCACCAAAACCAGATGTCCCCAAAGGTCCTCAACCAAAAAAAGCAGCAATTAGTTTAATCCGAGGTTAAATTGGAATCACATAATATAAACACAAGAAAAAAGATCAAGATTTATTTGGAGCAATAATCAACAAAAAACAATCCTCAGGCAATCAAATCAAGAAGAGTGCGATACAAAAAAAAAAAGATGGGAAACAAAAGAGAGAGAGAGAGATTTGGAGAAATGGAATTCAAAGGAATTTCCTTTTCCTTCTTTTTTTTTATTTATATATATCTATCTTCTCCTTTCTTCTTCTTCTTCTAACCTATCCCTTTACTAATCATTCTACCCTTTCCAATCCTTCTATTCTCGATATATATTTTCTTTTCAACTTTTAGGGTTAGTCAAAAAAAAAAAAAAAAGAATAATAATAATAATTAATAATAATAATATCTATTTTCTTCTTCTTCTTTGTTCCAATCATACCATTTAAATAAAATAACCTATTTTAACCTTGACGATAAAACAGATATCGTTTAACGTTTTCGTTTTTTTTTATTAAGTGAAAATGCACACAGCCTTATAACTGCGATCATGTGTTCATCGCACGTGGATGGTCAGACAATTCAGACCAACTGTACAAAAAAAAGAAATAAAAGTTAGTAGGTTGGGCAAATAAAAAGTGTGTACATGTGACCAATCACAAGATTGTGCTTTAAATCATTGTTATCTTTGCAACTATCAACAACAATAACAACAACAAAGTATCTCCCTATCCTCGCGCAATGAAAGATGGCACTTGGGAATAACAACAACTATAAAATGGTGACATATTAATATTGACGTCCAAGTTAGTTGGTTATTACATATTGTCAACACTACTCTTAAAAGTAGAAACAAATAACATTATTAATCAGCAGTCATCATCATGTCAGTCATTGATCAGTATCAACCAGTGGTATTCCAAAACAAAAAGGGATTTGTCGTACCTTCTACTCTTCCAGTCTATGCAGCACAAACCAAGACTAAAGTTACTACAACCGAGACAGCTGTCGATAAAGCTAAACCATTTTCTGGTAACTACCTATTTAGACAAATGATCAGGTGGTGTATCTATAGATCTTTTATTAATGAATATTATTCTTTGTTGTTTTCTCTCCTCTTTTAGATGCATTCTATGACAAGATGACTCTTAGTTCAGAGAACTTTGTCAATTTCGTTGCTGGCAAGATTACTGATAAGACGGCTAGTTTAGAGGAACTTTTATCATTCTCTTCTTTTGACTCGGATGACAAGTACACTGACAAGGTCAAACAAGCTGCCGACATGCATTTCATCAGTCTCGTTCAGTACTATATGAACGATGAAGTGAGAAACATCTTGGGTTGGTCAAAACCAGCTCCTCATGCAAGATTGCTAGAGATTGCATCGAGTGACAAGGTAGTAGCATGGTACAAAAAGTATTCACTACTCTATGCTCATTATTTGGTTAGTCTACAACTTAAAGGTGCAATCAAAATTAAAGTTTTAGAAGCTGATATTAAAACAATGACTTCTTCTGTATGTAGAATATAATATTTAAATATATATATATATAAATAATTATACTAACTTTATTTTTCTCTAGAAAATCTATGTTAAACAAACATCAGCAATCTTTAAGTTTGCATTTATTGAACGTAATCCAAAGATTACAATTTATCTCAAAAATGCAAAGAAATGGACTGAAGATTTAAAGAATTATTATTTAACCAATTCCAAGTGTCTAGAGGAATGGATGAGATCATTCCAAGAGAACTACAACTTTGAAACTTTTTTTGCAAAGTTTGCAAATGTATTTTCATCAACTGGTCACCAAACTCAAGCCAACCAGATTTTGAATATTCCAAAAACTATGAATTGTTTGGATAGTATTGTTTCAAATGTACGTACAGCTGCAACAATCATTGATCATTATACAAAGTATATTTATTTATTTTATTTTATTTATTTTTAGATTCGAAACAAATTAGATGTTTTGGATCAAAGTGCAAAATCATCAAGTGAAGTTATTAATTTCTTTTATTCCTCACAATATGCATTCTTTTCATCGATGACCAACCTCGATGGTAATGCAGAATATTTCAAAGCAATGGAAAAACATGTTGACGATGTATTGGACCGTCTCTCCAAACTCAAAGAATCTAGTTTGTCTGGGCCACAATTAGACTTTTACAAATTGTATAAAGATGTCTTGTTGGCATGTGGAGGTATGGCAGGTGTAAGATTCCAACTAACCAACGCTATCAAAAGAACTGTTAATCGTATTGCACCCTACACTGATATTACCATGGGCTTTGAAAATATCTTAAAAATGCCACAGATGGAAACCGAGAATATGAAGATATTCTTGCAAGAGAATGCGCCAGACGTTGTTAAAAAGGTTCCTAAAGGAGTCAACTTTTTCATGTCAATGTGGAGAGGTTGTCAATCCATCTCGATTCTCTATGGTATAGTCAACTTTGATCCAAAGGCCGGTGTACTTAGCAACACCCAGTTTATCGGTGACTCACTTGCTATTGTCCTCGATACCTTTACAACTATCCAAAAAGTTGATGTTGCATTCACTGCACCATTTGCATCGTTGGCCAAAGGTATTAGTAACGCTCTAAAGGTATTCAAGCCAACCCAACTCGTCAAACTCTTCTCGTCGAGTATGAAGTGGTTCTTTACTAAATCGTTTAACGATTTCCTCAATTTTAGAGTGTGTCCAGCTCTCATTGTTCTTTCATGTATTATGAATTGTATCGATATTGCCAAAGATATTGAAGAAGGTAAATGGGGTGAACTAGCCTGCGACGTTGCAGCACTTGGATTAAACATTGCCACCGTTGCTGTTTTAGTGGCCGGTGCCAGTTGGAGTGGACCAGTTGCATTGGTACTTGGTGGTGTTGCCATCCTCGTACTCATTATTAAACTTTGGATCTCTACCCCTGAGAAAAGCCCTGCTCAAAAGTTTTTGGAATCAAAGTTTGTTTTACTTGCTTACAAGAGACTTCCAGCTGCTGCTGCCTAAAAATAATAATTAAATAAATAAATATTATTATTACAAGATCAATATTGACTTTTAAAAGTCTCAAAAGAAGAGGAAGAGTATTTCTCGAAAAAATATCTAATACATAAACAACAAGAACCAGCCAGACTGGAGGAGAGGAGTGTTATTTTCACAGATTCTAATTGAACCTCTGTTTTTTTGGATAAATATTTATTTTTTTACCTTTTTTGGTCGTTCAATACCAAAAAGAAAAATAGAGTGGTGAATTTGAGCTAAAAGGGAATTTTTGCAATGAATATTGTGTTGGTTTCCTGCGATGGGAGTATGGGTAGCTAATTAGGGGGGTCTATTGAATATTAATTAATATTAATCTCCTAGCTAACAACACTATAATCTTGTCTGAGAGACTGAAAATATTGATTTAAATATCGCAGCTCCTCTAACAATCTCATTTCATTCATTAAACCCAACAAACAAATAATTATAAACATGTCGGATCTTATTTTAGATAACTTAACAGGATACAAAGGAAAAGTAAAGAAGCAAGGTAGGTGAAAGAACAATTTAAATTATTTATATAAAATAATATTGCATGACACATTCTAACATTTTCTTTATAATCTCTCTTTTAATTTCATTTAATTATTCAATTGAATAATTATAGGAGCTGATAGTCATGCCACACCAAAGCGTAGATATCATCATCCAGTCATTGATACAGATCAATTTGAAATCCCACCAGAGAACGCATCCAAGCTTAGATTAAACGGTGACACCAAGATTGGTGGTGATAAGAAAAGAAACCTTTGGGGAGGAGGAAACAGATAGATAGACTGATATCAAATAATACTACTACTGTAGTTCCCAAAACAAAAAAAAAAAAAAAACAATAAATATTTCTATCAATCAAAATATATCATTCATTTATTGCACATATTATTAATATGTTCCAGATAAGATGGTGGAATTGATTTCCACTTTTAATCGCCATAATATTTTTGAATCCCATTATGAATTCCTGACTGGTTCTTTGTTTCAACCCGGGTTGATAAGATTCTTATCTTATCTTATCTTTTAAGGGTAATGGTCTAAAACCTTACCAAGGTGTTTATACAAAGATATGGGCATTTGAGAAAATACAATTCTTTTTTTACAATGTTTTTCTCGATTTTGTAATTCCTTTCTGTTTACCAAAAAAACTATAAATACAACAACAATTTTTGTTGTTAGTTTAATTCAATACATAATTATCAATCATTTTTATATAGAGATATTCTTCAAGAAAGATATTCTATTTCTATATTTAATTATATTAAATAATATAATATTAGTATTAAATTAATTTATTCATTTTTTTTTAAAATTTTTGCGATCAAGCAACCCGAGTAGTAGGACAAAAGAATCTATCTTCATCTCTGTTTGTTTGTGTGTGTTGTTCATTGTCTCTATTCTCGACTTATATAAATATAACAAAAGATGAGTGAACCAAAACCAACTACTCAAACTCCAACACCTGTTGAATTGACAGAGGAGCAAAAGAAGAAGCAAGAAGAGAAAAAGAAGGCAAAGGAAGCCGAAAAGCAAGCAAAGCTTGCAAAGTTGGCTGAAAAGGAATCTAAAGCTGTATGTATTGAGAGAGAGAAACAGAGAGAGAATAGAGATATATAGACAGAGATACATAGGGAATAGATAGCTAACAAAGATATATCTATCGTATTATAATAGAAAGCATTAAAAGAAAAGGAAGAAGAAAATAAGAAAAAGAAAGCAGCAAAGGAAGCAGAAGAAAAGGAAGCTGCTGACAAAGAAGCTGCAAAGTTACGTGATTATACCGACAAGGTATTACAAACACCAATTGGAGAAAAGAAGGGTAAGAAGCAAGATAGGAGATAAAGAGGAGAATAGCCATATTGAGAGGACTCTCAAACTTACATTACTTTTACATTTTATTCTTTTAGAATTCTCTGGAGAATTATACCCATCATATCATCCACCAGCAGTTGAAGCACGTTGGTATGATTGGTGGCTCAAGAATGAATTCTTTAGCCCAGAAAAGCAATTAGAGATTCAACAACACGTCCAAAAGGATAAAAAGTTTGTTATTGTCATTCCACCACCCAACGTCACTGGTTCGTTGCATTTGGGTCATGCTTTGACAAACTCGATTCAAGATGCGATTGTTCGTTATCACAGAATGAAGGGTGAAGTTGCACTCTGGGTTCCAGGTACCGATCACGCTGGTATTGCAACACAAGCTGTTGTCGAGAAAAAGTTGATGCGTGAACGTAACATTACTCGTCACGAAATTGGTCGTGAACAATTTGTTTCTGAAGTTTGGAAATGGAAGGACGAGTATGGATCACGTATCCAAAACCAACTCAAAAAGTTGGCTTCTTCATTGGACTGGAAGCGTGAGGCATTTACATTGGACGATACTCGTTCACGTGCTGTAAACACTGCCTTTGTTCGCATGTTTAACGATGGTTTGATTACTCGTTCATCGCGTCTTGTCAATTGGTCTTGTGCACTCAAGACTGCCATCTCTGACATTGAAGTCGACTATAAGGACTTGGAAAAGCACACCAAGATGTCTGTCCCAGGACACAGCGGTGAATACGATTTTGGTGTTCTCTTTGAATTTGGTTACCCAGTCGAGGGCAGCCAAGAACTCTTGTACGTTGCCACCACCCGTATCGAGACCATGTTGGCCGATACTGCCGTCGCCATCCACTCTGACGACGCTCGTTACAAGCATCTCCACGGAAAGTTTGTCGTCCATCCATTGCTCGGCAAGCGTATTCCCATCATCACCGATGATGTCCTCGTCGACCCATCCTTTGGTACCGGTGTTGTCAAGGTTACACCAGCACACGATCCAAACGATTATGAAACTGGTCTCCGTCACAATCTTCCCATGATCAACCTCTTTACCGACGAAGGTTTGATCAACGAGAATGGTGGTCAATTCAAGGGATTGAAGCGTTTCGATGCTCGTAATGCCGTTATCAAGGCACTCGAAGAAAAGGGTTGCTACAAGGGCATGAAGGACAACAAGATGCGTATTGGTGTTTGCTCACGTTCCAAGGACGTCATCGAGCCAATGGTCAAGCCACAATGGTACGTCAAGTGTGGAGACATGGCTCAACGTGCCATCAAGGCCGTCGTCGACAAGGAACTCGAGATTATCCCAGCCACCCACGAGGTTACTTGGTTCCGTTGGTTAGAGGGTATCAAGGATTGGTGTGTCTCTCGTCAATTGTGGTGGGGCCATCGTATCCCTGCCTACTTGGCACGTATCCAAGGTCGTCCCGAACCAGACCACTTTGACATGGAGAACTGGGTTGTTGGTGAGACCAAGGAAGAGGCTTTGGCCGTTGCATTGAAGCGTTTCAACGTTGCTGCCGACCAAATCTCGCTCGAACAAGATCCAGATGTCTTGGACACTTGGTTTTCGTCTGGTTTGTTCCCATTCTCAACTATGGGATGGCCAGAAAAGACTGCCGACATGGAAAACTTTTACCCAACCAGCCTTCTCGAGACTGGCTCGGACATTCTCTTCTTTTGGGTCGCCCGTATGGTTATGATGGGTCAACAACTCACCGGCCAATTACCATTCAAGCAAGTCTTCCTCCACGCCATGGTTCGTGACTCTCACGGTCACAAGATGAGCAAATCATTGGGCAACGTCATTGATCCAACCGACGTTATCAATGGTATCTCCCTCAACCAACTCCAAGAGAACCTCAAGACTGGTAATCTTGAACAAAAGGAGTTTACCAGAGCCTCTGCTGCCCTCAAGCTCGACTATCCAAACGGTATCCCAGAGTGTGGTACCGATGCCCTCCGTTTTGCCCTCTGCGCCTACACCTCGCAAGGTCGTGACATTAACCTTGATATTCTCCGTGTCGATGGTTACCGTCGTTTCTGCAACAAGATTTGGAACGCTACCCGTTTCGCTTTGATGAAGTTGGGTACCGACTATAAGCCAATCGACTTTGACGCCGAAGCACTCATCAACAACTCGTCCTCGGTCAACCGTTGGATCTTGAATGCTGCTGCACGTGCCATCCGTCTCGTCGACCAAGGTTTCAAAGACTATGACTTTGCTGCTGCCACCACCGCCATTTACAACTTTTGGTTGCACGAACTCTGTGATTTCTACCTCGAAACCACCAAGCCCATCTTTAGTGACGACAATAACGACGCTGAAGACAAGCTCCGTACCAAGCACACCCTCTACACTTGCATTGAAATCGGTCTCAAGTTGCTCCACCCATTCATGCCATATTTGACCGAAGAACTCTACCAATCGATTGCTCACCGTCCATCCGACAATCTCCCCACCATCATGTTGGCACAGTTCCCACTCGAACAACCACAATGGATCGACGCCAACATTGAAGAGGAAATGAAGCAATGCCAAGACCTCATCACTGCCATCCGTTCGCTCTGCAACAAGTACCGTGTCAAAAAGGTCCCCATCTTTGCTCACGCCAAAAAGGAGGAATTGCACAAATTGTTTAGCCGTCACGCTCACCTCATCAAGGTCCTCACCAACGCCTCGGACTTCCAAGTCCACCTCACCTCTGAAGGTCGTACCGGATGCGTCGTCGACACTTACAATGACAGTCTCTCGATCCTTCTCGATCTCTCCACTTCTATCGATTTCACTGCTGAAATCAAACGTCTTGAAGGCAGTCGTACCAACTTGCTCACTCAAAAGGACGCTCTTTTGAAAAAGATTAACATCCCATCCTATGACAAGGTCCCACAAAAAATCCGTGAAGATAATACTACCAAACTCAATGGTATCGAAGAAGAAATTAAAACTCTTTCAAATAGTATTGAATCCTTTCAAAAAATGTCTTTAAACAAATAAAAGAAATGAAAACTAAATAAAATAAAATAAATCCCTAAACTACAAAAAAAAAAAAAAAAAAAAAAAGGATATCAACGACATGATTGGACCAATCAATCTTTGAATTAATTAATTAATTTAACTGACATTGGTCCAACAGATTAAAGAAAGATTTTATTCGCCTTTCTCTTTTCAAAAAGACATTTTACCAAAAAACAATGGTAAAAATCTATATGTTTGGGGGGTTCAAGTCAGTTGATTTGACAATGCATCGAAATTTTCAACGTCTTTCAGTTCCAGATCTGATCGACTTTTACACTTTAGAAAAGTTTTAAATAAAAATAACTACCAATACCACTGCTTTACTTAGATCTACCCTTCTATTTCAAAGAAGGATCAAATGGTTTAAAAAAAAAGAAAACCGTGATGTATAAATAGAGACTTACAAAAAAACAAGCTCATTATTTATTTATTTCTTGCTTATCGTTTATCGATTATTATCTATCTCTTTTAAATGGCACTTAATATTACTAAACCAGGTATTGCTACCTTTATATTATTTGGTCTTGTATGGATCACTTTAATTATTTCTTTTTCAAGTATGTTAAATGATAAAGAAAAATCTGCATCACTAGAACAATAAGTTAACTTTGTTTTTTTTTTTTGTAGCATATTGGTATAGATTAAAAATAGAATCATCATCATCAAGTGGATCAACAGAAGAAAATGATTTTACAATTACAGTTAATATGAAATACAATGAATTCAAAGTGACACAAGAAACAAGTTTTGGAAAAACCACTGGTACTACAGATATTAAAGAGACTGATCAAAATAGAAATCAATTGGCTATATTCAAAACATCTCTTGCATTCTCTGTGATTGGATGGCTATTTGTGACTGCTTCTCTTGTCATGGTCATGGCCAACATTGCTGGACTATTTATCAAACTTCCCAAAGTAGCTGTTTTAATTGCTAAATTCACTCCCATTGTTACATTGGGTTGTTGTTTCATTGCACTCTTTGTATTCTTGGGTTTACCCAATGCAACCAAGAGAGACTGTATGAATAGTGGTGGTAATGAAGATACTTGCAGTACCGATCAAAATATTCACTTTATGGGCTCGCATACCGAAGATACTGGTAACATTATTGTCAAGACTGCATGGGGACCAACAACATCTTGGGCTGCTATTGTTTGTGCAACTGCTCTTCAACTTGCTGGTACTATTGTCAATATTATGTTCCAAAAATATGAACATGAAACTCCTAAATAATTAAATAAACCTAATTCTATTCTGTAAAATTATATTAAATATTAAATAAGGTTTTATAAGTTACAAAAATATTTTTGATTTGTAGTGGTTGATCCAATAACCAATTTACCACCATCAATTTTTTAAACAGTGTGATAGGTTTACATTATGGATGGTGATGTATAGTATTTTTATCTAGTCTGTCTATCTATCAATCGTATATCTGTTGATTAATTTCGTATTTTAAATGGAAATAATAAAATAATTTATTCGTATATCTTAAAGTATACTGGATACTGGTGATCCTACCACCAGCCAAACAAAATGGATGATATCATAAATGTAGATAATGATTAAATAGTCCAACTAGAGAAGGATTGGATTAATAACTATATATATATATTTATACAAAGAAAGCTATAGAATACCATCAAGATATATTTGTTAATATCGATTTACAACAACAACAATAACAACAAACAAACAAACAACAATATTAAATGAGCCTATTCCATAATTCATTAAAGAATAATTTTGTAATATTCTTTTTAATATTATCATCATGGGCATTATTAATAGTTAGTTTTTCTTGTATGTAGAGATAGAATAGAATATAGAATATATCTAAAAATAATTTAAATTAACCAATTTGATATATTTTATATAGCATATTGGTATAAAGAAGAATCACATTTCTTGACAAGTAATAGTCAAGTGATTAAATACTATCGATTCGATCAAATGAGAACAGAGTATTGGAATTATAGTGTATTTGAATCGGCAGTGATTATACCAATGAGAGATATTCTATCGTATGGATCGCAACTATCAATTTATAGGGCCAGTTTGTCACTGGTCATCTTGGGGTGGATAGCACTTACCGCCACACTTGTACTACTCTTTTTAAACATATTCGAGTACATGTCAGACTTTAGATTTGCCGTACCTCTTATACGAACCGTCATTCTTCTTGCTCTTGGCTTTAGTTCAGCGTCTTGTCTCACCTTTATCGGCATTGGATCAGCACTCGAAGAAGACTGCCAGGCTACCAATAACCTAGAGTATGCTCGATGCTCACACGATGACAGAGGTGTATTCCTTCAACACTATGTATTTGATGACACTAGATACCACTTTGAAGAGGATGTAGAGAGAGCACATGGTCCAGCCTATGCCTGGTACACTGCTGTAGCATCTTCAAGTTGTCTTTTAGTTGCTTCAATCTTATCATTTGCTTTACCAGCTCTTGCAATTGAATAAACAACCAAAACCAAACAAATAATAATCAAACTATATATATTTGTTGTTGTAGTATAATATATATATATTACAGTATAGTATTCTGTGAAACGACATGTGATGAAAAACAACAGGCTTGTCTCGGCAAAGTTTATATTTTTTCTCGAGCACAAAACTCTTCTCTGTGGGCTTTGTCTTCTCTCCGGTCAAGAAAAATCGAGGGAAAATGTTTTTTGATTTTTACATGCGCCCGTTGTAATACTCTCAAACCAACAATACAGCTATCACTTGACTCTTTGAGTTTATTATTTATTTATAAATTACATTAAAATACTACATATAATATAAAAAATGGTAAAATAACAATCATCAATCAAACAACAACAACAACAACAACAACAACAACAACAACAACAACAACAAGAGATGATCTCTTTAACTACCACAACTACAAAGTTTGAGTACTGACCCACCACCGTTGTTTCCTTTATCATTCTTCCTCCTTTTCTTCTTCTTCTTCTTCTTTATTTAGGCATCAGTTGAAGACGATGGATATAATGAATACCTTTACAAGATTCTAGTTGTAGGTGATATTGGTACAGGAAAGACTTCAATCATCAAGAGATTCGTACACAACATTTTCTCTATGCATTATAAATCAACCGTAAATATCAATACAATGCGATTTCATTCTTATCATCATCATCATCATCATCAACATCGATAGTGTATTGTTTAGAATGTAAACAAGTTTAAAGTTTACATCGATAGATATACCACACACACAATGCATCATACACCACGATGTTGAAAAAACAAAACTATACACCACACACATGTGATACTAATGATCTTTTCGTCTTATATCTCACTCTATAATATAACAGATTGGTGTAGATTTTGCACTCAAGGTATTAAACTGGGATCCACGTACTGAAGTTAGATTACAACTTGTAAGCAAGCATACAATGATTGGTTCTAGAAGCAAACAAAGTTGTTCATTAACTAATCTCTCTCTCTCTCTCTCTCTTTGTTTCATTTCCTTTTTTTTATTAATAACTAATTAGTGGGATATTGCTGGTCAAGAACGTTTTGGATCAATGACACGTGTTTATTACAAGGAAGCAGTTGGAGCAATGATTACATTTGATGTTACTAGAGCAAGTACATTTGAAGCAGTTTCAAAATGGAAGGCTGATATCGATTCAAAGGTCACTATTGGAGCAGAAGAAAAACCAATTCCAGTCGTCTTGCTTGCCAATAAATGCGATCTTGGAAAGGAAGGTTTCATCAAGACTGCCAACGAAATGGATAAATATTGTAAAGATAATGGTTTCATTGGATGGTTTGAAACTAGCGCAAAGGAAAATCTCAACATTGAAAAAGCAGCCAGATTCTTGGTTGAACATATCCTCAAGAGCGACGTAAAGAGAAACTCCCCACCACAAGACACTGTTCAACCAGGTCTTGCTACTCCACCACCACCAACTTCTTCTGGTTGTTGCAACAAGTAAAGAGAGATTAAGATGATATTCCTTTTTTTTTTTTAAAAACAACAATTATCCAAATAATTAATTAATAATAATAATAATATAATAATAATCCCACCACTTTTCCAAAAAATAGTAAAGTAGTACTACTATAGCTAGCTAATAACCACCAACACCATTCCCCCATATTTAATAATAATAATCACCCATCTTAGTAAATAATTAAAAAAGATAAATAATAATAATAATAACCCATCACCAACACCATCCATCGACAAAGGAAGAAGACATTTAAATAGATAAAAATATCTAATAGATATTTTTCCAAAAAACACACATTAATACACAAACAAACAAACGGATACAACCTCCAATCAATAATTATAGCTTAAAACTTAAAATCCCATTTTAATTTTCTTTAATAATAATAATAATAGTACAAAAATCAAATAATAAAAAAAAAATGTAATATTTTAAAAACAGATCCAAGCCAGTTTTAAGATTAATATTTATATATACACAATTATTATATTTAAATAGATTGATTTGTGAAGTTTTATACGCCAATTTAGTTAGTTACCATTTATTTCCAAAACGATCGTTGATGATGGTGCTTAACTAGAACCAGCTTTGAATAATAAAATATAGTGTTGTCCAATGACGAAATATATAAAGTTCTTTGTTTCATGTGTAACAAATGATCCAAAACTTCTTCCAACAATACAATGCCATGATGGTGAAAATTTCTTATCAAATTCTATATTGATGTTGTTGAAAGATAGTGTTTAGTCATTGTCATTGTGTAATTGTCATTGTGTATTATCATTGTGTATTATCATTGTAATATATAATCAATATCACCATTATCGTTCTTACCTTTTTTAATAGAGGAAGCAATATCCTTTTCAACATCATTTGATTCGAATGCCTTGACTGCACATTCCACTGCTTCTTGCTGCATGAATTCTATATAATTATACATTGAGATATAAGATTATTATTATTATTATGTTGCAATGTTATTGTGTCGATCAATCAATCAATCAAGTAATCATCATTGACCTACCCTCCATATCAGCTATTTTGATTTGTATTGTTTTTCTATCAACTGTTCTCATTTTCTGATGCTATGTTTGGGTAAATATATATATAATAATAGAAAGAGAGAGAGATTTATAAATATCTATTGATAGATTGTTGTTGTTGTTGTTGTTGTTGCTTGTTCAAAGATATAAATACAAAAGCATAAACTATTTAAAAATCTGTGTTCAGTCTTTTGATGAAGATGTTGGTTTCTTTTTTTCAGCATTTAAATTAAATGCGAAGATCATATATATTATAAAGTTTAGGAAAAAGATAAAAGAAGAAGAACAAGAAGAACAAGAATAATAATAATGAACAAACTACTCGGTTATATATGTTGCTTTGTTGGAATAGCATTGTTTATACATTCAGTTTTATCAGTTATACAACGTACGTTGTTATTTTGAAACATTGATGACAACGACCCCTTGTGAAGACACATCATACTAATCTTTATTATTATTCTTTAATAACAGACAAGAGTTATCTTAGATTGACAAATAAACCTTTTGAACATATTCCTTACGATGTAGGTATCGATAAAAAAAAGAAGGATTGATGCAGTTGTTTGTTATAACTCCTCACGCATGCATCAGACCCATCATATGATCAAGGATCGATATGTACTAACAATAATGATTGATTTGCTGATTATAGATTGCAGCTGAAAGTATAATAGCATTGGTTATTGCGTCCTATGGTATCATTAATGTTGCACCAAAATTAACTACAATTAAAATCAATTCCCATTTATCAAAAAGGTAAGAAAGACAACAACAACAACAATAATAACAACTTGGATCCAAATTTGAGAGCTATCATATTAACTAACCAATAATTTTGGTTGGTTTTACAGAACATTCGAGTCATGCGAATATAGACCATCATTTATTACTTTTAATAATAGAAGTAAACATATAAATAGTATCTTGAATTAATTACCAACCAATCAACCAACAAACAAACCGAAAATATAGAGAACGACGACAATTTATAAATCATAACTTGGCAATGTACACATCATCATCATCATCATCATCATCATCATAATCTTTCTATTTGTTTTTAGAGTAGCATATAGAAACCATTATTATTATTATATATTTTATAATGAAACCATAAAACAAAGTAAACGAACTGGAAAGATTTGTGATATCGAAGAGATTTGCGATGCATGAAAAAATCGACTTGAATGACAACGATAATCCGATACCTCGTGACCAAGGCATACCGACTTTAGCAACAAACCAACAAGTTGTTGATCATGAGTGCGATTATAGAATCTCTTTTAATATCTTGTTGTCTAGAATGACGATGACTCTTGTCTCTTTAAGTATGTGGTAACCACGTACAATGATTATTGTTACTCCATCTTGTATAATTAACTCTAGAGGTAACATAGGCAATTTATGAGTTACTTGATGAACTGAAGGAAGGAGAAAGTGTCCCTTCAGGAATTGATTTTTTTATTTATTTTTTTTAATTATTTTTTTTTTTACAAAAAAGCTGATGATCATCAGGAAAAGATGATCGAGCACAGTCAGAGAGGCTTTTTCTTTCGATCTTTTATTAATAGATACATACCACACACACGTATATATATTTATACACACAAGTCAACCAACTACAACAACAGAGAGTAGAGGAATACATACATACAACTTAGACATGTCAGACTTTGAAATTGATGATAAAAAGGTTACAGACGAAGAAATCTTTCTTAGACTTGTAGCAAAGAAGCAAAATGATGGATTACGTATTGTTTTGATTGGTCCACCAGGCTCTGGAAAGGGTACTCAAGCACCAATCATCAAAGAAGACTATAGCGTATGCCACCTCTCAACTGGTGATCTTTTGCGTGCTGCCATCGAACAAGGCACTGAACTTGGCAAGCAAGCCAAGGTTATCATCGATCAAGGTGGTCTCGTACCAGATGAAACTATGATCGGTATGATCAAAGAGAACCTTCAAAACCCAGAATGTGGAAAGGGTTTCATCCTTGATGGTTTCCCAAGAACTGTTGGACAAGCTGAAAAGGTATATAATTAGTTTGTTAGTTAGTTTAGAGAGGAGATAATATTCTATCGCGATCATAATATGTTTAGTTTTATTAACATTTTATTGTTATTTCTTTCTATCATCTTTTAATTTAAATTAGCTCGATAAAATGTTAGATGATCAAGGACAAAAGATTGATCATGTATTTGACTTTTTCATTGATGATTCATTATTGGTTCGTAGAATTACTGGTCGTCTCGTTCATCTCGCCTCTGGACGTAGTTATCATCGTGAATTCTTCCCACCAAAGGTTGACATGATTGATGATGTTACCGGTGAGCCACTCATACAACGATCAGATGACAATCCAGCTGTCTTGCAAAAGCGTTTGGCATCATTCCACTCCAACACCAAGCCTGTTCTCTCTTACTACAAAGAAAAGAACATTCTTTCTGTAATCGACGCTTCTAGATCAGCTACTCATGTATCAAACCACATCAAATCAATCTTCTTTAATTCTCTTCACTTCCCATCCAACAAATTCCCAATCGTTGTAGACAAATCTAAAATCTTACCTTTTATCCAAATCCTCCAACAAAAACAACAACAATCCGCAAAACTCTAAATTATTTAATTTAATAAATAATAATCGTAACCATTTAAAAAAAGGAATATAAATAACAGTAATAATAATAATATCTTTTGGGATTAAAAAAAAAAATACTAAATTTATTAAAGAGTTAATAACTTTCTTTCAATTTGAGATCGATTCCCAACGACATTGGTATGGAGGGTAACGAAGAAAAGGTGGAGGAATTTACAGGGTGGTTCATATTTGGTGATTGTGGTGGTTGTTGGATAATACGATTGAAACTGTGATTGTTGTTGTTGTTGAGTGTAGGTGGCAACGTACCGTCACTGTTGTAAAATAAAGATGACGAATGATTGGCGGTTTGTGGTTTCCTAGGTGTTAAATTGTTGTTGTTGTTATTGTTTGGTGAAGCAAACGAGATGGGAGATGAAGGAATGGGTGGTGATGATGATGAAGATGTGATAGAGGTCGATGAAGGTGAGAATATAACGTGCATGGGGTCATTGTGAAGTGGGAACATGGTTGTAGTGGTTGTGGTAGTTGTAGTAATGGTTGATTGGGTTTGGTAATGCGAAGGTTGGAGTATTGGGTTTGTAAGATGATTCAAAATAGGTGGGAATCCAACCCAACTCCATTGGAAGGGACTGTGATGGTTGACGATGGGTGAATCATCTTGCACCTGTAGTTGAAAGTTGGAAGAGTCGTGTTGAGTTTGTTGTGAATAGTGATCTGCTGTTGTTGTTGGAGGTTTTGATTTGGGTGGAGATACAATCAATTCAGGAGCCATCTTTGGTTTTGTTTCCTTTTGAACAGTGATGTCTTGTTCAAAGGGGCTGTTGTGGTTGTTGTTGTTGTTGGAAACGCCATTACCAAATGGAGAAAAGGTTTGGAATAAATTGTTCAAGAAATTGTCATGTTGTTTTAAATGTGGGTATTGGTTGGTAAATTGGAAAGCGTATGAATTTTGATGGTTTAAAATCGATGATCCCATGGTTGGTTGAGGTGGTGAGATCGGAGGTAGGTTTGGTAAAGAAAATGGTAGAGGAAGAGGTGGTGCAATGATCGGGTTGTTGGTAGATGTAAAATCATTTCTCGGTGAGAGTAGAGTCGATTGGTTTGATGATCTTGGTGAATGTAAAATTGGATTTTGAATTGAATTTTGAATTGGAATATTGATTATACTAGGTGAGGAAGGTTGAATGATCGGATTTGTTCTTGGTGAACCAATTTGAGTAGATGGCGATGATAATGATGATGTTGTTGAGGGAAGGGATCCATTTAATTTTTGGATTGTTGGATTTAAAGGTGTTGGTTGTGGTTGTTGATTCATTTTATCATCGATTCTAATTATATTAAAATTGGTTGTTTTGATTTGTAATTTTGTTGTCTTTTTGTTTGTTGGATTGTTGTTGTTGTTGTTGTTGTTTGGTATTTCTTTCTTTGGTGTGGTAGGTGTTTGGTTTATGGTTGGTTGTTTGTTTTCATTATTATTGTTGGTAGTGGTGACTGTTACCGGTGATTGAGATGTTGTTGGTTGTGGTGGTTGCTTCTTCTTTTTAGATGTTTTAGATAATAATTGTTTTGATATATTATCCAATTCAACAATAAATTCATTTGAAAATGGTGATGGTGTTTTTTCTGATGTTGAAGGTAAAAAGATAGAGTTGATAAAAATAGATATTCTGTTATTTACAAAGGTGTCATTGACTTGAAGCTTCTTTTTGAGTGTTTGCAAAACATTTTGTTGAATGATTGTAGTGATATCGTCGGGTGTATCTTGATCCAATTTGTCAATGAGTACCTTGACATTGTCCAAGTGACGTTGGAGAATGGTATCGGTCGAAGTCTTGGGCACACCAAAATAGTCGGCGAGTACTTTTTTGATGTTTTGTCGCCAGTCACACTGTTCCTTGTAGGCACTGAGGATTGCTCGTATATTGTCAGTGACCTTTTCCACTCTGGACAAAAGAGCATCCATTTGTTGTTCGACCTGTGGTGCGTCATTGATAACAGTAAATGTTAATTTACGACAAGATTGCAAGCGGTCATTAAAACCAGTCAACTTTAGCAATGTCTCTTCATACTGAGCCATTGACATGGTAGACAAGAGTTGGTTCAAGTAATTTGTACATTCTACCATCAAATCGTCTCTCTTTTTCATTCTATCCTTTTCTTCTTGCTTCTTTTGTTGTTCTTGTCTATCTCTTGCTTCTTGTTCCCTCTTTAACTTTTCTCTTTCTTTTTGTTGTTGCTTTAATTTTTGTTGGTCATTATGGTTGTTGGATTGAGGTTCAACCAATTGAGTTGATTGATTTTCAATATTGGTGACCAGAGGAGGATTTGAAGTTAAAGTAATTGTATCCATTTGTTGTTGTATGTTATTTTGTTGTTGTTGTTGATTATCCAATGATAAATTATTATGCGTATTTGATGTTGTAGATGTGGATATTGTATTTGTTGTTGCTGCTGTTGTTGATGATGACGTTGATGATGTTGTTATTGTTGGTGTTGTTATTTTATATTCCAATTCTCCACTATATTCACCAACACCAAATCTATTTGTAGCACGAACCCTAAAAGAGAGAGTTTGGTTCAAATCAAGTGGAGGAGAGGTATAAAAGCAATTATGTCCTCTATAAATGACGCCATAGACTATGTCACCACCACCATCAATTCTTTTCATTTCGAGACAATATTCTTGTACTTCTGAAACACATGACCATTTCAACAGCACTTGTTGAACATTTGGATCTTTTGATGTAATTATTTTATCAATATATGGTTGTGTACACTGTTCTGGTGGTTTATCTGAAAAAATGAATTAAATAAATAAATAAATAAGTAAATTAATATCATTTCCTATTATAATATCCTAGTTTGATTTGTATTGATTTGTTTTTGTTTACATACTATTTACATTAAAAGATTGTGTAAAAATAAAAGATTTTGATGGAATATTTAACAAGGAATAAAAAGATAAAGGGGATTGAGGTGAAATGGTTGTAGAGTTGTCATTCAACAGATACTTGTCTGCTGACTGATTGCTTGTAGTGTTTCGCATCATCTGATCCATTACAGGTGATGAAGAGAGTAATGTAGAGTCAACAGCAGCAGATGTAGTAGCAGATGTAGTAGCAGACGCCAATAATGAACCATCGTCTACCAAGTTATTGGAAAAGGTCATAGAGTCTAATTTTTGTTGATGAATATTGTTCTTTTGGTGACTACCATTGATATAGGATGTACGTTTCTGTGTATCCATTATCGATAGATAGGCATCACGTAATTCATCGAGTATAAATGGATTACTAATCTCGTTCTTTTTCATTTCAAATTTGTTCTTTATGAATACACTAATCCTGTCATTCAATGTATTCTCTTCTTCAAATAATGATTGATACTCTGATTCATACTTTATGATTGATTGTTTCAATGTATCAAACTTTTTTGATAATATTTCTTGATTATTCTTGTTTAAAATTATATTATTATTATTGTTATTGTTGTTGGTGGTTGTTGTTGTTGTCGTAGTTGTTGTTGTTGTTGTTGTTGATGTAGATGATTGTTGTTTATTGTTATTATTATTTTTAGTTGTTAAAATGGTAGTAGTAGCTTTATCCTTTTGATTACTACTACTACTACTACTACTACTGACACTACTGATATTATTATTATTATTATTTACATAATATACGCTTAATAAAAGATTGATATCATCTTTTTGATCGGATATGTGGTCATTGATAGCTTGTAATTTTGTGTGTGTTTCAATGAGAGAACTCATCAATGCCTTGAAATTGTCGTCATATGATAGATGAAGTAGTTGAAAAGATCTTAACAAACTCCAATCCAGTAATGCTCCCAATGTTAGATTATAATTACTATTGCTTCCACCATTACTACTACCACTGCCACCACTACTACTACTACTATTGCTGCCATTTCCATTGCTCTTTTTACAACTCGTACAATGTTCTTCTTGTTGTTTTACATTTGTTGAACAATTGTTATTATTATTATTATTGTTCGTATGATTGTTATTGTTGTTGTTATTATTGTTATTGTTATTTGAAGAAGAAGAAGATGATGATGACGAAGAGGAAGAAGAATTCTTTGACGACTTCATTCTTCCTCTATTCTATTATAGGTAATATCTGATATGAAATCTGTTTGATTGTAATCAATAATGATGATGGTGATGAAGAATGAAAGTATATCTATCTATCTATCTATCTATCTATATATCTATGTATTGAGTTTGTTTTTGTATTGTGTAATAACAAAGTAACCACAGTGGTTGGGTGTTGTGCTATGATGATATTTTTTTGTAAAGTAAGAATGCCCCTCTTCTAACAATAATAATAATAATAAAGAGAGAATGAGAAATGAATGTGGTGGTGATATACTGAAGTGTGAATATATAACTTTATATTATATCTATATTTGTGTGCAGCAAAGCGCTACAACGATGATTTGATTGATGATGAATAGGAGGATGAGATTTTAGTTTCTCGATTGAGGAAAAGGTTAAAAAAAAAAAGTTGGAAATAAGTCGATTTGGATTGAATATTTAATACTAATGAAAACAAACTGTAGTGTAATAGACAATCTAATAGTATATAATTAAAAATTATTTATCATATATTTCGAGTAATTAATAATTTTAATAATAATAATAATAATAATCGTTTCCAACAAAATATTGATTCATTAATTAAATTAATCAAGATTATTAAATTTTACAACCAATGTCAAAATAATAATAACAACTGAACAACAAGTCAGTTTTAACTAATTCTTCTTGAAGAAAGATATGATACTACGCAATCCTATTGCATTACGATTAGTGTCATCATCAACAACAAGTACCTTCTTATCAACATATCAGAGATCATCTGCATATGATCGAACAACAAACCTTTTTTCAACAACATTAACATCAACAACACTACCTGATCGATTGTATAGTACAGCATACCCAAATACTTTAACATTTAAACCACCAACAACAGACCATAATAATAATAATAATCATCATACCAACTGTAATCATAAACATCAACAACAACAACAACAAACAATGACATCAAAGATTAATTATTGGTCCAATCTAATCATTTACAATGAAGATACGAATCAATGTCTCTATGTAAAGAATAAAGATGAAAGTGGTACAACATCATCATCATTGATGGGAATTGTATCTAAATTCTATTCCTTTCCTTCTATTCAATCAACTATACCACCACCACCATCGAATCAACAACAACAACAACAAGTAACATTAAATCAACATCAAATGATCAACCAACTGCCATTTGAAAGATTGAACAAACAATTATTTAATAATCAAATATCAAAACAACAAGTATTCTACCTTGGATCATTATTATCACCCTATTACGTATCACAATTGGCTAGAGATCATGTAGATTATTATCTATTTATTCTCTCAAACAAGGATAATAATGTACAAGACTTGCTTACCGTTGATGATAGAGTGTCTCGATTCATGTTGGATGGAAAAGAAAATCAACAACCTTTATCTTCTCCTTCTTCTTCATTTTCGTTGGAATGGGATACGCCTACCAACATTGTAAAAAGATTTAGACAATATCGAGGAGAAGGGGAAGGAGATAATCAACAAGGTGTATTGATTACACCAGAGACAATGTATATGAGTAAAGTACTTGGACTTTTCGAAAAGGATCGATTCAACTTGCTAGCAACACCAGAAGATCAAGATAGTTTGGGAACAAAGATATCGTTAGAGTATGCACCAGGAATAGAGTCTATTCCAATGTTATCTAGTACATTGATGCCATACAACTCTACCAATTTAATCATGTCATTGGATCAAGGACATGTTTTATTGGTTGACCCTGGAGCAAACAGTCACGGTCAAACACATCTAGAGAGAATCATAAAAACAAGACTATCCAACTACCTTGACTTGCACGGTGCCAACCTCTCGATATTCATCACTCACGAACACACAGATCACTGGGAATCTCTGCCATTGATTGCCAGCCACTTTTCAAAAGCCAAGGTTATTGCACATCAAGAGACGTTGGATGAACTCGATATGAACGGTGTGGCACCCGAGTTGACAAGAGTAGCTGTCCGCGGAAAACCTTTGGACAAGGCACATGAGCCAGACACGACCAACGAAATTCACATTGGGAGCAAGGTATTTGATATCGTTGCCACCCCAGGTCACACTAGTAATTCACTATGTCTCTTTGAGAGACAATCAAAGACGCTCATTGCAGGTGACCATATTGTAGGATGGGGATCATCTATACTCGACTTTAGAACAGGTGATATGAAACAATACCTAAACAGCACACAAGGAATGATTGATCACCTCCAACCATCGATTGCCATGCCTGCACATGGCCCTACCAGCTACACACCGATCCAACTTTTACAATCATATATCAAACATCGTCTCTTACGTGAACAATCTATTCTACAAGCCTATCAATCTGGAAAAACATCACTTCGAGATATTTTATCCGTAGTATATAAAGACATCGATCCAAAACTAAATGATATGGCAATGGGTAATATTCAATTACATTTAAAAAAACTTAGACAAGATAATGTGATTGATAATCAATAATCAATAATAATAAAAATAAGAATATGATCAATTGTAAAGAATTGTATTCTTAATTATCGGTCAGTAGGTTTTTTTCGGGATAACCGGTTTCGGGTTATTTTTTGGGTTTCATGTGAACCTTGGAAATACAAGAGCAACAGTCTTTTAAACTAAAGATTGTTGACTTGTATGAGACAATTTCAAAGATAAGTTAAAAGAATATTCTCTTTAAAGAACTAAAAAGGTCACGGGAAATTCATCTTGTATACCAAAGATGGATCTCTGACGCAAAAAAGATTCTTATTACATAGATATTTTCCAGATTTTTTATTTTCATCAACAGTTCTGCGATTTTGGTCGTTGGTCAGACCCAAGCAGAGCCTACAAACCGTTCAGTTTAAAAACACAAGCTATCGTCGACATCATCAAAACTAAAATCGTTCTTTATTCTTTTTAATCATCTCTCATCTCATCTCTCCTAATCTTTTTTATATATAGATAGATACATTTATATACATTACATATTCATATATATATAATTAGAATGAAATTTCACATTTTATTATTATTAATTGTTATTATTGGTTCTGTTATTGCCAAACAACAATACATTCAAATTAAAGAGTATAGTGACAAGTGTAAGAGTGTTTACACTGAAAGATATGCTCTTACAGACACTTGTCTTTATGGTACCCATTACAGTTGCAATGGATTGTTTGAACCAAAGGTAACCATCAGTCAATATGTTGACATGGAATGCAAAGAGTCAACCAAAAACACAACCTATCCAACTGGAAAGTGTGTCGATGATGTCTACTTTTCCGATGCTGCCTCTGTAGAATTCAAATGTGTCGACAACTTTGAATTGCCAGACGATACATTTACCACCATCTTTTACAACGGTACCTGTGATGACAACTGGAAGCAAACCACTGTCTTTTATACCGAATCAGTTTACCAAAATACTTGCATCCAAGATATCGGTAACAACACCTCTTATTATATTCTATGTGAAGACCAAAGTGACAGAAACTACTTTAGATACAATTTCGATGACCAAGATTGCTATGGTATCACTCCAAATGCCACTGAAGTTCAAACTTATCCAGCTTGTGGTACTTATCTTTCTACCACTTATTATTGCACATAAATTTAAATTATTTAATATTAAATTAATAAATAAATAAATAAATAAATAAATAAATAAATATAAATAAAACATACATTAATATTTATTCACCTTTAAATTAAATTGAGTCATTTTTTAAAAGTAGGGTGGTTCTAATATTGGTTGGCTGGTCGAGACCTCGCGAGGTCTAACTACTCCACACACACACACAATGTTCTCTCTTTAATTATGTCTGCGGTACTACCAATTTAAAACCAAACACTTTAAATGGTATACCAAATATGAATGTTCTTACTTGTTACTTACTTACTTAATACAACCTATATAAATTATGAATAAACAATTACTTGGATTATTATTATTATTTTTAGTTAATATTTTCAACCTGATTGAAAGTAAACAACAATTGCAACAACAACAACAACAACAATATATTAAAATAGAACAATACAATAAAGAGAGTGAAGCCAATTGTTCAAATGGAGCAGCAGTAATAATCCAATACTTTCTTGCTGACAATTGTCTCGTGGGACAACATTTTAGTTGTGTCGGTAACAATGTGATTTACAAATCATCACAGAATGTAGATTGTCGACACTTTGATAAGACCATCGTATATCCCATTGGAGAATGTGTCAATAATGGTGAAGATAACTACAACTCTATCTTTTTGTGTGTCGACAATTGGGAGTTTACTAGTAATTCTCTAACATCTATTGGATATAATGGAACCTGTGAAGATGATAATGATAAAGATGATGATAAAGATAAAGATGATGGTCTGTTATGGAAAGATAAAACTATACTACTAGTCAATTCAATAATACAAGGTGCATGTTTACGAAATGATAATAAGACATCGTATATGGTCACATGTCAAGACAATGACGATCGTTACTATCAATACTATGAATTCGATGGTGTAGGTGATTGCTCTATCAACTCGACACTACAAAGAAAAGAGAGATTTGTACATGACTGTAATTCTAAAGAATCTTATATTACTCTTTGCACTTAAAATAACTATAAATATAACTTAATGTTAATAATAATAATAATAAAACTTTTCTTCAAACAACATTGAAAGTCTATGATGATCATGTGCTGCGGTCCCTTTAATTATTATTAATTTTTGTTTTTTATTTTTAAAATATCATCATCCTTTGCTTCAAAGATAGATAGGATAAATAGAACATATTAAGGTTGTAAAGAATACAAATATTCGAGAGACACGATAGAGAGCGATAAACATACCAATTTGAAAAGAGGAGGATAATTAATGATGATGACAACCACAATGATACACTACTCTTAATTAGAACATCATCATAATCACACTGCATCATCATCATCATCGACACTATACCTCTACTTCTACATCCACTCTTCATCATCATCATCATCACCATATTTATTATATAGAACACAATCAAATAACAAATCAAATCAACCAACAAACATGAAATTAAATATAGATCTTTTAACAACGATCATTCTTGGTGATTGTAATAGTAATAATAATAATAATCAAAGTAAACAATCAGAGTCAACTGTTGCTGTAAATAGCACACCATCAACTTTATCTAGTTCCGATTTAAAAGATACAGTCGTTGCAACTACCAATAATCAAGAGGAAACAATAACCATAGCATCATCAGATAGTCTTGATCAAAGTAACAACAACAATGATACAAGAAACATTGTAACAGATTTAACAACTACAACTACAACAGCAACAATAACTAATGAAACACAACACAAACAACAACAACAACAACCAAATGTAAATAGTAATAATAATAATGATAACAACAATAACAACCATGATTCAATACAACAACAACAAACCAATATAGAACAAGATAATTCAAGTCACTTGCCATTTGTACAATTTACTTCGACTTTGGTGCCTGTATCTTCTTCATTTTCACCATCACCTGGATCATCTATACTTTCTGGATCACCTATAACCTTTTCTCCGATATTACCTGGTCATCTTCATAGTTCTCTCAACAATAGTGTCGATTATGAGATAAGTAGTGGCGTTCAATATCATCATACTGGCGGGTCTGGACACAGTCGGTTAACTGATAATATCCTTTCCCCGCCACAATCTCCCCTACAACATTCATCATCTTCTTCATCCCATTCTTCAACTACGCCACCTGTTGTATCACCAAGATCTCCTATCATCACCTATCCAGTAGTTTCTGGAATTGGAAATAATTATAAAAATGATTCTCAAACAAATAATAATAATCAAAATAATCAAAATAATCAAAATAATAATAATAGTACTAACATTACTTCAAATAATAATCAACATAATAATAATAATACGAATAATAATACGAATACGAATACGAATAATACGAATAGTAATAATAATAATAATCCAAAAAATACAACGCCTAGAGGATTATCATCAAGTACAGGAAGTAATAGTAATACAACAAATATAAATAATCAAAGTAATAATAATAATACTAATAATAACAAAACAACTACACCATCAACACCAAAAGGCAAACAAAATGTATATCCAAAGCCACCAAATCACCAGAATCATCGATTAAAACAACGTACATTATTTGAAAAATTGTATACAGAGAGTGGATTTACTTCGGCAAAATCATGGTATGAACGAAATACAGAGCACAGCGAGTTTACATTGGGAGAGCAACAGTTTACACTCTTTTTGCGATTTTTGACCGATTTTTCCACCTTTGAAATACTGGATATCTTTGATTCGTTGGACAAGGATGATATTGGTCGTGTTGGTTTTGAAGAATTCTTTTTATTGGTTGCACTCTTTGCAAGTAGAGAATGTGGTCAGACTACAAAATTCCTCTATCAACACAGTAAAGTCATGTTTGAAATCGTATCTGGTCGCAGTTGTATTCGGTCCGATGGAACTATTGATCCCTCGTACACTATCAACTTTCATCGATTCACCAAACTCGGACGTGTCCTCGGTATACCCGAGTATCAAATGCTCAACAGTTTGGAAAATTTCAATTTAACCATATTTGATCGTATCAATTTCGAATCATTCCTTCTCTACTATTTTGTTATCCTAGACGAGTGGGATAGATCATCTTACACTTTTCTTAAAGTTTTATTTTATGATCAAGATTATACAGAAATAATTGATGATTCTCAAAGTAATAATTCTTCTTCTTTATCTTCTTCTTTAAATAATAATAATAATAATAATATAAATAATAATATAAATAATAATATAAATAATTATAATAATAATATAAATAATAATAATGGTATAAAATCTTCAAATGGAATTCAACAACCTCCTACATCACCTCAACAACAAAAAATTAAAAATATTACGATAACAAGTACAACATTTAAAGATTTTTCAGAGGAATTTAAAAAGTTTATAGATAGTCTAAGTAAATTGGATATGTCACAAAAAGAAAATCTCATCAGCATGCTCATTCAACATGGAATCTTTGGATTCGATGATGCTAGAATGGTACCCATCGATCGATGGGCAGACATGATTAAAAAGAATTTAACCAGAAAAATATTCCTAAAGGCTTTATACGATAGATTACAACACCTTCCACTTCATATTCAACAATTAAACCAACAACCACAACAACAATCAAGTATACCTTATCAACCAGGAATACGACATCAACAACAACAAAATAATAATAATAATAATAATAATAATCATTCACCAAATCAAAATTTCAAGGCACTTAAAAGAATATTTAACTTTAAATCATCTTGATAGTCATAGCCATAGTTGTACATATATGAAATAATTTCAATAAAGAGAGAGATTTCTTAAATGTTACTCAAAAATATTTTCAGCAAAGTGATACATCCCGATACATCCATGCTTTTGAAAAAAATGTTTCATAGTTTAACTATTTATACACATTTCTAGAAAATGAACAACGAAAAAATACCATTCATTTTACAATCAAATATAATTTATTTAGCATGTACCTATAGAGATAGATATCAATCTACTCATAGATTACATATTAAAGATCTATTCAATACTGCCAATGTTTCGAAAAGATGGAGAGCATCGGTTAAACGGTTAGTTGTACAATACTTTCCTCTGGTGTTCAACCCAAGTCACTCTCTTCGAGAGTATAAAAGACATCTTTCAAATCCTTTATGTCTATATGACCACATTCAAGTGATCAAACCAAACTTGCAAAAGGGTTCACAAACGATGCCACTCGAGAGTAACCTAAAGTACATAACAGAGAATGACAAAAGAATGCAATGGTTTCAAGGTTCATTTCTCAATCAACTAGAGACAATAGATTTGAATTACCTAAACATCAACATTCTATCAAGTGTTATGCCCATCTTGACATTGGTATTTCAAAGTCCTCTACCAAAGTTAAATGCCTTGTACTTTCCAATTCAAAATACATCAGTCAAAGAACTTGTCATGCAACCAATACCAACATCAATACAACTACAACAACATCAACAACAACAACAGCAACAACAACAACAACAACAAATAATACCAATACAACCATTAGAAATAGTAGAAATATTAAAAATCAGTTTAAATGATTTTGATTGGTGTCCTATTCTTTGTCATTTCAAACAACTGTTGGTTCTGGATGTTAGTGTCGTGAAAAGAGACTATTCAATCAATACTCTCTTTTCAAGTATCCCACAAACAGTATCTAAACTAAAGATATGGTTTGCTAGAGATACTACTCAATCTGAGATTCAATGGTGCTTGTTAACTCAATCAATAGAGATATTACAATTACCCGATCATACAGAACCGACAGCATCATTGATTCAATACCTTTCAAAGAATAGTAACATTCAAGAATTGAATTATTTGTTGCCAGTAGATACGTCCTTGTCATTGGATCTTTTAAAAACAACAAAGATAAAAGACATCAAACTACTGTTGGGGTCATCCATTCAAAGCGAGTTTCGTAATTCCACTCTTTCTTCAACAACAGAAACCATCAACATTCAACTTTATCTTCAAGGTTTCTCTTCATTGCTATTTAGTGATTTACTATTATCAAGTTATTTGCCCAAACTCCAAACCATCAGCATCGACTTGGTATCAACCACAATGCCACCAGAATGTCTGTTTGATGTATTGATTGGATTAGTTCAAAAATCGAGTACATTACGAGAAATAAGACTAAAGATGCCTTCTCCTTCATTTCAATTAAACCAAAAGTTCTCACAGTCTTGGCCAACTTGGCATCCATTGCTCTGCGCAGCCATCCAAGATAGCAAGTCTATGAAGAAATTAGTTTATGTGGACCTAAATAGCAAGTTGATACCATTGGGAGTCAAACATCCCTTGCTGGAAAACTTAAAGAAATCAGAATTTGAAATATTAAACACAAATAATGTAATCATAGATATGACAATGTTTAAATATAAAATAATAAAGTGATATGGTAATAATAATTAATTTCTATTTTTAAAAAAGATTCAATGAATGGATCACTCTCTGATATTTTTTTTGAACTTTGAATAAATATTAAGGCGCCTTCCAATTTTTTATCCACCCGGAGATTGGGCTATCGGAATGATTTTTTTGAATTAATATCCTTCAAAGGGTTTTCTGCCACTCTGCGCAGTTGTCCAAGAAGCTCTTTGTGTCGTACCTTTTCGCCCTCCTTGTCAACTGGTAAAATAAGGAGTGAGTACGTTGGTTGCTAGCTTGTCTAGATATTTGATTATCCTATAATATTATTGTTATTATTATGTATTTTATTGTTGTTTATCAACCCATTGTTGATCACCATTAATCTGATACGTGTTGAACACAAAAAGATTGATTTCTATATTTATTTTTAAATTCTCCCAATCGATACATTTATGTGTATATATCTATCAATCATAGAAAGAAAAAGCATAAATCAATCATCGTTATATAAGAGTACAGTCATCACACGATCACAATCATTCATTCATCATTCATTCATTGCTACACTTGCCTTTTATATTTGTTTACCACTAATACATACACAATTTTGCTTTAAAGTACCCCCTAAACTTTAGATTAAAGCGATACACCCTCCACCACATTATTATCCATACTACCCCCATCTACTTAACAATTCATTTTCGAATCAATAACATTAATAGAATCATATTAAATTAGGAAGCAATCAAATTAGATTCCTAAAAATAATAATTGAAAAAAAAGAATATTATTCTGATTCTGGTAGCAGAATCAGTCAACCATCACTATTTATAAACCAAAAAAAAAAATAGAAAGAAATATTAGTATTTTTAAAAATAATATGAAATATCAAATAGATAATATAGTTGTGCTATTAGTTGCATTATTTGCAACGATTTGCATAATTGATTTTCCAACATCAAATGCTCAGTATTTTGACCCAACTGCAAGATGTGAACCCTATGCTGGATATCCAGAATGTAGAGATAGATTAAAAAATCCAAGTATGTAATAGAAATTAATTAATTAAATCATCATGAATGATTAATCGCTAATAATATAGATTTAATTTTCTACTATAGATTCAGTATGGGTATCAGAAACTATTACACAAGAATTATTGTATACCAATTTATCAACGATGCTTGGTTCGATGCAATTTATGCCTCCTTCATGTGCCAATGAACATACCTTCAAGTTACTATGTAACCAGTATTTCCAAGAGTGTGTAGATGTTGTCGTTTCAGTCAATGCCAATATATCGGTGGCCTTATTTAATAAGCAATGTAGAGATGACTGTATACGTGGGTTGGCTGATTGTCCAATCGACAAGAGTTGTGCAGACCTAGTTCCCTATTACAATGTTTGGGAATTTCCAGAAAAGGAAAACACATTCAATCTATCATTGGTAGGAGGGAATGATTTTACGATTCAATGTTTTGCAACAGACTCTATTATTACAAATGGAGGTGATATTCCTTGTCCTCCACCATTCTATCTTAGAAACTCAACCGACAGACAAGCCGATATTGACGCAGGATACATGTTTATCCAAGATACTAGATGTGTTCTTCCATGCCCATCGCCATTCTTTTCTCAGTCTCAATGGGACCAACTCTCAAATATGGCCTATGTCCTAGGAACAATCTCATTTATTACCACTCTTTTCAACATATTTACCTATGGAGTACTCAATCGTAAATATGACAGACATTCTATATGTATCATTTTCATGTCATTTTCATTTTGGCTTGTCATGTTGACTGATGTAGTCTTTCTCGGAACAGGATGGGAATTGAATTGTCCAGAACCAGATAGATATGGTAGACAAAGTGATGCTGGATGTGCAAGTACTGGTATTATTTTTCAAGTATGTTATCAACAAAAATATTTAATTCTAGAATTTAACTTTTATAAATATTAATTTTTTTATCTTTAGTTTGGTGTAGTTTCAGCAATTATGTGGTGGTCAACAATGTCATTTGATTTATGGATCGTTTTAAAAAAGGTAAAGAATACCAAATCATATGAAAAGCTATACATTATTGTTATCAATTCAATAGCTTTGATTTTAACATTGGCACCATTGTCAAAGCAACAATATGGATACAGTATTGCTGGTCTTGGTTGTTGGATTTTAGAAGATAATTGGTTAAATGGAGTATTTTGGGGTCCATTATCTGTATGTATAATTCAAAAAAAATAGATATTTATTTATTTATAATTTTTAATATTAATTTAATTTTAATTGATTGATTTTTTTAGGTATGTTTATTTGCAGGTATATCATTTATAGTTTTAATTCTTTATGAAGTATTCAAAATTGTAAATAGAGTAGACACTGGTAAAAAGAAATCAATGAGAATTTTAAAGTATAATTTGAAACCTTTTCTCATTATTTTGTGTCTATTTGTTGAGTTTGCCTATATGTTTGGATACCATTTCTACACCCAAGAGAATATGGACAAGTATGAAAAAGGATTGGAAGATTACATTATTTGTGTTGTTACAGGTGGAACCGATTGCACTGCCAATACTATTCCATTTGGAGCACACTTTGTTTTCCTTTTCTTTATTAGGCTCATTGGTATCGAAGTAATGGTATTCTATGGTCTCAATAGAAGAGCAAAGAAAATATGGATGCAATCATTTGTTTTTAATAATAGATTCTTTACCTTTTCATTCCAATCTACCAAATCAACAAGTGGTTCGAGTAAAGAACAAAATCAAAAACAAAATAGTGTAGAAATGAAAAAGGTTTCATCAAGAACTGAAGAATCTGATGTTTCTGATAATCAAAATAATAATAATAATCAAAATCAAAATAATAATAATAATCAGATGACATTAAATGTGGATGGTGCCACTGATAATTTGTAAATTATATCCATCATTATATCAATCATTCCCAAAATTTGTATATTTTTAAATAAATTATTATTATACACCTTTCTTTGTACAATAATTTATTTGATAAAAGTCAAGATTGCAGATCTTAAGTTATCCAATGATTTTTCTTCTTCTTCTCCCAACTTCATTACAACAGCAAAATGAGAACCTTGAGCATCAGTGAATGATTCAACATTGGTGTATTTGCATTGTTGGCTGAGATGAGTTACAAAGTTTGATGATTGTGGTGGGTTGACCAATTGGTCAGTTGGTGCATGTACAATTAACCATTTAAGTGATGCGTTATAATCTGAACGACCATGTGAAACTATTTGTTGTGGTGCCTCCCAATCCGAAGATGAATTGAATACAAACTCAATCTCTGAGATGTAGTCTGGATAGTCACGAATGAGCTGTGAGATATCATAGATGCCCTGAATACCGATACACGATCTAATTGTGTATGGAGATGATGGAGTAAGGTAGTCTGTTGGTTTCAAAGCAATCATTGAAATCATATGAGCACCACAACTATGACCAACGAGATGAATGTTATTGGAATCGTAACGATAGTCTGATTGATTGTCAACCAACCAACTAATAGCTTGTGCCAAATCTTGATTGTGAGTTGGATATCTAACAGGTACTTTATGAGCCTTCTTTGATAGACGATAGTTTACAACGGCTACAACAATACCTTTTGATGCAAAGTATCTACCCATTGTAAGGTAATCAGACTAAATGAATGAATGAATGAATGAATGAAAAAAAGTTAGTATCAAAAGAATAAGGGAACAAAGCATATTATATAATGGTATCTAAATATATACTTTATCACGATCCATCCAAAAACCTCCATGAACATAGACCATCAAAGGAAAGAGAGTACCTGGTTCAACACCATCAAGTGAAGGTTCATAGATATCCATCTTTTGAGAAGAGTGTTGAGTTGCATATGCAATATCATAATAAATAGCTGTCTTGTCCATCTCTCTTTGTAATAATCTTATTTGTTAAAACAAAAGATGAATTCTCAAAAGCATGAACATCCTTAGGTGGGTCAAAAAAAAAAGCAATAAAAATGAATTTAAATTAGAGAGATATTAATCATAGTAGTAAACATCTATGTATACAAATAGTACAATTATCTAAAATACTTATTATTATTATAGTGATGGGCAATGACCCAAAATATTTAGTATAAGATAGATTTTTCAAAAAGACGAATCTAGATCTTTTAACTACCTGTTTCACAGAAATCAATTTCATATTTCATTCCAATTCGTTCAGTACTGGTCGACGACTTCTCCTTTACCAATTCTTCTTATACTATACGTCATCATTATCACACGACTACTGACTACATAACATCCCTTACAAATCAACATTTTATCTTCTTGATCATTATCAATAGTTATAGATTAGCAACAACGATGAAGTTAATAATAGTTATCTATATTTTAGTATCTCTTTTCGGTTTTAAAGGTGTAAGTTTTAATCGTTTATTAACATTCATATGAATGATATTAATTTTCCTTCTTTCTATCTATAGACATTAGGTCAACCAAAATATCTTCAATATATTACTGAAGAGTTTACATCACAAGGCTTTACCTATTCACTTTTGGATTTAGCTGATGGATCAGTTGTTGCAAATGTAACCAATGACAACAGTCACCAATATCAAAACTTTGGTTTCCTAACAACATCCCCTATCGACCAAGATGGAACCGTATTGTTATTTGGCTCAAGTAATGGTCACAACCAAATCAATTCTTTTACTCCAAATGTATGTCGTTATTGAATAATATAGAATTTATTAAATAACTAATATAATCACTTTTGATCAATAGAATAATTCATATAATGCTTTGTATACAACTACCGGTAGTACATATTCTACTTCAATTACACCTCAGCCAGTATATTGGGATGCTACCAACAAAATAGTTTATGGCGCTGGTTATTCTGATTTACAACATAAACCATATGGTCTTGCTGTTGCTATTGGTGTTTATGGATTTGGAAGAAATCAACCAAGGTATGTTTTTTTTGATCGATAATCTTTATCAACAATCACTTACATTATTTATTTATTTATTTAATTAATTATCTATTTAGTCAACCTATTATAATTGCTGTACCAAGTAAATCAGCATTCTATATGTATCCAGTTGGAGCATATGATTCAACAAACAATGTATATTATGTTTATTTTAATGCTGGAAACAATCAAATGATTGCTCAATATTCATTCTCTAGTGGTCAAGTCATCACCAAACAACTACCAAACCAACAACAAACATTCATTGGAGTATCTCAACTATACACCTACAAAGGTCAAATATATCTCTGTCAATCTGTCTATTCACAATCCAATACTATTTGGTCTATTGACTTTGCCAATGCCTCAACCAAACAAATCTACCAAAACGTTGACAAATCAAAGTACCAATTCAACAACAATGTCTTGCCTTTTGTATTTGACCAAGAGACTGGTTTTATTTTAGCATTGAATCAACTAGATCACGCTCTCCTTGTTGATTATATTAATTTGGTTGGCTATCAAGTTACCCATTCATCATTGAATAATGATCCAATTAAAACATTTACAATCGCTGTTTATTCTGAATAAAAAAAAGAAAAAGTAATCATTTCTTATTATCCTATTTATTCTATTTCTATTACTATTATTATTATTATTATTATTATGCCTCTAATTGATATTTTGAATTCTTTAATCTTTCATATCTCCATAATTTATAAGGGAATACAAATAATAGTATTTTGATGACTGTCAAAATAATATTAATCCAAAAATATTTCAATTCATTCAAAGTTAAATACACCAATAAATACTATAATATATATTTAAAAGAAATAATTAGTAAAATATTATAGATAAATTGTATTATCTTTTTTTTTTTTGAAAAGTGACAAACCTCTAATAAACCAATAACAGCTGTGATGATTGAACTTATTCCCATTAATTTTCCATAATGACTGTATCCAAAACTAAATAAAAATAGATGTTTTAATATTGATTGATTGATTGATTGATTGATTGATTGATTGATTGATTGATTGATTTATGAATCTTCTTTATACTTACACTTCTGATAAATAAATAAAAAAATAACCCCAAATAAATACATTTTGAAAGGATACAAAGAAAAAGGTGGCAAATTGTAATGGTTGTGGCGTTGGAATACTAGAAAATACACCAAATAATACTCCAATAATATTGATATAAAATGCATTCATTGCAAGACTAGATTTAAGCATAATAAAACCAACAACTGGAACTAATATTAATCCTCCATTCCATGAATAATTAAATATATCAATATAAATGGATTCTAAAATAAATAAATAAATAAATAAATAAATAAAAAGAAGGCATCCTTTGATTAATATTTGTTGTTTGATAAAATTATTTCTTTTCTTTTTCTTACCAGTGAATAATTCGTTAACAATACCAATATAGAATACAGAATGTAAAGAATTAATACTCATAAATAAACAAATGAGCATAAATTGCCAAGATTGTAATTGTCCGAGTAACGATTTTTTCTTTAGATCATCTTCTTGTTTTTCTTTATCACTGGCACTTAGGAGAGGTGATGAATCTAGAGATTTACTTTGTAATTTATATGATTCATTAACTTGCTGCGACGACGACAAGAATTCTTGGTCTGTCTCTTGTTGTTTTTCTGCACTGACATTGACTATCAATGATTCGTGTTCTACCGCTTCCTCTTGCTCGTCGACTTTTAATTTCGTTCTGGATAATATAAATTCTTCGTATGGTAGATATGGTTTATGATGCATCATAAACAAACTAGGTACCAATAATAGTACAAGTATGATGATATAGTAGAGGAAGAGATTTGAAATTGGAATATCATACTTTTGGGCTAGTATGCTAAACACCTTGAATACAAACGATGATCCAACAAACATTCCAGAAAACGATGAAGATATGGAAGTGTAATAGGAAGGAAATAGGTTTTGTATGTGAATAAGAGATACTTGGCAAGCGGGACCACCAATACCAAGCATTGCAAATGCAACAATATAAAGATTGTCGCTTACCAAATGACTAATATACCAACATATACAACCACCAATCATTATAATTAATGCTACCAATGATGTCCAAATAGGTCCATGTTTATCAAATAGTGCACCACTTAGAAATGCTGATCCAGTGGCTGTAAATGCACCCAATGTATATACTAAATTAAGTCTTAATGATTGATCATTACATGTCTTTAAATAAAATTAGTTAGATATATATATATATATATAATAGTAGTAGTAGTAGTAGTAGTATATATAATAATAGTGTTTTCTATTATACATACAGATTGACCAGGCTTACAAAGATAACTAAATACACCCTGTCTTTCCATCTCTTGTTCAAGAGGTGACCAACCAAATACAATACCAGTAATCAATAACATCTGTATCTCTGCTAGTAACAATAGCCAATATCGATATTTGCCTGTATATATTGATTCATCATAGTTTTGTTTTGATAAACTAGAGAATAACATTCTTCTTCTAACTAGAGATATATATTTATAACCTCTCTCCTCGAATGTATCCTCTTTCTCTCTTGCTCTACTCTACACTACACTACTCTGGTTATCTCTTTTTCTTTTATTAAAAACTATGAAAAATAATAGTGACCGACGGTTAAATGGATTTTTGTTTTCGGTGTTGCTTTGACAAAATAGATATATTGAAATATCCAGATTTAATTGATAATATATATATATATATATTATAGAATGTATTTTGTTACGTGTGTTCAATAAATATACAATGGTTTGTTTTATTTGGGTAATGGAAGGGTTTTTTTTGTTTTTTGGAACCAACAAGAAAGGTGTGAGGAATAATAATCCATCCCACCCCCCCTCTTGGCGGCCTTTTTTTAAACCAATCAAAAATACATAGAGGAGGAGGTTGAAATAAATAGGTGCTATATATGGGTTGTTGTTGTTGTTGTTGTTTGTTGATATATTGTTGTTGTTGTTGTTATTGTTGTTGTTGTTGTTGTTGTTGTTGTTGTTGTTGTTGTTGTTGTTGTTATTGTTTCATTATTATATGATGAATTTATATATATATATATATTTGATTATATTGAATTGGTTGGAATATTATTTTTTAAATCTATTATTATACAAGTAATATTATCATCGGAACCTCTAAAGAATGAATAATCACGTAAACGTTGAGCTGCAATTCTCATATTGGGTGATGCAATTACAATGTCACAGGCAGCTTGATCACCAATTTCATCCCAAACACCATCGCATGCCACAATGATAAATTGGTCTGCTGATTTGTCAGACTCTGTAATCGATAGATGAGGATCTGGTATGACATATGGTTCCATGTAAAAGTCACCTATCGATCTAGACACTGCCAATGTACCATTGACACGAGCAGTATCACCACTCGATATGACAAACCCACCGGCTCTACGTATTCTAGCCTCTTCTTTTTGGTCATTTGGTTTGTGATCAAACGATAGACGAATGGCTCTATTATTTCTACACAAAACGATACGAGTATCACCAATATTTGAGACAAAGTAGTATCGTTCGTTGATTAGGATGGCAGCAGCAGTTGCACCGCAGTACTTTAGTTCTGGTTTCTCGTGTGATATGTATTGTTTAAATTGTAGTGACACCTCGCTGTATGCCTGTTTGAGCCATTGTAGAGGTGGCAGCGATGGATATCTATCGATAAGTGTCTTTAGGATAACGGGGAACCACTCGCATGAATAGGTTGCTGCACGTGGACCGGCGTGTCCATCAAACAATGTGATGAGATCCATGGTGGAAGAACCTGAAAAACAACCTCTAATAGAAAAGGCATCTTCCATGGTTGGACGACGTCCAATCATCTCTGCCATTTCAAAGTTGAATCGTTTGCTTGCCGTCCAAATCAAATCTGCCAAATCACCATTCTTGGCTAGTTTGTTGTGATGGTAGATGAGATGAAGAGAGTTGGTCTTGGTGTTGATTGAAGCTTGACTGCTGCTACGACTCATCGCTCCAGGTGCAGGTGTCTCTGCGCCTCGTGGCGATGAGAGTGGTGACGATGGTGAAGAGGGTGACGATGGATGGTTGTAGAGGTAGATGTCGGGTATGGACGTTAACGAGTTGAATGAAACGTCAAAGATAAATAGATTGGATAGCGTGGCAAGTAACTCGTCAAAGGGGATAGTATCGAGTTGATTACAAGAAAACGATATAACCTGCAAGTTTTCAAGTTGCATAAACTCTGTCCAATCAACCGATTTGAGTAGATTATTGGAGAGATCTAATTTCTCGAGTGAACGACAGAGATAGATGAAACGAGGCACTTGAGCCCATTTACATGAAGCCATCGATAGCTCACGGAGTGATGGAAAGTATTCAACGGTTGGATCGGCAGCACCAATCGTTAATTGCTCATTGCCATTGAGATATAGTTCTTCGAGTGAGTAGTAAGAATCTTTGGGAAAGGCAAGTGCCTTTAGACTTGGATTGTAACCCAAAAACAACTGTGACAATGATGGACAATCTTGCCATATATTGGCTGGAAACTCTTCCAAGTGGTTGTCACATAGATTAAGACAAGTGAGAGATGGTGATTGGCTAAACAAGTTGTTTGGCAATGTTTTCAATTGATTATTAAATAATAGTAATGTTGTCAATTGCTCTAATACCATCGTCGTCGATAATGATGATGATGTTGAACCTTGACCATCAGCTGTAGGAACATTGGGTAGATCTTGTAGACGATTATCAGATAGATCTAGATGGGTAAATGGACAACCAATTGAAAATAATCTTTCTGGTAACTTTGTTATTTGATTTGAACGTATCTTGAAATCACGTAAACTATACAATGAATATTCATTACCATCTTGTTCTTGCTCTTGTTGTTGTTGTTGACCACCACCACCAAATAAACTATCTGGTATTAAAAGTAATCTATTAAAAGATGCATTGAATGTTTGTAAAAGTGTGAGATAACGTAGTTCCTCTGGTAACTCTTTGAGATGATTGTGACTGATATCTAGATTGGTTAGACTCTCTAGATTTCCCAACTCGCTTGGTACTTGATCGAGCAAGTTGTGACGCACTGAGAAAAAGGTGAGAGCACGTAACGTTCCAATCTCTTGTGGTAGATCCTTTAGACAATTGTAAGATAGATCCAAATAGGTGAGTGCTTGTAAATGTTGAACATCTGTAGATATTGCACGTAAACGACAATGTGCCAAATAGAGTGTTGAAATTTGACTATACCAAAACAGTGAAGGTGGTAGATAGTTTTCACCATCCCATCCGGGTGCTGTATTTGATGATAAATCTAATTTGGTCAATGTACTAATATATCCATATTCGGCTGGTAAATGGTTGGGTTGGTGGTCGGTTGTCAAAACAGTCTGTTTTGTTTCTTGACTTGATTGTAATGTTGGTGTTGGTAGAGTGAGATCATCGACATCTGAATGATTAACTATAGCATCTGGAGGAGGAGTAGAACTAGTAGTGGGAGCAGTAGTATCCTCTTTGGCAGGTATCATAAATTGGTTACCTGCCAATAATAGAGTTGTCAACTCTGTCAATGTGCTTATAGATGTTGGCAATGATTTTAAACGATTGTAACTAAAATCCAATGTAACCACTTTACTCAACTCACCAATTCTATTTGGTATCTCTACCAATTTATTCTTGCTAACAATGACTCGCTGAAGATTGACACGACTAACCAAATCTTCTTCATCTAATTTTTCTGCTCCACTACTTGATCTAAAAGAAATTAGAAATAAATTAATAAATAAATAATAATGAATCTAATAATAATAATAATAGATAATAATAGATAATAAACATACTTATCATAAATGATTGAATATAAAACGGAACCAGTTTTTGGAGGTAATTTAAATTGATTACCAGAAGATCTTCTTGATGGTGGTGGCGATGAAGTTGGACTAGAATTCTTTGATGATAATAATCCAACTTCATTTAAAGAGTTGGATTGTATTCCATCGCTGCCAACACCTCCACCGCTACTACTTAGATATAATGATACAGGTCTTTTTGTTGGTGATGTTACATTGTTATTATTATTATTATTATTATTACAATCAGCCAAATCAATTCCTCCACTATTATTCATTTTTGATTTTCTTTTTTGATTTGAACTGTCAACATTATGTTGTTGTTGTTGTTGTTGTTGTTGTTGTTGTTGTTGTTGATGATGATCGTTTGCAGTAGCAGAACCAGAACTAGAACTACTACTATTTAAAGAGTTATCTTTAATCTCTTTGTCTTTACTCTTTGATAGACTACTAAAAAAGGAATCTGACTTTCTCTTTTCTTTGGTTTCTGTCATCTTTTTTCTTTGATTTACTCTTTGTTTTTTTGGGCAAACCTCTAAACCTCTAAAATTCTAATAATTCAATTGTTGTTTGTTGGGTATAGTATACTATAGTTATTGGGATAAATATATTAAAGTGTGACAAAAGATTTGATAATATTTTGTTTAATGGGGAAGAATTGAAATGGTAGTATTTCTGCTATGAAGGAAGAAGGACAGACAGACAGACAGACAGTCTGTGGAATCGATGCTACTACACTTTTTGCAATGGGTGTTGTTGTTGTTGTTGTTGTTGATTGTGGTATTAGTGTGGTGGTGGTGGTGGTGGTTTATCGATGGATGATGATGAGATGAGATGAGATGTGTAATCTACTATCTCTATGAGCGGTGGTGGTGGTGGTGGTGTGTGTGTGCGTACTTGTATAATATATTATTATGTCAATATTGAATAAAAAATATAGCAATAATAATAACTAAAAAGATTATAGATAGATAGATAGAAGATAGATATAGATATACAGTGGTGGATACAAATAATAATAATAATAATAAAGTTGATAAAATCTTCTCTCTTTTCAGTACGATTAGACCAACAACACAGTGATCATACTACCGTTGCCAACTAACTACTGAGAAAGGGTTAGAGGGTTAGGATCAACACCAATTTAAATTCAATTATTATTAACGACACACACTACTTTACTTTAGATATTAAAAGAGTAAAAGGATGCTATTGATGATGATGATTGATGGTGTTGTCGCTGTCACTGTTTCTCTTCTCCTCTCCTTCGTTGTACTAGTACTTTATGCTTTTCCTACGAGATTGATAAATAACCGTCCTGGAATCAAAGCTGCTAAAAAAATCTTTAAATATTTAATATTATTTTTAAATTCAATTTGGGTGCGGGTTTGGTTGTGTCTTAATCTATGGACCTACCATCCCTATCGAGTCTCCTCCCTTCCTTGGTGATCTTTTTTTTTTTTTTTTTGTTTAAACAAAAAGGAAATCGGCGATCAATCTTGATGATCAAGTATGTACGTAGTATCCTTTGGTCGATTCGATTCATAAGAATGTACATGATAAACCCGCTGCTGTTGACCATGGTTCCTGGCGCAGAGGAGGTATTGTTTTGTTTTGTTTTGTTTTGATTTAAATAATATTGTGTCAGTAAATTTATTATTCCTTGATTGGAGTTTCTGAAGGGGTTGTAGTTCCCTTTGCTTCATGTTGGCTCTTTGCCCAATCTGCGCTATCAAAGAATTTCTTATCCTATAAAAGTTGAATGACTTGTTTGTTAGTATATATAATACATATACAGGGTTGTTATTGTTGTTATTGTTGTAAACATACTTTCTTTGCCAATAAAGCTGATTGCTTTGGTAATCTACCGCCATACTTTTCGTAAGCCTTTCTGTCTTCTGGTGACATGTTGTCTAAATTTGGTTGCTGTTGATAGAATAATAATAAAAATAGAATTAGTATTCCAAATCTTGTTGTAATTTGTTCATTGTTCATTGTCAGCTGGTACATACTTCAGTTGAAGTCATTTTATAATTTCTATATGCGTTTGTAATTAATTAATTAATTGTTATTATTTGATATTTAAATTGAATAATAAGATTGAGTAAATTAAATTGTGTAGTTAACTATGTTTTTGGTGGATATGCTATAAATAAATAAATTAAAATAAATTAAAATTAAAAATAATTAATTAAAATTTCTCTATTGTTGTTTTTGTTTCTCTTTCGACAATGGCAGTAGAAGAACAATAATAATAATAATATTTAAAAATAATATTATATTTAAAATAATTATTATTCTTCTTCTAAAAAAATATATTTTAAAATTAGGTCTTTTTTATAACACCCTCTGGTACTACTAACTAAATGATAGATGCAATAATAATAATAATAATAATAATAATAATAATAATAATAATAATAATAATAATAAAATAAAAATAGAGAAAAGTTAGTTATGGACTGAAGTAATCAACTTAGTCTCCTCCTCCCTCTGATATTTAAACAATGTCACCACACCCAACATGTTGAAATGTCAATTATAGGGATAAAGGGAAGTGGGTTGTGTGTGAGTGTGTGTCGGGTGTGGTTGATTTGTATTACTGTTCATTGTGTTTCCTTTTAAAACTCACCACTACCCACTGTCTCTCTCTCTCAATCCTCTCTCTCTCTCTCTCTCTCTCTCTCTTTTCCCTCCCACCGTTGCTTTTGATTAGCTAGCTCAACGATACATATAAATATTCTATCGATAAGGGAATGAGTAGGTTTAGGGTTGAGGAAAGGAAAGAGAGATAGCATAAAAATGAATGAAATAGAGACTCTACATGCACACTCATATCACATGATGATTAATCTTCTTTCTTCTTACCTTGTTGTTGTTGTTGTTATTTGCTTTCTTTCTTTCAAGATGTCATCTTATTTCTAACTTGTTGATTACATGATCATCTAATCTATCTATCTACACTTTGTTTGTTGTTGTTATTTACTTCTACTCTACCACCATTGTCGAAACAAAGAACTGTTGGTTGTTCTTTTAGTTGTGTAGACGACATTACGTAGTCTTCTTCTACTACTACTACTGCTAGTTCTCTTTATCACCTACCTTTTATAAATACAGTTTCAAGTCAACAAACAAATCGATTCCTTCAAATTTGATCACAACCACACAACTGGTTTCATTGTTGCCTTTATCAATTTTATTTTATTTTTATTTTTTTATTTTTTTCTCCAGTCAAGCTTCAAGTAATACAATCCATTTCGTTTAGTACATGTAGATTCTAATCGATTGTCTCACAAAGGTCCTCTAGAGGATAGAGAGGTAATTGATAACCGACATAAAACAATAAAAAGAGTTTGTTTTTCCTCTCTGAAAGAACCTGTCAAAATGATTACATTGAAACTAGTTTTTATTATCATTATTATTATTTGGTTTGGATGGACAGTAAGGATTGAAAAGTATTTAAATCTCTCATTCCTTTTACTAAAAGGGGTATTATTCTACTACATTATTCGAGATTATATTTATATTTATATTTATGAACATTATTATTATTATTATTATTATTATTAATTATTATTCAATTTAATCTTGTTGCATTGGTTGAGCAGCTTCTTCGCCACTTTCGATCAAGTTTAGCTAATAGAAAAAAAAAATGATCAGGTAAATAATCAATGGTTGGGCATTTAAAAACACTACAGTTCTGATACATACATAATCTTGGGTATCATCACCTTCGATGATCTTGAATTTTTGGTCTTCACCAACTATAGCAATGGAAACATTCTTGGTGGTTAAACCAGTGTCAGTGTTTGGAATGGTTTCACGAAGAGCACGCAAGCCGTGTACTATTAATTCTTTGAGGTCGCATTGTTCAAAGCTATCAAAGTATTTCTCGAGGTATGTCTTTGCTGATTGTGATCTTGCTCCAATTGAAATGGCCTTGTATGAATAATAGTTACCAGATGGACATGTTTGATATACATGAGCTCCAGTTTGCTATAAATACAAACAATGTGAGAGGAGATAGAGAGGAGAGAGATTGTGTGAGTATCAACTATTTTCCTATTATTGTATTACCATTATCATAGTCTTAATCTTACATCATAACCTGCAACTAATAAACCAACACCATATGGTCTTCTACCATATCTTTGAGTATGTACTTGAGATTCTGTAGAAATAAAATGATGATAGAGATGATCGAGATAGAGATAGAGAGAGAAAGAGAGAGATGAATTTGATTAATTTCAAATTGTTAGGTGTCATATTGATTGTCAATTGAACTTACTATCAGCAACCTTTGTAATTAAACGTTCAACTCTCATATCTGATTCATAGATATATTTATAGTTTGAGCATTCATTACGCATGTAGTTGCAAAGTACACGAGCATCGGCAGTGAGACCAGAGATGGCGATACCAATATGATCATCGACAACAAATAACTTCTTTTGATAGCTTCCCAACTCTGAACTAGATCTCTTTAAACTAACCAATACAGCATATTTCTTTGATTTGAGAGCTACAGCTGCACTGCCTTGTTTGACAGCCTCCATGGCATATTCTATTTGGTGAATACGTCCTGATGGACTGAATGTTGTAATATCACTGTCATATTGATTACGATACATCTTTTCTCTTTTTACTTCTTCTTGCTTGTTATTGTTGTTAAATTATGTGTACAAAAAAAATAATAATAAATTAATATAAGAATTTTGATGAAGAAGTGAAGATCATCAAAAACCCCTTTTTTTTTTTTTTTTTTAATTAATTTTTTTCAGCAACAAAGAATTGAAGGAACAACGCGTTTACTGTCAGATCTGTATTAGATTTTAAGTATATATTATCATTTATTATTATATTTAAAGGGTGTTTGTATATTTACAAAGAAATGGTTTTCAAAAATAATTAGTAAATTACTTTGTTTGTTTGTTTCATTATTATTATTATATTATATTATTATTATTCACATTGGTTGGTTGGTTGGTTGGTTAGTCAAAATATTCTTTTCTTTTGTTTGGATTATTATATGAAGTAAAAGATGATGATGATCCTACACCAGTATTGTTACTGCTACTACCACTGTTATTCTGATAGTGATCAGCAGCAGAGGCAGTGGTTGTACTACTATGGTGATGGTGATGCATTGGATTAAAATGGCTATGACCACCACCACCACCACTGCTACTATGACTATTGTCAGATTCATTGTCATCGTGTAGTTGTTCAATGTCACTAGAGGATGACGTTGACGATGTCAATGATTTAATGCTGCTGAGATAGTGCATGTTATTCGATGATCCACTACCGCTACCACTGTTGTTGTTGTTGTTATTACCATTGTACGATGAGGTGGTAGTAGTGGTGGTAGTAGTGGTGGTAGTTAGAGATGGTGGCGAGAATGGAGCACAAATAGAACCCAAAGATGGAGTGGAGATGTTTGGACTGGATGTGGCACCACTCGATGGATCATCGCTGTCACTTTTAGTTCTCTTCTTTCGGTGTTGTTGACTACCTTGAGAGCTAGCAGATGCTACTCCTTGTTGCGATATCGATGAACCGCTACTTTCTCCTGTTGGTGGCACATTGGACGACGAAGAGAATGGAAAAGAAGAGAGAGCAAAGGGTGGGAAAATATCACGGTTACCTCGTGTAGGTGAAGCATTGTTGGTTGGTAGAGGCAAGATACCTGGACTACCACTGGATCCAAATACAAAGGGACTGAGTGACGAAGATGATGATGGGACTGGATGCATCGAACTGGGAGATTGGGTCAAAGGAGGTGTATTTACATTCATTTTAAAGGGGAAGGGTTGAAGTGAAGTTTCGTGGAGTTTTAATGGCGATTGGTTGAAAAAGGATGATGATGTTGACGGCGTGGAGTTTGTGGCGAGTGGAGGAGTTGATCCTAAAATAGGGGTGATGGAACTGCTTCCTCCGCCACTGTTGGGGCCAGTACTACCGCTGTGGTGACTATTATATTGGTGACTGGACGAGGCTGAGGATGAGTGATGACTAGTACTATCGTCTCGTGACGAATAGTTTGGCGAGGTGGTTGAATAAATCGATGAGGTTCGGTCGTATGGTTTGAGATTCTGTGGGTTTGTTGTTGATGATGAGGCGTTGGTTTGAATTGGGCTGTACATGTTGGAATAATCACCATAGGATGATTGGTGTGTGTTGTTATTACTGTTATTATTATTACTGTTATTATTTGATGAGGGATATATTTGATGATGATGTTGTTGTTGGTGATGATGTGACATTTGATCTTGTTGTTGATAGGGGTACGATGATGAAAGGTTGTGGAAATTGGGTGTTTGTGGTGTTTGTTGACCTGGTGAGGGGTAGAAGTATTGGTTGGATGAATGTGGATCCTTGAATGAGTGGTCTCTTGGCGATGATGACAATTGTGGACTGTTAACACCGGGTGGTGGTGGAAGGGAAACATAGGAATCGGATTGGTTGCCTCTGGATGTATGGATATTATTATAAGAGGTATATGGACCATGAGGAGTATGATATCCATCATTGATATTGTTGCCAGATGTTGGGAAATATGGGTTTGTTGATTGGAATGGTTGTTGATGTTGTTGCATTGCTGAAGATGAAATGTATCCACCACCTGCACCACCAGAGTGATGTCCAAACGGTTGAGTATAAATAACATTGCTATTTGAATTGCCAGTTGGTGATTGGTTGTTCATTTGATCATATGAACCCTCTAGGAATCTTAAATTTGGTCTAGGATTGGGGTTGTATTGATTCAGCTGCTGAGATGGTGGAGGTAGTGCAATCGGATGATTGGCAACTTGGTGTTGTTGATGATGATGATGATGATGTTGTTGTGGAATGTATGGATGATGGTTGATGACTGGAGTTGGGATGGTAGTGTATGCCTTTGGATTTCTATTGAAATCATCTGGGGTGGTATATGAGATATTGTTTTCAGGATCGGGATACAACTTTTTTTGATCATTATCTTCCTTGTCTCTTAGAAAATGTCTAAGTAGAAGGTCTTTCTTTTCAGAACCACTTGAATCAGCCAGAGTAAACTCCCACAACTTGACTTCTTTTGTTTCATCTTGTAATGTCAAGGTTCTCTTGTATCCAATAATCAATTCCCCTTCCTTGATCTTTGTATCTGAACCATTTTGTTTCCATGACAATCCTTGAGTATTTTTTCTGATTTTATTATTTTTTGGTGTATCTATTTTTCTTCTTACAAAGTGAAATTCTCCATCTAAATTAAATAAATATAGGTAATGGATATATAATATTAATAACGATTCTTATCATAGTTAATTATAGTTTTTTTAAACTTACCTCCTCTTGAGTTATAATGGGAAATAGATTCTTGTTCACCTTTTTCAGGGATAATTTCACCAGAGATGGTTACTTGTTGTCCTTGCATTTTTTTAATTATATAATTTATATAATTGTTGTTGTGAAGTCTGTGTGGATACATTGTTGTTGTTGTTGTTGTCGGTTTAGATCATCTACAAAGATGATAATGATAAATGAAAAAAATAAATAAATGGGATGGAATTATTATTATTATTATTGATTGTCTACAAAGAATATAGGATTTCTTTGTGACCCTGGAACTTTAATTGTTGTTGTTGTTGTGGTTCCAATGATGAAAAAAAGGAAAAGGGGAGAAAATAGATTTGTCTTTTTATATTATTTGGATAAATATATAGGTTGATTGATTGATTGATTGGTGACTGATGTGGTGGTTGGTTGTTGATCTCTCTCTCTCTTTTTCTATTTTAATAAAAAATATCCGATAGTTTTTAAAAATCTGGATGATGGTACATAGAGTAGTGAGGTGATAGGTATGTAGATTAATAGATAGATGGATAGATAGAAAGATAAATAAATAAAATAGGTATGTGGGTAGGGAAATATGAAGATACAAAAAGAGTTAGTATTGTTACTGTAAATGATTGAATGATCCTATTATTAAACATTTAATTTTGAAAATAGAAGAGGAATGGGAGAATGAGAGGGGAGAATTAAAAAAGAGTTGGCCAGCTGGTTCAAGAAAAAAGCAACTAGCTGGCCAGCTCAACTACCACAATGAGAGACAGCAATCAATCAACAACCAATCAATCAATTTGTTTGACAAGAGACACAAACCGTGGCCGAGTGTCTCATTGTGTAACAATGATGATGAGACACTGATCGATAACAATGATGTCGGCCATAAGTGAATGCCTGCCTGTTTAGATTGTACTCTCTACTGTGTTCCTTTCCCCTTTGCTCTGCTTCGCTTAATAATAGAATGATTGCATCCAAAAATATAAATTCTCCACCCCTTGACCTCTCACAGATTTCCATGAGATTAAACTGATTGGTGGTTAGGGGGGGGGGGGGGGGGTGTGGGGGATGAGACACATTGAATAAATTATCCGATGAATACCCATGTTGGTTTGGGGGTGAGCCAATAATCACAAACAAACATATTTACATATCGTACTTTTTTGTTTTTAAATTTATATAACAAACATACAAACGAATGAAATAATAATAAAAAAAATTGATGAAATGAAAAAAAATCGATCGGGAAAACTGTTTTTTTGTTTCGGTTATTGAGAAGAGGAAGAAGGGTAGGAGAGGGAATAAAAAGAAAGATAAAGTTTGTTTTTGATAAAAATATACTAAAGATGTATTTATAGTTATTTATATAAATAAATCTCCTTTGGTTGTTGAGGTTATATTTGTTGTTGAATAGAAGAAACAGGTTGGTGTACCAATTGGATTGTTTGTTGAAATTAAAGAATGCTGGCTATCGATCGAACAAACAATAATAATAATAGCAAAGACAGGTGAGAGGGGGGACAAGTGAGAGGGGGTGGTGCAAGGGAACTAGGTGTTTGGATAGAGGGAAAATAGATTGGAAGATGGTTGGGGAGTGAAGAGATAAAAATCTATCTACTCTATTTAATAGATGGGGACACTTTAAAAGCAATAAATTGATCGATGGGATGCATAATAATTGTAATCACCCCTACATCTATCAGCCTAGCCTATATATTTAGAAATGAAACACATTGTTTGTGTTGATACTGATGATGTGGGGATGGGATGGATCTCTCCTTTCTTTTGCATTGTATTAATAGTTATACTACAATGATTGCAGAGAGAGGAGGAGGAGGGCTTACAGTGTTTAAGGATTTCTCCCAATCACCTCCACATCCTATTTTTGTCGGGGTTGGGGGGGTGGAGGGTTGTTGAGGTTTGGATTGGTGGATGGTTTTTGAAGAGGGTTTGACAAAATTGGTGACTGGAGCTGGGTTGGTTTGCGTGTGATATAGAATATCGGGCTATCGATTATTATGTTGGGGTTGAGGGTTTGGTTGAGGTTTACCTTGTATGTGTTGGCGTGTTAAAATACTATATCTCTCTCTCTTTCTCTAGGGTATTGTGCAATGATATATTTATCTTATACTTGTTCTATTGATAACTCTCTAGAATACTTTATATCTTATATCTGTGTTGTGTGTGTGTGTGTGTTTGTTTAAAGTGTATAAGAGATGAAAATGAAAGGATATAACAACCACCACTTGACCTATTTTCCACAACTCACGATACGTTAATGTATGCTATTATTTGCATTTGTTGTTTCACAGTAGAGACTACTAGCTAGCTAGTACTGCCGATGTTTTTTTTGAAAGAGTAGTTATTACAAGAGACACGCACCGTTCTCACTCTCTCAAAGAAAAAAAAGAGTAAAGACATTGACATTGCCAACCAGTACTGTCTGCTTCTGTTGCTGTTGGTTAGAGTATGGATGCAACCCCCCGTAACACCACACCCTCCCCTCCAGGGGTTGATCGTGTCGCGGGGTATCCCGTTTATTTGGTTCTAAAAAGCATGGGCTCTCTTTTCAAAAACACTATTGTTGTTTCCTATGAGAGAATGCGCAATCGATAGACAAAAAAGATTGGGAGATCTGATGCATCTGAAAATTGTACTCTAAAAATGGAACCCTATCTAATTTCGAAAAATCATATGATTGGCCAACACCCTGTTTCGCATTGTTGCCTGTCGATTTTGATACGAAAAAACTTAATGAAAACAAAAAAAAACAATTCAACTTTTTGAAAACCGCAATTGGGTGTCGACTGAAAACAAGGACCAAAACCAACCCCCCCCGATCGTGACATGCCAACACCACATTAAACGGTCTGGCTAGACGACGAGTTAATTATCGAATATTTTGTATTTTCCTCCTCCTCCTCAACATATGGCAGCTTCAATGTCAATGATCTCATTTTAGGTCTATTTAGGAAGTGCGGTTATCTTTGGGTTTTCACAACAATGCTCTTCGAGTATTCTTTCATGGATAATATTATTATTGTATCGAAACCCTCAAAGAATTCTATAATATATTAATAAATAATTGCTCACGAGTTTGTTTTTCTTTCGACCATCTCCTCCTCCTTTTTTTTTTGAGGGTGACCATCCTTTTTTGATCTCTTTCTAAATTTATGTAGAGAAACAAAAAGTTTCGTATAGATAGATATCTATTTCATAATATCCAATTCTTTCGAAATTGATTGAAAATGTGTTGTTATTATTGGTTCATAATCTCCCCAATGTTCTTGAGGGTTTGTCATCCATAGAATTTCCTAAAAAGGAAAGTTCTTTTTTCAAAGTTGAGGGCGCAACCCTTCATTCAGAATAGATTTTTGTTGTTTAATCACTTTGAACACCCAATGTTGTTGTTATTGGTACTTTCTTTATCATTATGGGCGATGAATGTTGAATGAACACATTATCTACAACTACTTTAGGTTCTAATAACATCAACAACAACAGTAAATATTATGATGTCATATCAGAGTTTATAGAGGTTGCATGTCATTGTATATTATATGTTAGAGGTGTATATGATTCATGTAGGTTTGATATATATATGTATATATTATAGATTCTTCTTCTTCTTCTTCTTCCTTTCTAATATCTTTTGTATTCTATTTGACCTATATATAGGTCTATTTCAAAGATCATTAAAGTATGGAATTGCTGTTCCAATGAGCAGAAGTATACAACTTCAAAACTATATTGCTGCAACTATAGATAGTCTAAAGATTCACCTGTTCAATGGATCTATTGATAAGATTTCTATAGCAATACTTGATAGTTTTGGTGCTCCCATAGAAAGATTCATGTTTGATTTTGATCAACAACAACAACAACATACCAACAACAACAATAATAACAAACAAAACACAAAGAATGATAACTTGATATCTAAAATCAAGGATGGAGGTATTATTATACTTGATGATAGTCAATCTCAACAACAACAATTACAAAAGGATAAAGATAAAGAATTTAATAACTATCTAAATATCTTTAAAGAATCAAATATTAATTTAAAGAACCAACAAACAACTAATAATCAAAATAATCAAAATAATCAAAATAATAATAACCAAGTAGTTGATTATGAATTATTAGAGAGATCATTTCAATCCTATTTATTAAAATTATTGTCATCAGAATCATACCTACCATTCAATAGAAAAGATAGAATGGATTGTACATTTACAGTTTATGCATTCACCAAGAAAAGAATTAATAGTATAAACAATAATAATAATAATTCACTTCAAATAGACCCTTTGAATGCTCCTGGTGGTGGAGAAGCTGGTGATTTAAATACAAATAACAAGAAAACTACAACCAATAATAATAGGCCAATGACATGGGTAGGTGTCAATGATGAAGAATATCAATTTCAACAACAACAACAACAACAACCAAAAGGCAAAGTGTCTGCAATACCATTAAAGTCGATATTTAGTGGCATATCTTCCAATCAACCAAGATATACTTTATCGACATCGATAGAATATATAGAATCACAAGGCGAGATGATGGACAACAACAACAACAATAAGGAAAATGTAAAGGATGGTTTACAATTTGATCATGATGACAATAATAATAATAATTTGATAGATGTGCCAATGGTTGAGCATTATTCATCAGAGGAAGAATAAGAGGATGAAGAATTTGTCAATAGCACCCAATAAACAAACTCAACCAATTCAATTCAATCCAATTAAATTCAATTCAATTAAATTCAATTAAATTCAATTAAATTCTAGATTTGAAACTTGGAATTCCATTTAAATGATTTATTCCAATCGATTTGTTGTAGTTATAATACAAATGAACAAAAGCTATTGTTGTTTAGGAACACTCGACTTGAATCAAGTGATTATTGTTGTTTCTTTGAGGATGTAGAATATACTGCACCTGGTCTATTGAGACCACGCATTTCACGAAGTTTGTTTGAGCTTGCACTAACTGCATAGAATATCATCGATACCAATGCATACCATCTAAGGGTGCTCGATGTAAAAAGATTATAAATTGTAAACAAAATACCAATCGACCATACTAATCCTGCCAAATAAATACTATGATCTATAGATTAAAAAGGACGATTAGTAGTTTTAATTTCTCTTTTCTTTTTTGTTTTTGTTTTTTCTTTTACACCTACCTTCTTGATTGGCGATTGAATTAAAAGGATATTTTCCATTATCCTTTTGGTATTGTAAAAGTTTATCCTTTTCTTGATAGATTTTGAATAACCATGGTTGTAATTTATCCTCTGTCTTTGGTACTTGAGAGATTGGAATACGACCAACATTAATATTTACTATATTTGGATTCTTGGAGAGAAGAAGTGAAGGAATAGTTGGTTTACCACAATCATATGACATTGTAACATCATAAACTGCATCAAATGTATCTCTATATACATCCAAACATGCCTGAACACCCTTTGTTCTTGGCAATAATACATTATTAAACTTTGGGAAACCATTCTTTTCTGCGTACTATTATTATTATTGTTGTTGTTGTTGTGAATCATCAAATTAGGGTTAGGTCATGGTATATATATAATATGATAGGTTATGGTATGTATACATACAGCCCAACTCTTTTCCAATTTTGTTTTATCTATATCGGTACCCTCTGGGAAGATTGTTACCCATGGTTTAGTTTGGTAAACATCTCTCATTTTAGTGAGTTTATAACGTAGGTGTGCTTCATCATACTCCCAGTCACGTGTCAAATAAATATACTCTATATTATCGCATCCCCATCCAACCAATGGAACAAATCTTATTTCCTTTTTTAAAAAAAACAATGATAGGTAAATAAAAGAGATCGAGAGATCGATCTGTAATCCATTGATACATACATTCTTTAAGATAAATTTAATTTTACTTAGAGCCTTTTGTTTGATTGCAAGAAACCAAAGGAAGAGCCAATCCACCTCGGATGGATGATTGACCATGATCAATGCACACTCTCCTTGTGGTAATTCCTTTTCACCTGTTATGTTTACATTGATTTGATTGACCACTTGAAAGATGAATAACATGAATCTGTACCACTGTGAAGCAATGATAGTATTCAATGTAAATGCCAAAGATGGATTGAATATCTGTAATATCTCTATAGGTAACATAATCATCAATATCGTTGCTATTGACATTACAAATAAAGCTATAGTAACAAATGCATTTTTATATATAGGTCTAGGTTTTTGTTGCTGTTGTTGTTGCTGTTGCTGTTTTACATCCATTTCTATGTTTTCTTCTTATCTTATTTCTTCTTAACAATGACACAACAAACAATAAAGATCGAGAGAGTGAACCAACTCAACTCGGTACCCAACGCATTTTTCTCATTGAACGTCGCAAAGTTCGGTTTATGAGCTTGAAAAAACAGATATTTAATTCATGGGTTGCAAAGATGTTTGTTGTTGTGTCGGTCGATGGTTAAGATATAAATCGATTAATCTGTATGTGTTTGTGTGTGTGTGTGTGTAATCACAAATTAAATTTGTTTGATATCATATTTAATATTGTGTATGGGTAAAACTATCTTCTTCGATTTTAAATATACAACAAAATTTTTCTCTGTCTGGATAAAAAAATTTCAAAAAAAAGGAGGGAAAATCATTCAAGATGCGTAAAGAAGTTGTATGATGAAAACAAGGTACTAGTAGTAGTAGAACTTGACAACACACAACTTAAGAGGAGGAATAGGAGAGAGAATAGAGAAAGAAGAATACAAAATGAAATATGAAACAGTGATGATATTGTGGCATAACAAGGATCCAATCTATTCAATCGATTTTGATCCTTGTTCAAATAGATTATGTACTACTGGTTCTGATAATGATATTAAAGTATGTCGGTGTTATTTCACTGAATAACATATCTATCTATCTTTAGAGATTTTGTTAAACTAATACATTCTCTCTCTCTCTTTCTCAATCTCTCAATCTCTCTCTCTCAGATATGGAGTTTTGAAAAGAACAAACAAACAGGTAAAATAGTATTTGATTACTTGTCAAGTCTATCAAAGCATACAAAACCTGTAAATGTTGCTAGATTCTCACCTGGTGGTAATCTATTGGCTAGTGGTGCAGATGATGGAGCAATAGTCATTTGGAGATTGAATACAACTATTCCTCTTGCAAAGGATTCATTCATGAAAGAACAATGGTCAATCGTCAGTATATTACGTGTCAATACCGATGCATATGATCTGTCATGGTCATCTAATGGTTTATATCTAACATCTGCCAGCACCGATAATAGTGTTCAAATTTGGAGTCCTTTGGCTAGTAGGTATTGATAATTTGTTATCTATCTATCTATCTATCTATCTATCTATAAGTACTAGTTGCTTTATTCACACATCAAATCAATCAACCAATATTTATTTAGAGATTTGTAATCAAACCATCATAGAACACACTCATTATGTTCAAGGAGTATGTTGGGATCCGTTGGGTGAATATTTGGTGACAGAGTCATCGGATGGATCTTGTCGATTGTACAACTTTAACAAACCACCACCAACTGGAAAACAACATAGTAGTAAAAAGAAACAACAACAAAAGGTTTCACTTGCAAATGTATTGACTAGAAGATCATTCAATATAAATAATCAAAATAGTCTATCTAATAATAATAATAATAATAATAATAATAATAATAATAATAATAATAATAATAATAATAATAATAATAATAATAATGATGGAATGGTGATTGATTCGAAAAAAGAAAAGGAAAATGATACAAAAGATGAACAACTTGAAGAAAAAGAAAAAGAAGTAAAAGTACAAAAGGATCATGCAATGTTTTATGATGAAAGAGTTACAACGTAAGTAGTATAGTATAGTATAGTTAGATAGATAGACAACAGTAGTAATAACAACAGGCGACTGATTTATGTTATTATGTTTTTCTAGATTTTTTAGAAGACCAGATTGGTCACCCGATGGATCACTATTTGTAACACCAACAGGTAAATTTAAATCAAATGCCACTGAAAAGTATACAAGTACATCCTATGTTTTTGCAAGAGGACTCCTCAACAAACCAATCTTTCATTTACCATCCAACAAACCAACCATTGTTGTTAAATTCAATCCACATATTTATAGTCTCAAATCAACCGCCACCACGACGATGACTACACCAGACACCAACAACAGTAGTAGTACTACTCAACCAAGTCTATTAACACTACCCTATAGAATGATCTTTTCTATTTGTACAACCGATACTATTGTCATTTACGACACACAATCAACCAAACCACTATATATAGTGTCTGAACTACATTATGCACCCATCACTGATATGTGTTGGTCACCAGATGGATCTATATTAATGGTAGCCTCTGAAGATGGATTTTGTAGTTATCTATTGTTTAACAACGATGAATTGGGTTCAATCGTAGCAGAGGATGATCCAATTTATCCACCATCCATGAAACAATTCCAATTATTTAAACAAGAGGCTATCATAAATACAAAGGTCGAACAACAACAACAACAACAACAAACTGGTGAATTATTAACAAAGAGAAAGGTAGTTGCACAGGATAATCAAGTTGAAGAAGAAGAAGAAAATGCAACAACAAAACCACAACAACAACAAGAAGGAGAAGAAGAAGAAATGCAACAAAAGAAACAAAAAACATTTGAACCAACCCCAAACAGTACTTCTACCACTACAACTACAACTACTACGACATCTAGCAACGAAGCATCAACCAATCAACCAAAACCAAAGAGAAGAATTCAACCAAATATAGTCATCACACCAACACAATAATGTGTGAGGAGGACTATTTCAAGAAAGAAAGTTCTAAAACTATTAAAAAATAAGGATATTATTATAATAAATAAATTATCTGTTTTTTGTCAAGATCTTTTAAGCATTATTAGAAATATTCTAATGAATTCATTTATTTTTTTAGATTCCAAGACTTGCAAGCAGCAATAAAGGTACAAACTAAACAATAGTTTGTTTGAAGACAAAATTAAACAACAACGATGACTACGACATTTCATACACTAATCAGAGATAAAATCTTGTGGGATAGTATCTGTTATCAGTTACATGGACATCATGATATCTTTAAATGTCCTAATCAACACACTATCAACCCTCATATCAATTGGCTAATTAAATACGATCATCATATTCATCTATTACTCAACCCAATTAGTAAACAATTAAACCAACAACTACTCATTTCAAATAGTAATAATAATAATAGTAACGAAAATATAAAGCAACAAATAGTAGATGAATATTGTAAATTAAATAGTAATCATCATAGCAATGATGATACTGTACAGACTCGTACTTGGAGCATTGCCAAACTATTTCAAAACTATCAATGTTGGTCTCATGAATCTTTGTATAAACTGGCATCTAATAGACATCAACATATTATACTACTGCTACTACTTTATACACTAGATCTGCAAACCACATCATCTACATGTATTGTTGCCTTTTCAGATGAGATTATGGAAAGAGTTATTTACAAATCAGTACCAAAACACAATGATGTACAATCAATCCACTCTAACACCAACACTACCACCACCGCCACCACCACCACCACCATTGACAAAGATTTACAAACAACTGTTAGTGATATGCTCATTAAAAGAATGATACAAAGATACCCAAATTATGTAAATAGTAGATGTTATGATGGAGCTGCAAAGGCTGGCAAGTTGGACATTATCAAATACATTTACTCTGTTCGACCAGATGTACCATTGGGTAGAACTGTTGCCACTAAAGCAGCTGAAAAAGGAAGATTACATGTCATCAAATATCTTCATGACCTCGAGAAACTAAACTCTCAAAGTGGAGTAAAGGCCTTGTCTGTAAATGTGTCATTTAAACCGGCTGCAATCGATGCAGCTGCCACCAATTCGCACATGGATGTACTCAAGTTTCTAAACAGCAACCGTAGTAAAGAGTGCACTGCAACTGTCGGTGCAATCGATGGCAGTGCTAAAAATGGACATTTGGACATTGTTCAATATGCTCACTCTCATATGAAGGCAACTGCGTCAAAGAGAGCATTATTTGGAGCATGTCAGAATGGACATTTGGAAGTGGTTAGATATATTTTGGCACAAGGACTCTTTGACCCAAAGGACCCAGACACACAAAGATCGGCTGATGAGGCTGCTAAAAATAGTCATGTCGATATTCTCAAGCTTTTGGCCACAAAGAATATTCTTGGCTCAGATACCATTGGCACTGGATGTCCTTTTGAAGTTATTCAATATCTACATGGTACACCTGAAACCAATCAGCTCTACAAACACTCTCCACCAAGAAATAAGGTGTACCATGCAATTTGGTCTAGTCAAACTATCGATACATTGGAGTTTTTGTACATACATTATCCCGATATTTTAAACAAAGAAGCAGGTGTGCTGGCCACATACAAACCGATACCGGGTGTACCATTTCTTCGTTTCCTCAACCAACACTGTCCATCAGTGATTGATGTCTTTAGATCAAATGATCGCAATATGTCTGATCCCTCTACCGGTCACCAAGTAAATGGTCATGCAATTATCAAGCGCGAGTATATGAATGACCAATCTATCATTGAATACTTGGATTATATCATCAACACTCTCAACATTTCAAATTTAAATTTGTCATTGATCAGGTTGAACCTTGAAATATTTAAAGTATGTGTCTAAACTATTCATTATATTATTTTTTAATAATATTAGCCAAACTAACTAAATCATCGTATTTATAGTTTTTAGATGAAAAAACATCAATGGTAGACAATTTTATTTCACAAATAGAATGGGTCGAATTGGCTAGTAATTCGGGTGATGTGCAGTTGGTTAGGTACTTGCACAACTATCCCAATCAAAACAAGAGAACCCAGTTTTGCAAAACAGCAAAATACAAATCTCTTGAAGTTGCTGCAAAGGTAGGCAGCATGGATACAGTCGAATATCTAGTAAACCAACTCGATGTTCCCATTGAAAGCGAGAGATTTATGGCATGTGCAAACCCCTCTCCAGATATTCTTGGTTTAATCTTTTCTCTTTTCCCCGATACCAAGATGATCGATTCTGACGATTTACCCTCTCAGTGCAATATCGAGTTGTTTGTTAAAGTCTACTCGAGATTATTAAAAGAGAGACAAATTTTTGGATCTGACAATCCAAACAACAATAACAACAACAATGGTTCTGGTTCAACTACAACAAAAAGAGAATTAAATTATTTTGCCGATATGGATTGTATAGCAATGATAATGGGAGATGACCAACTTTATCAAGGTTATATTCCTTCCCAAAATGCAGACAATTTATTTGAACAATACATGTGTGTAGTTGAATCTTACAAAAAGAGAAACCAGACATTCCCCATCCCCATGTCATTGCTTCAGACATGTTGTATAAATAGACCAATCAAACCTGTAGCTTTGATTTCCTATCTCTTGGAATACCGTCAATTGACCCAAAACTCGCCTTTGCAGTGCCAATTGCCAAAAAATTGGATAGATACTCTTTTGGATGATAGCTTTAATAACTCTAATTATCCTTGCTATCATTTTTTAGTCGATTTTAAAAAAAAGAATAATCTTTAGAATTTAATTTGAATAAAATATTAAACATTCTAATTTATTTTTACATTAAAAGAAAAGATCTACTATCCTTGTCTGAATGGAATGATGGTAATAAAAATGGTCTATGTTTGTAAATAAACTGGATCATATTATTATCTTTTTTTTGATTTTTAAAAGCAATTAAAAATCCTTTGTTTGATATTCTAACTTGAGATGGATCATCTTGGTTGAAAATGTCATCTTCCTCTTCTTCTTCTTGTCCAAATGATGCTCTTCTTCTTTTTAATGATTTATTGGTTGAATATTGTTGTTGTTGTATTCCTTTTAAACAGTGATAGGCTTGGATGATAACCATAGTGGGGCAATGTTGGCAGAAAATCTCAAATGCTTCCTTTGGAAATAGGTCAATGATAAACTCTATCATTCTAGTCATTAAACTATTTGATACATATAAATTGAAATCCATCCTGCTTGCCAAAGATTCTACCAATAATAAAATTCTTGGATCGTTCCTATTCATCTTTATTGTTTTTACTATCAATTCTAGAGTTTGAATTTCTTTATTTCCATTGTCTTGACCCAATATTGAATGGTTTTCTTGCTTTTCTGATATTATTAGTTGATTATTTAAAATAAAAGAAAAAGAGACAACAAATAGATTGTGATTGACAAGAGGTGTTGTTTTTATAATGCTGGAAATGATTTGAAATGATTTTTCTTGAATTTCTTTATCTATTTCAAAATTAAAAATGTTTGATAGAATGGATGTAATATATTTAATTGGTGATGAAGATTTTAAAAATTGAACAAAGAGGGTAATCCCTTGTTGGTTTGAAAACTTTAGGTTTGATTTCAAGAGCGACGATATATTGATTGGAAGTAAATTTTGAGCCAATTTTATCAATCTATAGCATCCAGACTTGATTGCATAAATTCCAATTGACTCTCTATTAATATTGTTTGTCAATTTTCCTTTCCACATGTGTTCATAGACCAATTGAATTATTTGTGGTGAAGAGGGTAGTTGGAATGAGTATTCTAGTATTCCACTGTCAACTTGGAGGATGCATGGTGTGATTTGGTCAAGTAAGGTTTGGATAATAATAGAATTTCCAGATTTAATTGCACACCTCAATAAGTTTGAGTTACAAAATAGTTTTTGATAGTTTGAATACAAAAATGAGAAAATAGTAGATTCTATTAAAGTTGATGAACAAATCAGTTCGATTGAAAAAAAGGAAATGATGATTGATTTTTTCAGTAAACTAGTTTGATTGAATATAATTTTATCTTTTAACAATCCAAAATGACCATAATAACACATTAAATCTCCATTTTCCCAATCTTTAAATTTTCTTTTCTCTGTTTCACCATTGTCTAATATAATGATATTGTTGTTGTTGTTGTTGTTGTGAATTTGATGAATTTTGTTAAATATTAAATTCATTATGTATTTATTTTTCCAAACACTGAATGGATGAGATGGACAGATTGGAGAAGTCATTATATTTGGTTGATAAATTATAGTTATTGAATAAAATTAAACAAACAATAAAATTTGAATAAATGAAAATTGTTAATTGTTTGAATAAATGATTGACGATTTCACAAATTAAGTTGTTTTGATATTTTTTTTTCTCCTCCTATTTTCATCCACCGTCAAGATGAAAATATCTTCATCCCCCTACACCTCACCATGATGGTTGATGAAAAATGATTATTTGATAGTCCCATCATCTTTTGATTAGTATGATTGTCCAAACCCAATCATTTTTTAATAGATATTATTATTACTTTTTTTCATAAAATAAAAGTAATTTGTTTAATCTGGTGGATCTTTTTCGTGATTATACTTTTGTAAAGGTCTATCTATTCTTTTTTTCTAGAATACTTTTTGGGTACAATTACAATGCACAAGAATTGGATTTGTAGTCTGTTGAAAAGAATACTGTTAATTTTATTTTTTGGGAGAAATGCATTTTTGCCAAAGTGTGTGATTTATAAATATAGAGTAGATCCTCTCTGGGAATTCTTTTACTATATGGTGGTGGGAAATCATTCAAATGTATGGACGATCGTTTCATTGACAAGTAATAGGGAAGAAGGTGAGAGAGACAGAGTGTAGATCGTGTTGTTCTTCATCATAAAAAATGAGTGAGAGGATAGAGACAAATAGTATTGTTGTCTACTCACTTAAGAGTTCATGCATATGCAACCTAGAACTTTTTTGGATCAATTATACTCATACTGAAACATTTAATATAGAGTATCCCGATAATACCACCACCACCATCACCACCACCTCGTACTTCTTTTTAACATATGTGTTATTTATTTGGAAGCAAATTGTATGTAAATCTAATCACCAATTGTCATATGAAATGTTTGATGTTTCCAAATCACTCTGTTTTCGATTAATGAATGAACAATAATCCACCCCCCCCAACAATATATATCCACCAACCAACCAACCAACCACCACTACCATACACACACCAACATGGAAATGAAAAAGATGTGTGTAATGCATAACCACAACCCCCAAACAATGATCAAAAATTTTATATACAATGGTATCTGAACATCACGATTCTTTTCACTTTCATTTTCATTCCCTCCAACACACCACCTCGCACACACCACCTTTCATATGCAAATCTCATTCAGCAGTTGTTGTATAATCAACTCTTCTTCATCTTCTTGTTTGCTTGGGGTTCATTCAACAACAACAACAATGACAACAATAACAATAATCAAACATTATAATGCAATCAATACAATGCTGCTTGCTATAATTAAGTGGTGCATTCAGATTTAGTAATCATGTAGGATGTAAAGCACCAACAGCAACAACAACAACAACAACAACAAGTAAGGGATGGTCAATAATAGTATATATCTTTTATGATACGTCGTATTATCAATCACTGATGATGTTGTTGATGATGATGATGTTGATAATATGATATTTTCAGTGATTACCATACCTTGCTCTCTCTACTACTACTACTACCTCCACTGTCATTAGTTCATCGCCGCTTTTCAACACCAACATCTTTACATTACCACGCACCCACTAGCTACAGCTGCTGCAATAATCGTAATACTACTACTACTTGTTCAACAACAGCAACAGCAACAATAGCAACAGCAGCAGATGATAGTAGTAGTAGTCGTAGGGTTTGGAAGAGAGAGAAGGAGGGAAGAGAAAGTGGCTGGCGCTACTACTACTACTACACTACAATGTATTAATTTAAATTAATTTTGATCAATTATTATTATTATTACACCTCTCTCTCTCTGTGTTTCACTACTCTCAACTACAATCAACCAGCAACAGCAACAGCAGCAGCAGCAGACTAGTTGCGATAATCATAATATTATTTTTCATTCATTCATTCATTCATCATCAGAAATAATAATCTAATTAATTACTATTAGTTGATTAATAATAATTATAATTATTTATCATTAGCTAACATTAAACAATCTGATTATATAACAACAAGTAAAAACATAAGGATAATAATAATAATAATAATAAAGAGGGAGGAGCAAGATAAGATTTAATATTTTGATCAAATCCAACAAATAATAACAATAATAATAAATATTAAATAATAAATCGATAAAAGAATCATCCTAACCAAACAACAATACAACAAGGATACGGAAAAATGAGACTACTAGTGTCCGTCCTTTTACTTGCAATAATATATATTTCTGCAATAGCAGCTCAAGGTATATAAATATTAATATTTGTTTGCCAATCAACCTAGTTTTTTTTTAACCCTTGTTTTTTTTTTTTTTTTCTTTTCTTTTTTTTTTTTTTTTGGTTCTATATAGACTGTCAAAGTTTTGATGAAAATCAATGTAAAACCAATGCCCCACACTGTCAGTACCTACCTTACCTCTCATGTTGTGGCAAGACTAAATTCTTTTGTGTCAACAGCAACAATGGTGCTTGCAACAATAGAATAAGTTGTGGTAAAGCAGCCGATGGAGAGATCTATGAGTTCTGGAGTGATTGCGTACCTACCAAAGGTATTACCCCATACCAAATGCCAAATGCCACTTGTGAATCCCTTGGTTGTGCAAACAACTGTGAATGGGTACCATCCACTCCATGCTATGGTACTGCCTGTTGTCCAAGAGTACCAAGATGTATTGGTGGATCTTCTGGTTCATCTGGTTCATCAGGTTCATCAGGCTCATCTTCGTCGTCAACCTCTGGATCATCTGGTTCATCGTCATCATCTACCAGCTCTGGTGGTTCATCCACCAATGTCGTTGGTATCTGTGTTGGATATCAATGTCCACAAGGTACCAAGTGTGTCGTTGTAAATGGAAAGCCAGACTGTATCATCATTGATACTAGCACTGGATCATCATCATCATCGACCACTGGTGATCTCTGTCACAATGCCGTTTGTCCACCATACCACTATTGTCAAGTCATCGATGGTATGCCAGTTTGCAAGCCACCCTCGACCTCTGGTGGTAGCACAAGTGGAGCAACCTGCAATGGAGTTAACTGTCCACCAGGTCACCACTGCAAGCTCATCAATCACATGCCAACCTGCATCAAGAAGCAAAGACCAGAATCATGTGACGATGTCCACTGCAAACGTGGAATGTATTGTGCCTTGATCAACGGCCACCCAGAATGTCTCATCGCACCCAAGCCAACTCCACCAGTTGTCCACCGTTGTGAAGATCTAGACAACCAATTTGACTGTACTGGACGTACCCACGGTGCTTGCAGATGGGTCAATATGCGTAGCTGTTGTGGTCGTGTAAAGGGAGCCTGTGTTGCTCATCTTGGAAGAAACTGTACAGAGTCTGCCCTCAACGTCAACAGTTGTGTCAAGAGTGTCTCTGATGGAACCGTCTACTCTATTCGTAATTCATGCAAGCCAAAGACTGGATTTGTACCATACTTCCCACCAAAGACTGGTACTTGCGAGTCACTCAACTGTACCGCCAGAGGATTGGCCTGTGCCTACGTCAAGTCTGACACTTGTGTCTCTGAGCCTTGTTGTCCAATCTATGCCATGTGTATTCAATCCAATACATTGGCTGGAAGTACCATTGCCACCACTGCCTCTACCATTGCTAGCATCCACACCACTACTGCCACTACTACCGCCTCTAGCATTGGTACCACCACTGCTACCACCACTGCTACCACTACTGCTACCACCACTGCTACCACCATTGCAACTGGTCAAGCATCATGTGAATGTGCTGGTATCACTTGTCCAATTGATAAGACATGTGTCAAGAGTATGATTGGTATCCCAGCCACCTGTATCCCCAAGTGTGCCTTGATTGAATGTCCAAGTGACACTACCTGTCAAGTGATCAATGGTCTACCAAACTGTATCTCCAATCAGGCAAGCACCACCTTTACCACTACCGCTACCACTGCTAGCACCATTGCCAGTACCATCGCATCCACCACTGGAACCACCACTGGTACATCTACTACTGCAGGTACTACCGATGGAACACCAACTACTACTACTGGTGCAACCACCACCACTGGAACTACTACCACTGGTACCACCACCGATACTCCAACTACCACCACCACCACCGGTACCACTACCGATGCTGCAACCACCACAACTACCACCGGTACCACCACCGATGCTCCAACCACCACAACTACCACCGGAACCACCACCGATGCTCCAACCACCACAACTACCACCGGTACCACCACCGATGCTCCAACTACCACCACCACTGGCACTACCACAACCGGTACTACAACCACTGGAACTACAACTGGAACCACCACAGATGCCACTACAACCACCACCACTGGACCATAGACAATCACCAACATTTAAATTAAATCCAACTTTATATAAAGATGATGGAGATCGAGTACCACCAATAACAACAATAACAACAATAATAATAATCATTTTTTTCCAACCTTTTATAAATATAATAAAAAATATAGACACCATTAAATTAATCAATCAACTACTACTACATACAATCAACAACAACAACAACAACAACAAGCACTACAAAAAAAAATATAATGCTATAAATCCAAAAGATAACAAACTTTTCTAAAATTACCACAAATAATTTCCTTTCTTTCTACATTGAAAACAAAATAAATAAACATAAAAAAATTCTATAAATTTATTTTATTATCTCTTGACTGTTTACACTATTTAGAAAGTAACCATGGTTACCAATTGGGTTAAAGATATCTATCTTCATATGATTTAGACCCAATTCTAGAATATTAAAGGTCATCGTTTACTAGTAGAAAAGAGGCACTCTCCATCAAGATCTTTGATCAACCAAATTAAGTCTTTTTTAGATTATCCAACGAGGTTGCCCCTCTGCAATAAAAATTTGAATTTCCCTCCCTTTTTTAATCGAAATTTGTCAAACACCAAAACAAAATATTTTTAATTAAGCTTGCAAGCTACATGATTGAAATAGATAGATAGATAGGTAGATAGATAGATAATTTCTATTTATCACTATTACTACTAATAATGTATCCACTACTACACAATAATAATAATAATAATCAAAATATTAATAACAATAACATTGTAAATAATACATTGCTACAACAACAACAACAACATTATATAACGACTTGTAGTAATCTTGGTAGTATAGGAGATCCAATTCATGAAATACCTCTTCCTATCTACAGAAATGATAGATCTATTGATCTCATTCAGGCTGATTATGCCATCAAACAAAATGTACTCTCAAATGCTGTTAATACTCTAACATCTGCCAACAACAACAACAACAACATTAATAATAGTAATGCAATATTGTCAAATATCAATATGATGATCGATCAAACCAATATATCCTACTTGAAGTTTAAACCATCATCATCATCATCATCTAAATCATCTGACAACAATGAAAATACTCCACCACCTTCTTCTTCTTCTTCTTCATTGATGACAACCATTTATAATCACCTACCAGCCACAACCTATACAACTACTACTACTACTCAATCCCAAACATTATCAACCAACAACAATGATATTAAAGTTTTACCATCTACATCATCTGCTTTTGTATCAAGTGACAATGAATTTATTGATAAACACTTTCCCAACAACAACAACAACAACAACAATAATAATAATACTAATAATAAAAAGGTGGTCTCAACAAAAAAGAAAAGAACAACAACAACAAAGCCTACTCTATCATTGATTGAACAACAAGAATCATTGATCAATACAACACTAAATGACAACATCTCTAAAAGAAAACAAAAAACTATCAATCATAATGTTTCCAATGCCAACTTGAACCAAACACAACAAAATACCATCGATGATCATCATCAACAACAACCAATTATTCAAGTGAGCAAAAAGATTACAATCCAAGAGAAATTAGTAACACAAATACGATATCTTTTAGAGAATATTGAAAGAGATAAAGATCATGAAACCTTCAACTCTACCTATATAGATAATCTTCGAATGGATCTATCAATCGTAGAAAAGAATGATGAAATGTCATTGGGTGACATTGAATTGGAGCATTATGCATCTCTTTTTCAGCACCTTTACCGTCTTGTCAAGGCTGCCAAACAAGTCCACTCTCTTTCTTTCAAAGAGACAATGCAACAACAAGATATTTTGGAGTTCAACAAACTAGAGTTGGCGTTTGCAAGCTCATCATTAATCACTCAATTACTGTCACTACCTGTTATCGGTAATTTACTTTGTGAATTGATAGAAGATGTAAGTTATAATATCATTCTGTTGTTTTTTAAAAATAATAATAATAGATTTATTAACATTTATTTTAGGATTTGGTTGATTTTGTTACAACTTGCAAATCACTAATCAATGAAAATATCTTTGGACACTTGGACCCTTCTTTTAAATTGAGACATCCCACTTCTACTTCCTCCTCCTCTTCCACTGCTTCAACAAAGAATGGTGAAGGAAAAAAAGAAACAGACAAAGAAGAAAGTGGTGATGATGATGAAGAAGATAGCGATGATGACGATGATGATTATGATACCGATGGTGATAGTGACGAAAAAGACGACAACAAAGATGAATCTCAAACAGAAAAGAAAAAGAGAAATACAAACATCAAGAAACAAAAGACTTCAAAGACAAAATCATCACCTGTTTCTTCTAAACATTCTAAAAAGTATATTTATCACTTGTTACTCTCTTCCATTAATTAAACTAACCTATATATTTTTATATTTATTTATTTATCACAGAAAAGGAAATAATTACTATTTATCAATTTGCAATAGAGTAACAGAATACTATTCAAGATTAACAATATTTTTAGAAAGATACACACCACCAAACGAGTCTTTTGCCAACATTATGATGGACTATACCATTCCATCTTTATTTATAAGTGGACCTATCCACCTCGTTCAACTATACTCTATCAATCTCTTACGTGTTGTCTTTCAAAAATTCCCATCTCACCGCAACCAAATATTTGATCAATTACTATCAAGTTTACCAAAAACTCTTTCATTCAAAAAGCTCAATATTCGTACCTTTAAGTAAGTCAATCATGATCATTATTGCCATAAACCTATAAACTAATATAATATTATTTTTAAACAAAAACAGGTTAGAAAATGATAAATCAATTCAAAATATTAGTGCACTATTTTTACAATTGATTCAAAGTTCAGCCCAACTCCCCTCGGCCAAACAAGAGACTATCACCTTGAAATCCTCTTCTTTACAATCTTACCAAAATTTTATATCTATGATTATTTTATATTTTATTCAAAAGTATTTATTTATTATTAATTTGTAGTTTCAAAACTAAGAATAACCTTCTCACACTTCAACTACTTATTTTTTTAATTTTAGGTGTTCAATCAAAAATCCATCAGATGAATTTGATTATAGAACTATATTGGATAACTTTTTACAAGATATGTTGTTATTAATGAATCACCCTGATTGGCCAGCCGCCAACATGGTATTACACTTTTTGTCTGGATCATTGTGCGAGGTATTGTCAGAACAATCAAAGGTCAATTTAGGAGATCAAGTATCAACTCTTAAAGCCTTGTCAATTGATATATTGGGTACGATTATTGCCAAAATCAAACAGGAAATGTTGACCATTCAAGATGATATACAATCCCTACCATTATTATTATTGGAATTCCAACAACCTGCTGCCACCACCACCACCACCACCACCACAACAACAACATTGACAAACCAACATGTAATTTGTCAATGCAAACAGTATCAACCAATTGGATCATTTATGGTAAAATGTAATCAATGCAAGAAAACCTATCATGATCTATGTGCTCCAGATTATTCACTAAATGATAGTACTCACCACCAACAAACTTGGATTTGTGTTCACTGTAAAATCTATGACCAAATATCTGATTTCATACCATCAGCAACAACAACAACCATTTCATCAGACACACCACCCGACCAAAAACCAAACAAGACAACCAAAAAAAAATCCTCCAAAAGTAAAAAAGAAGATCCTATCAAAGAAGACAGCTACAACAGCGCAATTGATTTGCCAAAAGAGGATGGTGACCTACAACAACAACAACAACAACAACAACAAAACAAATATATTCAAGTTGGAAATGATCATGATGTAGTATCACAATTGATCATCAACTATTACCTTGAAAAAGAACAGCGAGAGCCATCAATGACCACCTCTAAGCAATTTACTATTGCCTATTGGTTTGATTCGATGAAATCTGCATTGTCACAAAAAGAGAAGCAATATTTGTTGTCCCAATGGGATAATCAACAACAACAACAACAACAACAACAACAAGGTGGACGAAGATATGTAATGAATCAAGAGTTGACATTTAAATTGTACAGAATCCTTTCAACTAGTATCAAATCATCAATCTTTCAAGTCTCTAATCAAATTCTCGACAAACTTTTAAAGGTACTAGACGATACCTCAAAAGCTGCAAGAGCCAAAACAATGAAATCTTTTTCTCTCATTGTTGAAGTCGATCCATCTGTCCTTGTAGATGTATGTTTAAGATCATCATACTTTAAAAAAAAAAAAACTAAAAATATTTATTTATTTATTTTTATTTCCCAATAGGAATATGTAGATACAATCAAAAAAAGGTTTTCTGATGATGCAATCTCGGTAAGAGAGCACACTGTAGATTTGATAGGAAAATATATATTGGTTAAACCAGAATCTACATGGAAGTATATGGATGCTATATGCCAAAGAATATCAGACAAGGGAATCAGTGTACGAAAAAGAGTAATCAGAACACTCCATGACATATGTATCAGCCAATCTGACCATCCAATGATTCCACATCTATGCAAGATAATGGTTACAAGAATATCAGACGATGACAGCATTAAAGATGTAGTTGTCCAAACCTTTAAGGATCTATGGTTCAATGACAATGATAGCAACGCTACCGCTGCCAATGGGTACAAACAAAAAATTATCAACAAAACCAAACAAATAGTTGAAGTTGTAAAGATGTTAAATCAAGATGATTGGTTTGTAGATTTAATCAAACAACTTTTGGATGAAAACCAAGCTAAAAAAGGCAAAAAAAAACAATCAAAGAAAACAGCGCAACAAGTAATGAGCACATGTCAAGATATCTGCTCAAATGTTATCGAAATCTTAATTTCCTTTGATGAAAAGAAACGATCCAAAGAACTTCCAGAGTTCTTGGCCTTGTTTAAATGCCTCAGAATATTTTGCAAAGTCAACCCATCTTTTTTAACACCATTTGCCAAACTATTACATCCCTATATTAAACTAACAAAGGTATGAAAATCTTAAGGATAATATATAGATCCCATTAGTTGTACTAATTAGTTTATTTATTTTTTCTTTTAGGCAATTAATAACGAAGAATTAAAAGTATATATAAATGTAACATATATATTACAAAAAACCATACCAAAATTGGAAAATGTTGAAAAAGAATTTATTGAAACACTAGAAAAGGACTTGATTACTTTAATTAGTAACCAAGGATCACAACTAGTTTTATCCTCGATCAAATGTCTTTGCTCTATATCCCAAAACACTAGCTACAACTACAAGGTTGTCGAGAATCTTTTCTGCAAAAGCCTACAATCACTTCAAGACTGTGAACGTAAAACCAAAGGTGAACTATTAAGATCACTTTACATTACTGGTCTCTTGGTTAGATACTTTGACTTTGAAAAAAGAAAATATTTTAGCATTCTTCTTCCAGAGTCTTTAAATTTTGATGATGTATGTTATATCAACCAATCAAATATCTTTTAAAACATTTGTTATTTATATTAATATTTAATTATTTTATTAGGGAGTAATCGAGGTGATCATACCAATAGTTTCTAGAATCTACAAGTTAACCAAAGATAAAGATATCATTTCAAAGTCATTGGAAGCAATTGGCAACATTATTCTATCGGAACCATCGATTCTTATGTTTGAAACCATAAAAGAAATTCTATCAATATCATTATCCTCTCCAGAGGTTAAAATTAATGACACTGTTCTATCAGTCTACATCAAGCTATTGAAACATGAAGGAAAGAACAAGGATCAATTAGTTCATGAAACACCAGCCAAACAAGAGGATCAAATGTCAGACAATGATAGCCAAGAAGGAGAAGGAAAAGATAGAAAACCAATTATTTCTATGAATGTGGATATCGATGGAGAGTATGTAAAACGCGATAAATTGAACCCCTAGGATCATAAAAATTAATTAATTAATATTAATATCATGTTTCTTTAGGTCACTTGTAGCATCAATTCAAAAATTCTTTATACCAATTTGCAAACTATTAACAAACAGTGATCCAATGGTCAGATTAAAATCACTCACTGCAATAGAATTGATCGTTCACCAAGGAATCATCAATCCATTAGAGGCAGTACCTGAAATTATCACGCTAATCACTGATAGCAACTCTGAAATTTCAACATTGGCCTATCTAACCTTGAAGAAAATAGATGAAAAGTTTTCATCTACTCTCTTTAAAAGAATCATTGAAAGTTTACAAATTTGTTTTAAATTCCATAGTAGTTTGGGAACAAGTAAGTAATTACAAAAAAAAAAAAAAAGAAATATTAATATCTATATTTCTTTACTAAGACTAGTTTTTTGATTTAAAGAATCACCATATAATTTAGTTACAAAAGGGTTATCCAAGTTTTATTTATTGTTTAGAAGCATAAAACAATCTAGAACAATATTTATTCATCAGATCATGTCACAATTTGATGGGTGCAAGTCATTCAAGTACAAAGATTTGGAATTCTACCGATTTGTTGCAGAATTGTTAGCATCCCTTCCCTATGGAAACATGGATGAACTTTTCGAAATCATTGTATCTATTGACAAGATTTCATCGCTATCAGGAGCCTCACTACTAGAAGAAATCCAATCAATATTTTCTAAAAGAACAAACGAACCCAAAACTACTGTAACCGAACTACACATGCAAAATCTAGTTGCCTCCTCTCTTGTCATTACACTACTGGTACAATTGAAACAGTTCCTCATTAAAACCTATGGAATTACCAAAGAAAAGGCAACAAGTTATCTTCAAAATGATAAGAAAAATGCAGACAAGCTCCAAATATCCCTACCTGAATCTATTGTATTTACAAGAAACAATTATCCCTTTTCCCAGCAGTTCCCGTCATTGGAAGATACGAAAAAGGAGCAAACCCAAACTCAAATTTTCCTAGACTACAAAACTCTTATGGACAATGACAATGTTGATTACTCTGCAACGATTGAAACACCCAAACCTAAAAAAGAAAGAGTAGTTTCATCAAAAGAAAAATCAACTACAACAACAAAGAAAAGAAAAAGTTCCAATAAAAAATAATAATATTTATTTTAATAATATTTAGAGTTTTTTTGAGGTTAATGGAAAAAATACTTTTATTTGCGCTTATGTTTTGTTGAAAAATTATCTGTTTGTTTAAAGGTTGAGTAGGGAAATAGTTTAGGCTCTGCTTGTATCACGACCAAATAAACTAGTCTTTACCCAATCATTGGCAACCATTGTTCTATTTCTGATGGAAAGAAGTTTGCTAAGGTAAGCCGATCTCCACAAAAGGAAGGCGGCAAAGCCCTCACCAGTGGTGCCATTATAATCAAAGACCGATGTGGCGTCACCAACAAAACAAAGAGTGCCCATGTGACGGTACTTGAATAGTGGTTGCTTTTTGATTAAACCAGATAATTCGTCCTTTGACATTTGTTTCTTTTCCACTTGGTTTAATTCATTTGCCATATCGTTGAATAAACGTCCCAAATATCGACCCTAATTATTATTATTAGTCATGATAATCATAATCTTTGGCTTGTCTTAATAACTTACAGATTGAGATGCAACTTGGGCAGTTGGAGCCATTGGAGTTGGGGTAACAGAGCAATCGCCAATAGCCCAAATACCATCGGCACCCTTTACACGGAAATATTCATCGACTACAAGACCACGACGAGAGTTTTGCTCCTTTGGTCCAATTGAAGCAATAAGATCATTTGTAATCTTTCTTGGACAATTTCCAGCGGCCCAAACCAACATGCCATAGGGAATTTCTCTTGCTTCCTTGTCCGATCCCTTGACAACAATACTCTTTTCTCTGACATTAGTTACCGCGGTTTGAGTCCAAATCTTGGTCGTTGGTGATGATTGTAACTTCTTTTCAACATGATCTATAAGCTTTTTGTCAAAAACAGTCAAGATGTGTGGAAGTGCCTCTACCAATGTAATTCTAACACGATCGGTGAGGTGCTTTGGGAATGATTTTGAAAGATCTTCTCTTAGGAAATCATTTAATTCACCTGTAAATTCAACACTAGTGAAAAGAAGAAGAAGAGATTAATTAATTGTCTGAAAAATGTATTATTGTTTTGTTTTGAACTTACCCAGATGGACCTCCACCAACAACAACAAAGTGAAGTAATCTATCAATTTCTTTTTCAGGTTGACCAGGGTATCCAGCCGTTTCAAGACAATCAATAATACGATCACGAATAAGACGAGTGTCATTGATATCCTTGAGGAAAAAACCAAATTCATTCACACCTGGAATGCCAAAAGTGGCACTAGCTGCACCAACTCCCATAACCAATTGGTCATATGGCAATTGGAACTCATTGACCTCGCCCTTGACAGAACTGTTATCAAAGCATTTGATTGTTTTGTTGACTGGATCTACAGAAAGACACTCGGCTTCAATAAAGGTAACCTCTTCTGCATCGGAACGCTTGCAATAATTTCTGATTGGTTCAATGATTGAACGACTGTCTACGGTTCCGGTAGTGGTACCTGGGAGTAGTGGTGTAAAGATGAAATAGTTACGTGGAGAAATAACGGTTACGTTATACTTGTCGGTATGTAGCTTTCTGAGCATACACAAACTGGCCCATCCAGAACCCAAGATAACGAGACGTGGACGTTCCTTTCTCTCTTGATCCGTCAATTTGGTTCTGTACTTGTCCGTTAAGATATCCAAATCATCGTTGATTAAAAGGTCTAATAAATAAAGACCTGTGATACCTCCAATACCTATTCCTCCCCATTTCAATAATCTATTGGTTTTTTTTGATGATGATGATGATGATTGTTCATTATTATTATTATTATTATTATTATTATTATTATTATTATTATTATCTGTTGAAAAGTTTCTAATATTTGGAAGACTGCTGTACTTGTTTGATGTTGTCGTTGTTGAGAAAAGAGTAGATGATTGAGATGATAATAGAGTTGATCTAAAAACATTAGTCGATGTCGACTTTAAAACCGATGTTTTAATGTTATTTAATAAATGAATTCGGTTCATTTGTTGTCTATATACATATAAATATAAATTGTTAGTATGAGCCCCAACAACAGTTTGATGATGATCACTGTTGGTGGGTACGCAACGAGAAAAAAAAAAAAAAAATGGGAAAAAAAAATTCTTCTTTATTTTTCCTTTGATAATCAGATTCTATCACAACACGAACAACTATATATGGATGGTTGTGCAATGTAACCAATACAAGTTGCATGTTGATCTATCTTGGTAACAATATTACAATCGAGAACTCTCGTCTACGTCTATCTGTGTTGAGTTATATTGTTGTACTTTCAACCCCATTTTGTTGTGGCAGTAGTAGTAGTAGTAGTAGGATGAACATCTAATGAATGTGATGATTATTTGTTTCAAAAAGATAAAAGGTACACTACTTTACAAAAGGGTCTTGTCTTGACCACAATTCAATTTGATTTTTTATTAAAAAAAATCTATAAAAATTTGAGAGGAAATTTCAAAAAGAATGCCCGACGCGACTATCATATGAGCCCTGATTTGGGCTTAATATAATATATTCATTTTTGATGTATTTATTATTATTATTATTACTATAATTCATTATTTGATCTAATATCATCTCTGATATTATATGCTTGTGCGATGATTTGATCCATATCTATACCTGGTAGATGTTGAAGAAATGCCAATATTTCAGAGTGCTCCAACTCTAACAACTCTTCTGAAAAATTAATGAGAATAGCCAAACAAACATAGACATGAAGATCTAATCCTAGTTGTGCAGATAGATAACTATCCCACAATCTCAATACACAATCTAATGGTAACTCTACCGATAGTAAATATCTAATCCAACTCATCGCCCAGTCATTACTATTGATTTCTTCTTCTTCAAAATGACTAAATCTATATAGAGAGAGAGAGAGAGAGAGGGATGAATGATAATGACAGACAGATAGATTAGATATTGTTGTGTTATATGTATCAAAGACTATGTCTCTCTATAGTACATACAATTCAGGAATGACAGATCTAAAATACATCATAAATCTTGATAACCTAGAGGTTAGACTATCTTGAGCAAGATTCTCTTCAATCTTTTTCATCATTGCACAATAGCAATGAAAGATATCACTTTCAGATTGTAGAGTGCACATGAATGGACCAAGTATGGCCAACATTCCAAAGTTGTATTCAATGTCATTGTTGTAGTTGATGTATGAGATGATAATATTTTCAATCTTGTTTCTAATGTCGACACCTTGAAAATCAATCTTTAGCTTTGTTGATTCTTTACTATGTATTTGATAACGTTTTAAATGGTTTCTAATCTTTTTGGTAATCTCTGCATCATTTTTATCAATCTCTTTATAATCAATCTCTTGTTGCTTTTTAACTCTTTCTTCTTCAGCTATAGAGAGAGGAGAGGATATGATTAGATGAATGTTTAATGTTTACAGACAGTGATTTATAACCAAAACTTATAATAATACCGTACACTTGTCATTCTTTGATACACCGACAAGATACTTCCAAACCTCAGATCTTACACGCTCTGGTATTCCGTGTCGAGAGACTGCTACCAATTTGTCCATATCAATTGACACTTCACTTCCCAATATCTCTAAAAACTCTTCCTCTGTGCATGCCATCTTCTTGATTATTATTCTTATTCTTATTATTATATTGTTTGTCAAAGTTTAATGCAAAATATTATTCGAGTACATGCGCTTAAAAAAAAAAAAAAAAAAGACCATTAAAAGAATTCATTTAAAATATAATTGGCTTTGATGATTGATATTAATATAGTAGGAGTTTATCAACGATCGATCAGATCCTATTTTGAGAGGATATTAATTATTAATTGATTGATCTTAATTATATAATTTAATAGCCAATAACATTTGTTGAACGGGTTTCTCAACGACCTTGGAAATGGTCAATTGAAATTTGGGATTAGATGGACGAAAAACTTGATATTTTATCGGGTACCGTACTCTCTGATAGACCTGGGTGTTTCCGAGCTCTTGTTTTTGGGATTTTTTGAAAAAACGTAGAGGACGTTTGCGTTGGAGGAGCTGATGATTTAAGTCTGCCGTGGTTTCTCATTGTCATTATTCACATCATCATCATCATCCAACAAATAATATTATACAAATAATGAGATTCATTATTCTTTCAATTTTGCTCGCCTTTTTGCTTGCAGCCACCGTTCAAGCAACCATCAAACAATCAAACACCTGCAAATGTGTTTTCCATGACGGTACCACTAGAGAAATCTTAGCCTACAGGTTAGTAGTCATTGTCGTTGATTTGACATATCTATCTCTGTTGGAACCCTTTTTACTAACGTTTTTTTTTTGATATTTTTATCATGATTATAGTCAAGAAAACTGTGAGGAAAGATGTCAACTCGTCGCCTCTGTTTCATCCCCAACCTGTGATGGTATGTTTATATTTATAACAACAATTCCTTCCATTCCCTTTATTATATCTAACTCAATCCTTCTTTTTACTTTACTTTACTTAACTTACTATTATATTTAGTTGCTACCTGTGTTTGCGTTTGTCCAAAGGCCAAGAGAAAATGTAACTCTTCAGGTCCACCATCTTCCTCTGGTGGTAGCACTCATGGTGGTGCTGGTGCTGGTGGTGCTGGTGGTGCTGGTGGTGCCGGTGCTGGTGGTGCTTCCTCTTCATCTGCTAGTGCATGTGGTTCTGGTTCTGGTTCCAGTGGATGCACTGGTACTGGTTCTGGTTCTGGATCTGGTTCTGGATCTGGTTCAGGATCTGGTTCTGGTTCTGGTTCAGGTATGGCTGTCTTTGACCAAGAAAAGGTTGGTGCTACCTGCAAGGGTAACAAGTGTCCATGTGCTTCTGAAAGCGTTGCTGCCATTTACAACTAAACAACAACAACTATCGATTATCGTTCCGTATGATGATCATGATGTATTATTGTACACACATAATTGTCACTTTTTAAATAAAATACAACAACTTTATTATTGTAATATATATTATTGGTATTTCTTTGATTTCATCAGAATGAATTTAATTAAAAAAGATTATTAAAATTTTTTGGTTGTTCAAACCATTATTATTATTCAAGAGAGATAAGAGAGAAAGAAACAAAAAGGGATGGAGAATTTATCATCTAGTTCAGGATCGATTAGTTCTAGTCCCTCATTAAGTAATACTACTGCTTCATTGGATCAAGACAAGATTCAAAAGATCATTGTCAACTATCAAAAGTTAAAGAATCAGAATGCTCTACTTAAAAAGGCTATCATTCAAGAACAACAAAAGAATTCAGACCTGGACAAGGATATAAAGTCAAAGGAACAAGCACTTGTTACTTCTATGCAAGAACATGATATATTAGAATTTAATAATCAGAGACTAACAAAGAGAATACAAACTATTCAAGATGAAATGAATAGTCCATCGGCTGTATGTTAAAACATATAATAATAATAAATAATAATAATAATAATAATAATAACAACAACAACAACAATCGTTGCCTATTAAACTTATTTTATACACTTTTTCTAGAAAAAGGATAGTGGAGGATCATGGTTCTTTAACAATTCCAAGATTGAGTTACAAAAGAAAGAAGATGAAATCAATTTATTAAGAATAGAACTTCAAGAAAGAATAGATGACAATGGTATTTAAATCTATGATATCATCGTACAAAGAAACGATCGATTTGTGTGTGTGTTAACTCTACATCTCTCTCTCTCTCTATCTCTCTCTCCTTTTTAAGCAAACCTTCACACAGTGACCAATGACAAAGAGGCAGCATTTAAACAAATGGAAGCAAGTCTAAGATTGGAGTTGTCAGAAAAGGATAAATCATTAACTGAAAAGGACAATAAGATTAATCATCTTGGAGAACTTCAAAAGCAAAATGAACAAAATTTAATTGACCAAACTCAGTCACTCAGGAGTAACATTGGAAACCTTCAATCTGATTTAAAAAGGTTTGTAATATCATATGTACAAAGTAATCTATAACATAATATTAATATAAATACTTGCTTGTTTGTTTTGTTTGTTTGTTCACCTATAGAACATTATCAAGCATTAAATTGAGAGATGATGTAATGGAACAACTGAATGAACTTTTAGCTCATGCCATTGATAATAGTCCTTCAATAACAATCGTATGTTGGGGGTACAATTGAATATTGGAACAAACTAACCTTTTTTTTTTCTTTAGAACTATCCATTAGAAAATATTACACCATCAAACGAAAGAATCAGCATAGAATCTATCATCTTTGATAAAGATTTTTCACTAGATCCAGATTCCAAAACTATAGAACAACTTTCTAATCAGAATACATGGAAGCCATCAATCAGACAAACCATCCAACTTATACAGTCCATTTTCTCCAATAACCTCCAACAGATTTCTTCCATTATATCATCTCATACCGATTCTGTGAGAAAACTAGAACAAAGCCAACATCAAGATAAACAATCTTTAAATGGTAAGATGATTAAACAACCAAAGAATAATTTCTTACTAACTTTTTATGTCCAAAGAAAAAATGAATCAATTATCACTTTTAAATGAGGAAAATCAATTTACGTTGAATAGTCTCAAAGAAGAAATAACTCACAAGGATCAAACCAATCTCACTCTTACAAGAAACCTAAGTGATCAAAAAGATATTCTTGAACAATTGGTAGGACAAGTAAAAGAAGAGAAAAAGTATATCATGCAAGATTATTAACAAAACACCAATTCTTTTATATAACAGTCCGATTCGAACAAGGAATATGAAAATCAAGTTGTTAAACATCAAGAGAATTTCAAAGCAATGAAAGAGAAATTGGAAAAGGAATTAGAGGATTCACGTAACAATAGCAAGAATGAGATTAAACAATTGGCAGATCAACATCAAGGTCTATTAAAACATCAAAAACAGTTGTTAAATAACAAGATCGATGAACAAAAGAATATCATTTCCCAACATGAAAAGAAAATATCTCTCTTGGAACAACAGCAACAACAAATAATTAATCAACAAAAGTTACAAGAATCAACTCTTGTTAATTTGGATGATTTCTCTCTTCCTACCTCTTCTGTGCCATTAAATAATATTAGTGAAAATGAATCACAAACAACATCAAATAATTTGATAGATTTACTATTTTTAGATACAATCAACGATAATAATAATAATAATAATAATAATAATAATAATAATAATAATAATAATAATAATAATAATGAGAATAATGATAATAATAGTAATATGGAAACAGTAGATACTCCACAACAAGACAAAACAGAATTATCACCAAAATTACAAGAAACGAGTCAAGAAGATGGAGTGGTTCAAAACAACACAGGTAGTTCAATTATACCCTCTGGTAGATTTAAACTTACAGTATTGGACGAAACAGGAGAGCTATCAGATACTCTCAATTTAACTTTTGAAGACAAGGAAAGAGAAAAGGAGATGAGAAATTACTATGAATCAAAGATTACACAGCTTTTGAACAAAATATCAAACATTGATGCCAAGGCGATGAGGTATTATGATCAGTTTAATCAACTAGCCAAAAAAGGACAAAACGACGAAGCAATGCAAAAAGAAATTGAAAAGTATCGTCAGGAAGCGCGCAACACCAAGGAGGAATTGGAAATCACTCGAACAAACTATGATCAACAAATGAAACTCCTCACAGAACAATACATCTCACTCAACGAATCAATTTCTGCCCTTGACACTGACCTAATTAAAATCAAACAACACAAGGTGGTATGTGCAAAATGCAAAGCTTGGAATCCTCTCGATCATATCTTTTCACCTGATAACCACAACTTAATTTGTCTCAAAGGCAATCATCCAATTCAAACCATTGTTCCTTAATAAATTGATAGAAATGTTCCTTGATTTTATTATTTATTTATTTATTATTTATTAAAATTAATTCCTTTTTTCCAAAGAGTTGATAATTGTTCAACAAATAAAAATGTTAGGATGGTGTGGGGACCAAGTCTTAGGAAATAGGGAGTGAATCCTTTATAAAAGGCAGCAACACCTTCAGATTGGAACGTTTTTATGAAACAATCCAACGATCCCTTATATCTGGGTGCATCTACAGAGGATGATCCACTAGTGGTAGTCTTTGTGTTCATAATCCTAGTCTTTACTACATCCAATGGACTTGTAACGAGTGATGCAACAAATGCAGCTATGGTACTTGCTATCAAGTGTGTTTGAATGTTATCTACAAAATATCCACTTTCCAACATCATTTGTTTTGCTTGGTCATATGATGAAATCTATAGATATTTGAAGGGAGGGAAAAAGGCCTTTTTTTTAGTTATTATTCCTTTTTTAAATTTATATATAAAATTCCAACATACTTGACCAGCAGTCATAAACATAGATCTTAAAATGTTTGGTGAGCAACCACGCCATAAAGAAAAGAAACCTTCTTCTTTTGTTATTCTAGATATTCCATTGAATGCACTTTTATAATTTCTTCTTTGATCAGGAGGTAACTTGCCATCTGCCTGCATACGAACCATAATAACATCTGCTGGTGTTCCAACAATCGCTCCACCCGCACCGGCCAACATTCCAACCATAACCTTTTTATGAAATGGAATTGACTCTATAGAAATGATGATTAGTAAATCGATAAGAGGTGATTCTATTTTACGATACTTGTTTGATCATTATTTTTACATACTATTCTTTTCAGACGAGAGTAATAGATTTTTAAAAACATCATATAATCCAAATCTTGTTGTTGTATAAGTAGCTTGTCTTAGGAGTGATGCTGATAGACTATAGGTATATGATAGATTAGGTATGGTAAGCAATGCATATTTGTCTAATATTATTCCAAATATCCAACGTTGGACCATGATGATGATGATGATTGTGATGATGATGATGATTACCCTTTGTATAAAGTAAAAATGCCTTCAGTTTCATGAATATGTTTAAGCATACTAAAAGAACCCTTTGGTGTTTGATTCAATAGTTGTTGAGAGGATGCAGTCATTGGATTGCTAGAAAGTTCACCTTGTAATTGCATTCTAACCTTTAATGAATCGATTGGGTGAGTGACAGCAGCAGCCATCATACCTGCCAAACCACCTGTAATAAACTGTTTAATTTGTGATTCATAATCTGTTTGTTTTGGTTGTTGCTGTTGGTTCGTCTCTATAACAGATAGATAGATAGACAGATTAGTACTGATATTAGAGGGGGAAAAAAATGATAGCTACTTAAGTTTACATTATTAATATTATTATTATTGGGTGTGTCGATCGATTGGTTGTTATTATTATTATTATTAGTTCCCATCTAGATTTATTAATAAATGTTTGAAGATCAAAACTAATTAATTTGTTGTATTTTTTATCAACCGTCTTTCTTTTTTTTTTTTTATATTTTTGAATAGTCCTAAAACACTGTCATTTTGGACAACGACAAGAAAGGAAGAGATATATATACAAGAGAGAGATTATACATTTTATCTTTGTCTTTTTAATATGGTACATTTTGTTGGTAGAACTAGAAATGAATCCAACTTTGATAATAGTACAACCAACAACAACAACAACAACAACCAAGACGACATCAATAGTAATAACACAATAAAAAGCGACTATAAACAACAACAACAACAACAACAACAACAACAACAACAACAACAAAAACATATTAAAGAGATTTCTTTAGAGATTCATCAACCAATTCTTAAAGCGCCATCTCTTGATAACAACAACATGTATAACAACTCTAATAATAATAATAGTAGTACTAGAAGATATACTAGTATATTTAATCAAAACTCTTCGTCTGCAACAGAGTCTGATGATACAACAATTCATCTTTTGAGAGAAGAGTTACAAGAAGAAACAGAAATAGACACTAAAAATGATGATGATGAGGAACAAAATAGTATATTGGTTAGTAGGACAAACAACCACAACAGTGGTACAGAATTTACTATACCAGAATCCTCAATTTCATCCACCTCAACTCCATCCAATAATAATAATAATAATAATAGTAATAATATATATGTAACATTAGCGTTTCTCACTTGTATGATCATTATCTTTACGTTGATATTTTATTTCTCTAAAAACCTTATATCATTTTTGGAGATGGTTAAAGACTTGGGATTTATTGGTAATTTAATATTTGTATCATCTTTTATTCCGACTGGAATACCACTTGCCCTATTCAGTATATATATTCCTTTGACACTCTCTAGCGGTTTTGTCTATGGATTTGTCAAAGGTTTATTGGTCACTACGATTGGAAGTGCATTATCGGCATCATTTGGTTTTTGGATAACACGAAAGGTTGGAATGAAATGGCTAGAATCTAAGATTGAGTCAAGTCCAAAACTTTCATCTCTAAGATCAATGGTTGAACATCACCCAGCCAAAATTATAATATTTATTCGTTTGATTCCTGTACTTCCGTATGGAATTCAAAATGGTTTATGTGCGGTAGGTATCATGGAAATATTTATATTCTAAACCTTATATTAATTCAATTAATCAATCTAGATGGCACGAATTTCATATTCAACCTATATTTACTCATCATTGATTGGTTTGTTACCAGAGAATTGTTTAATAGTTTATGTTGGTACAACAATCAAAACTCTTTCCGACATTACAAATGGGAGCAAAAACCCTTTTACCTATTATCAACGATCATTGTTGGTTGTTGCCATTATTTTTGGCATTATATTATCTATAATTGGAAAGAAAGTTCTAAGCAGTAAATCACTTCTAAAGCCTCCATCAATTACCCTTTCAAGTGAATCATTGGTGACGACCATTGGTATTGATAGCCAAGAATCAGATAATCACGATCAAAAACAAGTGTTGGAATCAAAAGATTATATTTTAACGATTAAATCTTCTCTGCCCTCTACTTCTTCTTCTTCTTCCTCCTCCTCTTCTTCCTCTTCTTCCTCTTCTTCCTCTTCTTCTTCTTCTTCTTCTGTTTCTTCTCCTAATCACTTGCTGCATGCAACAACATTAAAATCGAGAAAAGAATAAAAATACAAAAACCACTTGTTCTTTTATTGCTATAAGAATCATTTAAATTGGGTTTGTCGTGTGTTTTAATTTGGTCAACTTAACATCGTGATCCAAGGAGCCCGTAACTAACCAATTAGAATTTGGATGCCAATCTACAGCCACAACAGGACCAGAGTGGCCTGATATTTGTCCTACTGGATTACTATTATCAATCTTTTAGGATGGAAAAGAATTTTTTAGTTGGGCAGTTTTAAAAATTATTATTTTTCTTTTTTTTTTTGCATACATTGTAAATTAAAGCATATTTTGAATTTGATCCAACCGCAAACGAGGTTCCCTCTGGATTGAATGCAATCTTTGTAGTTCTGTGAATGTCGGTGGGGAAACCAGGGTACTCATACTCCTTTTCTGGTTTTCCCATTGTATGTATATTCCATTGTGATAGCTTGCTGTCCTTGCCAATTGTAAACAACTTGTGATCAGAGAAAAACTGAACAGATATAATCTCATTACTGTGAGCTTGCCATCCACCAATTGGAGACCCACTTTTTATATCTAAAAGGTAAATAGGAGGAGATTAGAAAAAATGATGATTTTGTTTTAAAATGATTTCATTCTATTTTTTACGTACCAAAAATTCTAACTGTTCCATCAACACAACCAGTGGCCAACAAAGTTCCATTATTATTAAAAGACATTGAATTAATGATTGCATTCGATGAGGATAATCTATCTTCAATTTTCAGTGTTCTAAAGTTCCATGTATTTACCACCCCATCTGTTCGGGAATTGTTTGTTGACGAGGAAGCAAATGAATTGCCATTAGGATTACATACAATGTCTTCAACTCGAGGGTAGTCGGCAGAGGTATTAATATCTCCCACTGCCTTGTCTGTTGTTGAATTCCATAACTTGATTTTAGAATCTGTTGTTCCACATAGTAACTATAAATAATTGAAATGGGGGGGGGGGGGGGGGGGGGGGTTAGAACAATATAAAGTCATTTGTTTATAGCAGCAATAGTTGAAAATGTACCAATTTAGTTTTGTTTTCCCATTCCAATGAAATAACTTCTGATAAGCAATAAATGGTTGTATGTCTTGTAAAACCATCTACATTTGATATTCTGACAGTTCCATCAACCGAACTGCTTGCAATTTTTGACCCATTTGAAGAGAATTTACATCTTGTTATGGCTGTGGTATGAGATGTGCATGCTTCTTGAGATTCAATAGTATAGGATGACTCACCACCTCCAGTGTTGGCAGAGATTAATGATGGGTTCAAAGATATCTTTTGATTTCTTTTCCCAAGATCATCCATTTCAGTCATTTCAAATGAAGATGTTGGGTTAGATAAGGCTTGAACAGATCTTCTTGATCTTACTGATCCAATTACTACTTTATCATCTTCATCTAAATTGATATTAAGGTTAGCATTGATTATTACTTTGATTTTTCAAATTTTGACAATACCATTACTAACTGTTGAGGATTGTAATTTTTGTTGCATTGTAGGTGAAAGTGATTGGTCCAACTTTGCAGTATTTGAAGACTCTGTTCTTCTGCCTCTTGAAAATTGACTGTGGTCTGCCTTTTCTTCAGATGAAGAACCCTTTTCTTTTACCAAATCTCTTCTTGACTGATACTCCAATTTGTCGACCAATGACCTTAATTCTTCGTTTTGATTTATCAAACTTTCAACTTGTGATTCCAATCGCTTTCTGTTTTGTCTTTCAAGATTAAATTGTAGTATTTTTGGTAATGCTGCAAAAATGTGATTGTGATTAATATTAAATATAATTTAAATTGTCTCTTTACAGGTTTGTTAGAGAGAGAGATGAATGGATATTTACGAATATTTTTAAATATAGTTGATAGAAAATTTCGAAGACTTAGGGAAAATGCCTCTGACCAACCCTTGGAAAAGTAAACCTCAAATGCTGGATCAAAATGTGGAGTTTTAAGATATGGTAGTGCTAAAGATATTTATGATGATAATGGTAAATAAATATTTCAAAAACAACAATAACTAAATAAAACTACGTACCAAACCAATGCTTCCACTCTGGATCTTTAATTAATTCAGAGCTATAGATATCGAAAAACTCTCTAACCTTGTCCAATTTCCCACTATTAACAGCAGAGACTAGATAGTATTTCTTGAGAGAGTCTGAAAGCTTTTTAATGGTTGCAGAGAAATCTTGCCTGTTGACACTGCTATTGTTGTTGTTACTATTGTTGTTTGTTGTAGATGATGATGATGTAGATGATTTAAATCCATAATGAGTGTTATAATCTATTCTATTGAAAAATGTAGAATCGAGAAAGTTCCACAGCTCTATTAGGTGTTGTATGTCATAGTTGTTGATATATATATTGATCTGCTCTAATATCTTGTCCACCTGAAATCCCTTTAACTTATCACTCTTCTTTTCAGCTGAAAAGTAATGATTGGTTTGTGTAAACCCTCTAAATACAAGGTATTCTTTTACCAATTCATCAATATAACTAATTGATAAATGATTCATCTTTACTTTGCTATGCGGCGATATATATGTATCTAAATAAATTGGATGATGTTGTGCAGTGTATCAAAAAAAAAAAAAAAAAATCGAATATTGAAAATATTTTCTAAAGACAAGTCTGGTCCAGACCAGAAAAGTATACAACTAGTCGATAGTATTAAAAGTATTTTTTTTTATTTATTGTTTATTGAGGAAAACATTTTTCTTTGGTGTTGGGGCAATTGCTATTATTATAAATCAGAGAGGTGGTTCTTTTTAATTTACGAATTTTGGACAACCTTGTTGGATAGCGTTTTGAGAGGTTGCTGGAAGAGAAGCCCATTTGCCTTGGAGAGCAGACTTGATGAGTTGGTAGGTTTCAGAAAGTTTAACCTTGGTTTCTTCGGTCAAGTGGGGCAAAGATTGTTCGAAAATGTTGTAGACAGCAGGTACTCTTTCAAAAGTAACACCAAAAGTTTGTTCGGGGTACATTTTAAGGATCTCAATAAGATTTTCGGTACAAGAGGCAGATTCAGTCTCGTCAGTGATTGGAAGTTGAGAGAGCCACAATGGAACGATTTGGTTGGCGTGACCACTTAATTGTGGTTGATAACGAACGAATCTTCCAATTGCAGAGATTGCATTTTCAGTAGCCGTTATATTATCTTCATTCTTGGAGTTTGGACTAGAGATAAGTTTGTTAAGTCCCTGTAAGGATTGGATCAAGAATGGCTCGAATTGTTGGAGGGCAGTTTGTGAAGCAATACCCAATCCATATGAAGCGGCGTGACGTACGGTAGCGTCGTTACTACCAAGAGAGCTGATCATTGGTGGAATGACGTGAGTGTAAAGGTTGATGGCTTGTTTACCACCAAATTCGCAGAAATCGTCCAACAAACACAACATGGATGCTTGTACAGATTTCTCTTCAGAGTTGTCGTTGATCTTATTCAATACATTGGAGAGGATATCAGTGGCGATGGTTGGGATTGTGTTTTCCTTGTTCATTCTGATGAGGTCACCAATCATACCAGTGGCGCTACTGTAGGCATCGAGGATGTAATCGATTTCACCACCGTTTTGTGGATCATCATCTTCTTCATCTACATCGTTTTGTAAATCTTCCTTGAGTTCATCCAAATTTTCAATGACGACGATATAGGCAGTGACAATCGATTTGATTTGATCTTGGTTGAGTGTCTTTTCTCCCATGGCAATGATAAGATCACTGACATGTCTGAGCTTGGTAGAGATGATTTCAGAATTGGTTTCAGTGTTTGTAGATTCTAAAAGTCTCTTGAGGAGCATTTGGAAGAGTGTAGCAGTATCGCTACTGGTGATGGTGGTTTTGGCAATACAGATTGATAAAAGATTTGGAACGAGGGCAGCTGCGTTTGCTCTAATCTCTTCATTGAATTCATAGTCGAGAAGTTTGAGGACTGGTTCGATTAATTCTGGCAAGTATGAAAACATCATATCTTGTAAAATGTCGGCGTAGAAAGTTAACAATGAGAGAGCCAAAGCCTTGTTGTCCATGGCCATAACACCAACTTCAGAGATTTGATGTTCAAATTCATCTTCGTCGGTGATAATCTCTACCTTGGCCTTGACAGCATTGATAAGAGGCTGCATTGTGAAATTGAGGTATTGTGCAAATTCCTTGCCAAGACATTGACAGAATCTAGTACAAGCTCTGAGGAAAAAGTCAATTTGAGGGTCATCTGATTCAAATGCTGGTCTCTTGCTCATATATTCCATAAAGAGTTTGAGATCACCTGCAAACATTTCTTTGCCAACTGCAAGACCAATAAGACTGAGTGCTTCCATTGCACGTCCACGGAGCGCTCTAGTTTCTTTGGTGGTACTAGAATCCAATTTTTGAAGAATAAATGGAACAAATTGTTGATAGTACTAAGTGAGTGGAAAAATAATATTGAATATTAATATAACATGTCGACGACATCAATCCATCAGATTCTGCTGGTATTTAAAATATTTGTGTACATACTGGCTTGAATTGATCACCAATAACTTCAACAACTGATGAGAAAGCACATAGAGCATTTTCAGCAACAAAGTAATGTGGAGAATTGAGAAGTGGAAGAAGAGCAGTAAAGAGATCACTAGTGACTGGTTCAACCATGGTCTTTTCAGATTCCTCCAAGAATGAAGTAATAAAGAGACATGCTACACCTTGTACACGGGGGTTTGGATCTCTAATAATATGACCGAGTGCTGCAAACAACTGTTTGTGGTGAACTCTGAGATCATCACCATAATCTGTTGACATTTGTCCCAAACAAAAGAACAAAGCCCATCTTACTCTTGGGTTTGGATCATTTACAGTTACTAAAATTTCACTAAAATTAATTAATAAAAAAGAAAAAGTTTGAAATGTAAGTTTGTTGTTGTTGTTTTTAATATGATTCTTTTTTTTTTTTTTTTTTTCTTACTTTAATAATGGACCAAGATGCTTTGATAATTGATCCTTTAAACCTTCACCAATCATTGTTAAACTGAGTAAAGCAGCATATTTGTGATTCCAATGTGGAGATTTGATGAGTTTTGGAATAAATTCAATGATGATTGGGGCCAAAGCCTTTCCGAGACAATTTGCCAAACGATCGAAACCTTCTTGTGCAACATCGGCGTTTGTATTTTCTTCAGCCTCGTTTCTGTCGGTTTCTTTGCTGTTCCAAGTGTTGATATCGATTTCATCGACTTCAGACAACCATTTGTACATGAGTTCGACGAGACCATTGAGATGACCGAGGTTCTTTTTCCAGGCAGAGGCTCTTTTTTCGGCAAGCACCATAAAGAACTCAAATACATAGTGTCTAGTGTCATCTTCGGCGGTTTCATCAACCAAAATTTTGAAAAAAGTTTCAATCACAAGTGGAATGTGGTTTCTGAACCATTGTGGTTTGATTTCACAGATGGCAATAAATATATAGATGGCTTCTTGGGCACCCTTTTCTTGATGTGCCTCAACGGCGGCAGTGATGGTTCTCAACATGGTTGGGAGTAGTGGTTGGAAGATGGCAGAATCGATTTCTGGGATTGAAAGGAATTGAATGATTGCCTTTAATGAAGCAATTCGAACCATCAAACTTTGATCATTAAGACCCTTATCCATAAGTTGCTTGAACAATTCGATACTAGAGGCAATTTGTGGTCCCAAAAAAGGTACAATTTGTCCAATAATTAAATAACTTGTCTCTCTAAGAGCCTCGTTTGCACATGTGGCAGCATTAATTAAAAATGGAATTAAATCTCCCCATTGTCCTAAATAAATAAATAAAAAGAAAATAATGTTAAAAGGAATGAGTATTGGTTGTTTTGTTTGTTTGATTTCTTTTTTTTTTTTTTTTACTTACCCTTGATGATTAATTCAGGTGCCATCGAAGCAATGATATCGACAATCTTGTGTCTAATACTTGCTGATTGTTCAACTTGAACAGCATTAAGTAATTCAATCTTTAATGTATTTTTAGTGTCGCCTGATAATTTTTCCCACAATGATTTCTTGTGATCAGGCGATACAAGTGGACGAATCAATACTGATGCATACTCTTTTAGCTAAAAGAGTATAAAAGAAAAAAAAAAAAAAAATATGATTCTATTATTAATAATCTTTAAGAGTCCCTATGTAGTCTTTTAGTTTTGTTTGGTTGGATTAGTAATACTGTACAGTTTTATCGTCACATTTTACTGTAAGGAATAATAAGCAAGGAATCAATTGATTTGGTTGTTCCTTAAAGGCATTGAATCTTTCCTCTGCTTTCTTGATAGTCTCAGTGTCGCCACTTGCTAAAGCACGAATGATTTGGATGAATTCTTGTGGGATATGCTCCATTTTCGACTGTGTTTTACTGTCTTTTGTTCTGCTGCTGCTGCTGCTATATATATATATATAGTTTATGTTGTTGGGTATAGTAAAATATATATAACTATTGACTATATCTTGACTAACTCGACTGGTGACAAAGTTGAAGAAAGAGAGGAGAAGGAAGCAAAGAGTGATAAAAAAAAAAAAGCTCGTCGATAAAGTTTGTCAGCCAACGAAAAAAAAAAAAAAATTACAAAAAAAAAAGGGTCAATGAAAAAAAAAAAAGCTCCTTGTTAAGAAACCGAACGATGTTCAAAGTAACTAAACAAACGACAAACAAATTAATTAATGTCTATACAAAAGTATTAGCTATGATAGTATCATAGTATATTTAAATATATATATATATATATATTCCAAGGATGATTTTTTTTAAAAACTACTTAAAAAAATTTCAAAAAGAGGAAAAAAAAAAAAAACTTTGGTACAACCCTCCTGTTCAATTTTAGTATTATATTAGTTACTAAATTGTGATTCAATGATGATGATTTCAAATTATATGAGAAGAACAACATGTTCTTCCCAAAGACTTTCTTTAATAAGATCGTCCCATTACACAACAACAACAACAACAACATCAAAGTCAATGAAAGAAAAGATTGTTATGGGTATAGAAACAAGTTGTGATGATACTAGTGTTGCCATTGTCAAAGGAGATAGAACCATTCTATCACAATGTGATATTGCACAATGGGATATTCATCGAAAGTTTGGTGGCATTGTACCAAAGTTGGCAAAGGAATCACATGAAAAGAATATAGATCGTGCAATAGAATGTGCATTAAAAGATGCAAACAAGAGCATAGAAGAAATAGATGCAATTGCTGTTACAATGGGTCCTGGTATTGCATTTTCTTTGGATGTTGGTTTGGAAAAGGCAAGACAATTGGCAAAGAAACATTCTATACCATTCCTTGGTGTAAATCATCTCGAGGGTCATTGTCTTACTTGTAGACTCTCTGATGAAGGTGCTCACGTTCAATTTCCATTTTTGGTTCTTCTTGTTAGTGGTGGTCATACTCAATTGTTGATTTGTCATGCTGTTGGACAATACACTCAAATTGGTAATACTTTGGACGACTCTGTGGGTGAGGCTCTCGATAAGGCCGCACGTCTTCTTGGTTGTGAATTTGGTGAATTACACGATGGAGAAAAACTATACAAGAATATACACGGAGGTGAAGCAATAGAAATATTGGCAAAAAAAGGAAATCACAAAGGATATACACTACCAATCCCAATGGTATCATCTTTAAACTGTGATTTTTCTTTTTCTGGTCTAAAAAGTCATTTAAAAAAAACAATAGACTCTTTAAAAGAAAAAAATCAACAACAACAACAACAACAACAACAACAAGAAGAACAAGACAATACAACAAATGACAACAAACTACAGTTGGTTGGAGGTTTGACAAATCAACAAAGATATGATCTAGCTGCATCCTTTCAGTTTACTGTATTTATGCACCTAGTTAAAAAGACTGAACGTGCCTTTGATTGGTATATACATAATACCAACAAAACAATCTCTCAAGCTACCTCTGTTCCTTCAAAAAAATCAAAATCATCTAATCAAAATAATAATCAAAATAATAATAATAATAATAATCAAAATAATGGATCACATGGAGATGTTTTATTATCTCCACCTACATGTTTGGTAGTTACTGGAGGAGTATCAAAAAATCAAATGCTTAGAAAATTTTATCAAGAGATATCTAGCTTTTATAAACTCCCTGTGGTGTTTCCCAATCCATCACTGTGTACTGACAATGGAGCAATGATAGCGTGGGCAGGTATTGAAATGCTCAAAGAAGATCTTAATATTGATCCAGATGATGCCTTTTATATTCCTGTTTGGCCACTAGACCCATCACCACCAACACTTTTTGCAACCAACCTCACAAACGAAACTATTAATCAGAGAAAGAAATGGTTCACTGATACTGTAGAAAAATATAGCCCTACTGGCCAACTTCCTTTACCCTTGAAACAAAAATTACAACAAAACAACAACAAGAAATAATAAAAACTTTGGATAGAGGTTGAAAAGATCTTTATTTGTTCAACAATTAAATGGAATTTTTACAATCTAGTTCAGCACCTCTATTGTATAGTTGGACAGATATAAGGTTGATTTCCTTGTGGATAACCTTTTTTTTTTTTTTCTTTTTTTTTTTTTTATAAACCTTTATATATATATATATAACAAACTATTTGGTTACGTTGATTAAAAAATTGGGGGGTTTGTATTATTATTTAGATTATTATTAATTATTATTATTATTATTATTTAATTATTATTATTGTTTCATTATTATTATTGTTTAATATTATTTTGGATTGTTTTAGAACTCTTCATCTTCTGGAATTGGGCAAGCAGCAGCCTTGGTGACTTGTTCTTCGTATTGATTCATCAAAGTACGGTCAATTTCAACTTCAGCTGGTTTGAGGTTTGGAGCTTGAACCAAGGTGACAGTCTTGTTACCGAGGAGCTTGGAGGTTAACCAAATGAATGGCTTTTCGAAATTGTAGTTTGACTTGGCTGAAACATCATAGTATGATGAGTTGAAACGACGATGGAAATGGATTTGTGATGGCTTGACCTTACGATCCTTGACATCGACCTTGTTACCACACAAAACGATTGGGATGTTTTCGCAAACTCTGGTTAAATCATTGTGCCAGTTTGGACAATTCTTGTATGAAACACGTGATGTGACATCAAACATAATGATGGCACATTGACCTTGAATACTAGTATAGTAGAAAGAAAGGAAAAATTTTAGTAACGAAAAAAAAAAAAAAAAAATTTTGCTTTCGTCTTTCCCTCCAAAAATGAACAAGAGAGAGGAGACGAAAGAGAGTTGGTGTTTGTGTCCTACTACATACTAGTAACCATCTCTGAGACCACCGAATCTTTCTTGACCAGCAGTGTCCCAAATATTGAATGTAATCTTTCCAAAGTTTGTAAAGAAAGTGAGTGGATGAACAGCTACACCCAAAGTTGCTATTATTATTATTATTATTATTTGTTACATAAAGGTGTTTGTATAAATGTAATAAGATGATTTCAATATTAGTTATTGTTATTGTTTGTTGTAATCTTCTTGTTGTTGTTGTTGTTTGACATTTGATGTTTAAAATATTGATGTTTAAAATCAATAAATATATACAAACAAATTATTTAATTATTGATTTTAAAACTAACTTGCCAATGATTTGTACAAACAGTCTCTATCTGTCTCTGCTGTTTAGTTCTATTTAGTTTGATACATACGAATATATCTTGATTCGAATTCACCGGTCAAATGACGCTTGACAAAAGTAGTCTTACCGACACCTCCGTCACCTACTAATACTAATTTGATTGGATCAGATGAAGTTTGAGTTTCAGCCATTTCTGTTATGAGGATATAGTTAGAATGTTGTAAAAGAAGGATACAAAGTTTATGTCTCTAAATACCTGTATATTATAAAGATTTATCACAAAGTGAAGAAAAAGGATACAAGATACGGACTGCTTTTAAAGCGGGGTATGTTTTGGTGAACAAAAAGAAAAAATGCTCGTGACTTTTTTTGAATTTTTTTTTGAATTTTTCTCGTATTGAAGAAAGTTCTCGTTTTTTTTTTTGTGAACATATTCTATTATTGTCAACTTTTAATAACTTTATTTAGGTGATAACAGAAGTAAGTGGAGCATTGAATGTCGGTTGTGTTGGTAAAGAGACGTTGTTGATGGGTATAGTCACAGATTGAGGGTTTGTAACAACAGGGATTGAAGTTGTAGAAGTTGTCGTGGTTGTTGTTGTTGTTGGGAATAAATGATCAATATGATATGATAATTTCTGACAAAACATATAGAGAGGAGCCTGTGATGATTTTAAAGAGTTTGTAAAATCAACCAAATCTGTAAGATTATTAATGGCCATCATCTTTTTGTTTTGCGATTCTCCAGTTGGTGGCTGTTGTTGTTGTTGTTGTTGTTCGGCATTGATAGAGGTTGGCATGGTTTTGTTCCAATATCTAACGGTTGCATTTTGGTAATCATACAACAATGGAAAATCGACATAGATCTCTTGTTGTTTGGAAAAGAATCTAACGATCAACATTAATATTTGTCTGTCTTTTAGGTGAATCAGTGCTTCTCTGGGGTGCAAATTGGATGTATTCAAAAGTAATTCCATATTATACTTTGGTTTGTTATCTTCTGGTTCATTGATACCACTTCTTATAATTTTACACAACTCTATCCATACTTTTATGGGAAGTGTAAAGAAATTAACAAGAGATATAATGGTTTGCGTTCTGTATGAAAGTTGAGTATTCTTTTTGAAAAATATAGATAATGTATCCAGTTCAAACTTGCTTGGTGATGAATCTATTTAAACAAATTGTGTTAGAATATAGTAGTAGTGTACTCGATTAAATGATCATAAACCCGAATTATTTATATTTACCTGGTCTAGTATTTGTAGCTTCCATATCTACTTGGATGTATTCCCTGACTTGTACAATGACCGATACATTCTCATTTACAAATTTTAATTGATTTGGTGCATATTGAGCATCTTTGTACTAAAAAAATAAAATTAATGTTAGTCATCAATGTTGTTCAATCGCAAAGAATTAATAAAAAAACATACATGATTTTTAATAAGACTAGCAAAATTCTTTACAAGATAATGATAGTTTAAAAAGCAAAGTATGTTGTGTACGGTTGATTTGAGGGTTTTCAAAGGGACCAACCAAGAGGTACGTTGTCCCAATGGATTGTCCATTGATGGATGTCCAAGTCTTTGTTCCATAACTTGGTGGAGAGATGGTATTGGTGACAGTAGTTTCTTTTGTGTTTGCGATTGTTGTGAACTCAAGAGACTGGCCGTTGAGAAATAGGCATCTTCTACAATACAATGTTCTGTTGTCACTGCTCTAACATCAAGTGCGTGTCTAAAATAAAAAAAAAAAAAAAAAAAAGATGGTTAAAAAGGAAAGAGGAGAAAAAAAAAAGAATAATACCAATATACTTACTGGTTTCTATAAACCAATCTAATATGAGTACTGTTTCGAGGTATAATAACGGTCTCTAGTGGTGGGAAATAGGTGGTTGTGGATGGATATATGAGAGATTGTACGGCATATACCATTTCATTTGATATTGCAATCGAATTTAGAAAATTGAGGATAGAATTTGGTGTTTGATCATTGATTTTGGTTGCCATTGTTGGTGGAGCAGAGGTGGTTGGTGTGGTATTTGAAGGTGAGGTGTTGGCGGTATTATTATTATTATTTGTCGTAGTAATAGTTGTTATTGTTGTATTGGTTGAAATGGTATTGTTATAATTTAGAATTCTCTCATAAAATGGAACCAAGGGATTAACAAATGGTTGGTATTCAATTGAATAGTTTTTGCTTTGATTCACATAAATTCGAATGGTATGCTTTAAATCATTTGGTGTATTCTAATAAATCAATCAAAGATTAGTTATTTTGATCAAAAGATATATATATATATATGTGTATATAAAATATTGACTTACAATATTTGTACAAGTTAATTTAAGTTCAAGGGGAGCTATGTGATCGATATGGAAGATTAAAGATAATTTTGGTGTCGAGTTTAATTGTTTAATCATTTGCATACTGAGAGAAAGCATCTTGTTAACCGATTGAATGTCATTTTGGAATGAATTTAGCCAATTGTTGTTGGAAAACTATAAATAAATAAAAAATAGATTATTATTATTAGTATGGCAATCAGTAATATACAAGAAGTGATTGGTGGATATTTACTGTAGAGTAGGTAAAAGTCCACAAACCTGACAAGGAATGACTAATATGGTCATTTTGTACAAATGATGCTGGGTGACGTTGTTGTTGGGTGGTATTGGATTGGTCTACTTGATCATTCATAAAAACAAGTGGTGATTTATCATAAAATGAAATTGTACAGTATTGTTGATGTGATTGATCACTGTCGTTGCCATAGAATGATAAATACATCTTGTTTGTTTGGATAACTGAATTGTTTGGTTGGTATAAAAAAGAAATAGTTTCGTGTTGCATTGATTCGGTAAGGGAGGAGGAAGAGGACGGTTGGGGAATAATGGTATGGGCAATGTTTTCTTTTGACAAGAGTAGAGAGGCTTGTAATATTTTGATTTTCTTCTTGGCACTCTCTACCAATCTATAAAGTATGTTGTTGATTTGTTTTTGAAATTTAGTGTTTTGTTCAGTTGTGTTGGATGGTTGTTGTTGAATGAGACTGGTTAGTTCTTCGTCACTGTCCATTTTAAATATCGTAGGTTGTGACGAGTTGTTATTGTTGTTATTATTGAATAAAAAGATGGACGGCGTAAATACAGATGAAGAGTTGGTAGTTGTTGATGTATTTTGAATGGTAACAAAGAGATAAAATATTTCGTTTTCATTTGAAAATCTAATGCAAATATATTGTCCATTTGATTCCAAAAGTGTTTGAATTAAAATATCATTTTGTATTGGTATCTTGTAAAAGCATTCCATTTCCATAAATACTGCAGCCTCTTCTATACATGATAATAATGACTTTATAGATTGGTTAATGATGTTAATGATATGATATGATATGATATGATTTCTTTTTTTTTTTTTTTTTTGTAACATACTTTTAATCTAAAGAAATTAACAATTGATTTAATTTCCATATTATCATTGTTCAATCTGGTCTCTAGATTTAATAATAAATCTCTATTTTTCAAGGTAGAGTGATAAAGAGTATATTTCCCGTTTTGAAAGTTTACAGAAACGTCCAAATGGTTATTACTTCCATATAGTTTAATGAAAAGGGTAGCTGCTAAACTTTCGTCATCTATCATTTGTTTTTGATCGGTCGACGAGACAACACTACTGTTTTCAAATCCACATGAACCAATTAATTTAATATCGTCAAAAGATTTTACTTGTTGTTTTAATCTTTCCTCATAGAGTATAACATTTAGTTTTTGTAATCTTAAATAACCATGTAATTCAATAGCGCTAAATAAAATATTTTCCAAATTTAATGATGCCTAAAAAAAACAATTTAAATAAATTTCTTTTCTCTTTTCTCTTTTTTTTTAATTGTACATACGACATTAAAAGTGTAGTTTGGGATATTTGGATGAGTTAGAGAGGGAACATGGGAAATAATTAATTTTTGAGTATCTGGGTCGATTGCAATCTTGATATAGATATTTGGTTTTTTGTGATCAAAAGTGTTTGCCAATTCCTCTGGTATCCAATAAAATACAGTGATCGATTGATCCTTGACATCTTTTCCAAATATGCATCTTGTACTATTCTTTAGGATTGTTTTTTTAAGATTTTCGCTTTGAGCACAAAGTATGCTCAGTTGCGATGATACGACGAGGTAGTGCAACATGTTGTGTAGTTCATAAAGTGGTTGATTACTAGTGACTATTCTCGCTTGTATTCTATCTTGAACTTGCTTCATTTTATCGTCATAAGCAACCTTGATGGGGCCTTCTCCCTCTCGATCTTTTTGAGAATAGATAAACAAGTTAAAGCTTAACAATATCCAATTAGATTTATCCGATCCACCGTCAATAGACAGAAAACATTCATATTCATTTTCAACCTTTATATGAGCTTTTCCATCCTCTAAAAAAAGTTTGAAAATTAAAAAAAATTAATATAACTTTTATACTAATAATAATAATAATGTTATCATTTTATACATACCAACTTTAATTGGATCAAATTCTTTTGGAATATCAAGAGTAAATAGTTTGTATCTCAAGATACTGTTTAATTTTTCAATAGTCGATTGAATTTGAGCTGGTAGAGGTGGGGCAGGGGGTAGTACCCTTTTAATATTGGTTGGCATTCTCTGATAACTACCTGTTGTCAAGACATCAATAGCAGTAGGTACATCATATATTGGTGCTCTAGCATTGATCATTGCATCCTTTGTCATCATTAAATGATCTGCAGCATCTCTAAAATAATTATCCTCTTTGTTTAACATTTCAATTATTTCCTAAATCAAAAAAAAAAAAAAAAAAAAAAAAAAGAGTTGTGTCAATCAATCAATCAATCAATCAATCAATCAATCAATCAATCAATCAATCAATCAATCAATCAATCAATCAATCAATCAATCAATCAATCAATTGCATTATTATTATGGTCAATATATTTGGATATACTAGACATACATTTGCTTTTGTTAGAGTAGAGACATGTTGTGACCATTTGAGTAGTACAAGTAGTTTTAGAAACTTTTCTCTTGTAGCATCTAAATAGTCAACCAATTGTTTCTTTCTCTCAATATCACTTTCTTTTGGTAGTCTCTCTGTCAACGACATTAGATTATTGTATGATTGTTCGACAAGTCTATGAATGACTACTGATAATGAAATGGTAGTGGTGTTGTTGGTTGTTGCTGCTGGCGTGGCAATAGGTAAGCCCGCTGTTGGAGAGGATGATGATCCTCCACTACCACCTGCAGCAGATGGCTGATGATTATGATCGTTCATTTATATTCAATAACAAAAGAGAGATAGATAGATAGATAGAGAGTAAAATTGTAATATATGTATGAAACCTGCTATAAGTGTTAAAATGCAATTGTGATCATCGTCATCAAAAAAAATAAATAAATATGTTTTATATTTTTTTTTTTTTTTTTTTTTAATTGTTAAAATTAGTCTCAGTAATGAGTACTCATTCATTTTATCTTTATACACAATCCCAAAACATATATATATAAATAATCCTACCAAAAATTTTAATTTAAAAAAATAAATAAAAATAAAAAAAAATAAAAAGAATCAAAAAAAAAAAAAACGAACGAGAATAACAAAAGAATTTCCTTCGTTTGTCTTCGGTTTACTAGTGATTATCACCTTATCTTTTTTTTTTTTATTCTATTCTATTCTTTATATATATTGATATAAAGCAATAACAAACATATAAAAATGCAATATATTCCAACACAAAAAGAATCGCACATGTATGTTTTTGATATTGTTAACATCATGTTTACCTTTTTATAAATATTGACAAATCTCTCTCTCTCTTACAATTTACTATTATTATTTAATTTCTTTCAGATTATGTTGTATATGTGGTGTTTTAATAGCAGCCAATCCATCAAATATGTGTGTGGATTGTATTAGAAGTCAAGTTGATATTACAGAAGGAATACCCAAACAATTGATGGTACAATGGTGTAGAGGATGTAATAGATATCTACAACCACCAAATCATTGGGCAGCATGTGAATTGGAGAGTAGAGAATTATTGACATTGTGTATCAAACGTATCAAAGGTTTAACCAAAGTAAAGTTGGTTGATGCCGGTTGGGTATGGACTGAACCACATTCTAGACGTCTCAAAGTTAAATTGACCATTCAAAAGGAAGTTTTTGCATCTGCCATTCTTCAACAAGTATTTATCGTTGAATTTGTTGTCTCTGGTCAACAATGTACTAGTTGTCAACGTCTCGATGCCAAGGATACATGGAATGCCGTCGTTCAACTCCGTCAAAAGGTAGATCACAAACGTACATTCCTTTTCCTCGAACAAGTCATCCTCAAACACAATGCTCATTCGCAAGCACTAAACATCAAGGAACGTAGTGATGGTCTAGATTTCTATTTTGCCAACAAGAATCATGCATCTAAATTTGTAGAATTCATCTCTGCCATTGCACCTGTGCGTTCAAAAAAATCAGAGCAATTGATTTCTCACGATGAACAAAATAACACTGCCAATCACAAACACTCGAATTCCGTCGAAATCGTTCCACTCTGCAAAGACGATCTAGTATGTTTGCCACCAAAATTAATGACATCGCTCGGTGGTATCGGTCCAATTGTACTAGTCACCAAGGTATCAAATGTAATCCACATTATCGATCCCAACTCGTTGCAAACAGCCGAAATCTCTTCCACTAGTTTCTGGAATACTCCATTCCGTGCCATCACTGGTTACAAGCAAATGATTGAATTCACCGTACTCGATGTCAGTCTTACAGGCGAGAGAAAAGGAAAGTTTGCTTTGGCCGATGTTCAATTGGTGCGTAGCTCTGATTTTGGTGTCAATGATAATACATTTTTCGTTCGTACACATTTGGGTCATCTATTTAATGCAGGTGATCTTGCACTTGGATACGATCTTTCAACTGCCATTTTCAACGACTCTGACATGGAAGCAATCGGAAAGCATCGTAGTGCAAACATTCCAGAGATTGTTTTGGTTAAAAAGACTTTCCCAGTGACCGATCTCAAACAACGCCATTGGACCATCAGAAACATGAACAAGGAAGGTCAAGAAAACATCAGAAAGAACGACGTTGAAAAGGCTGAACGTGATCAACAAGACTTTGTCAGAGAAATTGAAGAAGATGCCGACATGCGTTCAAAGATCAACATTTACAAACAAGGAAACGCTGCAGAGATTCTCAAACAACGTATCAAACATAAAAAGGATTCCGGTTACGAAGATCATGAAATCAATGAAGTCACTTTGGAAGAACTTTTGGACGAGATGGATATCAACGATCAAGATTTTGGTGAAGCCGATGAAGATGATCAAGATTATGAAGACGATGAAGATTATGATGATGATGATGAAGATGATGAAATGATGGAATAAAAAAATAAATAATAAATAAATATTCTTTATATACAAATATATATTGAGTTTTTAGGGGTGCTTGTTCGTTTTCTTTGGCGCCTTTTTTCATTTCAAAAAAAGTTTTTTTTTTTCTTGACCATATTTTGTTGTAGTGTTGGATAATTGATATAACATTAATATATATAATAGAGAGAGAGAAAGAGAAAGAAAGATTGAGATGAATAATGGTATCAACTAGTCAAAAAGATCAAGATTCATCAATGTCCCAATCAATAGTGGAATTTGAATCAAAATATTCAAAACTTTTAACACCTTTAAAGTATGAAAGAATAGTATAGCAGCGCTTGTAGTAGTATTTGTTCAAAAATGTGTTATTAACCATTGAAATCTTTTGTTTATTTAGAGAATTGGCAGATAATTGGAACATCGATATATCTGCAGAATTGGAAGATTATTTACAAGATTTGACATCGGTCACATTCACATTTGATGGTAGTGGAAAGAAGTTTAGTTTTGCAGAAGGTTAGTAGTAATAATAATAATAATAATAATAATGATGATTATGGTGGTTTTATTAACTTATTATTCTTCTTTTTCTTTTTTTTACTACTACTACTACTATAGCTGCATTGGTAATTCAAGGATCTGCTGTTGTCTATAGTAAAAAAGTAGAATATTTGTATAGTTTTATTTACCAAACTCTTGAACATTTACAATCAAAGAGAAAGAAACATAATTCCTCAATAGATAGTCAAGGAAATGATCGTGATACCAAAGTAAAAGATACAATACAATCTGATTTCTTTGAAGATCTAGAAGGTACCTTGGAGGAATCTGATAATATAGATCTCGATGACCAATTATCTTCTTCTTCGACGATTGCTATCACTGGTGCCGAAGATCAAGTTGACAATATGGCACAAGGTGACTACGATGATGACAACAACAACAACAACAACAAAAATAACAACAAAAACAAAGACAGATCAGAAAGACGCAGAACTCTCAAAAATCAAAATTTTGATTATGACCATGCTCAACTAAACGCATATCACTCAATAATCATGAACGAAACACCATCAACCAATTCATCCAACTCGGCATCTGATAATATGGCCAAAGAAAGTAGTGTAGGTACGAGTAACCCAAATGACGCCACTACAAGCAAATCTACATTTATGATGAACAAGAGCAGAGTAACAAAAGATGGAGCTCTCAGTCTTGGAGTAAGCTTGGGATCAGATTTGGATCATTTTGAATCTCTTGGTCAAATAACAGACAAAGTGGCAACTGGTTCAAAGAAGCAAAAATCGTCTGATGAGTCACTAGAAAATAATGGGATTGGTATTGCCCCAGATATTGAAAATGATTTCAACAACAACAACAACATAGAAAATAATAGTGACAGTTTTCCAAATGATATCCCTAATGGAGGGGATGACCTAACGGACAATTTGGTGGTAGACACCCAAATTGTTGAAGAATCAGATGACGACAATGGTGATATTTATGGTAATGATGACTATGGTGGCCATGAAACAAGCGACGACCCCCCAAGTGATGTTGGAGAAGAAGAAAAGGCAAAAAACAACAAAAGACAGGAAAAAGAAAAGGAAATCGAGAAACTAAAATCAAAGATCAAAGCAATTGCAAATCCTTGGTTATTATTGGACCCACACGAAGAATCTACAGACGAAAAGCCATTTAAAAGAGGAAAGGCCTTCTCGCTCCCCGTTCACAGAAAAGGACCCAACCTATCCTCGAGCAAACAATCAGAAATCCAATTCAAGTCGGGAGATTTAATCATATTTCCAACAGAAACATTGGCACTGAGAGGGAACTTTTTCAAAGATTTATCCTATCTCTACCAAAAGAATATCAATCAATCAAGAGGTGCTAGATTGGCTTTAATTCATCAAGTGGAACGAGCAAACAGGAAAACTCAAGACCAGGATCAATCTGCTAGCACCAATGTGACAGAACCATCTGGTCATCATGATGATACTGGCTTGGTAGATGACTACCTCATTGATGAGGCAGAGGAAGAATACAATAACAATGATCATGGTGGAATCGATAGTGATTCTGATGATGGCGGCGGTGGACTGGATATAGCAGCAGGAGAGAATGGTTATGATGGGGATTCGGATTTGCCATCTTATGATTTCAGTAGAATTTCAACTACAGGAGAGGATGATTTTGGCAATAGATATTACGATACAGACTACACTAGTAGCGGTAGTCCTGAAAAATCGTATGAAGAAATGTGCAAAGAGTATATTGGAAGCTATTTGGATAGTGCAAAACAACTTTTACAAGAGACTGCACTCATGCAAAGATTAAATCAATGGAATAACAAAATCATCCCCCTTCTCGAAGAACAATCGTCCCGTCCACCATTTGACATCCAATCATATAGCACTGGTATAGTGTCAAAGGCTTCATCCATTTTCAAAGATAAATGTCACATGGACCAAGAAGACAAGCTGACAGACGCTACTATTGGCGAAAAAAACAAAGAATTGAAACAAGATTCCCTCATTTCCTTTAAAGAATTGGTTGGACAAGAATATTCTGGCTATGAAATATGCAGAAAGTTTGCAAGTTGTTTGCAATTGGCAAATAGTGGAAATTTGGAAATCATTAGCAACAAAACAATGGACAATCTTTCCTTTCATCTTTTATCAAATACACCAAAACATGGACACGAAATTGGAGACTTTACAGATTATCAAGACGATGATGATTCAACTAAAAAAATCACAAAAAATAAGGAGTCAGAGTCAGAGAAAGAGTCAGATTCTGAATCAGACTATGAATCAAAACCAAAACCAAAACCTAAAAAGAAAAGGCAACCATTAAAAAAAAAGGACTAATAAAAAACTTTATTGAAAAGGGTAGGAGAAAAATTCAAGTATTGATCTCTTACTCCAAATTTGTATATTTTTAAAAAAGGCTAGTTATGGTTTTAGTACATCCATGAACAAAAAGTTTATGGTTTGAAACAAAGTGATCCGTAATGGAACTCTGAATAATGGGACAAGAGGAATACTTTTGTATTTTCAATCTTGGTGGGAATAATTTCAATAAAGAAATGGCTTGTGCTCTCTACCGATGATATGATACTAATCTTTGCTTTGTAAATCTCTGCTGCTGCCAAAAGTGTCAAGTGATCACCCCAAATTCCATTCTTTGACATTTCATTACAATAATCTTCCCAGCTACCATTTACAAATTGACATAAAGTTGCTCCATTTGGCTAAAAATAAATAAATAATAAAGAAATAAATAAAGTTAATAAATAAATAAATCTCTGTTATTATTTATACATACAAAAGAAAAATCCTTATTTTTTCGGAGCCAATCGACTATAGTTTTTCTAACATCTTGACTATGGTTTAAATCATCAAAGATTTGGTCAGACAAGGCATGCATTTGACAATTTCCATCACCTGGAATTTCTTTACTGTTTTGAAGCTAATAAATAAATAAAACTAATTGTTAGGCTTTTGTATTTTTGTTTGTTGTGATTAAATCTTACCATATAAAGGTCCAATCTTTCACTTAATCTTTGCTTGGCGATTTCGGCCTCCTTTGATTCTTTTGGCTGAGTCATGCTTAGAAGGATAACAGAAGAGATGAGAAGTGAATCATTGTTCATATATTTGGGAGCGCAACCTTCAATAATTTGCTTTTGTTTAAATTCATTGTAAAGCGATTGGTTGTTTTCTTGTTGAACTTGTTGTTGTTTTTGTTTTTCTTGTTCCCGTCTAATTTCTTGTTCACTCAATCTTTTTTGTTCAGAATCAATAGATGACATTAGTTCCTTGTACCAACTTTTAGAGCTGTAGGGAGCAATATCTGGATCAGTTCTTACGAGATTTGCTCTTTCAATACGATTGAATGCATCATTGATGAAAAGCTGAATCCAACTTTGTGCCTTTTCTTCAATACCAAGCAAACAACAAGTTTTTGCATAAACAAACCAATACTCTATTGGAAAAAAAAAAAACATTAGTCTATCTATCTATCTAATATTATTTAAAATTATTATTCTTACCTGGATTATTAATAGGATCCTTTTCAAATTCCACAAGGTAAGATCTATTTGATTGGTTCAATAAATCGTTTAAAATTGAATAGATTTTCGGATCAAATGAATGATCGTTTTTAAAGTTGAAAAACTGAAGAGAATCGATTCTGTAGACGACTTGATGGTATTTAAAGAAAGAGTAGCAAAAAGAACCAAAAGAATATCGAAAGGTTGGGATGTTTGGGTTCTTTTGGACGAGAATTTGAAGGTTTTCATAGATTTTGTTGGAGTAATTTAACTTTTCTAGGTCGCTTGGTCCTTGAAGTGTCCAATGTCCACAGTGAAGAAGTGAGAATAGATAGCGTTGGTAGCTAAGAATTATATGAGGTTGAGCATCAGCATATGCAAGTGGTTGCGGTGATGAAATAAATATTGATCTTAATTGTTTGAGGCATTCCAACTCTTTTTTAAAATGAATTATTAATGGAATATCGAGTTGTTGGATGATGCTATTATTAATATTTGGTGGTTGCAATAGTTGTTGTTCCTGTTGTTGTTGTTTCAAAGCAAATGAAAGTTTTTCAATCATCAAGGCACAGACTGAAAGATAGATTGTGATTATCTTGGAAAATCTTTCTTGGTTGCAATGTAAGCTCTTTGCGACAATAAGAGCTGCAATACCATCTATGTAGTATTGTAAAACATCGATACGAGTAGGATTGACAGGGATTGGTGGTGCCTTTTCCCTTGGAAGAATAAAAGGGATCAGACCCGATTGAATGTGCTGACCAAACTTTATATTGTAAACAGCCTTTTCATATTCTTTTGAGGTGGGCAATGATAAACTATTAAAGTTTGATGCATTTTCACCGATATACAATTTCTTAAACGTTAGAAATCGATCATGTAACAATCCAATGTTTAAATCTAATTTATCATTCATTGTTTGATAAAAATGAGAAAGAAGAGGAAGTGGAGGAGGAAGAGGAGGAAGAGGAGGAGGCTGGTTATTATTATTATTCTACTGTATTTTGATTATAATATTATACTATAGAGATGTAAATGATGAGATGTTATTGCTGCTGATAGTTATTAAATACAAGTAATACAGATATATAGAGAGAGAGAGAAAAAAAGAGATAGATAGGTGTAAACTACTACTACTAGATAACAACAATAGTGTAATTTTTTTTTAATTAAAATAGAGAGAATTTTTTTTGAAAACTTTACCCCCACACAACCACTCTTGAAAAAATGGGACAATTTAAATTAAGAAAAAAGGAAATGTTTATTTTAATTTATTTATTTTATTTTTCGGGGGGGGGGGGGTTTTGTTGTTGTTGTTAATCTCTTTTAATTCTTCTTGTTGAAGATGATAAGAATAAATTGACGAGAGATTTTCTTATCAAATCGAATGGAATGATAGAGAGAGAGGCAATGATGACGACGACCCATTCATTGAGAGTAAGTCCAACAGTACGTAGGACAGAACCACCGATATAGGTAAAGACGATTTGAACGCAAAAGATGAAAAAGATGACTACAATGAAACCCTTGTTATCGAGGAGATGGTCAAAGAGGTTCAAACGATTGGTACGAACATTGAATGCGTTGATGACTGCCAAAAAGATGAAAAAGGCAAAAAAGGCGGTAAGGAATACCGGTTCCGATGTTACACCATCTCTTGTAAAGTAGGATTCAACCCAGTCATTGGTGAGGAATGCAACTGACATAATTGAAATGTATGGACCACCTCCTAGGATTGAGAACCACATACGAGGGGTAATGATATTTTGGTCACGTTTGATTGGTTTCTCCTTCATATAACGATCGAGTGCTGGTTCACCTCCAAATGCCAATGCTGCCAATGTATCCATGACAAGATTGACCCAGAGTAATTGGATCAATGTCAATGGGAAATCAAAACCCATAAATGGTCCGAGGAATACGATCATAGTCGATGCAACATTGATAGTCGATTGAAAGACGATAAACTTTTGAATTGATTTGTAAATGGTACGACCATAGAGGACTGCTTGCGTAATAGAGGCAAAGTTATCATCGAGGATAACGATATCGGCTGCTTCTTTTGATACCTCTGATCCAGATCCCATGGCAAAACCAACATCGGCATGTTTGAGAGCGGCACTGTCGTTGACACCATCACCAGTCATACCTACGACCTTGTGGAGATCTTGAGACACTTGTACGAAACGAGTTTTATCCGATGGAAGAGCACGAGACACTACACGAAGATGTGGAATCATTTCTTTGAGACGATCGTTTGATACATGTTGTAAATCCAAACTGGTCATGACAACACCTGGTTGCAATTCTTCACCTGGTTGAATAAGTCCAATTTGATGAGCAACAGCAATTGCAGTTTCCTTTTTATCACCGGTGATCATAACAACTTGAATACCAGCATTCTTGGCCAATTGAATCGATGACTTGCTCTCTTCTCTAATCTCGTCGTGTACACCGACAACACCAACCAAAATAAGATTGTTTGGCAAGCTTTCACCTTCTTTTAATGCCTCTTTGGCAACGGCTACAGCAATGACTCTGATACCTTGTTCCGATAGTTTGTTCATTTCATTGGTCAATGAATCGATATCTGAAATAGGTTCAATATGGCCATCTTCATTAAAATGTGATGTACAATGTGAAATAACAATTTCTGGTGCTCCCTTTAAACATGATAATTCAATTTTACCTGTTCCTAATTTTTGTGAACATCTAAAAAAAAAGGTATAAATAAATATATAGTCTATTTTTTTTTTTTTTTTTTTTTTTTCATACTTTAAAATACCAAGAGGAGGTTTACCAGATGGACCACCAACTTGAGGAATACTAAGAGTAGCAGCAGAATACTTTCTTTCAGAATGGAATAAAACTTCTCTGATGATTTCAACATCAAAGTCGGCCATTAAAGATTGCTTATCAAGGAATTGTAAAAGGGCCTTATCAGAGGCATTACCACCAGCGATTTGACCATCTTCATCAATGACAGAACTTGTTGATTCACGAACAGCAAATGAAAGTACATCTCTCAATTCTGTTGGAATTTGATTGTAACCCCTGTAGGTGTGACCTGAACCAGAGATGAATGTACGTGGCGTAAAAGTACCCTTGGTAAGAGTACCAGTCTTGTCGACAAAGAGAATATCCAAACTACCGGCAGTTTCGATACCCAACAACTTTCTTACCAAAACCTTGGCTTTGAGGAGTTTACGCATATTGAGTGATAGGACAATGGCAATCATCATTGGTAGACCTTCTGGGACGGCAACGACAATGATGATGATGGCGAGTGTAATAGAGTTGACAACGTCACGTAATACGATTGGATAGTTGGAGACGTATTGTTTAATGAGAGGCCAGTTGTAGTTTTGATCCATAACCAATTGCTTAAAGAGGAAAGAGACAACGATAAATGAAGCACCAATGTAACCAATTGTAGAGATACCATCGGCAAGGTTGGACAATTTAATTTGGAGTGGTGATTCACGTTCGTCAGCCTTTGAAAGTTCAATAGCCAATTCACCATACAAAGTATCGTTACCTACACTGTCTACGAGCAAGACACCTTCACCGTCTTCTACAACAGATCCTCTAAAGCAGAGATAGTGATCGGCAAAGTTGTTTTTAAAGGATGGTTGATAGTCCTTTGGTGCAACAATCTTTTTCTCCAATTCACTCTCACCGTTGAGTGTCGATTGATTGATGTAGAGTTCACCTGCAACCAATTTACCATCGGCTGGTACCTTGTCTCCTGCTTGCAATAGAATATAGTCACCGACGACTACATCAAATGCATAGATTTGTTGAACATGATTTCCGTTTCTAAAGACATTGCATTTGATACGTGATGCCTTTTCTTGGAGCTCTTGGAATGAGTTTTCGTTTTTGTACTCTGAGTAGGTAGATACAAAGGTGGCAAGGAATACTGCACTAGCAATACCTACTCCTTCAAACCATTCTGCATAACCAAAAAATGCTAATGCAACAGTAATAACCAATGCTATACAAAGAATATGAATCAATGGATCTTGAAAGTTCTCCATCAGTTTTTCAATAAACGATTCTACTTTTACTGGTGGCAATGTATTGGCTCCATATTTCTTTCGGCTTTCCAATACTTTATTATCTTCAAGTCCATGAAAATGATATTTTACCATGTCTAGTTAGTTTTTTTTATTTATTATTTATTATTACTATTTATTTATTACTATTATTATTATTATTATTATTATTTTACTACTACTACTAAGTTGGAGGGAAAAAATATATAAATAGGTTCACTGTCTCTCTTAATAATATAAATACAGAGTATATAGAGAGATATATAAATATATATGTATATATGTAATGGGTGTTGATGATACAAAAACATTACACGAAGAACATCGCACGTCAACAAAAATTAAAAAAAAAAATAAAAAAAAAGAAATTCATAAAAAAAAACCCAACCCCGTTTGCATCGTCACTCGTCCGAATTAATAAAAGAGTTTGATGATTCACAAAGCTTTACCGTTATTTTATTTTCCCAAACAGATTTACAGACTTTTTTATTTATAATGCAGACTGTACAGTTACTTTGTTTTAGAAACATTTTCTATGTACAATTGATTTACCATATTCTTGGTATTCTTGTCTAGTTATCCATTGATCAGAAAATGTTGATAAATCACCCAATACCGATCCACCACACCACACACTGTGCTCTCTATTGTCGGGTGCTGAAATTTTAACGGGCATGTTGGTTAGGTGTTCGAGTTCTGCTTGAAGTCTCTGGGGAAAGCCATTTGCTTTGGTCGATCCACCAGAAATGACAATATTTTTGTACAATTCCTTTCTAATGTCAACATCGCAACCCATGATGGATTCGTGCAAGAGTTGTTGGACACCTCCTCCACCTTGGATATCCATACCAAGCAGAGAAGGATTGAAAAAGGGTTCATAACAACGGAATCGTTCATTGCCAATGCTCAGCACTTGTTTGTCTGGCATGGTATAGTCCACTTCTTCTGTCACTGGTTGTTTCATAGAATCGACATAGTCCATAGAGACAAATGATGTTTTTTCTTTAATATCTCTAACTATTTCTCTCTCGGCTGTTGTTGTGAATGCGTATCCACGTTCTGTCAATAGTCTCATCAAGTACTCTGTTATGTCTCGACCACCTAGATCCAATCTTTTGACATTGTGTGACATGCAATAACCTTCGTAAATGGGAACAGTATGACAAACTCCATCACCACAGTCCAGTACGGTTCCAGTTGTTCGTCCACTGGCGTATAGTGACAAAACAGCTTGAATAGCAATATAGACGGCTGGGACATTAAAGTATTCCATCATAATTTCCAACATTTTTTCACGGTTTGCCTTTGGATTGAGAGGTGCTTCTGTGAGAATGACAGGATGTTTTGATGAATCGACTCTGAGTTCATTTGTGAATGTGTACTCCCATATAGTTTCCATATCGCTCCAATTGGTAATGATACCATGTTCGATTGGGTATTTTATCGAGAGAATACCACGTTTTTGTTGTGCTTCGTCTCCAACATATTTGTCCTTGCCCATACTCTTCATTACGTTTACATGTAACGGATATCCAACAATTGATGGAAATACACAACGTGGTTGGTCTTCTCCTGCAAATCCTGCTTTTACCACACCTGATCCATTGTCAATAACCAAACATTTTTCGTTGATTGACTGTAGAAACTCTAGATTTGATATTTTCTTTGCCTTTGAGACTGGTGGAAGTGGTGGAGGAGTTGGGAGATTGTCTTGTAGCGTAGCTTTTGATATTGTCATTGGTACAACAGATTCAACAACAGGTGGTACTTGGCTTTGTTCAAACGATAGTTTACTGGTTTGTTCCCATAGTTTATCCATTTCATCGTCTGCAGCTGGTGGTAGTACTGTTGAGGTGGTGGCTGTGCTACTTTCAAGTATAAAGAAAGTCCATGGACTATCTTTAACTTGATTGTGCTCCAAATACACAGCAATAGCGTAACCACCGGCTACAGGTGGAGTATACTTGACAGTATATGTACCATTGTTGTTGTCCTTTACATCTCCATGTATTTGTATTCCAGGTGGACCTTGAATAAAAGCATAAAATTTATCTCCACCAACCTTTCTAACCTGTCCCTTTGAATCTCTAGCTTCAATCGTAAATGTGCTAGACAATTTTGGTTGTCCTTGCTCCAATCCGTCACCATAACAACGACAATGCAATGCGTCTGTTGGTAACGATTCTTGTTGTGGTTGTGCAATATTTGCAATAAAAGGACTGTTTTTGATTTGTGTATTTCCTAGATAGACAGCAATGGCATATCCACCAACTTTTTGAGGTCGATAAGAGACATTATATGAACCATCATTGTTATCCTTTATGGTTCCATAAATCTGATCTCCAAATTGTCCTTGAATTAATACATGGTATGTATCTCCGCCATTGGTCATCTTTTGGTTGTTGGTATCATATGACTGAATAGTAAACAATGAATCTTGTGTCAATGTACCACTCTTTAGTCCAGGTCCAAATACTTTGCAATTGTTGGCATCACAATTTGCTTTTTGAATAACAGTTGGCACTGATGGGAATTGTAAATCCAATGACGAGGGTGCAGTGGTGGCTGCTGTAGGAACTGATGGAAAATCTAAAATAGAAGAGTCAATGGTACTGTTTGTTGGTGTTGATGGTAATTGTTCTGCCAATGAACTAAGACTAAGATCTGGAATACTTTGTTGTAAATCTACAAGTGGTGGTAATAACTAAAAGAAAAGACAAAGTTAGACCACAAGTTTAAAATAAATTTTAGTGATGTGTAAAATATTTACAGGTGTCTCCCAAGCAATATTATGCTTTTTGGCAATGTTACTTAGATAATAATTGATGAGTGAATCCTCTGGTGGTTTGTTTGATAATCGGTGAACAATCTAGAAAAAAAAAAAAAAAGAATAATTGGTAAATTAAATTGAAAAGGATTAAATAATATATAACAACATACTTTTGGATTAATACAACAACAATCTATACATTCTTCTGGAAACTTCTTTCCAAATTTTTCAATTAATCTTTTTCTAATTTTGTACAATTCTACTTGTTTTTCTAAATATGGTGAAGCAAATATGATACTACAAATTGCTTCCTTTAGATCAGGTGGACATATTCTAAATATAATAGACAAGACAGATTAATATTAATCAATCAAAAACCACTTAAACTCTTCTTCTTCTTTCAAAGATTACTTACTTTACACCTTCTAAAGCTCTGACTCTATTATTAATAGTTTCACAATAGATGATAAGAATTCCTAAAACCTCTGTTTGATAGTCTTCATTGATAACTGCAACAGTTTTCACGCGTGCTTGATCTTCTTTACCCAATGTCAATAACTCTGCAATCTCTTTTTTGTGTAGATTACCTTGCTCAATATTTTTGTTTTTGTGTAATAATAATCTACTGCTTGCTAACTTGAGAAGTAATCCCCTAAAGAGTGATGATTTAAAAAAGAGGAGTGTAAGAAACTTTGTGAGAAAGATTCTTTTTGTACATCACATACATGTTATTTGCAGTAAACTTTGTCATGTTTCTTCTTTAAAATTTAAATAAAAAGTATAAGTAATAGTAGTGGTAGTAGTAGTAAAATAGTAAACGAGTAATATAATAATCAGTATTATACTATTTAGCAATAGTATTAATCCTGCGACCCCAAGTGAAGAGTAAAAAAAAAAAAATAATTTAAATTTTAATTAAAAAAATATTTTTTGTTCAAAGAAACTTTCGAATCCTGGAAAGCTAGTGTAATAGTTTTTATTTATTCTCTTAGCTCGAGATGATTAAAATCCAGCACTTTTAATCTTTTTCAAGGGTTGGATAGGTGCTTGAGTTTTTGGTACAACCTTTGGTAAAACGTCTGTTGCAGTTGGTGGTTGAGCAGCAGCAGCAGCAGCAGCAGCAGCACCTGCTGATTCGGTTTGTTGTGTTTCTCCACTATCGATTTCATCATTTGTCCTCTTTTTCTTTAGATTTGTGCTTGCTGCAAGTCCATTTCCAAATTCATCTGTCTGTTTATAATGTTTCATTCTATAATCAGTTGATCTCTTTTCCTTTTTAGCGTCCTCTTCCTTTTTATGTTGTTTCTCTTGTTTTGATGTTATTTTATTCTAAATAAATATAAATAATTTAATTTGTTAATATTATTATTATTTATATATTTATATAAATATATATTTTTAAATTACCAATTCAGTTGGAGTTTCACGTAAAGCAAAACTTTTTGAAATGTGACCAAGATGTAAACTACCAATATGAAAGACATATTTTAATTCTGCTCTATGGGTAGAGTAGGCTCTAAGATGTGACTGATATGCCAATCTAGCAAGGTCACGTGCTCCCTCATCTTCCAGGATTAATCTTTCAAGAATCAATTGTAGATCATGAACTTGTGATTCCAATTGAGTTGATCTTTTTGTTTTTTTTAGTTGACCATCTGTCGAGTGATAAAGACTTTGAAAGATTGTAGTAACATTCATTTCTGATGGGTCAATACCCAATCTTGCCAAATGTTGAACATATTTCTTTTCCGTTGGGAGAAGGAATATAATGGCAGAACCCGTGTGTCCAATACGTGCAGTTCTACCAATTCTATGTACATAGTCTTTGGTATCAGAGCATGGATCATATTGAATAATCCAATTAACTTGTGGTAAATCTAATCCACGTGCAGCTAAAAATAATATAAAAAATAAATAAAAATAAATCAAATCTATTAGTACCTATTATGATTTTACTACTAAAAATTGATTTACTTACCAACATCAGTTGTTAACAATATACCCTTTTTAGCTTTTTGAAATTTGAAAAAGGTATCGGTTCTATGTTTTTGATCAATTTCACCATGCAATTTAAAAACTGGAGTGTCAAACAAATCAACTTTTTCTTTTTCATCGTCATCATCATCTTGGTCTTGATCATCTTTTTTCTTCTTTTTGTTTTCCAATTTTGCATTTGTAAACAAATGGTAATGGAAATCTACTGAAGAACAAGATGAAAAGAATACTATCATTTTTGAATTTCCTGTTGAACTAGAAGGAAGGAAGGAAGGAAGAAGAAAAAAAAACAAAAATTAGAATAGAATAATATATTTTTTGTTTTTTTTTTTTAATTTACATTTGAGATTGAGTAGTTTTCCATTTCATAAAAGAAACTAAAGCAACTAATCTTTCCTTTGCTTCAACTTCAACATAATATTGATCCAATTGTTTTGGTGCTACAAGGGTAGAGTTTTTCAATAATGTATCCAAAGTTGTTTTGTCTCCGTCTTCCTTTACTGTAAGTGTTTGTTTTTCGTCCATTTCGTCGCCATCGGCTTGGTCATCAACCATAATGTCTTGAGACTTGTCAACAGCAACATAAACAGGTTTATATAGAGATAAATTTGCCAATCTATTGATACCCTCTGTCAAAGTGGCAGAGACCAATATATTTTGTCTGTGTACAAATGGTGATGTTGGAATGCTGGTGGTGGTGGTTGTAGTTGCAACGGTGGTATCAGTATTGATTGTAGCTGGTTTTAAAATCTTTGTTCTATTGATATTTAACAATTCAATGATGGCAGTGATATCCTTTTCAAAGCCAAGATCGAGTAACCTATCAGCTTCATCCAAAACCAAGAATCTAGTTCTAGCTATTTTAAAGGATTGAGTCTTTCTAAGATGATCCAACATTCTACCAGGTGTAGCTACAACGATAGATACACCTTTTCTAAGACGTTTCTTTTCCTTGTCTCTACTTTCACCACCCATGATTGCACCTGGAATGATCCAATGGAATGGTTTTAAGAGTTTCTCCAATACTTGATAGATTTGAATAGCCAATTCTCTTGTTGGTGCAATGACAATTGCATATGCACCTTCTTCACGAGTAATTCTTTTTTCATAAGATGATAATATCTGTATGATTGGTATGAGATATGCTAATGTCTTTCCACTACCAGTTTGTGCCTTCATCATAACATCTCTGCCTTGGAGTACATGTGAAATAGAGGAGGATTGAATGAGTGTAGGTTGTGTAATCTTCATATTGTTGATCAAGTTGTCGGTCATTCTCGATGACAATGATGTAATGTCTCCAAAGTTTGATCCTGCTGTGAATACTTCTTTTGAATCGATATGTGACTTTTTTGGTTCGACTGATGGTAATGTTGGTTTATAACTTTCATCTTTGTTATGTATTCTTGATCTTTCTACTTTAATAAATTTATTATTATTTGTTTTTTTGTTATTAATATTATTATCGTTTGTTTGAGTGTTTGTTTGTTGTTGTTCTTCTTCTTGTTTGTATCTAAACTTTTGTTGTGTTTCTATAGTTGTTGTTGTTGTTGTTGGTGTAATTACTTTATTTCTATTATTATTATTATTATTATTATTATTATTATTATTATTATTATTATTATTATTATTATTATTATTATTATTATTATTATTATTATTATTATTATTATTATTATTATTATTATTATTATTATTATTATTATTATTATTATTATTATTATTATTATTATTTTGAAGTATTGGTTTTCTTATTGTGGAGGTTGTTGTTGGTGTTGTCGATGATGATGATGATGATGTTATTGTTGTTGCTATTGTTGGTGTTGTTGATTTTAGAGGTTGTACCTTCTTTTTTACAACTAAATTTAATTCTAATCCATCATCTTCGTCGTCCATCATTTTATCAAGAGGAAATATTTTTTGAAACAAAACAGATAATTAAATTATTATAAAAAATGTTTACCCTTTTTTTACCACCACAAGATTCTGCTGAATCGCCAAACGAATGATTCGTCAAAACGAATAAAAACAAAAAAAATTAAAAAAAAATGTTTTTAAAAAAAAAAGGTGATGAGACAAAGAAGAAGAAGAAATTTCAATACTGATATTAATAATAACAAAACATTTACTTTGTTCAACAGCAAGCTATCAACAGTAGTAGTAGTAGTAGTAGTAGTAGTAGTAGTAGTAGTAGTAGTAGTAGTAGTAGTAGTAGTAGTATAGTATAGTATAGTAGCGTAGTAGAGCATCAACAGAGTTTAAACATAAAAAGGTTTCACCCCCCACCAAAGCTCCTTTTATTTAACGACATACTATATATATATACATAAAAAGTGATGATGCTTTCTAAAAACTTAACTCAATCACTTCTCAGATACACCTCTAATGGTGCTATAACTAAAGTATGAAATATATATAACTATTTTTAAATTACTTATTAACAAACACTTTCCTCTTCCTCTTCCTTTTTCTTCTTCTTATCACTAGAATGCATCATCACGTGGATTTCATACTAGTAAAGTATTATTAGCAGGAGGACCATCAACACCAATAAACTATCCATCATTAGAGATTCCAAATGCAGGAGAGACACAAAAAATGAATCTTTTCCAAGCCATCAACAATGCAATGGATATTTCGCTTCGAACCGATGAAAAGGCATGTGTCTTTGGTGAAGACGTTGGATTTGGTGGTGTTTTCCGTTGTTCTGTTGACTTGCGCAACAAATATGGTGCCAAGAGAGTATTCAATACTCCTCTCTGCGAACAAGGTATTGCCGGTTTTGCAATTGGTCTTGCTGCTCAAGGTGCTACTGCTATTGCTGAAATTCAATTTGCTGATTGTATGTCTAAACATATATATAATATATATACATACTATAAGGTTATTATAATTTCTCTTTTATATTCACACACTCTCTCTCTCTCTTTTTTTTTAATTCTTTTTTAGATATATTTCCTGCATTTGATCAAATTGTAAATGAAGCAGCAAAGTATAGATATAGATCAGGTGGACAATTTGATTGTGGTAGTTTGACATTCAGATCACCATATGGTGCTGTTGGACATGGTGGACATTATCATTCACAATCACCAGAGAGTTATTTTGCCCAAACACCAGGTCTCAAAGTGGTTATGCCAGCCACACCAATTGAAGCCAAGGGATTGTTATTGGCATCGATTCGTGACAAGAACCCAGTAGTCTTTTTTGAACCAAAACTTCTCTATCGTTCAGCTGTTGAAGATGTACCAATTGGCGACTATGAAATTGAACTTGGTCGTGCTCGTATTGTACAAGAAGGAAGTGACTTGACATTGGTTGGTTGGGGTGCACAGATGAAGGTTTTGATGCAAGCAGCTCAAATGGCCAAAGAAAAGTTGGGACTTTCTATCGAATTGATCGATTTACGTACCATCCTTCCATGGGACGTTGAATGTGTAGAAAAGTCTGTCAAAAAGACTGGTCGTCTTATTATTAGTCACGAAGCACCAAAGACTGGTGGATGGGCAGCAGAAATATCATCAGCCATTCAAGAAAGATGCTTCCTTCATCTCGAATCACCAATTCAACGTGTTTGTGGTTACGATACTCCATTCCCTCTTATCTTTGAAAAGTTCTATCTTCCAGATCACTTAAAGAATTTCGAGGCTATTAAAAAATCAATTAATTATTAAAAATAAATCAAATTTTACGTCAAAAGACGAATCATTTAATGAAAATGCAGAGAGAACTTTTGATTATTGATTCAATAGTATAGATATGGAAAATAATAATAATAATAAGACTATTGTAGATAATATTACTTTCTTGACTAAAACAGCAGTAGCTACATCAGAAGGAGAAGGAAAAGGAGCAATTGTAGTTGGTATCAATGAATTACCCATCACATCTTCATTCTCTATAAGAATCAATCTTGGTGATCATCAACGACAACAACAATCATATATTTTAAGTGTAGAGTTTACAGTTGACATTGCATTCAAAAAACATAAATGTTTATTGTATAATGATGTAGTAGCAGATCTGCTGACAACAAATACAATAACCATCGATTTACCAACACTTCAACAATGCTTTGTACGTGATCAATTAGATCCTATATTCTGGAACAACATGTCTTGCATTAATATTTCTCTAAACGACTCTTCCAACTCTGATAAGAATATCTACAAAATAACAATGCCATGTAATCTATTCAATGCTTATGACAAAGAAACAGCTTTGAACCAAGTTTTATGTACAATCTATAATCCCTTTGACTATAAATTATCATCATCATCATCATCATCATCATCATCTACTACTACTGCTGCTGCTGCTACAACATCATAACAATAAATCATATTATTGTTATATATATATATATATATATATATTTATTTTCTCAACTCTTCTTTTGATAATAATAGTTGTAATTGTTGATTATAACCCAATGTTTTCAAGTCTTTAAAAGTCTCTGTAGAATCTTCAATGGTTTGATTTCTATATGGGACCCATAAAAAAAAACAAGGTGATATTAATAATGTTTCCAATGTTTGTTAATTGGTTCTGTCTTACACATATAATTCAACAAATCCGGTAAAAGTTAATCCCCTTTTGTTGGAGTGGTACGATTTAATTAATTGGTTTACGGATTGTCTATCGAGTGGCTGGCCATTTACTTTTTTCGTATAAGATTGTAATTCCTCTGTACTTAGAGTATTATCATGTGTAATATCAAATCTATCAAATATCTCTCTAAGTGTTACAATAAACTTTTTGGTAACTGCACCATTCTATAGAAATAAAAAAAAGTAATTAATTAATAACAAATATGATAATCACTTGAATTTTTGAAATACCAACCTCGATTAACAATGGTACATTTAAATCGTTGTGTCCAGTTTGGAAAACGTGTTCAAATTCGTCTTCTGGGTTTGAGGGAGCGTCCGAGGAGGAGGAAGCTTTTTCCATCTTTTCCTTGAGAGCATCACGAAGCGTTTGAATACGTTGGTCATTTTCTCCTTGAGAAGCAATCTCTGCTTTGTCTAAAAATCCTACTGCCTCTATAAATTGTTCTCTTAATCCTGCAATATAACCCAATCCAATCAATGCATCAACGCAATGATTGTCGACTGTTACTGCTTGTTCAAACAATTCGTTTGCGTTTTGAATTAATTTAAAGTCTTCCTCATCTTGATCGTCTTCCTCCTCTTCGATTGTATCACATTCTTGAATTTTCTCCTTTTCTTCTTCATCATTCTCTTCTTCTTCTTTATGTTGTTGATGGCAATGTTTGGTGCTGCTTTCTGTTTCTGTTTCTATTTCTGATTTATTCTTTGACAATATTAATGAAAGAAGATCATTGGCACGATTACATAGAATCAATGCTCTGTCTATTGGTTCGATTGAGGATGTAGCAGAGGTTGAGCTCATTGAACTATTTGGCATTGTTATTTAAAAATTTTATATTATTATTATTATTACTATATCTATATTACTATTACAAGTGCTTTATCTATTTGAGAGAAATACTCTCTGAGATTCGGTCGTTTTTTGTTTTTGTATTTTTTTTTTTTTATTAATTATAATAATAATAAATAATTAATTTATTTGCATCCAAACACACAAACTATACAATACATTGATTTGTTTTCCCATCTAAATGAACAACTTCCATCAGTATTATTATCCCAAAGACAAGAAGATGCTGTGTGAAATCCTGCGCCAACTTTTTGAAAGATGCTACATTGTACTGTTGTTTGTAAAAAGAGATATTAATACAATCGCTTGTCGCTTGATTATTTAATATTTGAGACATACCAATATATTTAAATGATGATGATGATGATGGTGATGAAGAAGAGGAAGAGTTTGTTTCTTGAAGCTTTTTAAGAGTATATTCGATAACAGCTGATGTCCATTGGGGTACTTTATTGTGTTGATAGACTGCATTTTGAATAGAGGCATCCACTGCCTCCTTTATGATTGACATTACATCTTCAACTATAAATTTACTATTGTCTTGTTGCTTTGAGTAGAATGTAGTGGGAAATTATTAAATATTGATAATAATACTAGTAAGATACACGGCTTTTATAATGTATATACATACACTTGATGTTTCGTTTAATGTAGAGTCTGTCATTATTGTTATTTTGTTCTTTGTGTTTAGGGGCTGAATATTTGCTTTCAAAAATACTTGTTGTTCTTTTTTTTTTTTTTTTTTTTTTTTTTTATTCTTTTTTTTTTTTTTCAACACCCTTTTATTGTTGTTCATTTCATTTCACAAAAGATACATAAAAAAAATAGTATAGTAGAAAGAGAGAAAGAAAAGAGACAACAAACACATTTGTTATGAATATTAGATCACCAACTCTTCAAAATCCATCATCGATCAATTCAAGTAATGGTGGAAGACCACCCCATCACAGTACTACACCACCTTTACAATCATCACTTGGTGGCCCAACAATGCTCAGTGGTAATGCACCAACCAACCCAAATAGATTAATCCCTTCATCTCTAATGTCTGGGGGTGTATCTTCAATACCATCTGGAGGAATTGGAAGAGTAGGAGGAGGAGGAGGAGTAGTAGTAGGAGGAGGAGGAGGAGGAATAGGAATGATGCCTTCTTCCTCTAACCCTTCATCTTTTGCAAGTCAAGTTCAAAAAGGATTACATTATGGAGTTGGTGGTGGTGGTGGACAACAACAACAAAAAGATAATAGTAACGATGCCTATGACCCAAATGATTTCCCAGCACTTTCGAGCAGTTCTTTAATGAAAAAAAATACTCCTTTACAGTCTTCCTCTCCTTCATCTTATCACCCTTCACCAATCTCAATGTCCTCCAATACATCAATTGCAGTTGGTCCAACATTGTCTCCGTCACCAATTGCACCTTCAAATACAATCTCACCGTCCTCATCAATGTCACAACCAGGCATGATATCCTCAAATATATCTAATGCACCCACTACAGCAGCTGCCATTCTTCAAGCAGCGGCTTCAACATCTTCTTCTTCTTCTTCTTCTTCTTCACCAAATGCAACACTAAATCAGCCAGAGGGTGCTAGCGAAAGTGAAAAAGGTATTTATTCAATGCTAAAATCAAAGGCATCGAGTACTGGTGATACGGTATCATCTACCGAGAAGCAACAACAATCAAATGTACATAAATATGGCTTATTGGGATTATTAAATATAATCAAAACGACAGATGTTGATCTTAGTACCCTCTCGATAGGAATTGATCTAACATGTTTGGGATTAAACTTGAATTCTTCTGGGTAAACTATAAAATAATAAAAAAAAAAAAAAAAAAAGAAAAAAAGAAAATAATCAAACAAACTAATAATATTATTATAATTTTAGAGATTTGTATAATACATTTGGTTCACCATGGTATGATATTCCAATTAGTCGTAAACCTGAATATTATTTGCCATTGTGTTATAGTACCCCTGGGCTTGACACCCCATCGAAAAAAATCTGTTTGTTCACTTATGAAGCATTGTTTTACATATTCTATTCAATGCCAAAGGATATATTACAAATACAAGCAGCAATGGAGCTATACGATAGGGATTGGAGATATCACAAAGAAGGCAGAGTTTGGTTGACCAAGGTACCCAACACTGATTTTCAAACCACTCCACAATACGAAGTTGGCAGTTATTTTATTTTTGATGTCTCAAATTGGGAGACTGTTCGTCGAGATAATTTTGTTTTACACCATAACTTGTTGGAACCAAGAGAAGTATTGGTCCAACAATTATTACTACAAGCAACAGCAACAGCAACAGCAACAGCAACAGCAACAGCAACAGCAACAGCAACAGCAACAGCAACAGCAACAGCAACAGCAACAACAACAACAACAACAACAACAACAACAACAGCAACAACCATCACTATCAACCTCCAACCCATCACTACAAACTACTTCGTCGTCGCTCAATTCACCAATACCAATGTCCTCATCTGCGCCATCATCCTCTTCTATATTATCTCCAAATGCAGTTATTGGTTCGTCATTAAACATTGTTGGCAGCAATTAATAGTCAATTAATTGTATTAACCAAATTAAACGACAATCACAACAATAATAAACAACGACAACAGTTCATAGCAATTGATGATTGATATATGACAAACATTAAAAACTAGGCAAATGATGAAACAAAACCAGAAAGGACCAAATGATTTACCACTGGTTTATCTTTTGTTTTTGTAGTAGCATGGCATGGTGGAAAATATCACAGATATGGATCCAATCAATAATGGTAATAGATATCCATCTCTGCTTTTTTTTTTTTTTTTTTTTTTTAATTTTTCTTATCTTCTAAAGTTTTGGTTATCATTTGTAATGATTAGGTTATATTTTTTAATCAATTGGAAGATGGTGGTTAATAAAAAGAATCTGTTGAACCATTAGTCACAATATTTTAAGAACAATAACTATTTAATTAATTTAATAAATTTATTAATAAAGGTTGTTTTTTTTAATTCTTTTGTTACCACACCATGATAATATCTATATGAAATGGAGTAATGCTCCGAATTTTGTTCGATGGCCTCGAACTGTTCGTTGTTCGGCTTGTTTGAAAGGTTTTGCGATCGAACAAACAGGGTAAACCGAGCAACCAGTTCGAACACCGAACAAACAAACAAAAAAATTTTGGAGTCAAACATGAGTCGAACTCGGTTTGTTCGATGTTTGTGATGTCGAACCCCTATTATACCACTTAGTTGGGGTGATTAATTCGAACATCGAACAAACAAACAGACAAGACAACGCCTCGATCTCAAACAGCGAACCGAACAAACGTCTCTAAAAATAAATAGTGTCGAACTCGATCGAACTCGATCGAACAAAATTCGGAGCATTAAAATGGAGTCATCAAAGTTTTAAATCAACAGAGTTAAACCATAGGATTTTGATCAATTTGTCACCAAATATTAATAAAATTGACAATCTCGATATATTTGTAACAAAGATCATTTTTTTTATTAATACATTATATTATTTGATCTAAAATAGTATTAATAATTATGTAAATAGGTATAACAATGTTTCTAATGAAAAAAAGTGTAAAAAGATTCAAAAAGTAAATAATTTAATTTTAAAAAAAATTGAATAAATTTTAAGAAAAATTAAATTGATATTAATATATTAGAAGTAGTAAACTAATTATAGCGTCAAATGGTATAGTTAAGGAGAAAGTATTTAATTAAAAAAAATTCAAAATTATATTTTGGTCAGGTTTAGATTTTTTTCTCTAAGTATGAAATTTTTTGTGGTGGTCTAACAAAAATGGAATAAATTTTAAAAAATTATTTTTAAGAAAAATCAAATATACTAAAATATACTAGAAAGAGTTAACTAATTATAGCGTCAAATGGAAAAGTTAAGGAGAAAATATTTAAATTAAAAAAAGTTCGAAATAATATTTTGGTCTTATTTTTCATTTGTTTTTTTTTTAAGTATGAAAATA